GGAGTTATAGCGGGGAGAGGGTTGGATGCGAAAATGATTCAGGAATTTGCTTCAAAAGGAGGTGGAGTTGGCGAGGATGGCCTTTTGAGTGCTTCTGGCTCTAAGCCATCCATCTATTTTGCAGGTGGTATTAATCCAATCTTGGATGTTGTCCTTTGGTTGAACTTCCTTATTGTGGATTTTGTCCATAATGCATGGGTCTAACCCACATTGGAAGTAGGGGACTTGCTCCTTATTGGAGATGTTGGCATTGGCGGCAATGAGAATGAATTGGTTAGAGTACTTGTCAACCATCATTCTTCCTTGGGAGAAAGCCATAAGCACACTTCGTGCTTTATTGGTCTTGCCTGTTTCCCTGAATTATAGCTTGAACTTTGCTAAAAAGTTTGCCCAAGTTCCTAGATCAATGAGAGGATCCACTCTTACTGTTTTAAAGAGGAAGTTCTCTACCCAAGCTCCTGCCATGCCATATCTCATGCATGAGAGCACCAGGAATATTTTGTCCTAATTGGTCTTGTACCAGTTGGACTCTGCTGCAAAAAGAAGGATATTGGAGCATGAATTTCTGGGATTCAATGTGGTTGCCTGTGTAGTTGTCTAGGAGTTTGACTTTTCCTCTTCTGGGTTGTGCTGTTATGGAAGGGACATTTGTAGAAGTCGAAGCTTGTCCCAACATGTCAGCGAGTGGTTGGTTTTGGGTGTTGATTGGTGTTTGGTTTGGTGATGAGTCAGAGTCTGATTGGGAGGCTGGTTCCTCTTGCTCTGAGTCATCGGGGATTACCAGTGCTAGGTCTCTGTACCAGGGTGTGGGATTCCAACAGTTCTCTGTTTTGTTCTAAATATGTTCTTCCTCTGTTCTATTGATGAGCATACACCCGTGCTAGGGTCCAAGGGAGGTATTTGGGAAGCTTTGGGGAGATACCAAACAGCACTAGACAAGTACCAAAGATGCCGACTTGCACTGAACATGGTTGGTCCCTACCCGATCAACTGCAACCCTCCAAAGGACATTTGGCAGCACTTGGGTCAGTTTGCCCACACTTCACGTACTTACCATGACCACACAGGAGTATTACGATAGGTGTTTACAAGACCAGAGCCAGTATTCTGTATCGGCCGATGTCCTCCATGAGTCGGTCGGTCCTTATCACTTATCTTCCTAACTTCCACATGGTCGGTCAAATGCAATCTTGCACCATGACTTGGCCACCCTGGTCATACGTTACTTCTTCTTTATTGTCATTGGCTTGCCAACACCTATTCCTACTACCTACACTTGGGCGACAGATCCTGAACATTTAGGATTTCAACATCACTGATTAACTTTTACCTTATCACCTTCGGAACCCATATGAACATCTCACCTACCTTCTTATCTTCCCTAATTGCTAAGGCTTGGCGCCCATTCAACATTTACTCTCATTTCATATTTGATATTTTACTTAGGGGTGCTGTTTACAATAAAACCCTACATACAACTCTGGAATAAACCAGCTTTCACACCCCACAGTTCAGAGCTCATTCACACTTGTCTCAACCATTGAGATTGTCTTTGTCAACTCCCGAAAACTTGTCATCCTTGTCGTTCGGCCTTGTTTGCATTCATACTTGTCTCTTCGCTCGTACCCCTCGTCCTCCCTTGTATATTGTCAGAGTCCCATGTGGCTCTTGAAGCACGTAGTTGTCGGTCGCGACACTACCTTCTCGTTACTGACCAAAATCCCCAACACAACCAACCAAATGTTCAGTCGGTGTTCGGGGCAGTCCCAAAACCGTTCAGGCACTATAATCTCACACTCCTTGCTGCTTCTCAGTGTGCCATCAATTTCTAAAGTCCTCACTAACAATTCCTTGTGTATCAGATACTAGCTCTAGCACCTCTGCATTAGAGGTTGTTTTGGTGTTGTGCTCGGCACTTAGAGCCACCTCTAGCATATCACCATTATCAAAGGTGAAGTAATAATGCCTATTTCAGTATGAGCAGTTATTGTAGATTGATGGAGCAATTGTATTGGTGTCTTTATAGAGCCAATGGACTCCTTTGTTCCAGATAGGGTGATTATTATAATGAAGTTGGTTATTTATGTGTCTAGTGCTAGGTGGATATTCTCAGCCTAGGTCTTGCTCTAGGGTGTATGCAGTAACACTCCCTTAATAGGGGTCTATATCCTCACCAAGCAAGGTTATGAGAGAGAGTGTGGCAGCAAGCTAGTGTAAGCAAGGTAGGGGCAGAAGAGTCTATTCTAGTGTTATGAGCTGCTCGTTTGGTAGCCCCAAGAGTAGGAGGCTCTTCCCTAGGTCACTCATAGAGGAAGAGTAGAACAATAGTCTCGACTATACACATAGTACAGGAGCCAGAGATGTATTGCAGTGAAAGTGCAGTGGGAGGACTGCACTGAATGAAGAGAATAGACTAGAGATCCTTAGCCTATTCTATAGGCCTTTTATACTACTTTAAAAAAGAGGGTGTGAGAATCCCATATATGTATCCATAGGGTATTCTCCCAAGTTGGCTTTCTCAGACTGACTACTCTTGCTCCTTCATTTGTCTCCTTCTGGCCAGGAAAAACTAGGAGCTCCATGCCCTGTATGTGAGTAGTTTGTAAGGCGGGAAAAGATGCCCATTGCAATAAAGGCTCATGATACTCAACCAGCAATTGGTGATCCGCTGGGAGTGGATGACCAAGGTTATTATCTGTACCTTGTTGTATGCCTCAGCCCATGAGGCTGCTTGATATTTGTGATGATTCTATCGGTATAGACCACTGTTAGGGCCTAATAAGTCATGATCATAACAGATGATGAGAATGATAGATGTGAAGGGTTTGGGGCTGATTAGACCAATGCCTTTGAATCAGAGATGACTGGTTAATAGCAGTTCCTAGATTGGACAGAAGTGGATAGCCTAAGGCTTCCCTGCTGCACCACAGCTGCTATAAATATATACAGGTAAGAGCACAGACCAAGTAACAATGGATCGGGAACACAAGTCATAGTCAGGAGAAAGGTCCTACGTGTTCTTATATGGATTGTGGTAAAGCAAGAAAGATATAGTAAGTGGTTCATAATACTACATGCCTTAAGGAATCATGCTTGGGCTTTAGGGTCTATCAGGGCTAGATTGATCACTATCCAAGTGGCAAAAGAACTAGATTCTTATTATGTTTGTGAGAATTTAGAACTCTTCCATACTCCAATAAATATATTAGGGAAAAGCTCTATATCAAATTAACCATAGTTAAGCCTAAATCTAGCTAGATTTTTGCTAATTACTATCAAGGATTTTTAGCTTACCCCCTTCTAATCCTAAAATTATAAGGTCAAATTAGAACTAATTAAAGCTAATTTATTATATGGATTTTTGGAAAAATATTAACCAACCCAGTTTTATGGTTTCTCTACTATTACCACACCTTTAATTATAGAGTATCTATAGAGCTTACTAATCAAACCAAAGTCACACCTTATTATAAACTTGCCCATTACCAGAATTAAACCAATAATCTTATGCCTACATATCCTAGGCTAATGCCCTAAACTACTAAGCTACAAGGTCTAAGTTATTTACCCAGTAATCTAAATATGTTGATATAAATAAGGCAATCTTAATATTTCTGATTCTCTTATATATTTATCTTTTATCTATTTTATATATAAAGGAGTCAACCCTAAAAATCAGGGCTTTTGATATTTGAATTTAGGCACTAGACAATAATGTAGTAAACCAATAGAAAATAATGAATACCATAAAAATAAGATTGTAGCATTTACATAATTTAGATTTGGAATGTGTAAAATTGTAATTGGGTTGTAGATACCAATAGGACTATAATAGTATAAACAATGTCACCTTTACTTATGGAATTTGATTATAAAGTTGATTACAGATAATATATTCTAATTAGCTTAGATTAGCATTTTGAATAATTAGATCTAATTAAGAGAGGATGTTTTTCCAGATGACTAAGTACATACACAATGTCTATATTTTGTAGTGTGATGACAATAGATATAAGGCATCATGCTATTAATCTTTGAAATAGAGGTAGACAGAGACTAAAAGTTGGCCCGAATGCTATTAATCTTTGAAATAGAGGTAGACAGAGACTAAAAGTTGGCCCAACTTGAACTGACACACCCAAAGCTGAAGGGCCTATTATCAGAAGTACAGATATCAAGCACATATATTAGTATCAGTTCTTGGTTCCTGATCTATCTATCAATCTTATAGGTAATGGCCTATTTTGTCTAGGATATGTGGGACTCTATAGGAATAGGCAATCTCAACAAATGCCTGTGATTGCTGTAGAAAGTACCCATGGCATCCTAATAATTCCCAAAAAGTGGACCCTGAATTGAAGGTTCAAAGCATTGAGATCCAATGGCAGCCAATGTAGAATGTGAGCACTCGTATTTTGCCTTTCAGTTATGATAACTAACATGCTGTATATCATCTAAAGATTCTGATTATTTGGAAACCTCATATCCTTGAAGAAACCTCTGTGCTTCTATGGCACAAGCTAATTCTGCTCAAACAAATGTATTACTGCTATGTTTGATTGCTCCTAGATCTAGTTAAATAGACTTCAATCATTATGCAGTGTGCTGGCTAGTATCTAGACTTGAAGCCTTCTGTTATGTCCACTATCTACTCTGTCAGCTCAGAGCTTGAAGTTAATTCGTAGTAGTGTGCCAGACTGCCAATAGATGTTGTATGCTATGTTCATACTGGCCTCACTGTGCCTGAGCACATCTCGCAAATTACTCCCGCGGACACCCCAACTCTAGTTAGCAGCCAGAACTGAAGGCATGAACGTCATCTGCGAGTTTTTCTTCACCATCCATGCCTTCGATCTCTTCCCATCTGAGAACTGCACCGCCTTGCACTGCCCGCGGATCACTCACATAAGTCCCATCGAAAGGGTCTTAAGCTCGGAGATATCGCCACGAACAGGGCAACAACACGATATGAACAAGTCTACAGTTTTTGATTAAATAACCCAAACGTGAGTAATCTATATATAAGCACGCCAGTCACTGCGGCTTGGCGATGAACACCTTCCGGAGGTTGTCCCAAACGACCGAGGGCGACTGGGCGGCGTCGATCCGGTGCCAAAGGCCCTTGTTCTTGTAGTACTGCACGACGGGCGTAGTTTGGGAGTGGAATGACTTGAGACGCTTGGTGAGCGTCTCGACGTTGTCGTCCGAGCGCTGGATGAGTGGCTCGCCGGTGACGTCGTCGGTCATGGCCTTCTTTGGTGGGCTAGAGAAGACGAAACGAAGGGGTTCGTGACTGAGGTTCAGACACAGAGCCAAAGGGGTTTGTGACGCACTGGAACTCCCTGTGGTAGGTGCGCCCGCTGGCAGGATGAATCAGACGACCAGTGATTCGAGAGATGAGCAGCTCGTCGGGGATCTCGAGCTGCACGACCGAGTCGAGCTTCTCCTTGCGCTCGAACAGCATCGAATCAAGCTTCTCGGCCTGCGGGACTGTGCGCGGGAAACCGTCCAAGACAAAGCTGGGAACGACATGAGTTAACACGTGTTTGTGAGACGATGCGGGGCAGGAGGGGAGCAGGAGACGGGTGAAATCGGGTGTGTGCGCCGAGCGGCCTCAGGGTTTGAGGTGGAGTCGCCCAAGCACGTGTGGTGTATGCAGCGATGGACGATGGATGGTCGCAAAATGAAAAGGGAATGCAAGACGTCCTGACACGTACCCGTTCTTGCACGCCTCGTTGTTCTCCAGCTGATCCTTGATTATGCCCACCATGATGTCGTCGCTGACGAGACCGCCCGCGTCCATGATCTTCTTGGCTTCGACGCCGAGCTTCGTCTTCTGGTTGACCTGCTCGCGCAACATGTCACCGGTCGCGAGATGGCAGACGCAAAACTGGTCGCGGATGCGGGGAGCCTGGGTGCCCTTGCCTACATGCACACAACGCACAGCAATGAGCACAACAATGCTACAGCACACGACGGGCTGCGAGCAGACACAACGTACCAGCGCCTGGGGGCCCAATGAGGATTGTGCGAAGCTGGCTGGCTGGCGTCCTCGAGGGCGCGGCGGTCTTTGTCTTTGCCTCGAGCGTGCTTATTTTCTGATTGAGCTGTGCGACCAGCGACTTGAGGTATTCGAGCTCATCGGTCACAGCCATTTTTGCGGCGAGGACGTGGAGAGATGCGAGGAGAAACGTCAGACGAAGCGTAGATAAATACCCAAATAAACAGGATATGTGACCGCCGGCCTCGGCGGAGTTTATGCGGCTTGTCTGCCGTTGGACACCGATGTCTCTCGGGCTTCATAAGACAAACGGCAGAGCGGCGGCAGTCTGTGATCGTGCAATGAATTGCGAGCTATTCACTCGACATGCATGAAGAAAAGAAAGCGGACTGGTGCCGACTCTCGTAGCGATTCTAGATTTTGCCGTCGAGAGACATTGTCTGGCCTGAGATTGCCGCTGGATGCCGAGGGCTGGACATTGGAGATATCTGTGACGTGCGTGACCCTCTGGCTGTTAAAATCGAGTGACTAGGTCTCCTCAAGCTCATTCGCTCGCTATTGAAAATCCTAGAATCCAAATGAGATAGTATTGAATCAAAGGGGCCAAGTTTTAATGATGAAAGAATTTTTTCGGATTTTCTGAGGTGCGAGATGAGCGTCACGGTCACAGGACACGACGCGGTTCAGCGCAGCGTCGTCTAAAAATAGACAACGCTCATTGACGTGGAACTTGGAGCAGCTGCAGCACATCATCCTCCCTCCTCCCTGGTATTGAACCAGCACACAACTCACTCACCATGCTGCACTCACTCTGTTCACTCCTGCTGCTGGGCTTTGCTGCGCTGGCACAAGGCAGGTCGAGCACTGGCAACTCTGTCCTCGTCGTCCTCCAGCCGAGCTTAAAGAGAGAGGATTTCTCAATATTTTTTGGTGGTCTTAAAAGTGAGGCTCACTTCACGTTTGTTTGAGTCTGCCTTGTATGCTAACTTCACGTCAGAACAGGGATACGACCTGACATTCCGTGCTCCAATGGACGAAACCCCTCGTCTCATCCAGGATGATATACCCTCCTTCGCACACGTCATCCTGTTCGCCCCGGATACCAAAAGTAGGTGTTTCTAGACTGTCTACGCGTCGTACTACGTGCCTATACCTCTTTGCGAGCAGCATTCGCGCAGGACATCACCCCCCAATCCCTCATCACGCTGCTCTCCTCTAAAACCAATCTCCTCATTGCTCTCTCCCCCAAACAATCCCTTTTCACCTCCCTAGCCTCTGAATTCTCCCTCATTCTACCCCCACCCGGCACCCCGCTCGTTTCGCATTTCCCAGAACGCAGCACCAACGTCACCACCATTCCTATCCCCGTCCCGCCGCACCCCATCCTCACCCCGCAAACCGCGCCTATCTGGTTCTCCGGCGTGCCCCATGCGTTCGGAAACAACCCGCTCCTGTTTCCCGTCCTCAAGGCGCCGGCGGAAAGTTTTGCTGCGGACTCGACTGCGGACTCGGCCGCGGATACGCTCGTCGAGGCGGCGGAGAAGGGCGGCGAGGGCTTCTGGGCCGGCAGCGCGCTCGGTGTCGTCACTGGCTTCCAGACGCGCGACGGGTCGCGCGCGATGTGGGCTGGGGGCGTCGAGCTGTTCTCAAACGAGTTCACAACGAAAGAGATTTCCAAGTAGGTGGACCACTTAATTGTATCTTGTCGTGCGGATTGCTTACCTGGGATGTAGGGGTGTCAAGTCCGGCAACGAACAATTTGCAAAGGATATCACGGCTTGGACGTTCCAGGAGAAGCTCGTCCTCAGAATAGACAGCACCGCACACCATCTTTTGAATGAGACGGAGCCCCGCGAGCATTACACGATCAAGGACCAAATCGTAAGCCCACCACGACTCCAAATTGTCCCTATTTCGCATATCAACGATACTTATCCTCGCCTCGCCTCCTCAGGTCTACGACGCCTACGTGTCCCAATACAGCGCCGAGACATCCACCTGGGAGCCCTACTCCGGCCTCACCGATCTGCAGCTCGAGTTCACCATGCTTGACCCGCACATCCGCACCGCGCTGCCCGCCGTCCCTGGCGTACCTGGAAAATACTCCGTCACGTTCCGCGCGCCCGACCGGCATGGTGTGTTCAAGTTCGTCGTCGACTTCAAGCGCCACGGCTGGACGTTCCTCGCCAGCTCGACGACCGTGCCCGTCGTCCCGCCGCGCCATGATGGGTACCCGCGCTTCTTGAGCGCCGCGTGGCCGTACTATGCGGGGGCCATCAGCACGAGCGTGGGCTTTTTGCTGTTCTCGGCGCTTTGGCTCGCAGGAGACGACAGAAGCGCGAAGAAGGGCAGCGCGAAAACGGAGTAGCGGAGACGTGGCGATCAATTCTGAGTGTGGCGTATCTGCTTTGGCAATATATATATATATTGGGACGCGATACTCATCGAGCAGTCGTGAGTGGGCCGGTATCTACTCAGCCAAACCGAAGTAAAGCTACAACACACCCTCCATACTTAGGGGAAGCAAGGTACATACTACATTGCCTCGACTCCGTCGAAGGACCTGCGCAAGGATGTAGGGAAATCAGTATTCATTGATGAGAGGCAGAAGGACAATGAAGAACTCACCGGGGGCGGGTCAGATCACGCCCCCAAGTCAGCAAGATGTTTCTAAAATCAGAAATCGTGGAACATAGCTGTATACTCGTCTCGGACGAGACGGACCCGTTCGCTGTTGAGCGTCTTTCTGCGGCGGGTTGATCCCTGGAGAGAAACCTGAACAAACGTCATCACGTCTCGCTCTCACCCATTCCTGAAACCGAGTCCCCGGGCCAGAGGTACCCAGCGGCAAGCAAAGATAACAGAAGGGTGGTGGGTGGTCCTGTTCAACCGTCCGACATCTCGCGTGTGAGTACGACGCTTGATATTCGATGGGCTGGGAGGCTCACCGGGCTGTACTCCAAGTTACATTTGACTGACGGTGGGCGATCCATGACGTGCGGCTCTTGTCTATGACGGTTACCGAATCCCCGGCCGGGGAGATCCAACGACAGTCCGAGACAAAAGAAGGCGCATTTCGTGCCCTTGATCTCTGCCGGCGAACGTCAATGTCGTGAGCGGTAATTGGATAAACTAAGTTACGCACCAGGCCATGCTTCCGTAGCCTTCGTCCCCCGATACTTACCCCCTCTGGCATGCGTTCGGGTCCATTTGAGAGAAGAAAGAAAAGCTATACTATACCGGGACCTTGCAGGGCGATCCATAACATACAGCTCTTGTCCATGGCGGTCACCGAATCCCCGGCCGGGGAGATCCAATGACAGTCCGAGACAAGAGAAGACGCATTTTGTGGCCCTGGTCATCGCTGGTGGACGTCAGCGTCGTCAACGGTAACTAGATGAAGTTCAATACGCACCAAGTCTTGCTTCCATAGCCTTCGTCCCCGAACACTCACTTCGATGGGTCCTGAAAGAGAACAAAACCATATACTATACTGCGGCCGTGCAGGGCGATCCATGACATGCAGCTCCTGCCCGAGACGGTTACCGAATCCCCGGCCGGGGGGATCCAACGACAGTCCGGAACAAGAGAAGACACATTTCATGGTCCTACTCATGGCGTCGGTATCGTCACAGTTGATCAAATGGGCGAGAGACGCACCAGGTCAGATTCTTTCCATATTTGCGTTCGTCTTCTAATACTTACCCCAGTCCGATTGAAAATCCACCCAACACCTCCGCGCTAAAGAATGGAAAAAGATACTATACCATAAGCAGTCGAGGCGAAACTTGGACGACTCTTGCCAGCGACCGTTACGGAACCCGAGGCCGGGGATATTGATCGACAGTCCGAGAGAAAAGAAGACGCATTCCGCCGCCCTGCCCATCGTCGTCAGTATCCCGGTCCGTCAGCAGTTCTTAGTAACATAGAGAGCGCACCAGGACATTCTTGCTGTGATTGAATGATGGCACGAACACACTGACGACCCATCGTCGAACAGAGCCGGTTTGGATGGGCTTGACGCGGATTATCGCCATTCGCCGGGATCGTGCTTTGGGCTTACGTCCTGTGCTGTACGGGTCGTCAGGTTCGAAATCGGCCTGGTCGTGTAGCCTTTCCAACCCCATCAAGAAACTCCCTTTGGGAGACCTGTCGGGTGTCGCCCGTCGCTGTAGGGCGTCGGTGGTCCAGAATAGGTCGTCCGTGTCGCTGTTCCTGGATCGGGTCTGCTGTTCCGTCCCTTTACCTTGCGGCGACTCCTCCGGCTTGACACACTGCACCTCGTTCACAACAGCCTCCTCGCCCGCAACAGCGTCCTTACCATCCATTTTCTCAACTGCAGCAACCGCCTCGACCTGCTCCATCAATTCGACAGTCACCACATCGTTCTCAACCCTCGCCTCAGCCTCAGCCTCGACCTCGACCACAGCCTCCACTTCAACCACCGGCATCGCCTCGGGCACCTGGACAAGATCAATGGAGGACAAGAGAGAAGCATACTCACGAGTGAACCGGCGCCGGATCATCCTCTCTGTGCGTGCAATGCTGGCCATCGCCGCTTGAATTTTGTTGAATCCGAAGAGCTGCAAAGAAATGGGGTATGCTGCGGAGAAGGCCGCCTCGGGACGGTGGGCATCGAGGGCGCAGACGGTGATGGGGCCGGCCTTGGAACTGAGGCTGACTGCGAACCACCTGCGCTCTACTTGGACCTTCTCGGAGACCGTTAGTGAAATATGAATGGGTGTGTGGGTGTGGGTGGGTGGCACTGGGGAGCGCATGATGGGTGTGTCAGAAATACTGGGCAAGAGCGCGGTATCTCAGAAGGTGGTTCAAAAGAACGTCCCTTGAAGGAAAGAAGGGTGAGCGAGGAGGGATTTATACCTTTCTGGAGCAGAGATTGTTCCAGACCGAGGCAGTCTAGACTGAAGAGTGCAGTGAGTGAGCAGCGAATGAGCACAGAGCTGGGGGATGAGTCGCTGGTCTGGTCATCGCCGAGCCCTGACGGTCAGCCGTCAAGATTAAGATGCAGAAAATGATTGCGTCGCCTAGTCTGATTCAGACTTCAAAGTCGTGGCATGCCAGAAGTGTTTGAGAGCGAAGAAGGATGCAAGAAACGATAGATATTGAAAGGGTCATAGAGCCTGGCAAACTGTACAACAAAGCTGCACGAAGTAATAAACGGTATCAACTACCTCGCAAAGAGGCTGTCCAGGTAATATATAAGAGGAATTGAACCTCGTATGATTTGACTGCTCGCTGCTGAGGTGCCGGCATAGCATCAGCAAAACTGACAAAACGTTAGTCTCCGTTGCTGACCAACACAGAAGATTGCAGTCGTTCTGTGTTAAGGTCTGCTTCCAAATGTTGGGGCCTTGCAGGTAGTACCGATTTCGGCGATAGCCGAGCGCGCTCAAGGGTTTGAGAGCCCATGCCGAACCCTGCCGTGCTTAATAATTATTATGTGTCATATTATCTACGAAGTGGTCAGCATGATTATCATAACGAGCAACAAGAGATTGAGCTGCAATGAAAAACAGTTGACTGCCACATAACGTGCATCCCCATTCCACAAGAGTCACAACAAAATGTCCATGCCCTACTATGCCATATATCAACCCCCATATCACAACGCAGTCCCCCTGGCAAATGTGGTCCCTGCATCAAATATAGCAGGCTTGGCCAAGCTTAAACAAAAGACTCATGCCTATAAAAAGCGATGTTTGATGAAGAAAAGCTGGAGGACATCTTGGCAGCAATCTGAGATGCAGATTAGAGTCTTGGCGAGTTTCTACATAAGCTATTTGGGGAACCTGCAAAATGATCAGCAACAGAACCTCAGACCATGAGGCAAAAGGAAAAGGCATTGCAGTCCTACAGCTATCGCCAGTTCGTTGCAAAGTGCATCTGGAAAACCACTCCCTTGTATTAAGCTCTAATTAGCTCTATTTATGCATAATTAAGAATGATTAGGATTAGACATTTTTAGCTTACCCCCTCTCTAAACCTGTTCTAATTAGACATAATTTTCCTAAATTAGGAATTATTAGGATTGATTATAACTTGAAATTTCGGAAAAATAATAATAAATCAATCATCAGTGTTTTCATAGCCTTCTTATAGAGTCATGTCTATTAGAGCACTAGTTAAATACCTAAACACAGAATATACCTTATAACAAACTTGCCTTCTGCCAGAGTTGAACCAACAACCTCATATATACAAGCACCTGGGACAGATGCTCTAAGCCACTAAGCTACAAGGTCTAATATATAAATTTGGTAATCTAAATAAGTAGACATAATATGGGCAACCTCAACATCTCTGATTTTATTCAACATTTATCTTTCCTCTCTCTTATAAATAAATAGGTCAATAAATACCTAAAAAGTCAGGTCTTTCAGGATTTAGTTTAAACACCAGCTAAGAAGATAATAAACCAATGTAAAATAAATAATACACTTTATATAGGATAAAAATAAATTATGGCACTTATACAATTTGGACTGAGAATGTGTAAAACTATGATTGAGTATAATATTCAATGGGACTCTACTAGTATAGACAATGCTACCTGAATTTGCAAATTTGATCAAAAACATGATTATGAATAATCAAGATCCAATAAGAGAGAGGGGTTTTCCAAATAGCCACTAGTGAGGTAGAGGGTGGGGACAAGAGTATATGTATGGCATATCTATATATAAATAAGCACAAGATTGTTGGAGGTGATCTTGATATGCTTAATGCATATATTTCCTATATGGCAGGCAAATATATCATTCTGGCACCACATACCAATATGACTGTCTTTTCCACAGCCTAATAGCTAGAGGAAAACACCAAGTTTGAGCATCTTCTGTATAACAAGGCAATAAACAATATAATAGTGCTAAAAATTGTAATATCAATAGTAATGATGATTGTGTGCTACACAAGACAGTATTAACCACTGTACTAATAGACAAGGTCTATAAGGCTGCATATAGCATATCCCTAAGTCCAACCCACATGTTGTGTCCTATAATGACCAATAGCAGGCATTGGCTAACAATGACAACTTTAATGATCATGTGTGCAAGGACAAGGTACCAAGGTCTTCATAACCTCTTGTGGCAGCTGCCAAGCTGCCAACAAAGTGGCTGGGGGCATCAATGCACATTTCTCTCTTTCTATATCCTTTGTAAAGGCAGCTGGAAAATCAGCAAAAGAGCTACAAGATAATAGTATAGGCATATATGAAGAAGAGTAATATGCTGAAATAGTATAGAATGTGCCACATCTTTACCATCTCACTGATAGAGCAGTAGTACTTACTATTTCCTACTAATAATTAAAGACTTCTTAGTATAGAATTAGTGCTAATATCATGAAATTAGAAACCAATCCAATGCTCACAATGTGTTGCTCCCAATTAGGAAATTAGACACTTTTATATGCTATTAACACTTTTAGATACTTTTAGACACTATTAGATATAATCTGAAGCTAATACAAGGGGGTGTTTTTCCAGACAATGCTACAGCTGAACAAACACAAGCAATACCAGCTATATTGCAGACCACCCAGCTGACATTAGAAATTGGTCCATCTACATTGAGCACAGGACCTTCTGCTTCTGGCTATGCACAGCCAATCTCATTGCTTTAGCAGAAGACACCTTTGGAATGGGTTACAAAACTGCATGCAGTAGCAGATGCTAAAGATGGCGCTGCCAAAAGGAAGCAGATGAATCTTGAGGCACAGGCACAAGTGTGGCAGAGTATAATAGTAATAATATGGAAGGAGGTGAGCATAGTTCATAAATTGTGAATAAGGCAATAGTACTTACAATTGGGACAGAATGGCCGCTGCCTGATTGGATACCCCGTCTCCCTTAAATCTTTCCCATTCCTTTATTTCAAGGACTATCCTAATCTTTTGGAAGGGATTATGATAAATTCTGACTTGGCACATCCATCAAATGTTGAGATATATAATGCCAAATGTGATTGTTAGGATTGCTTCCCCATTGACTAGCCATATCAAGTGCAAGCTAATGAAACATTGTTGTATTACATGCTTCTTAATGGGATTGATGGCCCAAGGCTCAACAATTGTCCACAGCTAGGAGAGAAAATTGTGAGGGTCAAGAAGATGTCTTTGCATAAAGGAAAGAAATATCGAATGCCATCTGAAGATGATGCATCAAGCTATCAGGACATACCTAAATGCATATGTGCTGCTTCACCAATATCTGCTAATTGGAATGGAGTACTTGCTGGCATGATACGGCGGTCTCCGAGAACACCTATGTGGATACAGCACACTGATCATTTGCACCAATTTATAGCCCTTCCACAGTAGGGGAGAGGCTGTTCAGCTTTCCTAGCCCTCACTGTCTAAACCCAACCTATGGCAAAGCAAAACAAGTCTCATCAGTGCCGCAATTTCATCAGTCTGGGACTCTATTTAGGGCATCAGATTAAAATTGCCATGCCCTCTCGTCGCTTGGGCCAGTGCTTGATGTCCACAATGAGCTGTTCATGCGTTCTCACCCAAGTGCTCAAGCTGGATTAAAATGGAAGGCTTCTGATCTTGTCTGTGAAGGAGAAGGGATATTTGGGCAGCTGCCATCACTTTCAAGGTCCCATCAATCACCACTGCCTCCCAAACCCCCTTCATCAGAAGGTTCATCCCCATCACAGGACTGGTGAGCATTGCAAGCGCCATAAGCTCGAGCTCCAGGCTTCGGGACTAGATACCATACCAAGCAGGCCAAACATCGACTTCACCTTTATGCCCCATTGTATTGTCAATAATTTCATTGTGCTGTGCTTGATAATATTGGACCCGACTGTAAGTTTATTCTTTCACAATCTTATGAGGTTGCTAGCAGCAATAAGGAGTGACTCTGCATTTGGGGTTGAAGGGGAATATGGATCTTTCAAGGCTACAGGGACTGGATAGTGTGTTGCTATTTCATTATTCTTTGTGCTAGTTTCTAATCATACATTGTTCTGTAGCTATGGACTCAAGGGGAAGGAAATAATATATTAGAGCTTAATAGCCTTGTTCAACCTCTCTGTCAAATAGAAGATCAGTATGGTACCTGCATTTGACTTCACAAATTGTGTGCTCATCCCAAAGGCAACCATCCTGCTTATTCAAGAGGACCTCAATGCTGGGTGGGAGTGCGTTATAGAGATAAAGGATCTGAGCTCCTCCTATGGGATCATGGCCCACCTAACTGACAATGACCTAGATTTCTGCAGGGTGGCTTTCATTTCTTTTCATAGTTGTTCTAGTCTTTTTACATCTGGAAAACCACCCCCTTGTATTAGCTCCAGATTATATCTAATAGTGTCTAAAAGTATCTAAAAGTGTTAATAGCATATAAAAGTGTCTAATTTCCTAATTGGGAGCAACACATTGTGAGCATTGGATTGGTTTCTAATTTCATGATATTAGCACTAATTCTATACTAAGAAGTCTTTAATTATTAGTAGGAAATAGTAAGTACTACTGCTCTATCAGTGAGATGGTAAAGATGTGGCACATTCTATACTATTTCAGCATATTACTCTTCTTCATATATGCCTATACTATTATCTTGTAGCTCTTTTGCTGATTTTCCAGCTGCCTTTACAAAGGATATAGAAAGAGAGAAATGTGCATTGATGCCCCCAGCCACTTTGTTGGCAGCTTGGCAGCTGCCACAAGAGGTTATGAAGACCTTGGTACCTTGTCCTTGCACACATGATCATTAAAGTTGTCATTGTTAGCCAATGCCTGCTATTGGTCATTATAGGACACAACATGTGGGTTGGACTTAGGGATATGCTATATGCAGCCTTATAGACCTTGTCTATTAGTACAGTGGTTAATACTGTCTTGTGTAGCACACAATCATCATTACTATTGATATTACAATTTTTAGCACTATTATATTGTTTATTGCCTTGTTATACAGAAGATGCTCAAACTTGGTGTTTTCCTCTAGCTATTAGGCTGTGGAAAAGACAGTCATATTGGTATGTGGTGCCAGAATGATATATTTGCCTGCCATATAGGAAATATATGCATTAAGCATATCAAGATCACCTCCAACAATCTTGTGCTTATTTATATATAGATATGCCATACATATACTCTTGTCCCCACCCTCTACCTCACTAGTGGCTATTTGGAAAACCCCTCTCTCTTATTGGATCTTGATTATTCATAATCATGTTTTTGATCAAATTTGCAAATTCAGGTAGCATTGTCTATACTAGTAGAGTCCCATTGAATATTATACTCAATCATAGTTTTACACATTCTCAGTCCAAATTGTATAAGTGCCATAATTTATTTTTATCCTATATAAAGTGTATTATTTATTTTACATTGGTTTATTATCTTCTTAGCTGGTGTTTAAACTAAATCCTGAAAGACCTGACTTTTTAGGTATTTATTGACCTATTTATTTATAAGAGAGAGGAAAGATAAATGTTGAATAAAATCAGAGATGTTGAGGTTGCCCATATTATGTCTACTTATTTAGATTACCAAATTTATATATTAGACCTTGTGGCTTAGTGGCTTAGAGCATCTGTCCTAGGTGCTTGTATATATGAGGTTGTTGGTTCAACTCTGGCAGAAGGCAAGTTTGTTATAAGGTATATTCTGTGTTTAGGTATTTAACTAGTGCTCTAATAGACGTGACTCTATAAGAAGGCTATGAGAACTGTGATGCTTGATTTATTATGAATTTTCCGAAATTTCAAGTTATAATCAATCCTAATAATTCCTAATTTAGGAAAATTATGTCTAATTAGAACAGGTTTAGAGAGGGGGTAAGCTAAAAATGTCTAATCCTAATCATTCTTAATTATGCATAAATAGAGCTAATTAGAGCTTAATATAAGGGGGTGGTTTTCCAGATGGTCTACTATTACATCAAACAGCGGACCCCAGCGCCGGAGGAGCGGGACGCGGGGTGACGTGGCGGCGCAGAATGGATGAGATAAGCTCCCAAAGTCTAATATCCCCTGGTCCTATCGTCTATTGTCTACTAGTCTATTAGACCAGTCTCTCGCCGGTCAGCCATTCTGGCCAATCTTGACGCTGGAGGATGGAAGGAAAGCTCACAAATCGCTTATTAACTTCTGTTCTGAAACCCGGGACCGAAGGTCCCAGGAATGGTAGGCACCTTCGGCTCTGCCAGCTGAACATCCGACCCCCCATGGGCCCCATACCTCCTCCGCCGCCCTCTGGAATGTCGCGCCCCGGGTCCTGCGAGGGACCGTCGCGGCGGCCGTCGCCATGGTCGTCGCCGTTGCGCCTGTTCCTGGACATACAGTGGTCCCTCTTGTGGCGGTAGACTGCATCCTTCCGGAAGAAGAGGGCTCCACAATCGCCGCATTTGAACTTTGCAGGGTTTCCGTGGTCGCGGCTGGCCTTGTGACGGGCCATGTCGGACGCGCACGACAGCCACAAGTTGCACTCTTCGCAGACGTGGGGGTTTGCACTCTTGCGCTTTTGCGTGTTTTCTTCTTCTTTCCTAGGTGTCGCCGTTGAGAGCCCTCCGAAGAACTGCGGTACAGCCTCGGGGACTGGCTCACCGGTGGGGTTCTCCACCCTGTAGGTGGACGTCGTCGATTTGCTGTTCGTTCCTTGGAGGGCGCTGCCGGGGCTGGACGACGTCGACCACGAGCAGAGTTCTCCGAAAAAGACTGAGCGATTCAGCTTTCTATCCGCATCCATCCGAAGTGCGAGACGATGGCAACGAGGGTGGTAAAGAAAGGAAAAGCGAAGGCATTGATGGCGTGCGGCGATGCGCGCAAAACAAAGGAGCAAGTGTAGAGAAAGAGGAAGCGAACGGTATGCACTTTCAACGGTCAACTTTCTCAGCTCAGCAGGCTGCCCTTTCTCATTACGCCTCCATGCGCGCTCCTATAGAATGAAAACGTTGATCGTCCCCGGCGTCATCTATGTGTGTAATTGTTCTACCTGGTAGTCGAGTTGATGCCGAGGCCCCCCTCATAGATGTCCTTCGCAATTCGTCTCCGACTCTGTAATCACATTCGCTTAGAGCGTTATTTCGATATCATACCAATTCTACTATCACGCACATTCTTGCGTCAAATTGGCGTAGATGACAGCTCAGCGCGCCTTGACCCCTCTTGATTGCATTGTCGGTCATGTTCGTGACGACCCTTTGAGCTGGATGACGTCACATGCGAGGGTCAAGATGTCCGCGACCACTGTATAATGTCTTCATAACGCCAAGAGCACAGAGACCATCAGCTACATCCGGACGGCTCCGAGGATATGAGCAATTGTGTACATCTCGATCAGTTCAGTTCCTGCGCGCCAAATGTCGTCACAGGTTCATGTATGTACGTCAATTTGTAGCATTCTTTTTTGTGAGAAAAGACGACTGAACGGCTCTCCTGCGGAAGTGGTAGCTGACGAAGGGGACCTTGAGTAGTGAGATTGCACACACGCCACTCCCTCGGTCGCTATCGAGCCCTTGTTCTCCCCCACGTGGCATAGAAAGAGGGGGTCTCGGGAACAAACCACAGCAAGACGCCGCTGGTGAAGGGCCGTGGCTTGGGAAGAGTCGATAATCGAACGTCATGCGAAGAGAATCATTTGATACGCCGCTACACGCCTTGAAGATTCACGCTCAGGCTTCAGGGTCTATCAGGGCTAGATCGATCACTGTTCAAGTGGCAAAAGAATTCGATTCTTGTTACGTTTGGGAGGATCAGAACTCTTCCATGCTCCAACGAGTAAGCACATACACAATGCCTATATCTTGCAGTGCGATGACAATGGATACAATTGAGGCATCATGCTATTAATCCTTGAAATGGAGACAGACGGAGACTGAAAGCTGACCTGACTTGAACCGACGCGTCCAAACCTGACAGGGCCTGTCGTCAGAAGTGCAGACGTCGAGCACATGCGTCAGCGTCAGTCCTTGGTTCCTGATCTATCTATCAATCTCACAGGTAACGGTCTTTTTTGTCTAGGATATTTGGGACCCTGCAGGGACTGGCAATCTCAAAAAACGCCTGTGATTACTGTGGTAAGTACCCATAACGCCCCGATGATTCCCAAAAGGTGGACCCTACATTGAAGGTTCAAAGCATCGAGATTCGACGGCAACTAATGTGTAATGTGAGCACTCGCATATTGCCTTTCGATCGTGATGGCTGACATGCTGTATGTTATCTGAAGATTTTGAGCGTCTGGAAACCTCATATCCTAGAAGACACCTCTGTGCTTCTATGACACGGGCTGATTCTGCTCGAACAAATGCACTGCTGCCATGTTCGATTGCTTCTAGATCTAGTTAAATAGACTCCGATCATTGTACAGCATGCTGGCCAGCACCTGGATTTGGACTTGTGAAGCCATCTATTCTATCCACTGTCCATTCTGTCAGCTCAGAGCTTGAAGTTGGTTCACAGCGGTGCGCTAGACCGCCAATAGATGTCGTATGCCAGCTCAGCCGACAGCTAGGACAGGCGCCACTCACGAAATGGTCACAGTCATCAAATTTCTGGGAGTGGTGGTATTTAATCGAGTTTGTTAGCCATCGTAGAACACATTCCTTGGATTTAGTCCTCACTCGCTATGGATTTGTCCCCACGCCTTGTCACTCCTGCTAGACTCATCTTTGAAGCAGCCAACGGAGCCAATGTTACGGCTATTCTCTTCGGCGGTGCTGCCGCCAAACTCCATGGCGCCAAACGCGGCACCAAAGTCCGTCACCTGTCACTTTAATTCCTCCATTTGTGCTTGTTTTCGCGCGTTCCACCAGGACCTCGACATCAATGTATCCTCTCTTGGATTCGCTACATTCCTGCCGAATGAGTTCGTTTGTCACCCTCGCACCGTCGACACCCGCCAGCATATCACCTGGGCAAACACCGTCAAGTGCGATGTAGCTACCGAGCGCACTGAACTCGTGAATGATGCATTTGAGACCTATAGCTGCGTCACAGAGGACGGCATTCGCTATGCCTCGGCGAACATTCTTTTGGCGGACAAGATTCGTACATATGGACGACGCCCGTTCCAGGCTGTTCAGAAGCAAGAAAACGATTTGTACGATGTCCTACAGCTCATCGATGTCATGAGGCAAAAGGGAGATAAGATGCCAGACGAGCTTAAGGAATCGATCCTTAGCGAAAACATTCTCAGGGCCTTCCTTGAACGTGTACCCATCGAAGATCATCTGGTATACCGCACTTTCTTGGAGGAGTTGGACGTTATTCTACCGAATTAGGTGCGCTTCTTACGCCTCTTGCGAGCTGCTTTTGGCTGATACAGTATAGCTACTAGGAGGCACGATCATACGTTAGGGGCTGGAAGCGAATGAGCTTCTCGAATGAACGGAGAATCGAAGTGGATTGCGATGTTCTGATTGTTTGTCTGATTGTGTGTATGTACGATAACATGATGAAACGAGCGTGGCGTTTTCTGTCGAACAAGAACCCGGAAGGCAGGCTCTCATCAGACCGAGCAGATATATAAACCTCTCGGTCACGGACTTGATTTACTCTCAACACCCAACCAACCATGGGAATTCACTTCTACGACTCTTGTCCTATGTCTCCAATGACCATGGAGACTCGTCTCAAGCCAGCAAGAGCTATCGCACATGCAGGCGTTCCTTGCTTAGTCTGGGCAGAGGACGCTCTCAGCTTTGCTCACTTCGTCCCCACCGAGATGTTTGCTTTACAACTCCTCATCCCTGACAAGGACATAGAGAGGGCTGCGCAAGCCATCACCTCCAGTTTGCCATACAGGCGACTGACAGAACCTCACAAGGATTGGTTGGACTTCGAGTTCATGGACCCTGATCAATGGAGCTGTTTCCCTAATTCCATCCGGCTTGAGCTGACACTGCCACAGTCGTCACGGCACGAAGATGATCCCGTCGACATCTATATTCACCCGGCATCTTGGTTTTACTTCGATGTCAAGGACGATTCCCGCTCTGTCTCCCTCGTTCCCCCCCTTGCGCCTGCCAACTCGGCTCTGCGATTTCCAACGCGGACAGCGTTCTTGGACTCTTTGATCTCGAACATCCTCGATCCACCCACTGGAGTTCGACACGGCAAGCTGGACGCTAGACTTTTCACTTACATCAGTTACATCAACCTCTACACTCTTCGTGCTTTCCCTCGTGTTCTCCCGAACGGAGACCTCGAACCTGAGCACGCTGCTGTCTCGGCAAGCCTCAAGCCGGAGAACAGGCGCCTTTGGGAGTCGAACATCAGGAACACTTATAAGGGCTGGATTGATGAGGTCACTGCTCGCAGAGCCATTCTTGAGGGTATGGGGTGCGTGGGGCTGTTCGTTCCCTGATGAATTCGTTTATTTACAGTCCAATCAGGCGTGTGGCCGAAGCCAGGAAGCCTTTCCCAAAGGATCGTTGTTTCACTTGGAAAAAGTACGTTGGACTCTTCTCATGTTCACCTTTCACATAGTGAATGTAAGCGTTACAGAGGATCACAAGCCAGGGGACTTCACACTTCCACGCTCGTCGGGAGCTCTGCATCTAGCTCGAAGGCCCTGTTGGTACGGTGCGTGGCGAGGTGATTGCAACGTCCGCGCGTCGCTGACAATTCCTCAAGCAATCCAATGCCGACCCCGCCGAATGCTGCGATAAGCCGTGCTTTTACTCGAGCACAGAATATCTTGCGGAAGAGGGGATGACCAAGTTGACGCCGGCTCGCTCCAGCACGCAGATTTCCAAAGTGTCTTTCGCCTGATGACTACCCGAGACCATGTAATCATGAATTTTTATACCCATCTCACCTCACTTCAAGTTCAATTTTTGCCAGTATTTCAACGTTGCCTAGCCTGAGGGACGGTTCTTTTCAAAAAGCATGCCGTAATGACGGATGTTTCATGCATTGCAGGATCATCACAACCAGTGTCTGGTTGTACTGTATCCTACCGTATTCAATAATATAACTGCCCATTTTAGATACGGCCTTCATGAGAGATCGAGTGTCAGTAGATATGATATGGAAGAGCTGTACAGCAGTTTTTGCCTATGTAGCCGCAAATTAACGACGCATAATGTCCAACATAGCTCTACAAGAATATCGGCATTGTGAACAAGTCCATAAACCACCCTACACAAATCGTGCTCATTCAGCTGATTTCGCGCACGCGAATGACGTGATCCATCAGCACCCGCTCCATCTTAACCGCGCCCTTATAATAGATGGTATCCTCGGGGTTGTACACCTTAGCGTTGTCGAACACAAGCTGAGCGTCTGTAATGAACGCGTCGAGATCCGCATATTGCCCCTTCTCGAGTTTGTGCTCCATGGTAAAGAAATCTGCACGAAACGGTCGATGTGAGCAGGATTGGTCGACCCTAACGGTAGTAAGACGAACTCATCGGATTTCGCATTACATCGTAGTAATCCGGCGCCTTCTGAGCGTTGAGAGGTTCCTTGAAGGGCCAGGCCTGAGGGTGGGCCTGCAAGTCTGACCGGATAGTTTCCATTGCGTTGTGCTCAATTCTTGATCGACACACAGAACACATCCGAAACAAGGATCCACGCACGGAACATTCATATTGGGCATCCACCCGCTCTCCCCTGTTGCTCGTCAGTTGCCCCGCGACAGAAAAAGAAGCCAATACACTAACTCAAACCTGGCACGTCCTTGGGATCGATGACGAGCCCTCCCCCTTCCCATCCTGAAACTGTGGCAGCCTCTCGTACACGATAGGACTCTTCGGCGCCTGTCTGAGCTTTGCCAAGATCGCTTCCCTCTGGCGCGCTACGATCTCTTTCGTGGCAAGGTAATCGTCCTTTCACAGCATTGTGCGTTGCATGATTCCGCGGTCGTAGTCCTTGATATAATCTGCTCTTATGATCGAATGAAGCGTGATGTCTCCGGGGAAATCTTGCTTCCAGCCTTGAAATGCCCAACTGCGAAGTTATCTGCGTATGCCAGAACATACATCATGTCGGGGTAAGTCCGTCACACATGAACTATGAAATGATCCATTAGTAAGAACCGCGATCGAAGGCTAAGGTGCTCGGGGGACACGACGAGCGGAGGGAGAGGGAAGGGCAGAGTGTGATCTAGGGTGTCAGCGAGAGGAAGGGACGAGGGAGATCGCCCGGAGGCATTGCCGGGCCACCATTGAGGGATACGAGTTTTCTGTGATGAAGTGCAGGATTATGTGGCAAAATAAAAGGACAGTGAGGGCGCGAGGCCAGATCCCTGTGGTCCGTCCACAGGTGCACGACAGCGCCCTCCGAGGAACGAACGATACATCGACGACGTCGACCCACGGAGTAGATAACCCACAGGTGATCCAGTCCCTAAGGCTGTACCGCAATCCATCAGAGGGCTCTCAACAGCGGCACCTGGGGAAGAAGAAGAAAATGCGCGAAAGCGCAAGAGCGCCAACCTGCGCCAACCCCCAAGTCTGTGACGAGTGCGACATGTGGCTATCGCGACCGTCCGGCATGCCCTGTAAGAAAGCCGACCGCTTCCAAGAAAAACTCGCAAAGTTCGAATGCGACGAGTGTGGAGCCTCACTCTTCCGCTGGATGCAGTCCGCCGCCACAGGCAGGAGCAGGCAGGAGCACTGCAAGTACAGGCATAGGCGCAATGGCGGCGGCGGTTCCTCGCAGAGCCCGAGACGCGTAGGTCCAGAAGGCGGTGAAGGGGGGTACCGTATAGGGCCTAAGAGGGGTTGCTGGCAGAGCTGAAGGTACGCACCGTTTCAACTTGACTTTGATTCTCTCTTCGCAGTCTCTCCGCTCGCTCTATCCCGCATCGCACACCTTCATTGTGTTTGGAATCCTTCTTCACTGAAATCGATTTCGATAAGAAACTGACGCGCTGTGTGCGCTCGCAGGAGTTTGGTCGTGGTGGACGTCAAGACGGTCATTATGTAAGGGGATACTCCTACAGTCCCTCCCCACATCATTTTCAGATGTACACACTATCAGCGACCACCTTCCCTCACGGAGGAGCGATTCAGAGCAGCGGTCGAACCTGTCCCGCTCATTGTCCATTTCCTGAAGGAGAACCCTTCAGCCTTCACCTTCGAAGATGCTCCCCCGAACGCCGAGGACCTCTTGGCCCTGTTATGACACATGTTGTGACCATGTCGCGCACACCTCGTCCTGCCGTCTCCGAGATAAGACGGACGAAGAAAGGTTTCTCTTTCGATGAGGGAACGCACTCGGGCCTTAAATGAGCCATGCGCAGTCACATTGTATAGCGTACTTGTACACCCCTTACGTCCCGACCGCCCCTGGCTAGCGCTGCGCGGTATATAAATACTTGATCTAAGAAAAAAAAAAAAAAGTTACTCCTACAGTCGCGGACAAGCAAAGTCGACAAATTTCGACACCCATTTCTAGGGCTTCCCGGTTACACCGGAATTGATAGCAATGCTTGAGTAGATGTCGTGGAAATATTTTGAGTAAAATCCTACAAGCTGTTAGTCCAGAAAAAGTAATTCTTTGACCTAGAAACCTCCAAAAATTGGCTGACCCCACAAAAAAAGGTCTATAAATCACATAAAATACACCAATTGACTCCTTTCAATGAGTACTGTATGAATCCATCAAAAAATTGCTAAAAATATCTATATTTTATCGCCAAAAAAATTGTCAAGGTGATGTGCATATGGGCTAAGTGCTCACTGGTGTGCTCAATTGAGAACGAGTATTGCTGCATGACTTGTCTTCTCTCAAACCAGGCCGATGTCAGGAATCAAGTCTTCCTTCTTAAACAGGATATTACCACTCATAGTCACATCTGTATGTTTTTCCCAAAATTCCATTGTGAGCTCAACCCAATTGAGATGATGAGTACACTGGTATTATGAGGTCTATAAGGAGAGGTTTGATCATGTGAAGGAGCATGTGCTTAAATGCCTCGACAATTGTCCTATCGAGGTCATTCGCTGCTTCTTCAATCGCTCATGGCATTTTATAGATGCATATTGCAGAGGGTTCACTAGGAAGGCAGTTGAATGGGCTATTCACAAGCAGAAAAGTCATTGCACTGTTTCTCAAAGTGTGATGATGAGCATCGAGGCAGTTCTCGACTAGTTTACTTCACATGGTGTCACATGTATCTTTTTTGGGGCATCTAGCACCTGTAAAAATTCACCAAAAAATTGGTGGGTCCCAATTTCTTGTGGGAAAATCCTGAAAAGGGCATTTTTAGACGTTTTTTGACCTCCTGAGTCTGAATCTGCAGTCAGATTTTGTAAATTTTAGGCGCGTCAGCCGCTACAATTGTTTTTCTTTTTTGTTGACTTTGCTTGTCCACGACTGTACATCCTCGACCCTCCTCGACCACCTTCCACGGTGACACATTAGCAGCAAACCATCGAAAAGATCACCTCATACAAAAGTGATCCCAACAATTTTCTGCATAGCCTGGTTGAGAGACAGTTGATCCAATCTCTTGCCCTGGGTAACTGTCTTGTATAGTCTGTCATGCTCTACTAGGACCCTTTCAATCTATCCTGGCATGCTGGAGTCTCGAGTGAAATTTTGAACCAGACATGCTACATCAATGCTCTGTTCCCAGTGGAGCAATTAAAAGAAATATGTAATAAAGGTATGCCTCGCTACCCCTGCGTGTTGTGTGAAGGCACCATAAACAGCTAAAAAATTCAAAAGAGAACAAGAGGCTGAATCATGTCATTTGTGATGGACCCACTTGCAAAATCAAGCCCCTGATGCGCCTATAACCTATAGACGAATGTGTATGATTTCAATTGAGGCGACTGGTCACAGATCTTCACAGATGTAGCGCATGCCACTGGAGAAGACCCGAAACTACCGTCAACCATGGAGAGAACCTGTGCTAAACAAAGGATCAAGTGGGATATTGTGATGGACATAACCCTACTCCTCGCCTTGCTTTGCCACAGATGTTATCAAGGTCCGATAAATGATGATAAGGTGAATGCACCCCAGAAATCCACCAAATGGGCACAGCATGGACACATTCTGCCTCACAGGACTGATGGAACGAGGCAGGGAATACTGCTTGCCTGCCACTGGAAGAAAAGATGCCCGAAAGGAGACAATGGACACCGGCTTGTGGCATGGGAACAATGAGCCCGCCTTGCTTTTGGTTCGGAACCTAATTCCAATACGCGAGGGAAGTCATTACAGTGATATCTGAGCCATAGCGGGCGCTTCTTCGATGGTATATCTAGAGAACCGAAGAGAGTGAAAGGTCAACCATTCACTGTACCACTAAGTCTTACCTACAAATTACACATCAGCACCTTCAAGACATCAACATGTCTGACTACTACAGCGACAACTCATTTGATGACGAGTTATCCAGTGCATTATATATTTGTATACCATTTCAGAACTTCACTACATATTAATGTGAATCGACCTGCAGCACCTGGCGCAGGTCCGTCATGCTCCCAACCCTATGTCGATGAGACACACGATGAGAACGGTCACACAGACAAGTCGGTAAGTCTGGAACTTAGCTTCAGACCTTTCAACATGCCACTCATACTTGGGTGCTCCTAGGACGAGGACGTTCACCTTCCTCAGGTCAGGGGGGCTTCTATACAGCCGTGGCCTTATGCCTATATCGCCCACGGTGGACACCATAGCCCTTATGCGCCACTCACACATCCCTCACTCCCTGAAACCGATCTTGAGGTTCCAGCCTCCTTCGCACAACGTGCACCCGCCCGGGCCATCCAATGGGACGACAATAACCAGATGGCGTGCCCGTGGCCATTCCTGGTTCCACTTCCTGCCACACACACTTACACAGAGGCGGCCACACACTACATCCCTACATCTACTTTCCTGACACTGGCGCATCCTATTGAGGTCAAGGAACACCCTTTAATGCGCTGCGCTGCGCCTTTCTCCTCAATATTAGACGCTGTCTATCCAATCCAGGGTCAGTGGAGAGACATGGCATGGAAGATTGTGGAAGCGCCATGCAACATCATCCTTCGGGTGTTGGCCAAGGTCCTTCCGTGGATGCCCATCGAGGAGGTCCCAAAGCCCATCCCAGAGCTGCCGCCGTCACCAGAAACTGCCTCGGTGCCAGTGCCACAGGAGCACTACATAGATATGGAGGAGGGGCCGAGGTGGAATAAAGCAAAGGAAAGGAAGGGAAGCGAGGGGGAGGGCCAGGGAGGAAGCCAGGGAGGGAATGGCGCGAAAGCGGAGAGGCACATAGTCAGAAGGCCGTGCATGCCCCCGATCATGGGGTGTGGGCTGTTTTCAGTCAGGCTGCTGAGCCACTATGCGGCGAGAGGAAGAGAGATGGTGGGGCGCAAAGCCAGATCCATGTGGTCCATCCACAGGCATATCACAGCGCCCCCAAAGATACTACATTTACATCGATGACGTCCACCCACAGGGTGGAGATCCCCATAGGTAAGCCAGTCCCCAAGGCTGTACCGCAGTCCATTGGAGGGCCCTGGACAACGACACCTGGGGAGGAACAGAGAGGCGTGCAAAAGCACAAGAGGGCTGACCCTCATATCTGCGATGGCCCCGATGGGTGTAGCAAGTGGCTCTTCTGCCCGTACGACATGCCCCGACACAAGGTGACTCTGCACCATGGAGAAGTGCATAAATTTGCATGCAATGACTGCCCAGCCCTGTTCGTGCGCAAAGATGAAGTGCTTCGCCATATGCGGGAGCACTGCCCAAACAGGGGCAGGAAACATAACAGCGGGGGCAGTCCCTCACAGGGCCCGAGACACGATGGTCTAGAGGGCGGTGGAGGGGGCATGGGGGGTATGGGGTATGGCCTGCTCAGCGGATAGAGCTAAAGGTGCGTACCGTATGCTTTCATCTTCTCTTCGCTCGCTTCTTTGTTTCGCGCCGCACACCATCGATGCCTTTGCCATTCCTTTCACCCTTGTTATTCTTGCCATCGTCTCGTGCTTCAGATCAATGTGGATAGGAAGCTGACTCACTCTATATTTTCACAGGACTGGTTGTAGTTGACCCGCTTGGCATTGCACGACAGATGGGAAACCGGTCATTATATAAGCCATCATGCCTACCGCCGGGGGTGCTCATCGCATCATCAACCTCGTCCACGATGGCACCTCAAGGCCAGGCCTCAGGGCCTCTGCGGCGAAAGCTCAAAAAGGTCGTCTTTCACAAGGTTGATCACTTCTATCATGGAAATTTCCTGTACAAATTATTCTCTCTGGCTCTGTTTCCAAATCACTATTTCTTCTCACATTGTCCTTCGAACTTGAGCCGTCCTGGTATACAGCCAATTCCAACCAAACTGAGCAGAGTAACTATCTCGATTTCATACTGATTTCATCCATTGGAACTGACTATTAGCTCTGATGAGACAAACAAAGTGTTGAACTCAGCGAAGCATTTGTGAGTGTGCTACTCTGTTTTTTTGCATTGATGTCAGATGTAGGGTTCCGTGAGTAATCCCTGAATTGCTAACATGTTAATAACTTATGTTATTAACAGGCCCCCTCCAGGGGAGCACAATGTCGATGTTAATAATGTTAATAATGTTCAAAATTGTATATAATGATTAGCAATTGAATTTACATTGAAATGTACATATTTGGGCAAGGGCCAGATGGAAATAATAAAGGTTGTAGCTGTACAATTATGTCTTCCCTACAAAATAATGATTTTGTCCGTGTTAGGACGCAGTCCTAACACGTGCTCAGCATGTGACTCATTGGCATATTCGGGTGACAAAGACTGATTACATATACATGCCAATGCATGAACACTTACCTTACTGACTCATTCACAAGCTTCGGCTTGAACGTTTACGTATGCCTGTTATGACGTCACTTAACTGTGTTCCTGAACTGTTTACTGATGTAGACAGACAATCGTCATTATTACTATAATTGGATAAAGGCACAGAGCTGCGGATTACATACGCCGATCATTGATTGTACTTAGTGTTTAGAAGCACGGACCATTTGTCCGGCTTGCCCTAAATAGTCTGTACGTATAAATAGCCGAGCTGAGCTTCTTAGAAGCCTCAGCTCGTTCACTTTGTATACAATCTTGATCTCTGCACTGCACCTAGCGTCTGGCTCCTTCCAAGCCCACGCATCGCGAACTCTGTCAGATCAATTGAATCATACCTAGTCTGACGAAGCACTGGATTCGTCTCAAAGCCCTTATCATTCTCCCGTCTCTATTGCTTATCAAGGACTCGCTGCTTATTGAGTCGTTCGCTGGGATCCACCCAAAGTGATCTGCTCTATCGGAGAAGACTTGTTTGTTCCTGAAGAACATCGGTCGATTATAAATAATCATCTTCTCCACTTGTTCGAAGACAAGATCAATAGTAACCAAGACTTCTTGGATCACGCATGCAGACGAGCCATCGTCTTCATTTGTTGGGCAGTCAATCTTAGTTTTAGCTTAGGGAACCCTACTTAGTGCATTAAAGTGCACGTGATAAGCCTAGCAGCTTAATAGTCCGGGAGTGCAGAGTCTCAGACTGCATCAGTTCCTGCTTTGGACATTCCATTACCCATTCCCCCTGCTCGCGCCATGTCCACCAAGTCAAACGATGTCAGCTTTGAGACTGTTCTCACAGAACTGCATTACCTGCTATTGGGAATACCTCCGGAACCAAATCTGCCTTTCATGGAAAATTCTCAGGACTCACATTATGCATGCTTCCTCAACTTCTCTCTGGACTCTGATCTGATGCAGAAGATCAAAGATGGGGTTGAGGTATTCAGTGAACAATTTAAGTCAGTTTTTGGCTGGCAAACATGGTCGACTGGAGATGGAATCATACCAATCGTGGAACACGGCCCAGCAATATGTGCTGTTGTTGATGTGCTTCAGAAGTATCATGATCAGTACCCCTCAAATGAGGTCATCATGAAGTGGGGAAGGGATGTGCTGAGAGGCGTCAGACAAATCTATACAAAGAAGGGGCTGGATTACCCTTTGGTGCGAGATCAATTACCTAGACAGATTCCACTTCAATTGATTGACAGCACAGGTGTCAATGGATCCCAAGCTAAACACTTTGAAGCACAAGAGGTCAGCTTCCATGGAATCTGCCAGCACAGAAGTCGAAGTAGTTGCTTCTTCAAGATCCGACTTCCTTGGTAGAATACCAGACCTTCCAAAAATAGTAAGCAATGTTTCTAAGTGGATTGACATGAGCTTATTTATTGTGAAAGGGTGTCCGCTGAGGTTGACCCCTGATGAGCTCATGTCAAAGCTTGCAGTGATAGGTACCGATTCCAAGGGTGTGAGAAGCTACTAGTGTGTTGCTGAAGGATGCCGATGGACTAAGCGGGGCAACAGAGTGGAGGCCCGAGTGTACAGCCATGCTACCAGCTGTGAGCACCTCCAGCACTCTAAGTCCATAGAGCACAGAACCCTGTGGGAATGGGCCTGTCTAGCCCAGAAAAGGAGTTCTTTGGGAGCCAAGATCACAAAACACAATGACACTGCTTCTGAGTCTGGAAGGGGTTTGCTTTCACAAGAACTGCCCATCAGCAGAATCACTCCTAACCTAAAACAGCCATCGGTTATCCATGCTACCAGGGATGCCAGAAGGAAGATTCTTACCAGGAAGCAATTGGAAATGAAGGCAGACCTCCAGTGCCGGATCGACCACTGCATCATGCGCTTGATTTGCATGTGTAGTCTTGTCCCCAATGCCATTGATTCCTCAGAGTGGAAGGAATTGCTGACCACTCTGAATCCTGATATTCATCCTATTATGATCATGTTCTATCGGGCCTTAATGGCGGTCTATTCCGATACGATCATCACAAATACTAGGCGGCCTCACAGGCTGAGGTGTACATCAAGGTACAGGTAATAACCTTGGTTTTCCACTCCCAACGGATCACCCATCGTTGGTTGAGTATCACGAGCTTTATTGTAGTGGGCATCTTTTCCTACCTTACAAACTACTCACACACAGGGCATGGAGCTCCTAGTCTTTCCTGGCTGGAAGGAGACAATTAGAGAAGCACAAGAGTAGTTGTCTTGAGAGAGATGACTTAGGAGAATACCTACAGATACGTATTTGGTACTCTCACGCCCTATTTTCTAAAGTAGTATATAAGGCCCATAAAGTAGGCTGGCAAATCTCCAGTCTATTCTCCTTCATTCTGTGCAGTCTTCCTACTGCACCACCACTGCCCCTTGTATCCTTGAATACAAGATGTTGCAATATATCTTTGGCTCCTGTGCTACACATATAGTCAAGACCATTATTCCACCCTTCCTCTACGGGTGACCTAGGGAAGAACCTCTTACTCTTAGGATTACCAAACAAGCAGTTTGTAACACTAGAATAGACTCTTCTGCCCTTACCTTGCTCGCACTAGCTTGCTGCCACACTCTCTTTCACAACCTTCCTTAGTGGGGATAATAGACCCCCATTAAGAAAGTGTTACTCCATACACTCTGGAGCAAGACCTAGGCCAAGACTACCCTCCCGGCACTAGATGCATAAACAATCAACTCTGTCATAACAATTGCCCTATCCAGCATGAGGGGATCCATTCATTTGGAAAACCACTCCCTTGTATTAAGCTCTAATTAGCTCTATTTATGCATAATTAAGAATGATTAGAATTAGACATTTTTAACTTACCCCCCCTCTAAACCTGTTCTAATTAGACATAATTTTCCTAAATTAGGAGTTATTAGGATTGATTATAACTTGAAATTTCGGAAAAATAATAATAAATCAATCATCAGTGTTTTCATAGCCTTCTTATAGAGTCACGTCTATTAGAGCACTAGTTAAATACCTAAACACAGAATATACCTTATAACAAACTTGCCTTTTGACAGAGTTAAACCAACAACCTCATGTATACAAGCACCTGGGACAGATGCTCTAAGCCACTAAGCTACAAGGTCTAATATATAAACTTGGTAATCTAAGTAAGTAGACATAATATAGGCAACCTCAACATCTCTGATTTTATTTACCATTGATCTTTCCTCTATCTTATAAATAAATAGGTCAATAAATATTTAAAAAGTCAGGTCTTTCAGGATTTAGTTTAAACACCAGCTAAGAAGATAATAAACCAATGGAAAATCAAGAATACACTTTATATAGGATAAAAATAAATTATGGCACTTATACAATTTGGACTGAGAATGTGTGAGACTATGATTGAGTGTAATATTCAATGGGACTCTACTAGTATAGACAATGCTACCTGAATTTGCAAATTTGATCAAAAACATGATTATGAATAATCAAGATCCAATAAGAGAGAGGGGTTTTCCAAATAGCCACTAGTGAGGTAGAGGGTGGGGACAAGAGTATATGTATGGCATATCTATATATAAATAAGCACAAGATTGTTGGAGGTGATCTTGATATGCTTAATGCATATATTTCCTATATGGCAGGCAAATATATCATTCTGGCACCACATACCAATATGACTGTCTTTTCCACAGCCTAATAGCTAGAGGAAAACACCAAGTTTGAGCATCTTCTGTATAACAAGGCAATAAACAATATAATAGTGCTAAAAATTGTAATATCAATAGTAATGATGATTGTGTGCTACACAAGACAGTATTAACCACTGTACTAATAGACAAGGTCTATAAGGCTGCATATAGCATATCCCTAAGTCCAACCCACATGTTGTGTCCTATAATGACCAGTAGCAGGCATTGGCTAACAATGACAACTTTAATGATCATGTGTGCAAGGACAAGGTACCTAGGTCTTCATAGCCTCTTGTGGCAGCTGCCAAGCTGCCAACAAAGTGGCTGGGGGCATCAATGCATATTTCTCTCTTTCTATATCCCTTATAAAAGTAGCTGGAAAGCTAGCAAAAGAGCTACAAGATAATGATATAGGCATATATGAAGAAGAGTAATATGCTAAAATAGTATAGAATGTGCCACATCTTTACCTTCTCACTGATAGAGCAGTAGTACTTACTATTTCCTACTAATAATTAAAGACTTCTTAGTATAGAATTAGTGCTAATATCTTGAAATTAGAAACCAATCCAATGCTCACAATGTGTTGCTCCCAATTAGGAAATTAGACACTTTTATATGCTATTAACACTTTTAGATACTTTTAGACACTATTAGATATAATCTGAAGCTAATACAAGGGGGTGTTCTTCCAGATGTATACACACGCAATGACATGAACACTTACTTGTTGATGACTCATTTACAAGCTTTGGCTTGAACACTTATATATGCCTGTTATGATGAGTTCCTGATTGGTTCCTGTTTTGACTAATGATGTGCACAGATATTTGATATCATTACTATATATGATTACATTTGGAAAAACACCCCCTTGTATTAGCTTCAGATTATATCTAATAGTGTCTAAAAGTATCTAAAAGTGTTAATAGCATATAAAAGTGTCTAATTTCCTAATTGGGAGCAATACATTGTGAGCATTGGATTGGTTTCTAATTTCAAGATATTAGCACTAATTCTATACTAAGAAGTCTTTAATTATTAGTAGGAAATAGTAAGTACTACTGCTCTATCAGTGAGAAGGTAAAGATGTGGCACATTCTATACTATTTTAGCATATTACTCTTCTTCATATATGCCTATATCATTATCTTGTAGCTCTTTTGCTGGCTTTCCAGCTACTTTTATAAGGGATATAGAAAGAGAGAAATATGCATTGATGCCCCCAGCCACTTTGTTGGCAGCTTGGCAGCTGCCACAAGAGGCTATGAAGACCTAGGTACCTTGTCCTTGCACACATGATCATTAAAGTTGTCATTGTTAGCCAATGCCTGCTACTGGTCATTATAGGACACAACATGTGGGTTGGACTTAGGGATATGCTATATGCAGCCTTATAGACCTTGTCTATTAGTACAGTGGTTAATACTGTCTTGTGTAGCACACAATCATCATTACTATTGATATTACAATTTTTAGCACTATTATATTGTTTATTGCCTTGTTATACAGAAGATGCTCAAACTTGGTGTTTTCCTCTAGCTATTAGGCTGTGGAAAAGACAGTCATATTGGTATGTGGTGCCAGAATGATATATTTGCCTGCCATATAGGAAATATATGCATTAAGCATATCAAGATCACCTCCAACAATCTTGTGCTTATTTATATATAGATATGCCATACATATACTCTTGTCCCCACCCTCTACCTCACTAGTGGCTATTTGGAAAACCCCTCTCTCTTATTGGATCTTGATTATTCATAATCATGTTTTTGATCAAATTTGCAAATTCAGGTAGCATTGTCTATACTAGTAGAGTCCCATTGAATATTACACTCAATCATAGTCTCACACATTCTCAGTCCAAATTGTATAAGTGCCATAATTTATTTTTATCCTATATAAAGTGTATTCTTGATTTTCCATTGGTTTATTATCTTCTTAGCTGGTGTTTAAACTAAATCCTGAAAGACCTGACTTTTTAAATATTTATTGACCTATTTATTTATAAGATAGAGGAAAGATCAATGGTAAATAAAATCAGAGATGTTGAGGTTGCCTATATTATGTCTACTTACTTAGATTACCAAGTTTATATATTAGACCTTGTAGCTTAGTGGCTTAGAGCATCTGTCCCAGGTGCTTGTATACATGAGGTTGTTGGTTTAACTCTGTCAAAAGGCAAGTTTGTTATAAGGTATATTCTGTGTTTAGGTATTTAACTAGTGCTCTAATAGACGTGACTCTATAAGAAGGCTATGAAAACACTGATGATTGATTTATTATTATTTTTCCGAAACTTCAAGTTATAATCAATCCTAATAACTCCTAATTTAGGAAAATTATGTCTAATTAGAACAGGTTTAGAGGGGGGGTAAGCTAAAAATGTCTAATTCTAATTGTTCTTAATTATGCATAAATAGAGCTAATTAAAGCTTAATACAAAGGGGTGGTTTTCCAGATGTTAGATACTAGCTCCAGCACCCTCTGCTCTAGAGGTTGTTTTAGCATTGTGCTCAGCACTTAGAGATGCCTCTAGCATATCAACAGTGTATACTATTGGAACTTGGCAGTATTAGTATTATTGAAAGTATGTTTCCAAGTACTTTTATTTATTAATGCATGTTAATGAAGGCTCAGAGCTAAGCACGTTATTAACAAATGTTAGAAACTCTCGGGGAATTACTCACAGAACCCTACTGCACCTATGTGTCAATCAGCAATTGGTGCAGGGATGGCTGAAGTTTATGTTCTTACTCTCATACTAAGAGAAATTGCAATGTGAGCGAACATATGGGTGAGATTTGCTACCAAATTTGACAATATTGACATGTGCATTTATTTACTTCTATTCCTACGAAAGCAAAACAGTAGAAACACACTGGCAGTGATCATACTCATCAGAGGAAAGTTTGATGCAGGGAAATGTGCAAAATTTGTGCGCAGATATTCATTCAAGAATTAGTTGTAATATCATGCACATTGTCAACGAAGGCATCTCGATTGGTCAGTAAGCAAGGAGAGAATCGGATCCCTGTTTCTATCTCAATATCGTATATTGATTGGCAGGTTGATCGACAGATATCACTAAAGGAAGGCGTGGGGGATGGCCAGCAACTGCGAGAACGGTATGCAGCTCACAGAGTGCGTATACCCCCACATTGACAATCCCATCTCTTGCAAGATCGTCCTTCGCTCAGCTAGATGGCGAACTCGTCATCAATGTCGGTCAAATTGAGCTGGAGAAGGGTGGTTAGTTGCACTTAGGCGAAAACACATGCCGACAAAGAGAGCGGAAGAATGTCGCCACGAGTGAAGAACCCAAAGGACCAGGGTTATTCGGAGCAAAAGAGACCAGAATGAGAAGCAGTGCGAGAATGAGAAGCGGAGCGAAGATGAGTAGCAGAATACGAGCGAAAAAGCGAAGCGTGAGGCCAAGCAGCGACAGAAAAACAACTAGGAGGACATGAGAAGCAAGAAAGTGAAAGTGAAGGACGAAGAGATTAAAGACAAGAGACAAGACGAGATCAAAGCGACAAAGCGAGAAGTGCAATGGGGATGCAATCAAGACCAAGAACAAAAACACAAGCCCAGCAAGACCGGTCGATGGCCAGGAGACAAGACCAAGATATATTTCGAGAGATACACTATTACAAAGCTACATCGCCTGAGATGCCAGGAGACCCTTAGAGAACGTGAATCTTGCTGTTGTATGTCGAGACAGTCGAGGAACTGTTGCTCAATTAACATCTGCGGGAATGAAATGAGGATCATAAAACTCACCGATAATTCACATTTCCCCATTGACAACCTCATCTCTTGCAAGGTCGTCCTCCGCAATCGAAGTCGGTATCATGCCCTGAAGAGGCGAAGCTTTTTGATTACTGAGGCCTTGACGGAGATGTGACCAGAGAACAGAAGAAGTCACCCAGATAGACCAATGCCCAAGAAATCACATAGACGAACGAGCAAGCAAGAAGAGAACACGAGCGGAGCGAGACGAGCGAGCGAGTCACACAGAGTAAAGAAGCGCAAACAATTTAGGTGAGAGAGAACCAATATACATCGCCAGCTCTAGAGTATCAGCACACCGTCGGTCAGCGATCCAGAGCAAAACGGAGGACACAGCTAGAGACACAACATGAGGTCGCCAAGATGCCTGATGTGAATGTTACAAAAGACCGTTGGTTGTTTCGAGCTTGAGGTCGAGCTTGAAGGCGATCGTGTCAATGAATACAGTATCTGGCTTCGAGTGGGCGGTGGACATGGTGTGGCAGTTGATACTTGGAGTAAGAAAAGAACTGATGAACAGCCGGATGGGGACGTACCTGGATGTGAGACGTGTGGGCGACTCAGTATTGTCGACAGTGGAAAAAGGAATGAAGGACTGACCGGGGGCTGGCGCCCCCTATCTGACGACCCGATCACTTCAAGTATGTGTGTGTGGCGGCGCGAGATCTAGGTGATAGAATGGTTAGTGGACTTATACTGACAAGATATTCGCGACCAAGATGGGCTGAGAAGGCCGCCAAGATACACCAGAAAAGAACAATAAGCAAGAAAGCGAGAGGAGCAAGAGAGACCAAGAACGTCGCCGAGATAGACCAGGGCCGCCGAGCGTGAAGAAAGGCCAGACAAGATAGACGAGCAAGGAGACGAGACTGAGATAAACGAGCAAAGATTGAGATGAGAAGCCAGAGACCTAGAGCAAAGCCACAGCGAGAGGACACAGCGAGGACCAAGACAAAAAGAGCGAGAAAAAAGACAAAGCGAGCAGAAAAAAAGCACTGCCAGGAGAGAAGACCGAGCAAAGATAAAGAGGAGAGCGAGGAACAAGGAAGACAGAGCGAGCACACCAGATCCAGGAGACAGCCAAGAGAGACGAGGATACAGAGTGAACAGGGAACATAGGATACCAGAGAAGACAGCGAGAAGCGAGCAGACCACAGGCAATGACATCAAAGCGCAGCAAATAATGATAAGAGACAAGAACCACCAGTGGGAGAAAGAGCAAGAGGACGAGCAAGACAGGCAAGACAGAACCTAGACATGTTAAAGAGACACACCAGCAACCAGACATCGAAGCCACCTCCAGAGAACGATACAGCCCGATGCCACAGACCAAAGCCACAGATCCCAGAGCAGTGTCGCCAGAAGATACAACGCGGCCAGTGAAATTTCTGTCGTGCTTGAAGGCGATCGTGCCTGCGAATGCGTCGTTGAGCATCAATGTATACGAACAGTGATAAAAAACGCGTACCTATGAGCTTGACGTCGTGATTGTGGCGATCGTGCCTAATAACCTAGAGCGCGTCGAGGTTCAATGGGAAAAGTGGCGAACGGCATGGATGAAATGTACCTGTGCAGATGAAGGAGGGCGCGGAGAGGATAGTAAGTAACGAAGTGCATGAGAGAGGACAAGGGGGTGGTGGGGAGGAAGAGAGTGTGAGGGAAAGAAAGAGGGGAGAGCGGCGAGGCTTTATAGAGTTGGGGGTCACCAATGTCGCTTTGGCACCACCCATCGGTTAACGCTTGCACCTTCGCTACCGCCACCATTCGCCACAACATGACAAACGCCACGCTTCTCTGCCCAGCCACCTCGCCCGTGATGGAAGGAGAACCGGAGCCCTGTGCGACCGGGGTGACAGGCGTCGCTGATTCGTCGGGGACAACGATGCATGAAGGCTCGAGGCTTCTCAGAAAACACCATCGCGCGCCACTCATAATCATAGGACTATTGTCCCTGCGGTACTTCCTTATAGACCCGATTCACATCAGACCATTACCAGGATTCTCTACGAGATCCTTATACACAGAACGATCTTCTTCTGTGTAAGGTCAGCCACGGAGACTATACGAGATCGAACGGGATATGTACTAGATCAGTAGGGGATAATTCGACATCGGGGGTCCTCGAGTTCAGAAGTTGCATCATCTCGTCTCTCGCACCTTGAACTAAACAATTCCAATGACGCCCACTACGAATTCTCCAACGAAGGCGAATAGCGCAACGTTGCGGTAGCAGTTATTACTTCCAAATCGATATAGCTAACAGCGGGTGAATTTCAATTCTGCCTCCACAAGTGATTGCCAAATAACGCACCAAATTCATGATGAGACTCGCAGATACATCATCCGGCCCTGCAACAAATCTTTGATCATCCTTCTAGAGCCTCCCTTGTTGACGGACAGAGCCTCCAGCCTGTACTTCAACACTTACACAATCGCAAGACAGATATGATGCCGTTCAGGTGCACAAACAAGAAGCCGGCGTGCGTAATTTGATACAGTGCAGTAAGCGCAGTGAAGAGGATCGATGGACCGTCGTTGCGGGGAAGGGTGACAAGAAGGAAGTTCTGCGTTATGGCATGTGAGAACTGTGGATGAAAGAGCAAGCGTACAAAAAGCGGCATCGCCAATGTATACCGGGCGAGAATGTCTGCCTCGTTCTCAACAACGGTAGTGTCAACCTCCATCACTGACATTGCCTCGCCCATCTGGATTCTGAACGACGTGAATGGAGTGGACAGAGGACCATATACTGAGCTCGATGCTGCTGCAGTGCAGGCGTCGATAGTCTTGTCAGAGCTGACGGTCAGCCGCAATGGGCGAAATCACCAAATAATTGAGGAAAAATTTACTCCGCCTATTCTAGTTCATTGTTGAAGGTAGCCGTATGCCAGCAAGGCTCGAGTTCGAAGGACAATATGAGAAGGAATAGATAGGTATTTGTAAAAGAGAAGCGCTGGAGTGAACAGACTGTACAACAACAGATCCATGTGAAGCCGTGATAATTTAGATGTGATCAACCTCGTGGGAGATGAGCTTATCGACCCCTCGTCGCTGAGGTGCCGTCGTAGATGAAGTCGACGATGAGCAACTTATGGCGATATTATAGCTTACATAACGACTAGTTTCCTATTCGTCGTGCAGGTGTCGTGCAATACCGGGCTAGACGACGCGTCGAGTCGATGTCGACCACGAGCAGAGTCCTGCGAAAACCAGAGTGAGTCAGTTTCCAACCGAATCGATCCGAGCGCAACAGGTTGGTCAAAACAACGAGGGTGGTAAGGAAAGGAAAGGCAAAGACATCGATAGCGTGCGCCGCGAAACAAAAGAGCGAGCGAAGAGAAAAGAAAAACGAACGGTGCGCACCTTCAGCTCTATCCACTGAGCAGGCCATCTCCTATGCCCCCCATGCCCCCTCCGCCGCCCTCTGGACCATCATGTCTCGGGCCCTGCGAGGGACCGCCCCTGCCGTTATGTTTCCTGCCTCTGTTTGGGCAGTGCTCTCGCTTGTGGCGATGGACTTCATCTTTACGCACAAAAAGAGCTGGGCAGTCGCCGCATGCAAATTCGCGCTGTCCTCCGTGGCGCAGAGTCGCCTTGTGTCGGGGCATGTCGTAAGGGCACGACAGCCGCTTGCTGCACCCGTCGGTGCCGTCGCAGACATGAGGGTCAGCCCTCTTGCGCTTTCGCGCGCCTCTCTGTTCCTCTCCTGGTGTCGATGTCCAGGGCCCTCCGATGGACTGCGGTACAGCCTCGGGGACTGGCTCACCTGTGGGGATCTCCACCCTGTGGGTGGACGTCGTCGATGTACTTGTAGTTTGTTGGGGGGCGCTGCCGTGTGCCTGTGGATGGACCACGGGGATCTGGCTTTGCACATCCACCGTCTGTCTCTCTCTCTCCGCATATTGGGTCGGAAGCCTCACGGAAAAGCGCCCACATCCCGCGATCGGGGGCATGCGCGGCCTCTTGACTATACGCCTCCCCGCCGTCGCGCCGCTCGCTCCCTGGCTCGCTCCCTCCTCCTTCCCCTCGCTTCCCTCCCCATCCCTCGCCTTCTTCCACCTTGGCTCCTCCTCCACATGCACGTGGTGTTCCTGCGACACCGGCTCCGTGGTGATCTCTGGCGACGGCGGCAGCTCTGGGACAGGCCCCGGAACCTCCGCGACGAGCACTCGCAGAGGCACCTCGGCCAACACCCGAAGGACGGTGTCGCGAGGCGCCTGCACGATCTCCCGCGCCATGTCACTCCATGGACCCCGGATCGGCTTGACGGCGCCCAGCAGCGAGGAGAACGCTACCGCACCGTGCCTCCGATGGACCTCGATAGGGTCCAATGCATCCACTAGTGTTGAGATGGTCGAGATGGGGACGTGGCGTGGATCCTCCTCCGTGTATGCATGAGTGGCGGGGACTAAAACTGGTAATTGCCATGCGCCCGCCGACTCGTTGTCATCGTCCCAGTGGGTGGCCTGGGCGGGTGCGTATGGCGCGAAGGGCGTCGGAACCTCAAGGTAGGTTCCAGGGAACGGATTCAGTCGTCCCCCACGTGCGATATAGGCATAGGGCCACGGTTGTGCAGAACGGCTCCCGTCCTGGAGAAAGTACGTGCCCTCATCCTAGGAATGCAGAGCAATGAGTGGCGTTTTAAAAATCTGGAGCAAGGTTCTAGACTTACTGACTCGTCATCTGTGAGGTCGCTCTCACGATGCCTCTCGTTGTCGATAGCATGGGAGCGCGACGGGCCTGCGCCAGGAGCTGTGGGCGAGTTCGTATTAACATGTAGCAACCTGCTCGAATGATATGCACATGCAGAACATACTGAAGAGGTCTTCCTCAGTGTCACGGCCGTAATCGTGGCACCACGACATTGCTAAGCGGGTGGATGATGGTGTGTAGGTTGTGTTGTTGAGTGGCTCAACAGCGTTGTGGTGGTTGGTAGGGGAGAGGTGGGTAAGACTCAGCGGTACAGTGAACTGTTGACTTTTCACCTCGCTTGATTAGGCGGATATACCATCGAAGAAGCGCCCACCACCTTCTCGAGGAATCAGTCCAAGGAACGCCTCCGACGCCGGTGTGATGCCTTCCTTCGCATGCTGGAATTAGGCTCCGACCCAAGCCCAAGGTGGGTCCATTGTTTGCATTCCGCAGGTTGTTCATCATTTCTCCTTTCGGCCGTGTCCTCTCTTCCAGCGACAGGCGGGCAATTTTCTCTGCCTCGTTCCATCAATTCTGTGAGACATAACGTGTCCAGGCTGTAACCATCCGGCGGGCTTCTGGGGGTGCGCCCATCGTTATCGTCGTTCATCCGGCCCTCGATAACATCTGTGGCAAAGTCACGCGAGGAGCGGGGTTGCACATGTCGTAACAACCCGATTATTCCCTTGTTCTGTAACGCTTCTTTTGACGGTCGACGCTCTTCGGCGTCATGCCTTGTATCCGGGACGGGCCTCCGCAATTGAGATTATACGCGTTCGTCGATAGGTTGTAGGCGCATCAAGGTGCTTGATTTTACGGAAGGGTCATTGCAAACGGCATAATTCAGCCCGCTCGTGTTCTGAAATCGAATATTCTAGCCGCTTGTAGCGTCTTCGCACATCACGCAGGGGTGGCAAGGCACAGTATTGTGCCATGTACTCAGTCGACCGACTATCGAATTAGTTTTCTCGGCGCGTATATATCCAGAGGCTTTCTCGAGTGAGACTGGGAAGGCACCTGCACGCCCGATCGACCATTTCCCGTGTCGACAGAGCATCCATCAGCGGCGCCGGAAAGTAAGTTTGAGCTATTGCTCATGAAGAGGGTCTGGATGTCATACTCAATTTGATTGCCTCATCGATCAGTGCGGATGTTAGGGATAGGTCTGCATGTCTCAACACTAACCGCCAACGCGATGTTAATGTACGATCAAAATATTGCCTTCTACCTATCATCCAATTGTACGCTCTGGATTCTCCCAACAGACTCTCCGTATTTCAAGGAATACCAGTGTCCTGCTGTTTGCGATAAGGGATCGTTCCTATGATCGGCTCGCGTTTTCAAGCTAATAGACGATGTTGGAGCGAGGATAGAGTCGCATCGAAGGATGCAACGTCCCAGCAGGACTATGAACCAAGCCAAATTCAGCTCGGCATGGGAGCATTATCTCGAAGATGTGAAGGCAATGTTCACGATAGTGCTCTCGAATTCTTCAATACCCCATTATATCATGTTTACTGCACGTCTCCGATAGATGTATCTCCGTATGTTACAGCTGGAGCAAGAGGCTTGGGAGGAACGATTGTCATTGTTGTGCAAATAATTCGCTGGATTCGACAAAGCACCACTGTGAGCGTTTCACGAGAATAGGCTCAAGAGACAATAGTGATGTCATGAAAGATCTATGGCCTGTTTTGAGCGGTGAAAACGAAGGTCGTTGCTGCTCTTGGGGTGAGGATAAGTTAAAATCGGCGCCGTCGGAGTGGCGCTCGATGACATTAGACGTGGATGCACCTTGCGCGGTAAGGCCACGTGGCTAAAGTCACTCTCAGTAAAAACGGAATTCAAGTGATTGTCAAGCTCAGTCAAAAAATTGGTATTTTGTCATGTATCTGTCAAGAAAGTGGCGCAAAAAGTCATACACAAGTCATAAACTACCAAAATTGGACACGACTTTTACACGACCTCTGCACTGCTTCAATGACGGATACATGACAAAATACCAATTTTTTGACTGGGCATGACGTTCACTTGAAATCCGTTTTTACTGAGGGTCACATGCAACTAGCTGCTCGGATGCTTGACCTCTTGAGTTCAGCGAGGTTCCGCATCTTCATAGACAGTCCACACCCACATGCCGTCGAATCAGACTCCTGAAACATCTTTGCCTTCTGGGGGATAAGTGAAGCTTTGCGATCTGAAAAAGGTCGCTTTTGAGACCAGGTGAGTATCCTGATCTGTAGTTGAGACTATCGCGATGTTGATCTGGCCATCCCACACAGTGCAATTGACTACTGGAGTCATTTTTTGCGAATTAGACTCGATTCGCTCTCTGATTTCAGCACCACTGCATCCGCAGGTGACTTGAACGTCCTCAAGGCCTTTGATGACGAAGTAGTCTATCTGCGCACTGCAATATGTGCCATCCATGCGCGGCGCAATCACACAATCCCCACATGTCGCTTACCACCAGAGATCCTGGATAATATATTCTCTTTTCTGGTGGTAGTTGATTTGCCGCGGAAACAGAACCTGGGATGGATCAAAGTCTCACATGTGTGCAGTTACTGGAGAGATGTCGCTCTCGAGAACACAAACTTGTGGACAAAAATCAACCTTGATCTCGGCAGGGAATGGGTCTCGGAAATGTCTATGCGTGCAAAGCAGGCATCTCTTGTTTTCAAGAGCTCCTGCATGGAAAGCTCTGTCCAATTAATCACGCCCCATTTGCCTCGCGCGAGGGTGATCATTCTATCTGGCCTTGTGGACCCCTTTCATAATTTACAGCCCATTGATGCTCCTGCTCAGATAGTGGAGCATGTTGAGCTCTCAGTACGGGCTGAAGACAATTGTATCACAGAGCTTCCGGAAAACCTGTTCGCTAATCATGCCCCCCTCTTGCGTACTGCTTATTTTTCTGGGTTAGCGATCCCTTGGTCCTCCACAGTCTTTCATAATCTGACCAGCCTCAAGGTGTATGGAAATTCTGCCGAGAACTCTTCGATGCCACCATATGATACTTTTTTCGACGCATTGTCCGAAATGTGTTATCTGGAGACACTTTTGATCTACGATGCCCTCCCTCCCCTTTCTGCTTCGACATCTGGTCAGCCACGAAATACAATCGCACTCTCTCATCTTTCGAACTTGACTTTGGGAGGAGTCTGGTCGTGTTGTATGACATTCCTGGAAATTGTGGAATTTTCACCCCTTTCTGAATTGTTTCTCTCTTGTGACTGCGAAGAAGAGGAGCTTTCTACTCGCTTTCTGCTTCCCGTCCTTGAGAAACAAGGCGGGAAACCGGGACTTGTGCCCCCTCTTCGGACCATTCAGATGAATCGCCCTCCATCCTCAGGGTATATATTTTTTCATGGCTGGCGGCATTGTGATCCTCGTCACTCTTCCGAAGGAGCCACGATTCCAGTTACTTTGAGACTTTATAATAGCTGTCCGCAATGGCAGATCGAATGTGACATCTTAGGAGCTTTTTTCACCCAAGAGACGGTGAATCTCTTTATCGATGCAGATCCTCTTTGGGACTTGGCGATGTTTCGCAGTGTAGTTGGACGTGCTCAGAGTCTGAAGCGCATCTCCCTCTCTAAGTCCATTCTACGACCGTTTTGCATTGCTATGAAGAAGGACACGGATACCACAGCTCCAGAGCAGACTCCAGCCGAGTCGTACAGCGAGCATATTCCTTTCCCCAGCCTTAAGGTCATCCATTCACACCCCTTGCGAGTCTCAAACGTGTCCAAACTAGATCGCACTGTAGGTTTCTTGACCCGTGTGCTCAGAAAGCGCACTACATTGCGGGCTCCTATTCGACAGATCGACATCATCCAACCGGATTTGCCGGAAAAGTGGATGGAAGAGCTGAGAGCTGTTGTGCCCAACGTTACTTGGCGTGGAGGACGAGCCGCAGACTGCTTCAAATTTAAGTCGGAATTGTTCGATGCGATCTCCCAGAGAGGCACTAAATACCAATCAGTTGATGCAGAGAACCGAGACGTGACGTAAGGGGACAAATCTGTGTCCGCCTTGTAGTTTTATGCCACCGCGTCAGTCGGCGTTTCATAAAGGAAACAGTGTACTTTTTTTTTTTGATCTCAGAAAAGATTACGATTTAATTCAAACGAACATCGGGGTCAGATGAAATCCCAGCGAGTGCGAAGTGAATGGGATCATTTGCGAAAGAAATCAAGCAGAGATACCAGTACCTGGCATACTTTGCAGAGGATTTGATCTGGGAAGATCCACACGGTTCGAGCCGGAATGTCATTCAACAGCGATGATAGTGTCATACACATTATCAACGAAAAAATCTCGACAAGTCTGGTTGTAAGGACAGCATATGACCCCCGCTCCTATGTCAACGTCGCATATGGCTTGACTTGGATCGCAGGATGTCACTAAATGAAGGATGTCTAGGGAGGTCAGGGGTTGTGAGAGCGATGAGAAAGGTATGCAGAAGGGACAACTCACAGGGGGCGCAGGTTGAGGATCGCATCTCTTCTAAGATCGTCCTTCGCTCAGTCAGGCAGCTCGTCGTGAACGTGGGGCGAATTGATGTGGAGAAGCACATGATGAGTTGCGCTTACGCGAAGGCGAATAACAGCAAATACGGTGGAACGATGTTGTCACGCGTGAAGGGCCCAAGAGACCAGAATGATTCGCAGAAAGCAAGACGAGAACGAAAAGCAAAGTGAGAATGACAAGCAAAGCAAAATTGACAAGCTGGACAAGGGTGTGAAAGTGAAGCGAGCGGGCCAAGCAGAGTGAGAGCAACAGCCAGGATGACATGAAAGACAAGCAGAACAAGCAAGACAAGCACAAGGATTTCAAAGACAAGAACCAGGACAAGATCAAGTGATTGGGAAATCCCAGCGACGAGCAACAAATCCAACACAGGAATGCGAGCAAAACATAACCAGCAAGGCAAGAACCACGAGTGAGAGCCAGGAGACAAGACCAAGATATTTCAATAGATCGAGCGTTAACAAGTTGTTGTCCGCAAGCTTCGAGCGAGCCTTTGCAAATCCGCATATGCCAGAGCCAGCAAACATTCGTGGAGATCAAGAATATTACGACTGTACATGTAGACAATAAAACAACAGATGCTTGACTGATGTCTGTGGTAATGAGAGCGGATCATCAAACTCACGGGTGATTCACACCCGCTCACTGACAACCCCGTCTCTCGAGGGATCGCCCTGCATACTTGAATTTGGCGTCCGGACCTAAATATGTCAACCTTGGTTTTGACCTGTGCATTCAAGCTGGCCAGATATACTGAGGATGGTGCCAAGATAAAGCAGTACACAACAAAAATCACAAAGAGGAGTGCGGAGGCAGGAAGGAAAGGAAAGTGAAGGAAGACGAGACGGAGAGTAGCACAGAGCAAAGACATACAGAGTAAGCGAGATAGAATCCATAGACCTGGACAGCCATAGGACACCAGCGCGCCGTCAACCAGCGATCCAGAGCAAGGCGGAAGGCAAAGCTAGAGACACCAGAAAAGCTCGCCAAGATGCCCGAGGTCGAGGTCACCCGAATATCGTTCGCTGCCTGGCCTAGGTTGCTTGATGTCGTGCTTGAAGGCGATCGTGCCTTAGAATACAACATTGATCCTCAACTGCGTCGCATAATGATGTGTGATACTTGAACCTTGGAGTGGACGTTGTTGATAAGATGCTGGTGCTTCATTATCTATAACAAGGGTTTCGCCGACAAAAGAAATGATGCACAGCCGGATGGAGACGCACCTAGAAATGTAAGACGTATATGCGACTCAGTATTTGCGACAGTGGAAAAAGGTATGAAAGACTCACCGGGGGCGGACACCCCCTAACTGACGACCCGATCTCTTGCAGATTGAAATAGTTGTGTCTGGCGGTGCGGGACCTAAGTGATAGAACGGTTAGGTGGACTTACACTGACAAGATATTCGTTACCAAGATGGGCTGAGAGGGTCGCCAAGATGAACCAAAAGGAGATAGACAAGAACCGGAGAGAACCAAGAGAGATTGAGAGCGTCGCCGAGACAGACCAGGGCCACCGAGAGTGAATAACAGCCAAAACAAGATAGACGAGCAAGAAGATAAGATTGAGATAGGCCAGGACGAAGACGGAAACGAGCAAAGATTGACATGAGACATCAGAAACCAAGATCAAAGCCACAGCGAGTAAAGGAGAAAGCGAGGACCAAGTAAAACAGAGAAAGCATGCCACAGCGATCAGCAAAAAAAGAGAAGGCCAAGAGAGAAGACAAGGCGAGGACGAGAAGGAGCAAGCCAGACAGAGCAAGCAAGCCAGATCGAAGAGAGAACACAGAGAGACGGGAACCCAAAGCGAGCATACAACACAGCAAAGAGCGAGCAGACCACAGCCAAGGACATCAAAGCGCAGCAAATAATGATAAGAGACAAGAACCACCAGTGGGAGAAAGAGCAAGAGGACGAGCAAGACAGGCAAGACAGAACCTAGACATGTTAAAGAGACACACCAGCAACCAGACATCGAAGCCACCTCCAGAGAACGATACAGCCCGATGCCACAGACCAAAGCCACAGATCCCAGAGCAGTGTCGCCAGAAGATACAACGCGGCCAGTGAAATTTCTGTCGTGCTTGAAGGCGATCGTGCCTGCGAATGCGTCGTTGAGCATCAATGTATACGAACAGTGATAAAAAACGCGTACCTATGAGCTTGACGTCGTGATTGTGGCGATCGTGCCTAATAACCTAGAGCGCGTCGAGGTTCGATGGGAAAAGTGGCGAACGGCATGGATGAAATGTACCTGTACAGATGAAGGAGGGCGCGGAGAGGATAGTAAGTAACGAAGTGCATGAGACAAGGGGGTGGTGGGGAGGAAGAGAGTGTGATGGAAAGAAAGAGGGGAGAGCGGCGAGGCTTTATAGAGTTGGGGGTCACCAATGTCGCTTTGGCACCACCCATCGGTTAACGCTTGGACCTCCGCTGCCACTATTCGCCACACAACGTAACAAACGCCACGCTTCTCTGTCCAGCCACCTCGCCCGTTTTGGAAAGAGAACCGGCGCCTTGTGCGATCGGAATGATAGGATACATAGATCGGTAGAAGAGAAATGGATATTGAGAGTCCTCGAGTTCAGAAGGTGCAATATCTTGTCTCTCCTACCTTGTAACCAAACAGTTTCAATGACGCCCACTACGAATTCTCCAACGAAGGCGAATAGCATGGCACCGTCGCGATGGCGGTTGTTATTTCCAAATCGAAATAGCTAGCAGTGGGTAAATTTTTGATTCTGCTTTCACAAGTGATTGCTAAACAACGCACCAAATTCATGATGAGACTCGCAGATACATCCGGCCCTGCAGCAAATCTTTGGTCATCCTTCTAGAGCCTACCTCGTTAACAGACAGAGCCTCGAGCGTGTACTTCAACGTTTACGCAATCGCAAGATAGATAGCATGTCGTTCAGGTGCACAAAGAAGCCGGCATACGTCATTTGATACAGTGCAGTGAGTGCAGTGAAGAGGATCGATGGACCGTCGTTGCGGGGAAGGGTGACAAGAAGGAAGTTCTGCGTTATGGCATGTGAGAACTGTGGATGAAAGAGCAAGCGTACAAAAAGCGGCATCGCCAATGTATACCGGGCGAGAATGTCTGCCTCGTTCTCAACAACGGTAGTGTCAACCTCCATCACTGACATTGCCTCGCCCATCTGGATTCCGAACGACGTGAATGGAGTGGACAGAGGACCATACACTGAGCTCGATGCTGCTGCAGTGCAGGCGTCGATAGTCTTGTCAGAGCTGACGGTCAGCCGCAATGGATGAAATCAGCAAATAATTGAGGAAAGATTTACTCCGCCTAGTCTGGTTCATTGTTGAAGGTAGCCGTATGCCAGCAAGGCTCGAGTTCGAAGGACAATATGAGAAGGAATAGATAGATATTTTATGAAAAAAACGCTGGAGTGAACAGACTGTACAACAATCGTAAATCCGTGATAAGTTGCGTGTGATGAACCTCGTGGGAGATGAGCTTATCGACCCCTCGTCGCTGAGGTGCCGTTGTGGACGGGGTGGACGATGAGCGACCAGGCCCTACCAGGCTGTATGATGGCTTACATAACGATCGGCTTTCGATCCATCGTGCAAGTGTCGTACAATGCTAGGCTGGACGACGTCGACCATGAGCAGAGTCCTGCGAAAACCAGAGCGAGTCAGTTTCCAACCGAATCGATCCGAGCGCAAAATGTTGGCCAAAAACAACAAGGGTGGTAAGAAAAGGAAAGGCAAAGACATCGATAGCGTGCGCCGCGAAACAAAAGAGCGAGCGAAGAGAAAAGGAAAGCAAACGGTACGCACCTTCAGCTCTATCCGCCGAGCAGGCCATACCCCATACCCCCCATACCCCCTCCACTGCCCTCTAAACCATCGTGTCTCGGGCCCTGCGAGGGACCGCCCCCGCCGTTATGTTTCCTGCCCCTGTTTGGGCAGTGCTCCCGCATGTGGCGATGGACTTCATCTTTGCGCACACAAAGGGCTGGGCAGTCGCCGCATGCAAATTCGCGCTGTCCTCCGTGGCGCAGAGTCGCCTTGTGTCGGGGCATGTCGTAAGGGCACGACAGCCGCTTGCTGCACCCGTCGGTGCCGTCGCAGACATGAGGGTCAGCCCTCTTGCGCTTTCGCGCGCCTCTCTGTTCCTCTCCAGGTGTCGTTATCCAGGGCCCTCCGATGGACTGCAGTACAGCCTCGGGGACTGGATCACTTGTGGGGTTTTCCACCCTGTAGGTGGACGTCGTCGATGTCATTGTAGTCTCTGGAGGGGCGCTGCCGTGCGCCTGTGGATGGACCACAAGCATCTGGCCTCGCTCTCCCGCCGTCTCTCTCTCCCTCTCCGCATAGTCGCTTGTCAGCTTGACCGAAAATCGGCCATACCCTGCGATCGGGGGCATGCGCGGCCTCTTGACTGTACGCCTCCCCGCCGTCGCGCCGCTCGCTCCCTGACTCGCTCCCTCCTCCCTCCCATGTCTCCCCTCCCCATTTTTCGCCTTCTTCTGCCTTGGCTCCTCCTCCACATGCACGTGGTGCTCCGGCAGCACCGGATCCGAGGCGGTCTCTGGCGACGGCGGCAGCTCTGGGACAAGCTCCGGGGCCTCCTCGATGAGCACCTGCGGAGGCACCTCGGCCAACACCCCAAGGACGGTGTCGCGCGGCGCCTCCACTATATCTCGCGCCATCTCGCTCCATGGACCCTGGATCGGATGGACGGCGCCCAGCAGCAAGGAGAAGGGTGTCGTGCGGTGTCTCGAAGGGTGCTCCGCGACCGCGATAGGGTCCAATGCACCCATCAAACTTGAGACCGACGATGTGGTGATGTAGCGTTGGGCCGCCTCCGTGTAGGTGTGAGTGGCGGTGAGTGAAACAGGGAATGGCCATGCGCCCGTCGACTCGTTGTCATTGTCCCAGTGGGCGGCTTGGGTGGGTACGTGTGGCGCGATGGGGGTTGGAACCTCGAGGTAGGTCCCATGGAGCGAGCGATGTGGGAGTGGCACGTCAGGGCTCGGGTATCTACGGGTGATGTAGGTGTCCTCGTCCTAAGAATACAGAACAATGAGTGGCGTGTTGAAGGTCCGAAGCTAAGTTCCAGACTGACCGACTCGTCTGTGTCACCGCTCTCACCGTGTGTCTCGTCGACATCGTGTTGGGAGCACGACGGACCTGCGCCAGGTGCTGCGGATCGATTCGCATTAACATATAGCAAAATCCTGACGTGATATGCAAATATACAACGCACTGAAAAGCTCGTCCTCAAACGAGTCGTCGCTGTAGTAGTAGGACATGTTGATATCTTAATGGCGCTGATGTGGAGGAGAGGCGGGTGACAATTCGTGGTACAGTGAACGGTTGACTTTTTACTTTCGGCTCTCTAATTTTATTATCGAAGAAGCGCCCACCACCTTCTCGAGGAATCAGTCCAAGGAACGCCTCCAACGCCGGTGTGATGTCTTCCTTCGCATGCTGGAATTAGGCTCCAATCCAAGCCCAAGGTGGGTCCATTGTTCACATCCCGCAGGTTGTTCATCATTTCTCTGTTCGGCCGTGTCCTCTCTTCCAGCGACAGGCGGGCAATTTTCTCTGCCTCGTTCCATCAATTCTGTAAGACAGAACGTGTCAAGGCTGTGAACATCCGGCGGGCTTCTGGGGGTGCGTCCATCGTTATCGTCGTTTATCCGGCCCTCGATAACATCTGTGGCAAAGTCGCGCGAGGAGCGGGGTTGCACATGTCGTAACAACCCGCTTATTCCCTTGTTCTCCACAGCTTCTTCTGACCGTCGACTCCCGTCAGCGCCATGCCTTGTATCTGGCACGGGTCGCCGCAGTTGAAATTATGCACCCTTGTCGATAGGTTGTAGACGCATCAGGGTGCTTGATTTCACTGATGGTCCCATCGCAAACGGCATAATGCAGCCCGCGAGTGGTCTGGAATCGAATATTCTAGTCGCTTATGGTGTCTTCGCACAACATGCAGGGGTAGAAAGGCACACTATTTTGCCATCCTTCATTTCATCGCTTTTTTGAAGACAGTGGATCGTTCTAGCCTAACTGGTTCATTCAGCGTGCTCAGGATTTCCCGTATGGGCGAGTGCAGGCTGGTCGGAATGTCAGGACGAGGGTCTAAGGATGGTTTGATCTTGTCGGAGCGTGACTTGCGATAGCTCCGGTGCGAAGGTGGAGGCGCTCAGTGATCAATTAACAAGCGGGATGACTGATTTTGTGGGCAATATAGGGCCTGCATCCTCCTCGTTGTATGTGACTTGAGCATCGTGGGTATCCATAGAACAGGCACAGCCAACATCTAGTGTGTTCGCGTCGGACTCATGTACTCAGTGAACCGACTATCGAATCGGCCTCTCGGCACGTACACATCCAAAGGCTTGCTCGAGTGGGGATGCGCAGGGATCCGTGAAATTGTGCGACTATTCGCATCAAGAGAGAATTCATGAGACTTAGGTAGCAGGCTTGAGCCATTGTTTATGAGAAGAAGGTCTGTACGTCGTACTCGACTTCATCGCCTCATCGATAAAAGCGGTCAGATGCTACACGCCGCAGTACGTTTCGCCAACGTGCCGAGCTGTCGTCGAATGATGTCCTGATATCAGACTGGTTGCTTTCAGCCTATAAGAAAGAGTGAGCTATGAGGCGATTCCTTGTGTTTTTGTAAGCGTGTTTACCCTGTCAAAGAATACAGCTGTCTCCCTCAGAACATGCCTAGCCTCAACCAGCTCCCTCAATCGACCACTAAGCAGTTCTTAGCTCTCATTCATCTGTACAAGCCTCGACTCGTGCTCGGCAAATGTAACGTCTAAGCCATCCATTATTTGAGCTGCTCGCGGACCAACGGTGATGAGAGGCGCCGAATCATACAGCGGGCGCACGGGTATCTTATCTTTTTCCCTCTCAATTTGAGTAGAGAAAAAAGAACGCGACGAGCCATCTCGTCGATGCGACGAATCTCGCCTATGAATGATCGTTGGAAGGGATTGACGTTGGGGTTCGGCTGTGCAGCTCATCGTTAGCTTCATATAACGTGAATTCGACAGTCCTAAATCTCACATCCTTGAACTGCATGTTTTCAAGTTCCCCAAGCTCAGCGACCGTGTCATGGGCAACTTCTGTTGATACGAATAGTTGCACCAAGCCCATAGCCTCAGAGCCTGATGTGTGTGCTACTTCAGTCACCTAGAGATGGTTCGAAACGTAGAGATACGAACGGAATAAGCTGGGATATTCATTGACCACAGGGGTGCCCATGGCGGTGGAAGAATTGTAGATGGAGAGTCATTAAGAGAGATGCTGACGATGCGAGGAGGCACGCTCTTCACCAGCTTCAATGTTTTTCCGGATTCCGCAGGCTTTTCGATTTTTTGTCCATGCTCAAATTGGCCGCAATCAGGTATTTCAACCTTTTCTACTCGCACTGATCGTCGGAAAGCGTCGGCATCGTTCCTAGACTACATTCGCTACATTCTCTTGCGCTGAGTCGCTGACAGAACCTGACCAGGCAAGGCTAGTCCCGAGTAGTCTCTGTTGCTGACCCTATACGCAGAAAATATTCGTAGGCCAGTCCCAGCCAGGATCACCTCATTGATGCGCACAAGTTTATGCACTATTTTCTTCGTCATTAGGTACCGCCGACCCATATTTAAATCTGCTGCAGGCTAGACCTGGAACACATAAGACGGTGTGCTCTCTAGCTAGAGAATATGACTTGAGAGAGCCTCCACGACTCAAGTTACACCGAAGACATGTAACGCTCAAAGCTTCTTCTAGGTTTTTATGCCGTACGTCGTCGCATCTTGTCCTATTTCCACACCCCCTTAATTTCCATGACAATGTTTGCAACGCGACGCAACCACACACCTTCTTAATACCAGTAGCTCAGGCTCTCCTCTCTGAGATCTTCAAATGCGCTCTGTTGCTATTGCACACGTCGCTATTGCCGCCTTTGGACTCGACATCGTCTGCGAGTTGCTGCATGATACCGCGCCCTCGCTTCTGCATTCAGACGTGAAGGTTCTCAATGGTCATGAAGAACCACGGGATGCAGGAGTTGCGGACCAGAAGGAGGGGTCGAGGGTAGGGCTGATGAGGGACGTGATCTGTTAGGGAGAATCAAAAGAGATTGCAGCCAGCGACGCTGTGAGTAGTCTTCTCCTACAAGTCTTCATTCAACTCCATGATGCCGTCTTCCCTCCGCTCTACGCTGCTTATTATATCTGTACAAAAACAATACGAGGATAACAAATGCCCTTCGACTGCAACAGCTACTACGCACCGTCACCGCCCACTGATTCCGACGTATATCTCGAACAATTTCACCTACACTGTCAAACACTTTCCTTGCACGTCCACATAAAGTGCCTGCGTGAGCATTTTCTCCTGGCTTTGATTATTTTCAAGTTTCAAATCCCATTCTTTTGGAAAACCAACTTCAAACTCCCACGAGCGCGCAGCGCTCGCCGTATGTCCGTCACGTTGTTTGCCAAAACAATGTGATCCTGACGAGCTTGGTTCCGCAGGCCCACCGGCCAGATGCCAAGTGTGCATTATGCGCCTCGCTCGCGTCGTCACCGTGTGCCACGACAGATCCTGCAGTCGGTGTGCTAGATATGGGCGGACAACGTGTCTGCGAATTAACGTTCGTTACGGCTGGCTCATATGCAACGGGTTCGTGAAGAAAGATGGCGATTACTTTGCTATCTCACTCCTATACGCTACCTTTATTCTGTAAGGCCACGAGTCGCTTTGAGCGAGGCCCATTTCTGACAAAGGAAGGCCGCAGATTAACACAAAGTGGATGGCCAGGATGCGCACACCAGGAGACACACTTCGCTATCCGCTGTCAGAGCAGAGGCTCAGCTGTCCTCCACGATTTCGGTGTCGAGCAAATGATAACTCAGAGTGCCTTCTTTAACACGTTCTTAATGAGGTACGCTTGGTGATGGAGTCGTGCATGCTATACATCTATCGCCAAGATTGGTGCCGATCTGCGTCCATCGAGAGTAGCGCGGGTGCGTGGTGGCGCTAGTCTCCCGAAGGCAGCAACGTTGACGATTCTCCTTCAACCTCCGACGTGGTCTCCGGATATCCGTATCTAACGGTGGCGCGTCGTCTGTATATAACTTGTGATGGATCGTTCCATTGTCGCAGGCCACTCAAACACACTCCGATCACATTTGCGCCGTGACAAGCGTGGTCGTTGCCGGTCGTGGCCATGGTATCTAGAGGCTGGGCTGCGGAGCGATCACTAATTTGATGTGTGTAGCGCTCTGCTCATAGAATGAAGTATTGTGTAGCTCAGTGATCGCAATGACGGCTCGTCTGCCGCCACAAAGGTTCATACAAGCGGCCTTGTAACTCGGCCACAATGCGATCACGTGTCTATGTCGCGGAGTTCCATGGCTTCGTGGCTCGCAGCGTTGGTTCAAACGTTCACCAGCAGAGGTTACTATCAGAAGCTTGTTCGAAACTCGGGGCCACAGTTTGTGGCATTAGTCTCCAGTACTTAAGCACTTTCTCCATTCCTGTAAGTGATTCATTCAACACCTGTTCTACTGCTCCTGACATGTCTTCGCACAAGATAGCCAGCACTCAACGTTTCAGTGCGATGGAAATATCCAAGGCACCAGCTGAATACGCTCTACTTGCTGAAGAGACTGAGAACGACTTTCACGGACCTATGTCTATCACAGAATTCTTTGACGCTTTCATGAAGACGAAGGATGACAAGAAACCTCCCAAGCGTGCCACCCGAATCTTCAAGAGCATACCTAGGGTCGGAAAATTTGAGGATCACTTTGTACGTATATATTCTCCTTTGTTATTAGAGACCGATGTTGATTATATCGTATTCATAGAAAGATGCTGTCGAGGCATCTGGAATTTGCCAGAAGCTGAGATTTGTCAACACGACTGACGATCTGGATGCAGACTTCAAACGCAAGCCAGACATGGTTGCTTACAAGAGATCTCTGCAAGGCGGTGATGTAATTGACTTTGAGCTGATGGAACTGTGCATCGAGCGCAAGCCAGAGACTAAGGACCCATTCCAGGATCTCGCTCCCAGCGCGACCTCTGGCGATACAAACACAGTCTTACATCGCTCGCAGGAGGCGACCATGAATCGAGGACAAATCTGTTCATATGCAGGCTTGCAGCTCTCGGCGCAAAACCGGTTCTTCCTGTTCACTGTGGTCTTGCTTGGTGACTATGTTCGCTTCATTCGATGGGATCGCGCGGGAGCTATTGTGACTGAACGAGTCAACTGGAGGAGAGACCCTACTCATCTGATTATGTTCCTTTGGAGGTTCAACCGTTTCAATGACGTGCAACGTGGACGAGATACATCGCCCACAAAGCCCATGGCGAGAGACATCAAGAGGGCGAAGAAAGCATTTGACGAACGAGCCAAGTTTCTGGCTAGGCTCCTAGGCGAGGACGAAGAGACGGCTCAATGCCTCTACTCGTCTGATGCCACCTTTCACCAGTTTTGTATCACGGACGATGACACATACCGGAAACACTATTTCATCGCATCCAAACCTCATTGGCAGAGCGGCAGCCCGTTTGGGAGAGCCACCGACGGGTACATTGCATATGACATCACGCGACAGAAACTTGTGTATCTGAAGAACAGCTGGCGGTACTTGGAAGATGGGATCGAGAAAGAAGGAGCCACCTATCGGCTACTCGAACGATCAGGTGTGACCGGGATCCCGACGCTGATCTGTTCTCAAGACATTCTGGGTCAAGACACGCGGACGCACGAGTACAGTTCAAAAGAGTGGTTTTGCAAAACGACCAGTCCTCCGAGGCGGCACAGGCTTCACCGGTTAGTTCTGGGGGACATCGGACGGCCCTTGAGCCAATTTAGATCGTCCAAAGATCTCGTCAGCGCTATGCACGATGGGATGAAAGGTAAGTCGATGATGTCTTTGACACCTTGCATGCTTACCAACGTCTTTCTGTGCAGCGCACGATCTGGCATTCAGATTGGCACGCGTGCGACATGGGGATCTCAGTGCCGGCAACATTTTGATATCTGATTCAGGCAAGGGAATCTTGATTGACTGGGATCTAGCTATGATATTGCCAGATGTCGATGATCAGGGGGTTGCCACTCAGGGACCGACGACGAAATGGCAAACGGTGCGTCATGATATAGCTATGTAAGTGGCCTCAAAAACCGAACTACTGTCTTCAGGGAACTTGGCAATTCATTTCGGCAGCCCGGCTCATGGATCCTGAGAGCACACGGCACGATCTTCGCGATGAGCTAGAATCTACTCTTCACGTCTTGCTATACACTAGCGTCCGCTATAGAGCCAGCTGCCTTCCTGTGGAAGATTGTGAGGATCTCAAGACAGTCTTTATCCGGCATTTCGACAGTAGGTCTGCCACGGTGCAGGGGCGAACATCCGGAGGACGAGGAAAATACGACTTCTTCCAACCCACCGGGCCGGCTGCCCTCTCTCAAGAAGGCCTTGAAAAGTTCCTCAGCGAGCCGCATGCCAGCCTCATCGAGACACTTCGAAGATTGTTTGTTCCCCTTTATAGCACAGAAAGACAGTTAAAGCTTATCCCTAGCATGGAGCAATCTCGGGACGCTGCCCTCGAAGTCCTCAAGACTTCGGATCGGTTCATAGAGATCATAGAAGAGCACCTTGAGATGAACGGATGGACGGAGAATGATGTCAGCGATGAGCTGCGTGGCTGTGATCAATTCTTTACCGAAGCACGAGGCCTGATATCTGAGGCACGGCGTAACTCGTTGTTGAGGGCTAACATGTAGCGCAGTAGTGGCTTTGCGGGTGTGGCTAATGCGACGCTAGCGTCCTTTCCCCCTATGGCCGAATCCAATGGGGGAGACTAGTACGCTTGGTAACTTGACATGCTAATTTTCCGCTCTATGCTTTTCAATCCCTCCTCCATGTATATGTGATTATATGTATAATATCTCATGTTTCACTCAATATGTCCTTCCCGAGATTTCTAATGTCAATCCTGTCTCATTAACCAACAGCCATCGGGCTTTCTATCCTGGACTATGCACCGTACTCTACCAGCAACGCGTTCGACTTTTCGAAGCACCAAACACATCAGTAAATCATCAAAATACTTTTCGAAACTTACAGGGCTTGGGCAAGGCTGTAAGTCTCGGAAAGTGGGCCAAAGCTTTCCAGAATATCCTACTTACCTAGGCAGATTCCCCTATTAGAAAAGTGCTCTAAGTCAATCAAAATCGCTTTTTTGCCTGAAATAAGTTGATTGTCTTAGAAAAGTGCGTCAAGTGTTCAGTTATAGGTAAGGTGCACAAGATGCATCCAACTCACAAGTATTGGGCTATGAATTTTCGGGGCAAAGAGATTTGAAACAATTGCCAAGATAATCATTGCGTGGTACAGATGGAATGCTATAGTAAAAGTACACAGGTGCAGCAAGAACACAACATGTAACATAGGAGGGGGTTGTATTGACCCAGGGATCTTGCACTAAACCTCGTCCTCATCAACCCACACATCCTCGATGCTCTCATCAACATCATCGGCATCAGTCTTCTCGTCCTCGTCAATACCGTCAGATTCCTCCATCCCACCTTCAACCTCTCCGATGTCTCCAACGCCATCATCGCTGGTGTCTTCCTCGCTGATGTCATCATCCTCCTGGGCCATGTCGATGATTGATGCACGGATGGACAGGGCAGATGCACCTTCATCAGCTTCATTCACTGTGTGTCCCTTACGGGATTGTTTGTACCTTGCCGCACGGGCGAGAATCCTCTTCCACCTGGGGGGTTCGAGCTGCTGGATTGATATTGAATATTCGAGCGTGGAATCCCCCCAGTTCTCCTCCGAGAAGCTTGATTCACCCTTCCTTTGATGTTTGAGCTGATCTCCAGTGGCCCACATCTTGAGTTCATGCTCGCCCTGTGATATAGAATATTGCAATCAGATCTGTGCTAATGATAGTTAGTGTGCGACGTACTGCAGCCGCCGCGAGGGATAATGCACCAATGGGCGGGTCTACACATTTGAACTCTTGTCCAATGCTTGCGGTAGCAGTTTTGTCTTCTAAGGTTCCACGAGGCACGACTGGAACCCTAGAATTAGGTCTATGGTTGATGAGGGTTCCGCTGCCTGCTCCCACGCAGTGCCAGCAGCAGCTCTCATCCTTTCCCCCTCGTCAAGCTGCCCAAGCAGCTAAACTCATTCCTTTGCATTTGTTTAACACCATAGCACAAACCACATCCTTTCCACTCGAGCCTATCTGACAAATCATGCCCCCTCGTATCCTTGTTGATCCCAATGCTCTCATCTGTCCCGATTATGCTTTAGACATATATGCTGGGGCCCGCAAATTAATCGCGCCCGGAGCAGAAGTCGCGGAGGTGGCGCAACGTTTAGCCAACATTTGGACAGCCGGGAACAACGTCGACAGGGGACTTTGTAACCATCAGGTAGAAGCAGATGCCATCGCGGCAGCTGATGCCGAAGCGCTCCTTCAAGCACAGGCCGAGCAGCAACGCCTCGAAGCCGAGCAGCAGGCGGAGGAAGAGCATCGTGAAAGCGAGAAAAAGAAGCCTAAGGCACCAGATTTCGACGAGGAAGCATCCATCCCGAACCACCCAGTCCTCCGGCCGCACCCCTTCGCAGTCAACAAACTGCGCCTCTTCGAGTATGTAGAACTTTGGTATTTCACTCGAGATGGTTGCCTAGATGCTACCAACCACCTACGCACCATCAACGACGACGCCTTTGGCCTCATTAGATCCGAGGATGGCCTCGCCTTGAGGTCCCTTGCAGCCACGCGCCCGTCCAAGAAAGCCATCCCCGATGACAATCTCTCTTGGTATCAAATGTCCACCGCCAAGTCGACATACATTGCGGAGATCGAGCGTTTAAACTGGCCGTTGAAGCACCGCCAAGCCATACAGGAGTTTTTCTACGCCCTAGACATGCATCCTTACAGGAATGCGCACGAGTACGGGGACACCATCCTCTTGCGTTACCAAGCCTCCTCGCGCCGCCTCTGGCACGAGCAACTCAAGATCCCAGGAGGGTCTTTTAACTTGCGACACATCAACGAAACCTTGTTGGACCGCATCGCCACAACCTACTTAAACGAACTGAAGTTTGCATCCACCCAAAGGTCAGTCTTGAACCTCCTCCCCCCCCCCTTTCCGTCTCCAAGCACCCCGCATTTCTCTTACCCTCTGTCCCTAACCCTGCACCACCCATTCTCCTGCGTCCCCCGCTGCCTCGGTTTCCCTCCCCCCCCCCTTACCGCGCTGCGTCCTGTGTTCCTCTCTCCCCCCCCCCTGCGTTTTGCCCCTGCACCCCTCGCCGCGCGCCCTTTCCTCTCCTTTGCCCTCCACATCACACCCCGTCCCGCGTGTCTACTCCCCGCTGCACTCTTGGCAGGTCAAATGATGGACCCCCCTACTCTCGCGATTTCAGAATGCAGAACTCCACGGGCTCATACCGCCGCAGACGCTCCCCCTCTCCCTCCTCATATAACACACAGAGAAAGCGTTCCAACTCCCCGCATCGTGGCATTCCCCCTCGCCCGGCCTTGGGCTACCCGCCCCGACCAGATCGGTGGTCTGGCCTATCTAGCGCGCCTTTTCCGCTCAGCGCAAATGCCTCCGGCCCAGTCGTTTGCGCAGTCTGCCTCGGCTGGCGAGAGCACCAAGTTTCAAAATGCAACGCCACCGTTTTCTGGAATGGTGCCGCCACGCGGTGTCGCCGGAGCCCGCGGGGCAAGATCCTCAACCCTCATAGTTTCGAGATCTGTCTCGATTGGCAGCGCGAGCGTAGCTGTGCCTCCAACTCCCATCCCGAGAAGCATGAATGCTCCGGATGTGGCCGCCCTGATCACGGTGCCTCTTTCTGCCCTCTCGCAGAGAAGATCTAAACCTTTGACCCCGTATCAGGCCAGAAACTGGCTCCACGTTCTTCGCGACACCGGTCTCCTGTCAAAATATCCTACTATATATCCAAGTCTCGCCCACGGTTTCCACATTGGTATCCCTCCCCTCCTACGTACTAATATCCCTCCTAATAGTCCTACCATTACTGTGATGACCCTTGAGTTTCAGAAGATACTTGATCATGAGTTTGCGAGTGGCCGCTATCTCGGTCCGTTTACTCGTTCTGGAGTCGAAAGCCTTCTGGGCCCTTTCCAAACATCTCCACTATCCTTAATTCCGAAACCTCATAGACCTTCCGTCTTTCGTCTGATACAAAAATTTTCGTTCCCATACACCTCCTCACCCATCCACACATCTATTAATTCGTACATATGCTCTGACAATTATCCCTGCACATGGGGCACTTTTCCCATTTTTGCTTTCTTAGTTTCGAATCTCCCTCCGGGTTCTCAGGCCGCGGTTCGCAACGTCTCTGAAGCATACCGTACCCTTCCACTTCATCCCTCGCAGTGGCCGGGCACAGTAGTCCGCCTTTCCGAAGGGGATGCCTTTGCTGTCGATACACAGGGTGCTTTTGGCACCGGCTCTACCCCGGGATGCTATGGTAACCTCGAGGACGGTGCAGTCGACATCATGCGCCATCGAGGTCTTGGCCCAATTTCAAAATGGGTTGATGACCACGTGTTCTTCCGCCTACTGCGCGAGCACCTCTCCCAGTATAATAAAAAACGAGAGGTCTGGCGCTGCCAGATCCACTCAGCGGGTGGCCCCCAGCAAGCTGGAGGCCGCATCTGGTATGAAGGCCCTGCGCTACCAAACGACCAGCCAGCTGAGTTTGACGACGACATGGCCTTTCCTATGCAGGATCTCTCCGCATGGAGCCCCCGCACTCCCGAGGACCAAGCCTACACCTGCAATATCTCTGACATCGATCGCATTTCAAGTTACCTTGGCATTCCATGGCAAGTAGAAAAGGACATTCCCTTCAGCCACGAATTCCCATTCACAGGGTTCATATGGAACCTCAAAACGAAGCGCGTCTCAATTCCCGCCTCCAAAAAAGAGAAGTATCTCGCAGCGATTGCGCAGTGGCAGGGCTCCCGCTCTCACACCCTTCTAGACGTGCAGAAACTGCACGGGAAGCTACAGCATGCCTCCCTAATCGTGCCGTCTGGACGAGCTTACCTAACAAATTTAGAGGCTATGCTAAGCGTTTTCCGTGACACCCCTTTCAAACCCCGCACACCTCCCCGTGACACCCCCAACGACATTGCGTGGTGGGTTCAAACACTCTCCCGCAACGACGTCTCACGCGCTGTCCCCGGAATTGAGCCTATCCTCGATGTCAGGGCCTTCTCTGACGTCAGCTCAGCCATTGGCATTGGCATCATCATCGGTGACCGCTGGCGCACGTGGACTCTCACCCCGGGCTGGAACCAGGAAGGACACGACATTGGTTGGGCCGAAGCGCTCGGTTTTGAGCTACTCGTCCGCGTGCTCCTTTCCCTTTCCCCTGACTCTCCCTCGGCGCATCATCTCAGAGTCTACAGAGACAACCAAGGCATTATTGATGCCTGGGCAAGTGGCCGCAGCCGCAATCGGCAAACAAACCTTATCTTTTGCAGAATCCACCTCCTCGAACCTCATGAGGTTTTCGTCCATCCCAGATATATCCCCAGCAAGGACAACCCAGCAGATGGTCCCTCCCGGGGTATCTACCCTCCGCAACGCTTTCTCCTCCCTCCCGTTCTCATTCCGGACGAAGCACGACCATTCCTGGTCGACGTCTTCCCTCTCCGTCCCCACGCTAGCAGCCAATTGTCCACCCACAGTGATGCCTGCCCCTCTTACCGTTGCTAGTCGCTTATTTCTCCCCTCCTCATCCACTGTTCTCCTCTCCCCGTCCATTATCCCCTTACCTACGAGCGTTACCATGCGCCACACCAACCTCACGACTCCACTCCTCCCTGCACAAACGCGACCCTCTCGTTTCCATGCTCAACTGCCTGATGCCCACAGCAATCCGGTCCCAGCCATTAAACCCTACCCCATGCACCTCACTCCTGCCGTCTCTCCTTTGCGTCCCCACTGTAGTGCGGTTGACCGTCTCATTCAGTGGCGCCCAGAGAACACTGCCCCGCACTCCAACACCACACTTTCCCCAGCTGATGAAGACCGCATAAAAGACATCATGGGCCGTGGCTAGGAACGTTCTACCCTGAGTACATATGCTGCAGGCCTCCTCACATTCCACGTCGCTTGTGACAATAAGGGTTTCCGTGAGGCTGAGCGCGCACCTGCCTCCACGGACGTCATATTATACTTCATCTCTGCGCTCACAGGTGCAGTCGCCGTGCGATCCCTTTCCTTTTTCTTCTCACTAACTCTCTTATCATCGGGCGGCAGGCGATTATGCTGCTGGCACCATAAAAAACTATCTAGCGGGCATCAGGGCCTGGCACATTATTCACCGCATGCCATGGACCCTCGAGGATGATCAAATTGAGGTCATGATCCGGTCTGCCAAAACCATGGCCCCTGTGGCTTCCAAACGTAGACAGCGAGAGCTATACACCCCCAGCATCCTCATCGCCATCAAAAAGGAACTAGCCTTGTCCGATCCCCTTGACGCGGCTGTGTGGGCTTGCGCAACTTCGCTTTTCTATGGCGCCGCACGGGTAGGAGAACTGACCATCCCAAAGCTTGGAGCCTTCGACCCAGAACTCCACCTCCAGCGATCCAGCATCACCTACAAAGCTAGCCGCAATGGTGACGAGGTTACGGAGCTTTTCATTCCCCACACAAAGACAAACAAGGCTGGCGAAGCAATCTACTGGGCCCAACAGAACGACAAGTCCGACCCGCACGCCGCTCTTTCTAACCATTTGTTCATAAATAACCCTCGCCCAGGCGAGCATCTTTTTACCCATACAGTTGCTGGGTCGCGCCGCCCCCTCACTAGAAAGATATTCCTCTCCCGCATCTCTGCTGCTTCCACCGCCGCCAAGCAAAAGCCACTTCACGGACACAGCTTCCGTATTGGAGGCACCTTAGAGTATTTGTTGCGGGGTGTACCCTTTGACACCATGCAGGCAAAAGGCCGCTGGGCCAGCTCTGCTTTCCTTGTCTACCTGCGAGACCACTCAGAGGTCATGGCGCCCTACATGCAAGCCAACCCTGAGGTGCACAGCAGCCTTTTCCGCCTCACCGTTCGGCCCGAACTAGCACACCCCCCCCTTTGAGCAGGTTCGTTGTTGCCTTCCTACCATAGTGGGAATCCAGGCCAGCCTAGACGCGTCGCCAACTCCTACCGATTGGGTATCGCGGCTGACCTCTTTCTTGCCCCGTTTTCTGTTTAGACGTTCTTTCTGCTGCACATCGGAAAGCCTCACGGGCTTTCGCCCACCCCTGTCTCTTCGGCATACATTTTGCTCAGACCATTTCTCGTTCCCGTGCTGTCTCGCTGCTTTTAGTCATCATATTCTGCTTACACATACATACTCTTCTCGCAATGTCAGTTGTTTGATCTGCCTTCACTTGCGCGTGCATCAAACAACCTCCCCCCCCTATTCGCAAGGATCACCAAAACCATAGATTGTCTTCTAAGGTTCCACGAGGCATGACTGGAACCCTAGAATTAGGTCTATGATTGATGAGGGTTCCGCTGCCTGCTCCCACGCAGTGCCAGCAGCAACTCTCATCCTTTCCCCCTCGTCAAGCTGCCCAAGCAGCTAAACTCATTCCTTTGCATTTACCCTCCCTCCACTCCCTAAAGAAATCAGGCAGCAATCCTAGTGCATTAAACCCATTCATACATGCCACATAATCATAACGTAAAATTACTTGCTTCCCTATAAAAAAATAAGTGCCTCCCTCTGCATATCAACCTCGCCGTTCCATGCAATTTTTCTTTATCCCATACCTTGCCCTGTCTTCCCCTTTTACCAACCCATGTCTTCCTCTATGCAACTCCACCTTCCTCCTGATGCACGGATTGTCGCTGGATCCCTTGATGACCCATCGCACCTCATAATTTTTTATGGCACTGAAGTCGCCGCTGAAACGCCTTTGCCATTAGATTGCCCTTTCCCCCCCCCCCATCTCCATCCCTTTCTTCTCAGCACCCGTCTGCATCTCCACTCAGGAAGACATCCCTCATTCCCATCCATGCACAATTGGCTGCACAGGCTGGCTCTCCAATTGACCCTTCAATCTGGAATGTCACATGTCGCCCTAGTGAGCGCATCTGCCTGGGCATCCCAGTCACCCTTATAAGCACCCGTGTTGGTACACCCTTCTCTGGAACTCCCCGATGCATCAGGACCATAGAGCACGACTGGATAGAGTTTTGGTTGGAAGGGACTGACAACGAGTGCACCGCTCTCTTATGTACTCTGAGGGCATGGGCAGTTGTGCCCTGGCACATCACTCTGCTCCACCTTGTCCTCAACCCCTGGTTATCTAACACCACCCCCCCCCCTACCGAGCCACCGGCTCCTCGCACCAAATGTCACATGGGAGCACTGCTCCCATATCCACCCCCTCATTGGTCACCGTCACCATCGTTGCTTACCAGGCGAAGTTGCAGTGGAACAAGTCAGCAGGCTTCCCACTTCGCCTAGCTTTCTCACTTTATAAGCATCAGCTTATTGCCCACCTCTATCTTATTTTCTCTGCACCAGATACTCCCACATGCTACCAATTGCATTTTGCCCATGTCGTTCCTTTCTATACCTACCATCATTTTTCTCTGACCTAAAACACACCCACCCTCCTTGTCTTTCTCCCTTCGCACGCGTTCGGATGCTCAGCTGAGAAGCAACGTCTCGGGAACGCGCCTACCCACTGATAGGACAGGCGCTCCGCGATGGTCCCACCCTCCCATCGCGGCTGACCTCTTTCTTGCCCCATTTTCTGTTTAGACGTTCTTTCTGCTGCACATCGGAAAGCCTCACGGGCTTTCGCCCACCCCTGTCTCTTCGGCATACATTTTGCTCAGACCATTTCTCGTTCCCGTGCTGTCTCGCTGCTTTTAGTCATCATATTCTGCTTACACATACATACTCTTCTCGCAATGTCAGTTGTTTGATCTGCCTTCCCTTGCGCGTGCATCAAACAACCTCCCCCCCCTATTCGCAAGGATCACCAAAACCATAGAAGATGGTATGCGAATATTCGACAGACCCATGGAGATTCGAATGCTCCTTTACTTTTCTAAGAGCAGGCGTTAATAGTAAAAAATGAAGGCATACACGAACGTACCACATTGATAGGATCTGTATCATCGAAGAAGTTCCATAGGAAGGGAATCTTCCTGTCATGAGCAATGGCCCACCTCGCATACTCCGCTCTCTCGCCCTTGTCTTTGAATACCTGATCACCATTCCAGAATGCACCATCGCCGGATTTGTCGTTGAGGTCATGGTAGACTGGATCACCATTCCAGAAGGAGTTGACGGCTTACAGCGCGGCGATTGTGAACCCGTTGCACCATTCATAGATATGTTGCATAGCCTACACAATTGGAGATCAGTGAAGGATGAAAATGAAATGATAACTAACCAGACAGTACACAACCTCGGTGTGTGCGACTGTGTGAGGGACAGATGGGAATACTGCATCCCATAGCTGTTGAAGCTCGTGGATCAGGCTTGATACATCCCATGGATTCTCCAATGTGCCGACGAAGTCGCGCCAGGAGGGAATGAAGATACGCCGCCAGCGTGCTTGAGTTCCAGCAGGCAGGTCATCTATCGAAAATCCATTGGAGCGCCCGGACTTGGATTGATTCCGCGGCTGCGACAGCAGGGGGAATTGGTCGACTTCAGGGAGGTTATGGTGCTGGATCTTGACGCTCGCAGGCTTGAAAGGTCAAGCAATCATTGGTGGTAAGTCACCAGAAAGATAATGAGAACACACCATGTGACAAGGCAGACTCTCAAATTCTTTGATAGTATCTCCATCCTTATCAAGGTCAGCTGGCATCACTGCGTTGTGATTGGTGTTGTCTGCCTGTATGGCTCGCATGGAGAACCCATGCCCATGGGTAATGAGAAGGCTGGGTACCTTAGTTTTGTTAGTAGTCTAGCAGAACAATAAGCAAGAACGTACATTGAAGTCGTGACCTTTCTCTTTGTTCAAGGACCCCTTGTTGCGCTGCCTGGCCATGACTCGTGGAATGGCAGCACCTTCACGGCTTTCATCTTCATCTTCAAGACCGCCATAATCGGCTCCCAAGATAACGTTATCGCTATCACCGCGGTCAGTGTCTAAGGCCGCCTGGTCCTCATTCCTATCCACGTCCATCTTATTGTGAGTGGGTGCAGCCTGTTGTTTAGGAGTGCTGATGGATGCTGAGGGCAAATGCGCCTTGGGGAGAACAGGGATTTTGAAGGCCGGATTTACCTTCCTGGTGGAGAATCCTGGGTTGAGCCCTGAAGGGGCCTGAGATTGGTGCGAGCGCACCAACCTCTGTGCATCAAATGAAGCCAAGCTGCGTATGTAAGGTTCAGAGCCAACCAACATGCGAGCCAAGATGCCATACAAACCTGTTTGACTTCTCCTGCTCACTGCCCTCCATAGCTTTCCTCTTTAAGTTTGTCTTTGAGGATTGTTCGGCCACAGTGCATTCGGCCATGATTTCAGACCTGATGGTAGGTCGAATTTTCTTCGGTAGGTTGCTTGGTCCATCTTGAGATCCGTTGCTGGTGTCAGCAGCCTTCTGACCTTTAATGTTCACATTAATTGTGTCAACGAGGTAAAGATTGGAGACTAGTAAGCATTGCTGACCTTTAGGAATGACTAGGACCCCTTCACTGATCACAGTGCTCGATGCAGATACTGTTGCAATCTGCCGTGTCGCCTTTTTCATGGTGCTCATACCAGGATTGGACGCATTAGCCATGTCAGATGTGTACACAGCTTGCATATGATCTTCCAACAGAGCAATTTTACTGACTGAAGCTTTACCCTTCGCTTTAGAACTCTCCTTTGCAGCCTCCACCAAATCTCGCTCTTCAGTAACATCAGCATGGCTCCGACGCCGCACCTTAGCATCTAGGAGTCCCGGATGCCGATCTTTGTTCGAGGCACGAGTAACAAGGCGATGAGTGGTTGGAATCTGAGACATTCTTCAATTTAAGGTATGTCAGAACCTGTGGACACAAGAGGGGATGGAAATGACAGTGGGCATACCATGGATGCCTTTTGACCCACAGGATTCAACACAGCTTTGTAATGCCAGCAATATCAACACCTCTCACTCTATGGCTGCAATCTAAACACCCAACATGCCCATCATTCTATGGGCCATTTCAAACGGACCTTACCCATTGTCTAGTACGCACCGCTCCAAATCCTTTGCCCTATTAGATCCTCATCCAAGCATACTCAAGCATTGGACTCGCAATAGTTGTCAAAGGACGTGTCATTCTATGGTCCTCCTGGTACTGGTAACTGAACCTTGCTATCACAAACAGGACATGGATGAATGGCATGTTTTGCAAGGTCTGCTGCTTCTATCTGTCTGCTGATTCATGCTAATAATAAGCAATATCTTCTGAGAGATGCTCCATCAATACATTTACTGCACAATGACCGTGGTGCAAGGAGCTAGTGTCACGAACGGCTGTTCGAGACGAGAGGATCCTAGGCCACAAATAATGGAAAGGAGTTTGAGAGGATGATCGGGGCTGATCAGACTAGTGTCTTGCAATCAGAGAAGACTGTGTGAACAGCAGTTCTTAGATTGGACAGAAGTGGATAGCCTGAGGCTTCCACACTGCGCCGCAGTATCTATAAATATGTACAAGCAGATGCACGGACCAAGTATCAATGGAGTGGGGACGCAAGGTATAGTCGGGAGAAAGGTCCTACGAGTCCTTATCAAGAAGGTGAGAAAGATAGGTAAGCATAGGCAAGGCGTTTCGTAACATTACCCCCCCCTCTAGGCCATCAGTGCCAGAGACGGTAAGTAACAGTCCAAGAAAAACATAAGCAATGCACATGAGTCAGATCATACAAAATAATATTTAGGGCACAAATTCTCGCTGCCCACAGTCAAGTCATGACGCGATAGCCCTTGAGTACGGACGTCATGATACCCCACCTCATTACCAACCATGCGGGGACTGCGTTTTAGAGCCGAGTCCCTCTTCTCATCATGGCAGTGGGTACCGGCCCAATGGATTCGAACCGTCGTCTGCCCCGGCAGTTTTACGTCATACCGGACGAGGGCATCTGTTGATCTCTAAGCTCCACGAGGGCGGAGTACAACGGGCGTGGTGTCGGACTCGCTAGAGTTGTATTCAGTGAAGGGAAGGGGAGGTCGAGTTCTCGTCGAGGAGCGGATAAGGCCGAGACACGCGGGGATGATGTGATAGCGGGGGGAGACTTGTGCGAATTGATATACATCCCGTTCTCTGTCGGTCCTCGTGGAGTAAGTCCCTGGCATTGGGCGAAGCGGAGCACCATTTGAGGCCGAAGACGAGGCACGAGATACCACAGCCGTGGTAGGCATGTGATACTCGGTAGAGGGAGTGGGATCGTCGGCAGGATGAAAGGAGTCTCGGAGGTTCTGCAAGCCCATGAGTTTTCGCTCTCCAGCGTTAATACGGGCGATGATCGTGCCCTCTCTGATCTGCAGAGCTCGCTGTGCGTGTCGAACGAAACTCCTTTCTTCTTCCAAGATCTCTAACGCCCTCTGAATCTCCGGTCTAGTTGGTCCCGACACGAACTCTGTGTTGGGCGTTCCTTCAATAAGTCCCATCATGTACGCAACGGGAGTTGTGAGGTAAGTTTCCCTATCCGGGAAGACAACGCCTTCGTTAGCTTCACGGATCAGAGGGGGTGGCGAGGGGGAGGATGACGAGGATGTGGATATGTCTATGACGGGGGATCCGGGGGTTTGCGCCGCAGCTGCTTCTTCTGCCGCGTCAGCGTCGACTTGAGCCTGATACCTCCTTGCTGCTTCCTCTCTTCGATACTCTTGTCCCCTCGCGCTGAGCATGGGAGTGTCTTCGTTACGGAGTATAGCCTCGAAGTCTCCTGCTTCTGACATGGTGGGGGAGCGGAGGTAACTGGGGAGCGACATTCGTTTGTCGACGAGGGTGTTATCAGCAGATGAGAGGTAAAGGGATTCGTCGGAGGACATGTTTTATCGGAGATGAGTTGGAAAGGAATGGTTGAAGTGCTGGAGGGATTTCAAGGATCGAGTTCGGATTTTTATATGTTTTGTGCTTTGATGATCCCATCTTTACAAGGGCCTCTCGTAAAGGCAAAGTGTTGCGTCTTTGGTCAAATGCTTCCAAAAGTTCTTTGGCGTTCCCTAGGTTTGCCCTTGTGATCCATTCATCCGCCGAACTCGGATATCCTTTCCAATGTACCAAATATTGATATCCTTGTCCTCATTTCCTTTTGTCGAGGATGTCTTCCACTTCGTATTCCTCTTGTCCTTTGATTAGGTCAGGTGGTGGCTGTTCGAAGTTGGGGCCGTGGGCTATTGTTTCTTTATATGGTGTAAGTAGAGAGGCATGGAACACGGGGTGTATCTTCCATGTTGGCGGGAGTTTTAATCGATACGTAACTGGCCCTAACTTTTCTTCTATTTGGAACGGTCCATGTAGTTTAGGGGCTAATTTGTCCTTTGGATGTGTAGTGGTAATGTTTTTTCCTGAGAGCCAAACTTTCTGTCCTGCTTCTAGTTTGACTTCGTTCTCGGCGGTTTTTCTTTTCATTAATTCTGCTGCGACTTCCAGGCTGGCCTTCGTTTCTTTTCGAAGTTGTTCTAGCCTTTCCAGCCTTAGCTCCACTCCGGGGATGTCGGTCCTTGGTGCGATTTGGGGTGCGAAGGTCAGGTTATAGCCGTACATGAGTTCGAATGGTGATTGGTGTATGGCTGAATGTTCCCTTATGTTGTGCGCAAATTCGGCGTATGGTAGTAGCTCAGGCCAGTTTGTCTGTTCGTAGTTGCAGAATGCTCGCAGGTACTGTTCTAGTTCTTGGTTTACTCTTTCTGTTTCTCCGTCTGTTTCGGGATGATAAGCGGTTGATAACGCTGTCGTAACTCCTAGTTTCTTCCATAGTTCTCTTGTAAATCGAGCGGCAAATTGCGGACCTCTGTCGGAGATGATCTTCTGTGGGAGTCCGAATCGTCTCCAGACATTTTTCATATAGAGGTCGGCCGTTCCTTTGGCGTCTATGGTTTTGTCGCACGGAGTGTAGACGACTCCTTTAGTGCTTCTGTCTACTGTTACGTGTATTGCGTTATACGGTCCGACTTGTGGAAGATCCATGATGAAGTCCATTGTGACTGTCTGCCAGGGTCCTTCTGGTATTTTGTTGGGAACGAGTGGAGTACGTGTGGGATGTGTGATATTTTTAGTGTATTGACACGTTGCACATCCCGTTACGTATTCTTTTATGAACGTGGACATTCCTGGCCACCAGAAGTTGTCTGATACTAGGACGTAGGTCTTCCATCTTCCTGGGTGTCCCACGGCTGGTGAATCATGGTACATCTTTGTGATCTGTCTTTTCAGTTCGTCGTCTGGTGGAACGTATATTTTTCCTCTGTGCCAGATGAGATCATCTTCATAATTCCATTCTTGCAGACCTTTTGAGAGTGCTCTGGGTCCTGATGCTTTGATAAGTTCCATTGCGTCTGTTACTTCTTTATCTTTGGCTGTGACTTCTTTTAGCTTTCGTCTCAGCTGGCTATCAAGCATTTCGACTGTTCCTCGTCCTGTTGCACTTTTGACGAACATTTGAGGTTGTAGTAGTACCTGATTTTTGTTGTCGAATTTTACCCCCTCTTTTAGGTCTGGACGCCTGGACAGAGCATCGGGTCAGTGGGTAATGCCCCCAACCGGACGAGGGTGAAATTGAAGCGGGAGAGAAAGAGTGACCAGCGTGCCTGGCGGCGGGAGAGAGTTCTTGCGGTAGAGAAGTATAGAAGGTTCTTGTGATTGGACCAGATCTCGAATGGGTGTCGCACGCCTTCTGTTACGACTGCTCGTCGGTAACCCCAAGAGTAGGAGGTTCTTCCCTAGGTCACTCGTGGAGGATGTGTGGAACGGTGGTCTCGACTGTACGTGTAGCACAGGAGCCAGAAGTGTATTGCGATATAGCAATGAAGACTGTAGTAGGAAGACTACAGTGGATGAGGGTGCTGTGGTAGGAAGACCACAGTGAACGAAGATCCCTGTATGTGAAGATACAGGGGAACGAAGAGAATAGACTGAAGATCCTCAGCCTATTCTATGGGCCTTTTATACTACTTTAGGAAGTAGGGCGTGAGAATACCGAATATGTATCTGTAGGTATTCTCTAAGTCGTCTCTCTCAATAACGACTACTCTTGTGCTTCTCCGTTTGTCTCCTTCCGGCCAGGAAAGACTAGGAGGTTCATGCCCTGCGTGTGAGTAATTTATAAGGCGGCGTTCCATGCCCGCTAATACAATAGGCCCGTGATACTCGACCAACGATAAGGTGATCCGTTGGGAGTGGATGACCAAGGTTACTACCTGTACCTTGTTTGTACGCCTCACTGTGTGAGGCCGCTTGATATTTGTGATGATCGTATCGGAATAGACCGCCGTGTAGGCCCGATAGAACGTGATCATAACAATACCCCCTTTCTACGTCCTATTCGCCTGGTAGGACCACGCCTTGCGTGTCATCGCCGCTCCATATACGATTTGCTTTCTTGATCCAATGATGGTCGCCGGATGCGACTTCCGGGACATGACTTCGTTTTCTGGGAGGAAGACCGACTTACATCGTTTGATCCTCTAGGAGTTTTCCATCTCCGTTGAGCTGTTTGTTTGTCGAGGCACGAGGGTACCAAACCTCCGCTCTGTAGGGTGTTCTTCCTTCACCCGTGGGATTGATTTTGCCGCGGGTAAACCGCATTGCGGTCTTACTTCCAGCCCGCTTCTGGAACAGCATCAAGAAAGGCGTATGAATGCGAGTGGTGTGTGGATGTGTAGAAATTCGAGCGTGTGGGTTCTAATTCGTGTCATCAGGTTCTTCTTCTTCCTTCTCCGAGGGCCAAACCTCAGTGTTTCCAGGATAGTCGTCTATCCTCATGATTTGTTGTTCCTCTTGACGACAGTGGATGGCGCCCATGGACAAGTAGGTTGATCGCTTTACGAAGGCTTAGGCCTACTTCTCCAGGCTACCAGTCATGACGCCCCAAGCAGTATCGCTCCCATACGGTGAGCTCATCTCCGGTGAGGTTGCAGCCAAATCCCAAGCAGTATTGTCCCCATACGGTGGACTCATCTCCGGTGAGGCAGTTTACGGCGTCCAGAGTTTGTTTTTCACAAACGTGGGCCTATGGTGGGGAATACCACGTGTAGTGTTGGGTTCGAGGCAAGGATGTGAAGAGAATTAGACTTGAAGGGTGCAGCGAGGAATAAGGAGGAGTCTGACTCCTTTCCCAAGTCTGTCCGTTCGCTTGCACGAGTAGACATCAAGACCACAGCTGATATATTTGTCGGGTTGCGAGATATATCCACGACTGGCAGTTTAAACGTCATGCGGGATGGTCCGTAGTTTATCGTCGTTTCGGACGATCCGTAGTTTAACGTCTTTGCGGACGTCAGTAGTTTTACATCGTTTCGGATGTGCTTCATCATCAACATGGAATATCTGTGGGGAAAGATGTTTCTGCACGCCGGAATTTCCATCGGTGATGTGCATAGGGCCATAGACCAGACTTTACCCGCTCCAGATTCCACTGAGGCATGATGGACGGTTTATACTATATCAAACCGGATAACTTGTAACGCCTCAAAGTTATGAGACCGCTCAGTTTAACGCCGTGAGGTAGGCGGACCTGCAGTTTAACGCCGTGCATTAGGCGGGCTATCGTCTGACTATGTCCCTCGAGTCACGATAGGTTTTTCCTCCGAGGATGAGGGTAGTTTAATGTCATTTCGGACATTGTCGACACATTCTCGTCAAGAATGATGTCGACCGATGATCCCTGTGCCAAAAGGGACGAGTAGTTTAACGTCATTGCGGACGATTCAGCACCAGAGTGATGAATCACAACTCCTATGCGGTAAGGAGCACGTAGTTTAGTGTCATTGCAGACCGATTGACACCATGGCGGTCAATCCACAACTCCTATTCGGTAAGGAGCAAATAGTTTTCTGTCGTTGCGGACGCATTGGCGGCCAGGGGATTGGACGTCAATGACAACCCCTAGGTTCAGGGGGCACCTAGTTTAACGTCGTCGCGGACGCATGGGGGATCAGTCCAGTATCCTCCATGCGCGATCCTCATTCTTGAGAGGACAATAGTTTATCGTCGTTTCGGACGCGCGGTATCCTGTCAAGATCGCCACGCACGATCCCTAGAACGAAGGGACAGTAGTTTTACATCATTCCGGATGCCCGTAGTTTACCGTCTTTGCGGACGTCGATGCCATTGGCCTCGAACAATCCCTGTGTGGAAAGGGACAATAGTTTAGCGTCATCGCGGACGTTGTTTCGCCACAAATATTGTGGAAAAACAATGCTTAGTTTAACGTCTTCCCGGACGCTTCGTAGTTTATCGTCGTTGCGGACGATTGGCGGAGTAGACTTCGGATGAGTGGCCGCTCTTGTCGTTCTTCCGCTATGTGGGCCAGATGAGAGTCGCGTGATCTAGTCCCTTCCTACTAGATCTTCGACTCGAGGCACGTGTCCTAGTTGCCTCCTGACTAGGTCTTGGAGCGGAATTTCTTGTACTTCGACTCCGAGACTAGACTGAGCGCTCCATGAAGAGATGCTTGCTCTTCCATGTCCCCAGACCCCTCGCTTGGATTTGAACCAAGACGACCCGATATTCTTTTACCGAAAAGCGAGTGAATATTGGAAGTGCTTCGACCTTTTATAGGCAGGGTTCTGTGACGCGAGTCCTTCCGCGCTTCGCCAGAATGCAACCACGCTCCTTTGGTCAATGGTAGTTTTACGTCACCTCGGACGAGGATAGTTTTCCGTCGTTTCGGACGATGACTAGTTTAACGTCATTGCGGACCCTAGTAGTTTATAGTCATTGCGGACCAAGCCTTTGGTAGTTTTACATCGTTCCGGATGTAATTTTGTGGCCTCACATCATTAGGAAGACTTGTGAGGTAGAGGCGGCCCGCTCTCTACATCATCTCATGCGCCAGCTGTAGGATCCCCTAATGCGGAAACGATCCTGTAAAACGGGAGATCCAAAGTGGGACGTCCCAAAACACCAGTCAGACCTTGACTGTGAGGGTTCACGTTACGAGTTATGCATCATAATTTCTTGACTCGGACTTGCAACCGGTTATGTATGGGCACTTCGCTGTACCAAGGCGAAGGGCCTGCTTGTCGACACCTACGAGTAGAGTATATGTCATGTAGAGGGTTCCCTAATGCGGAAAAAACCCTGTAAAACTGAGGATCCAAATGGGACGCTCGATGCATCTGTCAGATTAACTCCTTGACAGCGAGGATGTGAAAGGTTCCGCCGTAGGTCGTACGTGGAATTATGCCCGCTGTTGTCCTTGATTCGTACCATCATTTGAACCTAGGACTAAATGGTCAGGTACTTCCCCTGCCTTCTTATCTTTTCACAGTTTTAAGACATGCAGGTCCGATAGTTTAGACGTCATTCCGGACGCGGGGTAGTTTAACGTCTCTTTCGGACGAGGTCGTACAGTTTAACGTCTTGAGGGACGATCCTAGTTTTACGTCGTTGCGGACGATTGTAGTTTTACATCGTTTCGGATGCGATTTTGTGAGGGGAAGGAGTTCCTCAACTTCCTTACCCCCTTTCTTCTCCTTGTGCCCTGTTATTAGTTCGTTTAATAATCGAAGGGTCCTTGATAATCCCCGCCCCCTTCGTCAGGTCGATAGTAGGGGTCCGCTTCGTCGTAATTTCCGGGGTCGTCTAGAGCATCCCATGCATCGAGCTTGGATCTAGTCCACGAGCTATTTCTTCGAGCCTCCGAATCAGTGCGGCGAGTTCTGCGGCTACTTCGGTTATCCTCTCTTTTGTGCGTACGAAGTCGAGCACTAGGAGGAGGCGATCTAGGCCGGTGTCGAACACTCCGGCCAGCAGTTGTTCCGCGTCCGAGGGTTGTCTGGCTTCCCCGACTCCGCCTTCCCTCGTTTCTTCGATAGACGGGCGGTTCCTCCTCGTCGGTATTTCCTTGGGATAGGGGAAAACCTCGTATCCGGTGAGAGGGGGGAGTCGCGGTATGGCTATGCGCTGTAGAAACCTCTCGTTGTCTCGGTGGAGGGTGCTCCACGACCGTGCGCGGAACCCTCCTTAGATTTGGTACAGGCGTGGTGTGTTCTCCGGGACGTGGTACGTTCCAAGTGACAACCCGGAAAGGGTCGGTTCTGCTTGGTTGGACGTTCCCCAGTTCCCCTCCGAAGAGGAGAGCTGGAAGGAGCTCTCGGTTGACGTATTGGGAGAACTCGTCAGGGTGGATGAGGAGGGCTCGCGGTCGCCCGTCATTGTGGGCGTACCAGGAGGCTGTGTCCGGGTCGGTTTGGAGGGCGAGTGTTCGGATCTGAAGACTGGCACTAGCCAATCGTCGAGGTACGTCGCTATGTTCATTCCCGGGTTGTCCTGCCGAGAAGTTAGCAAGTCTTTGGAGGGCCATGGCTGTGGCCATTTGTATTACCGCGGAGATGGTGTTCCACTGGAGGAGCGCGTCCGCGTGTCGCTCCAGTTCTCCGGCGTGAGGATCTGCACGAGGGGTAGGTCCTCCCATGGAGCTGGGAATCGGTCCACCAGTTGGTACTGGCGGAGATGCAGTTTCTGATAGAACTGGTATTGGCTCAGCTTCTCCATGGCTTGGGAGTTGAGCTGCTGTTCTTGCTCGAAATCCCAAGGGACCTGCAACTCCACTATTTGGCGTGCCTTCACTAGGAGGTGGAACTCCCACTGGTAATTGGCCAAGGCTCGACTGGTTTCGGTCATCAGAACTTTCATGCCGTGGTGCATCTCGTGAGGCCCTCTCCGGTGAGGGTCTTCGGGTTCTTTCCCTTTCCTTGAACTTGGCATAGTCTTCGGCGTCGTCGTCGGAGAAGTTGTTGATATGAGGGGTGAGGAGGACCCCGGTAGATCCTGGTTGTTGAGGACTTGTTCCTCTATCAATTCGTCCAGCATCTGGTCGGTGAGGACTTGTTCCTCTTTCCACTCGTTCGACATCTAGATTGGCGACCATAAGGACGACATCGGGGGAGGAGTTTCTGGATGGAGACGAAGCATCGTGGTCGTCGTGGAGGAGCATTCGAATGGGGGAAAGTGTTTGAGAGGGAAAGAAGGTGAGGAGATGTTTTGTTGGAGTCCTCTTGTCGCTCCTTTTATAATCTTTGTTTCTCCTCTCAGGCTGTTCCTGGACGGGGTTTGTCGGGATATTGGTCATGGAAATCTTTCATGGCTTCTTCCGCTGTTCCCTTCAGGAGAGCGTAGGGCTCCCAGGTGTTGTCTGCTTCGGGATATCCCATCCATTTGACCAAGTATTTGGTTCCCCGTCCTTGCCGTTTTGAATCCACGATCATTTCTACTTCGTAATGTTCTTCGTCGTTCAATACCTCCGGTATTGGTCGCGCGAAGTTCTCTCCGTGGGCTTCGGTTTCTCTATATTTAGTGAGTATTGCGGCGTGGAATACCGGATGGATTTTCCACTGCGGAGGAATTTGGAGTTTGTACGCCAGGGTTCCTACTTTTCCCAGTATCTTGAAAGGACCATATCGCCTAGGGGCGAGCTTGAACTTAGGATGGGTTGTTCGAATATGGGTTCCTTCTAACCATACTTGGTCCCCTTCCTCCCATTGGGGAAGTTTCCTGTGAAGATCCCGGTCTTTGGCGTAATTGCTGGCTATTTGTAAGCTGGCAGCGGCTTCTTCCTGAACTTCTGTGATCGTCCTAATGCGTTCAGCTACCGCAGGTACCTTTGTCTCCAGCGCCGTGTCAGCTGAATAGGGGGGATTGAACCCGTATAGTACTTCGAAAGGGGATTTTCCGGTGGCTGTGTGTTTCCGTGTGTTATGTGAGAATTCGGCGAACGGCAAAAGGTCTACCCAGTTGTCCTGATGGTAGTTGCAGAACATTCTCAGGAATTGTTCGATCTCCTGGTTTACCCGTTCCGTTTCTCCATCTGTTTGGGGATGATACGCCGTGCTGAGAGCGGCGGTGATTCCTAGCCGTTTCCAGAGTTCTCGGGTGAATTTGGCCGCGAATTGAGGGCCCCGATCGGACACTATTTTGGTCGGCAGTCCATGTCGATTGAAAACGTTATTTTGGAAAAGCACGGTTGTTTCTTCTGCCGTGATCGTTTTCTTGCATGGGGTGATGACTATGCCTTTTGACAGACCTTGATCCACTACCACATTAATTGAGTCGAAACCTTTGCTTTCGGGTAGGTCCGTGACGAAATCCGTCGAGATGAATCGCCAGGGAACGTTGGTGGTTTCCAGAGGGTGGATAGGTGGGTGTGTCCTGTGTGTCAAATTCTTCGTAGATTGGCATATGGCGCATCCATCCACATATTCATGGACGAATTTTGTCATGTTTTGCCACCAGTAGTGTCGTTGCACCATTTCCAATGTTTTTGCTCTACCCGGGTGTCCTACCGCGGGTGCATCATGATGTGTTTTGACGATGAGTCTTCGGATGACGTCGTCTTTGGGGACGCATATGTGGCCGTTGCGTCTGGTGATTCCGTCCTCATATGTCCAATGTCCCAATAATCCTCTCATCCCTTGTGGTCCTACTCGTAAGAGTTTTGCAAGAGCTACTCTTGTTAAGGCGTCATGTTCCGATTTCGAGTGTCGGATGAGGGAGATGAGGTTTGAAGAGGCAATTTCCGTGGATTTTATATGCCGTGTCGGGGACGGTTCTACCAATGTTTCGTCGGATTTGTTGAAAAGCTTGGCCGGGAGTAAAATTTGAGATTTGTTGTCAGATTCTACCCCCTCACTTAGGTCTGGACGCCTGGACAGAGCATCGGAGTGATTTGTTGATCCTGCTTTATAGCTGAGTGTAAAGTCGAATCTGCTCAAATAAAGGCTCCAACGGGCGTGTCGTCGTGATAGGTCTCGCGCCGTTTGGAAATGTTCCAGGTTTTTATGATCTGTCCAAATCTCGAAGGGGTGTCGCGCGCCTTCGAGGTAGTGATTCCAGTGTTCCAATGCTTTTATTATAGCCAAGAGTTCCCGGTCGTGAACATCGTAATTCCGCTCTGCTGGTGAGAACGATCCAGAGAGGAAAGCGACTGGGTGCCAGTCGCCATCTTTTCCTTCTTGTAGAAGGGTAGCTCCATAGGCGATTAGTGATGCGTCCGTTACTAATCGATATGGGTGCATGGGATCTGGATAGTTCAGGACGGGTTTACTGATAAAAGCTTTCTTTAACCGTTCGAAAGCTTCTTGGCATTTTGCAGTCCAGTTCCATTTCTTGTCCTTTTTGGTAAGGTCATGTAGGGGGCGCGCGATGAGTGAGAATTTGTCAATAAAGCGCCTGTAAAAATTCCCTAGGCCCAGGAAGGAGCGGATGTCGCGGACTGTGCGTGGGATTGGCCAATCTTTTATCGCGTCCACCTTTGAGTCCTCCATGGCGACATGGTCTTTTGAAATTGTATATCCCAGATATTGGAGTTTTTCCTTGTAAAACTCACATTTTTCGGGTTTCAAGTATAGATCGTTGTCGCGTAAGATTTGGAAAACCTGGTTTAGGATTTTGACATGTTCCGCCATGGTTTTGGAGAAAACGAGGATGTCGTCCATATATACGGTTATCTTCCGGGCTGTGATGAGCTCCCTGAAGATCATGTTCATCATAGCTTGGAAGGTGGCTGGTGAGTTGGTTAGGCCGAAAAACATCACCGTAGGTTCGTAAGAACCTAACGGAGTGATGAAGCTCGCCTTCCACTCATCTCCCTCTTTGATGCGTATATTGTTGTATCCCCATCGCACATCCAATTTGCTAAAAATGACGGCCCCTTTTATCACGTCCAGTAGTTCTTGGATTAGTGGAAGGGGGCACACATTCGGGATGGTGTGCGAATTCAAGTGGCGATAGTCCTGTACCGGGCGTAGTTTTCCATCTTTTTTTCCTATGAAGAAAAATGGGGCTGCTGTTTGCGAGGTGGATCGACGGATAGTTCCTCTTTCCAGATGTTCCTTGATGAATTTTCCTAATTCGTCGTGTTTTTCTGGGCTCAGGGCGTAGATTTTGGGCACTTGAGGTTTGAAGGTCGGTTTTAAGTCAATGGCATGATCCCAGTAAGTGTGTTCTGGGAGTCGCTGCGACTTTCGTTCGCTAAAGATGTCCAAAAATTCGTGATGCGCCTTGGGGACTCTTTCCTTTAGATTGGTGACGATAATTTCGTCTTCCAGGTCTTGGTCGAAGCTGGCAAATCCTGACGGTTCGGGGGCCAGTTTCCGAATAACTGGGTCCCAGGTGGCCTGTTTTCCTGAGGGTTTGTCTGGGAGATCAGGTTCTCCCTCGTTTGGTGAAAGAGATGGCTTGTCTTGAGCCTTGCGTTTCTCTTCTGCGTATTTCCTTATGTCCTTTAGGAGCCATTTCCTTTTGAGGTATGCTCGTAGTTGGACACCAAACGTTCCGCTATGGTCGCGGAGTCCTACATCTTCCGATAGTCTTCGGAGATGTTCTAGGCGCTGTTTTTCGCGCTCATTGATGCGTGGTTTATGCCGTGGCTCCACGTTTGATAACCGCCTGCTGTATGGCGGTTCTTCCCTTGCCCTGGTGAACCCATATGGTTGCTGGCATTTCTGGGGGCACCGATCAAAGTGCACTTCACGTCGCCTCCATTCGATGGAGGGATCGTGGTATTTCAACTAATCTGTTCCCAGGATAAGGTCGTCCTTCCCTAGATTGGAGATAAACATCTGGACGCGCTCGGTATGCGTTCGTCCACTGATGTCCCGAATGGTGAGGTTCACATCCAAGGCGGATCGGATGAGACCTGCTTTGTTAATGGTGTCATCGACGTTCCGGACGCGAATGGGGTTGTTGAGTGTATGGTTGGGGAAACGATGTTTCTTGACCCAAGTTTCGTTTACTATAACTCCTTCGCAGGCCAAGTCGATGGTTGCTTTTGCTCCAGCGTATTGACTCCTGTTTGATACTTTCACGTTCAGGCGTATGGGGGTGATGATACGGTCGTTCATTGCTCCGATACGAATACAAGTGCGGGCATCAAACTCGGGTCGTCCTTGACCTCTCTCCTTCACTGGTGAGGGAGAGGTTAGGAAAAACGCTCCGCGTGTCCCAAGATTACTTCTCTGGCTTCATCTTCTCCTAATTCTCCGAGCACTGCTCCGATTCGAGCAGAATGACTGACGCTTCCGTCTCCCCGTCGTCCGTTAGGTAACATAGCGCGTTGCCCATGGTTCGTTTGGGGTCGTCCGGATGAGGTAGAGTGAGGACGTTCCATCGAAGGACCAGGTTGTGGTACCCGCTGGTCGTTGCGAGGGACATCCTCTGTCTCCATTCCTCGATATATTCCCGCTTGGTTTCCCATAGCGGGTGCGTCGTCTTCTCTTTCCAAATCAACCGCGCGGCCTCTTCTCCCTGTCGTACCCATGCGTCTCTTCGAGTTTCCTCAAGTTGGTTGAACGCCTCTGCGTCGGGACGGGCAGTCAGTATTCCAGTGTCCTGTTTTTCCGCAATGGTAACAGGCGCTTGGAGGCTTGCCGTCATATTTCCGTTTTTGGCTAAGGGCATTGCGCTTGCGTGTCGCGTCAATGTCCATGTCAACGACTTGGTTGTTCATTCTGCGAGGGGCGTTTGTGGAATTGTAGCGGGGAGAGATTTGGTTATGAAAACGATTCAGATAATCGCTTCGAAAGGAGGTGGAGTTGGCGAGGATGGCTTTTTGAGCTGTTCTGGCTCGAAGTCGTCCATCTATTTCGCAGGCTGTATTGATCCAGTCCTGAATCGTATCCTTTGGCTGAACTTCCTTGTCGTATATTTTGTCCATGACACGCGGGTCTAGCCCGCGTTGGAAGTAAGGGACTTGCTCTTTATCGGAGATGTCGGCATCGGCGGCGATGAGAATGAATTGGTTGGAGTATTCATCAACCGTCATTCGTCCTTGGGAGAAGGCCATAAGTGCGCTTTGCGCTTTGTCGGTCTTGCCCGTCTCCCTGAACTGTAATTTGAACTTGGCTAAAAAGTCCTTCCAGGTGCCTAGATCGGTAGGTGGATCTGCTCCTACTGATTTGAGGAGGAAGTTCTCCGCCCAAGCTCCCGCCGTGCCGTATCTCATGCATGAGAGCACAAGGGATATTTTGTCTTGATCGGTCTTGTACCGATCGGATTCTGCTGCGAAAAGAAGGAGGCATTGGAGCATGAATTTCTGGGATTCAATGCGGTCGCCTGTGTAATTGTCTGGGAGTTTGACTTTTCCTCTTCCGGGTTGTACTGTCGCGGAAGGGGTGTTTGTAGAAGTCGAAGCTTGTCCCGACATTTCGGCGAGTGGTTCGTTTCGGGTGTTGATCGGTGTTTGGTCTGGTGAGTCGGAGTCTGATTCCGAGGTTGTTTCCTCTTGCTCCGAGTCTTCGGGGATTACCGGCGCCGGTTCCCTGTATTGTGGGGCTAGTTCCCACTGTGCTTCTGTTTCGTTCCAAATATCCTCTTCTTCTGTTCCGTCTTCAAGGGTGAAGTAATAACGCCCATTTCGGTATGAGCAGTTATCGTAATTCGGAGGGGCAGTTCCGTTATTGTCTTCGTAGACCCAGAAGTCCCCTTCGCGCCGGATAGGGCGATTGTTGTGACGGAGTTGGTTATTGATAAGTCTAGTGCCGGGTGGGTATTCCTGGCCTAGGTCTTGCTCCAGAGTGTATGCAGTAACGCTTTCTTGATGGGGGTCTATTATCCCCACCGAGGAAGGTTATGAGAGAGAGTGTGGCAGCAAGCTAGTGCGAGCAAGGTAGGGGCAGAAGAGTCTATTCTAGTGTTACGACTGCTCGTCGGTAACCCCAAGAGTAGGAGGTTCTTCCCTAGGTCACTCGTGGAGGATGTGTGGAACGGTGGTCTCGACTGTACGTGTAGCACAGGAGCCAGAAGTGTATTGCGATATAGCAATGAAGACTGTAGTAGGAAGACTACAGTGGATGAGGGTGCTGTGGTAGGAAGACCACAGTGAACGAAGATCCCTGTATGTGAAGATACAGGGGAACGAAGAGAATAGACTGAAGATCCTCAGCCTATTCTATGGGCCTTTTATACTACTTTAGGAAGTAGGGCGTGAGAATACCGAATATGTATCTGTAGGTATTCTCTAAGTCGTCTCTCTCAATAACGACTACTCTTGTGCTTCTCCGTTTGTCTCCTTCCGGCCAGGAAAGACTAGGAGGTTCATGCCCTGCGTGTGAGTAATTTATAAGGCGGCGTTCCATGCCCGCTAATACAATAGGCCCGTGATACTCGACCAACGATAAGGTGATCCGTTGGGAGTGGATGACCAAGGTTACTACCTGTACCTTGTTTGTACGCCTCACTGTGTGAGGCCGCTTGATATTTGTGATGATCGTATCGGAATAGACCGCCGTGTAGGCCCGATAGAACGTGATCATAACACCTTCGAGGTACACGCACCAGTGATCGAGGGCGTGTATGATGGCAAGTAGTTCCTTATCGAAGATGTCGTAGTTCCGCTCGGCCGCGTTGAACGATTTGGATAGGTAAGCAACAGGGTGCCATCCATCATTGGGCGTTTCTTGTGACAGGATGGCTCCGGAAGCGAAGTCGGATGCATCGGTCTCAAGACGGAAGGGGCGGTTGCCGTCCGGATAAACAAGGACGGGAGTCGACGTGAAGCAGTGCTTTAGTTGATGGAATGCTTCGTCTCGTTCGGGAGTCCACTCAAATGGGACCATCTAGAAAAACACCCCTTGTATTAGCTCTGGATTATATCTAATAGTGTCTAAAAGTATCTAAAAGTGTTAATAGTATCTAAAAGTGTCTAATTTCCTAATTGGGAGCAACACATTGTGAGCATTGGATTGGTTTCTAATTTCATGATATTAGCACTAATTCTATACTAAGAAGTCTTTAATTATCAGTAGAAAATAGTAAGTACTACTGCTCTATCAGTGAAAAGGTAAAAATGTGGCACATTCTATACTATTTCAGCATATTACTCTCCTTCATATATGCCTATACCATTATCTTGTAGCTTTTTTGCTGACTTTCCAGCTGCTTTTATAAGGGATATAGAAAGAGAGAAATGTGAATTGATGCCCTCAGCCACTTTGTTGGCAGCTTGACAGCTGCCACAAGAGGCTATGAAGACCTAGGTACCTTGTCCTTGCACACAAGATCATTAAAGTTGTCATTGTTAGCCAATGCCTGCTACTAGTCATTATAAGACACAACATGTGGGTTGGACTTAGGGATATGCTATATGCAGCCTTATAGACCTTGTCTATTAGTATAGTGGCTAATACTGTCTTGTGCAGCACACAATCATCATCACTATTGATATTACAATTTTTAGCACTATTTATATTGTTTATTGCCTTGTTATACAGAAGATGCTCAAACTTGGTGTTTTCCTCTAGCTATTAGGCTATGGAAAAGACAGCCATATTGGTATGTGGTGCCAGAATAATATATTTGCCTGCTATATAGGAAATATATGCATTAAGCATATTAAGATCACCTCCAACAATCTTGTGCTTATTTATATATAGGCATGCCATACATATACTCTTGTCCCTACCCTCTACCTCACTAGTGGCTATTTGGAAAACCCCTCTCTCTTATTGGATCTTAATTATTTATAATCATGTTTTCAATCAAATTTGCAGATTAAGGTAGCATTGGCTATACTAGTAGAGTCCTATTGAATATTACACTTAATCATAGTTTTACACATTCTCAGTCCAAATTGTATAAGTGCCATAATTTATTTTTATCCTATATAAAGTGTATTATTGATTTTCCATTGGTTTATTATCTTCTTAGCTGGTGTTTAAACTAAATCCTGAAAGACCTGACTTTTTAGGTATTTATTGACCTATTTATTTATAAGAGAGAGGAAAGATAAATGTTGAATAAAATCAGAGATGTTGAGGTTGCCTATATTATGTCTACTTATTTAGATTACCAAGTTTATATCTTAGACCTTGTGGCTTAGTGGCTAGAGCATCTGTCCCGAGTGCTTGTATACATGAGGTTGTTGGTTCAACTCTGGCAGAAGGCAAGTTTGTTATAAGGTATATTCTGTGTTTAGGTATTGAACTAGTGTTCTAATAGACATGACTTTATAAGAAGGCTATGAGAATTGTGATGCTTGTTTTATTATGATTTTTCCGATATTTGAAGTTATAATCAATCCTAATAACTCCTAATTTAGCAAAATTCTGTCTAATTAGAACAGGTTTAGAGGGGGGGTAAGCTAAAAATGTCTAATCCTAATTGTTCTTAATTATGCATAAATAGAACTAATTAGAGCTTAATACAAAGGAGTGGTTTTCCAGATGACGTCTTTCTTTGTAAGGTCATTGAGGGGTCTGGCCGTAGCGGCGAAGTCTTTGATGAACCTGCGATAGAAGTTTCCAAGGCCCAAGAAGGATTGTACTTCCTTGAGGTTCTTCGGAGTTGGCCAGGCGGCGATTCCATCAATCTTGACAGGGTCCATGGATATGCTGTCCGCGGAGATGATGAATCCAAGGTACTCGACCGTGTCCGTCTCGAAGGTGCATTTGGAAGGTTTCAGAAATAGATCGTTGTCCAGGAGTATTTGCATGACTTGGGTTGTTACGCGTCTATGTTCTTCGATGGTCTTTGTGAACACCAAAATGTCATCCATATAGACCGCCAGGACCTGTGCGACAATGAGGTCATGGAAGATGATGTTCATCATTGTTTGGAAGGTTGCAGGTGAGTTGCAGAGACCGAAGAACATTACGAGGCATTCGAATAGGCTGAATTTAGTCATGAAGGCTGTTTTCCATTCATCTCCTTTGGCTATGCGGATATTGTTGTATCCCCATTTGACGTCGAACTTGGAGAAGATCCTCGCCTTTGATTTGGCGATGGTCCTTATCACGTCATCAATTAAGGGTAGCGGGTATTTGTTCTTTATAGTCCATTCGTTCAGTCTTCGATAGTCTTGAACCGGTCGTAAGCTTCCTTCCTTCTTTTTTACGAAGAAAAAGGGTGATGCTTGTGGCGATTTGGATACCCGAATGGTTCCCCACTTTAGATGCTCTTGGAGCATTTCGTGCAGCTGATCTTCCTCTTCTTCCATTTACGGGTATAGTTTACATCCCGTCGGTTCCCATCCTGGTTTCATATCGATTTTATGATCCCATTGTGAGTGTTCTGGGAGTCGCTGTGAAGCTTCTTGGCTGAAGATTTTGGCGAATCGTTTGAGAACATATGCCGGAACAATTTCCTCAATAGGTCGTTCCGTCTTTGCCTTATTCGCCTTTTCTGCCAGTTGTTGCGATTTGTTTCCGATGGAACCGATGTGAATTGCTTCAAGGGGATGTATCTCTAGTGGGTTTTGATAGTACCATTCCTCATAGAATTCGGAAAAGAAGGTATCTTCGATTTCGTCTTCTTCCGGGTTGTCTTCTATCCTGGAATACCCGATCGTTCTGTTTTTCCTTTGCCGAATAGGCATTAATGCTTGTATGGTAAACTTGGGTCGGCTGACTAGACACGTGGTGGCGCAATTTGAAAACGTAAGACTGTTTTTTACCCAGTTAATTTGTGGGTTGTGTTCATGCAGCCAGTCTGTTCCCAGGATCACGTTTTCGCCTCCTAGATTAGCGGCCAGTAGTTCGCATTGTTCGTTGTGATAGTCGCCTTCCTCGTTTGTTATCCTCATAAGTACGCAAGCTTTGTCGGTGATTTTTCCTCCGTCATTGGCTGTTCCATCTAAGTTAAACACAGGGATAGGTTTGTCGATTTTCTGCGTTGGTATGTTGTTATTTAGGCAGAATTGTTTGTCGATAAGGAGTCCTTCTGCTCCCGAGTCGATCAGTACTCGGGCTTTGGTGGTTCCTTTTCTGTGTTTTAAATGCACATTTATTCGCATAGACGATTTCTGATTGGACTTTGTGAGCCGTACAAATGTTTTTACAGGAGGGTCTGGGGTAGGTCTACGGTACACCGGAGCTGTAGGCCTATTTAAAAATCCGATTCTTTCTTCTTGCTCATCTCGCTTAACTCCTGAAGGAGTGCTTCCTGTTCGTCCCACCTCATCTTCCCGATGACCCTCTGGATCTCTTCTCGGCTAATCTCAGGCTCCGTCTCACGTACAGGCGCATCCGGTCCAGGTGCGTGGGCCTGGCGAGCTGCGAGTCGGGCTTGGAACGGGTTAGTCGTCGCCACGCCTCTACCTTGCGCCGAAGTGCCTCCCTGAGTACCGCCTGAAGTTCCTGCCGAGACCGTTCGGCCATAGCCGCTTCCTCCGCTTCCCATCCTGCTGCCAGTCTGAGCCGAGCGGTTCCCCACCGTTCCACTACCCTGTTGAACATATCTAGCTGACCCTTCATATATCCTAGACGAACCCCTGACAGGTCACTGGTTTGCCATATGTCCTTTCTGGCGACAATAAAAGCACCCACCCTCCATTCTGAGGCGGTTGCGTTCTTCGTCGGTGAGGGTTGTTCGGACTGAGTCTACGGCCATAGGGACAACGGAGTTGTTCATGGAGGAGGGAGCATTGGATGAGTTGTAGCGGAAGGGGTTGCTGGATCGAACAGCGGCAGAGGGTACGGAGCTTTTTATGCTCTGCAGCTCTCTCCACTGGTTATCAAACCTTCGGGTGTATTTTACCCAATCGTCCATGGTTGTCGGCATGTCTGGGAGTCTATAAATCTGTTTAAGGATTTCCGGGTGTATGGCGCGGCGGAAATAGTCAACGGTGGATTCGAGGTCGAACCTGCTTTCTCCTGCTGTCATGAGGTAGTCCGTGACAAATTTGTCTGCTGACCGCTTTCCCATTCTCATTGTGAATAACTTCTGCCTCACCTTCTGCTCGAGGCTTTCATCTTTGAATGCAGCGGCTAATTCTTTCAAGAAGTCTTTGAACGTTCCCCATGTTTTTCTTACTTCCGTCACCTTGTATTCTCGGAGTTCCCTATCGAAATAATATTTCTGGGCGAAGAGTGACACCGTTCCTTCCCTCATGTATGACAATACCATCAGGATTTTATCCTTATCGGTGTCGTACTTGGTAGGGTTGGCGAGAATGTACATGTGACATTCATATATCCATTCTCTATACTTCGACCTTGTGCCGTCGAAGTCTTTCGGTTTGTTTCCTCTGTCCGACATTTCGTCTTCATCGTCTGTAGCTTCTGTGGTTGGTGGAGGGTTCGGTTGTGGGTTCGGGTTAGGATTCGGTTGACTCGGTCCTGCTACAGGTTCCGGGTCTTCTTCGTCAACTGGGGTTAAGACTCCTGCAGGAATTGGGGTTTTTTCGATATCTTCTTTGGGGATATCGACTGGTGATAGAGCGGGTTTCGTTCGAGTGGGAGAATCAACGGTTCTGAGAGGTGCTTTCCTGTCTTCCCAGGGTACTAGCGGGGCGTCAACTGTTTTTCCGCTGTTCTGTCCTCCTACGTAAACCCAGTTTCCTTTGGATGTCCTTCTGATAGGTTGTCCGAAATGGACGAATGTGTCCGAGTGTTTCAAGTAGTCGGTTCCGTGTGGAACTCGTCCTACGCGTCTGCCTGAACCTTGAGAAGTCGTCTTGTTGGATCAAAGAGCCCGCGCTAGTCTCGACCTGATCAAGGTTCGAGGGTCAAGGCAACAGCAGCTCTTCCTGGTCGGGTACAGTATTTTCTGCTTCTGGTATAGTACCGTACGTAACGTCGAGTGCAATTGTTTCAGTCGTACCTCCACTGGGTTGATTACCAGATAGAAGTATTCTACAACCTGAAACGACCCACACTGAAGTGGAATCATCCAATCGTTCGCTCGAAGTGTATAGTAACTACTACGGTCGACGGACGCTTGTCTTTTGGGACTGCCTAGCGCCGTATGTAACTAGCCGGTGTTCTGCTGCAAAGAAAAAGGTGGAGTAGGATTGTGTGTGGAGAGGCTATCCAGATGTCACGAACGGCTGTTCGAGACGAGAGGATCCTAGGCCACAAATAATGGAAAGGAGTTTGAGAGGATGATCGGGGCTGATCAGACTAGTGTCTTGCAATCAGAGAAGACTGTGTGAACAGCAGTTCTTAGATTGGACAGAAGTGGATAGCCTGAGGCTTCCACACTGCGCCACAGTATCTATAAATATGTATAAGCAGATGCACGGACCAAGTATCAATGGAGCGGGGACGCGAGGTATAGTCGGGAGAAAGGTCCTACGAGTCCTTATCAAGAAGGTGAGAAAGATAGGTAAGCATAGGCAAGGCGTTTCGTAACAGCTAGACTCTAGAATATCACAAGGTAAGCCCCATGTTCGTCTGTATTTTGATGGCAATAGAGTCCCGTTGTGTATCATCTCCTTACCTCTTTCTTTCCCCTCTTCGATACTGATCATGATTCCCCGTGGCAGGTTCAAACATCGCAGATTCACCTGCGGCATCGGGACATGCCCACTTGGATTCAAAAATCGGTCAGGTTGCACATAATATCGCAATGCTGTACACAACAGTAATGCAACCAACAAAATCCAAGCCCTTCCACAGGCTGAGGACCATCAAGATGGCCTAGATAATCAGATGCCCACAAATGAGCAAGAACACAGGCCTTATAGTATATATCATCCCGTTCTCGACGGTTAGTAGACGCATACATGTACTACCTGTTAGGACCGCATCCTAACACGTGCATAAGCACGTGAACAGAAGGGAAGGTCAGGTGTTTCCTCGGACTCAAACTATTAACAACTAGGACTGTGACTTGACACGCGTCTAGGCACATGACTCAGGACACGGTCATGAGCTATGCGCATGACTCGGACTCGGACTGACTACCATTTACATGCTGATGCATGAACACTTACGTACTATGATTCCTCTTCTGCTATGATGACTGATGTTGATCGTGATCGGTTCCATTTGATATTGCTGCGGACAGACATTTGATATACTTACTATATATAGTTACATCAAAGAGCCGCGGAGTACGAACAATGACTGCGGCTTACACACATCGATCGTTGATGGTACTTAGCATTTAGAAGCACGGACCATATGTCCGTCCCACCCTAAATAGCCATGTACTATATATAGGAGAGCTGAGCTTCTTAGAAGCCTCAGCTTGTTCACTTTGTATACATCTTGATCTCAGCACTGTGCCCGGCGTCTGGCTACCTTCAGCTCATGCTTCGCGATCTCTGTCAGATCTAAAGAACCATACTCAGTCTGACGACGCACTGGATTCGTCTCATCGCTCTTATCATTCTCTACCGCCTGCAACCTATCAAGGACTCGCCGCATATCGAGTCATCCGTTGGGATCCCTCCGAAGTCATCTGTTGTATTGGAGAGGACTTGTTTGTACCAGACGAACACCACCACATGATCAATCAGCACCTCCTTCAACTCTTCGAGGAGAAGATCAATACAGACCAGCCTTTCTTGGAACAAGCCCAAAGACGAGCCGTCGTCTTTATTCGTTGGGCCATCACAATCAGCTTTAGCCCAGGGAACCCCTCTTAGTGCATCAAATTTTTGACTGCCAACTTTGTACAGGTTGTTTGACCACGGAATTCTTGTGACAATATGATCGGAGGGGTCGGAGATCCTGCAGATCCCCCCTTTCAGATAAATGGAGTATCCAGCCTTGTCAATGCAACTGGACAAGATCAACATGATCGCGATTGACAGCGCATACAGCATGTCGGACAGCTGCACAGCAGTCATATTGTCCCCATTTGGGAGCATGACTGTAACATTTCCACGGCCAGTTGCTATGAAGGTACGTTTGTCAGCTGCGTAAATGGGTTTGAATGGGATACTGACAAAGTCTGTGAATTCTTCTCAATAGGGTGACATGTGGTGACTTGCGCCCATGTCAAGGCATCGGACACATGTCATGGACGAGATGTCGGGGCCTGCTATCAGTGCCGCAAGGTCAAATGTCGCCATGAATCCAAATTTGGGATCTTCAGCATCCTCAGCAACTGCAAAGTTCCCCGCACTCTGGTCCGCACCCTTCTTGTGTTGGCCTGGCCGATGCATGCCTGCTAGCCATTGGCCTTCCTTCCCACCGCCGGGTCAGAAGCAGTCTGCAGCTATGTGGTTGGTAAGTCCACAGTTATAACACTTCTTGCCACTCGATGACTGATTGCCCTTCTTTCCTTTCCCGCGTCCCCTTTTTCCTTGTTTACCTCTGCCATGTGAATACAGCACCATCTCATCAGACGATGCCTTCTTCTCGAGCCAACCTTGAATGCTGCGCCGGTCATGCTCCTGCATGAGGTGCTAAATGATTCCGGAAGGGGTAAGGGGCTTCGAATTGAGACTCGAAGCAGCCGTCATTACTGAAATAATGGACTCATAGGACTTTGGGAGAGAGGAGAGAATGACAGCAACAAAGTCATTGTCACCAAGAGCCGCATCGATGCCAATGAGCTCGTTCTGGAGTGCGATCAAGGTGTCGAGGTGCGCGCGGACATTGCTGCCCTCTTGGCATCGAGAATTGTGAATATGCCGTCAAATGTCAATTTCGACCATCTTTCCCCGCTTCTCTGCAAGATCGCAGAGCGCCATCCAAACTTCCTTAGCGGTTGTCTCCCCTTTGATTCAATTGAGGATGGAGTCAGGGATTGTAGAGTAGATCTGCTGCTTGATGGCGGCTTCTCTCTGATTGTATTCATCGATCTTCTTAATAGCCTTGTCATACTTTTCTAGAACATCATCTTTAGCATCTTCGGCAGGAAGCATGGGCTCTCGTGGTTGCCGAGCAGTGCCAGCCAGGTGTCGCGACAGCCCTGTCTTTGATTCAATGGCTGTCTGTACCCGATCCTTGTAGATCGGCCAGTTTGACAGATCTTCTGAGAGCTTCGGAATGGTAGTGACAGTGATTGAATTGGAGAGCGACATGGCTTGGACAGCAGGGCCCATAACCTATTGAGATATGGGCTAGAAGTATTACTCAGTGTCTGTGTAGATCACTGTATATTTAATCGGTAAGTACCTAGAAGTATTACTACATGATAGAAGCGTAAGTAAAAGTGACATCTATGTCTTAAGAAGAAGCGGGCTCACCTCAGTGTCTGTGTAGATCACTGAGGGAAGCCCAACACCGAAGGCATCAGTAACTACAAGCGCAGTGGCTAAGAGCTGTATAGTACTTCAGCAATCTCCGAGCTCGTCAAGTAAGTACGCAATAAGTAAATCATAAGAAATAGATGATGAAGGCGATTTGCCTCAGTCCAACATATATAGGCACTCCCTTCTTCCAGTTCTTGAGAGGCGAAGCGGGAAAATGAGACTTGTACCCCCTCTTCGTACCATTCGGATGACTCGCCATAAATACTCACACCAGATTTCTGTTGTTGGATGGCTGCATTGTAATCCTCAACACTCTCATCACTCTTCCAAAACAGACACGGCGCCATCTTCTTTGACGCTCGAATATGAACCCGGCCAACAACCGACGTTCGATTGGGACATCTTAAGAGCTTTGCTCACCCCAGAAACTGTGATTCTTTCCTTGGTTGAAGACATCCCTCATAACCTGGTGATGTTTCGCAGCGCAATCGAACGTGCTCAGGGTGTGAAGCACATCTCCCTCACTGATTCCATTCTACCATTGTTTTGCGCAGCTATGGATACGAAGACAGATGCCGAGCAGACACCAGCCGACTCGTTTGTCGAGCACTTGCCTTTCCCCAGCCTTGAATCCATACATTTACATGACTTCCAATCCTCACCTACATCCACTCGAGATCTCTTGACCCGCGTACTCGAACAGCGCAGTACATCGCGGTCTCCTATCCAAGAAGTCGATCTCGACTGGAGCGTGCCGCAGAGGTGGTTTGATGAGCTCAGAATCATCGTGCCGATTGTGTGTTGGCGCGAATAAACAAGAAGTGACCCAAGGGGATAGATCTGGATGAATATCGGGATGCTCTCATATACGAAGCGACGTACGATGCAGGGAATGCTGTACTGTGTGTTCTTAGTCTCAGATAAGAAGAAATTTCCATGCAATATAAACGGGACTATGTGGGACATTTGGTGCGAACTATTGCAGAACTAATGTGGACATCCGCTTATACTCCTGTAAGACAAAGCTACCAGGGACATGGCAGCAGCTATGATCTCACCAGAAGAAAGTGTAATGCAGGGAAAACCACCAGGTTCGTACGGAAAGGTTCACTCAATAGTGGTTCAATTATCTTATCATATACATCGCCAAAAAAGTCGTTGATAGCACAGTGGGCAATGAGACCATCGTCTGCTCAAACCCCTCCGCCTCAATCAGAATCGTAGGCATATTAACTGGCGAATCAATGGCCAGGTGTCACTAGAGAAAAAGAACGTGTGAGCGGTCAGGGGCTGTGGAAACTGCATGCTGAAGGGACAAATTACAGAGAGTGCCAACCTCCTTGTTGACGATCCCATCTCTTGCAGGATCGTCCTTTGTGAAGGTAGGTTGTCAAGAGAGAATGTCGCCATAAGTGAAGGGCCAGAGGGACAAGGATAATTCGCAGGAAGCGAGATGAGAATGGGAAGCACAGTGAGAAAGAAAAGCGGAGGGAGAACGACAAGCAGGACGAGAATATAAAACGAAGCGAGCAAGCCAAGAGGAGCGAGCAGAAGGTGACAAGTAGGGAAAGAGAGACAAGCTAGAGGGTGTGAAAGACAAGCGCCGAGACAGTTGTAAAAGATGAGAGAACAAGCGAAAAGAGACAAAAGCAGAGGAACCGTCAAACCATTACAACATCAGACTGGGGCAAGCAGGGTTGCATCGACGAAAGACGTGATGAACAGCCGAGTGGAGACGTACCTGGAAATGTAAGACGTGTGGGCGACTCAGTATTTGCGACAGCGGAAAGAGGAATGATGGACTCACCGGGGGCTGACGCCCCCTAACTGGCGACACGATCTCTTGCAGTTATAAGTAGACGTGTGTGGCGGTGCGCGACCTAAGCAATAGAATGATTAAGTGTACTTACACTGACAAGATATTCGTGACCAAGGATGAGCTGAGAAGGTCGCCCAGATATACCAGAAAAGGGAAATAAGCAAGAAAGGGAGAGAAGCAAGAGAGACCGAGAAGGTCGCAGAGAGAGACTAGGGCCGCCGAGCATGAAGAAAGGGCAGAGAAGATTGACGAGCAAGGAGACAAGACTGAGATAAACGAGCAAAGATTGAGATGAGAAGCCAGAAACCAGGAGCAAAGCCACAGCGAGAGAAGGAGACAGCAAGGACCAAGTCAAACAGAGCGAGCAAGCCAGAGCGAGGAGAAAAAAGGACACAGCTATGAGAGAGCACAGAGAGGTGAGAACACAGAGCGACCAGAGAAGACAGCGAAGAGCGAGCAGAACACAGCTAAGGACACTAAAGCGCAGCAAATAATGATAAGAGACGAGAACTACCAGTGAGAGCAAGCAAGCAAGACAGAACCTAGACATGTTGAAGAGACACACCAGCAACCAGACGTCGAAGCCACCTCCAGAGAACGATAGAGCCCGATGCCACAGACTAAAGCCACAGATCCCAGAGCAGTGTCGCCAGAAGATACAACGTAGCTATTGAACTTGCTGTCGTGCTTGAAGGCGATCGTGCCTGCTAGTGCGGCGTCGAGCATCGATGATATACGAACAGTAGTCAATAAGGCGTACCTATGAACTTGACGTCGTGCCTGGGGCGATCGTGCCTAATAACCTGGAGTGCGTCGAGGTTCAGTGGTGGAAGTAACGGCGAACGGCGTGAATGAGATGTACCTGTACAGATGAAGGAGATCTTGGAGAGGACAGTAAGTACCGGAGCGCATGAGAGAGGACAAGGGTAATGGAGGTGGTGGGGAGGAAGGGAGAGTGGTGGACAGAAAGAGGAGAGAACGACGAGGCTTTATAGACTTGGGGGTCACCAATGTGGCTTTGTGGCCATCGGTTGACCACCGACATTCGCCACGCTTCTCGGCCCAGCCACCTCGTGATCGGCGTGTGCAGTCGGCTGATGGTCGTTGACCACGATCATCCCGGCACGAAGTGCCGCAAGGGTGGCTTTGCGTCTCGTACGCGCCACGCCACTCATGGTCACAGTGGTATTGTACTTGTTTTGCAAATCCTGGATGATTGCAGCCCTTTCCAGCAAAGATTTATACCGAACTGGAACGAAATACGTGGATCAGTAGGGAGAGTTCTCAAGTTTAAAAGGTGCATCATCTCGTCTCTCATTCCTTGAACCAAACAACTCCTATGATGCCTAGTACTCCGAATCCTGCAATAAAGGCGAATAGCACGGGAACATCCCGATAGTCGTAATTACTGCTAAACCTAAACAGTTAAGAAGGGCTCAAATTCAATCCTCTTTCCACAAGCGATTGCCTAACAACGCACCAGATTCATTCTGGGAAGGACGTATGCAGGCTGATCTATCGATTCTCTCAGTCGTGCACGACTGCATGGAGTACACTAGCCACTTTGGAAACAGACAAGGATCCACACCTACGCCGAGAATTCAGTGATAAATTCTTTGATACTAGAGAATGCCGCTCACCAGACATAGGCTCGTCTAGAATCAACACGTCCGCACTGACGACTAGTTCCGACCCTCCGCATCTCAGAACCCCTTCGAATTCGCCGCCTGCACTGAGCCCAAATTATTCTGACGCGCCGGGCTGTTCCATGACGTCCTACACGAGCTGTTTTTTCTCCTAGAAGATCATCAAGACGCATTCAACAGCGAATAGGGTCGAGCGAATAGGGTCGAGGGAAGGACGCGATGTTGTACGAAATCAGGGTGAAGTTCGTGCTTGAGGGAGGCAGTCACAGATTTTGTCTTGTACGATCTCTGTGCCCTCGTATCATGTGATCTGGGCCCATTTTATCGGAAAAGTGTCATAATAGGTGCTGGCTTCGAGGTTGCCTGGCTGTATGTATGCGCGTGTTTCCGTGCAGACACGAATAAGCGTCAATGTCAAGCATAGCTGCCGGGTGGTATGTGAAGACTATGTGAAGCCGGGTGGTACTGCACCTTGAGCAGTCCTTGAGCGTCTCCCCGACTGATTAAAAACCCGCCTGGTCATTTAGACTTCTGAGTTCCAGCAGAAAACTTTCGTCGAGCGGCCTCGCTGTTGTTGCGGCCGCTTTACATGGGGCGTCGATCGTCCCGAACTGGTCGCCCTTGAAGCCCGCCGCGAATCGAGCCTACCTCCCCATCTCTTGTCGACGACCTTAATTCGTCCAGGCTTGTGTGCAACTCGCTCCTTCTCCAGCTTGATGCACTGCTCCTCCGACATCAACAACCCTCCGAGTCTCCACTTGGTCCACCGAGAATACATTCGAAACCTTGCCCTCAACAACTGCACCCTCAGCCTCTACCACTGAGATCGCCTTACCCATCTGACATCAATGCAGAAAAACAGAGTAGCACACCCACGAATGCTTCGCTGAGTTCGATGCTTCGTTTGTCTCATCAGAGCTAATGGTCAGTTCCAATGGATGAAATCTGTACGAAATCGAGATAGTTACTCTGCTCAGTTTGGTTGGAATTGGCTGTATACCAGGACGGCTCGAGTTCGAAGGACAATATGAGAAGAAATAGTGATTCGGAAACAGAGCCGGAGAGAATAATATGTACAGGAAATTTCCGTGATAGAAGCGATCAACCTCGTGAAAGATGACCTTTTCGAGCTCTCGCCGCAGAGGCCCTGAGGCCTGGCCTTGAGGTGCCGTCGTGGACGAGGTCGACGACGCGATGAGCGCCCCCGGTGGTAGGCATGATGGCTTATATAACGACCGTTTCCCATCCGTCGTGCAATGCCGAGCGGGTCGACCACGACCAGTCCTGCGAAAATACAGAGCGAGTCAGCTTCCTATCCGCATCGATCCGAAGCGCGAGACGATGGCAAGAACGACGAGGGTGAAAGGAACGGCAAAGGCATCGATGGTGTGCGGCGCGAAACAAAGGAGCGAGCGAAGAGAAGATGAAAGCTAACGGTACGCACCTTCAGCTCTATCCGCCGAGCAGGCCATACCCCATACCCCCCCATGCCCCCTCCACCGCCCTCTAGACCATCGTGTCTCGGGCCCTGCGAGGGACCGCCCCCGCCGTTATGTTTCCTGCCCCTGTTTGGGCAGTGCTCCCGCATGTGGCGAAGCACTTCATCTTTGCGCACGAACAGGGCTGGGCAGTCGTCGCATGCAAACTCGCGCACTCCTCCATGGCGCAGAGTCGCCTTGTGTCGGGGCATGTCGTACGGGCACGACAGCCGCTTGCTACACCCGTCGGGGCCGTCGCAGACATGAGGGTCAGCCCTCTTGCGCTTTCGCGCGCCTCTCTGTTTCTCCCCAGGTGTCGTTGTCCAGGGCCCTCCAATGGACTGCGGTACAGCCTCGGGGACTGGCTCACCTATGGGGATCTCCACCCTGTGGGTGGACGTCGTCGATGTACTTGTAGTATCTTTGGGGGCGCTGTCATGCGCCTGTGGACGGACCACAGGGATCTGGCTTTGCACCCCCACCATCTCTCTTCCTCTCGCCGCATAGTGGCTCTGCAGCCTGACTGAAAACAGCCCACACCCCGCGATCGGGGGCATGCGCGGCCTCCTGACTATGCGCCTCTCCGCCTTCGCGCCGTTCCCTCCCTGGCTTCCTCCCTGGCCCTCCCCCTCCCCTTCGCTTCCCTTCTCGTTCCTCGCCTTCTTCCGGCTCGGCCCCTCCTCCGCATCCACACGGTGCGCCTGCGGCACCGGCACCGAGGCGGTCTCTGGTGATGGCGGCAGCTCTGGGATGGGCTCCGGGACCTCCTCGACGGGCTCCCGCGGAAGCACCTCGGCCAACACCCGAAGGACGATGTCGCGCGGTGCCTCCACGATCTCCCGCGCCATCTCGCTCCATGGACCCCGGATCGGCTGGACGGCGTCCAGCAGCGAGGAGAAACGCGCCGCGCCGCGCCTCCGAGGGACCTCAATACGGTCCAATGCATCCACCCGTGTTGAGAAGGTCGAGACGGGGACATAGCGTAGAGCCTCCTCCGTGTATGCATGAGTGGCGGGGACTGGAACCGGGAACGGCCATGCGCCCGTCGACTCGTCGTTGTCGTCGTCCCAGTGGGCGGCCTGGGCGGACGCGTGTGGTGTGAAGGGGGTCGGACCTTCGAGGTGGGTCACAGGGAGGGATGGAGGCGGCAGTGATACGTGGGGATTCAGGTGTCCCCCATGCGCGATGTAGGTATAGGGCCACGGTTGTGCGGAACAGTGGGTGTCCTCGTCCTAGGAATGCAGATCAATGAGCGGCGTGCTGATATCCTGTAGCTAAGATTTGGACTTACCGACTCGTCGTTGGCACAGGTCTGGGAGCGCGACGGGCCTGCGCCAGGAGCTGTGGGCAAGTTCGTGTTCACGTACTCAAATGGCATGCACATGCAGAACATACTGAAGAGGTCTTCCTCGGCGTCACGGCCATCATTATAGCACCAAGACATTGCTGGGAAGGTGGATAATGTTGCGTAGGATGTGTTGTTGAGTGGCTCAACGGCGTTGTGGTGGTCGGTAGGGGAAAGGTGGGTCAGACTTGACGTTACAGAGTAGGAAGCGCCCACCGCCTTCTACAAGGTTCAAGGAACGCATCAGAAGTCGTTGTGATGCCTTTCTTCCTCTGTTGTAATCAGGCTCAGACCCAAGCGCAAGGTGGGTGCATTGTTCGCATCCCGCAAATTAGTGATATATTCTCCTTTCGGGCGAATTCTTTTTTCCAGCGACAGGCGGGCAATATTTTCTTCGTCCCATCAGTCGTGTGAGACAGAATGCGTCCAGGCTGTCATCATTCGGCGGATTTCCGGGGTACGTTCGACGTTATCGTCGTTCATCCGATGTCGATAACATCTGTGGCAAAGCCATGCGAGGAGCGGGGTTACACGTGTCGTAACAACCCGCTTACTCCCTTGTTCTGCACAGCTTCTTTTGACAGTTGACTCCCGTCAGCGCCATGCCTTGTATCTGGTACGGGCCGCTGCAGTTGAAATTATACGCCGATTGTTGTAGGCGCATCAGGGTGCTTGATTTTACGGATGGTTCCATCGCAAACGGCATAATCCAGCCCGCTTGTATTTTGGAATCGAAACTTCTAGCCGCTTCTGGTGTCTCCGCACAACCCGCAAGGGGTAGCAAGGCACAGCATTGTGCCATGTTTATTTCATCGCTTTTTCGGGAGTAGAGGATCGTTGGAGCATGACGGGCCCATTCAGCTCGATCAGGATTCCGCGTATGGGCGATTGCAGGCTCGTCGGAATGTCACGACGCATGACCGTGGATTTAGGGCCTGTTCTCGTCTGGAGTGCGACTTACGATAATACCGGTGCGAAGGTGGGGGCGCTCAGTGATGAATGCACAATTGGGATGACTAATTTGGTCGGCAGTCTAGGGCCTGTACACTCCCTGTATGCGGCATCCGTGGACAGCCATAGGCGGAACAGATACATCCAACCATCAGCGTATTTTCCCTGAACTACCCATCGGTTTGGTCCTCTCGGCGCGTGAGTATCCGGAGGCGTCCTCAAGTGGAAATGGGAAGCCACCTGCTCGTCGACCATTGTCAGTGTCGACAGAGCACAGCGAAGCTTGAATGTGTGATCGAGCTATCGTTTATGAGGAGATGGTCTATGTGTCGTACCTAATCTCATCGCTTCACAGATAAGAATGCTTTGGTACGTACTGCTTTGCGAGGGTATCTTGCGATCAAGAACATGGGTTCTCATTTTCGTCCGATCCTTTCATTCTCTCTGTCTACAGGCTGTACACTCGAGTCGGACTCTCTCAACAGACTCTGCAGATGTCATGGAATCCTCAATGTCCCACTGCTTGCTACAAATGGACAAGCTGATACGATACAAGCGCGGCTCCTGTTATTCTCTGCATCGTTGTGTTATGAATGTCCCCGTTCGGCAAATATTTCTGCAAGACGTCTTGATGGACGAGGTGGAGATTATCACCTCAGAGGGTTCAACGTCTCAGCGGGGCCAGATAGTTCGCCTTCATTTAGGACCGCTTTACACCTTATCAACTGCAATTCTCGATGGTTGTAATGCCGTATGCCATAGCTGACTCGACGGATGGACAGCTGCTGATATTTACGCGCGCAGGTTCTGAGAAACACGGTTTTTGAGTGCGTCTAGGCTCAGAAAAGGTGTCTTATCACAGAAAGACAAGGAAGACGCTTTGGAAAGAACGATTGATATTGTCGTGCAGCAATGATGGGCAGTTTGGCGTGACTTGCTGGATCTGAGAAAGCATCGCCGTAAGCATTTCTCGAAAACATTTTTAGGAGACAGTAGTAATGTCATGAACGAGTCATGTATTGTTTTGAGCGGTCGAACCAATGTCGTTGCAGCTCTTGAGATGTATGTAGGAGGTCAAGTTGAAGTTGGCGCCGCTAGAGTGGCGCTCGAATGACGTGGATGCGCCTTACTTTGCACGGCAAGGCCACGTGGCTATAGTCGGCCGTTCGAGTGCTTGGGTTCTGCGTCTTCATAGGCAGTCCACACCCACATGCCGTCGAATCAGACTCTTGATCCATCTCTTTCTTCTGAGATACAGGTGAAACCTTGTGATGTGGGAGAGGTCGCTATCGAGACCAGGTGAGTATCCTGATCTGCTGTATTTGGGACCATTGCGATGGTGCAGTGATCTGACCAGTCCATACAGTGCGATCGACTACTGGAGTCCTCCCTTGCAATCAAGACTGACTACGCTCTCCCATATAAGCGCCACTGCATCCTCAGGTGATTCAAATGCTCTCAGGGTCTTTGATGACGAATTAGCCTATCTATCATTGCTGATTTCTCCCAGTGAACTTGAGGTCATGCTTGAAGGCGATCGTGCCAATGAATACAGCATTGTGGCACTTGAAACTTGAAGTAAGGGCGACAGAAATCATGAACAGCCGGATGGAGACGTACCTGGAAATGTAAGACGTGTGGGCGACTCAGTAATTGCGACAGCGGGAAGAGGAAGTAAGGACTCACCGGGGGCTGACGCCCCCTAACTGGCGACACGATCTCTTGCAGCTTGAAGTAGGTGTGTGTGGCGGTGCGGGACCTAAGGGACAGAATGGTTAGGTGTACTTACACTGACAAGATATGACCAAGGATGGCCTGAGAAGGTCGCCAAGATACACCAGAAAATAACAACAAGCAAGGAAGGAAGAGAGGCAAGAGAGACCGAGAGCGTCGCCGAGATAGACCAGGGCCGTCGAGCATGAAGAAAGGGAAGAGAAGATTGACGAGCAAGGAGACAAGACTGAGATAAACGAGCAAAGATTGAGATGAGAAGACAGAAACCAAGAGCAAAGCCACAGCAAGAGAAGCAGACAGCGAGAACCAAGTCAAACAGAGTGAGGAACCCAGAGCGAGCAGAAAAAAGACACAGCCAGCAGAGAGAACACAGAGCGAGGACGAAGAGGACAGCGAGGAGCAAGTAAGACAGAGAGAGCAAACCAGATTGAGGAGAGAGCACGAAGAGACGAGAACAGAGAGCGAGCAGAGAAGACAGCGAAGAGCGAGCAGACCACAGCCAAGGGCATCAAAGCGCAGGAGATAATAATAAGAGACGAGAACTACCAATGGGAAGAAGGGTAAGACGACGAGAAAGACAAATAAGACAGAACCCAGACATGATGGAGAGACACACCAGCAACCAGACGTCGAAGCCACCTCCAGAGAACGATAGAGCCCGATGCCACAGACCAAAGCCACAGATCCCAGAGCAGTGTCGCCAGAAGATACAATGTAGCCAGTGAACTTGCTGTCGTGCTTGAAGGCGATCGTGCCTGCTAATGCGTCGCTGAGCACCAAGGATATACGAGCAGTGGTCAATAAGACGTACCTATGAACTTGACATCGTGCCTGGGGCGATCGTGCCTGATAACCTAGAGCGCATCGAGGTTCAATGGTTGAAGTGATGGCGAACAGCATGAATGAGATGTACCTGTACAGATGAAGGAGGGCACGGAGAGGACAGTGAGTACCGCAGGACAGCATGAGAGAGGACAAGGGTAGTGGTGGTGGTGGGGAGGAAGAGAGAGTGATGGAGACAAAGAGGAGAGAATGGTGAGCCTTTTATACACCTCAGGGTCACCAATGTGGCTTTGGGGCCATCGGTGAACGCTTGGACCTCCGCTGCCACCAACATTCGCCACACAATGTCCAAACGCCATGCTTCTCTGCCCAGCCACCTCGCCCGTTATGGAAAGAGAACCGGAGCTTTTTGCCATCGGGATGATAAGCGTCGTTGACTTCGTGCATCGTGTTTGTCCCCGAGATGATTGAAGGCGCGAGTCGTCGTAAGGTGGCTTTGGCTTCTTCAGAAACCACCGCCGCGCGCCACTCGTAGTCACAGGTATGTTGTCCCTGCGACACTTTCTCATAAACTTAATTCGACATTGAGAGTCCTCGAGTTCAGAAGTTGTATCATCTCGTCTCGCACCTTGCGTAAAGCAATTGCAATGACACTCACTCCATGAAGGCGAACAGCACAAAAACGTTGCAATAGTATCAATTACTTCTAAATCCGAACAGCTAACAGTGGGCCAGATTTAATTCTCCTTCCACAAGCGATTGCCAAACAACGCACCAAATTCATGATGAGACTCGCAGGTATATCAGCAGGGATGCCCTGCAGTAAATCTTTGATTGTCACTCCAGAGCCGACCTCGTTGATGGACATAGCCTCGAGCGTCTACTTCGAAGTTTACACTATCTTTCTTGCGATGGTGTTGTTCAGGTGCACAAAGAAGCCAGCGCACGTCATTTGACAAAGTGTTGAGCGCATTGAAGACATTCGATAGACCGTTGTTGCAAGAGCGGGTGGCAAGAAGGAAATTCTGCGTTATAGCATGTGAGAACCTTGTGGATGAAAGAGCAAGCCTACGAAAAGCGGTATCGCCAACGTATACCGGGAGAGAATGACAGCCTCGTTCTCAACAACGGCAGCCTCAGCCTCCATCACTGACATCGCCAGTCTGAATTCCGAACCACGTGGACAGAAGACCATGCTGCTTGCAGGAGTTGTTAGTCTCGTCAGAGCTGACGGTCATCCGCATTGGATGAAATCAGTGGGACATCGAGGAAAAAATTATTCCGCCTAGTCTAGTTCATTTGTCTAAGATAGTCATATGCCAGCAGGGCTCGAGTTCGAAGGACGATATGAGAAGGAATAGATGTTTGCATTAGAAGCGCTGGAGTGAATAGACTGTACAACGGGATATCCCCGTGATAGATGTGATTAACCTCGTAAGAGATGAGCTTATCAAACCCTTGTCGCTGAGGCGCCGTCGTGGACGAAGTCGACGACGCGATGAGCGCCCCTGGTGGTATGATAGCTTACATAACGACCGGTTTCCCATCCGTCGTGCAATGCCGGGCTGGACGATGTCGACCAGTTGTCGACCATGAGCAGAGTTCTGCGAAAACACAGAGCAAGTCAGCTTCCTATCCGCATCGATCCGAGCGCAAGACGAGCGCAAGAACAACGAGGGTGGTAAGGAAAGGAATAGCAAAGGCATCGATGGCGTGCGGCGCGAAACAAACAAGCGAGCGAAGAGAAAATGAAAGCTAACGGGACGCACTTTCAGCTCTATCCGCTGAGCAGACCATTCCCCATGACCCCCATGCCCCCTCCGCCGCCCCCTGAACCATCGTCTCTCGGGCCCTGCGAGGGACCATCCTTGCCGTTATCTGTCCTGGCCCTGTTCGGGCAGTGATCCCGCTTGTGGCGAAGCACTTCATCTTTGCGCACGAATGGGACTTTGTAGTCGTCGCATGGAAACCTGCGCACTCCTTCATGGCGCAGAGTCGCCTTGTGTCGGGGCATGTCGTACGGGCACGACAGCCGCTTGCTACACCCGTCGGGGCCGTCGCAGATATGAGGGTCAGCCCTCTTGCGCTTTCGCGCGCCTCTCTGTTCCTCCCCAGGTGTCGCCGTCGAGGGCCCTTCGATGGACTGCAGTACAGTCTCGGGGACTGGCTCACCTATGGGGATCTCCACCCTGTGGGTGGACGTCGTCGATGTATTTGTATTCTGTTTGAGGGCGCTGCTGTGCGCCTGTGGATGGACCACATGGATCTGGCTTTGCACCCCCACCATCTCTCTCCCTCTCGCCGCATAGTGGCTCGGCAGCCTGACTGAAAACAGCCCACACCCCGCGATCGGGGGCATGCGCGGCCTCCTGACTATGCGCCTCTCCGCCTTCGCGCCGTTCCCTCCCTGGCTTTCTCCCTGGCCCTCCCCCTCCCCTTCACTTCCCTTCTCGTTCCTCGCCTTCTTCCGCCTCGGCCCCTCCTCCATATCTACGTAGTGCTCCTGCGGCACTGGCACCGAGGCGGTTTCTGGTGACGGCGGCAGCTCTGGGGCGGGCTTCGGGACCTCCTCGACGGGCATCCGCGGAGGGACCTCGGCCAACACCCGAAGGACGATGTCGCGCGGCGCTTCCACGATCTCCCGTGCCATGTCTCTCCACGGACCCTGGATCGGATAGACGGCGCCTAATAGTGAGGAGAAGGGCGCAGCGCAGCGCATTAGAGGGCGTTCCTCGACCTCGATAGGATGCGCCAGTGTCGGGAAGGTAGATGTAGGGATGTGGCGTGTGGCCGCCTCCGTGTAAGTGTGTGTGGCGGGAAGTGGAACCGGGAATGGCCACGGGCACGCCATCTGGTTGTCGTCGTCCCATTGGACGGCCCGGGCGGGCGCGCGTTGCGCGAAGGAGGCTGGAACCTCAAGATTGGTTTCAGGGAGCGAGGGATGTGTGAGTGGCGCATAAGGGCTATGGTGTCCACCGTGGGCGATATAGGCGTAAGGCCATGGCTGTATAGAAGCCCCCCTGACCCGAGGAAGGTGAACGTCCTCGTCCTAGGAGCACCCAAGTATGAGTGGCGTGTTGAAAGATCTGAAGCTAAGTTCCTAACTTACCGACTCGTCTATGTGATCGCTCTCACCGTGTGTCTCGTCGACATAGGGTTGGGAGCATGACGGACCTGCGCCAGGTGCTGCAGGTCGATTCGCGTTAATATGTAGTGAATTTCTGAAATGGTATACAAATATATAACGCACTGGATAACTCGTCATCAAACGAGTCGTCGCTGTAGTAGTCAGACATGTTGATGTCTTGAAGGTGCTGATGTGTAATTTGTAGGGGAGAGGCAGGTAAGACTTAGTGGTACGGTGAATGGTTGACCTTTCACTCTCTTCGGTTCTCTAGATATACCATCGAAGAAGCGCCCTCTACGGCTCAGACATCGCTGTAATCACTTCCCTCGCGTATTGGAATTAGGTTCCGAGCCAAAAGCGAAGCGGGCTCATTGTTCCCATGCCGCAAGCCGGCGTCCATTGTCTCCTTTCGGGCGTCCTCTCTTCCAGCGGCAGGCGAGCAATATTCCCTGTTCCATCAGTCCTGTGAGGCAGAATGTGTCCGTGCTGTGACCATTTGGTGGATTTTTGGGGTGCATTCGCCTTATCATCATTCATCGGACCTCGATAACATCTGTGGCAAAGCAAGGCGAGAAGTGGGGTTACGTCCGTCGCAATATCCCGCTTGATCCTTTGTTTCGGGTCTTCTCCGGCGGCGTGCGCTACATCTGTGAAGATCTGTGACCAGTCGCCTCAATTGAAATCATACGCGTTCGTCTATAGGTTGTAGGCGCATCAGGGCGCTTGATTTCGCGAGTGGGTCTATCACAAACGACATGATTCAGCTCTCTTGTTCTCTTTCGAATCTTCTAGCCGTTTATGGCGCCTTCACACAACACGCAGGGGTAGCGAGGCACCCCTTTATCACATATTTCTTTTAATTGCTCCGCTGGGAACAGAGCATTGATGTAGCATGTCCGGTTCAAAATTTCACTCGAGACTCCCCGTTGAGACGATTGCAGGCTAGGCGGACATCACAACAACCGAGGGATGGAAGCCGATTCATTATCTAGTCTCGTGCGGGTACGACTTACGATAGCTCCGTTTCCTCCCGCAAGCTCCGGTACGGATGGTGGAAGCGTTCCGTCGACAATTTACAAATGTCATGACTGACCTTCGGGCACTCCAGAGCCCCGTTGTATGTGGCCCGGTGCTCGCTGCGCCCTCCCCACCTATGCCTGCCCACCATACTGCTCCACGTGTGCTCGCCCATGTCATTACTGAGTTGATCATGGACCCGTTTTCTCGGCGAGTCCATTTCTGGGGGCCAAGTAAACTCTCGCGCGCTCTGCGGCCTATTGTTCGCCTCGGTAGAGAATCCATGACTAGAGCCAGGATGTAGGTTTGGTTCATTGTTCAGGACAAGGGAGTCTAGATGTCGCAACCAGCTTCATCGCCTCATCGATCGGCAAGGTCGGATGTCGAGCGTAGATCCGCATGCTGCACTATGTAGCGCCAACGCGAGGGTATCTAATTGTCAAGAAATCACTGGTGCCCCATTGTCCCACAAGCTGCTCTTTCCTTCTGCATACGCTCTGGCCTTTGCGAAGCCTCCTCGACAGTTGATGGGATTCCCATTATCCTGCTGCTACTACGATGCCATTGTCGGTGTTACATTCATACTCAGAGCAAGCCTACGATACGTTTGGTGGATTCGTGATGTTCACCGCCTCTCTGCGTTGCAAATATGTCTATTTTCCTTGATTGGTTCTGCATGCACGATAACGGAGGAGAGTGAAGCAAGATAGATAACCATCCCGTCAAGGTCAAAACCCGTCTCCACCCAACCTGACATGCAATAATCGCTATCACAGCACAGCAACGGACAATGGAGATGGCGCACCTTCATTCGGCTCTATTCTGCACCATCAATGCCTCGTTGATTGAGCGTTTTTGACGGATAAAGTACCGTGTGCCACATTTGGACTTGATTGATAACTGCCACTATTCTTGACATTCAAATTATCTGAGAAGCATGTTAATAAGCTACTCTGTGTGTGAACCTGCATTGACTCACCGAGCGACTTGAAAATGTCTTAAGAAACGGAAGTTGCCAATGTCCTGTAGGAGTAGTAACTGTAGTATCGCAAATGAGATGCTGTATTCGACAAAGTACCTTAGCGACACTTGGATTATCTTTGGAGAATAGCTATGAGAGATAATGTTGAGGTCGTAAACGAGCCATGGGCCGTTTCTTGCGGTGAAGTAAATGTCGTCGTTGCACTTGAGATGGGTGTAAAGGACAAGTTGAAGTCGGCGCCGCTAGAGTGGCGCCTGATGTGATTGGACATCGGTGCTGGTGCCCCTCAAAAGTTCACTTGCTCTTCATGTTGTTGACAATGAGAGCTCAATATTTCTTAACTACGACTGAATTTCTGTTTTAAAAATGTGCAGATACAGCGCGATGCTAAATCTGCGACGTACGGCTGACCCAAGGCTGGTTTGCGGCAGGGCCGGCTAAGTCACGTGTCAGTCTTAGTCGCATCATTGGCATCATCCTGCATTATCATATCGACCTGAATTTCCACATAGTGCAATCGATTACTAGAGTCCTCCTGCACAACTGAGACTAGATCTGCTTTCAGATCTCAGCATCACTGCATCTGTCAATGATCCAAACATTTACAGGATCTTTGATGATGAAGTAGCCTTTCTGCACAACACAATATGTGTGATTAATGTGCGGTGCAATGATATAATTCTCATGCATCATCTCCCATCTGAGACTTTAGTGCATGTATTCTATTTTCTGGCAGTAATCAATCCCCCATGGATATGTGACCTGGGATGGATCAAAATCTCATATATTTGCAGATACTGGAGAGAAGTTGCTTTGGAGTATCAGAAACTGTGGTCAATAATCAATCTTGACCTTGGCAAATCATGTGTTTTGGAAATGTCTACATGTGCAAAATAAACAGCTATTGCTTTTGAAAGCTCCTATAATCAGAGCCCACATGATGCACGCCTTTTGATCTTGCCCCATTGGATTCACACAAACTCGACCATTCTATCTGATATATACCACTTCTCAGACCTGCGTCTCCTTGCAACTCCTGCACTAATGATGGAGTGTATCGATCTGGCAGTAGCTTTATACATTGATATCATGGAAATCCCAGATAGCCTGTTTGCCAACCATGCCCCACTCCTGCGCACTGCCTCTTTCACCGGGTTTGCAGTTCCTTGGTCTTCTCCTGTCCTGCATAATATGACCAGTCTTACCATTATGTTATCACAAGATACTGCTTCAACATCTCTTTTGCCATCATATAATGATTTTTTTGACACATTGTCCAACATGCCTGAGACACTCATGAATTACTTTGCCCTCCCTGCTCTTTCCCCTACATCATCTGGTCAAATGCAAAGGAGAATTACACTCTCACACCTCTCAAGTTTGGATCTAAGGGGCTTCTGGTCACATTGCATAGCAATCTCGCAAATTGTGGAATTTCCAACTACTACCAGAATCACTCTCGCTTGTAAATGCAAAGAAGCTGAGCTCTCTACAAGCTTGCTGCTTCCCATTCTAGAGAGGCAAAGTGGTAAAATGGGACTTGCGGCCCCTCTCTGAATTATTCGCATGACTTGCGACCGTGTCACAGGATGTATTGAATTCTATGGCTGGCTGTGTGGCCCAGATTTTTCTCCTGATGTTTCCTCAGCGTTTATTGCTCCGACACTTCATGGTGCATCTCCGTGGCCTCTGATTAGTTGTGATATTTTACGAGCTTTGTTCACATAGGATACTGAGACCTTCTCCCTAGATGCGGACCCCCAGTGGACCCTAGCTATGTTTTGTGATGTAGTTGGACATGCTCAGAGTTTCAAACACACCTTCCTCTCCAAATCTATTCTACCGCTATTTTGTACAGCTATGAAGAAGAATATAGACTCCATAGCTACCAAGCAGACACCAGCCAACTCATACAGCAAATGTATCCCTTTCCCTAGTCTTGAGGTTATACAGTTGCATCACTTCCATTCCTTACCCATACCCACATCTGGAAAAACACCCCCTTGTATTAGCTCCAGATTATATCTAATAGTGTCTAAAAGTATCTAAAAGTGTTAATAGTATCTAAAAGTGTCTAATTTCCTAATTGGGAGCAACACATTGTGAGCATTGGATTGGTTTCTAATTTCATGATATTAGCACTAATTCTATACTAAGAAGTCTTTAATTATTAGTAGAAAATAGTAAGTACTACTGCTCTATCAGTGAGAAGGTAAAGATGTGGCACATTCTATACTATTTTAGCATATTACTCTCCTTCATATATGCCTATGCCATTATCTTGTAGCTCTTTGGCTGACTTTCCAGCTGTCTTTACAAGGGATATAGAAAGAGAGAAATGTGCATTGATACCCCCAGCCACTTTGTTGGCAGCTTGGCAGCTGCCACAAGACCTAAAGTTGTCATTGTTAGCCAATGCCTGCTACTAGTCATTATAGGACACAACATGTGGGTTGGACTTAGGGATATGCTATATGCAGCCTTATAGACCTTGTCTATTAGTACAGTGGCTAATACTGTCTTGTGCAGCACACAATCATCATCACTATTGATATTACAAATTTTAGCACTATTTATATTGTTTATTGCCTTGTTATACAGAAGATGCTCAAACTTGGTGTTTTCCTCTAGCTATTGGGCTGTGGAAAAGACAGTCATATTGGTATGTGATGCCAGAATGATATATTTGCCTGCCATATAGGAAATATATGCATTAAGCATATCAAGATCACCTCCAACAATCTTGTGCTTGTTTATATATAGGCATGCCATATATATACTCTTGTCCCCATCCTCTACCTCACTTGTGGCTATTTAGAAAACCCCCCTCTCTTATTAGATCTTGATTATTCATAATCATGTTTTTGATCAAATTTGCAAATTCAGGTAGCATTGTCTATACTTGTAGAGTCCCATTGAATATTACACTCAATCATAGTTTTACACATTTTCAGTCCAGATTGTATAAGTGCCATAATTCATTTTTATCCTATATAAAGTGTATTATTGATTTTCCATTGGTTTATTATCTTCTTAGCTGGTGTTTAAACTAAATCCTGAAAGACCTGACTTTTTAGGTATTTATTGACCTATTTATTTATAAGATAGAGGAAAGATAAATGTTGAATAAAATTTGAGATGTTGAGGTTGCCTATATTATGTCTACTTATTTTGATTACCAAGGTTATATATTAGACCTTGTGGCTTAGTGGCTTAGAGCATCTGTCCCGGGTGCTTGCATACATGAGGTTGTTGGTTCAACTCTGGCAGAAGGCAAGTTTGTTATAAGGTATATTCTGTGTTTAGGTATTGAACTAGTGCTTTAATAGACATGACTTTATAAGAAGGCTACTTGAACTGTGATGCTTGATTTATTATGATTTTTCCGAAATTTCAAGTTATAATTAATCCTAATAATTCCTAATTTAGGAAAATTATGTCTAATTAGAACAGGTTTAGAGGGGGGGTAAGCTAAAAATGTCTTATCCTAATCTTTCATAATTTAGTATAGTAGAGTGTTAATTATAGCTAATTAGAGCTTAATACAAGGGGGTGGTTTTCCAAATGATGGCAACACCTGCTTGAAGAAAGGTCAGTCCATTAATGGCTGTTTTCTCCTTCCCGCTTACGCAAACCATGCACTCGCCTTTGTATAGCTCCTGAAATTCCTTGACAAGTGGCTCCATGATCTCATTCAGTTGCTCCAAGGTTGGTTTATGAGGCCCTGGGATGACACAGTACAGTAACATTTCTTGGGCCAAGAAATGCTTGGATCTGGGATTGTTGAGAATGATGACATAAATGGCGCTGGTAGAGTACGCATGCAAGCGCTTTATTGGTGAGAACCTGGAGGAAACTAATGAACAAATAGGATGAAGGGGAACTCGTGTGGACATACCAGTTGATGTTGATGGAGAACAGCAAACCGCATGGTAAAGATACGAACTGCTGCTGTTTCTCCTCTACTAACACATTCTCAATGCCCCATGTAGACACGGCGCTACTGGCCTGTTGTCGTTCGAGGCCCCAAGACACAGCCCACTAGCGCCAGCTGTCGCTTATGTCACCAAGAACCTCATGGGGATTTTTGTATGCATTGAGGGGCTCAGCCAGTTCATCAATGGGCTTGGCCTCGCTGGCGTCATCTGCTCCTGGTCTCCTCCAATGTTGAAATTCTTGGTACTTGCCAGGGCGAAGCAGAAATTGTTGGAGCATGGGCTTGATGGGCACGGTTGGAAGGACTTTGCGGGGCATTCTTTTGCAGCTGCCATTAGTGAGTACCTTGACATCATATAGAAGGCCCGAGCACTCAGAATTGCAGCAAAAGGGACTCTTGAGTTCATACAAAGTGTTCGGCGTGTGTCATGCCCAGCAAACATCACAGAGAAAATAGTATACTATGTATTCATTGGCATCAATACGCAGCCGTCATTCCAAGGTCAAGAGTGTCCATGCCATAGTGTCGAGACCAGGCATCTCAAGCCCAGTCCTCCTTTGCATAAACAGTAGCATCTCGTGCTCAGCATCCAAGTAGGCTTTTATGGCTTCTTGCGTGGATCTGTGACACGCAGTAAGGAGATATGCCGTGATGTAGGCATTGCAAATGGCAGGATCTTTGTCAAATGCCGGGGGGTTTGAGTTGTTGTCATCGAGATGCTCTGAGCCTGAGTCTAAGAAACACTCGAATAGTTCCTCGCTAGTCTGATACTGAGGGTTGTTTTTGAGCTCAGGTATTGGCTCCTCATCATCAGAAAGGGATAGAGTGGGCTCTGGAGTGCCAAGAAGACCACAGGGGTCCAAATCCAAGTCAGATGCTGATGGAGCAAGTGAGCAAGTACCAGAGTGAGAGAAATGACCAGCATCATTGTTGTCTAAGAGAGATGCGTTGTCATCTAGAGTGGATGCGTTGTTGTCTAGAGTGGATGCGTCGTCGTCGTCAAGCCACGAGGGTGATGGGAACATGCTGGGCAGTGTATGTGGGTCAGTACCGGTGTCTGAGACCTATGGGAGCGCATATATGCATGCTCCTTTATCCTCATCATCAATAAAATCTGTTCAAATGTGAGCATTGATGAAATGAAGAGACAGAAACATTTGTTGAGGAGGAGAAAACCCACCGAGGGTGGTCCATGTCTCGCCTCCCTCGTATGCCCCGAAAACCTCCTGCCTCGTGTCTAGATGAGCGGGGGCCTCTGATTCTTCATGTCCTTGCTTCTGAGGGACAATAAATATGGTGGATGTATACCCTTGGGCATTGCGTTGAAGAATCCCTTGTTGTTGGAGGTGTCGGTGGATCGTACGGCAGAGCTGGTGCATTGGAGGATTGTGCGTGCTGCACTGTTCACAAGGGCAAGGGTCATATCGGGTGTCTGCTTCTCTCCAGCCTGTATGCATATGTGAAAAAACGAGGGTTTATTGAGGGATAACGAGGTACAGGCAACGAGGAGATGACTAGCGTAGGACGACTTGGAAGAAATTTTGAGGCGTCCAATGACACGCCCCTGTCACATGTCTGTAGAAAAAAGATTAGTCAGCTGTCACTTTGGTTCGACATCAGGATATTTGGGATATATTCCGCGGACGAGATATTGCGGATATATTTCAGATATATTTGCCATATATCTGCAACATCCCCTGGGGAAAATTCGGGGTGATTTCCAGTGCCGGTGTTTGGATTCTCAACCTTCGAACACTAGTACTGTCCACTGCGTTGATCACCTCGAAGTTGAATCTGCATCTTGTGTTTCTTTCCTTGCTTTCCTCTATTGAGACTCTTTGATTTTCAAAATTACTGACATGGCGGCCACCGTGGAGGACCATACCGGCCCTAGCCGAAATAACGAATCTGATCAGTCTCCACTTGCCTCCGTATCTGCGCGTAACAGAATATCCATCGACGCGTTTTACGCGCCTGAAATGATCGAGTTCTGGGTAAAGAAGTATCAAGATGCGAAGAACGAGCTTGATCTGCTCAAGGTTCGCATATGCATCACATTCTCCTCTTCTGAAGCTTCGTGCCGGGATTCTGACAAGGCAGTGACTGTGTGTCTGATACAGCGACACCTCTTTACGCAGCCTGATAGGAACGAGCTCCAGCAGGAGCAGAAGAGCCTAAAGACGCTCGTATCTCAATTGAAGTCAGAAAGTCGCGCCCGGGCTGCCCACGAAAAAGAGTTGACCAAGACAGTCGTGAAGGCGCAGCAGCAAAAGGACAAGTGGCGGGAAGAAGTTGTGCGTTTCGAGAAGGAAAGGACAGAGACGGTCAGAAAGGTCGCCGATCTGGAGGCGCAGAACGAGGCGCTCAAACAGTAGGTGTGGTGCTCTGCATCTAAGCCTGAGTGGTGTTTATCAGAAACGCGTCTCTAGATCGAGGACTTCTATGGTCAATGTAATGCTCTGGCTGCGGAGGCTGATCAAAGTAGGAGGGCCGAGGTCGAGGAAATTCACGCCTGTTTCATTCATTGATCCTGTGTTTCTTGAGGGCATCAAGCCTGTCCAGCTTCCGGAGACACTGTTGGACGTGCTTGGTCCGAAGGTGTCGCTCATGGTGCGTATTGAGGAGTTTAGTTGTAGCTTTCTCTTCATTCCACATATTTCAACTCATATGCATCGAACTGTCATGTAAAGCTCAGCGGCGATAGACCATCAATGCAGAGGTGTGTATCTCTTCACGTGCATTGAAGGTGAAGATGAACGTGCATGAGCCCAGCGATATCCACTTCATTCGTCGTCCGCCGATCTGCATGCCCCTTCGCGTAGAAGAATGTGGGATGCATGGACACTGGTTTTATCCAACAGCACAAGTACGGGAAAACGAGCCGGTTGACCTGGTGATCGAGAGTACACCAAACATGGTGAGCGCACTTCGAAATATGTGGCCCTACTGTAAAATTTCAACGATGATTTGTAGTGGATGTACTTAGGGAAATACCTATGCGCGTTTATGCCGGGAAGCGAGATGAAGTTGTCAGAGTGGATGACTTTAAACGAGATAGTCTGTTCGACTCAGCCCTTGCTTGATGCTGATACCTATTTTTCTAACAGACAAAAGTGATACACTGTCGGCAAGTAGCGAGTGCCGGCCTGCCTCCAGATCAAAGCGCGTCGTTACCGGCTCAAATGACTATGAAACGGCGCTACGAGACGGGCGAGTGGAGCGTCCCGTGCTTCAGTCTACGGTGTGTGGGCTTTAACGTCGATCTGTACAACGGTCTCCCTCTCGCGGTAGAGGAGCTTATGAGGCCCATGGCTGCGCTGGAAAAGAGGCCGGTGGGACCAGATGCTGAGAACGACGCAGTGAACAAGAGAATCAGGATCACACAAAGCCCTGGCCGGCCTTCGGGGAATGGCACAGACGTCAGCCCAGCACAGATTTCTTCGCTGACGTATGATCCGCATCCTGAGCTGAATCCAGAAAACATCCTTGCGAGTCCTCATTCCAGCTAATCTGCTTATGGAGTCGCTGGTATCGTGCAGCCCCTTGAGTGGAGATGATGTCTACAGCGATTGCTAGAATTTTTGCTGTTAGTAGAATATAGAGAGAACGAGCGCGATGCTGAAGAGAGGCCTCTAGTACGTTCCCAGAGGAAGTGTGGAGTGCGAAGACTGTGCGAAGTCGGAAGCGGAAGCAAATCGCTGAAGAGGCACATAAGATAACCACGTGTGACACCAGGAGCCGACGTTTGAACAGTTCTCCCGTTTGATAACTCAAGCCGTGACTCTACCACTTTGACCATGAAGTTACTCTATCCCGCCTCCAATGACTTAGCTTCGCTCCCCGAAGCGTCTACATCGACGAAAATTTCGCGCTACGTCCCGTGCGAGATTTGCGAGGGTTGTTGCTTGGGGCTCCGGCCTCCACACGGGTCTGATGTGGTTCGCGACGACCTACCGAAACAGCCGGAGAATTCCTTGTCCAACCTTGTAGAGTATGATTCGGACGACGAGGATGGTCCCACGGAATACCTCCATCAGTGTTCTTGCGGGCATGACGCGAAAGAGCATGGTGCGGACCCGGACAAACTGGGCAGAGAAGAGTTTGGGCGTCGGGCGGAGATTGCTGTGCGTCTCGAGCAACGATTGGAGGTGCGTGATCCGTGGCTTGATTGGCCTGCTTCTGGAGCAATTTAAGGCGGATTTTCGCAAACCTTCGCGTCCGTGCATCAGGTGCGGAGTTTGAATGACTTTTGTGCAATGTCTTGCGAGCATTCATCGTCCCTGTAATCCATCTGTACACAGGCCAGCGGGAATCTGCTGGATTTTGACTACACAGACGCAGAAATGGAAACTCTCCGATCACAATTCAAACTGCCCGAGCCCGCCGCGAGTCCCCTGACAGAAGCAGTGGCGTCACCCGGTAAGTTCCCCGCAATCGCCACGAGGCACACACTCTCAGCAACTGTGGCTGCGTTCCGTTGTTCGATGCGCATCTAACTCGGCTGAGCATGTATCACTTTACAGCCCTTTCTTCCGCAGACAAACTACCACCTTCATCGGTCTCTTCGCAGCTTGACGAGGAACTCTTACAGCCACCCGCAAAGAGACGACGTATTTCCTCATCTTCATTGAGCGACGCAGAAGACGACGAAGACGAGAACAGGCCCCTTGCATCCCGAATGGTGGGGACACACGTTTCCAGCAACGGCACTCGTCCGCATGGAAGACGCAGCGGCAAGAAGACATCGAGTATGAAGTCAAAAGCACAGACCGCTCCGGCGTCAATACCGCCACCCACAGGCGAACAACAAGCAGAGATGAACGGGGAGTTTTCGCAGCTGAATGGACATGAGCCACCGGTCAAAATGGAAGACCAACTAGACGAAGGGCAGCTGGATCTGTTAGCAACAGGCGTAACCGTCGACACAGCCAGTGCCGCTACGATCTCTGTGAGTCTCCTCATGGACCATCCTCCTTCACACTGACGTTCTCTTATAGCCTCCCCTGAAACCAGAGAAAATCTCGGCAAAGGAGCTGCGAAAGGGTGTGATCAAGATCCTACCTATCGAGAATGATGGACAGCCACGATCGTTCGTCATTTTGACGAACCTGAAGACGCTTTTTCAGAAACAATTACCTGTAATGCCCCGCGAATACATTGCTCGGCTGGTTTACGACTCCAACTCGAAATGTCTCGCCATTTGCAAACGAGGATATAAAGTCGTGGGCGGTATTTGCTACCGTCCGTTCACCCATCGCGGCTTCGCCGAGATCGTTTTTTTTGCGACGGCATCAGCAGATCAAGTCAAGGTTTGTCGTTCGATCGTACTCTCATCTGAGTAAAAGCTGAAGACACATCTCACAGGGCTACGGTGCCCTGCTAATGGATCATTTCAAAGCTCATATTCGACGGACCTACCCCGACATGATGCATTTTCTGACATACGCAGATAACTTCGCAGTTGGATATTTCAAGAAGCAAGGTTTCTCAAAGAACATCACGCTTGATCGGGCCATATGGGCAGGTTATATCAAGGACTACGAGGGTGGAACGATCATGCAATGCACGATGCTACGAAAGGTCGATTACCTCGCCACGAAAGAGATCGTAGCACAGCAGAGGGAAGCGATCTTGGCAAAGATCAGGCAGATGTCGAAGAGTCATATTGTGTACGAGGGGCTGCCACAGTTTCAGGATGGGAAAGGGGAAGGGCTCGTCATCGATCCCAAGGACGTGCCAGGTTTGAGTTAGTGTACTGACTTCTTTTTCTGTTGCGGGGCAACTGACGAGCAACAGGGGAGAGCGGGTGGATACCCAATATGAATGTTCCGTGCGTGTATCTTGTTTCGGATGTGTTCTGTCAGTCACTCACGCCATTGCAGTGCACGCCCCTCGACTAAGAATTTTGAGCGCAGCGCAATGGAATCTATCCTGTCAGACCTGCAGGCCCACCCTCAGGCCTGGCCCTTCAAGGAACCTGTCAACGCTCAGGAGGTGCCGGATTACTACGATGTGATTCAAAATCCGATGGGTCCGTTCTACTACCATTATGGTCGACCAATCCTGCTCACGTCGGCCGTTTCGTGCAGATTTCTCTACCATGGAGCACAAACTCGAGACGGGGCAATATGCGGATCTCGACTCGTTCATTGTAGACGCTCAGCTGGTGTTCGAGAACGCTAAGGTATACAACCCCGAGGATACCATCTATTATAAGGGGGCGGTTAAGATGGAACGAGTGCTGATGGATCATGTCAGTCGCGTGCGCGAAATCAGTTGAATAGCTTGATTTGTGTAGGTTGTTTTATGGACTTGTTCATGATACTAGTAATCTTATAGATATATGTTGGGCGTTGTGCTTTGTTTGTCTGCGGCTGCGTAGACGCAAAATCTCCACAGGATTACCGTGCAGCTCTTCCAAGCCGGGCAACCGATGATGTCTATTGTCACTCGATCTCCATTGACAGCAGTAAGGCACAAATCTCTTCAGATAAGTACAGTGCTAGAATTTGATCTGCAGGTCCTTCATCTGCCACGACTCTCCAATTCTTCAAACATCTGTTCATCATAACAAGTGATCACAACGTCTGCCTGCCGCTTGGAATTCCTGAGGCAACTTGATGCCGTCCCTGCCTGGTGCTTCGAAAATACGAACGCGTTGCTGTAGAGTACGGCGCAGGTGCCCGATGGCTGTTGGCTAACGAGACAGGATTGACATTAGAAAGCTCAGGGAAGGGCATATTGGTGAAACACAGGATGTAATGCATATAATCACATACTATACATGGAGGAGGGATCGAAAAGCATAAATCGTAAGTTGTGGTGGAAAACTAGCATACCAAATTACCAAGCGTACTAGTCTTCCCCACTGGACTCGGCCATAGGGGGAAGGGATGCTAGCGTCGCATTAGCTACACCTGCAGAGCCACTACCGCGCTTTATGTTAGCCCTCAACAACGAGCTACGCTGCGCCGCAAATATCAGGCCTCGTGCTTCCGTAAAGAAACGATCACAGCCACGCAGCTCATCGCTGACATCATTCTCCATCCATCCGTCCATCTCGAGGTGCTGCTCGATGATCTCTATGAACCGATCCGAAGTCTTGAGGACTTCGAGGGCAGCGTCCCGAGATTGCTCCATGCTAGGGATAAGCTTTAACTGTCTTTCTGAGCTATAAAGGGGAACAAACAATCTTCTAAGTGTCTCGACGAGGATAGCATGCGGCTCGCTGAGGAACTTTTCAAGGCTATCTTGAGAAAAGGCGATACTCCCAGATGGCTGGAAAAACTGTTTTTTACCAATTCCTCCGGATGTTCGCCCCTGGACGGTGTCGGATCTGCTGTCGAAATGCTGAATAAAGGCTACCTTGAGGTCATCACATTCTTGCTTAGGAAGATGGCTGGCTCTATAGCGGACACTGGTGTATAGCAAGACGTGAAGACCAGATTCCAACTCATCACGAAGTTCATGGCGCGTGCTGTCAGGATCCATGAGCCGGGCCGCCGAGATGAATTGCCAAGTTCCCTGCAAACAGGAGTTCAGTTTTTGAGGCGAGTTACATGGCTATCTTATGACGCACCGTTTGCCACTTCGTCGTCGGTCCCTGCGGCCCTTGCGTGTCAACCCTTTGATTATCCTCGCTTGGCAACCTCATAGCTAGATCCCAGTCAATCAAGATTCCCTTGCCTGAATCAGATATCAAAATGTTGCCGTCACTGAGATCCCCATGTCGCACGCGTGCCAATCTAAATGCCAGATCGTGTGCTGCACAGAAAGACGTTGGTAAGCATGCGAGGTGTCAAAGACATCGTCGACTTACCTTTCATCCCATCGCACGTAGCGCTAGCGAGCTCTTTTGACGATCTAAATTGGCTCAAGGGCCGTCCGATGTCCCCCAAAACTAACCGATGGAGCCTGTGTCGCCTCGGAAGATTCGTAGTCTTGCAGAACCACTCTTTTGAACTGTACTCGTGCGTCCGCGTGTCTTGACCCAGAATGTCTTGAGAACAGATCAGCGTCGGGATCCCGGTCACACCTGATCGTTCGAGGTGTCGATAGGTCGCTCCTTCCTTCTCGATCCCATCCTCCAAGTACCGCCAGCTGTTCTTCAGATACACAAGTTTCTGTCGCGTGATGTCATATGCAATGTACCCGTCTGTGGCTCTCCCAAACGGGCTGCCGCTCTGCCAATGAGGTTTGGATGCGATGAAATAGTGTTTCCGGTATGTGTCATCGTCCGTGATACAAAACTGGTGGAAGGTGGCATCGGACGAGTAGAGGCATTGAGCCGTCTCTTCGTCCTCGCCTAGGAGCCTAGTCAGAAACTTGGCTCGTTCGTCAAATGCTTTCTTCGCCCTCTTGATGTCTCTCGCCATGGGCTTTGTGAGTGACGTATCGCGTCCACGTTGCACGTCATTGAAACGGTTGAACCTCCAAAGGAACATAATCAGATGAGTAGGATCTCTCCTCCAGTTGACTCGTTCAGTCACAATAGCTCCCGCGCGATCCCATCGAATGAAGCGAACATAGTCACCAAGCAAGACCACAGTGAACAGGAAGAACCGGTTTTGCGCCGAGAGCTGCAAGCCTGCATATGAACAGATTTGGCCTCGATTCTTGGTCGCCGCCTGCGAGCGGCTCAAGAATGTGTGTGTATCGCCAGAGGTCGCACTGGGAGCGAGATCTTTGAATGGGTCCTTAGCCTCTGGCTTGCGCTCGATGCACAGTTCCATCAGCTCAAAGTCAGTTACATCACCGCCTTGCAGAGATCTCTTGTAAGCAACCATGTCTGGCTTGCGTTTGAAGTCTGCATCCAGATCGTCGGTCGTGTTGACAAATTTCAGCTTCTGGCAAATTCCAGATGCCTCGACAGCATCTTTCTGTGAATACGATATAATCAACATCGGTCTCTAATAACAAAGGAGAATATATACGTACAAAGTGATCCTCAAATTTTCCGACCCTAGGTATGCTCTTGAAGATTTGGGTGGCACGCTTGGGAGGTTTCTTGTCATCCTTCGTCTTCATGAAAGCGTCAAAGAATTCTGTGATAGGCATAGGTCCGTGAAAGTCGTTCTCAGTCTCTTCAGCGAGTAGAGCGTATCCGTTTGGCGCATTGGATACTTTCATCGCAACGTTGTGCGCCGGGGATTCTGTGTGAAGTCATGTTAGAAAGTCAAGAGCAGACCAGGAGGTTCTGAGAATGCCACTGGCTGGGATCGAGGACGTACTAGAATACTGGATTGTGACGGCGACCGTCCGCTCTTTTGGTAAACGCCGTTTGAACCTAGCCACGTGATCATTTTTCGATTCCTGTGGCTACAGTGAGCACTTGCATTTAGCATCAACCTCTGACGACAAATGGGGACGAGACTCACTTGAAGTGACTCATACAATGTAATTAGAAAGGCAGAGTGAGGTCGCAAACGGATCGAAGTCTTTCTTTACAAACCCGTTGCACATTGGCCAGCCGTCGATACACTCATTCACAGACCCGATATTTGCTCAGGACCTGATGCGGCATATGGTGATGATGCGAGCGCACGCTCGGCGTCTGGGAGGTGTGTCTGCGGAAGCAAGCCTGTTAGGACCACATTGTTTTAGGAGTGAGTGAACAAGATCATATCCTGCTCCTTCATATACGTCCCTAGCGCACAGAGCGATGAACGAAATCAGGAGGTCGTAGACAGCCACTATGCAGTGCATTTTATGGGCACTGGCGTGGGCAGGTAAATGGATTCCAAGCGCATTCACGGGCTGGTGGATAGCTAGACAGAGATATGACTAGACTTGGGCCTTAGTAAAATCAGCGCAGTGTGATGTCAGCGATTGATACCGTTCATAAATGACTGCCTAGAGCGCTGATTCTCCCTCAGTCTATGGTTATCACTTTGGATAGCATCAGTCCGCAGGACGTGACCAAGAATAATGTAGTGGGGTACACAGTATCGAAAGAAAGTGACAAGAGGAAAAGTAAGCAGGTCACGAGTACGACGGAGCACATACAGGTTTACTACTCATGCCTATTCTTCATTCAACCCGGCAAAGCTTAATGGTGTGAATTGCTGTGAAGAGAAAGCCAACACATTCAGTATGCATCCTCGCTAGAAATGTAAAGCGGAGCACGTACATAGCCGCCTGCTTCGTAGTGTTTACTGTTAGCCTCCACCCAGTGTAACCGGAGCGCATGGAGGAAAGCCGACAATCCCTTTGGCAGAAACGACGAGAATGAGCGCTCCTGGATGACGCTACCGCAGAGCCAAGAAGCTAGAAACGCACCTCCATAATACACAGGATGAAAACTGTTAGAATGAACCACAACACGAGCACGAGCCCAAAAGCAATCCAGCCGATGACGCCCTCCATTCCCAAAACGCCTCCCAACGTCATATTCCACAACACTTCGGAAAGCTGCGCATGTGCAAGTGAAAGCGCCCACAGACGAAGATACGACGCCGTGTGTGAGATACACCCCAGACAAAACTCGATGGTATGGATGACTTGATGAATCACGACCTCACTAAAATCATGCTGTTCCTAGAAGAGAATTAAATGCGTCATTAAACGCCAAGTTCAAAGTAAGTGAAAATACTTACATGCTCCTCATCCATCTCCTCTGCGATAGCTCGCCCATTTCCTTCTTCCTCGCCTTCTAGATCATCGCTCCGCCTACCCATATTCTCCTGTGGTCCATCACCATGGGCGAGGCCTACGTAGCCCTGATTCTGGATCTTCTTCATCTCCTTCCATTGCACGTACGGCTTCACGACAAGCATCCATGGCACGCAAACAAATGCGAGTAATAATAGCACAGTCTGAATGATACTCTGGCCAGCGTACAGCTGTGTACCCGGCTCTATAGAGCCAGGGGAAAGGAACATGGAAATGAGCATGTTCAACAAAGATGGAGGGGCAGTTGAGCTTTGACTCCAGTCAATCGTCCATTTGTACAAGATGCAAACGACTAGGTAGCCAAAGATTGATTGGAGGAAAAGCATTTGCGGAATGAAGTTGGTGTAGATATCGAGAGGGCGCTTGAAGCGAATGTGATTTGGGACTTGGAGACAAAGAGCGAAGGTCATCTGTGACAAGAGGCCTCAGCATCAACTCGATTACCAGGTAGAACGATTACACACATGAATGACGCCAAGAACGATCGACATTTTCATTTTGTAGGAATTAGTGAAGATGAGGCCGTTATCGGCACCGTGCCAACCAGGATCTAAGCCAAAAGGGTAGACGCGCCCATTGGCTCGAGCGGTAACGGTACCATTAGCGCCCTCAGGGATGGTCCATCCCGAATTGAAGAGATGCAAAGTCTTGGAGAAAACATCGTTGTAGATGAAGCCGGTGTAGATTGAGAACAGTCCCATGAGGAGGATGATGTAACGACCACTAGACATCGACGATGAGCTTCACAGGAAAAAAAGGTTCGTGCTGACGACTCACTAAAAGAAGGTGCCGAAAATTTCGCCAAGGTCAGCTCTGGCCATCTTTCGCTCGTTGAGGATCATTATCAGTGCAGCGAAGAAGATGATGGCGCCATGCCCGATATCACCGAACATCACAGCGAACAAAAACGGGAAGGTGATGACAGCAAATAGACCCGGATTGACCTCTTGATAAGTGGCGATACCATAGCTGTCCATGATGGTCTGGAAGCCCTCCGTGAATTTATTGGTGCGCTGGAAAGTCGGCGGAGTCTTATTGGTGCGCAACTCATGCAGAATTGGCGGGACGGTGGTCCCCGACTCCTCCTAAGTCCGTTGTTAGTAGTTAAGGGAAATTAACGAAAGGGTTCCATACAGTTGCATGGCGTAGAGCCAGCTGAATGATAGTGATATCCCTTGATGGGCACCATCCCTCTGCAATTAACGTTTTCCGCCTCAGATCATAGTTGAACAGGTTCAACGTCTCGTAGATCATCTTCTCCTTCCTCACGACATCTTGCCAGCTGGCCAGGCTCTCTCCAATCCTCAACAGTTCCTCTCTCCTTGTAGATCCAGTGTTGTACAACACCATTTCGAGATCTTCAATGCGGCCGTTGACTTCGCGTAAGGACTCAACGCGCTTGTCCGCGTTGGCATCGATGGGGTAGAGTGTAGCGCCCATAGACTCGGCAACCTTGCGAATCTTGGCGAGGAGAGCGTCTCCATGAGCAAAGATGATAAAGACATTCTTTCGAGTCTCGACACCACTCGCAGCATCCACGAAGGGCTCGGCAATGTCGGTATGGTTCATGTAAAGATTACCACGGAGCACGCGCCAAAGCACGCGCTCAAATGTAGGAACACGAGCGCGATCAATCGTGCCAGCAACAAACCTGAAAAAGACGCTTGGGATAAGATGACGACTCAAGGCGAGAACCACTTACTCGAGGTCAAACTGGACAGTTGATATGGAGAACTGGTTCTCGCGGTCATCGTGCTGCAACAAGGGTGCCGAGCTGTCGTCGAATGAGGTCCTGATATCAGACTGGTTGCTTTCAGCCTGTAAGAAAGAGTTAGCTATGAGGCGATTCCTTGTGTTTTTGTGAGCGTGTTTTACCCTGTCAAAGAATACAGCTGTCTCCCTCAGAACATGCCTAGCCTCAACCAGCTCCCTCAATCGACCACTAAGCAGCTCGTAGCTCTCATTCATCTGTACTAGCCTCGACTCGTGCTCGGTAAATGTAACATCTAAGCCGTCCATTGTTTGAGCTGCTCGCGGACCAACGGTGATGAGAGGCGCCGAATCATACAGCGGGCGCACGGGTATCTTGTCTTTTTCCCTCTCGATTTGAGTGGAGAAAAAACGAACGCGACGAGCCATCTCGTCGATGCGACGAATCTCGCCTATGAATGATCGTTGGAAGGGATTGACGTTGGGGTTCAGCTGTGCAGCTCATCATTAGCTGCATATAACGTGATTCCAACAGTCCTAATCTTACATCCTTGAACTGCATGTTTCCGAGTTCCCCAAGCTCAGCGACCGTGTCATGGGCAACTTCTGTTGGTACGAATAGTTGCACCAAGCTCATAGTCTCAGAGCCTGATATGGGGGCTAGTTCAGTCACCTAGAGATGGTTCGAAACGTAGAGATACGAACGGAATAAGCTAGGATATTCATTGACCACAGGGGTGCCCATGGCGGTGGAAGACTTGTAGATGGAGAGAGTTTCTGGCGATGATGCGACTCGGAGCACGGCTCTTCGCTGTTTGTCTGGATTCCGCAGGCTTTTGGGTTGTCGTCCGGACTTAAACTGGCCCTAATCAGGTAGTTTTACACCTTTTCTACTCGCGGAAAACGGATCACGCAAGCGTCAGCATCATTCCTAGATTACATTCGCTAGATTTTCTTACACGACAAAACCTGACCAGGCAGGCCAGCCCTAAGTAGTCTCCATTGCTGACCCTAATCCCTAGACACAGAAGATGGTCGTGGGCCAGTCTCTATCAGGATCACCTCGAACATGAGTATGAGTCTATGCATTGTTTTCCTCGTCATTAGGTTCCGCAGACCCACATTTTAATCTGCAGCTCGGTAGACCTGGAAGACATAAGACGCTGTGCCCTCTAGCTAGAGAATATGACTTGAGACAGCCTCCATGACTGAAGTTACACGGGAGACATATAACGCTCAAGGCCTCCTCCAGGGTTTCATGCCGTATGTCGTTGTATCTTGTCTCACCCACACCCCCTTGATTTCCATGACAATATTTGCAACGCGACGCAACCCCACACCATCTTACTCCCAGTAGCTCAAGCTCTCCTCTCTGAGAACATCACATGTGCCCTGTTGCTATTGCACACGTCGCCATGGCCGCCTTTGTACTCGATATCGTCTGCGAGTTGCTCCATGATACCGCGCCCTCGCTCCTGCATCCAGACGTGAAGGTTCCGAACGGTGATGAAGAACCACCCGATGCAGGAAGAAGGAGGGGTGGATGCGAACGGTGAGGGAGAATCAAAAGCCAGCGACGTTGTGAGTAATCTTCTCCTACAAGTCTCCATTTAACTCCATGATGTCATCTTCCCTCCGCTCTTGGCTGCTCATCCTGTCCAAAAACAATACGAGGGTAACAAACTTGAGCAAGCTCACTCACATCGTCAAGCCTTTTCCTTGCACGTCCACATAACGTGCCTGCGCGAGTATTTGCTCCTGGCTTTGACTACTTTCAAGTTTCAAATCCCATTCTTTTGGAGAATCGCCCACCAACGGGAGCAAAAACGCAATAAAGAGCATTCGACATGTGGCCTGAAAATATACAGCAAAAATTGTGGCATGAAAACACGAGTGCGCGCAGCGCTCGCCGTATGTTCGTCACGTTGTTTGTCGAAACAATGTGATCCTGACGAGCTTACTCCCGCAGGCACACCGGCCAGATGCCAAGCGTGAATTATGCGCCTCGCTCGCGTCGTCACCGTGTGCCGCGTCAGATCCTGCAGTCTGTCTGCTAATTAAGGGCGGACAACGTGTTTGAGAATTAACGTCCATTACGCCTGGCCAACATGCAATGGGTTCGTCATAAAATATTGCGATTACTTTGCCATCTCACTCCTATACGCTACCTTGTTCTGTAAGGCCATGAGTCACTTTGAGCGAGGCCCACCCCTGACGAAGGCAGACCGCAGAACAAAGCAGATGGCCAGGAGGTGCACGCCAGGAGACACACTTCGTCGTCCGCCGTCAGAGCTCGGGCTTAGTCGTCCTCTGCGATTTCGGTGGTGATACTCACCATGCTGAAGTTGTCTGTTTTTGGAAGGCTGAGCTGACAATAACCCTCGATGATCCCCATCCTCTCCGTCTGGGATCCAGTTGCTGAATCTAAGAAGGAACGTACAAGATACCCTTCATATAGCTGCATTATCGATCAAGGCTGAAGTACATACCCTGAGCCTTGGGCGGGATATTTGTGTATGATCTTCTACAAGGTGAGATGCAACTCAATTTCTTCACACATGTTGACAGAAGTCGGGCAGTCATGCATCAAGACGTCATTCGAAGATAGCGCAGAAGTTGGAACTAGACCGCGCAGACTATTCATTGCACGTAGAGACTTCCCAACGATCATGCACACAACTGTGATGCCGTGGTCTAACGTGGCCCAGCTGTAAGTGCGTACCGGTTCGTGATGTGAAGTTGAGAGATGTTGACCGGGACATCTCACTTTCGTCATGACCTCGTGGACATCAGTAATCCGTCGAACTGCACGATATAAGTATCGCTGCGACTCATGGGGATACCCTCTCATTGAATGATCTCGATCCGCACTGGCTGACCCTCTAAGATAGTGTGACTCACCGAGTAACCGCTAGGGCCAGTAGGGATGATCATCCTCTAGAATTGGTTCCATTTTGGCACGATTGAGACACGCTCTTCCTCATCGTCACATCATCTTGCACGATGAAGACGTCGATCGATCTTGATACTGTTTCATGTACGTGTTTCTTCCGATGGGTGCTTCAGTTGATCCTCAGCGAGGTTTTTGTAGATCGCTTTGACTCGTTCCCCGAATTCTGAAGCACAATCGGTCTTCAGGGTTCCGTCAATGTTCTATGCCGGGCAAATCATCACGTGGATTGCGGTTTCAACGTCCGCATGCCATTCCCAATCGTTGAGTGAAGTCCTATATGCGACGAGAGGAGATGGAGATAATCTAGTGTTAAGGCCACCTAGGCCTCGATCATGGTGTGGAGCATCGTGAGGATACGGGCAGGCGTCGTGACTGTCTAGAAAATGAGGACGAAGAAAAATGAATCGGCAGCGTGTAAGTGATCATCGACTTTAATTTGACACTTCACGGCCGATGAAATGATAATCTCGCTTGGATGAACAGCTTGATTTTGTGATTTATCAGGTCATCACCTCCATCGAATTCTGGCTGGAAGGCATATCACACACGGCATCGTACCTTCGTCTGTGGATGCTTTCGGAGGTGCTGTGGAATATGACGTTGGAGAACGTTTTGGGGACATCAGGTGTAATCGGCTCAACTAGTTCCTCCATCGTGTTTGTACTGTGGTCTGTCCTCGCGGCTTTCATCCTTTGTATCTTCGAGGTACGTGGCATGCTTCTTTGCGTATCGATAATCCTATTTGGGCATGCTGACCGACATCTTCGGGGCAAAGCAGTTGTTGACATCTTTACACGCCCTCCGGCTGCACTGGACGGTGGCTATGTACGTGTTCTGCCCGCACAGGGTTCCCATCGGCTGTTCGTGATGGGCGCCCTGCTGGCAAAGACACATGTACATGGCCTCGGCGATCTTTTTCCAGCAGTTCGTGCTGCTGTACTTTGCCGGATTGAACAAGGCCTGGGAGGGGGGAAGCGCATGAGCGCTACGCCGTCTGCGGACGTAACTTTCATTGGCCAGATCGAACTGGAGCAGGTGTTTGGGCGCATGGAGTTGTCTTTATCGGATGCTTGTGTGGACGGTTGTTTGGGCGGGAGCGGCCGGACGTGCGGGGGAGGAGTGCCTTGTGGGGTAAGTTTCCCCGCATTTGGACGCGCACGGTGGCTGTGCGCCCTTCATAAGCGAGGGATCTGTGAAATCGCAACGTTCCCATCTTGCGTCCTCCCCTTTCCCTCATTTTCTCTTAGAGGTGCGTGCCCGACCCTATAAAGCTCCCCGTCGTCTGCTTATCTGTCCCTCCTCACAGTACTCGGCCATCTCATAGACTTAGAAGCCTTCTTTGTCCTTGTCGCCTTTGTGTGTGCAACTCGCCCTCAACGAATTTTACCCGTCACGTTTTCCAAGGTCTGTCGCTTGTTGTTGGCACGTATGCTTGGTGACAACGGCTGAACGCCTCTGCTCAGATACCAGAAATGCCAGCTGCCACCACCACCGCCCCTGTTACTACTATCCCCTCCCCTGCTTCCCTCAAGGCCGCCGCCCATGGCCAGGTTGATGCCGTTGCCCTCTTTGCCGCCGACAAAGCTGCGCGCAAGAGCGCCTCTGAGGCCGTTGCTGCTCTCGCCCTGAAAGATGGCGCGTCAGCTCTGAGGTCCACTGGCTTCACCGACTTGGTCATTAAGGCCCTCGCCGACAAGAAGTCTCCCGCCGCACGCGAAGGCGCTGCGGAAGTCATCGCTATCGTTGTCAACACGGCCGTCCAGGCGCTCGAGCCATCCTTCATTGACTCGGGTCTCTATGCCGCTCTGCTCGAGGCCTTTGCCGATAAGATGCCTGCCGTGAGGACGGCGGCCGTCGACGCGGTCCGGACGTACGTAGCCAAGGCGAGCCCATGGGGCACTGGACTTCTGCTTCCTGCCCTTCTTCATGAGATCAAGACCGCCGGAAAGTGGCAGGTCAAGACCGGGTCGCTCGCGATCCTCGACCAGCTCGTCGAGAGCGCGCCGGTTCAGACTGCCAAGTTGATGCCCGAGATCGTCCCCGTCCTTTCTGAGGCGATCTGGGATACCAAGGCGGATGTGAAGAAGGCCGCGCGCGAGTCGCTCACGAAGGCCACCGCTCTGGTGTCCAACAAGGATATTGAACGCTTCATTCCTGCTCTTATCAAAGCCCTGATTAATCCGGTCGAAGAGGTGCCGAATACGATCCAGCTCCTCTCTGCCACCACCTTCGTTTCCGAAGTGGATTCTCCTACTCTTTCTCTCATGGTTCCCCTTCTTGCCCGAGGCCTTTCCGAGAAACTTACGGCGACGAAGCGCAAGGTTGCTGTGTAAGTCTACCCATGGCATGTGGTTGATCACGCGCTGATGCTCGATGCTCGATGCAGCATTGTCGACAACATGGCCAAATTGGTCGACTCGCCCGTGACCGTCAGACCGTTCCTTCCAAAACTCCTCCCCGGCCTTCTCAAGGTCGAGACCACCATCGGCGATCCCGAGGCCCGCAGTGTCGTCGGTCGGGCGATCGCGACGCTCCGCCAGGTTGGCGAGGTCCCGACGGGCGACGGCTCGGACCTTCCGCCACTGAAGCAGGCCGAATCGGGCCAGCTCGCGCACTCGCTCATCTCGATCTACAAGAAGGCCGGTGCTAACCCGGTTCCGTCCGTCGCCGATGAGGTCACCATCTACGCCTCGCGCCTTGCAGCCAACCTTGCCAACGCGAAGAACTTCGATGTCCCAGATTGGGACACGCTGGCGCTCTACCTCGCCTTCCTCGCTCAGTCTCCCGAGCCCGTCACCATTGCGCGCGAGTGGGTGGTTCACTCGGCCACAGAGGGCACCGACGAAGGCGAGGCGCTCGAAGACGAGGAGGAGGGCGAGGATCTGTGCAACTGCCAGTTCTCCCTTGCGTACGGTGCCAAGATCTTGTTGAACACGGCGACGCTCCGTCTCAAGCGCGGTCACCGCTATGGTCTTTGCGGTAAGAACGGCACAGGAAAGTCGACTTTGATGCGCGCGATCACGAACGGGTGAGCAGCACATCCTTCTGTTGTAAATAACCCTTTTGGTTGACCCTTTGTCAATTACAGTCAAGTCGAGGGCTTCCCGTCCCCCGACGAGGTCCGCACCTTCTACGTCGAGCACGACATCGATGGTAGCGAGGAGGATACTTCTGTTCTCCAGTTCATCCTTTCCGATGAGCGTATCCTCGCTGACAAGACGGAAGTCGTTGAGACCCTCGCTTCCGTTGGGTTCAGCGACGAGAGGCAGCAGCACGCCATCGGCAGTCTTTCCGGCGGTTGGAAGATGAAGCTCGCTCTCGCTCGTGCGATGCTCTTCAAGGCTGATATCCTCTTGCTCGATGAGCCGACTAACCATTTGGATGTCGTCAACGTTGCCTGGCTCGAAAATTACCTCACTGGCCTTACCCACTGCACTTCGATCATCGTCTCGCACGACTCTGGGTTCCTCAACAATACCATCACCGACGTCCTTCACTTGAACCGCTTCAAGCTGCGCCGCTACAGGGGCAACCTCGAGGCCTTCGTCAAGCAAGTTCCTGAGGCCAAGTCGTACTACACTCTCGAGGCAGCTGAGGACTACCGCTTCAAGCTCCCCAACCCTCCCTTGCTCGAGGGTGTCAAAACAAAGGAGAAGTCGCTGCTCAAGATGCGCAGCGTCGGCTACCAGTACCCATCTCAGCCCGTTCAGCAGCTGTACGACATCACGTTGCAAGTCTCCCTCTCATCCCGTGTCGCTGTCCTTGGCCCTAATGGCTCCGGCAAATCCACGCTCGTCAAGTTGCTCACTGGCGAGATGGAGGCCAACAAGGGTGGTGAGGTGTGGAAGCACCCAAACTTGGTCATCGGCTATGTCGCCCAACACGCTTTCCACCACATTGATCACCACCTCGACAAGACGCCTTTGGAGTACATGCTCTGGCGGTACCAGACGGGCGAGGATCTGGAAGAGATGTCCAAGGCGAACCGGCAGATCTCTGATGAGGAGCAGCAGAAGATGAAGGACGGGTCGCTCGTTATCGTCGAGGGCCAGAAGCGTCTCATCGACGAGATTGTGGCGCGCAAGAAGTTGAAGCAGTCGTATGAGTACGAGGTGTCGTTCAAGGGTCTCAGTTCGTCGGAGAACATCTGGCTGCCACGCGATGAGCTTGTCAAGCGTGGTTTCGAAAAGGCGAGTCTCGGTTTTAGCGCGCGGATCCTGCTCTCATGCTCATTCCGCTGACCCTGCTGTCCTCAATTTATAGAAAGTCATCGAGGTTGACACCCGCGAGGCCCAGCGCCTCGGCCTGCTCCGCCCCCTCGTCCGTCGGGAGATCGAGCAGCACTTCGCCGACTTCGGTCTCGAGCCCGAATTTGTCTCGCACAACACCATGCGTGGTCTTTCCGGTGGTCAAAAGGTGAAGATTGTCCTCGGCGCTGCTACATGGCGCCGTCCGCACGTCATCTGCCTGGATGAGCCGACAAGTACGTCATCTCTTCCTCGCGCAGTCTGTCTTCAGCTAATGTGACCTCCGCTTTCAGACTATCTCGATCGTGAATCGCTCGCTGCCCTCATCGAGGCCCTCAAGGTCTTTGAGGGTGGTGTCCTTATCATCACTCACAATCGCGATTTCTCCGAGTCGATCTGCAAGGAGGTGTGGGCAATGCGCGATGGCCGCCTCGAGGCGTCTGGTCACAACTGGGTTGAGGGTCAGGGCGCTGGCCCTCGCATCGACAAGAAGGATGGCCCGGAGGAGGACACGTACGATGCCATGGGCAACAAGATCGAGAACAAGAAGCAGAAGAAGATCACGTCTGCTGAGGCGCGCAAGGTTCGTGGTCGTTTACCTTCGTTTCCTGCAAGTGATGAGTGCTGACATGTCGATTTGTCTTCAGCTCAAGAAGGAGCGCATGGCACGGAAAAAGCGAGGCGAGGAGATCAGCGACGACGAGCTCTGAAGCTGTGGGTGCGCTCGACTATACTTTTCTCTTTCTGGTCACGACGGACTCGCCTCCCTCCATAACATCTATCTTACTTCCTGGATCATGCGCCGCCCTAGCAGCTTGTGTGTTTTGTCCTTGTTGTCGCATCTGTACTCTACCGCCCGTGTCGTACTTTTTCAATTATTTGTCTACAATATTATATATCTTCATCCTATTTTCTGTGGACATGGGCTGTTTGCGGTGATTCTTGTGGCCAAGAGAATGTGGGTCCATTTTTAAACAACTCCAAAATGACCCAAAGAGAATGGGTGCCAAGCTTACGGGCCGCGGCAAGGGCAGAACGATTTCCAGGCTTGGCTCCAGTAATACTGCTTCAGTGCTGCGGCTATTTCCAATTATTCTGGTGTTCAGCCTCTCGCTTCAGCCATTACTCACAGCCTTGCCTGCGCTGCGCGATTGCTCGTGTATATAAGCCCCGGCCGTTCGACGTTCGGGATCCAACTTGACGCCGCCTCCACTCACTTGGACATAACCCAGTCATAACCCTCATAGCAATCTGCGCAGACTTGCACGGGCGCCTCTTTGTAGCTCTCTGAATATTGCAGCATAGAAAAAGGGAACAGCGCTAGGCTCTAGCAAGCTCAAGATTAGGACAAGGGTTGAAACGATGCCGTTGATCGATTATGACCAGGCGCAGACGTTCAATGCGTCCACAACGTTCCATTACGCGCGCAACTTCGAGTCGAGGATCACGCCGAACGCGACGCAGCGGACGACGCTGATCGTTGCTGGGTGCTATATTGTTGCTATCGCCATTCTTTGGTGAGTCTCGATTTTAATGGGTGGTTCTAGGATGGGGCGTATGCTCATGGGACTTCTGCGCTCATCGTGTCGCTGCTCATTAGGCATGTGCCGTTTTTGAACTATATAAGTGAGTGGTCATTTATTTGCTGGTTGGAGGCTTGGGGGAGGCTCTGACATGTCGTCAAACCGTGGACTGATGTAATTTGTGGTCATGTTGGCTGGCAGTTTATCCATTCAAGTGAGTGTAGCGTCCATGGAGCTGAGCGAGTCTGGGCGCGAGTTGACCTGTGAATGCTCGATTTCTTGTAGGCTGCTTACGGTCGGGTTCCATGAAGTGAGTTGATCTCGTATATGATTCAATATCCTGGAGGTGGCTGAATTGACGGTGTATTACAGATGAGCCATGCTTTCGCCGGCGTGTTGACGTGCGCGCACATACACGCTATCGAGCTCGATCGTGAGTTCGCTGTCCTTGACCATCCGTAGAGAAATTGTTGGAGGTATTTTCTTCCTTTGAACAGCGGACGAAGGAGGCTCGACGCGAATGTCCGGCGGAATATCCTGGATCACGTTGCCGGCAGGCTACCTCGGCTCCTCGTTCATTGGCGCGGTGCTGATAACGTGTGGGTTCGACACAAACGCCAGCAAAATCGCCAGCCTCGTCTTGGCGGTGTTTTTTCTGTTCACGCTGTGGTGGGCGCGGCGGAACTGGCTGTGAGTTCAATGTTTTCCCTGTATTTTGTGACGTGAGCGTCCGTATAGCCGCGGATGTGCTCATGGAGTCCATTGGGCGGGTAGGACCTGGGTGCTGATATTGGGCATGTCGGGATTGATCGTACTGTTTTGGTTCGTCGGAGAGGGCGTTGCGCTGAGATTCTTCGTGCGTGTGTTCTCTCTTTTTCAAGCTTCCTTTTTTCAAAGAGGCTAGGTTCTGTTCATCGGAGTAATGTCGTGTTTGTATGTGCTCTGGGATGTCATAGGTCCGCCGTCATATTCATGAATTTCGTCCTGTAAGCTGACCCAATATCTCAGACGACACCATTGCCCGAAAAGTGAATAGTTCAGATGCCTCTGCATTCGCTGATATTTGTGGCTGCTGTCCATCACAAGGCGAGTCACACCCGGAGACCCTTCATCTGAACCTTCGTTAATTTCTTGGCCATACCTCTTATAGTTTGGGGAGTCATCTGGCTCATCCAGGCGTTCATTTTCTTTGTGCTCGGCATTATCGTTGGCTTGGTCGCGTTCAAGGTTCGGACGCCCCTTCGCACGTCTGATTCTATGTGTTCGCTGATCACCATTACCTACAGGAGTCAGCAGCGCAGCAAAAGGAGGATGCTTCGCATTTCCTTCCCGTCCCGGGATCCAGCGGTGCTCTATCGACATCCCCACTGTCTGGGTTGTCCCTTTCTCTTCTTGTTTGCGCCTCCTCTGCGCTCCTTATGCTATTTCGCCTATAACATTACTGCCCAGTTTTGATATCTGTTGACATGATGAGAATCTTTCTTGATATTTGTATATCCTTGTTACCTTGTAAGGATAATGTATATCGCGGACTTTTTGGATACCATCTATATGATGAGGCCTGCATGTTACGTAGTTCTCGGGGACGAGTTGAGCACTGCGCGATGGAGTACTTTCCGTAGCTTTGTGTAATAATCTTGATTAGCGGCCTTACGTCATAGCACCGTCCTACAGAGCGCCATTTGTCGCGTGAAGTCTGACCATCCTGTACTCGTTCTAGTGTTTGTGCCACTGTTTCTTATGCTCTCCGTAGCACAGTCCCCAATTCGCAGCACATCACAATTCACCTTTTCGTGGTCTCCGACACATTTCCTTACTCAAATAACTGATGGTTACTTCCTTCAATGTGGACGTCAAGCCTCATCAGGCTCTGAATATCTACGAAATCCTCGAAAACATCTTCCTGCACCTCGACCAATCCTCTAATGCCACTAACGCCCGCGTCTGCAAGCTCTGGTCAGATGCTGCGCTAGACAACATTTGGCGAGTCATCACCGATATTGAATGCATCACCCAACTGCTGCAGCCTGCAAACGGGCCCGCAGGATATTGGGACACAATAGTCTGTCGTTTTACCGAGTCGTGTTTACTTCCTCGATTTGAACAATTTTCCAAATAATAGGATGAGTCGATGACGTTCGCCATTGATTCTGCTTCGTGGGCGCGATTTACTCATTACGCGCCCCGTATACGCGTGTTCCAATTCACGTCTTCCGACAACAGAAGCATGCAGGAGGTTTACCGATTACTGGTCGATGTTGCAATTCGCCGTCAGACGGCGACACTCCTCCCCAACCTCCGCTCTCTGAAATGGCTTGCAGGGCCTAAATTCCTCCCGTTATTTGCCACCGCTACTGTTCAAGACTTCTCTTTCCGCATTGACTGGCCCAAAGAAAAATATCCGTATCACCAGTTTGCTCTGGACATTCTTCAATCGATGCCTAGAATCACGTCTCTAGCATGCGACTGGGTCCATGGGAAGGAGCATGGCCTCGGGTCGCTGCTCTCTTTATTGCAAGGCTACCAGGGCCTGACGGAGATCACTTTGCCCGCGGAGCGCCTCAACGATCAAGCACTCACCGAGCTCTCAAAGTTGGCCGATTTGCGCACCATCTCGTTCGAATACACTCTGAACGAGCATCGCTTCTGCTGCGGAAATCAGTTTGAAAGCATATCAGACGCCCCTGAATATTCATTCGCTCTCGAACCGGGCGCTTTTCCGTCACTGATCAACTTGTCCGTGTATCTCAGGCTCTCTGACGCCGAGCGCTTGCTCACGCATCCGAGCTTGGACGCATCGCGATTGCGGAAACTGTTCTTCATCAGCGTCGCCGCTCAGCCGGCCCCCGTGATGCAAGAATTCTGCCGTACGTTGGCTGCAAGGTGCAAGTCGTTGACGAGCTTGATTTTAAGCTTTCAATGGGCCCTCGAAGAAGGCGGTAGTGACTTCCACGACCACGACCATGAGAACCCGCTCACCGCGGTGGCTATCAAGCCGCTTCTTGCCATTCAAAGCTTGACGACGTTGCACTTGGCGCAAGCACTGCCGCTGACCCTTGATGACGATGATCTCCTCACGATCGTCCGAAGCCTCCCACTCCTCGAAGATCTCAGCCTCAATTTTCGACCGGCCGTCTTGATTCCACCGAATCTCACAATGGGCGCTCTGCCCATCTGCGCAGAGCATTGCCCGCGCCTGCGGGAATTGTCTCTCTACATGAACACAGAAAGATTTTCATCATTTAGACTCACGCATGCCTTTTCACCGACACTCGAGACGCTCCGGATTGGTCCCTCAGAGCTCAAGCCGGTGTCTTGTATTAGAGTGGCCCTTTTCCTGTCACGCCTACTGGCACGCGAGACAAAAGTATTGATGGGACAGGATGTGGATGATCCAGAGGACCCGATGGACATTGATGAAGAAGAATGGGACAATGTCAAGAACCTTGTCACGGGGATGATTCATGCCAGAATGGATGAACGGGAGGGCAATAGTCGAGATCTGTCGACAATATCATGATCTGGGACCTGCTTGTATTATCGCTCACTTTTCTCTCAGTCTCGCTATCCTGCATCATGTACATCTATTAACCATTGGCGGATTGCTTTGCCGCGTACTGACTTCTCTCGGAGGGGGCCGGCAACCGCCCACAGCGACTAGTGCCTATGAATAGCTAAGAAGCGGCTTGGTATCTCTTCAATGTAAGAATATATGCACTGTACACCCCCAAGGGCGCGGTGTTCCAACTCGGTCGGTGATGTTTTTCGAGGCTTTGGCGAGGCCGTGACAGAACCTTGCAAACTTCTCTGGGACTCGTGGATACGGCCTCTGGGACGAATAATCGCAGTGGCACGTTCAAAGGTTCAAAATGCCAATGGCACATGTCGATCCATTGGATAGTCTACCATTCGATCGTGGAGCCTGAGGCGGCCGCATAGCTTAACAGAAATTCTTGGAGAGACTGAACGACGATTTTGACAGGGCGCCACACGATCTGGATTCTAGACACAGATTTGCTCGATTGATTTTATACTTCACAAATTCGCTTTTGAGGCAGATCCGAGGACCTTCGACCAACGTCGACTGGTTCGTTGGTCGTGTTAGTATCTTCGTTATCTGTATTGTATTCTGTAGGCAGACACAATGGAGGATTTACCACTGAATGTTGTCGTTACTGTTTGTATGATCACGTGCTCAGAGGGCAAGTAGGCGCCACCTGGGCTGATGAGTGGAGGTCCAATCCTGAGTAGCACCTCTTCGTAGAATCGTCGAAAAGGGAGGCTCGGATCGATAATCGCAGATAACTAGGGCGCTGTGTAGAACTCCGCAGGACTTTTTAACCGGTTATTAACCAGGAGGTGTTAATAACTACATATTGTGAGCGTGGGAAAATGAAAGTAAAATCGAGAAAATAGGTCAACAAAATGATGGCTCACAGCGCTCACAGTTCACTCAGTTGTATATATACAGAAACTAAACCTAAATGGATTGGAGAGGCTCAGATAGCTAAGCATAAACGGGATGATTTGAGTAAGCGGTTGTAGAGTTGGGTATCCTAGCCTAACCTCTCTGGTCTCTTCTCTGGTTCCGCCGCAAGGGGAGGCAACTGCTCACTCAAATCACCCCATTTGCGCTCCAGCCATCTGTACCTCTCTAGTCCATTTAGGTTTAGTTTATAGAGGTTTGAAAATCATTCAAAAACAGCTGTAACTTAGAGATTGCACTGAATAACAACAAATTCAAGACATTGCTATTTTAGAAAATTAGTTATTAACCTTAAAAACCAAAGGGTCCGATAGGTGTCTGTTATTAACGCGTTATTGACACCTGTTATTAACCCGGTTAAAAACTAGGAGTTCTACACAGCGCCCTACAGACAACGCACCACAGAAAGCGACAGAAAGCAGTGTGAGCATTGATTGGGTGGGTGGTATATATATCATCCCATATAATCTCTTCAGAACATAGACCATGTTCTGAACAGAAATCGAAGTGCAGATGAAACTAAAAAGAGAGAAAAAATAGTAACACATACTATGCTATCCTGCAGTGCCATCCCCAGGTCACAGCATGCGTCAGCTGCATATACCGATACTGTTACACAAGATTATCCTGCTGCTATGATAAGGTGTGTGCGTCCGATCTAAACCGTAGTCGGCACCCCAAGCGCCCCGCCATCTGAGAGGCTCAAGCCTGAACGAACTCTAACTTCAGATCTCGAAGTCGTACGTCGCCCGTGCGCTATCCGCGATGGCAACATTGCGCAGGAGCGGGTCGAGCGACGCAAGCTCGTCCTTGATCCCGTTGCGCGCGAAGGCATCGAGATCCTTGAGCAGCTGCGAGATGATTTTCTGCGAAATCGATAAAACCGCACGGGTCATCCAATTGCCACAGTGAAAAGATAAATGTGAGTGAGATAGGGAACGTGAGACGGAGGAGATGGGACGATGGAGGGGAAGATGGCGCGTACCTTGAACTTGCCGTCCACCTTCAGAACCATCTCTCCCAGCGCAGGCGTCCAGCTCGGCGGTGGACTCGCGAGCGGGCCCGCTGCATGCGTCGATGGGACTGGCGGCGCGCCTGCGCTCGCAGTCGCGGGGCCACTCGCGCCCATCCCCGGACCTCCGTTGATGTTCAGCCCTCCCTGCGCAATGCCCCACAATCCGTCACCGTCGGCCATAGGAGCCGCATCCGCACCTGAAAAAAGGTATGACACGCCAGGGTGCGGGGAGAGGAGACCCAGAGGTCCGAGCATGTGCTGTGAGGCGTGTGGGAAAGGCGATGGCCCGAGTAGCTTGGAGATTTTTGAGTAGAGCTCGGAGAGGATGTCAAGGAGGGAGAGGAGGGTTTGGTGATAGTCGAGAGGGAAGGGCTGGGATTGGGGGGAGGGTATCATAAGAATTTCATGGGAGCGATGCGAATGGGGAGGGGGCGTACCGTGTGGGGGGCGACGAGATAGGATGTTTCGGAATTGTCGGAGAGGGATATTGGGTAGTCGCCTAAGCCGCCTGCTTGGCGTTTAGGAAACTTATTACGGTTGAAGATGCGCTGAACAGGAAGAAAGAGGGGTTTATATTTAGAGAAACAAAACAAGAAGAGATTAGGCGGTGTATCATCTCACCATCTTGGATGGCTTCTCGCCTTCCTCTTTAGCCTGTTCGTATTCTGTGACGGTGTTGAGAAGACCACGGAGAAGATCTTGCGGTTGATGAATATCGAAAAGTGTGGAGAGCGACATAGCGAGAATTGCAAAGCGTGAGGTGCTGAGATCAGAGAAGGGAGAGGAATATATCGCATTCGGGCGGGGACGCAAGACGGAGACAGATGATGCTTACCGCCGTTTCATTGCAGCATTGCTGAAAACACGATCGAGTTCACCACGCGACATCATGATAGTGTGGAACCAATGACTTCGTCTGAACATACAATGCAACCGCATCAGTACCCTCTAAGTAGAGATGCAGGGAGCAAAATTATAAGCCGCACCCGTCGTGTACATTGCGCATATACGTCAACGTGATGATCCTCTTCTGGACGAGATCTCGAAGGTATTCAACGGACGCGCTCTGTGCGAACGCGGGGCTGCCTGCGCCACCAAGCCCTGTCCCGTTCGTCGAGTCCGAGTGCATGCTCTGGACATCCCATTCGCGCGCGGTGGGTGTGTACGCGGTGGGTGTCTGCGCGGACACAAATGCGAGCCCCGTGGCGGACGATATCGAGGCTGGAGCGCCATTCGAGAGCTGCATGTTCATGTTTCCGTTCAAATTCCCGTTCATGTTGAGGCTCATTGCTAGTGGGGGCGGGGGTGCGGGCACGGGGACAGGCGAGGATGACTTGAAGGAGGAGAGGAGGTTCTGAGCAGATGATTTGCGGCGCATGATTGGGCGCTGCTGCTGTGAGGACATAGACGTCGACACGGAGGAGATATTGGTCGTGGGCGGGTCGGTCGGAGGCGGCGCCATCATCCCCAGCTTCGATGCGGCTATCTTGATCGTCGACTTCCGCCCGCCGTTTCTTCTTCTGTCACTTCACTTTTTTTCGTCAGGAAATATGAGCTCCCTGGCCGCCGTTTGACCAGGCTATCGGCGCGCCCAGATACCGCATAAAATCATGAAAAAGTGGCGGGATGAAGTCGACGCCACCCGGCGTCAAGTCACGTGACTGATGGATCGCCAACTGTTTTGAGGCCTGTTGTCTTGCCCTTGCCCTATACACGTTCATCTTGTTTCATCTCCATCTCCATCCCATCCCCATCCATCTCCATCTCTCTACCACCAAAATAAGCCGTCTTTCCTCTCTCGCGCTCGAAAAAATGGCAGATATCAACAGCGTTGCAAAGCAGTTCACGGATTTCTATTACACTACCTTCGACTCGAATCGAGCCAGCCTTCAGACTCTCTATGTGCGTCACGTCTCGTTCGCGCCCGATCTCTTCGTTGACTCGCACATACTACCATCTTGACTCATATGTGTGCGACTGACGCGCCTATGTGCTTGATCGAATCACATCGGCGTAGCGCGAGAACTCGATGCTCTCCTTCGAGGGTGCACAGACTCTCGGTGCACCGAACATTAGTGAAAAACTTTCCGTGCGTCGATCCCTCTCTCATTGACCATATGGGCTCACATTTCTTAATTTTCTGTCACCTTTGTCTTGCCCCCCCTCTGGCCTCGCCTGGTCCTTCCTTTGTGCTACTCGCGTACCTCCCTCCCTGCCTTTGAAAACAAGTCGCTACCCTTTGAGCGCGTACAACACAAAGTCACCACAATTGACGCGCAGCCGTCCTCCCCCACCGCTGCAAGCCTCATCGTCAGCGTCACCGGACTCCTACTCGTGGGTCATCTCCTCCATGTCCCTCGTTTCTTCCTTTGAATCTCTGCCTGTTTTTGTCCTCTTCGGTCAATCGCAAACTACGTTGATATCCTCTCACGTGCGAATGAACCACGCGTTGTCTGTGACCTGATTCCGCGCGCATCTGTCTCGCTCTCGTCTCATCGCACATCATATGTCCCGTACACCATGCCATGCATTGCGTCTCCTCGATGGCACACACCAGGTCGACGACAGCCCGAACCCGCTCCAGTTCAGCCAAATCTTCCATCTTATTCCCGATGCCGGGAGCTACTACGTGTATGTTCCCATCCTCTGCTCTCGCTCGTCATCTTACGCGACGCGATCTCGCGTTTTTAGATTTAACGACATCTTCCGGCTCAATTACGGCGCGTAATGATCGGCCGATTTTTAGCGTGCTCACGGTATTCTTGTAGAAAGAAGTAGAAGCAAGGAGAAAGAAAGAAAGAAGACGTTTACTTTTGTTGTTTTTTTGATATTCCATCTCACACTGTTGTGTTATTTTTCTCTCTCTTTCTATTCCGTTTCCTCCCTTACCTTTGTTTGTTTTCATTGACGCCTATGTTTGTGAGTCTGGGTTCGTGCGCTGCGGTGTTGTATTCATCAGCGAGAAGAACTCACTCAGGCCCGTGTAATATTTTTCTTTCATGATGAGAGGGGATTAGGGCGAGCGATGGGTGCCTTGAGCTTATACCCATAGAGTGAAGTCGAAAGTCTATGGGGAAGTGATAGTATTCAATGTGGGACGGGTTGTCAGACTGGGTCGAGGACGAGTGATAGGTTCTATGAACAAGGCAATGGCTGCTTGGGCGAGACACGAAGTCGTATTCTACTGCGACGGCGCAGAACTGGGCCAGTTACAGCCTGTTAGTACAGCATTGTTACAGCAGGTTATAGCCACTTTATAGCCGCCCAGGCACAGGCGTTGTCATTTTTATTCATTTACTAGTCGTAATCTCTTTGATATCCAACCATATGTACTCCACAAACCATTATTTCAATGCACAGTAAACCTTCATCCAGCATATTGGAAAACCCTTCGAGACGCTACCCCCAGGTCTCGGCACTCTTTTGTTGCGGGCAATGCGGTAGCCACGATGCCGAGTTTTCGAGTCACAAGTTGGTCTACACGTATTTGATCATGCCCACCATCGCTTCAACATAAATACAAGGTCCTCATCCCGCACTGCTCGACCTAAGATAAACATAGTCTCCGCTGCGCCAATGTCGTCGCCAAAACCGTCTTCTCGCGCCGTTGCAGTTTACTGTGCGTCATCGACTGGCAAGGACCCAGCCTACAGAAATGCCGCCGGCTGTCAGTTGCTTACCCACTCTGAGTTATCTCCTATTATGACCATTGACGTCGTATACATTGCCTACTAGCTCTTGGGAATGCACTCGCCAATGCGAAGAGACCTCTCGTCTACGGCGGCGGATCGACTGGTATCATGGGTGTTGTCTCCGGAGCAGTTATTGATGGAGGTGGGGAAGTCACAGGTGTCATACCCTTCGCTATGGTGGCTGCTGGGGGCGAAGGCGAGAAAAGCACAAGGCCGAAGGTGCAGATCCATTTGAACGAGAAAGGGCGGGAAAAGGTATGTGCGTCTCAGTCGAACGAGCGCATATCTAATTTCAGCTGTTGCGGGATGGACATATAGGTCGAGACGGTGAGCACGCATATGTCGCCGACATATCTTATACTATCGTGCTCATGTTCATACCCTAGATCGTCGTTCACTCCATGCACGATCGCAAGGTAGAAATGGCTACTCGGGCAGGCGGTTTTGTAGGCCTTCCGGGGGGCTTTGGGACCTTTGAGGAGGTAGGCCTACGTATGTTCTCTTTGTAAGAATATCCGCTCAGCACGCTATACAGATCATGGAAGTGATCACATGGACGCAACTGGGCATCCACAACAAACGTTTGTTTTTACTGCTCTTGCCATTTGCTCATCTTCATCCCCGTTACATTTTTCACACAGCCGTCGTCCTCGTCAATGTTCTCGGATTTTTTGACCCACTGCGTTCACTTATCCAGCGCGCGATCAGCGAGGGCTTTATTCGGCCGCACAACGAACAACTGGTCGTGTTCGTAGATGGCCCTGCCGACCTCTCGGAGCATCCAACGTTCGACTGGGGATCCGCAGCACTTGCAGCCCTCGATGGGTGGACACGCAGCGGAAACGCGTTGTTCGATTGGAAAGTACGCGAGAACGGAGGGAAGAGCGCCGGGGGGCTCGAGGCTTCGTGATTCATGTTGACGTAAAGTCGGTGAAAGCGGACAGGTACTGGACAGGTAGATTCGCATCCTATATGACAGTTACTTCATGAGTAACTCAGTAATGATAATTAATGTGGATCGCGCTAGGCCCCAGCCAGGTACCGGGAGGCGGTTTAACCACTCTACAATCAAGAGATAGAGATACAACGATATGAACTGCATCCCTACATCTGTTCTGTTGTCCTATGCCTTGGAAGCATCGATGATGGGTTTTTTGGATGACGATGGGTCTATCTTGCGGTCAGTATTCATGAATGCCCTCACATCATCGTCTGTGACGTGAGCCTTTCTCTGGAGAAGGGAGATAGGCAAGTGTTAATTCATCACACAAACACGACTTAGATATGATACGCACATCCTGAAAGTCTTTCACGAATGCCTGGAGCACCTGTATGCATTTCGCCTTGAGCTGGCCAGTCAGTAAGCGACCCGCGCGGTATTCCTGTAGTCCGATAGGTGAGCAATCTACTCAGTGTACAAAGCGAAGCGAGATACTTCGCCGATCCGCTGGAGTTCCTCGTCATCATCTAAGAAGAAGCTTAGGTACTGGTAGCTGACATCGACGTCTGGGTCTCCGCCGAGTCTCCGATGTTCTTCTTCAGTCTCCTTGCCACCGCTGAACCCGTGCTTGTTGATTTTGTTCTTGATCTGTCCGGGCGTGTCGGACATGAAGATACTAGAGTTGACGTCCGACGCGCTCATCTTGGTCTGTGGGCCCTGCAGTGCGGGGAAAAATTTGGCGTGCAGGAGTGTCGGTTTGGGATACTTGAGCTTCTGGGCGACATCACGAGTGAGGCGGAAATATGGGTCTTGATCGATGGCACAGGGAATCAAACTGGGGATGTTGGTCACTTCGCCGAAGATATGAGGGAAAGAGTTTGAGAAGGAAGGGGCAGCTTGAATAGCAGCAAAGTGGATTTTCCCGATATTGTCACTACGAGTAGAGATTGATCAGCCGAAGTATTGCGGCCTCTAGTGTAGACAACCTTACGAATCGTTGAACCCAAAGGTCGCTTTGGCCTGATTGATGGTAATCTGGCGAGAGATTTTAGACACATTCCTGTAGAACGGCCCGCCGAGGTAGTCGTAGTCGCTGAAGATGAAAGTTCTTTCAAGCTTGAAGCCGACCGCAATGATATCGCGTGCGTTTTGGAAGGCAAATTTATATGTCTGTTCTGCCTTCAGTTCATGTTTGAACAAGAACTTCTCGTCATCTACAACGTCTCAGTTTGATGAATCAAGCAGGTGGAAATTCCACGAGGACTCACCCGTTAATTGAACAACGAGCGGCACATCAAAGACATCTTGCAACCATCTATATTCAGTTAGAGGAGATGAAGATGGAATGGTTGAAAGAACAGAGACCGCACTTTGTGAATACAAACGGAATCATATGTCCAAGATGCATACTGTCGCTACTTGGACCACGCCCGGTGTACAAAAAGAACGGTTTGCCTTGCTCATAGCGATCAAGAATTTTGTCGAATTCACTGTGTCGTGTATAAGTGCAGGCCAGATGCGATGAGTAGCATGGTTGGGATGTCAGGAGGCCTACGAAAAACCATCACTCACCGATGCGAGAAAAAAGTCCCTCTGCGCAATAGCACATGAGGTTTGTGCCCAGTCAACCGCTCAAATCTTTCCAACAACGCCTGATCGATACGCCGCGTTCCGAACTGGTCGATGAGCTTGTCATAGTCGATCGCGAGCTGCCGACCATCGCTCGAAACGGAACCCTGTACGTCCCACGGCGTCACTACTTGGGCATGTACTGCTGAAGAATCTACAGGTTTAATTGTAGGGGCTTCAGAATGCATAGAGTCTGCTTGGCTGTAGCACCTGTTACATCTCGAGCACACAGACAGAAAGGAGAGCCTACGGTGAAATGGATGCTGTCTCCATCCCGGTCTCCAAGCCCTCTATTGGAGCGGAATTTGCTGTGTCAGTCATAAGGGCTGAATTGGAGGTGAGATGCGTGAGGATACGTGGCTTAAAGCGTCGCGAGTTAATTGAGTCAAAGCGTGAAAGTCCGAGTCAATTCCTGGTATTATCTCGATCTCGAGACCATGATCGTTATCTTATCTCGAGCCATTCTTAGATGATCTGCTTCGACGAAGTCGACCCTCAGTACCTACTTGTTCATCGCAATCTATATCACCTTGATATCTACACTATGGTATCGGGCAAAAAGGAGCACAGAGCCTCTCCCTTTGCCGTGCGGATGTGCTGAAACGCTCGTGAATGGAAACAAAGAACGATCACGAGTCGAAAAACAGAAAGTAAGATTACAGTACGAAATCACAGAACGTGTAGCCGTATCAACAACACCGCCACTACCCTCAGGACACAGCCGTGTCAAACCCTCCGCAGCTGCAACTACGCCGATCAGAGGGGCGGACTCCTGTCGGGATGGCCGCTCAGCAGCACTTGCTGCCCTGGTTAGCGGAGTTGTCCACGGAGGGGCTGACGGTAAGGGTGTCGCCGGAAGAGGGTTTGATTGGGTCCCCGGATGACTCCAGAGATTTGCTCGACACGATCCGGAAGATGTCAGTCAAGATTGTCTGGAATGCTGACTCGACGTTCGATGCGTCCAATGCCGACGTCTCGATAAACGAAAGTCCGTTCTCCGCTTTAGAACACGGCGGTCAAGTTCAACGATTCGTCAGTTGGGAGAAACGGTGGCCAATAGAGAAGAAGGTGCGCACTTGAGAAGGCCTTTGCCTCTTCGGTCGGTACAGCCCGCAGGTGCTTCAAATCGCTCTTGTTCCCGACGAGCATGATGACGATGTTTGAGTCCGCGTGGTCTCGGAGTTCCTTCAACCACCGTGTGACGTTGACATATGTTGCGTGCTTCGAGATATCATATACAAGGAGCGCGCCCACCGCCCCGCGGTAGTACCTGTAGATGTCAGTTGTCAGAGCCTAACAACCAAATCAGACACGGAGCAAGAAACAAACGCAGCAGTGATGGCGCGGTACCGCTCCTGGCCAGCTAATGCATCATGTAAATAGAGGAGAAGAAGGTCATTAGTAGATGCACAGTGGCAGCGATACACGAGACGGCAAGTACCAGTATCCCATATCTGCGCCTTGAGCGTCTTGCCATCGACGCTGATCGTCCGTGTCGCGAACTCAACACCGATCGTCGACTTGGTCTCGAGATTGAACTCATTGCGTGTGAATCGCGACAGCACTGCGGGTTGTCGTCCGCAGATCGTCAGTGTTCCCCTTTCCGCTCATTCATTGGATCTGAACGTACAATTCCTATTCCGCAGATCATCGGAGCCGTCTCAATGAATAAAGCTGGAGGAAAAGTAGATGGGACACCCACGATTTCCCGACGCCGGAATCACCGATGAGCACAACCTAGAGTCCGGATTCGCCAATCGTGAACGCGCGGCCTGACAGCACGAGCATCGAACGCACCTTGAAGAGATAATCGAAGTTGCTTCCTTCAGCCATGATGATGAATCAGAAAAATGAAGAGAAGAGAGGAGCGGGTAAGTTAGTGAACAAAGATGGGCAAGTGTGTCGGTCGGAGGCAGCGGATGGTGGTCGTAACGGTAGATGAACGTGGCGGAGAATGAATTGTGGCACCAGCAAGTCACGGCGGCAGTCCGTTTATCACCTCCATATATGTGAGTGCGAGATTCTCGAGCTCAACAGTTTTTCGACTACTTATTGTCCTCTGGACCTCAAGGGGATATAACGGTTCTGGGAATAGCATCTGTGCATCTCCCACCGGGCTCTCGCGGCTTCTGATCTGTTCCGCAATGGTTTGGAGATTACGCGGTAGCTGCCTAACTGGATGAATTGATAAAACAGAGGTGTATGATAGTTCTGTGGCTTTCACCTGAAGGATTCAGACGAATCAATCTTGTCGCTATCTCATGTGTATCTTGGTGGGTTATCGGTGCTCCTTTCATTCTCCCTGAAGGCGGAAAAGCGGCCCGCTCGTCCCAGGTCGGTGGTCACGACATCCCTTATAAAAGCAAAGCGCTTTTGTATACTCTTCGCGGATTGACCCCATTTACTGTTGCCCACCATGCCTGCTTCGCAACCCAAGCGCGTGTGCCAAATTGTCAAAGTGCGTATCTGTCTGTATCTGCTATACCTGACCGACGCGCGCCAAGTTCCTGACCCTGCGTCTCGCACTTCTCAACTTCCTCCCCAGCTTAAGCCCGAATCGGAGGCCGAATACAAGCAGGTGCACGCAGCAGTCTGGCCGGGCGTTCTCGCAGCCATCGAGCGTGCGCATATAGTCGACTACTCGATTCACTACTACTCCCCTCTCCACCTGCTCATCGCCAACTTCAAGTATGTCGGCAACGACTATGAGAAAGACATGAAGAGCGTCGCGGACGATCCGGATACTCAGCGCTGGTGGAAACTGACGGATGGCATGCAGGAAAGCTTCATCGAGGGTGCAACAGGTAGTGGGAAGGACATTCCTTGGTGGCAGGTAGGATCTTAATCTGCGCTCTTCTGTCCATTCATTTTTTTGACGTTCAATGGTTGACTTGGCGACGTTTTTAGGAATTGGAAGAGGTCTTTAGATTCGAAGGACAGCGCTATTCGTCCAGCGATTGAAAGTCTTGCTTTGACAAGGAAGAAAGGCAGTAACACTCGTGCCGCTGGTGCTGTATTTGTAACATGTTTTCGTATCTCCGCATTCAGATCAAAGATGCCCTAGGCTGCGAAGTTTGAGCGATGCATGTAGACTGTCCTAAACACCTTAAATAATTTTGGTGAATTTGACGCACAGCACGGCATCATGTCTTCGTCGGGACCTCAAGGCCTCAAGGACAACTGCTGTTTTGGCATCATACGATCGTTAGCGCAACGCCGATACATTCATTAGTGATGCACGAAGTTGTTCTGACTGCCTCCCGTTCATGGCATCATAACATGAAGATATATAGAATCACTGAATTTTACCACTTGAGAGGAGACATTTCGGACAACCAGACAATCCCACGATTCCAACACATCTTGCTCTGGATAACAGGCCGTTGATCGCAACACGCGTCGTACATGTAACTAGAAATTCTGTAGGATCACCAATCGTCGTCGTCGTCGTCGTCGTCGTCGTCGTCGGTGTCACGATCAAAATTTTCGTCGTTATCATAGCCGTCAGGCGTCGTCTTCCCATCCCAGGTCACTGTCGGCACATTGTCTTTCAACTCATCCACCCACTCTTCCAAAATATAACATTGCTTAATATCGATGCTCTTTACTGGAGCGTTTAGCTTGCGACGTTCCTCGAGAACAGGAGGTAAAATGTCCCGTGTGACAGGTATAGGCCCATCAGCAGAGAGGAAGTGCCCAGATTCTCTAGTTTGATCCTGGCGTAGACAGATCTCCCGTAGATGTGGAAAAGGCATACTCCGCGGATGCCCATGGTTTGCCTCCAAAATCTGGAGTCGGACGAAGAAGCGCAGAGAAAATAGGTGGGGCAAGCCGTGACAGGTGGACACGTGTCAGATTGTGCATGGGAAGGAATGTTGCGCGCATAGTAGTGAGGTCCCAACGCCTGAGGTCATGTATGGTAAGGTAGAGTGACGATAGTTCACTGACGTCAATCGAATTGATGATTGAGCATCGGGTCTCCAAAGATGGTCCTCTTTCATGAAGGGTGAATTTGAAGACTCGAGACGTATGAGAGGATCTAATGACACGGGGTGCCGATCCTAGCCAACCGAAGACCCTGAAAGCATAGCCTTCATCACATATCCACAGAGAGTGCAAAGGCAAAGCCCCCCCTAGTCCACCGGCATGCCGTTCAGGATTGCAGTAAGAGCGTCCATGGATCTATTTGAATTGTCCATGTGTGCCGTTAGATCTAGGTGTGCATCGTCAGGGCATTGAATATTGGCAAGCATCGCCATGCAACTCGACCACGGCCCCCTCAACTTGAGGCTTGAAAGCCGAGGAAGCGTGATTATGTGACTGGGATGAGAAGGTCGAGTGATAAATGCGCCAGATGTGTCATATGAGACAATCCTTCATAAAACTCGTCTGGAGGCGGTAATGCTGACGAATCGGAAGCAGTCGAGGGTAATGAAACAGACAGATTCATCAGATTATGTAGGAATCCAGAGGACCAGGGGATTCTAAATCCGTTGAACGAGGCTGTGCGCAGAAGGGGGGCGAATTGAACAAACAAATCATGAGGAAAATTCGATATAACACTGATCGCCCCATACGATGAATTATTCTTCAGTCTGACACGCTCTAGAACGGGGGCAGCAAGGATCAGAGACTGAATAACAAGCGATAAATCTTTATCACTGCCATATAAATCTATCACCCTTGTGTGAGACAAATAAGCAGCAACCAGGTCAACCGGCATAGCAACCGGCAGCCTTTGGTTCAAACGGCTTGCAAAAATGATAGCACTGTGTTTGATGATAATTGGCACTGTTTTGGAGCGCGTGAGTGTCTCCAGGGCCCATCTGAGGCCGAGATCGAAGACGGTGCGGGTCCATAACATTGGGGTAGTGAGAGTAATTTGTCTCCAGTAACGACAGACTTGAGAGACTTTGATCCATCCCAATCTTTAGTGTATGGGCAACCTACGGAAATTGCGTGGCTGCGAGCTCAGGCTTAGGAGCAAAAAAACGTACTCCAAGATATCGGACGTGAAACGCGATACGAGGATGTAGCTGTTGTGTCGCGTGGCAGTATCAGAAAGCGAAAGGCGGAAGAAGTGTAGATCGTTGTCAAATGCACGACAAAGGTCGTTTGCGGGTGTTTCCGCAATAGAGGCGAATCTTTTGCGCACAGCGTGGCCCCAATAATCATTCGCGCTATATGGGTTTGGATTTGTTTTGCGATCGATGGTTCGCAAAATAAATGGAATGTAACCTTGGACCTGCGGAAGCTTTTGCCGACAACACTTCGCGTGCAGTGTGGGAAGCGACGAGCGGTCGCAGCACTAGGTTCTGAAGAGCAACCTCTCTCCAATGGCTGCAGACGTGAGCGACTTTGATCCATCCTAGTCTTGTGCACCGAGCTTTTCCTGAATGGCTATCAAGACCTACTGGGGATTCTTCCGCTGTCAAGAGCCTGAAGATGCATGCTTAAATTTCGAAAGGTAGACGTGATATGGGAGCCATATTGCATCGTTGGACATAAACGGGACGGATTGAGTGGCGCATGGCCACAAGCTCATCGTTCAGCACATTGAGAACCAAAGTAACATCGGCGGATGCTGATGCGATCATTGGGAACCTCGTCTTCATAGTGAAATTCCAGTAATCCTCTGCACTGGATGGGACGATCAGCGAACACTATGTGCGAAAAGAGTGAATAAACCTTGTGTCTGCACAAGAGTTCGATTGCTCTGAGTCTAATGATCATTAGTTCATACACAGAACCCATTTCGGGAATAGTAAAGCCTCAACAAATGATCGATGGGGAAAGTGAAAAAAAAAATGGGTCCATCGTCCAAGGATGCACCGTAGAAAGAGCGGGTTAAGTGGTGAGGATTGTGATTGATCCCATTGCGTGAAATAGCAGTGACCCTTAATGGTGGCGTCATCGAGTGCGGCCTCGACTGTCCTCAACTGGATGTGCCGGTAATACGATTTCTAGCAATGTTTCAAGATTGCCAGGATTTGAGTGGCTTTGAGACTGACCGAACAAGTGAAATAACTTGTTCACCTTGTAAGCCATGCATGCATTGGCAGCTGAAGCTAAAACAGTGGCCGACTTTCACATAGAGTACACACAAAAACCGAAAAGGACTGATCACTGTCGTGCAGACAGTCTAAGTCATGGTCGTTGCCCAATCTGCATCATCACCTTCGCTCCGTGTACCTCTCTCTGGAGTCGTGCCGCCGTTTCTCATAACCGTTGTCACGCTCCCCACCTCTCCCATACCCATATCCTCGTTCCCTCTCTGGCGGGGGAGACAAAGGCTCCCTCCTCGGGGCCCGTCTCGGCGGGGATCTCGAATCGGCTGAATATCTCCTTCGTGTCGGCGGTGGTGATGGCGAGTCCCTCTTCGACCTATATCTCTCTCTACCGACATCTCTGTCCCTGCTATTATCCCTTTCTCTCGAAGGTTCCTTCCCTCTAGTGTCCTTCCCATCGTAATACGAGGGTGGAGTGTGAGTTGTAGCCTTTCCATTGCCACGGCCGCTATGTCCACGGTCACGCTCGCGGTCGCGCGAATCATCCCGCTCTCGTCTCCGAGGCGGGGTCATCGAGCGACGCCGCCTTCGGCGATTACGAGAGTCGTCAGAATGGCCCGAGTCAGATGAGGACGTAGAAGGAGAGGAGTCCGAATCCGAATCCGAGTCAGAAGAATCGCTGTCGGAAGAGGACGATTCGGCTTCGAGCATTGCCCGCCGTTGCTCCATGATGATACGCGGGGCGTTCTGAGAACGATGACATCAATATAAGCCAACCGAGCGAGCAGATCAGCGGCCAGAAGTAACTTACCTTCAAGTGCTCTCTCATTTCCTCTGTCACCGCACCTAACCCTATGCTGGTGAAGTAGTTGATAGCGAAACGCGTATTCTTCGGGTTATCGAGAGGGAACATGTTCCTGCAGAGTGCCTTGACTTCAGGGTCTGCGAACCGCTCCTTCAGCGTCGCTAAGCCCATGTTCTCCAACACTTCCTGCATCATGATCTTCACAAAGATGCGACTGCTGCTGGTAGTATCATCTTCGTTGATTTTGACGCATTCCAGGACGACCCACGACACCGCGTCAGTGGCAAGAAGGTGGCCGAAGAGGCGCGCGATGTTTCGCAATCGGTTAGTTTCATATCGGTGAATGGTAGAGTAGTAGGTCTGGAAGGCTGATTCAAAGCATTCATTCCATACTCGATTGATCTTGCAAAAGCGTTCCCCGATGAGGCCGTAGAAAGTTGAATAGGAACGCTCTTGGGAGCAACATTCAATAATCATGTTGACAAGCTCGATCTGGACGGAATGTAAGACAGTTGAGGAAGGTCAAGACGAGCGAGCACACACACCTCCTCACCCTCTTGGATCTGGACTTTAAGAAGCTTGTGTACGGCTTCTTCATAGTTGAGAGCATTCATGATTGTCAAGTAGATGATACGGCGAAGGTTGACGAGGTTTGTTTGCGTGCGATCTTCAATACCTTCCTTTTCTTCCACGGCTGTCGGTGTTGCGTTAGCCCGTATACAAGTTGACTATCGTTGAAGCAAGTACCTTCGCCCTCGCTCTCGCTCTCTTCGGAGCCTGATTCATCTCCATCAGAGCTGTCCTCGCCGAGAATTTCAGCCTTGATAGCTTTGTACTTTTCTTCGTTTTGCAGATAATTCGGATCGATCTTGAATATGTCTGTCGGACAAACTAATGTCAACGAAGAGCCGAAACAAATAAAAAATGGCTTACTCAAGCCCTCTTGCACCTGTAACTCTTCTTCCAATCCAATCTGGTGAGTGATCTGGTCGTCTTCTTCCACCAGATCCAACCCCTCGGGCAATATTGGGTTATCCTTATATTTGTCTTTTCGGACCTGCATGAGCACTTCGATCATGTACTGCACACGATGACTGAGTTTGCTCTCATTCAACACCGCACGGAAGCGCTCAAAGACAGAAGCGTTGGCTTGGGGTGAGTTTTCCGCAAGGAAAGCGCCGACTTCACGTGTGAAGCCCACCGCAATCTCAATGGCGTCGTCCGTGGGCCGCTCAAGAAGAAGAACAAGGATTTGAAGGGCAATGATTTCGTGGGCCACACCTTGATTTACCAGATGTGCGATGAAAGTGGTAGTAGAATGACACACAGTCTAATAACGGCGGTTTCAGTGCGCCACGAGTTGGTGATGATGTTACCACATACCTTATCATTCCTCTTAAATGCCCTTCGGAACTGACTGATGAGCCGAGTCAACACCAACTCGCCAACCTGAGGCAGCTTGGTGTTGAGGACAGCAATGACTGCGGCAAAGACGGGTGTAAATGGCAAACTCGCCGACTGCGCCTTCATGATGCTACGTGCAAACAAGCCCCGGCCCCTGATCAAGTTCTCGGCAAACAGCTCCGGCACCACATTCTTGATGTTGCCAATGTTGACCCTGTTGACAATACCAGTAATAGATTTGCGTAGCGCATCCCAAGACAATCGCTGGTACTCCGCGCTTGTGCGGTCGGAAGATGCAGCCTCGCGAAGAGCGCGGAGGCGAGCAGGTGGCATGTAAACGCCGCCAGACCGAGACCCTACGAGCTTTGCGAATTCGGCCTGAGCATCGAACTCTTTAGCTTTCTCCTTGTCCTCGACGCTTTTCTCCTTGCCCGCCTTTTCGAGCTGGCTCGTAGCCATTCGGGCTGCAAGTTGGCGCTCACGCTCCTTACGACGAACAGGGTCGACATCGTCAACTTTTGGAAGATCTAACGTGCGGGGTCGAGGTGAAAGGGAGCGTCGGCGTGTAAGTGGTGGTGCACCATCTGCTGACGGCGAGCGGGAGCGTGATCTGGCGCGTGTCTTAGTATTATAAGTCATTGAATGCAAAATATGCCCACCTTTTTCTTTTATGGGTGTCGGTGAGTGCAGAAGGGGCCAGTGTTGCTGCCGTCGACATCTTCGCTGTGGGCAAGCAGAGTCTGTGACAAGCGACGTTACACCCTGTTCAGTTAGTCACATCCGTCGTTTCATGACTAACGGCGTGTTATCGGCGAGATTAGTCGAGGCTCGAGATTGTTTTGTCCATTGCCTCACCTTCATGGATAAATTACCTCCTCTGCCTTCCATTACGCGGGTAAGTCTCAGGTTCGAGGACATTTGCTATACTTTCAACATGTGGTCTGAAGATCATGTCTGTAGCTGAGTAACTCAGTTGTACGAGTGCTAGGCCAGGTGAGTCAATCGCTTTCCCTTCGTCGATCTTCAGTTTTTGGTATGCAGTCATAACAGAATCCTGGCAAATTCACACTTCAAGGTAAGGCTTGACGGAATCTCAATCCTGCCTTTTCCTCATGCTCTATAGGCACAAATACCTACCTCATCGGCCCTACGAACCCATATATTCTACTTGATACTGGAGCAGGGCAAACAGCCTTTCCACCACTCCTCCAATCAATGCTCAAAGCAACACACGCCCATCTCCCAGATATCTCCGACATTGTAATAACCCATAAACATCATGATCATGTCTGTGGTCTACCCTCCGTTATTGGGGTCCTCCGAGAACTCTGGGTAGCTCGTAACCCCGAAGTCCCCTTCTCACCTCCGCGGATACATAAATTTCCTTTGCCACCGGCTAGCTCTCCAGATATTACCCTAGCCAATGTCGCGTCTCAATTGAAAGAGGGCGATTATATTCCAGCAGAGAACGGCGGCGTCTATCACGACTTGCATGACGGGCAAAGCATCTTTATCCCGTCGCCCGACGCACCTCAGCAAGTGCTGAAGGTCATCCATACACCGGGGCACACCGCAGACTCGATATCATTGCTCTACCCTACGGATCGCGCACTATTTACTGGTGACACCGTCCTTGGGAAAGGAACTGCTGTGTTCGAAGATCTCGGATCATATGTGGCAAGCCTTCGCACCATGCTTCATGCTGCACGTAATGAGGACTTTGGACAAGGGAAACCGGAAGGGAAAGCAGAGGCAACGTATACCCTGTTATATCCTGGCCACGGACCTGTCGTTGAGGAAGGCACAACGACGATACGGATGTACATCGAGCACCGCTTGGAGAGGGAGGAACAGATAATTGAGGCCATCGGAGTGCCTCCGCCTGGCAGCTCGGACGATATATGGACGACGTGGGGCGTCGTCGAGAAGTTGTATGCAAGATATCCACAGTCATTGTGGGAGCCTGCAGCGCATGGCATTCAGTTGCACCTGAAGAAGCTCGAGAAAGAGGGGAGGGTAATTTATGACGGTGGAGAAGGAAAGGAGGCTCGATGGAAATTGATTACAGGATAACGGTTCATGACCGTCTTGGGACTCTTGTAGGGATTAAATTGGATATGTATATCAATGTTGTATGATATGGATTGTGCATGTTATAAAGCACTTCTATCGGAATTCTGCCACCCTTACAATCATGCGGACTGATACAGCGACCTCACACAGGACTTCGCGGGCTGAAATGCGATACTAAAGGACATGACAACGCGGGCATACATAAATCATCCTTGCAGTCATACAACGCGTTTGAGTCACGTGATGGGAAAGAATTGCCAGAATCTCTCTCCGTGCAGTCAAACGGAAATTCAGTAGGATCTTATGCACCGAGTTTCGTACGATAGGACAATGCATCCTCCGATTTTGCGACGGAAACCTCCAAGACTACATCTCACCTTTCTTTGTTGTATCTATCTATTCATTGCCACCTTACCCGCATCCGCCATCTGGCCGTTTCCACCAAAACGCTTCAATGGGAATGCACTCTTAACAGCAGGATCTATGGGAGTAGATGACGATGGCAGAGTGGTCGCATTTGGAGATTTCAATGGCGATCAGTTGTGAGTATCTATATTCGAGCTTCCTTCAGGTTGTCTCAATGCTCAAGATTGGAAGTCTTGACATTGTTGTGCTAGGGTCCGATCAGTACACGCTTTCCGTGTACCTTTGGAACCACGGTAGGCACTCAGACATATATTTTGGAACACAGCAATTAAATCCACGGCACTAAAGAGAGCTTTGACTTTCGTCGCTCTGCCTCCTTCCGTCATCCCCAGCGCGTTTATAACGTCGTTCCAGGCGACTTCACACATGATGGGACACTTGACCTCCTCGTCATGTCGCAGAGTTCTTCATCCGATGAACTTTCCTTGTCTTTATATCCTGCAAGGCATGGAGGAGGTTTCGGTATACTACAACCAACTATTTTCTCTGCGTACGGGAGCTGAGAAATTCTCGATAGATTTGGATCCCCTTTCCCTCCCGTCGTCCTCGTTATCACAGCCTGTGCCTTTGGACATTGATGGGGACATGAAGATTGACCTGCTAGGTCTCCGTCCTGGAAGCTCTTCGCTGAAAGTATGGCAAAATGTATGGAATGCCTCGGATCCGAGTCAGATTTTGTATAACGTGTGCGTCAATTTAGTGGTTCCGTATTGTTGGAAAACATCACTGACACTCTGTCTCAGCATCAATCCGCCCTTCAGTGGTAACCAGTGCAAGATATCCAACCCGCATAGTAACGCTGTTATTGATCTAAATGGTGACTGCCTTGCCGGTGTGTCTAACAGCTTATGGCGCATTTCGCTTGTCTGAACAGTATCTATATAGATGTTTTTCTTGTCTGTGACGAACCTTCGGGTCGAAAATCGTTCCAGATTTGGGTGAACAACAAATCCAGAGGCTTCACGCTCGCGCAGAGCGGGCGTCTACCACAGGGGACTCAGTCTGTGACCTTCGCTGACATGGGTGAGTGCAATATCTGCATACACCATCCGCGGTTCTGTGCTACATATCCTCTCTTACATTTTTCAATCGATATCTTCGTTACTAGATCGAGATGGTACGATTGACCTTTTAATCACCACATGTGCCTCTGTGTCGGCCAGTACCGGGCTCGGCACAGGCTGTGCACTCAATATCGCGTACAACAAGCAGATCCCACTTTGTGCATCGGCTTCTTCCGCTATTATTTCCACAGCTCCCGTCAACAGCTCGGCTGATGGTAAAGACGCAGAGAGGACGTGCCGACGACCAGACGAACTCTGCACTGCAGACCCTCAATCCAAGTTTGATTTCACGGTGCCTGTAAGTAATGTTAGACTGGTCATATTCACTTGCGCTTACATTTGCATTCTCAGCACTACGTGTCTCTTCCTCTATCCACGCTGCTCCACTCACAGTCTTCTTCCCCGTCCCTCCTCGTTCTCGACACAACATTCTCCCCTCCTCTACCCGTGCTCCCACGCGTGGGCGATGCGAACCTCGATGGTTTTCCTGATTTATTGCTTATTACAAGCACGAGTCTTGATAGGGCGCGCAGGCCGCGATTGATTTTCTCTGAGCAATGCGGGAAAGGTATTGAGGGATGCGATGTCCCAGGTGCTCGAAGAGGCTGGAAGGAAGCTACAAAGGGCGTGGAATCCCTCCAAAGCATAGGTGATGCACGGGGGGTCACGTTCCTAGACATGGACGAAGATGTACGTCTATTATCTGATAATCTGTACTTTATATACTGATTCACGGGTATCAGGGAACATTAGATATACTAGTCCAGCGGACAGGAGAACAGGGCCAAGGAAATATTCTTTTCGTGCAGAATAATTTCTACTATGACGCTTTCTTCATGAAAGCTATTGGTCAGCTTGAAAGTTCATCTGGTTTCGTTAGTTAGACTGAATATCGGGTCATAGTTTTGAATGGTGCATGCGGAAGCGGTTGGTGTGTATCGCCAAACGGTAGCGAGAAATATCATGTGGGTGTCCTGAATCTTCACTGCCCCGTCATGAACACTAAATTCAAATCCCTAGCCGTTTGGTGTCAGCTACTCAGGTGCAAGCTACAAATACACAGTTCTTGATACCTCTGGGCGCCGATCGGCTGCGCAAAGTCTGTTTTGTCTTCCCGCCCTCCATCACCCTTCTGACCTACAGGCCCTCTAGTCGCCCAACTACCACAAACCTCATATCATTCGCTCCACACGCCTTACGCCTTCTTCGGCCTTGGGCGCACAAACAACTACATCGAGAACCTCTTCGCGGGGTCAACGAAGCACGATCAGCAGCATTATATCAATCTAGAGATGGTCATCCCCAATTCCAAAATCGTGATCAACCCTGGAGACTCGAACGACGCGTGGCGGAAAGAGCTATATCTTCGGCCAGGGGATTGGTTTACGTGGGTCGGTGTCAGTGTCGTGGCGGCCACGGTGACGCTTGCCGCCGTCGTGCTCGTGCTGCATCTAAACGAGAAGGTCAGTCAGTTTCTGATCTATATTATCGTCATATTTGTCATGCCCCATTCCCATATCTCAGAGAGAAGACGAATTGGAGAGAAGGAGAGTCTCGCATCACATCAACTTCGACGCGCTGTAGCGCTCTCATACCAAATGGTCATCCCCACGATGGTTTTTCTGATTGGACCTATCGGCTTATGTTGCATTCTATCCATTTATCATAATAGCGAGATTGTCGACCACGGTGAGGTGCGGAATCAAGGAGCACAGACGAACTTTTGACAATGGAAATAATAAGAACCGAACACAGGTAGATACAGACATGCGAAAGCACTTTGAATTATGTCGCGAATAATGAGGAAATGCAAGTAAGTTAGGAATGGAACCCTCGCCGGTACCACGAACAACTCACGAACAGCCCTCGTTGAAGCCTGCCTTACATAATGACTTGCTCTCACTTTACACCACGAAGACTCTCGAAGAGCGCGCAAGGTCGTGCGGCAATAAATCGCAAACTAGGATCTCTGCGGGAAACAAAGAGCATGAGCTTCAACGCCGGAATATGTCTGCACCCTCATCGATCCGGGCGGACAATCATAGTCAAAAATGAAGATAGACGTCGTGAAAGGGAAGGCGAAGGTACAGGCGAGCCCCGAGTACATGAAATCGATACCGACGACCCGGAACTCGCGTGGGGTGGGGGAGGGTTGAGAAGTGCGCAAACAAAAGAGAAGAGAGGAGAGCTAGTGATATATAAAAGTGCGTACCTCCAGCTCCAGCTTCAGCTCACTGTCGACAACGATCCCGCTGCGCCTCCATCCGAATCACCGTCGTACCCTGGAGTCCACCAAAATTTGCCGCTCCCTGAATATTCCACTTTTGCCTTGTCCTTTTTTGCTCACATATCTTGCCCTTGCGCGGGCAGTTGTTCCTCTTGTGCCGGTCAATCGCGTCTTGGCGGGAGTAGCCTCCCTTTTGGCACCAGTCGCAAGATAGTCCTTCGGAAGGTACGGAATGCGTCTCGATGTGTCGCTTGCGATCGGATGCGCGCACGAAGTGCTTGTTGCATGGCTGGCAACGGAGAAGATCGGTGCCGTACACCGTCTCATCGATCACGGCCGTGGGCTTGGGATAAGGGATTCCGGGCTGGGGCTGAGGTACATCCTCTGGACCTGGAGCCTCAGGTTAGTCGTCCACAGACCAAGATGCCATGGGCCCTCCACTTGACAGCGGTACAAGCTCGACGACAGGCTCGCCTGCGGGGTTGTCCACCTCGTGGGTGGACGTTGTTGATTTATCTTTGTCATTGCTGAGGGCATCGCCGTCAGTCTGTGGTATGACCACAGGCATTGGGTGTAACCCTCCAGCTGCCTCCATTGGCCTCGGGGTAGGCATAGGCGCGACGCGCCAGCATCCGGTCTCCTGAGACCAAGTTGTCTCGCTCTCGTCTCGCTCTCTATCCTCATCTCCACTTCCGACCTCGACCTCGCTGACCTCCACAGTCTCCTCCATTGCCCTCGACTCCAGGCTCGCCCTGCTCAATGGCTGCTGCTTCCCCGCATATGCCAAACAATCCCTTATCATTCGCTGCACGGCTTCCAGGTCCCACCGTGGGTCAAGGCGCGACGCCACCACCACACATGCCATGTCAACCAAGGGACCTGCGAAAGGGTAGACAGCACCTTCCAGCTCCGAGAAGGTAGATATTTGTGCGTCGGTGGGTATGACACGCTCCATCAAGGGGTCATGGGTCGATGGATTTTCGGATGAGGCGGGGAGCGAAGGTTCGAGCCGGAAGGGATTGTATGTCCTTACTGATACGTTAGAGGCGGTGGCTGGGACGAGTTCGTGTGGCGGGACTATCGGGAATGTAGCCAGTGTGGAGGTGGGTGCCCGCGTAGGCGGGACGACAAGGCACGGAAGGGGACCAGCAACGAAATAATGGGCGGGCGAAGAGGCCAGCTGCAGCGAGAAGGCGGGGAGTGACTGGCCCGACGCGCGTACATCTAGCCATACGCGTCCGGCTTCGCGTTGAAGGACATGAGGTCCCTTGCGGTCCCGTTCGACATGTACGCCCTAAACCCCGGTACAGCACTCGTAAGTGGCAACCCCCGCAAATATCAGAATGAATCGAAATTTACATCTGAATCTTGTCTGAGCAAGGGCTCAGTGTGATCGAATTGGGACCTTGAGGGCCCCGCGCCAGGAGCTATGTGCAAGTCGTCACAAAACGAAAGATCTGCGTGGAAATGTACCCACTCGACAGTTCTTCCTGCATCCAGGAAGGCCAGCCAGACGACACGGCTGGCGCGTCGCGCTTTGAGTGTTTAAGATGATTGTGGAGAGGTGTAGGTCAACGCGGTCGATTGATGGGCTCACCTTCGTCAATCTATCTAGATGTATCATCTTCGAATGGACGCCAAATGACTTCTCAGAAAATTCCACGATGCGACCATCATGCCTTGTTCTCTGATGCCGCATAGCCATCTTCTTTCGCTCACTGAGATTGATTTTCGAATCAGGTGCACGGCACCGTCACTGTTTGAAGGTGAGAATGGGCGGTTGTCTATCACTGACTAGGAACATTATACAGATCTTTGCCTCGTGTCCAGAGCGCGTTCAAAGGACCAAACACGCTCCGATCTATGGCGTACGTTACCTTCAACCGCCTTGCATCCGAATTTTGAAAAAGTTGGTTGTGTAGGTTTTCTGACCACGCGAGTGAATCTTTTAAAGAGGAAGGACGACAAGAGATATACCCATGTCGCGATAGTCCCTCTATTCTGGCCTTCCCCGTGGTCGATGCATTCACCAGTCGATCTCTCCCCCCCTGAGGCTTTCTCTTTAGAACGAGTTGCCATCCATGCCCATTGCTTCCGAATAGCCATTGATGCTACATGCTTGCGCCAATGGTACCAGCCCTTTTGAACAGCATCATGGAAAATTTGCCTCTTCTAACGGTTTTTGCGGGTGACAGAGAAGCCTATGTGCACCTAGCTCAAATTGTACGCGGGTATAGTAAGGCACGTTTCTTGGTGCCATTTTCTGTCCGCTTTCTCGTTCATGATCGCTGCACAAATTTCTCACAAGCTGCCATGTTGACTTGGCAATTGACGGCACTTGACCGGACAGAGGAACCAACCATTGTAATGAGGGACGGGAGAACTTATCCATCCTATTTGGTTTGGGATCTGTCATTGTTTGTGTCGAGTGGCGATGCCGATTATGGGTCCATTTATCCACGTGTCAATGCAATCACCGTGAGAGATGGACCTCATGTAGGCTCTGTGTTTCCTGTTAGTAGGGCAGCGGCAGCGGCCTGTGACTTGATTGTGCGCTACTCGATGTCAACAGGCATCAAGGCAACAACTCTCCTGCTCTATCTGCTTGCGATTTCTTTGTCAGAGCCCTCCTCAATCAGATATGATCCGCATATTTGGCGAGTCCATTGTTTGCTATATCAGTCGAAAGACCTACCAGGCGGAGGTAGGTCTAGGCGGGCACCCTCCCTCTGTTATTGATGATATATTTTCTGTTCTTCCACCGTTTCATCAAAGAAGCGCGGTCGATTGGCGATGCCTCCGAGGGAGTCACCACCGCTTCGAAGGCCTCTTTCAATAGATTGCCCGCCCTACTCTGGCCCGTCTACTTGACATCTATCAAGCTTCGCCCTCATTGCACCCTTATGCCACCTGCCTAGTAGTACTCAACACCTCGCTGCCCGTCTGCGGCACGTTGGTTCTGGCGTCCGAACACAATCCGGCTCCTCTGATGTTGATAGAGAATGTTTCACTTGGTGGCAACATCAGGTCCTACTGCTCTGAAGACAGTTCACATGAAATGATTAATCGTCGTATATCCGGTAGACAGAAGGACTGAGCAACTGATACATGCTATCTATCTGGCACTTTTCTTGAAAATATCGACGACGGGCAGCCGCTCGACCTCTGTAGATAAAGCAAGAAGTTAAACACAGCATTAAGTTGGACCTATAAGTAGTGATGATAGTATCGAGATCATTGAAGATATATCAACCATATTCGACGGTCGGGGGGAACTGGTCGCTTGCTGTCCGTGAGTCGTTGAGAGTTGGAAGCGGTCCCGCTGGCGTGGCGCTAATCGTGATTGGTCGATATTCCATCAGCGTTCTGGAGCGAGCCGTAGTTCAGCATTGCACAGCGTCCAGGAAAATCTATACAGCTCGAGCAGAACATTGAGTTGATCCACGACAACTGGGTGGATGCCTGGTCGGGAGATAAGCTAAAAAGAATAGTATACATAGCATCGATGAGTGTCTAACTCTGACCCCATCTTTCATGTAACGGGATCGAATAAGTCATTGCTGATGCCCCATCGAGGAGAGCCTACGTGAATGGTGGAATATCTACAGCCAGCGATACTTGTCTTGTCACGGTGGGGAATCCAGTGAGCTACGGAGTATAACCCACAAATCACGAAACGTACACGCCGCATTAACCGGGCTTCCTTAAAGATCCAAGTGCGCGGACAAAAAGATTGCTGGTCTCATAGGAATAGAGCGTCGAGCATCTAGAATAGACCAGTTGGTGAATCGCTCTTATTGGCTGCAAAAGATCAGAACTCACACAAAACTATGGGTCCGTCAAAGATCGCTCGCCAGATATACCTGCTGTATTCACATACAATGTCCGCATGGCGTGGCCGAATCGACATTTCTTCTCCATATCATACCACTTTGGTTTGATTCCGGCCCCGGTTTCAGTGAGCAGCTGTCCCTCCACTGGCTCCTGCATTGCCTTCCTGCCTTCTGGAACCGGACGTGCTCTCAGGGGTTCCACAATTTTGTTCAATCGGATAACAACTCCGCGACGCCCATCTGCATGCATTAGAGGCTCGAAACAACAAAGCCCAAGACCTAGAAGGCCGTCAGCCTTTATGTCCAAGCTCCTTCCCCAACATCCAATATTTGTGGTGCAAACACGCACCGTCAAAACCTGTGATCGAATTGACATACAGCAGTGGGTTCTTAAACTTGACATAAAGAAGTTCGTGTTCACCCTTGATATAGACACAACCGGTATGCTTAGAGAAGTCAAAACGGAACTGCTGCCCAAATGACGTTAGGATGGGGGACGTTGTGCGCCTGAGAGGTGCCCGACGACTGCTGGATTCTCTGATCACAGAGGCTGCCAAATTGGTAAAATAGTTATCCGGGACCAGCTTTTCCTCTAGCAACAGATGTCGAAATACAATATGTGTATCTTTTAACAGCGATGCCATTGATATTGTCCAAGGCAGCCCGGTCCTCAACAACAGATCCTTGCCAGAGGTAAAATTGGCCGGATTGTCATCCTTAGTGATTCGGAAGCGTATCTCTCCCTGCGCAAGTTTATCCACGGGTGAGAGATAATAGAAGAAACCGTGAGTTCCGGTGGGATAATGACCCTCAGCGTGTTTGCGAGTGTCGTAGGCGATGTCCGAAGACCTTGTTCTGCCCGCTGGAGGGTTTGGTACGGTCAGCCTGACTTTGTTAAGGTCGGATAAGTCTTGGAAGTCAGAAGGGCGAAGTCGATGGGGATCAAGGGTTTGAAGGCAGCGCCGTGAAAGAGTTGGGTTGACGCTGTGCTGTAGATCAGTGTCAAAGTCATCCTCCGGATTAATTAAGCTGCGCAGGAGAGCGATCTGCTTGAAGTTGCGAAGGTTCGACAGTTTCCGACACCACACTTCGCCATCTGGACACCGTAGATCGTCTCCACCATCAAAGCTCGCAGGGTTATTGTCCTTCGTGATGCGAAATCGGAGCTCTCCGCCGAGCAGCCACGGCGTTTTAGAAACGTAGTATAGAAATCCGTGAGTTCCAGATGGGAATGGAGGTTTGGGACCCAAGTGCCGTGAGTCTGGCTGATAGAAGAATCTCATCGACAGGCGCCGGCCGTATGAAAAACGTATGGCGCGATAAACGGGAGATATGTGGCCGGAGATGTCGTAGAAGTCAGAGGGTGCTAGTTTATTTGCCCAAAGGGTCTGGATGACACGTTTGGGTACGAACCCTGATCGCGATGCCGGTGCACGTCGTTGGGATGGGGTTATGGGAGTCTTCTGGTCAACCTGAGAGAGCAAGTTTTGTGATGAGGTAATGTGTCAATGAGAAATAACGAACGTAGTTTCTGGTTTCCCGACGAAATACACTCCTCATCCTTGACATCTCTTGGAACATGCCTGTTCGTCGGCAGAGAAGGCCTTGGAATCTGGTTTGCGAAGAAAACACCGTTGTCCGTGAAATCATCCTAACCGTGATTCGAGTTCCGGAGAATTATGTTTCATAAATCCAGTTGAGGCGTAGGTTAATTCCAAGATGTTCGGAGACCCGTCTGTGGGGGTTTCAGACAATCATGAATACCCCATTACAGTGCATGAGAACCGGCAAAAACACAAAGCAGATCACGTGCCGTAAATACGCAATTTCTCATGAAATTGAAGGCCTCAACAGTTTGCTTCGCAGAGAAGAACGTAGCTCGGGTATTATATAGAGTAATATCGAACAGGAGAACATACACGCAGGGAAAAGAACTGTCACAACTCCAGGAAGTAGAAAGCACAAAAGAAGAAGTCGCCAAACTCAAGGAAGAGACTCCCAGCTTATTCTGACAAGACATATATCAGACTCCTGAGACGATCCTGCACGCAACAAAAAAGTCACAAGTCAGCCGTATGCTCATAACTCATCAGAGAAAGAATGTGAGAAAAACGTACTCCTCGGCCTTGTTCAATGCCTGGACGGTGGCCACCAATTCCTTCCGCCTGTTCACAACAAACTCGCTCTCTTTCAACAGGTCGTCAAGGACCTCAGGCTTATAGAGCTCTTGGAGCAGCTCGCGCTGCAAATTCTCTTTAGAATGGTTCACGAGCGTCAGCGTAATGGCCTTTGGGATCATATCAATCATCTCGCGCTTGACGATATTAAAGTATGAGTGGATGAGCAGTTCTGTATCACGACGCGTGAGTTGGATCTGAAAACATAGGATAGAATGAATGAATCACGCACTGATGACCTCCGTCTCTATTGTTTCACGTTCATTGAGAGCGGCCTGGGGACGGATGACGGATGGGGGCTAGTGCATAACATCATGCATCAGCTATGCAATCGCAGGCATACAGATAGAGATCCTCGAAAGAAAACGGAAGAAACAACCGATGGGTTGAGCTGACGCAATGGAATGAGCACGCACCGCCTCCATTCTCGTAGGAGTAGTGGGAGTGCCGGGGCGTGACTGCCATATACATCCAAAGCGTCAGCTACATATTCCTCGTCATGCCCTCACAAGGATGCCAAAAAGAACGATGGAACCATGGAAAAAGAAGAGACACGCACCGACTCCATCGGCTGTGGACCCTTCTTTTTCTGCGCTCCCTTCGCCGCGCTGAAGAAGCTCCCGAAGAAGCTCGGCTCCTCCTTCTTGATGTCGACCTCCAGATCCTTGTTGTTATTGATCTGCCCGGGCGCCAGCTTGCCCGATTTCGGGTCCGCGCTTGGTGGCGGCGGCTTGCTCGCGTTCAGGCGGTCGGTGACGATCGCCATCGCCTTGTGGCCGTTGAGGAAGTCAGGGTGAGTCGTGTTGACGTAGCATGCCTGCATCGCAACCATGTCGGCGACAAGCTTGGTCGTGGGCGTCATAGATGTCTTGAAGAAGTTGACCACAACGCTATTGAACCTTTCGCGCAGCGCGGGATACCGTCTGAACGCTTGCTGCATGGGACACAGTTTAATGTTGACTATTGCAGGGAATACGAAATATTGCGGACGTACGACTTTGGCAAGAAGCTGGCCTAAGATGCGAATAAGCTCGTCGTAAACCAGCTGACAACACTTGAGGGATGGTTCTTCGAGGCGCTTGATCTGCTGCTTCACGATGACCTCAAACGCAGTAGTCCCAACAAACACGGCCGGCGTCGAACCCTACACACAAGGTCAGTGATATATACACCACGTGAAAAACGCAACAACACACCGAAGAGTTGTACAATATCGTCCGAATGTCGCCGTCCTTCACCTGGTCGAACGGATCAATGGTCTTGATACCGTTATTGAACAGTTCATGGAACACGAAGCTGATACGCGCTCCTCCACTGAGCTCGTTCAGCGACAGATCGTTCGTGTTTCCGTCGATGACGGTGCGGAACTCGGACGTAAACTCGGTGATGACGTTCAGCACGATGCTCGACGAGTTGTTCTCGCCGAAGGTGCCGCCGAGCTGCTGCAGCTCCGCTTGATTCTTCTGCAGCTGGAACGAGATCCGTTGCTTGATGTCGGGGAGCGTTGCTCGGATATGGTGCATCAAGATCTAATTTTTTGGGATATTCGATGGGTCTTCTCATGTAGCATCTTATAATCGACGCACCATGTTGAGCTTGCGCGCGAGGAACGGCGTGCCACAGAACTGCGCCTTCCCCTTGTAAGATGCATGGTTTTCGAAGAACTGGCGCTCGTTGTCCAGCGCCAACACAATTGACTTGGATGTCTCAATATCGCGCTGTCCACGGTTGACAACGGGCACGTAGCCCAACCGCAACGGGATGACGCGACCAGCGAGGATATCCACCACGTCTGTGCCTACGTCCCTGAAAGCACAGCATCACTATCAGCACTATTCGGGGACAGCTACGGGCCTTAAGGGAGACAGAATGAGCACGCACATCAAATCGACCTTCGTGAGAACACCGATTGTCCGCGTCCCCTCAGGGTCCACCTCCCGCGCCATCTTCAGCCCATCCGAGTTGGCCAAGTCCTGGTTTGCGGCAGTAACAGCAAGTATGATACATCCAGGTTTCGAGATGTACTTGAACAACATATCACGGATCTGTCGTTCGATATCTTTCGGCTGGTCGCCAACAGGCACCTTAGTGAGCCCCGGGAGATCGACAAGCGTGAGCGTGAGCACGTTGGGAGAGTAGATGCGGAGATTGATGGGGAGCGGGGAGATGCCAGCGTTGCGGCCCGTCTTGGCCTCGGTGTCGCGAACGATCTCAGCGCGAACCTTGTTGAAGTCGTAGAACTTCTCGCCTGGGAGATGCAGGAACTCGCCCCATTCGTTCTCGTTGGCGTTCGGGTCAGCCCCGTTCGCTTCCTTGGAAACTTTGACTGTGTCTATATGATCAATAGTGAATCCCATCAGGAACGCCGAGGTGGAACTGACCTGCGTCGCCGTTGGGGGCTGGTGAGGTAGCAGGTCTGTGGATAAGTTGAAGTACCTAGGTGAAAATCGTTGGATGACGCAGTACTACAGCAGGCAATTATTGGTGTGTACGTACCAAGGGCCGTCGGGTCACGATACCCGTTCCTCGGGGCAAGAAATCTCTACCAACAATGTTCTGCAGAGCACGCAAAGAGTAAGTGCAAATACGCCGCCCCGCACAAAACGACGCACCTCGAGCACACTACTCTTCCCACTGCTCTGACTGCCCAACACGCATATCTGTGGGAGGTCTATCGACGCGGCGCTAGAGCCGATGGAGGTGAATACATCTTGGAGTTTGTTTACAACGGAGACAATCTCTGAGCCGAATCCTGTCGCCATATCTAATTGCTGAATGTACGTGGAAAGGGAGAGAAAGAGAGGGAAGTGAAGAAATGGCGAGAGGCTTGTCGAGTTTGGTGCTGCCGACGCGAGGCAGTGTGGCCGCAGCTATTTCCCTTTTGGGAACGAGCGCCACTCTCGCCGAGCTTTGGCCGGTCTCCCACTGCGTCAGTGCGTCTTACTCGACTTTGGACCACATCTCGAAAGTTTGCAGGGAATATTTGGCCTATCTTCTCAGAGGACGTTTCGCTACCGTCTCAGACTGCAGCCGACTGCTCTGCTCTTTACGTCGCACCCATTCGACTCGACAGCTGTGCGATGTCGACCTCCCCTTGCTCCCCGCACATCTGATATCTGCCACTAGCTATGTATAGGCTCGTTCCTGCTCGTTCTCCGCATCTATCTGTCTATATATGCGCAGCGTTTGTGAGATCCTTGCTTTGACAGTTCCGATGAGGCTACGGCTGATGGACCCGGAGAGCTCTCATTGAAGTGCCGTAGGCGTTTGATTTGAACTTTGCTGATGGGTATCTAATGATATTCCGCTTTACCATAACCCAAGGACGCCGCTGCATATCCGTGATGCTCCTTCGTACTCATAGCATTTGCTTTGTTTAAATGTTTTACTCGAGAACAGCCTTCAGGTATCTTCGAATCCGTCTTACCCGTGTCCATTGCACCGCTTCCCCTATCTCTATCATTAGAAACCAGAGTGTCGCGTGTTTCAATCCGACGATTGAACATAACTGGGTCCTCAAAGTATCGTTCAACATGTTCGTGTTCACATCAAACTTTGGTCTAGCCTGCTCTATTCCGTTTTTGTGGCACGCCTTGTTCAGTGCTGGATGTTGATATGCTTAGGATCGAACCGTAGTTGTGCAAAAATATAGCGCAGCATGCATATCAATCCACAGACCTCCTGAACATCTCATCATACTGGTCTATATTTGGCTGTGTTAATATTGTCACTCATGGATCTACTGTGACTTAAAGTATCAAATGGATCCCATGTAGACAAAATAGTACATACACAGCTACATCCGTGTGGAGGTTGAGCACGCTTAAGGTACAGAGGATGGTAAGTCACAAACACATCGGCCATGTATCCAAACGACGGAGCAGAGAGATGGAAAGTATCGATGAGCTCGCAGGCACAGTGTTGCCATAGCGCTAGCGCCTCAAAGCCGCGTTCGACGACTTTCTAGAAACTTCTATTGATAGTCCTCAGTAGCCGCACGAGAATGGAAGGCAGTTGTAGGCGCGCGTTGGACCACGCTCGTTCATCCGGCGTGTGCTACGGAAGACGAGGGGAAGTGGCGGACAATGCAAGCACCAAGAAGGGAAGGAAGAGTGATTGATGGGAAGAATGATTGGCCAATTGGGGAAGCGCCGGCGAGCGGAGTGCAAAGCTCCGGGTTGGAAGCGCAGGCGCGGATGTCGAGCGGACGAGAGTGGCGGTTCAGAGCAAAAGGAAGGAAGCTGAGACATCGATTGGAATACGGCCGGTTCAGAAAATTGCGAGGAGCGATAGCCGGACGCCGCTTGGCGCTTGCGCTGGTCGGACATGACTCGACCATCTTGACGGCGAGCATCCAGAGAGATCGTCGAGCATGAATTCATGGACCATGAGCGACTCACCAGATAGCTATAGGATCTACATGCAGCGTCGACGATGATGGGAACAGTGAGGACGACGGGCAAGGGGAGGTAAGGGGAAATCACAGAAATGATGGCGAATCAAGAGAGGAATAAGGTTTGAACGTGGTATGATAAGCGGAGTTTCAATTGAGAGGGTATATAAAGAGAACCCTCGCCGCGCTCTGGCATCCTTTCTCCCTCCCCCGCGCCACAGCTTTTTTTCTCACGCTCAAAAATCCTCATCTGCCGTGCTTGTTCTCTGCTAGCATCCTCCATAAACGAATCTATCTATCATGTCATCCTTTGCCTTGCCTGCGCGTCAAGTCACCTTTGGTGGCCGTTCTCAGTACCAGCCTCAGCAGTACGCTCAGCAGCAGCAACAACAGCAACAGCAACAGCAGCAGGCCCAGCAGCAGCAGCACGCGTCTGCTCACGGCCTTGCTCTCCCTACAGGGCCTAATCCTTACTTGGCGGGACCATCGCTCGCTCTGCCAGGTCCAGGTCCAGTCACGCCTGCCACTACGTTTCAAGCAGCACTCACTGCGCCACAAATCCCTTCGAAAACGCACTCCCAATCTCCGCCCATAGTTGCGTCTCCCTCACATCTACCAAACGGCAATGCCCTCGCAGGTCCATCGACCCCGAGCGCTGTCGTCCCCGCTACTCCCGTACCTCTCACCCTCGAGCAGCAGCACATCACCGCTGTTGAGGGTATCGTGCCCACCCTTCAGAACATTGTGGCAACAGTCAATCTTGACTGCCGCCTTGACCTCAAGACGATTGCACTGCACGCTCGGAACGCCGAGTACAATCCCAAGGTTGGTACACATTCCATTCTCCTGATATATTCTGCCCACTCGCGTTGGCGGTGGGGATGTATAAGCGAGAATGCTACCCTGCTTGCTTCCACGTTTTAGCGTTTCGCAGCCGTCATCATGCGCATTCGCGACCCGAAGACGACTGCGCTCATCTTCGCATCGGGCAAGATGGTCGTCACGGGTGCGAAGTCTGAAGACGACTCGCGTCTCGCGTCTCGGAAGTACGCTCGCATCGTGCAGAAACTCGGCTTCGACGCCAAGTTTTCCGAGTTTAAGATACAGAATATTGTCGGCAGCTGTGACGTCAAATTCCCGATCCGTTTAGAGGGTCTTGCGTACAGTCACGGACAGTTTAGCAGTTATGAGCCAGAGGTACGTCATTCTCGCGCTGTGTTGTTGCATGGTTTTGACAAAACTCCTGCAGCTCTTCCCTGGTCTCATCTATCGCATGATCAAGCCGAAGGTCGTGCTCCTGATCTTTGTATCAGGCAAGATCGTGTTGACTGGTGCAAAGGTGAACGCTTGTTTTTTACTCACATTCTATTGGCGTTCCCCGCATTGTATGAGTTCTTGAGCTTTTGGCCAAGTTTGCCCACCTTGACCCCTTTGATGTTATGCATCTGGCCTTAAACAGTTGCTGACGTCTTACTTACCACGACTAGGTCCGAGAAGAGATCTACACGGCGTTCAACACAATCTACACTGTGCTTTGCGAGTTCCGCAAGCCGTGATCGTCGTTGGCGTCTTCTTTGTCTCCCTGCCCGTGTCGATCGATTACGCCTCCAGACGAGCGTCGTCACGTACGGCCGTGGCTGGTCGCTGATCACACGAGAGCTTGAAAATATATGTGGTGTGGCGGGTGGCAGAGTGGCGAGTGTCGGTCTCTACATGGACATATTCTGCCCCTGCCGTGGATCCTTCATGTCCTCCCACACTTCTTTCTTACATTATCTCCCCATATACACAATTATAGTCGTCGCTGTTCTGGTTTGTCACGATCTGGTTGTCGTTGTTTTTCTTTCTGATTTACCCTTTACCCATGCAAGCACCATCCTCCCCATCCATTCATCCAACCAATGCAATTACGATACGATACGACCGTATTACTCACAGGTTTGTTTTTACGCTTTCTGTCAATTACTTATTTGTCAGGGCAATGTATACTAGTCAAAACATTGATGCCGCGAAAACGTAAAATCCTCTCGCGCAGTCCATTGCCGAGTACCTCTGCTCGAGTGACATAAAATTCATGGTCTACACGGACCCACAAGCGCATTTCTGTGATAACCTTATCATGATGGCAAGGGCCAAAACAAAACAATATAATCATTAAATATTAAAGGCCACTGTAGCACCGGAACATATTACAGACATCATATTAGACGAACACGATGATAATACGTGAGGAAAGACCGGCAATGGACAATTCAGATGGAGTAAGTCAGACACAGACTCGCGAAACCCTGGCCTCGTCCTTTAAGCCATGCCCACCAGCTTCAGGACCTTGTCCCAAAACTTCACCTGACCGGGCATGTACACTTCCCTCTCATTCTCCGTGAAATGAATGGCAAGGTAGTTCCGCGCGTACTGGCAGTTCTTCGCGCCGAGGTCTGCGTCTCCGGAGCTGCTCTCGAGGGCGGTGAGCGTCGAGAGCACCTCGCGGAGGCCGGTCAGGATGCACGCCGTGGCGACCTCCTTCAGCTTGAGCTCGGGGAGGTCATGCTCGGGGATGCCGGTGATGTGCGCGACGAGAGCACGGACCGCGCTGGAGCGCTTGGTGAGGTCGGTTCTGGTCTTGATGCGCTGGCCGAGGCCGAAAGGGAGATTCTGGGTACAAGGAAGAGCGCGGTAAGTTGTAAGCGTGGGAGAGAGGGAGAGAGGGAAAGCGGGCTGGGTGGATGTGTTTGCTCACCTCCCACTTGGACTTGAGGCCGGCTTTACTGAAATTCTTGCAGAATAGGCTGACGCGATCAATCGCGGTGTGGACAGCCTTGACTGTAACAAAAAGCGCGAGTCAGCAACCGTGATCATGGACGAACCTCAAAGCAAAAGAATTCTCAAAAACCAGATCTAGAACACTCACGCCTCAGCCACGCAGCGTGTCGCATGTTGACGTGCCGCATGAACAGCCCGAGCACTTGTCCCCGCATCTCCTTCGGAACCAAGTTGTACTCCTTGCGCATCTGCTTGACGCGCGTGCCCGTGATAATGGCGATGAACGAGTTCTGTGAGCTCTTGAAGAACGAGTTCTCCTCTGCGATGCAGCCGAGCACGGATAGCCACAGCTTCACGACGGGGGCGGAAGGACGGCGGAAGAGCTCCGCGGACAGCTTCCCGAACGCGGCAGGGGTGTCGTGCGCGACGCTCGACAGGTGGCGGAAGATGGGCTTCGTCTCCTTGTACTTCACGACCGCTCTGGAAGCGAGGTGAGCGGTGAGCCGCGCGCGTTATCTAGGTGGCAAATGAGCACCCACTGTGTTCTTCCAGCGCCTGCGGCGTGCAAGCCGTACAGGGCGCACAGGATGTCGAGTGTGTTGCGACGAAACTCCTTGGACGCATTGAGCAGCGTCATGATCGCGTCCCAATCCTTCGCGAGCTCCGGGAGGAGAACGAGGTCAAAGAGGAATTCGCCGACCACGAGCCCAGCAACTTTCGGTAGGAGCTCCAAGGGAAAGGCGACGTTCCTCTTTTTGCGCGCCATGAGCGCCGTCGACGCACCCGAAATGATCAAAGAAGTCGCGACGGAGGCGATTTTGGCAGCAAGGAGGATGCCCGCGACTGACATTTTGGCTTTGCTTTAGACGTGGACGTTCAGCTCGAACAGCGACGCGGCAGAGAGGGGCGAGGAAGGAGGATGACGAACAGTGGTGGCAGATCGTCCCGGCCTAAGTAGCAACTTGGAGTGGAGTGGAGGCCCGACCAGCAAACTTTAAAAGACGTCCGCCGTTTGTTTGCCACATTTGTGGCCAACATCCTTTGTGGTTATTGATCACCTCTCCCCAAGATTGGAACACACGAGAGGACGAAACATGGCACTTCGAAACAGAGTAAGCCCATGTGGTTTACCTATGTTCACCATTGTATTATCTGCTGTAATCATCCAGTCGTCCCGCATGAAGATTTTCTCCTTCGAGCATTCACCATTGAGCACGATGATACCACTGCAAGGACTGTCAGTCGCGAATTGCTGTTATATTTGCACTTCACGTATACTTGAGCAGAATGGGTGAGCATTGCGTGAAGCCGCGCGCTAAAGGTTATGTATTATTAGCAAAGCGTCCTTCAGAAGTTTGAAACATAAACTAATCATCCTCACGTTCCAGTTTTTTCGGGGTTGCGGGCGGTAAGTACTAATAGAAAGAAAGAAAAAACAAGGCAGCGCTAATGCATGAAACGTTCGCCCAGCCAAGTGTCATGAACAACTAGACTTGCATAGTGCAAAGATTAAAAAAATAGGCAGAATGTAATCGAGAGGAGCCGTCCCCCTCACACAAGAAGAAGAAATACAACATGATCAAGACTTGACGCGACAGTTTAGTCCGAAATAAAATGCCCGTACAGACCATCTTGCTCGAAGTCAAAATTCTCATCGAAATACAACGCCCTGTCGTCCGGGGAAAACAATGGCCTGATGCAGCATCGCAAAAGTTTCGAAAGGAGGGCCCCGAATTCGCCAGAGGGACCACTACGCAGGTAGCGGAGGGTGGTGAAGAACCATACGCGCCCAAGCTCCTCTTTCGTGACGGAGGGCAGCTGTTTCCGCTCTACCTCGAAGAAAGTGGAGAGCATTTCGTGGATACGCACGTACGCAGGGATCTGTGACTGTGGCGGAAACGGTACGGTAGTCGCTAGCATGTGAGGGGGAATAGGCTGGAATATGTACAATAAAGTAAGATTGAACGATGCAAAAAAAATTGAGATAGAATAAGCTGATATAAGGAAGAACATACCTGAGCGAGATCAAGCATATGACGCAGTTCCTCGATGAAACTGATCTGTTGGAAGAACGGGCGAACAGTAAGCTCGATCGCAAGCACTGGAAGAAGCTGTATCAGTAATCCGAGTAGGCATGACGCAGCCTCATCTCACTTCTTTGCCATACCCCAAGCCGCTCAACAAGCTGCTCCACCACACGACCGAGCAGCGCGCCGCGAACAACAGCGTGCACGGCCATATAGTCATCGCGGAATGTACGCAGTTGCTCGAGGACATATGTAGCCTCGCGGATGCGTATGCAGCGCATGCCGCGCTTCACGAAAACCTGTGTGCGCGCAAAGTTCTGAAGGACGAAGCCGGCCATGCGAGGGAAGCGGGTGATAGGTCGTCGAATTGCACGATCGTCAAGGAATTTCGGTTTCGGAGGTGTAAAGGCTGCTTGCGGTGTACAGTATGCGAGCCTAGACAGTTGGCGAAGTGGAGATAATACGGGAAAATAATTGGCCATCCGAGAAACTCTGTACATAAGAGCAGAATTGTAGGGCCGGGAGCGCAGCGATATAGTGGAGACAGACCTGTCCTTATCATTAATAAACGTCTCCTTGTCCAGAAAGCCCAGGAGTTTCATGGTGCACGACCTGATCTGAGACGTGGACTGCAGTAGGACGGTGATCCCATCCCACTCCAAAATGCTATGTGGAGAAATAAATAAGTCTGTGAGGTAGTCGCTAAGGGCGAGCGTCGTGATCTCATAGATCAGCTCTGTAGGGAGAAGGGGGGCGCCGGGAAAGACCAGCACGCGTTCAGAGGCAGCCCTGTTGCGAGATCGTGCAGATGAGTAACCGCAATGTGTTATCCGTCGTGTCTTCGACATCTATAGGGGCACGCAAGCAAAAGACAAAAAAATGGAGGGAAGGAAAGGAGGGCGCGGTGATGGGCGCACAGTGAAGTGCTGAAGGCTTGAAGGTGGCCCTCAGCGATGCCAAGCGGCCGCCGTGGCCAGACGATTCACCACCACGTGAGCCGCCCCATCTCCTCCATCTTGTTCTTCACGGCGCCCAGAGACGCCAAATCAATCAGATACAGCTAACACATCCGGCTCATCTGATGAGCGGCGAAGCCAGACTCGTCAGATTCACACACAGGTCGTTCACAGCTGTGAGGTCATGCACCATGTCTATACACCCAAACCAGCACCCATGACTAGAGCGTCCAATCGTAAATTATACAAGCTACCAGAGAAATGATAAGAGATAGAGACAAGCCAGTGATGAACGAATGGAACAAAGAGGAAAAAGAAAGAGAAAAAGCCGTTTCATGCTCGGTCCTTCTCGGTCAATTTGCTCGCCAATCGCATAGACAAGGTGCGCTCTAGATTACTGCACGGCGCAATGGACAACAGGCCCACGGTGTTGCCGAACCCAGCCAAGCAATACGAATATCCGCTCACGAACGGCGATACACGTGTGAACGGCAGCCGCGGTATAGTGTCGCGGGCGCGACTCGAACGGTCAGACGAGAACGAAGGCCGCCGGCTTGGCATATGCGATGTCGAAGGCGTCACCGTCGTACTTGAGCGGTCGTGGTCGTGGTCGCGATGCTCCAAGGCCGCGAGAGGAGAGACGTGGAAGCCCGTCGTCGAAGGGTCGAACGTCCATACTTCCCATCGTTCTAAGGCCGAGGCGCTAAGGCCCCTGTGGGTATCTTGAGGTAGGTGCGACCGCCCAGACCCTCCTCTTGTGGTTGACATCCTTGGCTTCCTGCGCACGCCCACAATGCGATCGTCCACCACATCCCAGCTCCCCCTCTCAAACGTCGCGTCCGCCGTTCTCACCACCACCAGATCTCTCAACTTCGACAGCGATGACCCGCCCAACGGCGACACGTCCAGCGGCCCCACGGCCATCTCGCCCTCCTCGTTGTCGAAGGAGACCGGAAGAGCATCCAGATGCCGTCGGAAGTCCTTCTCTGATCCTCGGCGCTTGAGGACGCCATGTCCTGATATTGGATAGGCGGGTTTCTGCGCATCTGGTGTCTGGTTCTCCGAAATGGACGAATGACGTGAGCGCGAGAGCCCGCTGGAGGTTGAAGCGAAACTGGTGCTCCGCGAGCGCCTTCCTCGTCCCGTATTCCAGGACGGCTGCACCTGGGGTTGATTGTGCGTGCACGTACATCGGCGGGTATCGGTGGACATATATACGCGATAGAAAACGACGTTGTGGCCGACCGAGAACGACACGGTGAAGCTGTCCATTGGCAGCTCGCCACAATGCGGGCAGGATTTACAGTACACCGGACAAATGCGAAGATTGTTGATCTGGCCATGTACATCGTCGAGCACAGAGATGCACTCGCCCGTCTCGCCGTCCCACAGCGATACCACACCGGCCTGCGTCGCAGCACCGATGATCAGATGTCGCGTATCGCCCGATTTGACACAGCTCGCGTACACCTTCGTGACATAGTCCGCCGGATTGCCTGCTTGAAGGCGGCAGTCTGCACACAGAAGCAGTGTTGCCGAAGACGTGATCTCGGACAACTCAACCATCCCGTCTCCCATCGGGAACGCGGCGATAAGTCGATCGGTATCTGGGAGGCGAAGAAGCGACGAGGAGATGACAAGCCCCGGCCGCGACGGGAGGATGTTCAGCGGGCTCTCTGGCGAGCTCGTGTCCCATTTCGCGATCATGCCGTTTTCATAGGATGCGGCGATGATCGCAGGTGTCTCCGGAGGCACGAGAGAGCCGATACGGCCAGGCGTGATGGTACCCGAAGAGAACGTGTTGAGAAACTGGAGATCGACGATCGCGGACGAAGTTGTCTGCAAGACGAGGTTCGGCAGTGACCTAATTGTTCCGTTCCCGATCGCCCAGAGCGCAATGACGCCCGCGCCGGTCCCAACTGCACAGAATGTCCCTGTGTCGTTGACCGCCAGAGCGGTGATAGCAGATGCTGCTTTGGATGTGCTTGCGCTGCCAAGGAGCACATCCGTCGCATCGATCGACGTATGGGATTGCTTGTCCGAAAACCACAGCACGATCTCGTTTTCCAGACCCACCATGGCTACCATACTCCCATCCTTGTTCGCCGCGATCAGCTCTACATCTGTAGACAGCGCACGCGGTAATGTTGTAAACGATATGGTGTCTTCCACCGCGTCTTCCTCCGCTTTATCTTTCATATCAGGCTCTGAGCGGTTCCGTTGTGCCTCTAGTCGCTCGGCATCCTTGAGGAGGTAGAGCAAGAGACCATATAAAAGGCCGACTGTAGCAGCGATTGGTAGAATCACGATACGGACCATCCAGGTGACGGTTCGTAAAACTCGTGACGTCGTCAGTCTATGCCGGTAAGTGAGTGGAGGACGCAGCTGCTGGGCGGACGTTTGACTCGCGTCGGCCGGGTAAAACATAAGAATGGTAGGTGATTCAAGGCGGAGATGAATGAGCGGATCTTCGGCTGCACCGAGCATGCGCCATGTACGCCATGCAGGAGAATTTGTCTGCGACACATCCTGAAGCGTGTTGTTATGCCGCGAGAACGCACTGCCGCGACTGAGGGGAAGCCGTGGATCTTCCTTCGTCCGCACGGCAGGATAGGTCGTAAAATATAGAGTCGCCGCCGTCGCGAGTAGCTAGTCGCGGAAGAAATGAGGTAGTGCTAGAGACGCGTGTAGATGGGACTTACTACTACCAGGCTGACATTCTTTGCAGCCCGACCTTGCAGCATGCCCCTAACCGAAGCCATGACATTCATCCATGCAGAGCTCGGCCGCGACTTTGGCGGTCTGGTATCCGACACAGGAACAGCGGGGGCCAAGCTCGCATCCTGCTGTAATAGCTCTTCTAACTCTAGACGCTGCAGATCGATGGACAGGACTGCAACGAAGAATGTGTGAACCAGGAACCAATGTGCGACAAGGACGACGATGGCGAACGCGCAAAATTGACGTATGGCACCGTGGGAGAAGAAGGCGATGACCCCTAGAATAATGTTGTACGTGAGCACTTTGAGCGAATTGGAGGTGCCAGCGCGGCTAAGTCCTTCAGCGATGCGTTCTTTGACGGGTAAGGCAACCGAGGTCCTGACGACAGCCTCCACCTGACGAGGACCACGGCATCAGTTGAAAAGACGAAACTGGAAATACAAGAGCGTACCAATCTGAACATGTTTTCGGACCCAATGAAGATTACAACAAGAGGAAATAGTTCCCTTCAAACAGGAGCCCCCTTAGTTGGACTTCACATCCTTGAGGAAAGCGACGCACCAGGGAACCATTGTGACTTTGAAACCGGCCAAAGCGCATACGCTGAGACTGGTGATGGTACTTACCAACAGCTCGACAACGCCTGTCAGAATGAGACCGATACGATTGTGTACAGGAAGCCCTGTTCGCATAGATGACATGAAAAGGGCAGCGAAGACAAGATATGCGAAATAGAGGAAACTTGTTAGGAGAGAAGACCCAGATGAGGAAGATGGGTTGGTTTTGTACTGGAAACTCAGATCAAATATGGCTCTCAACGTGTGAGAGGATGAACACGGACCTCGAGAGCGATGAGTTTTGGCTCCTGTGCCTCCGTCATCAGCTCTGCATGCGCCTTCGCAGCACTCTCCAAGGTCTCCAGCCAAGCGAAATGACCAGAATTGCCAAGACAGTCTGTTTCCGGAAAGAAATACGTGAGAACGAGGAACATGGCGAAGTTGACTTTTGACGTCGAATATTCGTCCATTTCACGTCCCGCCAGAACCATCTGAGGCAGAATCGGCACGCCAGCAATAGATACATTATTTGACAAATTGAGCACTTCAAGGATGTCTTGATCATACATGAGTAATTTCTCGTCGTGGTGCCAGAATTCCAGCGGGCTTATGACAAGACATTTTCGGTCCGGGCCCCTGAGACAGGGAATGTGCTGGGCAGTTAGCTGCTGCCCGATCCGGCGCTCGACGTTCAGTGTCGACAGAAGAATTTGGTGGTTAAGAGCACCGGTGTCCTCGATACCGGAGCTATGAATCAGGACGCGTTCGACTCGCAAGGTCTGCTCGACGCCGCACCGAGCGCGCGCGACGGAGTCCTCCCGGACATGGAGGTTGACATGGCCGGACCAGACATTCCATAGATCATGCTGTGCATAGTAGCTTGAGATGGCATTCGCGGCAATGAAAGGGTCAAGGATTTGAGACGAGAAGTGAGCTAGAAAGCGCGGTTGAGACGAGGAGTATATAGCGAGGGCGGGATAAAAGAGGGATGTAATGACAATAGCAGAGATGAGAATGACTCGAATTTGATGCGTCGCGCAGTGACTTCGGCGCATCACGAATTCGGGGATTCCAGTAAGAGATCGACCGACAAAGTGAAGAAGCTGCGAAGACGCACATTCCAAAACGGTGAAAGAACCGATGGCCCAAGGTGCGTGCGCGCTGCATGAGGGGGTTCCCGAGCGCATCCATCTCGGCCTTATCCTTCGTGGCTATGTATATATGACAACGACGAATGCGAAATCGAACGATGTCGTGACGCGCAGTGCAGACAGGCGCTCAGTGACGTGCAAAGATGCAGAGGAATGCAATGGCAGTTGGCGGTGATCCCAAGCAGTGTGATCGAGGTCAAAGTCAAAGCAGTTATGAAGGCCGGCTCATGACACGTATTTAGACTGTATCTAGATAAACATTAGCCGTGTGCGTGGAGGAACAAAAGAAAACGCAGACGTTGCATGGCAGATGCCTCGCGGTGGTTTGGTGCAAGCGCGTAACGGCGAGCGGCGAGCGCTGCCTCCGCCCGTCGCCGCAGTTCGCACTCCATTCGGAACCGTGTGAATTTTTTGTCGTCGGAGGTCTATCGGTCCGGGGAGCCGGCGCTCTCCGTCCGTTCCCCAATCCTGCGTCAGTCGTGGATTTTGCACACTTGAGCGCCGGCAACAGCGCGCACCACTCCTTTCCCACCACCGCCCACGATACCCATGGCCATCTCGTCAATCTCGCGCGCAGCGTCGACTCTTGCGCGCTCTGCCGCTTCTCAGAGATGTGCGCATCCGTTTCTCACCTGGCAGTGCTTATGAATACACAGTGACCGAACTTCGTTGGGGTATGTGTAGGGTTGCATTCGACGTCTGCGCGCAGGGCAATCACCAATATGGAGATGCCTGCGATGTCGCCGACGATGAACGAGGGTGGGATTTCCTCGTGGAAGAAGAAAGAGGGCGAATCGTTCATCGCGGGCGATGTCCTGCTTGAAATTGTGCGTTTCCCTTTTGTAATAAGAATGATGGACTGACAGTGCATGGTATCCACGTCGCATTAGGAAACGGACAAAGCGATCATTGATGTCGAGGCACAGGAGGACGGTGTGATGGGCAAAATCATCGTACGCTCAACATGCATGTATTTTGCGATGCAGGAATGGAACTCATGACTGAGTGCGTGTAGGTTCCTGATGGTGCTAAGAACATTCCAGTTGGCCAACTCATCGCCCTCCTAGCAGAAGAGGGCGATGACATTTCTAACCTGGAGATTCCCAAGCTCAAACCCGCAGTCGCAAAGCCTGACGAGACACCCAAGTCCGAAGCTACACCTCCGCCTCCTTCGCCATCCCCAGTGCCGCCTCATCCTGCGAAATACATAGAATACTCGCGTCCCCTCTTCCCATCTGTTTCTCGTCTTCTTCAGGAGCACGATATCCCTGACCTAGAGAAGATCAAGGGTACGGGTGTTCGCGGCATGTTGACAAAGGGCGATGTCCTGGCATATCTAGGCAAGGCGTCCAGCCCCACGGGCACTTTCAAGGAAGCTCAAAAGACGGCTGAGGCGCCCAGAAAGGTTGAGGCTGAGGTACGCGCGCCACGTCTCTACGACAGAATTTTTGTTCAAGCATATTGTGCAGCCTTTGGACGGTGGTGCGATCCGCCGACTTATCGTCGGCAACTTCTACCAGTCGTCAGTCAAAGCGAGGGCATCAGCAGGTCAGTGCCCTGTCGCCTCGTCGTGTCTTCGTGCATATACCGACGCCTATCCCCTCCAGCCCCAAAACTGTCAGCCGACTTCGACTCAATCATATCTGACTACCTCCCTTCATCTACTCTGCCATCATCTCGACGTGCTGAATCACAAAAGCATCAGAGTACCTCTGCGAGTTTCCTCGATGGGCTGATCTAGAGCACAGTCTACATTGAGCTCCGTGTGCTTTCCGGTTGTTGTAAAGAGACATCTTTGCTTAATAGATTTTTACAGACAGCGATATACAGTCAGAATTATCAATACAAAGGTGAGTCCGCGCAGTGCGGGCGAGCGGCGCCTATACGAGATCGTCATCGAGAGGCAGGCACTACTCATTACCGTGGGTCAGGATGTCAGAGGGAGTGGATATGCTGACCGCGAGGCTTACGCGAAATTCGATGAATGCGTCACTCGTGCCTCCGCGCGGCTTCGGTGAGGGCATCAGGAACTGCAGACTCAGCAGCCCCTCCGCGTCAATCCTCAGCGACGTCTTCGTCGAGCTCTGCAACGCACGTGCGGTGCGCGCTATATGCGCCAGACGGTAGCTGGCGCTTGCCGTCAGCGACAGATACCTACAAATGTCAGAAGGAGCTCATACCTAAAGCTCGTGGTTTGCGCACACTCGAATGTCTCGAGGACTTCCCGATCGTTTGGGTAGTCCATCTGTCACCAATACGTGGTGCGCAGGCGCACGCATTGATCAAAGTAGCGAAAAGGAGTTAGGGTGTGAACGAAATTCGAGTAGCTTAAAGGGGATAAACGGACCTCTGTGCTACCAAGGATTCCGTTAGCCTGGATGCGCAACATCGGTTTGAGAGCCGCAGATCGAGATGTAGTCGCGCGCGTGTTGTCCCGCTGAATTGGCGGATTGCCTATGAAGGTGAGTTTGTCGCAGGATGGATCTAGCGAGAAGAGCGCGTCGCGAAGCCAGGAAGACTGCAGCATTGCGTGAGCCCCTGATCAAGGGGAACGAATGAAGTAAGAGACCTTCAGTATAATCTTCAGCACCCTGACCGAAGAAAGGAGTCAGAGAAACGTGCGGTTGATGAATACAGTACAGAAACACACGTTTGATCTGCATCAAAGGGAAGCTCGAGATGCGGTTCCGCTTCATATGTCGCGATCTCAAACGTAGCTGTCGGACCCGCTGCTTCTCCAGCACTGGTGTCCGCTGACGATCAGGTTCCGACTTGATGTCAGAAACAATATAACAATGCTCACATCAAGAACGTTAAAGGATGACCAGGACCGACATATGACATACGCATGCCTGCCCCCTTCTCCCCAGTCCCATGATAAAAGTACTGATCAATGCGCCCATTGTGGTCCAGCGCATTAGCATGGGGTGCATCGTCGTCCTCGTCATCATCACCAGCGTGGCGCCAGCTTTTCTGCTTAGGGCCACTGGTGCCTGCACCCGATGTGTGAAATAAGTTGAGACAGTCAATAAGCCTGTTGAGAGGTATCTCTACTGCGGTATTTTCGGCGAAGTCGGAGTCGGTGGATTGGGTGCCAGGGACGGGAGAGTTTGGGCGGCTCTCTGGCGGCGGATTGTACACATATTCATCAAAAGTGTCAGCGAATACATAAGCAGTTGCTGTTTCGGTGAAGAAGGTAAGAGGATATATGCCTGAGAAGATATGAGCCACCTAGGAGAGTACGAGCTTCTTCGACTGTCACTGTGAACCCAGTCTTCGTGATGTTCGTGGTAGCGCGCTGGTCATGACGTTAGAGGGGGCCTACGAACGAGAGTCGAGCTGACATTTGCAAAGTTGACACCACGGAGCAGTCCTGCGAAATAACGGAGATCATGCACGGATATCGTAAGTATCTGTCCCAGCGATTCGGGTCAGAGCTGAAAAAATCATGAGAGAGTCAAGGGGACCCACGGGCACGAGAGGTTCTTCTTCTTCTATTTGTGATGCCATTTATTTGCCTACTGGTAGCTTCGCTGTATTATTTTTTGATGACTGGCTAGAAGATTTCAGATGACCAGAACTTATTCACGAGATGTAGTTGAGAGAAGGATATTGACGCGACCACCGAGACGCGTGTATCACGTGTGACGCTCGTTCCCCCAATAAGAGAGATTATGAGTCATCGGAGTTTGATGGGAAGAGGGGAAGTCGGAACAGTCGCAGCGGGCAATGCACGGTGTGATCCATTCATGGTTGTCTTTCCGTTTCTGAACCCCTCATAAGCCTGATCGCAGCCTTCTGGAGTCCCAAATCCCCCTTGAATTGCAACGACATGCGCCGCAAGCTCATAAACCTCACCAACTCGATCGTGTCTATCAGAACGCATTCGCAGCGAGACGAGAAGGAGTGCACAGTCCTCTCGAATGCGTCAATCGATTTGCCCCACGCCGATCGCCATTTCTTTCTGATAGGGGCTAGGAGCATCGCTCCTAGTTCTAAGGGTGCATGGTCTCCATCCTCAGAAACTATTTCTGGTGAGGTATTTTTGGTGAAAGTTAAGAAACTAGGAAGAGCTCCCTGGGGGCTTGTAAAGGTCTCTCCTGTATGCCCGTGGCGGGTATATTACAGACGGGTGCGTAATAGACCTCATTAGCTTCACCCTCTCAAATAACACTATAGGTCACAGGCCTCAAAGGAGCATGTTGATATCTTGCTTTTCGAGAAACGCAATCTTGCGGCATTTCTGTCACAAGTGCCAGACAGGACACCCCTACACTCCCTTAGTCTCCCTGGTGCGTCTTCACTCTGAGATATCCATCCCACGCACGAAACCTGATGAATTTTTAGGGACGCATGACACGTAGGCTATGTTGTCTTGAAATCTGGTCCCCAACTTATAACGCCTCTTCAGTATGGCTTTCTACGGTTGGCCTGTCAGCCAGTGTCAGTCTACTGATACCCCTTTGCTTGTTCAACTTGTCTCTGGCATCCGAATGCTTGATATTCGTCTCTCTTTGATCAAAGGGAAACTCTTATCCTACCACAGCACATATCCTCAGCGCACGCCCTTCCTGAAGATTCTATCTGACCTGCATGCGTTCCTCACATCGCCCATATCATCCCGCGAAACACTCGTTGTGTCGATCAAACAGGAAAACTATGCGGACGTCGGTGCAATCGAATTCTCTATGGCAGTGAGGAGAGATATCCTTCAAGGTCCAGGCGGTTTGGATATGTGGTTTCTCGAAAACCGTATTCCGAGGCTGGGGGAGGTCAGAGGACGAGCGATTATGTTTAGCCGGTTTGGCGCGGACGGGACAGGTTGGGATCGCGGGTTAGAAGGCATGGGAATTCACCCGACGCGTTGGCCCGATAGCGCGAAAGAGGGTTTTACCTGGGAGCTGAAGGGGACCCTAGTGAGGACGCATGATTGGTCGGTCTATCTATAATCTGATTTCTCCCCATCTCCTGACGCCGCGACCGGCAGGTACCACATCCCTTCTTTCCTGTCGATACCCGAAAAGGTCGATCTTTCAACAAGCATGCTGATGCCTTCTGCAAACAATATATCCACTCCCGTACTGTCCATAACTTACTTCTCCGCCTCGTCCTTCCCGTTCGCCACTCCGACTGTCGTGTCCACGGGCTTCGGATGGCCACGCTTCGGGTTCGGCGTCGAAGGCGTGAACAGCAGAGTGGCGCGGAGGCTGCTAGATGCGCTCAGCGAGACTGTCGACAGGAGGGCGGACTTAGGCGAGGGGCCGAGGATCAGAGCGTGGACGCTGATGGATTTCTTTCTGGAGCCGGGCGATGCTGGTGTAGTTCCGCTGTTAGTGGAATGCAACTTTAGGGGGCGTGCGGGAGAGAGATTTTGATGTTATCGGTAATGATATGCATGTCTGTAATCCATACTATCACGGACTTACACGATGGAAGGATTTACTGTATTTTACATCGCTATGTCTAGATTCTCTAGGTCTCAGTTTGCGTTAGTCTGTTTTTACATGACGTGATGAGAATTACATACGTGACGACAGTGGTATCAGTTATACCTCGCGAAATGACATGTCTTCTCACGATCTCTCTCATGGCATCTATCAGCGTTGCGCAGTGCAGTGAAACCTCTGGAGTGCTAAACAAACCGCTCCGTCTCTGTAGGCTGCCAGGTAAGCCCGTCGAGTTCGCCATCTCTCTCACTGAAACTGCAGCCGCAGAACCAGGGAAATATCGATCAATACTTGCTGTACGCAACGTTGCCTCAGCATGTCGCCCAGGTTGCCCCAATGGAATCTGTAGCCCGCGATCTGGATCTACCCTGTGCAAATAGTTTCCGTGTTTCATGATCAGCTGTCCTGCTTAAAGCTTAAACATTTTCGAAGACGACATGAACCCTTGGATAGCTTCCTGAGGCGACCCGATCTGCACAAGCGAATGTGGCTGACGTGACGCAAGGGACACGCCACGTTCCAGTTAAAGCGCTGAATCTGCAACAATTTGGATCGTCTATGGACGTATAAGAGACAGGGAAGCATCTGCCCTCCTCGGTTCACAAGCGTCCCCACACCGCATAGTCGTTAGGCTGTTCTTTTTCTTTTCTCTATCTTATCTATTCTCACTTCACAGACTATGGATCGCTGCCCTATGGAAGTCTGGAAACTCATCTTTGAGTTCGCATGTACGGACGACGGCACGACGGGGTGCTCGCTCGCCCTCGCTGCCCGCTGGACGAACTTTATATCTGCGAGCGTTCGGCTGCAGTCCATCGGTGTCAAAACCGCCGAACAGCTCCCCCGCGTAGCCGATATGCTTGAGTCCTTGCCTCAAGACCGTCGTCACACCCACATCCTATCCGTCTCCGACCACGCCCTCTGCGTTCAGAATGAGATGCAGGAAGAACGTTTTTTCACGCCGTTGGAAACGCACACTATTGCCACTGCCGTAAAGCGGATCCTTACGGCACTGGCATCAACACTGCAGTCGTTGTCCATGGACTTGAGTATGTCAGCGAGCTTCCCCTCCACGCTGGTACCCGTGCCCCTGCCTGCTCTGCAGGAACTCACTGTCAGGGGCATGCTCTCTCGTCCGACTACGGACGCGCCATTACAACCCCTCCCATCTCTGAAATGCCTCCACATCCACTTCACTAGCTGTCTGAATGCTGGCATCGAAGGCTGGCGCCTCCTTGAGGACCTACCGTGGATCACACCTTTGCTCGAAGAGCTTCACGTCCATGGCCTTATCTGGTATGGCCAGCTCTCTCAATATCTTCGCCATACGATCTACTCTCGCACCCGCCAGCCCCTCTTCAACAGGCTCAAAATCTTCGTTGCGCTATCCTCTTTGATGGACGGATTTGACGATACCCTGGCCCAGACGCAGTACGAAGTCTTTTTGTGGGAGCTAGGGGATTTGGCGCAGCAGGACCTGGAAGACAAGTTGGTCCTTGTTCCCCCGAGGGGCGAGACTTGTTTGAGAAGAGCCGTCACCGTGTAGACCCCCTGGTAGCTGCCGCTTCATGTGTTTTCATTCACCGTCTTATAGCTCTACGGCTATTAATGATTTACCCTATCTTGTACGTTTTCTCACTTGAATTCGGATTGTCAGTGCATTTGACAGAGCTTGGTTGACAGGAATCCTATTACGCTTCTGTCCAGTTTAGAATACGGCCACTTCCTATAATGGTATACGGTTTACCTTTTCAGACGAATCGTGCTATCTGTTTTTGTTGAGGTTACTAAGCCCTCTCTTCCTCTACCGAACAAGCCCATCGACAGTCGCAGAGTCGGGTCAGTCTATGTAGGTCGTCTCCGAGCAATCATGTTTTGGGCTGCTCTGCTCGCAGATAGGAGTGCTGAATGTCTCGGATGGCGGGTCTAGAGCAGTAAAGGAGGCTATGCAGCAATGAAAGCTCCTAAGTGATTTGTGCATAAATAGGCTGCTTTTCCAAGGAAAGACTGAATCACCGTTCTTCCCTTAACCCTTTACTCGTCCCAATCTTTTAATTACCCGTCGGCGCTGACCTGTTCTACACCCACTGGCCTTTGATCGTAAATCTTCACAACATGATAATGATCTGCATAGGCGCGTCTGCTTTCATGCTGGTCATGACAGCCATAGTCACAGCCCTCTCAACCCTGGTATGTGCCAGCCGTAGCTGTCATCGCTCAAAGTCAGCCCACTAAGTCCTATTCATAGATTTTCGTCAAATTGTTTATCACTCCACAGCAAATCATCATCGTTAGACCGTCCCCTTCACCTACGTCTCCGTCCTCGTTTTCCATAGAAACTCTGGTATCCCCGCCAGCCGTACCTATTTCTACAGCAATCCGCAACCTTCTGACCGGAAAGCAGACCGGCGCGGTGCAAATAGTAGAATCGGACACCGTTAAAGAGGCTCCGCAAACTGAAGTTAAAGATCAGCAAGGTGCCTCGTCTCTTTTTTGTTCATTCTCTGCCGCTGATTCACCAGATGTTCAGTGGAAGTGAACAAATCACGCTCTAGGTCTAGTAGTGCCCCGACATCCTCGTCTGGATCCCCACCATTCAAAGGTGACTTGACTGCTTCTCGTCCAATACGCCCACGCATGGACCAACGCGATCGCCTGACTTCTTATTTTGGTCGCCGTGGGTCGAAAACGCCCGCCGCCGCCTCCTGAATTAGCACATATGTACCCCACTGTACCCCTGTTCGGGCCTTAGGATACCCACACATTGCTAGCGATGTGAATTGCCCTTCGTATATCATAGAAAGCCCCACGATATTAATCCAATATAAGGTGATAAGTGAGATGTTTTGTAAAACGTGCCCACTGTCTGAGCGAGGTCTATTTTCTCCGTGCGACGGTCGAACGCCGTGACTACGCCTTCTAGATTGGGATACAAGCGACGGTTTGTCACACGCCTTGACAAAGGCGAATGTCGCCGACTCCGACAGGGCTTCTGTCCATTGCTCACACCACCACGTAGTACTCCTCACCTCGTCTGCAGAAGCGGTCATCTCTGCTCAAACCCCCTACTCACTGCTATGCCAGCTTAATCACACGCTTTCTTTTGACTCATCTGTAAAATCGCTAACTCTGCGCATTGTATTTCGGACACGATGAGCTACACGGGCACTCTCATCGATCCACCGGCTGTGTTTTTGCGTCCACGACCTCTCGCATCACATCCGTCAAGCTTTATTCTGCTCCCCCTTCTGCCTAAGAAGAGCCCGCCCAAGTCCTTACCCGCGGAAGTCTGGTCCAAAGTACTCGCTTATGTGTTCGCAGGGGACGGGCTGGAGAAGTTGGAGGTGAGGCAGAGGCGAATGGCTTGTAAGTTTAACTGGAGGACTGCATTTGTGTGTAAAAGCTGGATGGTGAGTGTTTGATTCCTGACAGGCCGCCTTTCGTTTGGGGCTTCAGACTTGCAACTGTGTGTCTTGATCCATATTATCTGCGCTCCCCAACATGTTCTATGGACACTAACTCATAGATTTTTGCGACCTTTTCATTAGGATATTGCTTTGCCACTGCTTTACGCACACGTCAACATCTTCGCTTTGTCCTCGTTGGAGAAATTTGTGTCTTACCTGTACACTTCTGACCAGAAGTGGGATTCCATCCGGCGGATACCATATTCTACTCCAGGGCGATGGGTCCAATCTCTCGATATTTCTGAGATCACCTTTCTTAAACCAGAGGCACTCTACATCGACTCGCTGCTCACAAAGCTGTTTCCGCTCCTGCCTTTTTTGAACCGCTTGACTCTCCATATTCATCTGGCCATGAGCAATAGGGCTTTGGAGACTTTGTTATTCAAAGATGGCGTCGAGAGGCTTCAGTCCCTGAAAGGGCTGAAGGTATCTCCTCTTCAAGTTGGGACTTACGTTCCTGACATGTATGATCCTCTCATTGAATTGCTTCGATGCTGTCCAAGCATCGAAGAACTGGAGCTTGCGAGCCCAGATGACGAGGCTACTCACCAGTATTATGCATATACACTCGAACCTGATATGCCTGCCCCATCGGCCCCACCACTCCGTCTTTCCCGCCTGCGTTCGCTCGCCCTCGTCACAATACCATTGTCGCCCCTCTTTTCCTCTCTTCTCAACGCATCCCTTCCTTCTCTGCACCATTTAATGGTAACCCCTTACGACGATAGCGTTTCGTCACCCACTAGCAAGCTCCTGGCCCAACATGGCTCCCATCTCACGACTCTCCACGTGAACACGCCAAAACACTGGCCGACTGTCCCTCAGCCATCACAGTCGCGCATCCTCCTCGATTCTCCTGCGCTCAAGCACCTTTCACTTGAATATCCTCTTCCGATGCTGGTTATGCCACCGGGGTCCACGCATCCTTTACAGATCCTCACCATTCCACGGCCGAACATCAGGTTCTTCCGTGACCTGGAATACCTCCTCCCGCGTCTTCCCCAGCTTCGCGCTGTGCAGCTGAAAAATGTCAAGTGGTTGGGACGGGCAGTGTCGGGACGGGCGCTGGAGGCAGGGGTACAAGGGGAGATGAGGGAGTGGAGGAGGAGACTAGGCAGGAGGGGTGTGAGGCTGTTGGATGGCGATTGGCGAGACCCAGAGTGATGGAAAGCCTTGGGGTAGGAATATTGGCGCACATCGAGCGTCGTGGAGATTCCAAGGTCCGATTTTTGTTTCCGTCTGTCTCATCTAGTTCATCGTGCATGTCGAAGACGATCTTCACTGTTGTATTACTGCATCCTTTTCATTGACTACTCATCTACCAATATCAGCACACCACTCTGAGAAATGTCGCTTTAATCAGCGTTGAACTCATCCACAACTCCTCGAGGCCTCATGCTGTCCACTCCACCCCATATCGTATTATCGCCAATCCCATCACTCTCTCTTCTCTCCTTGAGTGATAACTTACAAGTGGGCGATTGCGAGAACCTACTGAATTTCAAAGACCAACGGAAGGTTGTGTTTCCTGAAAGCTCCTAATTGTAGCTTGCCTCCATTCTTTCTACAGAAGTCGCTCGAAACAAATGAGTCGACGCCGCGCTCGTTGCCCGCGCCAGACCTCATCTGATCTCCAGTGCTCCAATGCTGGTAATTGTGTTGAAATCAATGCGCAGAAGCCTATTCTTCTTCCAACTGAGCTTGTTTATGAGATTACAACCCTTGTACTCAGCAACTTTTTCGTCGAGCTATTTCTTGGGCCACCAGACGACGAGAAATCGAACGAGCTGAGCTGGGATGCAGTGACTGCTTTATTGCATTCGACATATAAACTTCGGGCGTGCACGACCCGATTACTGAGGGAACTCGACGAGGAGACATTTTTTCACGGTTCGACAAGGTGACTCGTGCAGCACTCATAGACTCTTGCATCAATTCAATAGGGATTTTCTCCTTGAATCCTTCCAAGGAAGATCATAAATTATTTCCGGGTCCTAACTCCCCTCCGTCGCCTCTCTCAGCTCGTATATAGTGCTCCCAACACCATCTTCAACATTCCACAACCATCGATTCTCAAGCACCGCACCATCCGCCAACCGCGCACTCACTTGGCGCGTCTAGCACACTACATTCTCATGAATGCTGCCCAGCGCGTTCATCATCTACGGTGTCCGCCGTCAAAAAATGCGCAATGAAACGCACAGTGAGAAGGACTCAGAGAAATTCCGACGCGATTTTATGGCTATTCCCGTGCACGTCCGGTATGCTATTCTCGGTCGTGTTATGGGACGGGTGGTGGAAAGGCTCGTGGTTTGGGAATGGCATGAGTGCATAGCTTCTATCTTCTTTTTTTGTCTAAGTATCTCGGTTGCGTTAATTGCTCATTGATTGAATCGACTAGTGCTCGAATTTGAAGATGTGGTTGTCCCTCTCTTTAACCTGAGCATGTTTTTGAACCCTTTTCATACTACGGTCGCGGTGAGTGATTTTATCTCATCGATCACTTTCCTTGAAATACTATGAAACACTTTTTTATCTCAACTAGAACATTCCACATAGCATGTTACCCGGCCCTACTCCAGTTCAACCCGTTCCCCCCGAGTACTACTTCCTTCACTTCGACTTGTGCGCCAAGTTCAACATCCAGTTCAACGACGTGCCACGGATCACCAAAGAGGAACTGACGAGGATGCTTTTTTACCACACCGTATGGGAATTGGGATACAGAGGACTCGGACAACTCGGTGTTGTGTCCACTGCCCAATTCAAGGCACAAATTGGGCTTCTCGCTGAGGATGAAGAGGCAGTGGTGTTTGATCGTGAATTTGACCCTGGGCCACTTTCTGAAAAAATTATTTATGATATTCAGGTTGATCACGCCTTAGACACATTTTGGGGGTTTGCTATATAGCTCCACCTTCCGAAGTTGCGTGGCCCTCCTCGCAGGCATACGGTTCCCTGGCACAGCGCAATTACTTCTGACTTGTGTGTCTAGAACAAACCACGACCCTCCTGTCAACGTGCTTCTCTCTGTCCTCGAAAGGCAGGCAAAGTGGCTAAGAGATACATCGCCTCTGGGTTTTATGTCGATACAAATTGGCAGATCTTTGAGGGGCATTGGTTAGTCGAGGTCATATTCACCTGAGCAGACTGTCTCTTCTCGCCTAGAGCGGGCGCTTGAATTGAAGTTCTCTATATTGCCATTATGGACGATGGTCTCTATCGTTCGAGCGATTCATATTCGTGACCTTGTCGTTCTTCGACTTCGCATGGATACCTTCTCCCTCTGGAGCCTCGCAACTCTTCGTGGTGTATTTTGACATGCGCACCGTCTCAAACACATTCATCTCGCCAATATTGCTGCACCAATGTTCTGCGCGCTTGTCGACCAGAATCCCGGGAATGTCGCAACGCAGGCGCACGACCAGATAGCCCTGTTTCCGAACCTTGAATCTATACGTCTAAACCATGTTGAAGTCGATCATATCTACACTGCCGTCAACGTCAACGAGCCTTTACCCGCCATAGGCTAAATGGCCGTCAAAATCTGCAGAGGATCGTCATTCAACAGTGCTATTTATCTGAGGAGTGGGTAGAAGACCTGAAGAAATTTGTGCTCACCGTGATTTAGGATGGGAAAAAGCAGTGGGAAAATCGGACTGCCGAAGACGACAATTGGTGACATATCGGAAATATGTGGATAAAGTAGCCTTGCCATCATCCCATGTACGTATCTGGACGCATGCAACATTTGATGTTGATGGGACCTTCTTCCGTGTCAGTCCCACCGTTTCAAGATCTCTTGCGTAGCCCTGAAACAGGGTTCTCACAATCATCGACAGGAATCAATCCAAGATCTAGGACCTGGTTTTTGTAGTCTTTACTGTGATTGCAGAATTGTTGAAAATACGGAGGCAAATTACTACAAATTGTCAGAGAACCAATGTGGGTATGGCTTCAACGGAACAGGGCAACGGAGTGCTGGGCGCTGCTAAGCGATTTTGCTGTGCAGTTTCTTGTGTGGCTACAGCCGCAGACCTAGTCGTCGAGACATTAGAATGTAAGGTCTTGCAGGTCAATAGATGGGAAGGTACATAAAAGTCCTCAAAATGTACAGTGATTATACGCCGATCAAGCTACAAAAACAACTCTCCTTTGGACACGACCTTCACATGTCCTGCGAGTCTGACAAGCTCTTCAACCTCGTCGACAACGACCCTCAAGTCTCCTCCTCTGGAACTTACTTGCTTAGCTATGATGGCCCCCGACAATTGCTTTTTGGCCTTCCAGTACGGTGCAAGGAGGCAGTGAGCGGTCCCGCATACTTGATCCTCTGGGATTCCGGCCGCTGGTGCGAACATGCGGGAGTGGAATGCTACATCAGGAGGGCCGGTAGTTGGGGATGCGGTCAGGACATGTACGCCAAACGGGGAGTCAAGCTGGTGGCAAGTGACATAGTCAGAACCTCAGACCCCATGTGTCAAAAAATGATGTAACTGACTAGAGCTTGTGGATCTACCTTTAGTGCACCCAGGTCCAGGACGTCGAGCTCCACAAGTACATATTGGGGATATTTCGCGTCTCCCCGACCCATAAACTTCACTTTCACATCCTTCCCCACCGCTCGCTCAAGAGCGGCGCGCAATTTCGTGGCATCGTCCTCATTGCTGAGCTCGGTAAGAGATGCAGCGTCTAACGCGATCTCGATACGATCGTCCTCGGCACGACGCGCAACAGCCACACGGCCCTTATCCGACTCAAACCTCAGGGTGTTTACAGAAGCGGGGACGAGGGAACCGTGCGTGAAGATCGCCTTCGCAGCCGCGAGTGAGCCGTGCCCGCACATCGGCACTTCGACGTCCGGCGTGAACCAGCGCGCGCCGAACTCTGCGATCTCAGCGTCGCTGGTAGTTGGAACAGGACCCGGAGAGACGAAGGTGGTAATCGGCTGGTTGAAGTTCCTCGCGATGGTGAGCAGCACCTCGTCGGAATAGGCGGAGAGAGAGGATATGAACACGATCGCAGCGGGGTTCCCACCCGCGATATCGTCGGTGAACGCGTTTAGAATGGTGAACGGGACAGATTTGCTCTCGATGGCCATGTTGGTAACTGGGGCGCGCTACGTGTTATGACTCAAAGGCAAAGGCAGCGTTTTTACAAGTCATCTTGCCGAATGACTCGTCGGCCTCGCGCGCCAAATTTTCTTGGTACTTACTAAGAATAAACAGATATACTTAGGTAACGGCGCCGCAGCGAAATCGCAGAGTTTACAAACCTTGCACAGCTCTCCAGAGCTCTCCTAAGACACGCGACCAGCGAGGCTCTGGGTCCGCCAGCCGAACAGAGAGAAGACAAGTCAAAAGACTGAGGTGAGTCGAAGGACGGTAATTGTGCAGAGGCCGTGGGAACTTCGTACCTATTTCAAAAGGCTTTCTCAGAAACATAAGTAAATTGGCTCCTATGCACCCAGGGTACACTAGAACTGTTTAGCGGCTCCGTGTGCGCCTCTTTTAGGATCTCACACTAAGGAAGAAACCACCGCTTTCGAAATCCGAATTTTTTCAATTTGTGATCCGTGACACGGGTGGAAGAGGCGAGGCCATGCGATAACAATAATAAAATACAAAGCCATGTCGCAGGCAGAGCGAGCATAAGATCTCGCCATGAGATCAATATCGTTAGTGGACCATGGCTAATATCCGTTGATAGTCCTCCCGGACGCTGTCGAATGTCTCCTGGAGCTTTTTTAGACGCTCCTTGTCCTCCAACTGCACTAGGACCTCCTACAACCCATTGCGATCAGTCATGCCAAAGGGTTATATCACAATGGATGGACTTGCATAATTAAAGCGATACAATCTCTCCTTGACTTGCAACCGGTAGGCACGCATCGCCCTTGCGTCTGCTGGGTCCAAGTGCAAGAGGATGAGCATCTCCATCAATCGGTTGAATTGCCGCTACGGTTGGTTTCCTCAGTCCTGCACAAAACAAGAACATGAAACGGGATTTACCGCAGCGATTTTCAAATCTTTTCTCCACTTTTCCATCCACGCCTTGTCAGCGGGAGGTTCCAGCTTACCGCGAGTCTTGCCGAACGCTTTTGTTTTGTTTCTCCTCTGTGGGCCAACGCCACCTACTTTTCCGCCCCCGCTCGATGTAGACACGCCAGCGTCGCCAAAAGCCTCCGACATGAATTGTTCGTGATTCAGGAGCATCTTGAGGTCATTCCGGTCGCGCAGGTCTTCGAACGCTTCTGCGGGGTCCTCTACGGTGAGTTCGGCGATGAGCGGCTGGGAGAGGACATATTGGTAGATTGCGTTATACAAGCCGGCTGGAGAGGTGAGCGATGTGATGAGCGATATTGTGGCACAAGAAGAAGGAACGGTCGACGAACATCCATGGCCTTTGTGTTGGTAGGGCGGGAGGATGATGAATTGGCTGATAAATTGAAGTCTGTAAATTGAAGGCATACAAAACGTGAAAAAGATGTTACCTGAGCCTTAGTCGGACCTTCTCGGGATAGCAATAAAACGGGTAAAGCGACGAGTATCCGACAAAGTGATACGTCTCGACTGGCGACGCTGTGCGTCGCTTCCGTTTTTCAAAACTGCATACAGACCACAGTCGTGTCAGCGGGACGTCGGTCTGGTATAATGAGCAGGGAGAGGTACCTACAGGACGACAAACTCCCACGATTCCTCCCCTTCTTGGATATATGACCCTGCTTCGATATAGAGCAGGATGAAAAGCTGCATCCGTCGATGGTACATCTTGAACCCAGGCGTGTTCCATTTGGCCTAAACATTGAAAGAGGATTAAAACCAGTTGCCAGACCTAAGCCTGCCGAATACCAACTCACATGCCACACCTCGAACACGACTGCGTCTGCGTCCGCCTCGTCCAGCGCACCTACGCCCTTCCCCTTCCCCGCGGCGCCCGGAGCCATTCGTGTATATGAATACACCTTCTCGCCAAAAGGCCGGAACGTATCCGCTTCCTCTTCCACTCTTCCTAGAAACGCCTCCTCCGTCTTGTAGTAATCTGCGGGAATGAACTGTTCCAGCGTCCCCCGCACATCGTCAATCGTGGACGAGCTCTCGAGCGTAGCAGAGGAATTGATGTCGAGGAAATATGCTAGTGAGCCTGAGGCAAAGCTGAGCTGTGGGTTCGGAATAACGAAAGAGTTGTGAAAGGCTGGGCAAAGACACAAGGATATCGAAAGAGACGTACGTTTATGACCAGATCCCGATACCCATATATCTTCTCTTGTTCGCCAAAAATCTCAAGGGAAGCGGCGGGAGGTCAGTCCAAGAGCACAAACAGCGCAAGCACAGCATACGCACTGGATATGTGAATGTAGGGTGGAAGTTCTCGTATGATTCATCTTCTCCTAACACCTCTTTGTCTTTTGGAGCGCGAACTTGGGATCGAGGTCAGTGCACGCACGCAGGAAACCTGATAATTTGGATCCGGGCAGGAATTACTATTTGGGTGACTTACCGAGGGACAATGTGAGCGCCTCGTTCGAATCGGTGGTCCACAGAATCATGGTCAACGTTTTCTCTTTTGAGAACGAATATACGGGTTGAGCTGGAAGGCGCCCTAGATGATGTACTAGCTCAGAGATTTCTGAACTGCTCTCTGTAAGGTGGCCGGTCCAGACAGGCTCAGCTCGGAGAATGACGAGTAAATGGAACTTCGGCAACGCCTGCTACAAGTCTGGTATTCTGTCCGACGGTGTCAAGGATACAGATGATAGGAGAGCAAGAGGGCGACAGTAGATATATGCAACGAGTAACCCTGAAAGTGGCGTAGTGAGGGCGCAGTGAGAACTTAGACGCGCCTGTGGCTAGCCAACTTACGCGTCTCGGATCTGGCCAATGACCGCACGTACATTGTTCGGACAAGAGTATTCTATAATTCGAATAATTCCATGGTACTATCTGTAGGTTATACAACTCAAACGTTACATGATCCTCGTAATTTTCCTCAATTATCTCTTCGTAAACACTGTCTATCGGAGAGTAACAAGCTCTGAAAAATTTGACCATCAGCTATGTCGTTCAGCGAGATACATAAAAGACGCACCCTCAGCAGATGTCGGATGAATGGCGACAGTGTCGTCGAAGTCTTGCTTAGTGGCTGTAAGGAAGTCCTCAGCATATGTCTTGAGAACACAAAGATTAACGGAGAGCTCACCGCCCATCTTCACAGCGACAGCGAAACCTTGCAACACTTCGTCGCTCCCAGCACCGATGATGTGCACGCCGACGACGCGTTCATCTGGTCCTACACAGACAAGCTTGTACATGGTGGGCTCCTTGTGTTCTGGGGCCAACATGGAGAAATAGAGTGCGCGGAAGTTTGATTTATCTTACAAGACGTGAGTTGAGACTATGTATTAGTGAAATAACTGGCTTACAGATCTTGACAGCATCGTCGCCGTATTTCGCCCTGGCCTCTGGCTCTGTGAGACCGACAGTGCCGATGGTAGGATGGCTGACAATGTGATGTGAGCGCGTATAACAAACGAGCTTGGTCTAAAGACGCACGAGAAAACAACAGTCGGGATGTTCTCGTAGCTGAGCTTGTCGTTCTTAAATTTCTCAGGGCCGTATAGACGATTTGAGAGGCGCCTGCCCGCGGCAATAGCGACGGGGGTCAGCAGAGCCTTCCCCTGCACGTCCCCGATCGACCAAACGCCCTTCAAGTTCGTCGCCTGCCACTCGTCCACGATGATGTCACCCTTCTTGTCCGTCTTCACGCCGACGTCCTCCAAGCCCAGGTTCTCGGTGTTCGCTGTGCGCCCGATAGCCCAGATGAGCGTGTCGACCTCGATAGCCTCGCCCTTGTCCGTGTGCACAGTGAGCGTCTGGCCCTTCGCGCCCTCGACCTTGAGCACGTGCGAGTTCTTGTGGACATGCAGGCCGGTGTGCTCCATCCACGGCGTGAGGACCTCAGAAAGCGAGGGGTCGAACGTGCGCAGCACCTGGTCCTTGCGAATGATCAGATGTGTCTCCGAGCCGAGCGCTTTGAGGACGCCTGCGAGCTCGACGGCGATGTACCCAGCACCGACGACCGCGACGCGCTTGGGCTGATCCTCAAGGTCAAAAAACCCATCCGAGTCGACGCCGAGCGACGCTCCGGGGATCTGTTTATCGGACGGGACAGTAGGGCGTCCGCCCGTGGCAATGACGATGTTGTCCGCGTTGATCGAGTAGTTCTTGCCGTCCGGGCGGGTGATCTGGACGGTGGTCGGGGAGGTGAGCTTGGCGTGTCCCTCGTGGTACGCGACGCCCTCCTTGTTCACGTTCTTGTCGTAGATGTCGTTGAGCCAGCGAATGTAGGCATCGCGCTGGGGTTTGAACGTTGACCAGGTGAACTTCGTGGAGCTATCCTTGGGCAGATCAAAGTGATATCCATGGGCAGCGTGGTGGAGTTTCTCTGCGATATCGGCAGCATGCCACATAATCTTCATATATACTTGGTCAGGATACCCGGAAGGACCATTGGAAGCATACTGACCTTTTTAGGGACACATCCTACAATTTATGACATCACTATGAGTAAAAAATATAGATCGTAGCGTTGAACGACATACCGACGTTCACACAAGTCCCCCCAAGCTTCCCGCTCTCCTCAATCAGAGCGACCTTGGCACCATACAGAGCAGCACGACGCTTTGAAGGCAAGGTGAGCAAACCAAGAACCGGAATCCAGCAAAAGCTGAACATACCGAGCCTGCAGACCCGCCGCTCCCCCCGCCAATGTAAACGATATCAAACTTCTCACCGTCAATTGGTTTGTCGATGGGGGCCATTTTGGATATGCTGGTCGATGAGAAGGCTCTGGTTATCTGATGACAAAAGGAGGAGCGCTTGAGTCTCATTTTGACATGGGCACGCCATGATCAATCATGCGCACCTGGGAAAGCCTGAGTGCGGGTGAGGAAGACGGATGCAGCCTGAGAGCCTGGGGCGACAAGCGAGAGAGAGAATGGATGTAAGCCAGGGCGTCGACGGTATATATACTGCGCTCTGTCCGCGAGTACAATCCTCTGATCAATCACGTCCGTCCTAGTTTCCTTGTGCAACTCTCGTCAGCCCGCGCGTTTGCTGACGCGCGACAGGATACCGGTCACGTGGGCCTTGACGCTTGGTCAGATCTTGCGTCGGTCATGTGCACACCGGCCACTTCTCCGGCCAACTCCCGGCCACCACATTCCCATATGCCTGCGACCTTGCAGGTGAAACTGGAAAATGACTGCAAGGCGACTGCCGTCAAGCAAGTCTCACTGGGCGTGTCGACTCGTCTCGACGCATATGGTCGATTTCATGACGCGTTAAATTGAAGACCGTACTATGCGTCAGGTTACTGGGAACGGCCGCCATTCGTGCCAGCAGCAGGTTCCAGCGTGACGCTGTCAAGGCAGGTTGAGGTTACACCCCAGCGATCTAGCAGGCTCTGCGGTATTCTTCTATATTTCAATTTGACATTGCAAGCTAGAAATCTCCCGGGAAATGCTCATTAAACGCGGAGTTGAACCTCTTGTGTCTTTGAAGTCCCTGACACGCTCAGAACGTCCATCCGGATTCTGAGAATGCGTCCCCATACTCGTCGCAATCTCCATCTTTGGAGCTTGCCGTATCCCTGCGTCGACTTCGATTCTCCGTTTCACAGACTAAGCTCCCCACGCTCTTAATTCGTCCAGTACGATCCCAATGCTGGTTCTCTTCGAAATCATGGCGTCTGCGGTAGCCGCAACTGAGACCGAGGTCCTGTAGCGGCCACACTTAGGAGCGTGTGCTCCTGCCTCGGTGACATTTCAGCGGGCTCGAGACGCGCCTCGGGTGCGTTTTCGCGGTTGCATCCGCCCCATGATCACAGTACCTCGTCCGGTTCAGGCAGCGAGCAGCACACGGTCAGCTTGCGCTCACGATCGCGCAGAACGCCAGGCCCAGGCGATGCATGGGGTCCGCGAGTGTCTACGCCGTTCCATTCACTTCCGAGGGACGGACAAGCGGCTTCCGTTCATCTACCAGAGTCTATTCCTGGAGCAGTGATTGGCAACTTGCGTCCAATGGATGTCCAGAAGCGCTGCTTTTTATCTCATCTACAAGGGCGCACATGAGCCCGCTTCCTTCTCGACCACCGGCGCATGCTCTCTCCGGTTCATCCTCAGACGACGTCTGGCGCGCTCATCATCGTCCATGCTATAGCCATTGCCGCTAGAACACGGTGGCCTGCGGAATGAACAGCGCAAGCACCCCCCCCCCCCCCCGTTATCTCAGAACCGCACCGAAACCGCCCGTACGTCCGATAACCTCCCCTCTACAGCTCGCGCGCCACGCGGTCCTCTCAAAGATCGGCGGTGGAAACCGCCTCCTCTCCATGAGCGGCACAGCAGCGCGCAGGGACACACGCACGGGAAGTGCTTACGCCTCGAACAGCCTTTCCACAGGGCATCACATCCATTCAGGTCCCCAGCACGCCTGGCGCCCAGACCACCGGGCCTGGCGTGCACCCGGCGGGCCCTCGCCAGCAGTCGCCAGCCTCGCGATCGCGACTCCGCCGCGAGTCCGTCCCCGACGAACCCCAGTGAAGACCCCAGCGACGCAGCTTCGACCCACCGCCGAGCCGCATCGACGCCGCAGTCTGTGACCTACGCGGTCCGCACCCGCCCTCGAGCCAGCCAGCCAGCCCGGCCTCGAGCGCGTATCGAGGGGTAGGCAGCACCCTATCGAACAGCAGCGCCTGCGCAGCGCCGCTGTCCCCCTCGGTGCGCGCGGCGTTCCGCGCTCGAAGCTCGGGTGCTCCGCCCCCCGCACGCGTGCGCACCGCGCCCCCCCTGGTCCCGCATCCCCGTCGACCGTGCGCCCGCCGCGCCAGTGCTCGACGCCGAAGGGGCCACCGCGGCCGACGAGCGAGCTTTTAGCGCCATGAACCAACACGCACCGTGCCAAGGCGTCGGCGCTATAGTGTAGCGGTTATCACTCAGGATTCTGATATCCAAAAACAAAGGCCACCTTCCTGAAACCCAGGTTCGAGCCCTGGTAGCGCCTTTGCGTTATTTTTTTTTCTCTTTTGCTGTAGACGTGGACGTGGATAGAGATAGGCCGCATTGTGTGCGTCGTCGATCGTATAGCATGCAGCATCGTCGACTAGAGCCGGTGACTTGGAACGAGCGGGGGGCGTCGCAGGCGAGTCGAACCCATAATAAGATTATCATATACAACCGAAACAGAAAGAAGCACGACGTGTAAAAAAAACGGACAGGCGGATGGACGGACAGACAGGCGGGCAGGCAGGCAGACACGTCGAGCGAGATGTAAAGAAAAGACAACCAAGATATCCGAATGAACGAGCAACCAAACAACCAAGCAAGCACGCGCGCCGGCGATTCGCCGACGCACCAAAGAAAGAAGCACGAAAGGGGGGGAGGGGGGGGGAAACGACGAACAAGGTCCGAGAGGCTTCAGCTTCGAGAGAGACAGAACGAACGGTACGGACAGAACGAACGGAACAGAAAAAGAAAAAGAAAAAAAAGGTAAAGTACCGAGACCGCTACCGAGACCGAGACCGAGACCGAGGCCGAGGCCGAGGCCTAAGACACCAACCAGATGTATGGGAGAGGAAGCAGGAAGCAGCGGAGAGGTGTACGGGGCGGGGGTAATATATGTATATGTATATATATAAATGTGTGCGCGTGTGTACGGATACGATGGCTGTGGGCCGCACGCGGGGCGCTAAAGACGGCGGGTGGCTGTCGTTGCCGAGGCGGATGAGCAGACCTGGGAGAGGGGGATGAGACGAGATGGGGGGCCAAGGAGAGTGACGCGTGCTCGACGTACGGGCGTGTGTTATTTTGGGGGTGGAGAAAACCAAGAAGAAGCAGAAGAAGAAGAAGAAGAAGAAGAAGAAGAAGCAGAAGCCAATAAAAAAGAGGGGGGAGGGCAGAGCGGCGCCGGTGGTGGCGGCGTATTGGACTTGAACGGCGGCGTGCGGATGCCGGCGGCGAGGAAAAAGCGCATATAAGCATGTGGATGCGTGCATGTGTGTGTGTGTGAGTGCGTGTGTGTGTACGAGCGAAGCGTGTCTGTGCCCGGTGGGAGGCTGTACGCAGCGCGACGGCGCCGACGACGGAGAGAGAGAGAGGGAGATTAGGAGCGATGATTAAGGCAGGCACGATAAGCAGTAGGACGGGGGAGTTTGACATGGTGCTGGGTGGCGTTCTAGGATGCAGGACGAAATAAAACACGAGAGGGAACGACGAGCCGAGCCGAGATGAGCCGAGATGAGAGCAGAGCAGACGAGATCCGGTGCGGTGAGATGAGATGAGATGAGATGGGACAAGGTGAGAGACGGAGCGAGTGTGTGGTGGGATAGAACAGGGCGAGCGCGGAGGGTATATACAGCGTCCGCACGCACACGGCGACGACGCGAGCAGCGGGAGCACAGCAGCGCGAGATATAAAGATACAGATAATACATGTGGACGGCCGGACGCGGCGACGGGCGTGCGCGCCGGGGCCCTCGACGGACTGGCGGCCGCGCGCGCAGGCGGCAATTAGGTGTAGACGATCGAGTATGGGTGAGTATGGGTGCGCGAGCGTGTCGGTGCGCGAGCGTGTGTGTGGATGCGCGCGCTGCGGGGGGGCAAGGCGGTGGGTGTCTCGAGGCGGAGCGGCGTTGCGGGCGCCGAGGGTTCGACGGTCAGCATGCGGCGGTCGCCTGGCGTCCGTGTCCGTGGCCATAGACGAGAGAAGCCAAGACGGACTGGACGTCGGGGAGTCGTGCATATAGACGGAGAGACGGACGGACGAAGACGACGACGACGACGACGGTGGAGGCGAATTCAATCCCGATGGCGGCTGACGAGCTCGACGCCCGCCCCGAGCGCCGTCTTGCGGTGCTGGTCCTACACGGCACACACCGTCAGCCACACGAAACATAAAGCAAACAACAACAACAACAAAAAAGAAAACACCACAACACGCACCTCCTCGTCCTCCTCGTCGTCCTCATCGTCCTCCTCATCGTCCTTCTCCGCGCTCCCCTCGCGCTCGCCCTCCTCCTTCGACCCCTCCCGATCCGTCTCCTCCTCGCTGTCCGAGCTCGAGGAGCTCTCCGCCTCGACCTCCGCCTCGACCTCGACCGCGACCGCGGCCGCAGACGGTTCGGGCTCGTCCGCCGGCGCTGGAGGTGCGGGGATCACCGCCTCCGCCGCGGCCGGCGTCGCCGCCTCGAGGGCCTCCGGGACCCCATTAGGGGTCGCTGTAGCCGCCGAAACAGGGGTTATCCCAGCCGCCGCGGACACGGACGCGGACGCGGACGCGGCCGCTTGTGGGGCGTGCGCGTGCGCCGCGGCAACGGCGGCGTCAATCGAGTGCGCACGCGAGTGCGAATGCGAGTGCGAGTGCGAGTGCGAGTGCGAATGGTGGTGATGCGGATGGGGATGGTGGTGGTGGTGGTGGTGGTGATGGTGGTAGTGCGGCGCGGGGACGCTCACGGCGGTGTAGACATGGTCCGCGTGCACCCCCGCGTGCGTAGACTCGTCCGCGGCAGGGGGGCCCTCGGCCTCGTCGAAGTCCAGCGCGGGCACGTCGTCGGGCACGACCGACACGGCGTCGACGTCGGCATCGCGCGACTCGGGCACAGACGCGAGCGCGCTCGGGCGCGGCGTCGTGCGCCCGGGCTGCTCGTCGCCGGGCGTCGGGCTGGTCGACGGGGGCCGCGCGTTGTCCGGCGCCTTTGCCTTCTCCTCCGCCTCGCGCTCCCGGCGCATCTTCTCCTCCTTCCTCCTCCGCACCCACGCCATCCCGCTCCCGTCGTTATCGTCTTCGACCGCCCCCCCGCCGCCGCCGGCTCTCCTGACCGTCCTCCCCCGCTCGTCTCGTTCCCCGTCCGTCGTCTCGCCCGCAGCGCCGCGCGCGCTCCCCCACGCGCCCACGACGACCTTGTCGTCGCTCTGCAAGCGACTCCACACGCTCGCCGGCGCCTGCGCCCCACCAACCCCGGCACCCGCGGCGCGATTCGCGCGCACGCTGCCCATCCCGCCGTACCCCCACTCGACAAACTCGGGCTCCTCGTCGCGCACGTTCGCAAACGCGTTCTTCGGCTGGACGGGGCGCCGCGGGGCGCCGTAGACGCGGCCGTTGAGCAGGCGCGTGGTGCGGCGCGGGGACGAGGGCGCGGACTGGGCGGACTGGGCGCGGGCGAGCGGGGCGCCCTTGGTGGTGCTCGAGGCGCTGCCGCGGCGGGCGGTCGGGGCGGAGCCCTCGGCTGCGGCTGCGGCTGGGGTGGCGGACTCGCTGGCCCAGCGGCCGAGGGGCGAGCCCCAGTCGTCGCGGGTGCGGCTGCTGTCGCGGGAGGAGGAGCGGAAGAGGCCGAGGCCGGTGCCGAGGAGGTCGTCCTGGTGGTGGGTGGAGCGGAGGAAGGGCTTGAAGAGTTTTTTGGCGAGGGCGGCGGCGGCGGTGGGGTGGCCGGAAGAGGAGGAGGGGCGGCGGGTGGAGGCGTGGGGGGAGGCGTTGCGGGCGGTGGAGGTTGGGGAGGGGGGCAGGGAGGTGCTGATGCCCGGGGACGGCGGGGCGTGGGGGTGGGGGTGGGCGGTGCTGTCGGCGGTGGGTGTGGTGATGGTTGGGCGGGAGCGGCATGGGCAGTCGGCGGGGGAGCGGCCAAGCAGGAGGAGCGGGGGCGGGCACTGGCAGCGGGTGGGGGCGAGGGCGGGAGAGGGGCTGTGAGAGGAGTCGGAGGGGGGAAGAGTGGCCGGAAGGGCGGCGGGGTCGTCGGGGTCGTCGTCGAAGACGGCGGGGAGGAGGGGGAGCTCGTCGCCATGCTCTGTCACCAGGACGAGGCGGCGGGGGTCTGGGAGCGGGGCGAAGCGTATGCGGCGACCTGTGGCTGCGGAGAGGTCGGAGGCGGTGTGGGGGGGATGGGAGGACGGGGGGTCGGGGTGTGCGGAGGGCGGGGAGGAGCGGTGGGTGCTCGGGGGCGGGGTCGTTTTTGTGGAGGAGGACGCGAGGGTGTCGTCTGAGTCCGAGGGGGACGAGACGGTGGAGAGGGAGTGGGTGGAGGAGTGTGTGGAGGAGTGCTGGGGGAGCGGAGAGCGGTAAGGGGCCGGGGCGGGCAGCGGGGCGCAGGACGGCGACGGGCGGGGGCTGAGGAGGATGCCGGGTGCAGGCGAGTCGCGGCTGTGGGCGTGGAGGGGCTGGCGGTGGACGACGGCAGCCATTGTGTTGTGGGAGAGCGCAGGGAGCGGCGCTGCGGGGGCACTCGTCCTTTATGGTCGCTGCATCTTGTCTCCCCTTCGCGCACACGTGCCGACCCGTCCCCCGTTCTTGGCGCCCTCCCGCACCCACCCCCACCGATCCCCGTCTCGTCCCATCTCTCCCCCCCCTCATCCGCCCACCCTCCCTGCCCCCCCTCCCTGCCCTCCCTGCCCCCGGTGCGTCCCCAGCGACGCCGTCGCTCGCTCACGAAATGCCTCCGGCGACCCCGCATTACCACGCGCCGGGGTCCGCCCGCCCCGGCATCCCCACCGCAGGACCCCCGCCACTGCCACCGCCACCGCCACCTCCTCTCGAACCCGCGGACTCCTGCAGACTCCTATTCCTTTCCGGCCGTGCCAGCCTCGACAGGTCCCGGCTTCGCTCCAGTCTTTGGAAGCTCTCCCCGCCACAGGCTCGCTCCCCAGCCTGAGCCCGCGCCTGCACCCCCCGATCGGTCCCTGCGAGGTCCTACGTCAAGCCCACACTGCCAGCACGCCAGCCAGCCTCCGTTCTGCGGGCTTCGATCCCCCGCGTCGACGATCGAATGTTCACGAACGTACCGGCGTGGCCCCCCGCGGCCCCTCCGACTCCGACCCCCGACGAGCCTCGACGCACATCATCCCCCCTTGGCAATCCTGCCGTGCGACGCCGTTTTCAACAATCCAATCCACGCACGCACGCACGCACGCCGTCGCCAGGCCGATGGGTCTGGGACGCGACGCGCGTCCCGTCGCGTGTCCCCGCTCACGTCGTCCCCTGTCGTCCCCTGCCGTCCTTTTTCATTTCCCGTCGCTCTCCGTCTCCAGGGGCATCTCGACCGTCGAGCGTGATCTCTTCTTCTCTGACAATGGCCAAGATCCCGCGCATGCGCATCTCGATCCTCTTCCCCCGTGATCTCTCTTCTGTCTGTGCCCATCGACATCGCGAGCGCTCTCAGCGTCCGCCCGTCCTGCCGCCCCGCACGATACAAATCCCTCCCACGCACCCTCCTCCTCCGCGTCCAAACCCGCGCAACCCCAAGCACCTCCCGCCAGCCACGCCGCCACGCCGCTAAAACAGCACTTGTTATTACTCAACGCCGCGAGCCATTCGAGGCCGTTTGCCCCGAGACCCCCGGACGCGCTCCATTCTCCGCTAGGGCCGACCTCGACGGTAGCGTGCATTCCGAGCGCGTTGCGGCGTGTCGCTGTCTGCCCTCGCGCGTGGCGGCGGTCATGCGTGTGTCCCTGTGCGGCGCGCGGCGGCGCTGCAGCTCACGGGAGCGCAGAGGAGCGCCGCGCGACGGCGTCCTGCGCCCGCGCGCCAAGGGCGGGTGCGCTGCTGCGTGTCAGGGCGCGCGCGCTTCGGACGCCCTGCGCGAGACTCGCGCCGAAGACTACGGGCCCGCGTTCATTGCCGCGAGACCTCGACGTCTGGGGCACTAAGCGCGCGACGTCACCGGCCCCCCGCGCGTCATCGACGCCCTCTACGTACTCCCTCACTCGCGTCCATCCAGCCCTCGTCGACCTGGCCTCCTCCCCCCGATCGCTTGCTGCCGACCGCTGCGGACCGTCGGCGGCTTTAGTTCTGGCTTGACTAGACGGGGCCATCGAAGCTGGCCCGCGGTTGCCCAATCTGTGCGCGAGACGACTGAGTCGTGGTTCCTGCGCGCCTCGCGAGATTGGCTTGGGGGGCTTGGCGTGCGCAGGCACGCGCGCTGGGCGGTCTATCTTTTGCCTCGGGACTGCGCTCGAGGGAACAGGTCATGTGCAGGGCGATTGTACGGAGCGAGGGTACAGTATTCGGCGCGGTAGATGCGAGACGGTGGAGGTTGCTATACAGTCGTGAGAGGGCGCAACACGCGAGGTGGAGTAAGCTGGAGGGGGAGCTTGCGCTACTGTCTAGACGTGCGTGGGGCGTCCGGCTCTCGCTTTCGAAGATACGGATACGCGAGTGAGCGAGTGCTTTGTTTCTCTTTGGCTCGAGCACGCGAACGCTGACTGGGATTGGGATCGTGTTTGCAGGTCGGACGCGCATACATACATGCGTGCCCTCGCCGCCACTACTTACACGAACGTCCCAGGCAACTCTCATTCGTACCGACCCCGCCGTCGACGCCCGGTGCAAGCCCCGATGTTTCCAGGCCATGCTCGCACGCACGCACGCTCGCTCGGAGACTCGCGGACGCCACACACCAGTCTCGCGGGGGAAAGGCGATTCAGCCGCACCGACCGACCCGTCGACGTCCGGCTCGCACTCGCCCAGGCTTACAGCCGCCCGTCGGAGCCCCCGCCCGCGAAGTTTCCAGGCGACGCTCGAGCCTCGGTTGCTCGCCGACTCGCCAACGCCAGACGCCACCGGAGACGCACATCAAGGGACGTCGAACGCGAGTCAAGCTCGTCGAAATCCGATCGCGACCGCCCGCGTGCGCATGATGCCGGCACGGTGGTGTCGTTATCGGAGCGCATCGCACGGCGTCGCGAAGCGCGATGCGGACGGCAGGCGCTTCGAAGAAGCGCGTGCGGCTCGCGTACGTACGGCGCGAGCATTTGCCCCCCGGTGGGAGCGAGCAGGGAGACGCGCGCGGCGCTCGGTGGCGTGCTGGCGACGCGTCGCGGTTTGCCGCATCTCGGTCCATCGCGATCCTCCGAATCTTTTCCAGCTCCCGATGGCATCTGGCGCGTGCTCCACCTCGCAGCGCTGGGGATGCTTATCTGGCATCTCGCGCGCACCCTGGCCTCCTGGCGATTTTGATTTTGATCTTGATCTTGATCCTCCCTGATCTGCGTTCCGCGCTCTGCAGACGGGAGCAGATGGGTCGGCGCTGAGTACGTATGGGGCTCAATTTGGGGTAGGAGGTGGCGCTGGTTATGGTATGGCGTCGACGGCAGCCTGTCTGACGATGCCCGACGTGCGAATCTCGCGCAGGAGGTGCGTACGTGATCGTGTGCCTATGCGCGTTCGAAACCGTGCGCAGATCAAGCTGACGGCGCAACCGTACTCAGACGCGGCGGCGCAACGCCTGGGGCATTGGCAATCTGACTGGCCGATACCGCGCGCGCGCATACATACAAGTTACACACGGATGCACGCGCACGATAAGAAATGGCGGGCGATCCGCGGGAACTTCGAACTTCGAAGCGGGGCTGGCTTGGCCCGCGCACTGTGCCTCTGTCCCTGCCTGCGCCGCGCGAAGAGCCAACGGTGTGTCTTCTCTTTTCGGTTTAAAGTTGGGGTGAGAACGTCTTTCTCCCTCTCTTCGTCCGTGCGGGGACCTGGGTGCTTCTGCTCATTCAGTGCCTCTTGAGGCTTAGTGCTGGCTTGGTGTTCGCGCGCGGGCTCGGCTATCCGGGGTCGCGGCTGCGGTTGCGGTGCCCTGACGCAGTCATCGCGTCCTTGCGCTTGCGCGGCTGCCGCAAGATTCACACCGATGCCTTTGGGAGAATACGAACGTGCGTCGGCGAGCTCGCAAGAGGCCTGAAACAACTTCCTCTTCGCGAAAACTTTGCACTCGGATCGGCAACGAAGATGCGGGCGAGGCCCACGCCAGCGGATGCCGGGCGCTGAGCGCTGGGATTTTTCTCTCATCATTGCAGGGTTCATTGCAGGGTCTGAAGGGGCATCGCCGACTCCGGGTTCCGAGGCGATCGCGGCGATGGCAGCTTTGATGCTGATGCGGCCCCGGACATATGCGCGCGCCCATTTGTCACGGGCGAAGGTAAAGACAGAGACAAAGGCGGGAAGACGTGGACACGCTCTGCCCGGGGAGGACCCGAGTCGAACGTCGGGTCGCAGCACGGGCTCTTGGAACTTTGGCGTGCCAGGGGCGGAAGGCTTCGGAGGACCGAGATGCACCCGTGGGAGACGCGCCATCGTGCGAAGCGCTATCGATGCGTGCGTGCAGGCGTTGCGCGACACAATCTGCCATCCATGCTTGGAGAACTCGAGGCTTGAAAAACGTGCGGGTGCGAAGAACAGGTGGGGCGCATGACGCCAGCGACTTGCTGGCGTACGTGCCGTGCTTCATGTGCTGCGGTACGCCCCGGACGTGCATGGCCCCTCGCGCTCGGGTTCTTTCTTCCGCGCGCGCTCTTCTCTCTCACCAGGTCCCGCTCCGAACCACATCTAGTGCACGCAAGTGCACTCCTATTCTGCCTTGGGCCGCTGCACATGCTTCGAACATCGAGGCTCCGAGTTCGGTCCAAACCGATGGATTATGGCGTCCTCGCCGGCGCCGGCGCCCTCATCCGTGCTAGCTCGGCGGGATCGACCACCTGTGACGGTTATATCATGGGCATGCATGTCTGCGTTGGAAGACTGCGGTGCGTCGAGGAAGCAGCGGCTTCGCCTGGATCTGCAAGCGCCAGTTCCTCACCACCACCACGAGTGAGGTCGTGCTATAACGGTGCAGCTGTGCTATATCGAGAGCGGGCAACTGCACGGCGGTGTTCCGAGTTTGCCCTTCTCGGAGTCTCGAGCTATGCTCTGCTGCCCACCGGGTCTACTGGGTCTGTCGGAAATGAACCGGCTGCCTTCTTCAGGTATGGGGTCAGCCCGCGCTCACCCCCCAACCGCGGATGCCGGCGGGACGGAAAGGGCGGCATCATACACCCGAGCCGAGCCGCCCCGTCATATCGCTGCGCTTTTTCTCACTGGAGTAACGCTGCTGCACACGTTCCGTCGTTTGTTCTATTGCCGATGAGAACTCGCGCTGACGGGCTGTTTTGGGCGAGCGATGTGCCGCAGGCTTCAGGCCTCAGGGCCTATCGCCGTGCGCGCTCAAGACTGGCTTGTTTGGTTGTTCGTCTGTTTTTTTAGAGAGACGGCGAGCAGCCATCCCATCGTCCTTGATGCATTTTCGCGGGACCGGTCGGTCAGTGATCCCTCCGGTGCAAGGGCAAGTGCACCATGCCAGCGCGTCGAGATGATCATCAATCGCCGTGCGTGCGAGTGCATACAATGGCTGGATGGTACGGTCCGGGTCTTCGCGATGGGCGTCGCCGAGATAGCCTCGCGTATCCCAAAAATATCGGCGGACGTGGGGATTGTTCCTGTTCTATCCGTGCTCTCTCGTGGAGTACTGAGGTATCCGTGTGTTGCCAGAACATCTGCGCGCGCCCACTGAAGGGAATGTGGAGGCCAGCTTCGAGGACCTTCAGGACCGGAAGTGCGCTATTCCTCCCGGCCCCGATGCTTCCCTTACCCGAGTTCCCGACAGACCATTCAGTGAACGTCATCTCACGTCGCTTGGTGCGTAACGTGTTTTTGACACTCTTGCTTAGTGAGTGACCTCTGCCGAGACCTAGGGCCAAGAATACCAAGCACGTCTCCGTCGGTTGTCCCCAGGAAAAAATATGTTCCTTTTGCGGTCGTGACGACTGGCAGCCGCGCGCCTGAGTGTGTGCAAATGAAGTTGGGGATGGCCTTCTTTTGTCCTTGTACGTTTAAGGCTTATACTCGTCTCTGTATATGGCCCCAATTTTGCTCCGTCAGGGTGCTGGAGCGCCGTGCACTGTGCGCAGGGACTTTTTTTTCGTAAGTGGCCGGGTTCTCCACGCTCAAGTGTGAGAGACTGAAAAGAGCAAGAAGCAAATTTGACCAGATGATCAGAACCACCAGGTTTGTCCTGTCTTCCCGGTAGAGGTGCCTTTCTAGTTGATAGGAAACCTACCAGCCGTCCTATCGAATCAAGGGCCATGAGCTCGCTCAAGTTTACCCTTTTGCTGCAGTGGACTGAAATCTCTCATGCATTGTGGGCTGCTTGTACGCGATCGCGATAGCCTATAGCCTGGCGAAGTGATGCCCTACTGAATCCCCTTGTGTCCCCGCCGTCGGCTCTCGCTTGCCCCGCTTTGCCACTCCTCCGCACTCCTCTTTTGACCACCATTACATCATATCTAATCACCAGTACAGCTCCTTCTCTCTTGGCCTCGATACCGTGATCACGAGACGCCGGTCGAATGTGAGGCTTCACCGGACTTGGACAGTCACTTGACATGTTTTTTTCTATCCAGCATCGCCGGGGTCCTTCTCGAGGGTGCCCGCATGCTCTCCGACCGCACCTCCGGTGATATCGTTTTCTAAATGTGGAACCCGAACATAGGGCTTCCGAAATCAAAGACGTAGAGCTTGAAGCGCGCCGCGGAACCGTGATTTATCCTCATGTTCATTTTCAAGGTTCTTCGATACATTAACCACTAATCTGTTCGGAAGGCGTTGGTGGCGTTCGGAGTTTACTGTGCTCGAGCGGTGGGTCCGTTTGGAAGTACCGCATCGGGCGACCACCCGTATAAGACGCCGTTTCTACCATTTACTGAATTACACAAGAGGCAGCTTTCGGGCGCAAGTCAGCGGGTATGTTCTTCCAACTTTCTCAGGATATGTTCTCCTCTGCAAAGGATCTTCTCTTCCGCATTGCCGTTATCGATCAGCTTCCCAATTTCTTTACCGACTGCTTGACACAATGCGGCAGCCATCTGACAGGCGTTTGCGATCGAGTGTGGTTGCCATTCTGTGAACTTCCTGTAGCTTCGAGACTTAGTGCGACCCCTATGTCAGCCTTAGCTTTGCCCTCCCACATCGTCCACTCCTCTGTTCGGACGGCTCTTACTATGCCAAGCCTTCCGTATTTGACTGCCCTAGCTATACCGGACCCTGCATTGTCATATCTAGTCAACGTAGCTCCGCTGACTGACAACCTGTGTCTGTGGTCTCGACATCCTTGGTCATCAACGCTCCTAGGCCATTCTTGCTTGAAACATGCAGGCACCGGTGCCCCAGAGTGCCCTCTCCTCTCTAATGCCCGCGCTACGTCATAAAACCGCCTATGCCACGAGTTCGAGCAAGTCACGCGAGCAAACAATGCTCTAGAGGGACAGGCTTACTCACGCGAGATAGACCTCGGGTCGCTCATGTCTTCGAGAAGGAGGACCCGATCGACTTCAATGTCAGTCGGTGAAGAAGCTTCTATGTCCTACATCGCACGTTCATTTCCGACGATCTAATCGAGCGTAGGCGCAGCGTGCCTCACTTCTTCAGATTATCTTGCGCGAGTTTTGCTTTTAGAACGTTGCAGATGAATTCCACGAGGCGGGATCTCGATCAAGACTCTTCGCCTATTATCCTTTTTTCATCCTTTGTACAGGATACATCACTTGGCCTCGCGGTTCCATAGTTGCTGAATGCATGATATTCGTGCACGACGGCTAGAATTCACCATCACACACTATGCTGCCCCTCAAACGTGCAGTTGAAGGATGCTTGAAGAAGCTGTCTCGTCACGCTGGCCCTGAATTCCCCGGAAGCTGATCGAAGCACACGTCTCAGTAGGCATCAACGCTCTTACCATCGATACGCGCGCTACCTACGTGGATGACACCCCTATCATACCAGAAGATAACATTGCTGCCGAACTGCGTTGGTGAACGACTGCGTTCCACCTGGTGCTTCGAGGCAGTCCATTGGAATTCTCTGCAGGTGGTAAGACCTGTCCGACATCTAGGACATATTGGCCTAGGGATGAGACCATATCAAGGTCAGATGTGCTTGAGTACCTCTTAATTATCCATACTACTCGATACTACTTTGGCATTCCGAATACTAGCTGAGGCGTCCAAGGAACACCTAGTATAATGTCCGATCTGAATATAGATTCGAACTAATGGCACAAAAGACTCATGCTCCTATCAGTGCCGCGAGTAGAAGCGTTCTTATGGCACTCATACGGCCATCGACAAAGATCCATTTCCTCCCGTACTAGATCGTCCAAAAAGTTGCACCTATACATTGGGCTCTTGTTTGGCCCTCGTCTATATATAGGCACCCTCTGGGACCCCATGTACACTCCTCATGTCCTTTGTGGGACCGCGCCTCAGTTCTTTCGTCTGCTCCCTCGCCTTTGCCCGCGGTCGACATTGTCTTCCGTCTGAGGCCTCGGCTCGGTACTCAGCCGAGGCGACTCTACCCTTCCGCAGGAGTTTTTGGGCAACAGGGTGAACCCGTCGCACGTCTCACTCTCGGAGTCCTGCCTTGACGTGCGATACAACCTTGTCCTCCACCTGAGCGGTCAGAGTATGTTAGACTCGGAGCGCGTCGGGGAGCCCCACGGCGATTGCCGACATAGCCCCTGCTAAAGCTTTCTCGTGACTTCCGATCTCTCAGCTTGTCGCATTGTGCGACTGCTCGCTGGGCGAGTTCAATAAACTCGTCCTTCTATCTGACACTGTCTACGATGGCGTGTTCGCAATCAAAGACGGCCTCTTGCCAGGCTATCTCATCTCAAGACCTCTGAGCAACTGCACAGACGATTGTATGACCTTCCCTTAATGGATTCGTGTTGTCTATCGACTTTCATCCTGTCACTGAACCGTCGCTAATCTCCCAGAGCGGCAGTCAGAGGCCTAATTGCTGTAGACCTCACTCTTCCCATTGCTGATATCGTACCGATCTCAAAGTGTGTTGATGTTTATGTTTTTGGTGTATTTCTCTGACCCTCCTTTGTTTCCAGAATTTGATCTTGTGAGGCCGCAGCGAATCGCAAACCAATTACTCCAGGTCATCGTTGCGCGTTGAGGATAGTGGTGTATCAATCTCAACACCATTGCCATCGCTGCGCACACCCCTTCCTCACGGATCGTTCTTTGTTGTACTGTCCATAGTACGGCACATTGAATGTCATTTGTTGGTCTTCAGGTCCTTGACCAGATAGCGAATGCTCGCTGTGTCCACTGGATCTCAGGCGTTGAGGAGTCTATTGAGGATGCTAGTTAGCTAGGTGTTGACACATTGATTGAGTTCCAATTCGATATTGTTCGAGGAATAAGTGCTAATCGTGAACGAACAACTTTCCACGTATGCATTCGGTTGCTATTTACATTTTTGAAATACATGTTTTACACGCGATACACAGAACACATCATAATCATACAGCGTCTACAAAGAGTGGGTCTGATGATTATTTGTCCTTGATAGGGAAGTCCTTGCCGCTGATACCTTTATACCCGCGACGAATGGCGTCGGAAATCTGCTCGTCTTTGGCCTATGAAGAGCAAGCACGTTTAGCGACATTCCTCGAAAATATTTAAGCACTGACCTGCTCAACTGCAGACTCATTGTTCTGAGGTCCTTGTCCGAGGACATGCTGCTGCGCGTAGTCCACACCTATGAGTACATTGAATCAGGACAAGTCCGATGTCCGTGATTTGAAAAGCGTTCCTTTGTCAAGGTAATCTGAGATCAGGGAAACAGCCGCATGAGTACAGCATATTCCGAACATGAGAAAAAGGTTGCTATACCTTCATTCTTCTCTCCCGCCTGACCACCACCGAGCGCATTGTTCACGTTGCCTCCGAGACCGCCACTGTCCGTCGGACGACCTTGGCCAGCTTGCAGCTGAGAAGAGCCGCCGTGACTGAGGTTCTTTTTGATGAAATCCATGACAGAGCGAACGTATGCGAGTGAAGATTCTGATTGATTTCGTGGGGTGGTTGTTGGTGAGTGAATAATGATACGCACTGAGGGATGCCTGAGTTTATATACCTGCAGAATAGGAGGTGGAGTCATGACGTAGGATAATCGACTCGCAGCGACTGATCATCTTGGGATGTCTGGCGCACTCATAGGGCGAACATTGGGCCCTGTACTAGCCCAACTCGTTTGATAGACTGTCAATCTTGAGCCGGCATGTTTGTCTCGTTGGGAGACCCTTGAGAAGCCGTTCAAAAGGCCTGTCGACGACAAGATGCAGAAGGGGATTGGGACCAAAAATCTCTAATGAGTAAGTCATCCTCAATATCTCTGAGGTTGTTGAATACGATCGGCTCAGTATTCGCATCCTGAACTATTCTGACGCATGCAGCAGGCTTAGCTTCGTAGTGTGTGCGACGTGCGTGGAGTAAATCACTGACGATGATTTGATTTAAAACACCGCTAGTCCGCGAACACCCGTTTCCAGCCCGTTTCCCCACAACACCGTGACCAATGTTTGTGCTTGTCAGCCAGTGCCCACAGGTGTCGGCTATTCCTCGTTCCTTTCGCCCATCGATGAAGGCTCTGCACAGCTGATGCACAGCTCTCATACCTTGGCATCGTCTGATCCAACTCTGGTTGCTGAAGGCACTATCAGGTGGTACGTGTCGACTTGAAACAGGCTCCCATTCGGCACTGACTGTACGATGCCAACTAATTTAGTAGCCTTCCGACACATTGACTTGAGCTTGTGTCTTAGTTCTGTTCAAATCCGTCATAAATCAAAGACAAACGTCAAGCTTATACCTTTGCCCGTCGGATCCACCTTGTTCTCTGCGGCATTTCCTTCGTAATCGGCGTTCGCAGGCTTGTCATCCAGCATTTTGAGACTTCTTAATCACTTTGAAACCCGTCTAAATCTTCTCTATGGGTTGTTCATTCTCGAAAACAGTTTCGAAGAATCACAATCTCGATCTCGATACTTTGCGATGCGTTCAGTCTCCACAACCAAGGCTTTTGCCTGCCGCGTCCCGCAGCGTGGATTCTGTGAAGTCCATCCTATCTTCTCAGCCTCAGCTGCCGGTTGAACTCCTCGACGAAATTATAATCTTTGTCCTTGGTGATTACTTTAGAGATCTCATCCTCGTTCCCCAGCCTAGCGAGAGCTGGAGCGCCGTCTTTAGCCTTCTGCAAACATCGCATACATTTCGAGCTTGCACACTGCGCATCCTGCGGTATGTGTTCGGTGGAAGCCTTACCGACTCGGAGGATAGAATGTGAGTGACATCTTTCCAATGTGTGACACGAATAATCTCAACGTTGCATGGCCACAGTGACATGTCAATACTTAAGCCTTCGATATCCAGTATACGTCAATATACCATAGTGGCTTTCACGTTTCCGCTCATTTCGATGCTGGAGAGCTTCATGGAAGGAGAACTACCAAAAGGCCCCATCGCACTGCTGTCTGCCTCCTACACTTCTCGCATCATCTGCAAGCGGCTTCTTGAATGGGAAAAGGGCCACTCGTTGCGCTCGATACTTTCAAAGCTGCTGGACTCGACGTACTATCTGGGCACTTTCTCAGTACTGCCCTCACCGATCTACAGGACGATATTTCTTCCTGTCGTTTCTAAACTCATCATAACGGACATTACAGCACGAAGATGTGCGTCATTTCTCTGCCAGCACCACTCTATTCTCCACTCACAGTGGTTCGATAGTGTGGATTATCCAGGCGGGCAGACACATGTATGGGCGGATTGTTATTCACTTCAAATCAGCGCTTCTTGGGCAGGTCAGTCCTCCGATCGGATATCGATCAATTGTGATCTGACATGTATGACTGTATTACAACCAATCAGGAAGACATTGACTCCATATGCACCGATTATGCAGATACGCTAACCTCGGTTAAGGATCTGATCTCGGCCATGTTTATGTTGGACGAAGCGAAAGAGACGGGTTTGCGACCCGACAACCTACCAACGCTTCCTGAAACTGTCCTTCGGGAGGTGGGCTTCTACAAGATCATGAGCTCCATGAAATTTTACGAGGCCAACTCTGAGTTCCCCCACGTCGTCGATTTTTGCGCAACGTTACACAAGCATATGCTGTCGTTTCTCATGGAGAAAGAACGGGAGATTTACATGGCTACATGGGCGCCCAGCGACGATGACGGGAAATGGTAACTAAGGGGAGGATACGACTAGCTCTGTGAGTGAGTGGTGTTTTGTTACTGTCTAGCACTTTCACAGGGTTCCTCACATTGGATTTGAAGGTACGACTAGGATTTGAGATATGACGCAGAACAAAATAATATGTACCACAGAAATCCCCATGCGTTCCAGAAATTGATAACATGACAATATCTTGCACTTGATATATCAGGCTCCAAATCGCCGACAGCTTATGTTGGGTCTTGAACTGATCTCAACAGTCACCACTGGGTGAAAGGCAGTAATTGCCTGACAGCACGTCTGCGCCGCGTCGACAGCTGCATTCAGGACTGGTTTTTTTCCCGACTATCAATCGGCCCCGAAGAGAGGTCATAGGATAATAAGGCGCGGTTCAAAGTAAGCGACGATGGTCCGTGCACCGAAGTAAATTGACTCAACAATTCGGTCTATATTGAACTATTGTCCCACATTCAAGATGTCTGCATGTCGGGAAGGTATATCACCGGACATGACATGGGCCGGCATCCTCCGTCTTGTTCCGTGCCAAGACGATGTCAATGTCAACAAAGTCAAGGAAGGACCATGGTAAGTAGTACTGGGGTAATAGGAATACTAACGTATGACTCCGAACCAGCTTGGAGCCGTGGACCGTGTTTTGAAAACGGCAGCAACGCCCTAATTCTGGACGAGTTTCGACACCGGCAGAAGGCAGGGATCTGATTATTCTCAGCGGTCGACTCAGTCCCTTGCCTCGAGTCAGCCCTTCACACTAAGAACCCCGCGAGAGGCCGTGGTGAAGTACTTTTCAGTGGCTGTGTTCACACGAACGTCAGACAATCTCCAGCACTAACCTGTGACCACTCAGAAGACAGTTCCTCGCTGGCGAATAGATTTCAGCTTCCTTCCATGGCGGCCACGGGACCATATCCGAGGTATATAAGGGGCGTCCTCCCCAGATACGCAGAATTTAACTCCGAAGTCAGCCAATCCCATCGCTATCATGGATTTCGACATCACTCAAGTAGCACTTCCAACATTGGACAGACTTAACGCTACCATTTCTGACGATGTCAACGCGGAACAAATAGCGCAACAATGGTTTGGCTCATTCGAACAGCACGCTCAGGCAGGAAACGTGACTGGTGTGCTCCACCTGATGCTCGAGGACGCATTCTGGCGCGATATACTTGCTCTCACATGGGACATGCGCACGTTTTATACCATTACTCATATTCGCAAGTTTTTGGAGGATCGCCTCGCATCGGCGCAGATCTCGTCTCTCAAATTAGACGCATCTTCTATTGAGCTTCAGCGCCCTTATAACGACATTGCATGGATCCAGGCCTTCTTCACGTTTGATACACCCACTGGACACGCCTCGGGGATCGTCAGGCTTGTGCCTTCTTCTCAAGGACCTTGGCTCGCGCACGCTATCCTGACCAACTTGGAGAGCCTGCGAGCCTTCCCTGAGCAAATAGGCATGCTGCGTGAGCAGGAGCCGAACCATGGTAAATGGCAGGAGAAGAGAAAAAGAGAGATCGAATGTCTCGATGAAGATCCGAAGGTCGTCGTTATTGGCGGCGGTCAGAGCGGTCTGGAGATCGCGGCGAGGCTCAAATATCAGGGTATCAAAACGCTTGTGGTGGAGAAAGAATCGCAGGTCGGGTATCAATGGAGGAAGAGATACGAAGCACTTTGTCTCCATGATCCTGTCTGCAAGTGTCATACTACCGTCCATTGTGATTGCTAGTCGAGACTTACACATCAATTATCTAGGGTACGATCACATGCCATATATTCCGTAGGTGATGTCACCTCAGCGCACGCCTCAGAAATATACCAACTTGACTCCAGGTTCCCACCTACGTGGCCAGTATACTGTCCTGCTCCCAAGGTAGGGATTGTGTGACAAGTGATTTTCCTTGCCTGATTTTTCCTTTCAAGCTTGCAGACTGGCTTGTGAATTATGCTCACAGCTTAGAGTTAGACGTCTGGACATCTGCCAATGTGACCAGCGCAAAGCAAGACACTTTGACACATAAATGGACTATCACAATCAAGCGCGATGATGCTTCAGAACGGACCTTCGTGGTCAATCATCTTGTTTTCGCTGTTGGTATTGGGGGTGGGGTCATGAGCATGCCTCAGGTCCCCGGAATAGTGAGCCACCCCAAGTGTGATGTCTTTGCGCCTACTAACTGAGCATAGGACGAATTCCAAGGCCAGGTCATGCACTCAGGACAATTCAAGACAGCCAAACAATATCAAGGACGGAAAGTCGTAGTTGTCGGGGCGTGCACGTCTGGTACGTAGGTCAGCTGTCGCTTTTCAATATGTTTGCCAACAGGCTTCCTAGGCCATGACATTTCCAAGGACTTGAGTGATAAAGGTGTCGGTGAGTCTACGATGTGGAGAACAAATCCTCGTACTCAATGCAAGTAGATGTCACCCTCTTCCAACGCAGCTCGACGTACATCATGTCTACGAAACATGGCGTACCGATCCAGATCGAAAGTACGTCTGCTCTACTTTTTTCCTCATGTCACAATTAACGATGGTCCATAGGCAATTACTCTGAACACGGTCCGCCTGTTGAGAGAGCAGACCTCATCAACGCTTCGTTTCCCATCTATTTCTCAAAAACGATGAACAAGCGAGTGGTGAAGCTCATAGCGGACAAGGATAGGTGAGTATGGGATGTATATACACACATGGTAACTAATTAGTCTTTACGTCGGACAGGGACGTGCTCGAAGGGCTAGAGCGTGTTGGCTTCCGTTTGAATTATGGCATTGATGGGTCAGGCTTTCCATTACTCGCCTGGGAAAGGGCAGGCGGATATTACTTTGGTAAGACGTTCGTCATTACTGAATGTTGAACGCCGTCAACTTCGAAGATATTAGACGTAGGCGCGAGTCAGGCGATCATTGACGGGAAGATCAAGCTCAAGAACGACAGTCAAATTTCCCGCTTCACAAAGTCCGGGCTCCTGTTCGAAAACGGGAGCAAGCTGGACGCCGACGTGGTCATATTTGCCACAGGGTATGGATGGGCTGTCTTCACTTTCTACTTGACAATCTCAATTACTTACGGGCTCTTCATCTGACAAGGTATGGGGACGTCAGGGCCTCTATCCGCGCTGTCATCGGAGACGAACTTGGAGACAAGCTGAAGCCGATCTGGGGACTAAACAAGGAAGGCGAGATCAATGGAACGTGGCGGGATTCTGGTGTGCCCAATCTGTATTGCATGATGGGTGGGTACTCCTCGATAGCTTGCCACTATCAGAGATCGCATCTCAACCTTTGTGGGTTCCAGGAAATCTAGCCCTGTGCAGGTTCTACTCGAAGCACTTGGCACTTCGTGAGTATCTGAGCGCGCCTCTCGAATGCGGACGTTGCTCATCCATCAATAGAAATCAAGGCCATGGAAGAAGGAATATTTGGGGAAAGATACAGTCTGTGAAACTTGATCACTTTGGGCTCCAAATTGGTGCTCGTCGGACGGTTGGTTTCGTGCTGTCGCGCCGAGTTGCATGTGTTTTTTCTCGGTATTTTCTTCTTTTAGGGAATAGTCCTCGGTGGACGAAGCTGAGAATTTTGGTTTCTATCAACCTCTGGATGTCTTTCTTTGTGCAACCAGGCCCGCGGTAAAATCTGAACTGTAGCTCATCCAGGTAGCTGGTAAAGCTAAGAATGCAGGATCATTTGAGAGTGTTATACATCGTTTATAGAACACAAAACAACACGGAAATAAAGAGTGTATACGAGCCATCTGGAAGAAAAGACAGTCACGCGGTACAGGAATCAACATTAACAAGAGAATAATCATAACCTATCAAAACACCTCTCTCGGGCCTTCGATCCTGTCATGGAACGCCGAGCTGAATCCGATCCAACTCGACGAAGCGTCGGAAGATGTGCGTGCGATGCTGACGGATGGAGGCTCAATCCAGCTGCCCGAGCCATCGCTGATCGACCCGAACTCAGAGAACATATCCCCGTCGATCCATGGAGGTTCTGAACCTGGTGTGCTTGCGACCGACAACGGCGAGATGGGCTCTGTAGTATGTATGGAGGAAGAAAAGTCAAGCGAGGGCAGCACGAAGGACCGCGAGACCTCGGGGTCTTCAAAGATGCGGCTTTCTGCGACGTTGGCGGTGCTCGCGCGACTTCTGCTAAGTGTGATCTGTGACAACACGTCTTCAATCTCGCTCTCGATCTCGCTCGCAGTCGGATCATCCTCACGCTCCTCCTCGAGCACGCACCAGCCTTGCCCACTCTCGCCGATCACACCGCGGACCCTGTTTGCGTCCCACCCTGCGAATGTGATACGCAGGACACTCGCCTCGCCTCGTGTATCTCCAAAGACATCACAGACTGCGCCAGAAGCCCAGACATCTGCGACATCAAGGCGTGCGAAAATGGTGGAGATGCGGAGTGAGTGCAGCCTATGGTCCTGGTGGATCGAAGAAAGAGCAGAAACAGGAAGGAGTGGGTGCAACGAGGAGGAGGCTGGATTGGCGGGGAGAGGGAGACGCGACGTAGGGGTGGGGGCGAGGGGGATGAGAAGAGTTGCAGTGACACGGGGAAGAGGGGTAGCAGGGAAGTAATGATCGATCTCGCGCTCCGCTGTCGAGGGCGAGGTTGAAGCATCAAGATCAGCAGCAGTAGCAGCAGGGTGGAATTGGATCCCCTCTGCCCGAACCTTCTGATTCTCTTTCTTGGCCTCACGAGCTACCTTCTTACCAAGGTACGCCTGTCGTTCTTTGTTCATCCTGAGGTCAAAGTCAAGCTGCGAAAATGCCCGACCCGTAACGGAGACATTCTCCGCAAGATGCTGGAAGATGGGACGTCCGGATGAGAAGTTACGTGCGGTACCCAGACCGACCTGCGTCACGCTGCGGGGCACGGTGGGTGCGCGAGGCAGCTTCGGCGCGCCGAGAGGTTGGGCGAGGGTGTAACGGGTAGTGAATGAAAGACCTTGTTGAATCGTCGGTCCCCTGGTACCGTGCGCAGCTCCGTGATATGCACGGCCTGCAGCAGCGTGGTTGCCGAGAGTCCCAGGTGTGGTGAGATGCCCGACGAACCCCTGAACGAGGTTTCGAGTTCGCTGCAGAAGCCTTTGCGCATGGGATGACTGGGAGTGTGTTGCGCCCCTAGGAAGCGCAGAAGGAATATGGATGGTTCGGTGTGCAGATATGTTTGGTGCTTGATTGAATAGGTGGTAAGCCTGGCGTCCTAAAGACTGCCAGGTTCCCGACGACGCTAACGGCATCGCGAGCAGTCGCAAGTCAGCTACAACACAGCTGGTTTAAGGAGAGCGGCGTCGATGATGTGTATAGAGATATCAACAGGAGGAGAGTGAGAGTAAGGAAGAAAGCTGAGAGATACCTGTTTGCGTCTTTTCAATGGAGATTCGTGGCGTGCGGCACTGAAGGCTGTGTCGTGCCGAGAGTCCACGTCTGCCGATCGGCATCTCTACGACTATTCTGCCTTCATATACTACCAAGTCACTCCATAACACATCCCTTGATCGTAAACCAATCGACCCAGATATATCATAGAGGTGCAAATGGTTAGCTAATTATCAAGTACATCGCATCCACGAACAAGATTCGAACAACTGGACGTCGAGTGTTTGTGCATCCACGTCGGGGTCAGTCTTGCCTAAGATCCTAGAAGCTACATAATATCAGTAGGGCAAAAAGCATACCAAGTCCTCAAACCGAGTTGTCAGTCTCGTACAACAGCGCCATATTTCATTGCATGAATCCGCGCATACACTTCATAGTACTTGAAGGGTCCATAGATAACATCCGTACAATTTTGGCACTACAATGCAATTGTTATAATTTCCTGCTTCTTTCCACGGAGACACAGAACTGATATCGAGGACTTTCTCAAAGGTTTTTGAAGATCTGCTCGAACGTCGTGCCTTTGTACCTTCAGCCGAATCGACGTCAGCATGCATCAGACAACGCGCGGATGCAGAGATGGAGACACTAACCCCAAGAACGCCCTTCCAGGATCGTTGAAGTTTCTAAAGTGTATTCACAGCATATCAGGGCAAGCTGCGCACATTATAGATTAAAAGCGAAGCGCACATGTAGCCCCTGGCGCTCGACACTCCAAGGTGCTTCTCGAAAAACTCGAACAAAGCCTTGCTGTATACCTCGTTCGCTTCGGGCGAGATATTATCCAAGGACGTCTATAAGATCTCCCGCTATGGACGACCATATTATTTCTATCGACAGGTTTCACTCACGATTTCGAGAGAAAGTGCGGGATCAAAAGTGCCGTTAAAGGTGAGGATCTCCTCGTAGTGATACAGGACCGAGATGTAGGCCTCTGGTTTGCCCAGAATCTGTGCTCCAGCCTGCCAGAATGACGAGATCTTCGATAAATCCTGATCGTGACAATGAAAGTGTGGACGGACCTTGGAGAATTCAAGGGCAAATGCCTTCGGATCGGCAAGCTAATGCGATCAGAGATCAGAGAGATCTCATCAGTCAAGCCGGAAAACAGTGCGAAATATTTTGCACATTCGGGAGAAAAAGCACTGTACCTTCACGTTGGTTGTGAGGGCAAGAGTTGGCATGGTGGGAGGTGGTAGGAGGTGGTTCTGGGTGTGAGATGGTACTCCGGTAATCGTTGACCCTCTTGACCCCGTCTGCTTATATCGCGTCCCGGTCCGGTCTAAACTTACAGCGAGCAGCGAGCCGATTTGTGGCTGACGTCGTCTCACGTGCTATACTCACAAGAAGGCGCCAGAAAAGCGCACAAAAAAGATATCCTCGACATTGTCTACGCCTGATATGCTCGATCATAAGTAAATCAAGAACGCGTAGTGACCCAAGTCTACTTCGCAACGCCACCAGCCTTCGTCCTGATCTCAGGTTCTAGAGGGAACCGCTGCTGGTCGGAGCCAACCGAATATAGCCTCTTCCAGATGGGCTCCAGAGGTCCCGGCGTCTTCCACGCCAGTTCGTCGTTGCGGAGCCACAGGCGAATGAGGTGCCGGCTTTCCCAAAGTCCATAAGACGTCAGTGAGGTTGGCGCCAATCGGAAGAAAAAAACCCACGTGTGCTCAGGATCGTCGACAAACGCGTCCCGCGCGTGCAGCAGACCCAAACTGTTGATGAATTGAATATCGCCCTTCTGGAAATTGAGCCCAAGAGAGAACTTCTCGGCGAGGTAGTGCACGGCGTCGAGGGCTTCAGCCTGGGCCTCGCTGATGACCGGAATATTCGGGCTGCGTTTCTGTATGCCGTACCCGGTAAAGTGTCGGCGAGAGTACTGGATGATAACGTGGGGCTCAGAGTAGTAGAGCAGAGGACGAGTCGTGTAAGCAGGGTCGCCGCCGAAGCTGCATACATGGAAATGCACGTTCCTCGTGAGATCGAACGACCCATTGAATAATATGGACAAACGTACCTGTCCAGCGGCCACGGATCCGAGAGCACCTGGAGCAGATCTGGGCGAGTCTTGGCGAGCTCGTTATACACCCGCGCGCCGCTCGCGATTCGACTCGTTCCACCTTCCTTGGCGGTCTGCAGTGCTAGCAGGGCAATCAAATCGCCCACGTCAGTATGGAAGACTTGCGCGTCTGTGGTGTATGCTGCATTTCCGAACGGCTTCCCGTCTTTCCCGGCCGCCCCATTCCCATGCGTGAGCGTGAGATCTTTGATGTGCGCAAGCACAGAGCCCAAACCGTCTTGCTTCCCACGTGCAGATCCGACGTGTGATGCGATGCCAGCGTACATTATGGCGATCTCTTCGCGACTGTACTTGTCGACGGGTAGAGTGCGCAAGACGAAGAAACCGCGGCCAAAGTAGAGCTCCTTGGAAAAGTTGTGAAGCAAGGTAGAGAGGGTCGGAAGAGGGAAGGTACCCTGGCTCAGGTAGCCAAGAGGCTTACCAAAACCTGTCAATGGATGTCAACAAATCGAGGGATACGATACAAAGAGAGATCTATACCTTGAAAGTGCTTGATGGCATCGTCAATTTCCTTCAACTCTACCTGACTGAGTTCGTAGACCCACTGCTTCTCCTCCTTCCAATCAGCGCCCTCCCACACGATCGGGCCTTCAACTTGTGTGGGGAAACCAGCAGGGAGAGGTGATTTGGGGAGAGATGGGTCGCTCTGCAATCGGCGGGCAGTTCGAGCAAGGTACTTCACATGATCAGGATGATAGTCGATGTCGGGCTGGCGAGGCGCAGCCTCAGTGATGGTAGATGTAGTCGACATTAGGGAAAATTGAAGAGGGGGAGATGAAGGGAAAAGGCAGGGAACTGAGCATCTTATATCCCTCGATTGGCCTCCCTGCGGGGTAAAAGATCTGGGGAGTTCACTAACCCGATCAAAGTCGCTAGGATAGATAATTTTGTCGGCCCTGGAAGTTAATCGATTCTATCTGATAAGATAAGATAACGTCATAATACCCTCCAGAGGCGGAGCGGCAACACACCTAGCTTCTGATCTATGGCTCTTCCAAAGTTCTAGAGCCAGCTTGTGAAAGGTCGAGGTTACCTTGGAAAAACTTACAACGAGTAGAATTCACAGCCGATGGGGCCAAACCGTAAACAATATCGCAACAGAGAGATTTGGGCGATGCATCATCTGCAATATGCAATCTTGTGGGCCGCAGTGCACACAGAATCGTGAGCAGCCGCGTCGAAGGTATGCCGAATGGAGAATAAAACACAGCACATAGCGATCCTTTGAGAAAATTTGGGGTATGTATATTTATATTCAGGAAGTGGGGAAGCTCCTGCGAGATTGCACTAAAAGAAACATCAAAATAAACAAGAATCGAGACTCATGAGTCTACTCACCCGGCTAGACTGTGGAGAAGAACACCCGTTGTGACGGACTCTGAGCCGGGCCTCTAGAATGACGAATGTCTCCACCATTAATCCTCGTCCATCCTGGTATCACCGATTTTAGGTGGGGAACCATTTGCCGCTCCGCTGCCCTTCTTAGCCTGCACACCTTCTACTAGACCAAGCCTTCCCCGTCTCTTCCCTCGCGGAATGCGCTTGCGGCCGGCAACGGGCTTCTCATCAATCCCGTCACCGATCTTCATCATCACACTCACACTCGATTTGCCTCTTGTTCTATATGAGATATCCTCCTCCTCGTCATCCGGAATAAGTTCGTCTTGCACATCGACGGTCCCAGTTTGTACCTCGACATTGTACTCATCAGCCGCAAAGGGGAAAACCGAAGGGAGTGACACAACGAGAGTCATGAGATGCGGAATTGCGGCGCCCAGAGCACTCAGATGTAATGTCTTGTACCTGTCATCGTGTGTCTATATTGAGAAGAATATGATTATTGAGTCTTCGACGTACCCGTCCTTCAGAACGACATCCTTGCAACGTCGTAGATACGCGCCTAAAGGCGTCTTCCGCGTCACCGCGATGTAGTTTTTCCCTTCGTGATGTGCTGACCGTGGCCCTGTGGCAGAGACAGAGGTGGGGACAGTAGGAAAAGGTCGTGCAGGAACGAGTTTGTTGATTTTGTACGCGGGTTTCACAGATGACTCCGCTTCAGACGAAGGTGCATTTGCCTTTTCCTTCCCCTTCTTGCTCGGTAGACCTGCAGAAGATCCGACGGTTTCTTCAGTGATACGATCATTCATCACAATCTCAGGAGGCGGATCCGCAGCGGTAACAGGCAAGGGAGAGCACTGTTCAATGCGGGCGGCGCTTCCAGAGGGCGCAGGAATCTCGGTCGCAGGAGAACCGGGTGATTGCAAGTGTTCTGGCTGAGCAGACGCCTCTGTCGAATTCAACTTGGCACGTTTAGGATTTTCAGTATTATCTGGGAGATCGTTCTTGCGTTTGACGGCGCCGTTGGTCATGGTGACGAATAATAAACTTAAGGTCGAAACAGTGAAGAACAGGGCGAGGGAGACCAAGAGATGTGGCACGTCGCACGAGTCCTTCAAGGCCGGCCCTAAAATTGCACACCCCGCAAAATTTGGATGCCGTAATCTAGACAACTACCTTAACTGCCTCGTCTTGACTTTGATCAGATCCTTCATCGTCTCCGGGCCTATAGGCCTTTTTCTCAGTTTTCGGCTCGTCTCTTCGTGTTCATATCGCTCTTTGGAGGCTTAGAACGTCAGTACAATGAGTCAAGATCAAGCTGAGCAGAATATCCAGATGTGGAAGGTCAAGAAGCTCATCAAGAGCCTTGACGCGGCCAGAGGGTGCGCTCGATATGGATTTTCTTTTCTCATCTGGCTCCTGGCTAACAAACCCCATTATCAGCGCTGGCACTTCCATGATCAGTCTGATTATACCCCCGAAGGTACGCGCGATTGCGTTCAGATGTTTTCAGCGAAAATAACCTACGTCTATTCCAGGATCAAATCTCGCGTGCATCCGCTATGTTAACACAGGAATATGGAACAGCGTCTAACATCAAATCGCGAGTCAATCGACTGTCTGTCCTAGCCGCAATCACTAGTACACAGCAACGTTTGAAGCTGTACAACCGAGTTCCACCAAATGGTCTTGTCCTATTCGTCGGTACCATTTTAACGGATGAGGGAAAGGAGAAGAAGGTGTCTTTTGATTTCGAGCCTCATAAGCCCATCAACACGTCAGTTCAGATTATTTTTCTGCCCACAAATTTCTAATGCTTTCTACTTCGTAGATCTTTATACCTCTGCGACAATAAGTTCCACACGGAAGCTCTCTCTGAACTTCTAGAGTCAGATTCTCGATTTGGATTTATCGTCATGGACGGCAACGGTACACTTTTCGGCACTCTCGCAGGGAACACCCGCGAAGTCATTCATAAATTCACTGTCGATCTCCCCAAAAAGCACGGTCGTGGTGGACAATCTGCCCTGCGTTTCTCGCGTCTCCGTGATGAAAAACGTCACAACTACATTCGTAAGGTAGCTGAACTCGCCGTACAGCATTACATCACCAACGACAAGGTCAACGTCACGGGCCTCGTTTTGGCTGGTAGTGCCGATTTTAAAACGGAGCTGGGGCAGAGCGACATGTTCGATCTGCGTTTAGCTGCAAAGATCATCAAGGTCGTCGATGTGAGTTACGGCGGCGAAAATGGGTTCAATCAGGTGCGTCGTTTGTTCTGACTGTTTGCATCATATTGTACTGAAACATACATATCAGGCTATCGAGCTTGCCGCGGAGTCTTTGGCCAATGTCAAGTTTGTTCAGGAGAAAAAGCTTATCCAACGGTACTTTGACGAAATCAGTCAAGATTCAGGCAAATATTGCTTCGGTATCGATGATACATTGAAGGCTCTGGAACTGGGTGCCGTGGAAACCTTGATCGTCTGGGAGAACCTTGATATCACTCGTTATGTCCTTCGCAACGCTGCCAATGGTAAGGGTTGTTCAAAAGTTCTGTTGCGTTACATCTACTTATCATATCTTCAGAGGAGAATATTGTTCACGCAAAGAAGGAACAAGAAAAGGACCGTGAAAAGTTCTTGGATAAGTCTACTGGACTCGAGATGGAGCAGGCCATTGAACCTCAACCTCTTCTGGAATGGTTTGCCGAGAAATACAAGGAATTCGGCGCGAACCTTGAATTCGTCACAGATCGCTCTCAAGAGGGAGCACAGTTCGTTAAGGGCTTTGGTGGAATCGGAGGTTTGCTGCGATACAAAGTCGACTTCACCAATTTGACGTCGATCGATGAGGAGGAAGATGAGTTCTACTCTGATGATGAGGACATCTGACGGTATTGTGGGCTCCTTCGTGGAGCCTCGCCCGGGGGTGACGTCGGTTGGGGTACGCCGGGCGAGGTGGAAAGGGATGCGGTGGAAGGGAAAGGGGTGGAAAGGGAAGGGGTAGGTTCGCCAAGTATCAATGTTGGAGGAGGTATGAAGTGGATGTTAGGTATCAATCAACCACATGCGAAAGTAGGGGTCGGGCACGGAGTGGTTATTCGATCGAGGGCCGTCTCCATCTGGCCAATGTTATTCGAATTTTTTCGTCGTCGTAGGCAAGAGTGGTTATCATGTCCACTCATTTGATTGTGCTAACCAATATGTCCATTGCATCTAGCAGTGAGTACAACGTGAACGATGGTGTGGGAGGAGTTTGCAGAAGTTCCCTGGTCAGTGCCTTATGGCACAAATCTTATGCTAATGGAGCAGTTCTCAAGAAGTAGGGTCAAAGCATGTCTTCAGCCCTGAGCAGATGGCGGTAGTGCGTGTTTGTAATGTTGTATTATCGTCGTTGAATGCATTCTTTGCGCCCGAATTCCGCGCGTGCTATCACCTCAGCGTGGAAAGCGATTTTCCCTTTCGAGCCGAAAAGCTCTCGCTTGCGGTACGATCGAGTTCAATCTATGTGTATTGGTGATCATATGAGCATTCATTGTCATGCCTGCAGGTACTAACACGAGTCGCATATCAGCCGCCATTCTTATCCGAAGACCTCTTTCTGCTCCCGTCAATGTATAAGATGGGTACGACGCATACACCGACATCAAACTAAAGCTAGCGAATATGCTCCTTCAATACGCATTGCACTTGTTTGTCTTGGAATCGTTCATTGCGGTCGCTCTTGCCTCGCCTCTTCGCGATTTCGCTGTCAAGCACAGTTGGTCTACGATCCCCGCCGGGTGGGAATATCACGGCACACCTCCTCCCCATCGTGCATTCCCTCTCAGAATCGGACTTAAGCAGAATCGCGTGGACGAGTTGATCTCCGCTTTGTATGAGATCAGCGACCCGTTTCATGAGAAGTATGGGCGGCATCTGTCGAAAAAGTATAGCAGCCTCAATGATTTTGATCTGATGACACTTATACATATATATTTTCCAGTGAAGTAGAAGCGTTGGTATCTCTGCGGACGAAACCACATCCCTTGTTCATGACTGGCTGGCTTTGCACGACATCACTCCCACTAACATCTCATACTCACCCGCTCGAGATTAGCTTTTCTTGCCTCCTCTTCCTATCTCAACTATCGAGCGGATGCTGTCGGCTTCCTTCTTGTCCTATCGCCATGCATCCTCTGGAATGCTCGCCACGCGGACACTTTCGTACAGCCCCCCTCGACACTTGCACGCGCATATCGATGTCGTCCATCCTACCACGGTATTTAATAGACTCCAGGAAATGAGGGCCACATTCAAGTTGGAGGATCATGATGTTACTGTTGGTGATATAACAAGCGCTGCAGAAGGTAGTATGATCAAGGGTCCCGCTGACCAGGATATCCCGGCGAGTTGTAATACAACGATTACGCCTGCTTGCTTGCAGGCCCTGTACAGGACTGAGGGATACATACCTGCGGCCGCCAATAAGGGCAATAGCATTGAAATTGCGGGGTATCTGGAACAGGTGGGTTCTCTTGTACGGCGTGTGAAGCATAATGGCATTATGGGTTGTCCTGATCATCTTCGACACGTTGTAGTCTGTCAACTTTGCCGACTTGCAGGTCTGTGCGTTCTCTCAGAAAGGACCACAGGAATTATAGCGTATTTGGACCAGACGTTTTTTCGCAGATTTCAGCTCGACGCTGTTGGCGCGAACGTCACAGTCCGGCTCGTGGATGGTGGTCTCAATGATCAAAGTATTCCAGGCACCGGGGTATGTCACCATCTTTGTTGCGATGCCTTCGTACTCAGATTTGTGTCCAGGCAGGTTTAGACGTCCAATATACCGAAGGCCTAACTTTTTCTACACCGAATGTGTACTACTCAACGCCTGGCACTACACCGACTATCAACGACTCGGCGACCCCTCCGCAAAGAGACGAGCCATATCTCAACTGGTTGAATTTCGTCTTGTCTCAGACAGATATTCCATTTACATATACGACCAGCTATGGCGGCGACGAGTGAGCGAAATATTGCCCATCGAGTTGCACGTGGAGTATTGAACCTGTTTTCAAGACAGACGTTCCCCGGAGATTTTGCCATGTAAGTGCTCAGCACTTTGCACTGGAAGCGTGGTGAATTCAGGCATTGCTAGCCGTGTCTGCAGCACATTCGCACAGCTGGGTGCGCGAGGCAGTTCGGTCACGTTCAGCAGCGGGGATGGTGGGGTAGGCGCAGGAACTTGTCAAATGAACAACGGGACCAATAGGACCATATTCCAACCGGTACCTCTTAGAATATCTGTAATTTTCAATCTGCTAGGTGTTTTTAACGTACTGGTTCTAGGTATTCCCTGCCACATGCCCCTTTGTGACATGAGTTAGTAGCCTCTCCGCTCAATCGACACACAACCTTAGGAAAATCCACACATCTTTGATTGGGTCTGCGCGACATTTTATATTGCACCAGAAGTCAGGATAGGATTCTTGCAAGGCGGGTTTCTCCGTCTATTTCTCGAGACCTGAATATCATGCAAAAGTTGTGCCGCCTTTCCTCGAGAGTCTCGGGGCTACTTATGCTAGCTTATTCAAGTGGGTGGGTTTGTAAAACGCAGACCATCAGCTAATAGATCCTATTTAGCCCAACTGGACGAGCAGTGCCAGACATCAGTACTCAAGGGGAGGGGTGGGTTCTGGAATATTTAGTTCCATACAAGACATGACAAATCTTCAACGTCGTGACCACAGATTCCAAGTGATTGTCAATGGCACTGTACACTCGGTAGGAGGCACGTCCGCGAGTTCGCCGACATTTGCAGGGATCGTTACCCTGCTGGATGATCTCCGGCTCGCGAACGGCAAACCCCCGCTTGGATTCCTGAACCCGATGCTCTATTCCACCGGCCTGCCTGGTAGGCTTCCCTTTAGAGAATCAGAACCGTGCTGATCTAAGGATGGGCACAGGTTTCACAGATATATTGTCTGGAAACAACCCAGGATGTGGGACGCCTGGGTTCTATGCTACAATTGGTTGGGACGCGGTTACGGGGCTGGGCACGCCTGACTTTGTCAAGCTGAAGGGCTTGCTGGGATCAATTTTAGTCTTTGTATTCACAACATCTTTACGTAAATGTAACCGAGGTGTGTCGCTGAAACTCTGTCGCACCCGCCTCGCCAACAAAATGCAAAATAGATTGTTGGCAGTCGGAGCTCATACAACATACACTGTCCCCTTCGGGGTGACATACGAAAAAATTGGAACGATACAGAGAAGATTAGCATGGCCCCTGCACAAGGATGACACGCTTTCCCAGAGTGGTAGACCTACGGGTCTCAATATTTATTTTGTTCTGGATGTTTAGTTGTTTCGAGCGCTGCAACTGGAAGCCTGGAGATCCATCCGAGATCGAGTTCTATCGGGGAATCCGCGAGCCTGTACTGCTCAAGCACGTGGCTGGCGCTGAGCTTGACAATCTTCTCTTCCGCTCGTGCACACTTCCTGCACTCTTTGTACTTCTAGTTTACTATCTTTTGATAAACGCATCGTACAATGGCTGATGCTGAACTTGCCGCTCTCCGCGCCGCGCGTCTGCATCAGCTTGAGGCCAACGCACCCGCGGGTGCGTCTGAGGGTGCCGAGGAGGAAGGGAAGAGGCAGTCCGAGGAGCAGATGAGACGGGATCTTCTGTCTACTGTATTGGAGCCTGCTGCGCGAGAACGGCGTAAGCATCGCTATTGCACTTTCCGTCGTTTCTCGGTTGATTGATGGCTGTGCATGGCGTTGGGTGAACTCTTGCGGGTGAACACACAGTGTCTCGTATTGCGCTGGTTTCCCCGGAACGATCGCGACAGATCGAAGGAATCCTCTTGCGCATGGCGCAGTCGGGGCAGTTGCGTGGAAGAGTGAATGAGAATCAGCTCATCGACTTGTTGGAGCAGGTAGGTGTCCTTCAAGGTGCAGCACGCTGATCCCAACTGATGTTTCTGTAGGCTGAAGAGGCACAGTCGAAGGGGTCTGTGAAGAAAGGCGCTATCAAGGTCAGGCCTCACCCATATCTATCTTTCAGTTGTATTGAATTAATTTTGTTCACAGTTTCAACGGAGAGAGTTGGACGATGACGATGATTTTGATACATGAGAGTGGTCTTGTCTGAAGTCTACAAGCTATGTGCACGTTCCAGGTGCAACCGAGAAGAGATTAAAAGTTAGTTGCTCACCATTTATCTAGCGAAGGCGATAGCAATAGAACAACAATTGCCTTCCAAGCTTCTTCAGTCTGCGCTCCATTGCGATGGGAGATTCAGAGATCGAACATCAACTTCCATCACGATTTATCTTCACCAGTAATTGTTCGCCTATTTTGTGCAGCGGTGGCACTTCTTGTGCGCTTTTTTGGGTCCAATTCCTTCCATCCTTTTGTCTACCTCTCATCGACCGAGGCGTACTCATTGGGCCTAATTGTTCTACCGGACTCGCTTGCCCGGTTGTTGTCGTGCGTCAGGACAGCTTCAGACTCGACATAATATCACGCAGTTCAAAAATGTTCGTCAATCACTGCAGATATTCCTTGGTCTTTTTCGACCATGATAAATGTTTTGAACAATGCATGAGCGGGGGCGGGGTGTCTGGAGCGCTGAGGATGGGGTGGCGGGGGTCCTGGCTCACTCATCGATTCGTGGGAAAAGAAGGGCAACGAGCAGCCTCATTGTCGCGTCGCTCGCCCTCTTCGCTTTCTCCTACACACGCTCCTCCATATCACAACAAATTGCTATATAACCCCATCGCCAACGCATTTGTTGCATCTTTTCGACATGTCTTCTGTGAAACTTCATCCTTCTTTACCAACGGCGCCGGTAGCTCATACAAATCTTTCTCTGCAAAACAAATCTCACGTCTTGACGGGCGTTCAAGACGCGTATTGGAGCGATGAAGAGGTGTGTTTGTCCTCATAAGATCATAGTTGAAGACCGCTGCTCATCCGCGGGTGCTGGATGTAGGAGGTAGAGGAATGCCCACTTTGCCTCGAAGAGATGGATGTGTCAGACCTCAATTTCAAGCCGTGCCCCTGTGGTTATCAGGTAGGCTTTACCTTTTCTTGTCATATCACTCACTTTATGCTCATCCGTCTCCTCAGATCTGTCGTTTCTGCTGGCATCACATTAAGGAGAATTTGAACAAGAAATGCCCGGCGTGCAGGAGGGAGTATTCCGACGAGACTGTCCAGTTCAAACCTGTCAACAAGGAAGAGTGCGTGGCTTAATTTTGTGGTGGTATCGTCTTGCAGATGCATGATCGGTTAACTTTGTCACCTTTCACAGCCATCGGCGCCTCACTCAGCAGAAAAAGCAGAGGGAGCGCGAACGCAAGGATCTTGATGCGCTGGGTCGTCGTCATTTGGCAAATGTTCGCGTCGTCCAACGCAACGTGGTCTATGTCGTTGGAATCGGTCCTCGCTTTGCAAAGGAAGAGGTTTGTGATCAAGTCATATGATCCGACCTGACGATGCTGACCGGCGATGGTGCGTTAGCTAATATCCACCCTTCGTTCCAACGAATACTTCGGTCAGTATGGCAGAATATCCAAAATACTGCTGGTGAAGCGCACTCCTCCCGGCGGACAGACGCCTGTCGTTGGGTTATATATAACATACCACCGCCGGGAAGACGCGGCGCGTTGCATTGCTGCTGTGGACGGAACATCGTCTCCTGGAGGAGGTACCGAGGCTATGCGCGCGAGTTTCGGAACGACGAAGTATTGCATGGCTTTCTTGCGTGGTGTCAATTGTTCGGATCATAGCTGTATGAACTTGCACGAGTGGGGTGATGAGAAGGACATCTTCACGAAGGAAGATCTTACCACATTGTGCGTATCATTCCTATTGTGCAACCCTCCGGTATGATGCTGAGCATGCTTTAGGCAACATGGAATCAAGGATTCTGAGACCACGAGGAAAATAGTCGTGCTGGGCAAGAAGCCAGACGATCCATCCGGTATGTCCCTTCATCTCTTTGTCGTTGTACTCTTCTTATCTGCACCTTCCAGCTCGTTTACCGCGATCAGCATCATGGGCAAAGGATTCTAGGAGCCATACCTCAACGGCTCTGCACAATAATACCAATACAACAACTGCAGCCCGCAATGCTCGCCGTGGTGCAACGACACGACCACGAGCTCCAACTCCAGACTTGCATCCACCACCGAAGATCAAGGAGGCGAGGAATGGTGTCACAATAGCGACAGCCCCAAAAGCTTCGTCGGTGGCTTCGTCTTCTCGTCCTCCGACACCTGCCGGCGTGTTGCGACCTATGACGCCTGCAAATGCCGCTCACAAGATTACCAAACCCAAACCTGCTGCACCCCCATTACCACTCCCTCCGCCACGCTCTCCCACATATTCGATTGCTGTAGACTCCGATGCCGGATCAGGTTCGCAAGACGTGCCTACTTCGTCTGCGTCGCCTGAGCCTCCCGCATCAACTCCTGCACCTTCCACACCAGCTGTCCCTCCTGGTATTCCTACCGTCCCGCCTGGCCTCTCTGTGCCTCCTGGCCTTCCCCTACCGAATCGCTCTCAGCAATTTGCTCAGTCGTATCAAATGTCAACACAGGTTCAAGCCCTCCTCAACGACGTCAAGGCTCGTCGAGAGTCTGGTCCAGTGTCGATGGGTCTCAGCCCATTCCCCGATTTCGACCGTACGCTGCAAAACCTCAGTGGTGCGAACGGAGGGCTTGGAGGCTTCAGCTTCAACTTGGATCCGAAATTGGTGGGTGTCGAAGATTTGTCCAATATTCCCGACCTTGGCGTGGCGGAAGCAAATACGGCTTTCCATGGCAACTTTGTGGATGCTTTTCCTGCCCTTCGTGGCAACTCTTATGCCTCACCGCCTAGTTTAGCATACCCTCACAGCTCTTCTCGGTCGATTTACGATCCTATGGCTATTCGAAGTTCTCCAAGCGACCAGCAACCTTCTGCCTCGTCTTCTTATACCGGCTCGTTCAATCCATTTGCGGATTCCACAGATGGCGACTCTTCGGCAGTCACGGCACGCCGGCTCGCACTGGATGAGGACCCATCACGTAAGATGTCCAGGTTCGGATTCGCTCGAGGTGCCAAGCAGAATGGGAATCTGAGTTCGACGTCGAGTCCCTTAATCGCGTCGAGTCCTCTAAGTCCCAGTGATAGCGTAAACCATGCATCCATGTTCGGTGGCAAAGATATGGCGTCTCCGGCGAGTCAATGGTCACCATATCCTGGACATAACTTTCACCAGTCCAATACTTCTGCTACAAATTCGCCTATGGTTGCTCAGGCTCAGGCTCATGTTCATACACCGTCTAATGGGATCGGACGGTTCCAATCTTTTGATCGTGACACGCCTGTTAGCGAGGCAGCGCTTCGGGAGCTGATTCAATCAAGTCGCGACCGCGAACGTGGAATGAATACGCGTATGAACGCCGCTGTGCTAACCGGTACGCAACTCTCGATTGTATGATGTCCTGCGGAATTGTTGTGTTGACCATGCGACGTTTCTTTTCTATGTGCTCTCCCTTCGTGCCATAATAACCTATCTTCAACCTTTCTGGATTACAGAACAAGACCATGTGCAGCAGTACAACAGATACACTTCTGGGCAGCCCTTTGCTGATCCAGCAATCATGTCCGCAAGTTTTCCGCAACCTGTGCCTTCGGATACTCGCTTCGCGCAAGCAGTCTCTGCGATGTCGTACTCGCAGCCCCATATGTCTTTCGGCCCGCCTCCTGGTATCTCTTTCCCCCCGCCCGGTTTATCTCCAAGCCCTAGCCTGGCGAATATGGGCAACGGCATGGACATGGCTTCCAACGGTGAGTACAACTCCTTCGTTTTCAAGGGGAGGGAGTCCCATATCAGAGTGCCGAGTACCGAGCGCCGTGCCTTCTCAGTGCGGAAATTCTACACCCGGTTTTGATTGTCCAATTGGTTACCCCGCGTCCATCTCAGTCTTTGGATCCCCCGCGTTGATCCGGCACTCGAACTCGGTCACTTCACATGCGATGCCTCTTTCCTCCTTTATTTATTGGCCTTGTCTGGTCCCCACGACACTTGGATGCTGACATGCCATCTCTTTTACTTTTGTTTTTCTCTCTATGAAATGATATATTTCTTGTCATTTGACGTGTTCGCGCAGTGCCGAGTTCCAGTTCGCCTGCACCGTCTCCGTCCCCCATGCTCTCGTCATCCGATTTCCCCGCGCTGACGGCGCAGCCTCCACAGCCGTCTATCACCGCTACCTCCGAGCAGCTCCTAGAACAGCCCTATGAGGATACGGACAATAAGGCGGCGGAGAGGGCAGCGAAGCAGGCCGAGCGTGCTGCGGAGAAAGCCAGGCTTGCTGCGGAACGGAAGGTTTCAAAGGAAAAGGAGAAGGCGGGTAAAAGGGTGGAGAGGGAGCGGTTGGCGCAGGAGAGACTAGAGAATGAGAGGGAGAAGGCGCGGGAGGAGGCCAAGGCGGAGAAGTTGCGGTTAGAGCGCACCAAGGCTACTATGGAGAAGTTGAGGCTGGAGAAGGAGAGGACGAGGCTGGAGAAGGAAAAAGAGAAGGAGAAGGAGAAGGCGGCGCAGTTGGTAAGGGTCAAGGCCAACGAGGGGAAGAGGGCAGCGGCAACACTCAAACAAGTAGGCCTCCAAAACGCTGCACAGGTAGGACAGGCAGCTCCTTTTGTGTCTCCTCGTAAGGGCTCCCGACAACCCTCGATCACCAGTAAAACACTTTCAGGACCCGCCCTTCCTGCACCAGAGCTTGTCAGTCAAGGCCCCCTCCTCTCCAAGATGCCCAAAAAGAATCGACCCGTCACAAAACCTATACGCATCCCAAAAGAGGAGGAATCGCTTACCGAACCCCCTTCGGCTCTTGCCTCCGCGGCGACCTCGGAGGCACCTCAGCTACCGATTGGGAGGGGAGGCAGCATGATGGACACGAACTCGGCTTCTTCAAGAGGTCAGTCGATGGAGAGGACGCCACCTAACGAGCGCACATCGGTCAAAGAGCTACTCGAGGAGATCGAATTGCAAAATCCGTCCCTGAACCTAGCAGAGCACCCCTTTTTCGACCTACAGAAGATCAACCCTGCTGCGAAGATGCCTCTGGAGTATGGGCCATTGGTACATGCGCTATCCGCTCTTTCGGTTGGCGGAGGCTCGTTCGCAAACAACATGCCGTCTGGATCGATTGATAACGCAGTATCGTCGTTCCAGCAATTGCTAGAGACGCTAACGCAGACCATCTCCGATCTTCTTCGGTTACTTCCTCGCACAACATGGGATGACAGCTCCTCTTTCGATGGCGTCCTTCGCGACATGCTCAAGGGAGACGACTTCTTGGATGAAGGAGGTGAGGAGGGCAACGGCAAAGACGAAGTGGCTGCTCTCACCCTTGCGCTTGAACGCCGTGCGCGCTGGATGGAGGTGCAACTATCTAAGCTCGAGGAGCTACACCGCGATATCAACACCGCGGCGGTGCGAGCTGTGCTGTCGTTCAATGACAACGGTTGGGATCCACATGGTTTCGCTCCTCGCATGGGCAATACATTGCAGAAGTTCGATTTGTTGGGCATGGTAAGCGAAGGCGCAGTCTACAGGCCGATGATGGTAGATGAGCTGGAGAAGAAGCTGGTAGTGGCGAAAGAGGCGGCTGTGTTCGCAGAGACCGAGGTGAGGGAGGCGATGGAGAAGATGCAGGAACTCAAGCCAGTGGACTTAGATTATTACTGAACTGGTGTACGCGTAAGGAAACATGCTTTCGAAAAGAGATGTAGCATGGTCATGTAGCTGCTTTCAATGTGTGAATGTGTCTACTATCCCTCCAGTTTCCGAAGACAAGAATACAAAAGGCAAGTCTGCAGAATGTGCATGTGATCGCGACGCGTGCTGAAAGCACGACCCCGAGTCTGGCACGCTATTTGGCAGCTCTCTGACGGTTGACCAACACACTAGATCACCCCTCTCATGTTGAATAGCCACGACCGCATTTCCAGATCTTTATGCTTGCCCCATCCCGCCACTTATCTGCTCCTTGCTGCACTTTGCGTACTGTTCTTAACCTGCCTAGGCCAATCGCCCTCCCGCTCGTCGTCCCGCTCACCACGCGAACAACCCGACGGCCGCTGGAGAAAGGTGCATGCGATGCTCGGAGTCCGAGAATTGACACCTGTGAATGTACAAGGGCCCTCGTCCATGCAGCATCACCGGCGGGTCTTTATGCGGTTCGATTTAAGCAGGCGAACCTGGGCGTTGACAGGCAAAGGGACTCAAAGGAAGGGAGAGGAAGTAGCCTTATGGTTGGCAAAGGACGCGGTACACGAGTCCATGGCGTCATTGGAGGATATCAGAAGGGAATACGCGGAGGTCGCGTTGATTGAGAGGGAACGTGTACGTGAGCGGGAACGGGAACGGGAACGGCAGCGGGAAGCAAAGGAGCGCCAGAAGAGTCGAGCGGCCGGTAATCTTCATCTACCGTTCCAAACGAAGGCGAACAGGCGACAGAGCCAGTAACAAGAGGACGCGCCTGAGAAGAAACAGTAGAGTCCCTGTGCTCCCATCCTTCATGGTCGCTGGATGTGGTGCTCACCTATCACTTTAGGACATGCCTAACTAGTGAATAATTTATTGTATTGCAATGGACTATAGTGTCGAACAACGATGATAGATACATGGAACTGGCCTGCGCAATGTCCAGAAAAACTGGTCGGAACACAAATACGGGTGCGGGAGATACAAGATGTTCAGTCCTCAGCGGGCTACGTTCCCTGCGACTTGTCTTTCTTCCATGCAACGAAATCATCAAGCAAAGTCGGCCACGCCTGTATTCACACACGGATGTGACCAATCAATCAATCAATCTCGAAGTCGAAGAATAAGATACTCACGCCATCCGCTTCATAATTGTCGAGGTTTGGGCTGACAGTCCTGGAGAACTCTAGCATCTGATTCACACACGGCAAGAGATCATCACTATGTGTCAAACAAAATCATTCCAAGGGACTCACCATGTTCCATAAGTCCTTGTTGACGCCTTTGTAGGTCCGATTCTCCTGCACAGCATCAAAACACGAGAACTAAGAATGTGACGATGAGGTCAACGTACATTAATGAAAACTATGGCCTCAGCGATCAAAGGGTACCGCGGGACCAATAATACGCTCCATAACGCCGTTGCCGTCTCCATGTCGATATTACGAGAGCCTCTATTGTCACGATATGACTGAGTACAATAGAGATCAACTGTGAGCAGAAGGGGCGTACTCAGGCTTGGCGAGCTTGAAACAGAAACCATACAGTTCCGAGAAAGATTTGTGTATGTCACCTGCGTAGGCCCAGTACCGAACACGGTTGTAAGGGTCCTTCGCCGGCATGCCCGCACCTTTCTTTTTCGTTGACGCAGCAGGAGTGAGGGGTGGCATTCCCAGTATAAGCAGATCATTGAGGTCGTTCAAAGCAATCGTAAGGGCAGAAAGGGATGTGATTCTGGCACACGCGCAATGCATGTCAGCATGAGTGGAAGAGTAGTGTGGAAAAGACGCCGAAGATGAGAGAACACACTGCAGATTTGCCATCCCTATTTGCCACTCATCGTGAGATATCTTCGCCATCTCTTTCGAGTTTAACTGCCAAGCCAGTATCATTGGCATAGCCCCCTCTAACTGAAGATTACCGTCATTGCAGAGTCGTTCGAATCCTTCTGGGCCGATGACCAACGAATTGTCCGAGTCAGCATAGGTCTCGAATGATAACTTCTTGGGTATTCGAGGTTTCTGGACCAGAACACTTGAGGATGTTTCCTTCACAGAGGTTATACGCACATACCGAAGAGCTTGACACGTCCTTGACAGAGCTATCAACATGAAGATCAGCTTCTGGTTCCGCTCCACGGCACAACAGACCGCAAAACCGCATTTCCGAAGCTGTGATGTGAGTCACTAGCTAGTGGTACAAGAAAAGGCAATTGTGCTGGGAGATGTGAAGTGAAAGCACCAGGTGGGAAGGAACAAATAGACAAGAGCACACGTCAGAATTTGGGGCATACCTTTTTGGGGGCTCTGACTGTTGTTCCTGGAAGCGGAGGTGAGCCACCGATACGGACCCAGAAAATGAAAGCGCTCATTACGTCAGCAGCTTGCGGGCTACTGAAATCCAGCAAGGTGTACGAGTACAGAAATGTATACGATGAGGAAGAATAAAATTGGATTGAGTCAGAAGCAGCCAAGAAAGAGGAGAATGTGGGGAAAAGACGAACGTTGTCATTTGCTGCGAAACCTTTGACTTGTGGTTTGAAGCCCTACAGTGAGTTCAAATTCTGCGTAATAATGGCCTTCGTGAGCTGCAATAAAGTTTACGAACGTCAAAGAGATAGACTTACAGCAAGCGAACCAATGACCCGCGCGCACAAGGCTCTGGAACTGATGACTTACTTTGGCGCCTTCCCCTTTGTACTTTCGGATCTTGCAGCAGGTTTTGTTACCTTGGCCTTCTTCGCTGGAGGGGCGTCCTGTAATGTGTGATCGCTGGCCGTCAGGTAACTTGACGTATGGAGGCAAAGAGCTTCTGACTTCTATGGCATTGCCAATACTCGTTTCCTTTTCCAATGTGCTGTTTATATAGGAGCATTTCTTGAGTGAAGCTACACCACGAGGATGCAGCGTATCAAGATCGACGAGAACAAGGGGCAAGCATACCTCTTGGAAGTGGTGGTAATGGGCGCATTTTCAGGGGCTGTGAACGCGCATAATTTGGAGTGTAGCTGTGGCTACATGGAGTGTGAGGCGTCGAACATACATCCTAGATCAGTCTGTCTTGCCAGACGCGCTGAGCTACGCGTATTCCTCGTGGGCGCTGCCTCGGCAGCATTATTTTGTGCATGTTTCCTCTAGCGTGACAATTGCAACCAAGTCAGGTAAATATTCCATGTTATATATTAGAACCCACCTTGGGAGGCATATCTGAAGCGTGCTAGAGCGTGAAAACAACGCAAACGCAAAGACGAACGTTGTAAGGTGATGCGAAAGTGAGGCGCGCCGCGCGAGCACACAATAAAGCAGCTGTGTCACGTGGCACGAGAGTTAGCCATGTCGGATTTGTCATTTATTTTGACTGGATGAAGTCATCACATCGCTTCGGTCTCAGGGTCTCTCCCCGAGCAAAAACCACGTCCATTGTTAATTTCTGCAATAATGTCGTCTGAAGCCTTCAATCCCAACCCTACTATCATCAAGCCACCCAGGCAGCTCACCCGGAGATCGTTCACTGGTAAGGGATCATTATGGGTTGCGGAGGAGGTCGACGACCCTACACTTGATCCTTCTGGGGATATCGAGCTGATTGACGGCGACGAAGTATACGGTGAGTAGGCTTATACTCCCTCAACAAAGTTGTGATAAAATTGTCATTTGGGCCATATAGATCTTATCCGTTCGATTAGCGACCCAGAACATCGCTCGATGTCTCTGGAAGAGCTTGCTGTGGTCTCTGCCCCTCAGATCGCTGTCTCAAATGATCGGAATCATGTTATGGTCGAATTTACCCCGACTGTTCCCCACTGTGGGATGTCGACACTAATTGGTACGCATGCTTGTTTCGTAACAACTAAGCCTTACTCATCCGCGAAACATAGGGCTGTCAATACGCGTCCGGCTCTTGCGTAGTCTGCCGAATCGCTTCAAGGTGGACATCAAGGTGAAACCAGGGTCGCACCAAAGTGAACATGCAGGTATGCTTTCATGCTGCATCGGCACCATCTTCATATGTGCCTGACATCGCGGGCGTAGTGAATAAGCAACTAAACGACAAGGAGAGGGTCGCAGCTGCCCTTGAAAATCCTGCCCTTATTGAGGTTCTTGAAACATGTTTGGAGGCAGCGGGTAGGCGCGGTCAGTCTCTAGAGTCTGACTGATAGTTTTGCGAAGGTGTAGGTGTCATATGTATCTATAACCCCATCTTGGTTGTATTGCCCCCTCTGATTGGCGTTGACCAATCTCTCTAAATCCTATATCATACAGTCTAAACGCCGTCGATGAGATAAGGTCGCTGTTTGCGCTACTACGCAATACGGTGGAAAGAATCCGACGTGTCTAACCTGAGATCGCCGGTATGTAGGTATGTATGAAGAGAAATGACGAAGATGCTAAACTGCTACATGGAGAACATATCAGGTGTAGATATAAGACGTGAAAATATAGTACATGCGTAGGTATGGTATAGGGGCTACATATGCGGAGAGCCTGCAATGGCGAAGAGAAACTAAGCATTATGGGATGCGTGTCGAAGATATGCTAATTCGTTCGTGTGTATAAAACGTGCCTGCTGGAGGGGAAAACAACGAAGATCTAGAAAGCTGCGAGGATGGAGGCTCAATCTTCCAAGAGGAAATCCCAATCGATAGCACGCTGCTGCTGGTGCTGCTGGTGCTGTCGATTACGTTCGCGATACTTGACTTCACCTTTTAAGTTCTTTGAGCTCGCTTTCCTCACAATCTTCCTCCAAGCCTCCTTTGCAATGCTCTCGGGGGCTCCCTCTAAGACATCCCACATCCTCAAAGTCACATGGCCCCCGCCGCAAATCTCGACTTCGTCCATACCAGGCACACAGTCGTCATCCTCATCCTCAGCCTCGCGTGAGTACAGCTGAGGCAGACGGTCGGAAGAGCCAAACACGACACGTGGGAGGATGCGATTTGTAAATCCATCGGAAAAAGATACCTTGGGCTTATGTGCGGTCAGGCTCGAACAGGTAGGAAGGTGTATACAGCCAGCAAAGTCGGAAGGGAGGTAGAGTGTTATTGGGGCGTCGCTCGAAGAGTGTACGGACAGGAAGAATGGTGAACGGGGATATTTGCGGCACTAAAGCATAGAGCGTCGGCGCCATTTTCGTCGGAGATTGGGAGGACAATACTCACAAGTTTAGTCTTGATTTCCCCATGCTCGCTGCTGATGTACATGCTCATGCGATGCTCTGCTGGCTGATTGTGTGCACGATAATGCGGGAGTATGAGCATGAGGTCGACAGGAAGAGCCTCGTTAATAAGGCAAAAGTCCCATTGCCTGTGAGGTTGGTAGTGTAGTTTGTACGAGCCGACGGCTGAGCACTAGCATAATGGTAAGCAATGCCAGCGTTGTCAGGTTTGACGTGTACCTACTTGTTTTGGTGTCTCTTCGAAAGAGAGGGAAGAGGGTGTCTAAAAAGAACGCATGTCAGCGGCCAAACTCATAGCGACGAGACATTCAATTTTACTGGACTGAGCGGATCCAAGTGAGGCATCTCAATAGGTGACGTTGAAGGACGAAACAAGACACGGCTGAAAATGCAAAGGGGGGGCAACAGAACAAGGCAGCCCGGCGCCCTGCACAGTGGTATATAAGTCTTCAGGTCGGTACTAGAAGAGATGCGGCCTGCGCAGGCGTCTCCCCTTGTCTCCCTTTGTGCTCTCCCGTTTTGGTCACTGTTGTATTTGAGGACAAAAGAAACCCTGCGATCAGGCATTAAGCATCTACTTAAAACTCCGCGGCAGTGCTCGGCGCTTACTATAGTTGCTTGACAGAACCGCCCTCCACCCTCCTCCACCTCGATAGAGTACAACACCGTCGTAACACAACTCCGAGACGGGTAGCTCTTGTCGCTGTCGCCAATCGTACCGCTTTCACTGGATCTATCTTTCCTCTTCAGTGCCGCTGTTCTCGAAGCAGTCACCATCAAGTTCCTCCAGTACTAGGCGACGGATAGATGCGGTCAGCGATGTGACAAGCACAAGGAGATCATATGCCTAACCGTGAAGCAGCGTGGAGCTTAGCTAGCCCTGTTCATATTCAATGCCCATGATGATGCAGCGCTCCTAACTCAGCTTTAAACACGCAGATCGGGTATCGCTGGAGCGCATTCGCCGCGAGCGCTACTGTGCGCTGGGTAGGCAGCTTATCACAGTCACCACTAGTCCCGGCATAAACATTACATTGAACCTCGACAGTGATCACGGCCAATACAACATGCTCAGTGTAGCATGGCATTCCCTCATCGTGGATCCGATGTCTTTGATGATTTTCGGATCCGATTTAGATATATCGTTACTGCGAGTGGTGTCCCCATCTATGGTTGCTGATTGATATAGCGGATAGTGAGCGGTGCTGGCTCGGGCTTCCATACCCAAGGGTCAACCCGAACCAGGAAGCATTTGTTGAATGGCGGAAGATCGACGTTGGAGGGAAGCTGTTGTACCCCTTTCTCGGAGATGCGCAGCCATCTCATTTCATCGCTTCATTCTTGAAATTCTCCTAAAAGCCTTCGGGCCTGTTTCATATCACATTGCGATGGGCACAGCTCAATCCAAAAGTCACTCAACACCGAATAATGAACATAAATCTACAAAGATACTTTCCTTGGGACCGGGGTTCTTATTTTTCATCGAGTGGATCGCTACCGGTCCGTCTGTCTTTACTAGAATCTCATCCTGGCTGGTGGACAACGTTGATTTTGAGAGAACTGCTTTGGACTTTGTTGTGCGTCTGCTGGCAACATGAAATCTGCCGACGACATGGCTGATCGTGATCGCGTGAGGCGTACCCCAACACAAGTTTGCGTTACAGAGGGCCGCATGACCCAAGCGAGTCAATCATCGTACCTGCTCTTGCGCGCATAAGGCATCCTCGGAAGTAATAGCTCTCTCGTCTCCAAAGGCTTGGGGCGCTTATGTTCAATATAAAGACTCGAGCCTTTTCGAGTCAGACGTAGCGCGGGACAGCGGAGGATGGTCCCCGTGAGCGTACAGCAGCTGCCCTGGTCCAGAAACTCAAAAAATGGAGGCCCGATCCAGACATCGTAGATGTGAGAAAGGGCCGGCGCTGCTCCGTACCAGTGTTGACTGGAATCCTGCGAAAAGGAATCAAAAAAGGGGAAATAATGTATGCATCTTTGTGATTATGAAACCGAGATGAGAAGTAACGACATGGCACTAAACACTCACGTACTGATGGTCTCTGTGGTACCATATTGGGATATAACGAGGTGAGGAACTTCGCACCTGCTGACTTTTCCTTTATATTGCTCGTCCGACAGAGTGCTGGGCGAAAAAGACAGAGGAATACTCAATGTTGCACTAGCTCGAGCCACTCGACTACAAGATGACCTTGGGCGGAATTCAAGTAAAGAAACCAGGTAGACTTTCCCCGGCGAGAAGGACTGAATCGCTAATCGACAGCAGTGCATCCAGATATGATGTTGCCTACCAAGGGGCAGATGGACTTGTTGCTCGAGAGCTCAATGTTCAGGGGTTCAAGTTCACGAATGAACGAGCGCTTTGCGCTCAAGAGCAACTAGGACATTGCATCAGCTGCGAACATATTCGAGACATTGTAGCTTATCACCCGCCGTTTCAATATAGCAGAACAGACTGCGGGCCCTGAGCATCGAGTCTCTCTGTCTCAGCACTCACACCCCCGTACTAATTTTAATCGCGATAAGAATTATGAATCGAGCTGATCGCCTTCTTTTAAATCATTACTAGACCCAACAGGTTCGCTGACAGGTAGATTTGTAGGTGGTGTTTTATCGGGCGCCTTCGGGCGAGCTTGTTCGATAAGGGCATTAAAATGTGCTTTGTTTTGTTTCTGAGAATACGGTCAGCACGTTGATTGCATTATTAAGTGAGATCAACGGGGGCCGCACACCTGATGCTGAACGACGTCCTTGACAATTTCCTTTCCGCCCTTCTTTTGATCATTGTGTCTCTCGTCCCATTGCTTCATGCTTGCACGCAGTTCGGAGACGCGCTTTCGATGTTGTTCCCCTCGGTCTAGGTTGGCGTTATAGACATAGACCCATCTAATTGGTTCATTAGTCAATGTTATACAAACTTTGATTACAAGTACTTACCGCTGATGCCGAGCGATGAGAACGTTGCGCTCACCAGAGATTGATAGCCCGGATTGAGCTAAAAGGTCGCGAATCTGTTTGTCTTTGAGGACGGTGTAGGAGACTTTCGGCAATGGCGACATGTCCGAGCCAGAAGCTTTTGCAGAAGCTTTGCCCCTATACGCCGACATTGCTGATAAGCGGTTACACAGCAGGGGTTAGCACTGAATACCGAACGCTCACTTTCCCTTCGAATTGCCCTTGTCTGCTGGCACTCCGTTCAATATCTTGGACCATGCGGTCTTCTGTGCCGTCTTTGATTTCATTTGGGGAGAAGAAACTGAATTAGGTGTGGGCGACAGCCTGCATCCACCGTCGATGTGCTGATTGATCACACTAAAGGGGACTTGTTTAGCACATACAGGACAATCCACAAGAGGGACATCTAGAGAAACTCGGATTGGTCGGTATTCATATAAAGATTCAGAGACTTTAGATCTACCTGCGGGACGTGACGAAGAACTAGGCTCTCCGTTGGAAGTCACTAGATTGTTATGGTTGCGATGTCTTATTTTGGCTTTCGAGCGTTCAGCAGTGAAATTCGATCTGAGCAGCTCATCTTCACTTCCAAGCCTCTCGACATCTGAGCTACCTACAAATCTCTCGGAGCTCAATTTGCGCCTTTTGGCTGGACGCGTGCCACTCTCAAGAGCAGTGTTGTCACTAGATTGTTGGCTCCTCGACTCTTCTTCCTTGGACCAATGCAGCACAAATGATCTGATGGATATTGTAGAAGCTTTAAGGAAGAGCACACGACCATCAGATAAAGTAGCATACTCACCTCGCCTTGTTCCAAGCCACAACAACTTCTTCCATATACATATTTGCCCTCAACTGCGTGTCATTGGCTGGTTTCCTGCAGGTAGGGCACTCTGCCTTGTCAGCCATCGCGCACCGAACGCACTAGTTCACGTGTGAGACACGTTATTTACGTTCCAAAAATTGAAGGCACACCAGAGAGCAGAAGCAATGGCCGCATGCTAAGATAACAGGGGCCTCATACAGCTCGGAGCAGATCTTGCAGCGCAGCGCGCTGTCAAGTTCTCGGAGGCCCGGGGCAACAGAATGTGGAGGAAAATCAGAGGGATCTTGGATGTCCGATTTGAGAAGATCCCCAACATTGTTGTTCACCATCAAGTCAAAAAGAAATGCCAGCGAGTCGATATTGCAAAAGTTCAAGAAAGGGGCGTGCTTAAGCGCTTAGTCACCATCGCGAGCAGTCACAGAAGATTGACGAGTCACATGGACAGTGACCGTGATCATCGACGCTCCAGACACTCTCAGTCAGTTTCCCGAGGGTAGCAATACTCTTTCAACCTTCAACGTAGTCCTCAGATATCCGTATATGACCTCTCAGTGCCTGTTCGGTCAACACTCGAGGCTGGAAATATATGAACCATCCTCCTGGTCTGCGCCATGTCTACCCAATTTTTTTTCGACAGAAAGTGTGTGTAGACAAGAGGAGATAAAAGAGAAAGACGCGACCAGTCATCGAGGACCGACAAACGGAATGAACAACAATGGCAGTGTGACACTGTCAAATCTTGAGGGCCAAAAAACGCCTTTTCAGACACAATCATTGGCTAACCTGGAACGTATGGTATGTATCGAAGATGGAACATTACCCGACCGAGGCTTTATCCCTCTACTGACGAGAAGTTCTTCAACCTGTCGGACTGGCAAAGAGAGAGAACGAACAGCTGCAGACAGATCAGGAACACAAGAACTTTAGGATGCTGGATACTCAAGAATTTACGATATACGGGCGAATATAATGTCCCCCGGGTATGCACGGACCGAGTCGCCTGACAGGTCGCATAACATAACTAGCGGCTCAAGCGCGTTATCCGGTGTTGCTTATCATGATCAAAAAACGCACCATTGACAATCACAATCGCGACGCAGTTCTCGGGCGCCCAGAGTCCACGCTCAAATCCACAGAGCCTCCAAAACAGGATTTGATTGTAGAAGGACGACCCATATGGCCTTCCTTCCTGCTTTGAAAGGAGGTACGGACGCTGACATCCCGGAACGTCCTGACAGGCTATGGGAGAGTTCAGTAGATGCAACACGACTGAATCGGATGACTCTCTACATCACGGTAGCATTTCTGGAAGGAAAAGTTGGGCAAGAGCCAGGGCTATCATGTCACCGCCTACAGGAAGAGGGCAAAGACTGAGAGAGAAGATTGCTTGACACTTGAGGGACTTGAAACTTTGGGACCGTTGGGAAGTTACCGTCCGTTCAAGACAGCCCTTGTACTGCGCCTGAGAGTAAATCCATCATGCATATGATATGCGAACTAGCCGGATGACCTGACACTGACAGCGGTGTATGGATGGTCAAGTCAAAAGGACGATGCAGTGATGCACGCGTGAGCGTCTGTTTGGCGCTCAGACGAATCTCAGCCAGAAATAAGCGCCGCATAGTAGGCCTTATAGATGGACACCTAGCATCTCATTATCGCTTGTCCCAATCTTTCTCCCTTCCGGGTGTCAGCGCTCTCTGCCATGCCGCCCGCCGCCCTTGCACCCATTTTTGCTGTATATAAATACGCCCTGGCGCCCGTAGGGCCCCTCGCGTGGCTCGGTGCATCCATATCTGCACTGGACCTTGCAGCTGCCTTCCGGCTCGCGGTGGTTCTTCGACAACTACGTGAGGCCTTTCTCCAGGAGTATACATCCAGCACCAGCGCCACGGCAAATGGCGATCACGGTCAGAGAGCGCGCCCTTCTGTAGAGAGCCGCGCTCGGACGCGCGACTTTGCTACGACGCTTGTCATGGTTTACGGCGGCGAGGCAGTTGTTGGTGTGTCTCCTGCGCGTCTTGAGTCAATCAGCTGATCTAGACTATAATTCCTCTATGTCTTTGTGGGTTTCTTTGGCTGTCTCTGCGCATGCCTGCGATAGCACCTTGGCTAGGCATTCAACCCTCATTCTTGCTCTCCGGCTCGATACCTGCACTGTATCTCGGCGCACAAGTTCTCGTCGACTTTCTCCCTTCCGTACCCTTTCCGTCCATTCACAATGAGGCTCCTCTTGCGGTTCTAGATGCGTTCACTCGTGCTACCTTGCTGTGCAACATCGTACCCACTGTCGTCACAAACCACGTCTCATCTGTCGTGTCTTCATCCCCATGGACTCTGTTGGTCACTGCACTGGTGTGTATCAACACATGCCGTCTCATTGATCTTCTTTCGTCTTAATTGCCTCTGTCTCGATTCTTCAACTTATTCATCTCGTCATCTCACTAGATAATGGCAAATGGCGGTCCTTTGTTCACCAATGCTCTTTCCCTTCTACATCCTACTCCTATAGGCCTCACGACTCCACCAGAGCTCCTGCCCTACGGATGGACTGCAACTGACCTTTGGGTCGCGCCCGTGGTTACTGGCCTTTATGCCACATTGACGCATGCCCAACCGTTCTTTGCTCTTTTGCATGAGCTTCTCTATACAGTTCTATCACCTGTCGGTTTGGCCAGCTTCAATGGACACAAGGAGCTGCAGCCAGTAGATCCCGACACTGCCAGGGCGGTGTGTGTTTTGGTTCTTGGTTCCCTTTTTGTCACGCGCACGGTTAAGACGTTCGGTGGAGCGTCTATTTGGTCAACGCCTGGTAGGACTGTCGGCGGAACGGTGGCACAAAAGAGCATGGTGAACGGCAGCGGTATGTTTCACTTTAAGCTTTATTCTCTGGGAATCTCTCTCGTGCTAATTCGCACTCTTCGACAGGGGGTGCTAAAAAGACAAAAACACAGTAATTGATTGCGCTTGTCTGGATTTAATGCCGTATAGGAGACCATGGTGTTTAATTTTGGCTTCGCTTTATCTGAGGCTCCTTTTTTGATTATTTGAGCACGGTGTCCAAGTCTAAAGATCGTACATAAACCTATCGGGCCTTTCTGTCAAGGCTCTGCGCGCAATGGCCTCGCATTCTGCGAGTAGACCTGAATGTTTGAATATTGCCTTTTTTTTGTAAGATGTCACAAATTCGTTGGACTTGAAAAGCTAGCGCTCGCACGCGTGTTGTAATCACGTCACTCGAATGCGGTGACAACAATTGTATTACTACCGTCAAGACTCCTTGTACCAAACTCTCAAACCCCTCCACCTGACCAAATGGCAATGGCGTTGGATTATGCCTCTCTGGAAAGCTCTAGGTAGGCGGTGTTTTATTGTCATGTTAGAACTTACTGATGCATGAACTTGTGCACAGATGGCGCAATCTCCCTCCTCCCCCAGGTTTCTCCTCACTCGCCATGGTATGTAGCACTCGCTTCCATCATTCATTGGGACATCCTTTTTTTACTCTATTTCTTCCACGTCACTCTGTTAGGGGAAAGCTGTGAACAAATCCGCTCCTGTTTCCATCGCCGCCAACGCGTCATACGAGGCTCTGAAGGAGAAGCGAGCATGGGACTTCGCCATTGCTCCTGCGAAGTCGCTTCCCATGCAGGCGTTCATGCTCTATATGTCTGGTGGAGGCGTACAGATATTTAGCATGGGCATCGTGGCTATGCTCCTGTTCTCGCCGTTTACGAACCTTGCTGGGATTAACGCTGGTACGTCACCTTCAATTGTCATCCAACCCCCAAAGACGAAACTCAATTCTTGGTATCCCTGGATTGTCAATTTCGGGTATAGCGTTTGCGCCGTTCGCACCCGGGGCCCCTGCATCGTCGCCTTCATCAAAATTAGACGCGAACTCCCTGACGACGCTTTCACTGCAAAAACTGGTCTATCTCGCATGCAATCTCCTCACGCTCGGTCTCGGACTTTGGAAGTGCCGCTCGATGGGCTTGCTCCCTACGGGAACTGGCGATTGGCTAGCATTCGAGAGTCGAGGCGTGCCGCCTGAGTTGACGCTATTGTAATGTTCATATACCCCTAAACGCCGAGTGAGATTCAGTTGTATGTTTTAAGGGTTAATTTATTCTGAATCCGACGCTGTTCTTCATAAGAATCAATCATTCTGGACTATCAATGTAATCAGACGACAAGTGATCATGTCCAGCTCGGGGCTGAAGCACTGAATGCAATAGACAACAAACAAAGAAGCCATTTCTTGCGATGGACATATTTCGTTTCTGACCTTCGAGCTTCAAGTTTCATGGTAACTATGCGTGAATTTGACACGACTTTTGTCCGATCTAAGAATATTCAACTTCTTCATTAACGAGCCGTACATACAATTACCCCAATAAATGACTGAACATAATATTACGATGGGCGATGATTGCCACGGGCCAACCTGGCCACTACCATGACCAGGGAATTTGACGAAGCTGATCCAACATGACATCGTCTGTTCGAATGAAAGTTGCGTGCACGCGTGGGATGCGCGTAAGAAAAGACATGTTGAAACGATCGCTCAATCCTGAGTGGTTCAAGGTTGTGAACGCTTCTCGCGCTGATACTGTGCGAGGGATAGGCCAGAGGGTTGTCTGTATCTATAGATCGCGGAGAAGAAAAGGCATCGAAGTAAGAAGACATTCTATGGAACACGGGTGTGTCGAATACACTTACGCTGGGCGGGAGTTGTAGATATTCAGCAGGACGGAGTGCTGTATCTTGATGTCGATATGTATCGTGAAAGGAGACCTCGAGGGCAAACATGCCGAGATACTTGGCCATTCGCCTGACAGCTGCTGGCGCCTGTACGAATACGTTGACGGCCCTGCCACCGCCGGGTCTTGTCGGCTTTAGAGAGCAAACGGACCCAGACCTCCGCTGTGATGGCGAGGATATGGGCATGAGACGAAGATACGACGGATAAAGACCCATCGTGGGAGCGGTATTCGGGACTTGGAAGGTGGCAGATGCGCTGAGAGCATCGAGAAGATAGCCTGCCAGTGGGAAGAAAAACCCGTCTTGCCCGGAGCGTAGACTCGCGAATGGGAGTATATCGGAAGGCGTGATGACCAGAACTGTCGGAGCAGAAGGATGTCGTAAATTCTGGTCAGAGGGGACTATGCGTCAGACGCGTTCAACGGGAGGAAACAAAAGAAGGCATGCATTATATGTTCGGATGCACTCCAGAGGAAAGATTGTCGCGCCATTTGAAATAGGAACAAGTGGAGTATGCGGCTGGGGTGACCAACCAAAGATACAACCTGTCTCTTCGCGTTCATATGAATGAGCGCGTTGAGCGCGGATTTGTGAGGACCGAGCTGGAGGCATTGCTTGTGAAGTCTTGAGTCTTGATGAGGTGTAAGGCGATCAGGAGATATCACTGAGAGCGAGAAGACGATGTCGTTTGGGAAGGCAGTTGTGGCATTCAGTGGCGCACTGAAGAAGGTCAAGGTATATGGCGAAACAAAGGGGAACGCGTCGATTTAAATGTCAGACGGTGCTGTGGCCTGAAAACGTGACTTCAAGGCCGTGGCTTTAATAACCGAGACGTTTGCAATGGATCACAACATGTGCGGTCGTCAAGATTTTGAGACCAAGTAACCAGTGCAAGAGAATAAGATAACATTGCGACGCAATCTTGATGGAGATGTGGTTCCTCTCTGGGGATGGTTCACTATGGCATCCTCGAGTGATCGTCGATCACCAGGAAAGATATAGCTTTACTTGAGAATGAATTGTCAGTAAGAATTGACGCGCACGCCAGGCCTTTGTGAAAGCCTCATGAACCCTGCTCACAATGCATACAAGTTGACAGCATAATACAGTAACATGGTCGTCTAAAGGGTGAAACAAAAATCAGGCCCGGAAGATACGGTGATACACTTGAATCCGTACATGCAATTACATCCACTTTGACCAAATGTCCTCATAGGTATATCGAGAAACGAAGATAGTTTGTGGCTTTACTTGCCTTCAACACCCGTCGTTGCATTCCGCATTTTCCCTTTGACCCATGCTTTTGCTGCAGTCTTCACAATTGCACGTCGGCCCATACCCGTCACATCCACGTACACAAGGACAACATTTCGTGCTGCGCCTGCAGCAATGTTTACATTACCGCCTACCTCGGCACCGTACTTGTGCGTGACGGCAGCGCTCAGGGCAGATGAGCCGGCGTCAACAAGGCGAACAGAAGAAGTGGAGAGGGTGGAGAGGAGAATGCCAGCGGAGAGAGCGAGAGAGGTGCGCGTGCTCACGGGTGAACGGTTCACGCGAGGCGTGGGTGCTGGGGACGGCGATGGTGACGAGGAGATGGTGGAAGATTTACGTAGCGGAAGCGGAATTTCAGCGGCGCTTCCATGATAAGCGGTGTATGGGGGTGGAGAGGGCTGAAGTTGGCTTGTCGTTGATCCGGCTTTAGAACTAGCCCGTGGGGGTAAAGGAGGCCTGTAACCCGAAGCAATGCTGCCGGATGAGGGTGTCGACGTCCCCGAAGCCCTACCCTTGCCCTTATCAGAACCGCCGACAACGCGGTGGATCATTCCTTCTACCATACCTGCTGTTTTGCTGCTCACCTTCACGGCCTGGCCGCTTAGGGCATGAATGCGGGTCAGATGCTTGCGGGTATTGGGGGACTGCAGAAGAAGAAGGGTGCGTGAAGATGGTGGTGAAGCGGTCCCAGATGCAGGCGCGGTTGTGGACGGGGTGGCATGAGGCGACGGGGTGGAGTTTGCGATGTAGTAGCTTGATGCCGAGTTCATTGCAGATGTGAGCAGGGTCGTCGTCCCGGATATAACGTGGCTGTGAGAAAATGTCAGCGTCATGATTCATAGAGATGAATGAAAGCCAGTCAGGTACCTGGCGAATACGGCCCCCTTCATCATCCAATCCCTATCTTCAGGCGGTACGGCCCGCACAAGCACTTCCTGACCTGTCCAGTCCCCCGCGCCTTCCACGCCCTCTGGTAGCTCGACGATTACAGGATCGTTCTCGTGACCCTTCTCTCGCAGCATTGGATCTTCGCGCACAGAGATGGTGTTATCCAAAGCGCCGATGACTTCGCCATTATTCTCATCCACAAGGATGAACCTTCCGCGCAGATCCTCTTCCTTCTCATCAGTGGCCTGAGCATCGGCTGCTGGAGAGTCAATGTTAAAATCCCCACGAAAGTCTCCGTATTCGGCTAAGACACTATGGAAAAGCTCGATGTCCTCCAATGCGTGCACGCTATCGGGAGGAGGGATTGATAGGAAGAGTTGATTTGGTCCATCATGGGTCGCATGGAAGATGTACTTGCGCTCACCCGATGGTGAGACGGTTGCAGTAATGGTGCGCGCGGGATCCAAAAGAACTTCGTATGAGCTGAGGCGAAGGATAAGAAACATGTCGGGAGCTGTAGGGTCGACGACAGACGATGGAGGGAGGGGAAGAGACACATATTCTAGAGCAAGGCTCCCGTTGTATGTGGCATTGCCAGAGGGCAGTGAGAGAACACAGTTAGGGACTGTGAGGAGAACATAAGCCTCTGGTTCTAAAGACATGGCTCAGGTAGCTGCGGAGCGTCTTCCAAAGCACTGCAAGAAGTAAGGAGCAGTGGGTTGGTCTGTAAGTGTGAGTTGCAGGGTTGCCAAGAAATGTTGCGCATTGGCCATCTTTGAATATCGTTCTGTGGTTCTCAAAATTTCCGAGCAGTGGAGTCGGCAATTCCCGGCGTAGCCTTCTGCGTCTCAGTCAAGGTACTATCTGCTTCTTGTTGCCTGTCATAATCGTTGATATTCGTGCAAAAAACGTACAACTCGCATTATCGACAACTACATCCAATTCTTAGCTCAGAGCTACGGATCACCCGCGTTACTACCCGTTCTGGTCATGCGTAACATGACAATGATGACCATATTTCTCTAGTGGGCTCGTATCATTTTCCCAGTCCATTCATTCCACTCTTCGCTGGACAGCACCTACATGGGGAAGAATAATATTTGTGAGACACCACTGTGTTGGCTCCCTCGACCGCTGAGTTGCCTCCGTTTGGGTTTGAACTTTGCTTCCTTCACAATCTCCTCCATGACATTTTGGCTCAACGCGGCCGTGGATGCATACCAACTTTCGTCCAGCAGCGCTGGTGGACTAGCAAAGGTGTGTAGCACTTGGGCTTACGCCAAGCGCCAGACTTCTTACTTACGCTAACGAAGGACAGGGATAAAGTAAGACCTACTATGTACTTGCGCGTATGTCACAGGAGTTGTATGGGCGTCTTGCTTGTCCTGTAGAGGTCACCATGACTGACTCTAGGCTCAATCGTTCAAGAGAAGTCCTCGTTCTGGTCATTGACACTGGCGAGGATCGAGGCTTCGACTATCGGATCTTGGTATTCACCCGCCCAAAGGTCGACCGAGAAATCAAGGATCACGCTTGGCTATCCGTGCACTGTCAACTTATCCTCAAGGATAGGATTGTGAACGGGCGCGAGCTCACGGGCGTGCTCCAATGAAAATATCTTACGTTCTGATATGTCCTCGAGTCGCCTTGGTCCCATAACTGCGTCGCATCTCCCCATCGCCACTAAATTCTACCCACTTTATTTACCCCCTGCCACTTATCAGCATTTATTTTCTGTTGCTATACCACCGGCCATTGACCTCATTGCAGATGGACGAAACGCACGGAGTGATCGCTATCCGAGCCGCATACCCTTTTCTCACCCTTTGATCATGCCGCCGTCACACTACCCCTGATATCAATACCGCTGAAAGCCCGCGCTGTTTGGTATCGGCGGCGCCTACACGGGAGCAAAATGGTCATGGGCATCTAGTTGCCATGTTCTCGGAATCAACCGCTGCCAGTGGTCAATGGCCAAGGCCGACTCACTCTGGGCCTACCTTTCATCATAAGAGATCATCATATCACCTTTTCCATTACTTATACTGCATCCAGGCATTGGCGCGATCGCGGCCCGTATCCTCTCCGAGGACAATCCAGGCCCCTGTTCATCCCATGGATCCCATGGATCGCGGATCCTCGACCTCGTTACATCGACTCGGTCAAGTACATCCCTTTCTATGATCGATTCTTGCCGAAGGTGAGAGCTGGCTATGGACTCACCTTTGATAGAGAGTCCTACTCGAGAAAGACACCTCTTTTGAGATGTCGTGGTGTCCAACTGGTTACAGCGCTATACGGTAGAGCTTCGATTCTGCTTCATGCCCGTTGTGTCGGCTGCATAGTCTTATTTCCCTTGTTTTCAGATGGACATGCATACTTTTGCCACGCGTATCACTTATCGTTTTGAAGAATAATCTTGTACAGCCGTCAGGACATCTATATGCAAGACATGGGTAGTACATACATGCCTTGGGTAACCATCCTTGTCTACCATGTGTTTCTTCTTGCTGACGAGGGTTGACTCTGACGAAGAGTCCCAGATAAATATAATCATCCCAGCCATCACAAATTACAGAATAGCAATCTCCCATTTGGAATACTTGGGTATAGATAGGACTTGTACGTGGCCGCGGTACCGGACGACTAGGAATTACTGCCGCAGAGGATATGTGTGTCCGTCATGCTCGTGCCTTGAATCCCATGCTTATGGTTCCCACAACCCGCTTCATCGTACGACCCCAGAAGCAGATTCGTGTCATCAATCTCGCGACGGCGCAAGGGGCTCCCAGAATCGTCAACTCTTTCGGAACGGAGAGCGCTCCCTGTGCGCTCCCTGCCTCGAATTCCTAGACTTCAACGGCGACATACTTCATGCACAGCATGGTCCTTGTGACAATCGACCAGCTTCTGGGCCTATTGATAGTGCCTGTCCAATCTTCTATATCCGCTGAATCTGCCACCTCCGGTGAAAGTAATGGGACTATTTTTCCCAGCAGCCCCTTGTGATGCTTTCTTTTCTTACTGTCGTCTTCGAACCCCTTTCATGATTGGGCTTTCTTACCCGATAAGATCGCCAGAAATATGAAGGGGCTGATCATCCAACCATAAAGCTCAGATTGGGAACAATCCAGCACGCGAAAGCTACAGGGTAGAAAGGTAGATACTATCCTAGGTATGCTTGCTGTGGCGGGCCAGGTTGCATCATGGGCATCATGCCAGGCATCCCTTGCGGAGCAAAGCCAGGTGGGGGAGGAGGAGGATATCCTTGCGCAGGATTGTACATAGGCATACCACCAGGAGGTGGTGGCATTCCCATCATCGGAGGCACCATGCCCGGCATGCCCGGCATTCCTGGCTGCATGCCAGTCATCTGCATAGGCATACCACCTGGACCAAGAGTTTGCTGCGGCGTGAATCCTGGAGGGGGCGGAGGCTGTGCCAGTACACCAGCAAATTGCCCTTGATATGGACCTTGGAAGCCGGGCATAGGAGGGCGCGCCCCGAATGCTAAGGGTGCAGGAGGAGGACGAGCTGTGACGGGAAGAGCATTGTTCTTGCGTGCTTGCGCGGCGAGAAGACGCTCGGCAGCAGTTCCGTGCCGCTCACCCTTGCCTTCTTTCTTGAATGCGTATTGTACGGTGATAGCTTTATTCATGAGGAACTGGCCATTCATAGATTCGATCGCCGCGTCTGATGACTCGAAATCGGTGTACGAGACGAAACCGTATCCCTTGGATTTACCCGATTGCGGGTCGCGAGCGATCTGTGGCCGGCGAGTGGAGCATGTCAGAAAACAATGACGTGCGGTGTACAAGACATGATGCACACGAACGATACGGGGCTCGAAATATGACAGAACTCACCTTGGCAGTTGTTGCCATCACTCCAAACGCGCTGAAGGTGTCATATAGCAACCGTTCGTCCACATTGTCGTCCAAGTTTCCGATGAACAGATTGGCGCCGACATCAAGTTGCTTTTTGTCAGAGGAGGCCTGGATAGCAAGAATAAATATCACCAATTGTCGATTAAGCGCAGACGAGCGAGTCCAAGATAAGAATGCAAGGGTGATTGAGCGCCGCGACGATATGAGAGAAGAAATCTCGACGAACCTTGTTGACCCTGATAGGTTTGCCCCATAATTTTATTTGATTCATTATCTTACAAGCGTATTCCGCATCCTCTTCGGTCAAGAACTCGCAGAAACCGTAGCCTTGATGTGCCATGGAAATGCGATCCTTCGGTAAATGTACATTGACTGGGCGGATGAAACGAGTTCAATGGAAAATTTATAGGCGGATGTCTGGTGACGCACCTACTGGACCTGCTTGCAGCATTAGCTCCCATACGAGCGCATCTGTACACCTTTCATCTAGATTTCCCTTAGTCACCGCATTAGGATCGTAGTGCGTATCCATAAGAAAGAGCACACCAAGTATACTGTGGCCTCCTGGTTCCTATCGTCCTGTGGCCGAGACATATTCGCGTTGAAGACGTACCAAAGGGAGAGAGGTTGCTGAACCCCAAATGGAAATGGATGTTTGCCACTTGTTTGGTCCCAGTGGCGTATTATCTACGACTGTGGCGGAAGTATCCGCTGCATGCCTCGTCGCACACAATGCGCATCCAAATGTACGCCTGTCTCCATTTGTAAACCTTCGAATGAGACTTACAATCAATGCATACTTCTTCCAGTCTTATTTGTGCAATGGCGCTCAGTAAGCAAAGCCTTGCGTGCCGGACAGGCTCCATCGCGCTCAGACGCAAAAACAGGATCCTGATGCATGCCATCGTACGGAGCCCGGGCAGCTTGATGCACCGATGACAACCAGGATTCATTGCACGGACGCAATTCCATCCGGTTTCTCCGTGCTGCTTCGAAATGGCCCCTCTTCCAGCGAGCAAGATATGGTGCTCAAGGTTTCGTTTGGGATGTCGAAGCTCTATGGGCTTCACCTTCGGGGTATGCAGCTCGAGGTGTGACTCCGAACACGCTATACGTGCTTCCGATATCCCTCATCTGGCCAGCTTTCGAGGAATTATGTCACAATCGGAGCGCCCCGATCTGCTGTCCGACGGCTGCAACCAGCGTTCGCTCATCTCATTCAGCAACCTGTCGCCGTTAATCTCCACTTGTAACCTGCTCTTAGCCCGACATCACGGTATCCTTCCTTCTCCACATGGGCCGAGATAGCTCACACGGCTAGAGCGCCTCATGTCTAGGGGCAGGTATAAAGGAGCAGATGTGCTCTCTAGGCCTTCTAGGCGACCATACACCTTCGCTCATACTCCCGTCCATCTCCACTCTCGTTGTGATCACGATGTATATGCGTATCTCACTCATCGCTCTTGCCTGCCTGCTCCTCGCTCTGAACGTGTTTGCTGCTCCTGTCAAGGAGCTCAAGCAACTCAAACTCAAGCGGGGCGAGCAGCCCGTGAAAAGGCAAGACGAGAAGCATAAGCCTTCTCATGGGTCAGTTCTCATTTCCGAATCATTTCAATAATCATTAGCTGACCGACTATACTACATGCGTTCAGTTGGCCCTTCGTTGCTCCCACTGCTGGTGTTTGAACGTTGGTACAGGATGCTTCAGAAATGCTTTCCACTAATCGACTACTCTTTCAGACTTGAACGGCTTTCGCTCACCTTCCCTCCGATTCTTGTATCAATTTGTACTCTCGTGAGTGCCGTTCGTGTAGTTTTGAGCAGATCGCTTCATGACTTCCAGATATCCTGCTAGATCGACTTTCATCATGCCACTGTGTATCTGTCTGGTCCGTTCCAGGTCCGATCCTCATGATATACGTGTCACGTCTCATAGACAATGTCCCGAAACGAGAAATTGCGTGTTTATGCTGCACTGTCTCCGGTGAAGCCGAGGATGGAACGAACTCTCTGTCCAGAGCCTAGCTCTCAGATGATCAGTACATTTGTAATTCAGCTTGCTTCTGTTATTGTGGGATTAAGGGCCCTCTAAGAGATGAATTGGAAAAAGCAGATCTATCCATGGCGGCGGTTGTTATGAAGTAGGATTGAAGCTCAAAACCACTTATCTAGGATTGTTCCTGCCTTAGCTATAGCTACTTCAGTGCGTCCTCCGGAGGCGCTGAAAAAATCTTACTGTGCGCATGCATTAAGAGCAGCCATGGGGCAACCCCAAAATATGCTGGCACCTCACCCTCACGATGTCATTCCGCAAGAGGCCACATGGAGCGGCGATACGAAAAAATGAACTGATGGCTCAGCGCTCGGCCTAGAGGAGTATGAGTAAGGCGTCTACAGCACGCTCACCCCGTAGATGTGGAACCTAATCCGGAGGAGAAACAACTTCGGAAAACGAAGACCAGGAGCGGCTTCGCCGGGCTGAGCTCACTGCTCAGTGGGGCCGCTTCGTCTCTGACTCTTCCCCCATTGTCGTTTCACTGAGATAAACGCGGTAACGGCATGAAGTGTCCTCCAGACTTCGATATCCTAATTTGGACACGGTATATCAGTGTAACTTACCAGAAGTAGAACTTCCTTCGATGTTTTGCCTTGAGATGTAATCTGACCTCGAAATGAGAGTCTGGACTCCGGTCAACATGGGAGCGGGCAAGGGTCGGCACTGGAAGGCGCTTCAGCACTCGCCATCCTGCACGCATGATGAAATCCGTATAAATAGGAGTCCAATTTGCATCAATGAAGTATAGCTGCAAAATCTCGAGGTTGAAAAATCAAAAAAGTGTGTGCCAAGCTCTCACACGATGTGCAGTTTGCCTGTGACGTCATTCCTTTTGGCCTTATCCCTGTCGACGGGTATTAGATTTCTCCCCTTGTACCAAGTTTGCCAGATAAGGACTACAAAACAGCCTACGAACATAAACATCGAGCGCAGCGCCAACGGAAGCGACGCCAGCGCATAGGAGTGTGCCAAGCCGCCTAATCGCGGACTTCATACAACTCGCCTAGTCCACGCACAGCGAAAAAGTTAAAAGTGTGGTAGGTATTGAGTTGGCGCGGAAGAAGAGGCGGCAAAGCAGAAAGGATGACAGAAGGCGAAGGTGGAGAAAGGAAGGGAGAAGTGTGGGATATAAGGGAAGAATCGTAGATGGGTCGTGAACGGGATGTACTAGATGGCTGGAGTTCTCAGGCGTATTAGAGAATGACACATTTATTCCTCTTCTTGACAACGGGAGGCTCAAGCGCGGCGACGATGGCCTGGTTGTAGCAAAAAACATGAGTGAAGTGGTTCGCTTTGAAAAATATGACCACTCGCCTCATCAAAGACGTTCTTCAATCCCTTCTGAGTCAAAGCCGAACACTCCACGTACTTGACAGCGCCAAGTTCCCGAGCAAGCCTTTCACCCTGCTCAGACGTAACAGGCCTCTGCTTTTGCCTTTGCAACTTCTCCATCACCTGGGGATCGTCTCGCAAATCTATCTGCGTGCCCACGATAAGGCATGGCACCCCAGGACAGTGATGATGAACCTCAGGGAACCACTTTTCCTTCACATTTTCGAAGGACGCGGGGGAGGTGACACTGAAGCAGACGAGGAAAACATCTGTTTGCGGGTAGGATAATGGACGGAGACGATCATAATCTTCCTGGCCTGATTGTACAAAAAAGGGTTGAATATACAACGTGCAACCATCATTGCTTGGCGAACTCACCGGCAGTATCGAACAATCCCAATGTATAGGGGTCGTCCCCAATCATTACGGTAACGGCGTAATTGTCAAACACCTGGAAAACCTCTCATACACACATCCAAAAAGAAAGCAGTGATCGCACATACGGTTGGGACATACTCGCTTGGGAACTTGTTGGTGGTGTACGATATCAACAAACAAGTCTAGAATTCAATGCAATGTTCAACTACCAATGAACAGGAAACACCAATAGCTATGTGGACGTACCTTTCCTACGGCACCATCCCCAACAACTACGCACTTAATTGTCTGCATCTCGATGGCGGTTCTAGGATAGAATTGGCGACAACTGGACCGCCAGCAACAGCATCAGTCATGAAATTCGCTACGATGTCGACGCAGAGATTGATCCGGATTGACCCTCAAAGAAAGAGTGAAAGTGGGAGATACGATGACATCTCGACACGCGGGGGTAGTGCTGCTACAGAGAAAAAGAGGCACTTACAATGGCGTTGAAGAAGACAGAAAGCTTGCTGAAGCGCTGCTGGTGGCTTAAATTGATGGGAGTTCACAGGAACGTGTGGCCTCTCTTGAGTTGATCAGTCGCTTTAATCTGAAACGCAAGCTGATCCAGTCGTCAGTTGACGTGTTTAACTTGATGGTTCGTGCCGAAGAGGGGCGAGGAGACGAAAGGGTACTGACAATAGACTTATAAGAGGATGAAGGGATGTCTGTGATCAATGACAAAAGTGAGCGGCTGTCGCAGACGATGAGGACGTCGAGGGAGGTAACGACGGCGACGACTCAAGTAGTTAGCAGCGTTGTTGACTGCACGCCCGGCTGTTCGGCCCTCGGCCACCGCACGCACAAACACCACCAAATTTCATTTTTACTGAATGGCTCACGTGGCGCCGAAATTGCGTATATGTACACTTCCCACCAACACAAACCAACACAGATCCAGACTAAATTCTCCAAATGACCAATTATGTACTCTACGTATTGTACAGAGGTTTCCAGAGCAAAAAGAAAACAAGATAAGTTAATCCAGAATAAAGGAGCAGTAAAATACGACAGCCCAGATCAGTTTGTCTTCATGCGTTTCCGAGGAGATTCCATGTCCTCAACTAATTGAAAACAAAGACTTTAGCAAAGGCTAGACAATACGACAGTGCTGCTGAATACTCACAATCAGATGATTGAGGTTGCATCCACCATGTCAGCCTTCCGTCGTCACTCCCTGTTACAAGCCAGAAGTCGACATTGGAAGATTTGGATATGTAACTCTACAGTTCATAGCTGTCAGTGGCGGAATCACAGGGCACCGTACGAAAACACGCACCCCGACGGCTTGCGTCACCACATCTGTACAGGTCGACCGCCGACGCGTAAGCTTATAGCGCACACGACAGAAGCACTGTGCCTACCTTCCCCATGATCCAATCCACACATTGGTTCTGCCTTGTTCTTATCCCAGACAATAACATTGCCGTCTACACACCCAAACAAGACCCCCTTGCCTTTGCTCGTAAACGACGCACCAAAGTCGTAATTCGCTTTCGCTTGTAATTCAGCGTCCTTAAGTACGTACGCCTGCTCCACCAGGCCTTTGTTATCGTCTTGTCGAATGCCCACAAGATGTGTGCGGCCACCCATCTGGGCCACGAGGGCATGCGAACCGGAAGAATTGATATCGATGTGATATCTGATGCGCAAATTAGCAAAATAAGGCAAAGATGGTTCAAATTGACTGACACTTGAGACTTGAAAAACGTGTAAGCCCGTAGGGTCCCATTAGGGATTTGGCAATACCACCTTAAAATTGTCTGTCAACTTCAGTCTCTCGCACTTGTATATGCATTATACTCACAGCACACCGTCTTTTGTCCCACCCAACAACGCGTCACCATCCTCCACAAACTTGATCGCGGTAACATTCTGCCTCAATATTGAGCGCTGTGATTGCCATGTTCCTATTCCAGGCAGACTCAGTTAATTGGGTTATAAGACTAGAGCAACACACGTACCCTTGTTCAACATCCAGACTTTGACACCTATCCTTGGATATGCTACAGCAATCCTGTCTTTCGTATAAGCCATAGTTGTCGGAATATCTTCGGGTTTTCGCTCTGGATTGCTTGCGTCGGCAACCTTTGTCCAGTACCACTGATCGTCCTGAAAATGATGAGAGGATTAGTGATGTCCCAACACGTGGACGAGGGGACTTATACGTTTCTGCTCCACTTGCTGATAACGCCATTTTCGCTAAGCGATAAGATGCCTTCATCATCTTCCATCCATGCAGCTGCTACCACAGGTGCAGGATGCGACAGCTTTGCAATCTCTGAGTGTGAACTATTTTCGAACACACGAACAGTACAGTCGTGGCCTAAAATTAAGAACACCTCTTAGTATGCGTAGTTCTCATTAAGTGTTCAACTGGGTATCAACGAAAAGGATAACGCACAGTTGACAGCAAGGTATTGCCCCGTGGAATCAAACGAAATTCCTCGGATCCCAACATTATCCCCGTTTATTCGTACTACGCGAGCACTGTGTACAACAGGCCAGTTGAAAGAAGGTTGAGCAGGGGGGGATATATCCCCGGACTGAACAGCTGGAGGTGATTCTGGGATCGCAATTGGGCTAACTTTGCGCTTGTAGCCGCTAGTGGGCGCCGGTGGTTGAGGAGCGACGCGGGAACGGACGTCTGCAGCGCGTGCAGGAGCCGCAAGGGGTGAAGCATGACGCGCTATATACAACGAGAAATACAGACGATTAGGGTTGAATTGCCTCGAGAGGAACATAAAATCACGAAAAAAACGACCGCAGTGGCGTCGGCTCATGGAATGCACTCACATAAATGGGGCATGGGCGGCAAGACTTGCGGTTTCATTGGGAGAGGGTGTGACGAGACATTGGAATTCTGAAGACTTGAACCAAACCTAGTCCCGGGCGGCGGTGAGAACTGACTCCCAAAATCCTGTGGCATTGAAAACCCCTTCACCCCCGACATGGGTGAAGGGTCCCGTGCGAACGAGGGATTCAAGGGAGAATACTGTGAGGCAGCATGATTCATCGGAATAGGGATAGGGATAGGGATAGGTGCAGAATTCCCTGAAGGAGCTGCAGGGTTGATGGCTGTAGAGCTTTCTGGAACAAAATTTGGGTGACAGAAAGACGCTGATGGCGGAACAAGAGGAACAGGGGCCAGTGGTGCTGGGGCCTGGCCTGCTGGTGAGGCAGCAGACGTTCGCAAAAGAGCAGCGGTCCAAGCCGACGGATCAAAGCCCATCACTGCCAGGATTGAAGACGTTGAACTGGTCGATGATGCCTCTGGGGTAGGGCGGGGCGATTGCGGTTGTGAGTGCCAAGTTGGCAGAACAGATGAACTAGTCATATGTGGAATCGCGATGGGCTGAGCAGGGCCGGAAGAAATATGTTGGATCCGCGGAATATTGCTTGGTGGAAGCATGTTCGGTATTGACATCGTAGGATGTATCATTGTCGAGGGATGTATTGGTTGCCCGTACATACTCTGTGGAGGATAGGGTTGGAAATGATGACCGAACGCCGGATGCTGCCTCATTGGCTGTACCATACTGGTGGATGTCACGGGACTTTGTGAGGCCTTCAAGACTTTCGATGAGTGAGGTGAGCCTTCGCGCTTGACAGACGTATGAGCATTTGGCATATGTGCATCCTTTGCCATAGTGTCAGGCTAGCGGATCAAATCAAAGTGAAGCAAAACATGAATCAGAATCAGTAGACCTTGGGGCAGGTATGAGCATGTCGAAGCCCACCTTCCGAAGCCGATCTTCATACAACACAGGTTTTTCGGGTGTAGGTTGAGAAGGTAAACCGACGAAGTCGGTCATGAACCCTCCAGAAACAAATGGGTTCACAACATGCTTGCGCTTATTCGCTTTGACCGAAGCAGTTCTGGTATAAACACCGATGTCGGCTAGAGCAGACGGTGATGAATGTGACGAGTCTGCTAATGCAGATTGTTGTGAAAACGCGATATGCTGTGGTGGGAGAGGCTGATGAGAAGTTGAACCCGCTCTGCGGCGAGGCATGAGAGAGGGTGAACGGGATGCTGGAGGTGTCTGCAGGCTGTATGGTTGTTGCGAGTTATTAGACGATGCTTTTGTGGTCTGACACGGAGCACTCGTGACGACGGAGGGGTCCACATACGTCGATGCACCATTCTGACGAACAGTATTCGTAAGGAGAGGTGAGCGTGATGGGGCTGCAGTCACGATAAGGGGTTGCCGAATCGCGGTGACAGGGGATTTTGATTTGGGTGATGTGGCACTCTGGTAAGAAATAGTGTTGATGTGTGCCTCACTCTGCGACTATTGAATGGTTGATTAATCGTGAAGAGAGAGTATTGGCGAAGAGATATGAATCCACGCACGAATTGCAGGCCGGGAATGAATCTTTCCTGAGATAGCGAGGGGGGAAGATCCGTAGGCGTACGGATAGGTGACTGTGCTGGACTGCTAGGAGGAGAATCGAGCTCCATAGGAGAAAGACTGCGCTCTCGGTCCGATTGCTACATCTACTGGTTATGCTGTATGCCCGTCAAAGATGTTGAAACACGTACTTGATTTGTTTCCAACAATGACGCCTCTTGAATCGAGGTTGTATCGATTTCAACAAACGCCTCCGTTGTAGGAATTTCGGGTACGGGAGATAGAAGAGATGAATCTGTCTGGATAGACATATCTGAGGAATGCTCTCGAGTAGGTGTTTGCGAGGCTGTCGAGATACGCTCGGGAGTAGTCGACACGGCTTGTACTGAAGCTGCCGTCATTTCAGGCTGTGCTTGGATTGCCACAGACTGGTAATTTAGCATTGGCGTGTGTACAGAGTCTGGGTGAACAACGATAAACGGCTGATATCGAGACTATAATCAGACGTCCTCACCAATAACGACCGGCCCTTCCACTCGCTTGATCCAGGGCTTGCGCATTTTGGGGGGAATGAGATGGTCTGTGGGCGGAAGGTCATCTTCATCTTCAGCAACTTGGGTGTCCTCTTCTTCGTCGGAAAGCGAGGGCTCGCTCGGTAAGTCTCCTTCAAAGATGATCGCCTGGTCTTTGAACGGCCCGTCCCCAATCGTGAGCAGAATCTCCTTCCCAGGTTTCACTTCAATCCGCTTTTGAGCAAAGAGACTGAAGTATACCACATTCCCATCATCTCCTTCATCCCCAGAGTCTTTGTTCAGTTCCACACGTCGCAACACGATGTGGGCTTTCTGGCTTGAACCGTGCGGACGCAAACGCAAGTGGCCCTTTATTCCGAGTATGGAGGCTGCTGTGGGTGAATTCGTAGTGCCATGGTCGTCGGGTTGCATGGTATCTGCAATATGAGAGTATGCTTGGTAGGCGTGCTTACCTCCAAAGAGGTGGAGAGGCGTATAATGTAGGGGGAAGAGAGAAACAACAGGAGTGAGCTCAAAATGCGTCCACGTCGGCAAACTCCGATTGCTTGTACAAAGCTACCAAAACAGCGCAAAACTCTGTATTCAGCTAGTTGTGCTCCCTATTTGGGATAGGTTTGTCTCCTAAAACGCAACACTCATGCACAATCATGAGGGATGGCAGAGCCACTGCGCGCCACGGTACTGCAGTGCACTAGGGCGTACTACAACTCTGAGCCATTCAGCTCCTGACTGAGATAACTCGTCTCCTGTGCCACACCCTCGCTCGTTCTCGTTTAGTAAATTCGTGATACCAACATTAGACGCAAGCCGCAGCCATTCGAAACAATCGCCCGTAGAAGGGCCCGAGAGGCTTCCGTTACAGACGAATCTTGTATATCCTACATACTACGCCAGTATACTTTCCGATCGCGTCATTCACTTGACTTCTGGTACACCATCCCTCCACCTTACGCCGGCACTCTCAGAAGCCTCTATGGCAATCTGCCTGATCGCCTTCGCTTGTTCCAAAGAAGCACCACTCCTACGGGCATTGTCCATGTGCCAGTTGATCTGACGCGGGGTGTCACCTGCGATGAGAGTGCCAACAAGGGTATATGCTGTCTCCAGTTGGTCCGTGACTTCGCCGTAACCATACACTATTCCGTAGGCTATCGTGTTGCTGAACCAACCTGGACAGATTGCTACATCAGAAACAGCGTTGGGAGCTTGAGGAATGACGCACCCATATCGGGACTTATCTTGTCCAGGAGTCCCTGAACATTGTCACCAGTCTCACCATACAATGACTGGAAGAACTCCTGGCCCTTCCTCTCATATTCTGCGATCGGGAGGGAAACAGTCCTGTGTTATAGAACCCAGTTGTGTTCAGGGAAACCTCTGCATATTCCACGTGCCATACCTTTGGATCTTTGTGTCACGAAGTTCTTCGGGCGTTACCTCAAGGAGCGATACCAATCCGTTGATCGCCTGCAAGTAGAAAATTAGCGAGCTTTCTTTTGGCCGGGATGAAGTACCTTCGAGTAACCAGCCACCATCCCGGACTTGAACAAGCAATCACGGAACTTGCGAGCGAGAAGGAGGCGTTCCTCAAGTGCTTTCTCGCCGGGTACCTTGAACTGGTTGTGCGCTTCCTCCAGTTCGCTCAATACATGCTTAAAGATGAGCGGCACGGCGTCAGGCCTGTTGCCTGTGCTGAATGCTACGGTGGCTACGATGTACCATGGGTTCCTGAAAACTAGAATACAAATCATCCAAATGGACTCCTCGATAGTTTTTTTTTTCAACCACCCACCATCAGCCGATGCAGTAAGCTCTGTGGGGGCAGGGTACAAAGACTTGAGGTGTGCTAGAAAGGTGGAGGTTGCTAATTTAGCCATGTCTGAGCACCTAGTTTCAAAAAAAATCTGCCGTGCTGGTATCTCCTTGATCAGTATCAGAGCAAGGTGCACCGTGGTACAGTTGATGGTCCAGGATAAGCAACGTTTAGTATTGCCGTCCAAACTCCCTGATATCGTTCGCGAAGACGCCTTACCACGTGCGATGACGTCGTCGTCTGTCTGGTTTCCCACACAATGGTCGTTCAAGCTCAAACACTCAAGGCGAGGTCTCCAATGCGACATCAATACGGTAAATTGCGTGCAGTCAGCATGTGTTTCAATTACACCAGTTACAATGCAGGAATAAATGGGAGCAATGTGGGGGGTAGCGGTCATACTTGCAATCCTATAAAATCGTCAATCCCAAGGATTTCGGCGAACAGAATGCGATGGACTGTGACAAGAGCGTGACTTTATACAACGGGCGATCAGGCCGGCTGTTTCTTGCCCTTCATAGTACGCGCCGTGCAAGTAGCCTAAGGCAGGTCAATTTTTGGTCAACCAATAACTCTGAATTGATTATCTGTATGTACCAAAATATTTCCGACTCGTGGCTTCGCCTGCGAACCATAGTCTATTCCCAATGCTGGCCTTGATATTCTCATGATCTTCTATGGTCAAGTTGCCTGGCCAATTGCTGTAGCTTCCGCGATATAACGGGTCGCTGAACCAGCGAGGGAAATAGAATGCCTCAGGTTCAGGGATCGTCATTTCTGGATACATCAATTGGAGCACGGAGAGAACCTCTCCTTCCACTTGATCGTCTGAAAGGGCCTCAATCCGTTTTGAAAACTCGCCCTGTCTTGAATCGTCAGCTCACATTCACGATGACGATTGCTGCACTATACCGTCACCGTCACGAAGACGACCCCAGAACCAGGGAAAAATTCTACAGTGTCAAGGTCCTGCCAAACTGGATACCACCCCCGTTTCTTATCCGCAAACAGAGCAAACTAGAAGAGTGTCGAGAACAGATTTCAGGGAGAAGAGGCTTTATACGCACCTCGGTGTCGAACCAAAACTTCTCCGGGAATTGCAAATAGACCTTGGTATACGTTCCCTAACAGGTATCTAGAAAGGCATCGCCAGACATCAGTCGAAAGTGGCTTACCATGCTCATCCCGTGAATTGCCTCCGTCTTCCATTTCGGCAAAGTAGGCTCGAAGATCACATCGTCGTTCTGTAGAACACCCAAGCTAAACGTCACCAGTACGTGATCCGCACTCAAAACCGATCCGTCCTCAAGGACTACCGATACACCATCATCAGAATATTGGATGGTCTTTACGATGGTGCTGAGTAGGATTTGATTATCAGTGAGAAACTCAGCGGCCTCAGCCTGAAGAATGCTCGCAAAGCCACGCTGGTCAATCGAAAGCAGGTTCTCGCTCGAGAAGCCTCCTTGATCAATATTGAAGGTGAGGTTGGCTGCCTATGGGCAAGTAAATAAGCAGTGGCATTCGAAAAGGCAACTCCATACTTGGTCTCTGAACACGAGGCCAGCGCAAGGTCCTCGGAACAACTACCAAAATGGCTCCCCAAGGAAAAAAAGAATTTTACCCAAGCAGCTGCGGCCCAAGAAGTCATCTCAGGAGTCTGAGCGTATTCCCAGTCAAACTGGTAGTACTCCGCAGCCAGTTCCTGGTGAGTCAGAGGGGTGGTGCCGATGGTAGAATAGCCGACACGAGACGTAGCGTCCCTGGGGATATCTCCACCTAATGCTGAACATCAGATGATTCGATTGGGATGCTTATAGCAACGGTAAGTTACCTCCAGCGATACACAATCTTGTAAATGCATCAACAGAGGCATTGAAGACATCAAGGTAGTCCACTTGGCCCGTATAATCGAAAGTTGCTGTCGACTCTTCATGAGCTGTATCGTCGGCGAATGAGGAAGAAGACGGACTCATGCTGCTATGGTAGTGGTTAGCCTGCAGGGAAATATTATATTTCCGTGCAAGCTCGAATATAGGATTCGCAGGACCATCTCCAGACTGCGTCCCGTGGATCCAGTTGGCACCGACCTCCACTCTATAAGACATACTAGGCGACCCAAACAAGGTACTCTTCATTCGTCCTCCAATCTCATCGCGGGCCTCAACGATTTTGAAATCATGGATGCCTTGCTGGTGAAGAGTTCGCGCGGCAATTATACCTGTCATACCACCTCCGAGTATAAGTACTTGTGCGTGGTGTTCACTGGTCCGATCGACCGTAAGAGGTACTTGGAGACCTATGGCAAAAGGAGAAAAAGCGAACCCGAGGAGTGGAAGAAGGCGCATGAAATTAGAAGAAAGCAAGGTAGCGCTGTCAAAGGCGATTGAAAGGTAAACTGGCAAAAGCATATAAGGGTGGGCGTCCAATTTACCAATGATAGAAGGTCGGTGCTGGGTCAGTACTCAAGCTCGAGTTGGGGGTCACTTGAGCATCCGAGCCTCCCGTTATATGTACGTACGTACCACCATTCCGAATAGGATGGGAGGCTGAGATGACGGAGGTATTGGGCGTAAGACACTGCGCAAATGTGATACATGCATCTGTAATACACGGTTTTGGGAATCTCAAACTTACTGATAAGCCCTATTCGGAAAAGACGACAACCAGTGATGCCCTATTGACAGCACTTTCGGACACGGTGGTCTTCTGGCCTAAACCAGAAAGGAACATCTCCGTTACTGAGCGCTGGTCATTTAAGTCTGCCATCCTGTTGAAACGAGCGTGAAAACCAGCTAGTGATCAATGTCGTCTTGTCAAAATCTCAATGTTAGCAAGTGGCCTATACCGTGGGCTTGAAGCTCGAAGTGTCCATGTCTACAGGCTTAGGCAGGTCAGCGAACCAGCGCTATGATTGCTTGATAAGCTCTCTTAGCCGCTGAAACATATCATCTCCGAAACACCAGGGCTCTTCACTTATCTCTCTGGGGCTTGACGCGTGACGGAGCTGTTCCGGATCAACGACCTTGAGGCATGGGCGTGGCAGAGTTGAGTCTCAGTGAAAGGACGGAAGAAAGGGACGAGTCGTACGAGGTCATGCTTACCCTATTTGAATTTGAAAATGTAACAGATTTGGTTTAGCAAAGGAAATCGTAGACTATCGTAAAGCATTGGAGATATCAGAGAGTCATAAGAGTCGAAGCCTCGAGGCGGGCCAAGGAGCATATTGACAAGCGGAAAGCAGCACAACATGATATTGCCAAGGAAGACTGGGTAGCATGAAATCATGGAGACAACGTCGCTGAAATCGGGAAGAGTCAATCCAGTGATGGACATTCAACAAACCTTACGGCATCTCTTCATGAACCGCGTGAATCATCTGCTCGACCTCAAGTTCTTCCAGCAGTATGTCCGTTTCTGAATTCTGATCATCTCCTGGCTCACCTGGGTCTTCAGTCCTCAGAGGCATCGACCCACCGGTGTCCGTCAGCGTTTGCTGAGCCAATGCTTCGAAACCCTCCTCCGTGCTGTCATCCAGAAAGATCTCTGGGTCATCTCCGTCAAGCGCGACGTATGTTGTTTTCACGTTGGCTTTTGCTGTGACGCTTGTAGAAAGAGAGCAATCGCATAGTTGGTGTAGACATCGGGGAGATCTGGCATCTTGCAAGATCATACAAGCCTTTTCACAGACAAACGCCTTGGCCACAGATAATTTCGACGCTGTCATAGGGCCTGCGACGACAGTATCGTGAACAACGACACATACAGTGTCATTTTGTTTTGATTCCGGTCGACCGCGCGATTTCCTGTAGATGGCAAGGTCGAGACGCCTGCCAAACGCCAAATACAATAACATTGTCACGTACCGAAGATATATGCGACGGCACCCTGACCGAGCGGCCCAAACCATGAGCGCAGATACAGGGTCGGGGGGCATATCCGGAGATAGCGCATCCAGAGCATCCTGCATGAGCTCTTCGACGACAGCAGAAGTCTTTTCAAAGTTATAAGCAGAGTCGATCAGGATGGCGGCCACAAGGCTCTCGAGCACGTCGCTGATGACCTTTGGTGGATCATGCGCCCAGCTCTTCAAGACCATCTCTTCAGTAGATGTTTCTTCGAGGATCGGCACATATTGGCTGATAGCAATACTAAGCTCCGTATTGTTGGATAATAGGACTTTGTGAAGGCCCAGGCGTCTCACTGCGATTGACGCTAGGACTGGTGCGCAGACGGCTCGCGTTCGTGGCAAGGCAAGCTGATGCGAAGTGGCATGCTGAAACTTCTTGTACAGATAAGCGATGACCACCAAATCAAGCACGGCTAGAAGACAATCAATGTAAACACGTTAAAGTTGCATGGATCCATAATTCGTACCATCTCCTAAAAACTCGAGCCGTTGATAAGAGGTCCCGTTTGACGAAAACGAGGTATGCGTCATAGCTTCTACCAGCAACTCTGGGCGGTGGAACTCATAGCCCAACACTTCCTGCAATCGGCAAAAAAGCGCCGGTAGGGGTGCTGACTCCGGAGGACGACTATATCGAATAGACCAAGGAAGTGTGCCGCCAAAATTCAAGCCTAGTGCCGCTCCCATGTGCAAAGCCACCGGTATGCCGCCAGTCAAGAAGCTGGCACCGAGGCTAGCCTCCATGCAATCCTGCAAACTCCTCCGCGCAAACCGACGCTTCGCAAAACGACGTGCCTGGGGCTGGGCATAGTCTTGAGAAGCATCAGTGATAACATACCTCCAGGTCTTGTTAGCCTGTGCCTCACTGGTGAGGTATCGCTCGAGACCAATGTCTTTCGCGCGAGATAGTAAATACCGATTTGATATATACCGCTGGCGCAGATCAGAGAGCTGCCCTTCGTGTCGGCGAGGAAACTTGTTGTAAATGTGGACGGATGTGCAAAGCTCGAGTACAGCGTCACCAAGGGTCTCCAAGCGTTGATTATTGAAGCCTGCGTTGGCTTCCGGTATTGTGAAAGCCTCAACGAGGAGATCGTTTTTAATGGCAGGGAACCCCAACTCCAAACGGGCACCACGAGCACGCCAGACATCCGAAACGCGGTGCAAGAGTCGGGGTAGAAGAGCAAATGCCCTATAGATATCCTCCGAGATATTGTACCATGTACACAGAGATAGAGGAACTAAATGTGGTAAATTCCCCCGCGCATTCAAGTTTGAATCAATCTTTGTGGTCAACTGGGAAGAATCGAGATGGTATGTGCCCGAGACCTGCCTGTTGATACGATATCCCTCAACAAGAGGACCATCTAGAGGTATTTCGGGAAGAGAGCCTTTCACTTTGACTCTCTGGTGTTCCAAGTAGAAATCACGGTAGGTCTCATAACCATATTCGAATGAACCTTCTGGTGGTCTCGACAGAGGCGTCAGATCGTGACGAATACGGCGAAGGACATACATGTGTGCGTGCCGGTGTCGATTCCTAAACAAAATTCTATGGTAATGTTCCTCATTGACAGATGTCCAGTCGTAGTTTCCGAATGGGTATTCGAGAATACGTTCCATGGCCTGAAAATCCGGTTGGTTCGTCTCGGCGGAGAACGGGACAAGATAGCACGACAAAGGAAAATCGATCGGTCGACTAGTTACGTACCACCACAAGCCAAACTTCGTGAACTCTTGGAGCAATCGGCGCTGCCTGCGCTCGTCGTCGATGTCAAATTGGACAGGCACAGGCGGATGGGTCCGAACGACGCATCCGTCCCAGGTCAATTCCACGGGTGATCCCAGATCCGTACCAGTGACGAGAGCAACCACACACCTCCCATCAAGGCTGATGGCATGTGTCCACATCTTCTGTCCAAGGGTCCACGGATCTCGAACGACAACATCCATGATGGGTGGAACAGACCCGACATCTGTGGTTAGCGCCTCATCTGCACCACCTCGGCGATCTTTAGCATTACGTGCTGGCAGCAAATAATCGTCGAAAACATCAAGCCTGTGTAGCGCCCTGACGGCGATGAATGCGGCGGCTCGCTTGGCCTCTTTCTTTGATTGCTTTTTGGGACCGGTGTAGATCAGCTGTTCCATCGACAGCGGCAAAGCTGACGGAAGCCGTACAGTAGAGACGAAGTCGCCTGAAAAAGACGGTATTAAGGGAGGGGTGTACGGGTCGCATGGTATGAGGGCGCAAAGACGGTTCAATAGGCTTATTGCGTTGTCGTAGGTGAGTGTAGACCCTGTAGATGGTACGGTATATCGCTCCCGAGCAAAGAGATCGTCAGGATGGATGTAAGTGTCTTCGTCTTCCTCTCGTCGACAAGCGTTAGCATTTTGTTGATACACTTTTTTGATCTCTTCTTCCTTCCCGGAAAACGCTAGATATTTTTCCAATTCCGCAGATTGACCTTCCTGCACCATGACAATGAAGGTGGACGTTTTGTGCCTAGCCCGGCCGCGCGATTGCACATATCCAACCATGTGATGGATGGCGTCGAAGCGAATAACGACGTCACATGCCTCGAGGAGAACGATGTTCACACATACATTATATTGGGCATGCGAACCCAACTCACCGGAAAATCAAGTCCTTCCTCCGCAACCGGTGTAGCTATGACTTTGATCGATATTAGATTTAAAAAGCTGCTCGAGGGATACAAACACCTCACGGAGATTTATTTTTCCCTAAGAAAATGGAAATCACTTTGTCAATTGATATAAAGAGGGAAAGACAAGAATATAATCATCACCTGGCGGAACGCATCAACGATCTCCCTCTGCCGTTTACCCTGCATTTCAAGGAGTGGATCTCCGGTTTCGCCCCCATGGCCGACCAATTCTGCACACGACACTATTCCTCGCAACTGAGGAATGCGAGAAAGAAGTTTCGCCAGACAAGCTGCAATATGCCGCTGCTCTACGAATACAATTCCTTGGAAATTTGCCGTGTGACACGATGTGAGAATCTCGGCGAGTTCCCTGACCTTAGGCGAGCACCATTCCAAACTAAAGGACCAAGAATCAGGTAGGTCCGGATTGTCATCAACAGATTCGAACAATGGTGCATATTCTTCCACCAGTTCGTAGATCTCACGCATTTCAGGGACAAGCTGTTTCGTGAGGTAAGTCAGGGTTGATGTTGATATGGAACTATCGTCGTGGAGCTGTGCGCGCAAGATCTCCATTTCGTCGGACACAGATGGCACCAAAAGCTGAAGAATACGTTGCCGGAGGTGGGAGTACAAGAAAAGTTCGGCGCCAAGGGGTCCGAGGCTTTCCATAGCCACGTCATATCTTGCTTGGATTTTGGACCAGGAGATATCAACGCTGGCAGGGATTTTGGACCAATCAAAACGGCTGTGAATGGTGGGCAAAGGATACTCAGAATAAGTTTCTTGGGAGGCCGGATACCGATGAATGATCTATAACGGTAAGAAACTCATCTTGATTAGGATGAAGATGGATCGAAAAGGCAGTGATACCTCTGTGGGTTTTGGTGCATGGTTTTCAAGTTCGATCGCGTGATGCATAACAGTGATCACCTTCGCATCCATATTCTGTTCCAGCGCGGCGATACTCTGCTCTGGATTAGTCGTCCGCCAGGTTGGTGAGGCTGTCATGCCAAATATTTTGGGACGCTGCTCCCTGGGTACATGGCGATAGAAATCTCTCATGACAACGTTTGTAGGGTTGTTTCCCCTGGTGTGATGACATTCGTCGATGATTAAGAGGGATACCTAACATGAGATCAGGATCTGTGCGTGGAATGCCAAAAAATGTGCAAGATCGCAAGAACCTTTTCCAGGCTCCAGTTCGAATGCGTCAGAAGATTGAGAAGAATCTGGGCTATGAGGAGTTCTCAGTGACTCTATTGGTTTCATCTTCTAAAGTGATCGGAGACGTACCGGTCATGACGAGCACATCTGAACGATCGAATATAAATTTCCATCCACTGCGGTCCGTCATGTCCAGCGCGGTCGTTCCATGTATTTGCTTCACGCGCAATGGGGTATGTTTTGCGATAAAATTACCTTGCTGTTCTACCAATGGCACCTTCGGCACAATGAATATGATAGCTTTTCCTCGATTGCACTCCTGCGCTGCGGTCCACTTGATGAGCATGATGCCAATGTATGTCTTGCCGCTCCCGGTATCAAGGACAGCGATGACATTTCCGTTCTGTGCTTGTAAGAATATTTCTTCTTGATAGTGGCGAGGTGTGATAGAATGAATAGTCTGGAGAGAGACTGGAGACGGTGATGGCATGATGAAGGGCAGTCAAAGGGCACACTGAAAAAATACACAGATACAACAAGGTCGGGTCAATCTATACCGCACGACGGCGAGATCACAGGATGAGTGTAGTAGATACTGGCGATAGGAGAAAACGGGGAAGGCCGCTGGAGTATGTCGAGGGAAAAGTAAGAGGCTCGAATAGTCATTCCAGTCAGGTCGCCGTCTTGCGTAGCTGGAATTCCAAGTTGCTTCTTTCTGCTTCGCAGTCGCGCAGTCCAGCACTGCTGCAGACATATCCTGAACCATAACCTCCATTATCATGGCCATCAACCCGAACGAGGATACAGAGTTGTGAGTAGAAACATATCTCTGTCTGAGCTTTACCGACAGAAACTCAGCAACGAGGCCCTACGAAAGCACGGCATCCTCCCTCCACGCGAACAGACTCCTCCTTCTCCCTCGCCACCTCCATCGCCCACACTTGACGATATCCTTGACGACTTCACACCATCGGAGCTTCAAGAGCTCGGGGAAGATGCGCACGATGATGATGCTGAACGCTACATTGCCGCGTATCGCCAGCGTGTCCTCACTGAGATGAAGAAGGATACAAACAAAGCACGCTTCGGTCAATTGTATCCCATTGGCAGGGACGATTATACGCGAGAAGTGACGGATGCTAGTAAGGCAGACGAGCCAGGGGAGGAGGACAAAAAGGGCACCGGGGTTGTTTGCTTCCTTTACAAAGACGGGTAAATGAACCTCGCTTGCTTTTGTCCTCTGGAACGCATCTCATATTCGCCCATCATTTCTCAGGATACCTCGTAGCGATCGGGCTTATGAGCATGTGAGAGCCATAGCTGCTCGCCATCCGCGAACAAAATTCGTTTCCATCGTAGGAGATAAATGTCTCCCCAACCTCCCCGACTCCAGAGTTCCAATGTTCATAGTATACAGAGGGGGCGAGATCCGGACACAGATCGTATCTTGGGGAGCCGATCGTGAGCGACGCGTTGAAGGTTTGCCCCAATTTTCTGTTATACTCCAGAGACTGACATGCGACGATAGAATTGGAAGCGATGTTCATCATGTGCGGCGCCATTATACCACCTGAGAGACCACCACCTGGCAGCAGAGACATCGACAGCGAAGATGACGAAGATGAAGAGAGTAATGACCGATCCTCGCAAATGCGATCGACCTCCACCTGGACCAATCACACCACGAAGAACGTACGAGGACCGACGGAGAAAGCGGACGACAGTGACTCGGATTTTGATCTCTAATATATGTATTCCTTGGCTTACTCTCCTGATGTATCAAATATCTTCTATTCAGTGCTGCTGTTTCGGCGACGCTGATGCAGACTTCCAAATCGACAGTTGGCTGGCGTCGAAGTAGATATCATCGCCGAGCCAGAAGAAATTGAGTCGGACATTATAGCGGATTCAACAGGTAAATCCAAGAACAGTAGATCTTTACATTCCACAACATAAACAAGAAAACGATGCGGATGATTTTTCGCAGGCAATGGGACCTTTTCACTCGGCCTCCTCGGCAACGGCTGCTTCATTTCCCTCATCCAGTGATTCTCCCTTGGCTCCCTCTTCTTCAGCAACCTCAACCTCTTCTCCGCCCTTTCCCTCGGGTTCCTCTTTGGCATTCTTGCTACCCATGACGGTAGCGTTGATACTGTTTAGCATGGTCAGCAGTTATCCAGACGCACGAAGCAATACCCACGTCAGCATCACATGGACTTTCTCCTTCGAGTCGTCTCCACTGTCAGGGTTTGGCAACTCGATGGTGATTCGCTTACTGCCCTTCCAGCCATAGCTCCCAGTGGAGAACGTGCTAGGAAGCAAGGTGGTGGTCCCGATGAATCCAGGATCGACGGATGTCGCGGGCGCAGACTCGCCGTCTGCAATGGAGGGAGGAGTATTTGTGACGTTGATATGAAGGGGAAGCGCGCGCGCTTTGAATTGCGACGCGGCTAAGTTTGCCTGCGCGCAAGGATCAGTGATGAGACTAGGTCAGCGCAGTAGGCAGCAAGGGCACTCACCTTCGGGCCTCTTTTACCACCCTTGGCCTTGGAGTCCGGGCTAACACTAACTCGCGCAGCCTTGGCGGAACCTCTGGTGGCCATACCAGCCTCGTCCGTTTTACGTTTCCTACCTGTATGGTGTATCTGTGATCTACCCGGGGTCCCACGACAGGATGACTTTGCGCGACGCACCGACCATTTCGCTGTCAATATGATGGATGGGAAGATTTGCTGTCAAACAGTCAGTGTGTGAAGGAAGGAGGAATTCAACACGAATGCAACACCGTGAGACAGATATAAGCGGGGCGAGAATAATCAATGTGTATTTGTTCGGGCACTGGACTTCGAATTAACTGCTCCCTAACAACGCGCCTGACGCGTTTATGATGTCACGCGATGTCCACTTGGAAGTTGCCACGCAAGCCCAAGCAAGGCCATGTACTTTCTAAGAATATCCTAGCTGATCAATTGTTTGGTAATGTTCGATATGCTCGAGCTGAGCGGGTCCGGTGCCTCTCTAAGCGTATGTTCTCGAGAGTCTCCCAAAGCAACACTCGTCATCAGGACGAAGATCAATGTTGATGCATTGATGGGTTGCAGCTTTCACAAGACATTATATTCTTCCCCGTCGAAGGGGTGCGTGACGAAGGCATCATATCAGATCTCGGTGCTTTCGCTCTAGTCAGCATGTATCCATTGTTAACTTATTTTTGACGACAAGTACCATCGCATGCAAGCATCATACGCACCATTGTAGATCACAGCGTACATTATAGTCGCCAGAGATCAGAATTGTGTAGTATACATAGTAATGACACAAGAATCGTGTCCGAGCGTGTCGACAAACCCCTCGGCGAGGAGCTTACTCGGTATCCTTTTGCGAACTCGAGAATGCGCCATCATGGTGTGTGCTCGTCGTATGCAACTCGTTGAGCTCGAACGCTGGTCGCTCAACTTCCTGATGTCCTCGATGGAATGAACGATACCGTGGCGATGGTGATCGCGGGCGAATTTCGATTTCAAGTGTCTGTGATGCTCGTCAGCCAGCTCTGTATACGAGAATTGATTAAGTAGGTCACACACAGTGACTTGTTGCGTCGTAGTGAGCATAAGGGACTTGTATGTCTCTGATCCATATTTGATCTGCAAGATGATCAAACAATATATGATGCTCTAGCGGTGATCAGTCGGTCAGAGCAGATTTTCACTGTGCAAAGCATATCAGGCAGATATCACTCACTACAGTTGATGGAAGTAGAGCAACGGCTGTGAAGTTTCCAAAATTGCCGATGGCTTCTGTGCTGATAGCGCCCAACGAGTTGACAGTGTACAAAGCACCGCTCTCAATAAGGACGATTACGATCGGTCGAAAAGTACGCAGTCCGTGAGGGAGTTTGCGAGCATGATATCCACACCAGAGGGAAATGACACCTACAATGATCACGCCTCAGTCATGGAAAAAATTGCTACGATCTTTCAAACAGGAAAATTTGAAAGTGCTCACATGTGCAATAGAAATTAACCGCTAGCGTCAGGGAAAAGTACGCAGTGACCCAAGGAAGAGCTGCGTCTTGCCTATTGGTTGTTTTGGCATGCACCCAGATGGCAGCATTAGCGCCAGTTGTCACTGCAGCAATTCATTGAACAATTAATTATTACAAGAGATGAAGTAGACAAACCTAGACCACCGATAGTGAAGAGCAGGGGTATAATTATGACCCATACACGTTTATTGTATATGGTGTAGCATCGCCAGACCTTCCATCGGAGAAGGAATAAATGGTACAGCGAGGCATCAGACGCACAATAATATCTAAAGGAAATGATGGGCACACACCAGGACGCAGTCGCCGACCAAGGTCTGCACAGCTAGAAGTACCGTTTTGACCAAAAACAGCGGGTTCTTGAAGTTGAGGTAGTAAAAAGGCACCAGCCGCACGAATGCATAATATGCTCTGACAAAGTCTACGATGAAATGCTATAGGACCAAAGATATGCCGCAATTCAGCTAGAACGAACGATGAAGTGCACATTTCACTTACAATCAACGCTATCGCCAGCATCAAGGTGGTAACGGGTATCAGCCATCCAGTTGAGTGGTGCGTAGGTAGTCGGAGCTGTATGAAGGCAATCACGCAGCACAGCGTGCACAATATTCCTATCGGCAGGATCAGTTCAAATGAGAGTGCATGTGAGATAGTGCACAGTAATGTACTAACGTACCGACCATGAAGGCTTCCAGGAACAGTCCAAGAAATTGTGCTTCATTCATAGAGATCGCCATGCTGCGCGGTGTGGTTCAGCTGATGGCAGTCAGCAGCGAGAGCGTCGAAGGAAAACGTGGCTGCTTGATCTGAGCATGAAGGTACTTAACTGCTGGCGTCAGGATAGCTGCCGTTATTCATCAAAGCCGCAAGACCGAGAAGGCTAGCTTTTGCAGAGCTGTTCACACATGTATGTCTTCTGCATCAACGGAGACCTCCGCTGGTCGGAAGTGGCACAACCTTCTGTAGGCTGGGTCAAAGACATGACTTTGACAGCGCGTCTGAAGTGGTCTTCCAGACGATATCCCACGGCTTTCAGTGGATAAATCGGACTCATCTAAGGTTCATTCGGATCCTTCTCATAGAGAGTGAGGCGGTGTCTTGGCATATATATATAATCATCCACTGAGCGCTCAGATAAGGGGCCGAAGGTATGTTTGAAGTAGACAGCTGCTTGCGCCTCCGAGTCGCGTGTCGTGATGCATGATGGGCAATCGATCGGACAATGCCGTGGTTTCCATGATCGTGCTGCGCCAGCGACCTGCGAGTCAGGGGCGACAAATTCATAGTCAGCTTCGAGGGAACTCCGTGCTCATTCAGTTCGCACGCAAGTCAACAAGGTCATGGCGCTACTAAAACCAATGGACGTGCCATTGTCGTTCATAGCACTTGAGCGACTTGCTCTTGAGTCCGATGTGGCATCGTTGGTGATGCCCTCACCGACTTCAGGCTTTTCTCCGTCTAAGTATCAAGTACACACTTGAACATGCAAAGCCTAGGCATGGTAGTGCTTCGTGACCGACCCGGACAACAATCGATGATCAACAGCCAGAAATAAACCTTTATAGTAAGGATCGTGATATCGTATAGCAAAGAGGGGGGGCGACGATCAAGTAAGGAGGGATGCTACTGAAACAATGCTAGAAACTACAAGTAAGTGCCAGCTACCAATGGGTTTGCGAGAGAATATGCTACAGTCGGATGCGAGATGACAGTGGGAGAAATCGAAGGTAATGTAATACCCACAACAGTCACTCATAAGTGTCGTCAAAAGACTAGTCTAGCCACTGTGGTCCGACACGCATCTACAGCACCAGGGCAAGAACGACACTGACGAGCGCCAACGCGATGCCTGCACCGCTATCAAGCCTCATAGCCCCATTACCAGATGAGTTATTTGAACTTGATCCGTTAATTTGCATGGCGCGCGCCTGGAAGGCATTGAACGTATTGGGGCCGGACTCCACCGCATTAACAGAGAAGACCATGCCCGAGCCGCAATGATTGGCCTGTGCGCAGTACGTCCATATGGGAGCGGTCTAGGGGTGCGATGATTAGCATCGGCATAGCACGGTTCACTATACACGATACGTACATCATTGACTCGGATAGTCCAAGTGGGAAAAGAGGTTGCGTCATCCGCGACAGGCATGCTGGAATGAGGTGCTATCAATACCCACACCATATCGCAGATGACATAAGTTGACTGACTATCCAGAGTTGAAACCGACTTGGCCGCTAGTTGATGTGTCTGACAGCTTCCGGCAGGGGGCAGCAAAACTAGATTGGGTAGCCGTGTGGTTCTTCTGATGAAACTCGAACGTAACGGTGTCGCCAGGCTGCGCCGTGATGTTCGACGGCTGGAATGTCAGCGTGCCAGGGCCTCCGACAATAACCTTGTGATCAGTGCCCTGTCCCGTAGAAGAGGAAGCGGCGGTCGCGGAAGAACTCGTGGCTGTGGCCGAGGATGTGGCAGCAGTAGACGAGGGAGCAATAGAAGACGACTGAGATGAGGAATTTCCCATTGCAGCGGCTTGGAAAGCAGAGAACTTGTCTGCGGGGTTGATGGCAAAAACCATGCCCTGTTGACAATGGTTTGCTTGACGGCAATAGACCCAAACGGGATTGGTGTCTGCCACAATGAACTGCGCTGCGGGAAATTGGGTTTCATTATCGGCCACGGGAACACTGTGGGACAAAGTATATTAGACAAGGGAAGCGAGAGGATATGGTCCACATACAACCCAGTGTCAAAACCACCGTCAGCTGGCTGGCAAGGATTCGCGAAGGTAGATTGTGTCGCCGTGTGATTCTTCTGCTGGAAAACAAAATTTACGAGATCACCAGGATCCGCTGTCTGGGGCCGCCGGACATGTCAGGCGCATGAAAAACACGTAACACACCACAGAACTCACCAGGGACGACGGATTGAATTGAAGAATGCCTGGGCCTCCAACAGTAATCTGGTGCACGGCGCCTCTAGTCGAAAGGAACGCAGCAAACGAGACCGCAGCGGTAAGGGCCGGTAACGATGGTAACATGGCGTGTACAAGTAAACTATGGATGACAAGAGTTAGCGGTCGCAGAGATGTGTGGTGTATGGAATGCTGGGCGGCTGCGTCGGAAGTGACAACCAGGTCGAGGGCAGAATGAGATAGAAATCCTCCATGTTCAATCGAGGGCCTTTATAAGTGCTACGAAGAGTGAGTGGACAATAACGCTTGGACAATACAGTGAGGCCGAGCGCGTCAAAAGCCTAAAACACGTCAACAAAGCCACACAACGACCACAGCCACATTTCGACCGGCTTTGTCCCTCTTTGTTCTGAAAGGCTCTAATTTCAAAGTCCAAAGAATGCAGTGAGGCCCCCACAAACGTTAAGACAAAAACACACAAGGATCCATAGAACAAAATCTTCCGAAGCAACAGTACACAGTGATCGAAATAGCCTATAACGGCGGCGTCCGTGGTGAAGTGACAGATACAAATGTGGGGGAATACAGCCAGCTCATCACGCGTGGCGTACTACAGAACAGACTTGACAAAACCAATTAACGATGTCGTCCAGCGTCGTCACACGAACTGTTCCACGAAACTTCCCCATTTCTCGATCACTGGCTTAACGATAAGGTCCCATTCCTTCCTCTTGTACGGTCCGTCCTGCGCTCGCGCAAAGGAGAAGATCTCTTTGTGGACTCTACCACCTATTGCCATTGATCCTAATCAGCAACCAATCATCTTTATTCACGGAGAGGTAAGAACACGCACAGTCGATACATGTCTTGCGGCTTCTATTGAAAAAGTCACTGTCATCGATTTTATCGGGGTCGACATCGCCAGGGAAAGCGGGGTCCAGATGCAGGTTGCGAGCGGCCAGATCGAAGAGCTCGATGTGCACAAGTCGCTCAAGGCGGTGGCACAATGCACCTTTTCGACCCGCTTCCACTCGCCCCGCCATCAAACGTATGACGGTATCAGAATGTGTGCCATCTGGCCACCATCCAAGTAGGTTCGGCTCTGTGGAGTTGCACTGCTTGTTCCATTGGTCAATGCGATTGTTTAAGACTGTCGTACGTCCGACTTTGATGTGAATTTGGTTGGAATCCAAACCAAGCTCTGCGGGGGATATTTAGATGAATGACGACCAGCACTCCACTTGAATGACCGCATACTTTCTATTTCATAAGCATAGATGTAGCCATCTTCGTCGCTGTCCGAGCGAGTCTTGGTCATCTCTGCACGAAGGCTGATTTGCGTCGAACGGTGAAGATAGTCCGGGATCCAATCTAGAGAACCGTCAAGTCTGACGATTCATTGACTCTAAAAACCGTACCTTGAAATCTAACAGATTCTCCCGTCTTTGGACTTGTGAATTTCACTCGCTCAAGCAGCGTGTCCGAGTGCTGATAGCAAAAAGCCACATCCTGGTATAAACTTCTCTTGACTTTCCTCGTGCACTTTTGACCTCTGAGGGTTATCCCGTTGCATGGAACATAGTCTTCCCCTTCGACGCCGGCCGAGGACTCACGCTTGCGCCGGGAGGATCGCGGCGTTTTAGTAGATGCGGATTGCGGCGTCTTAGCAGAGGCAGATTGCGGGGTCTGAGTCAAGGCAGTCACGGATAATTGGGCGACTGGATCTGAATACAGTCGCGGAGGGGTGGACGGGGGAGGAGGAACTTTTAACTCCAAGGAAGGATTTAAAGCATGGTACATCGTAAGGGATTGTCCATGATCATGCTCTGGTATGGGCATAGGCATGTGTGCAGGGCGCGCACTGGTCATCCCATCGTTTGTTGCGCCGTACGGAGGTTGGGGAAGACGTGGTGCGGCTTGATAGAGGATAGGAGGTGGAGGCAATAGTCCTGGATGAAAACCCCCAGCGAAGGGTCCGGCTTGGGTTGTGTATCGACTCCCTCGACGAGGAGTGCTGATGGGCGATTTCCCAGATAGACTAAGCCCGTTGAAGCTGTTGAGAAGACTCTGTGCTGGGTCGCTGCCGTCGGCCTGCGCGTGTTTGGATGGGGTGGATTTACGTCCGCTCATGGAAATGAGGTTGGGTCGGGTTCAGCGAATTGTTAGCACTAGCCGGAGTCTAATATACGTCCGTGAATACAAAGAAACGAGGATCATGCGTTGCTGTACTCGTACAAGTGGCAGTGCACCTTGTCATCACGCACTGTCAGGAGACTCGTGGAGAGCCTGAGCCTTTTTGTAAAAATCCTGTGCAAATAACAACAGAAAGGACTTCAACGTATCATGTTTTGGTCACATAAATTGCTATTTCTCATGTCTCTCTAAAATACCGTGTATAGTGAATGGTAAGGCAGGATGAACCATCTTCGAGTCAGGAAGTCAGTCGAATATCAGGCGTATTCTTGATAATGGCATGAATTTGATAGATACACGAGATGGGGGGATGAGGCCAGACCAGGACATGTCGAAATTTCTAGTGTCAGATACCTTCGTGCATTGTTCTTTCAAGATACATTTAAACTTTTGAACCCCATCTTCTGCGTAGAAAGTTGAAGACAGTGTTGGGTACATTATAAAACGGTCAAACCAGTGTCTTATAGTCAGGAACCTCCGCTAACAGAGTGACAGATTTTTGACCTATCGGTCCATTAGCAAACAAGGGTCAAGGACCCGATGTGATGAAGTACAGAAGAATGCACTCACCTCGAACGAATGTTGACCATTTTGACGATCAGATGGACGTCGAGTGCGAGACTACAGGAATTCTCAACAACAGTGGAATTTTGACATCGACAGATCATCTCCAAGAGTTGAAGGCAGGCCGAAGTGAAATAAAATGAACAGAGGCGTGTATGAAATCATCTACCTTTGTCGACCCATGTCTATATATGTCCCAAGCCGATGAGTGCCCGGGAGCGTAATAGGAGAGGTGGAAGGTGTCTGAAGTCGCACGCACCACGGTAACGGTGACTATGGTTTACAACCGTATCCTGTAATTGAGAGCAAATTTCAGATACAGACTAAATGCCTGTCGACGAAGAAGATTGGCGATTTCCATCATGAAGTACTACACCATACAACCTAATACACTCGCAAAGGTGACTTCTGTACTTAGCGGCTGCGTGATGTCGATATCGCTGGGCAAAGTGATTGGTCCGTCTGCTACTGAAGTGAATAAGGCGAGGACCTGTTGATGATCATGGGTGGTTTAGCGCTTTAGCCATGACGATCCTTGTTGACTCCTTGTAGCTCCTTGTTTGGAATCGAAGTGGGGTCATATACTACTGGTTTCACGACTGAGCGTCTATTCCTCACCTTATCCCCCCAGTACGGTTTCCCAGCCTCAGAGACAGGTAAGCCTGAAAGTTTGCACCATCTTTCAGAAAAGATGAAATGCACTGGGCTCTGATGAATCTCGATGTCATGCTCTACGCCTCGCCGAGGCGGCGGCCTAGAAAACCGTTTACTGAAATATTCTTTTTCCCACGGTCTTCAACTCTCTTCTAACCCGCCTTGGTTTCTGCATACTTTATCAGGGCCGCTCCTCACACCTCTTAAATCGACAGTAGATGGCAATCATGGACGTAGACATCGTCCAACAGGGTTTTTGCGACGTCATGGAGGAAATGACTCGCAGCCTGTCCTCTGTGCGTGAGCTAATCAAATCTTTGCGCGAAAAGTGTGTGTCTTTCCCCTTGCTATTCTGAAATCATTGACTTGATGGTTTCAGGCAAAATAATTCTTCGGATTACGATTTTAAGGAAGGGATATCCCTTCTATCCCTCAAGCACCACGTCCTACTGTCTTATATGCACTCCCTTGTCCTTGCCGACTCCCGCAAGGTTATTGGTCAACCTTTAAATGATCGTACTCCGCCTTGCCTCCCATTCAGCTCTTTAGAACGAGGTTCACGAGGTTCAATGGCCGGTGACCTGGTAGATTCCATGATAGAGGGTAGGATTGTCCTAGAAAAGGTGAATGCCCTAGAGGGCAGAATGAGATATCAGATCGAAAAACTTGTCCGGGCCGCGGAAGACACCAGCCAAGGAGTTGTTGATGGTACGTGGGCCTTGAAAACTGCCGAGGGCAAATCAGCTCATTGTGGACTACCCAGACCCTCTCGCATTCAGACCAAACCCTCAAAACCTCGAGAACGGGAACATGAGCAGCGACCAAGATGATGGTGATGAAGAAAATGACAGCCATGATCGGGACGGTATATACCGCCCCCCTAAGCTTGCTCCTGTGCCCTATACCGAGTCCAGCAAAGACAAACGTGCGCGCCGTGCGCCAATCCCTGCTGCCCTTTCCTCTTTGGCCCACCTTGACCCTTCCCGTCCATTCGTGGAATCCACGTCGGGCTTGGGCGCCACTCCATCGATGCAAAGCACCCGTGCACGGGAGATCCAGCGCATGACGGAGTTTGAGGAAGAGAATATGACACGCTTGGTGCTGAAGAAGAAGGATGATAAGAGGAGGCGAAAAGATGAAGAGGATATTGCACTCGGTGGAACAGGTGGGATCGTCGGAAGACGGCGTGGCGGGGGCTTGGAAGACGAGTTCTCTGACGTGCTTAGATCTGTCGGACGGACGCGCATGGGCGCGGTCGGGGACGGTTACGAGGAGCTGAGGACGAAAGGAAGGAAGCAGGATGCGCTGTCGAGGGCAAGGACTCGGGGACGAGATGAAGTTGATGGGCCTGGAGGTGATGAGCAGAGACAAAGAAAGAGGAGCCGGTTCGAGAAGGAAGTGCGTGTTGCGAAGAAACGGATGTCTGCCAAGAACAAAAAGTAGTTTCAGAGTCCAGACTTCACATATTCATAGCTTCATATACAAAAACATTAGGATATCGAAAGTCTACCTGCTAGTAGTATGTTATCTCAAATGACTACCATCGCAGAAAATTCCAGTAGGGAAACACTTACCGGCGACACAGAGCAAAAATCTATCAGATCTACACGGTGTGCACACATTCACTTTTGTCCCCTTCGGGGTGACATGCGAAAAAATTGGAACGATACAAAGAAGATTAACATGGCCCCTGCACAAGGATTTGTTTTTCTTATTTTAATCAATTTCAAATTTAAACATGTCATATGAAATGAGTCATCTTCCTCCCACCACCTCCACCTCCTCGCAATACCAAAGACATGCCTCCGCGAAAGGTTCCTCGTGTAACGTCACTCCAAATCAAATCAACGGCTACTTTCTCAAGGCAGGCGTTACCATCACCACCGCCGAACAAGAGACGAAAGTTGGATATAGGCAATCTCAGTGATGATAGTCAAAGGTATGGCAAGCCACAGCGAGTCGTTGCATTCTTTATTGTCAGCTCACTGCGTGTGACGCGTCAGGGTTGTCGAAAAGGCATCGGAGGCATTGAAGAGCGCTGTATTAGTTATAGAAACGCGTCCTAACATGGCTGATACTACTGATATCAAGCATGCCATAGAGAACTTGGAACGCGACACGATGGGGGAGAGTTGGTATGCTGCTCTGCGGGATGAGTTCAAGAAATCCTATTTCCATAAAGTAAGTATATTTTTTTGACTCGACGGTATTGGACTTACGGTAGCCGTTTCATTGATGTGCTAGCTGAAGATGTTCTTACTAGCTGAGCACAAATCACAGACGATCTACCCTGCTGGTCGGTCTTGAGACATTTCTCAGTTACCAAATACTGAACGAGGGTTCTCTCCGTAGTACGCGATATATACTCTTGGTCGCGCCTCACGCCGCTGCAGTCCGTGAAAGCGATCATCATCGGACAGGTGCGTCCGAAGTCTTTCGAGTACAATGCCACAGCCTATCATTCAGTTCACAGGACCCGTATCACGATGTGGATCAGGCTCATGGTATCCTACCTCACGTATGTGTCTTGTGATACGACTGATGTACACTATTTGCCTTAGGTCTAGCATTTTCCGTTCCTTCTCCAACCAAGCCGCCGCCTTCTCTTAAGAACATCTACAAACAGATCAAGGATGATATCCCGTCATTCGTGATCCCTTCCTCGGGGTCTGCCACCTTTTGTTCACTTCGACCTGCAAAGACAGGATACTCATCACACAGATTTGCTTGTTAATTGCCACTAGCGACCTCACACCGCTTGCGAAGTCAGGCGTGCTCTTCCTCAACACATGCTTGACCGTCCGCGCGCACAAAGCCCACTCGCACGCGCGTAAAGGCTGGGAAGAATTAACGACTGCAGCGCTTCGGGCTGTCGTGCATCGTAAGGCTGCCAACGACGACGATAATAACCGGGGCGTGGTGATCTTAGCGTGGGGACTGTCTGCGCAAAAGACATGCCTTGCGGTTGGTATAGACGAGGTGAGCACTGGAAACTCGATAATCGCAAATCAGCTGATGAGTGAGCTAACTGTGTCAACGCTCAAGAATAAGCATCTTGTTTTGAAGTGGGTGATTTTTGTGAGCTCGCATGAGTGTTCTTGGCAGATCGTTGACCCGTTGGTGATAGATCAGCTCATCCATCGCCATTATCTGCGTACAGAGGTTTCTTCGGAAACGCGCATTTCAAACAAGCAAATACGTGGTTGGAGTCGAGGTATGGGCCTGGTCAGGGCGTCGACTGGACTGCATTGAATGCTTAGAAATCTACGGCCTTGCTTAAACCTGATACCATATAATTAGCACGCGCATCGACTGCTTGTAACTGATGCGTCTAAAAATTGCGAGCAAGCGGAGACATAAGCCAAATGTATATCTGTAAAATGCCAAGCGGATCTAGAAGATCCTCGCCTGGGAAAATGACAAAAGATCTTTGCAGATTACAGACCTACAATCATGTTAGAGAGTTACCCTTAATACAGCAGATACTGTACCGGCGGCAACTCTGTCTACTGTCTCTCTGTTTCTTTGTTCATCGTCGTCGATGTCAACTGCTGCATATCGCCCCACGGTACCTATTACGCATCAAAGCCAAACTTTCCCCCAGCCTATCACTGCTCTCTGTTTTGACCCCGTCTCCGATACACTCTGGTCAGGTACAAACACTGGCCATGTTGTCGCCTACTACACACCACGCGGGATGCGTGGTGTCAATTTCCCCGTCGGCGGTAATCTTGCAGTCAAGAAAGTGATCGCAGATGAGAATTATGTACGCGCAAGCGGGGTCGCAAGTGAGGGAATCGGCTCGTGGAATAAGGGAGGAGTCAACAAGTGGTATCATCGGTATGCCTTGTGTTACTGATCTGCGTTTTCGATACATAATTCTGACCTTTTCATGCCGTTGCGATGGCAGGCCTCCTGCCGCTACTGTGACTACGTTTTCGAACACCTCAGGCTCATCCAACCTTCTCGCAGTGGCGACGTCGGCGCTCGAATTACTTCTGCTTAACCCTTTGACTGGCAGTGTTGTCCGACAAAGCATATTTTCTTCTCCTGTGACGCAGTTGCATTATTCACATTCATTTCTTCTTTCTGGAGACGCTAATGGATTCGTGCGTTGCCACGATCCACGCACTGGTCTCAGGAGAGACGGTGGCGCAGAGGCTACTGCTAAGGCACACGAGAGCGAAATACAAGGATTACAGTCAAGTGGAAACTGCGTTTATACTATCGGCTGGGGACTGAGGTATGTTTCCAACCCATTCAAAATCTTGTGATCTTGAGTTCAAAGTGGTCAGACAATCACGTCCGATACCTGATCCGCTGGTCAAAGTGTACGACATGCGTGTAATGCGTCCGTTGCCCCCTGTGCCCTTCCCTGCAGGCCCCGCTTTCATCAACTCCCTTCCAAGACGATCCTCAAGCATTGTCGTCACGTCGAATCAAGGCTTGGTCAATATTGTCGATACGTCGAATCCCACCAATGCGACTGAGTTTTATCAGGTATTATCTGCCACTGGGAGATTGATTTTGAACCGTTAATCAACGAAACAGCTCGATACTCAAGTACCCATCAGCTCTGTGGCCGTCTCTCCAACGGGTGCATACATGGCGTTCGGGGATGCCGACGGGGTGATCCACCTCATGACGGCTGCGGATGATGAAGGTGTACATCCTTTCAACGGCTTTGAGGGCCAACCAGTTGAATGGGCTGATACACCAGAGCCGTTACCCGACATTCAATGGACAGACTCAACGTAAGGGTCCCATCACTTCCCTAGGCAGACTGAATCATGATATGTTAAAGACCACTCAACTCAATCGGTCTACCGTACTATGGATCGCTGTTGCTTTCATCTTGGACACCCCAGTTCGAAGCACCGCCTCAATACTCAAGCGCTCCTGAAAAGATCCCCCAGCAGGTGCTGAACACGATGAAGATGAATGATAATATAGCATATGCACCGTTGCCGAGGGAACTTAAGGGACGGAGGAATATGGTCGCTACGGCACCGAGGAAGGATCAAGCTCGATTCAGGAGCGGGAAGTTATCTAGGCCGGAGGTCAGTTCAGTGCATTTTTCTTGCTGGTTGCTCATCGATCAGTTGACCTGTAGGCCGAGCTCACGTCTTCGGCGAATGAGGCTCGTTACGGCTTGGACGATGTACCACCTCGTTATGCTAAAGTGGAAATCGCGTACTCAAAATTCGGAGTCGAAGACTTCGACTTCGCGTAAGCTCAAGATCATATCCTTCTATCCTAACTCCTTTCAAATCATTTCCTATAGCTTTTATAACCGGACGGAGTTCAGCGGCCTCGAAACACACATTCTCAATTCGTACACGAACCCTATTCTTCAAGTCATGCATTACAGTTACCCGATCCGGTGTCTAGCCAAGTCCCACATCACCACCAACTGCACAAGAGAGCATTGCCTTCTATGCGAGCTCGGTTTCGTCACACGTATGCTTGAAGATGCGCGAGGTACAAATTGTCAGTCAAGTAATTTTTGCAAGACTGTGGGTGTCTTGGCGCATAGTATGTCCTGCTCTTTGTCAAATTTATCACAATTCTTACTTCTGCGGGTCGGGATCAAAGTCGAAAACAAGATCGAACTCGTCGATTATGGACGTGATAGCATTTATATGGACTATGCTCACATGATCCAAGCATTTCACCGCTTCCTCATTGACAAGATAGGCTCCGAGGGAAATATGTTTTCGTCAAACCCATCCATTGTGCCTTCAGCCTTACCTGCGGTCGCACCCATCTCACAACTTCTCGGGCTGAACAGCAAAAACATCATCATGTGCACAAGCTGTAAGGCAGTTCGGGAGAAGGAGCACAATACCCATATCGTCGACCTGGTATATCCGCGTAAAGTACGCAAATGTTCAGCCTGTTGCTCATTATGTATTCCGACTCATCTGACGGTCTACCCACTTTTCTTTATCCAACCTCAGGCTGTCAGCACTGATAGCAACAGTGCCATGGACTTTGCCTCTATCTTATACACGTCGCTCGTCCGGCGGAACGGTTACAAAGCCACTTGCCAGAAATGCAAGCAATTCGTAAACTTCGAGTCGGTGCACTCGATCCCCACGCGAAATCTTCCACCCATCCTCGCGCTCAATGCTAATGTCCATAGCGAAGAGAGCCTTGAATATTGGCTGGATAGTAGAAAAACGACATTCTTGAAACCACGGGTCCAATTGAGGGGCCAGACAGAAGGCATCGATGATTTCCAGAGTGCTATTTATGAATTGCGGGCGAGTATTTTGCTTTCCATCAACACATCGTGACCGCTGACTTCATCACTACAGGCTATGGTTGTGAAAGTTGTGGCAAAGGATAAGCGATCGCATCTAGTTGCGGTAGTCAAAGGTACGTTCGAATTTATGTTCGCCCTTGATTAAAAAACCAACTTTCCTGCCTTAGTCCCAGAAGCGGAAGGCCTCGAAGACAGACAGAGCCCGTGGTATGTCTTCAACGACTTCGTCGTTCACAATATATCAGAAGAAGAGGCTTTGAGCTTTCCAGGCAAGTGGAAGGTGCGTTCCCACCTACCTCTGTATTCACATTGTGTTGACCCTATTTGCAGGTGCCTACGATACTTTACATGGAACGAGTAGACATGCGAGACCGGCTGGATTTTTCGGGCTTGCCTGACCAGATCGATGCCTCAATCTTGAGTCATGATACGTCGATTTCTAGGTCTGTATTGCCATGTACGTTCTTGAAACCTACACTGACGGAATGGATCATCGGATAGCAAACGTGACGAAAACTTAATCAAGCACGATCCTCTCCGACCAGACGAGCTTCCGCGGCCTGGAACACTTGTCGCGATTGACGCTGAATTCGTGTCAATGCAACAGGTATTAGCAGATCACTAGGGCGTCCGAATGAGACCGCTGATTTCTACATGTAGGAAGAGACCGAGTATCGCTCAGATGGAACGAAGAAGATTCTCCGCCCTGCGCGTCTCAGTTTGGCTCGAGTCTCCGTGCTGCGTGGAGATGGGCCGAGGCAAGGCGTCCCGTTCATCGACGACCATATTCATACCAGCGAGGTTATTGTCGACTATCTAACCGAGTGGTCTGGCATCAAATGTAAACATCCATCCCATATATCTCGGAGCTATATTAACACCATTATTTTTTGCAGTCGGAGACCTTGACCCCAATATTTCACCATATACACTCACACCGTTGAAGGTCGTTTATAAAAAACTTCGGCTACTCGTCGATCGAGGATGTGTCTTCATCGGACATGGCCTTTCAAAGGACTTCCGCATTATCAGTATGCTCCCGACGGACTCGCCTGTTATCCCATCCGTTGACGTAATCTTCGCATTTAACCTCAGATATATTCGTCCCACCGGAACAAGTTATCGACACAGTCGATTTGTACTTCCTCAATTCTCGACAACGACGTCTTTCGCTCCGCTTTCTATCTTGGTTTGTTTTGGGCGAGCAGATCCAACAGGATACACATGACTCAATCGAAGATGCGCGCTCTGCGCTCATGCTGTACAAGGCGTATCATGAATTTGAGGAGCGAGGTGTGTTCGACGAGAAGTTGGAAGAGTTATATCGGGAGGGACGCAAGCACGTAAGTAAACATACCTACTGAGCTGTTCGATACTCCGTTGATCGCTGTTGTATGTGACAGCAATGGAAGCCCCCACCAGCTCCGGGAGCAACTGTAGATGCACCGTCCCTCGCGCTGACTCCGGCTGCAACTCCGAACTCCATACAATTCAGCCCATTCCAGAGCAATCTTCTACCAACTCCAGGCGGCTTCCAACGTGCTGTACAACCACCAAATTTTTTCACAATGACCCCACCAACCCGGTATAACGGACCAGCGCCGTGGACTTGATGAGGGCACACGTCATGTAGCGTATAGTAAAGTGTATCACTCTCGTCCCTGCAACTCAAAGCACCCTGTGTACCGAATCTTTCTATTAGAATAACATTCGAAGCCAGGTTTTCAAGACTGTTTGAACACCTGGCTGGACTGTCCGATACACACCAGGCCGCGACGATAAAGGCTATCTGATCTACCGCTGCTGCTGCGATGAGTATAAATAATTGATGATGGATTACACGTGAAACGTTGCTCACTTAAACATACAATTGCTGGCCCCCAACAAGTGCCCATACCTTCTCCGAGGCGAAAGCTACCAGATTGATCACACAGTAGAAAATCATAGGGATGAGTCCCATCAAAAGATTGCCGAGTATACCTCGTCTGGTGATGGTATCCCAGAGCTCGGTCTTGATGATTGGAACGACCTTTTCAGACCGGAAGGGGCCGCGAAGGCGGTAAAACGGGGTGAACGCTGCTCCAAAACTTCAGGGCCGGCACATGGTTTAGAAGACATCCTGATGTAGACGATATCAAAGAAACAACACACCAATAGCATACAAGGACATGAGTCCCATACTCGCTCCAGAGTTCCCAGAGTCCGGGAGCTGCTCCGATGTCTTTCGCTAGTGTGCTCATATATGTCGAGTGATCAACCCCATACTTGATTCGCGCAGTCTCCTTTACGAGAAGATGGTAATAAGGCGGAGGTAAGGGCATCTTCACTTGGCCTTTTAGTAAAGAGACCCAAAAAAATGATTGCATCTCCGCAATCGGTGGAATCGCACCTATCGTATCAGACCAGTGAGTCGTTGTGAAAACGCAAATACGTCCATTGGTGGACTCGACTCACCTACTCCCGGGCGTACAAATCCGATAAATGCGACGGTCTCGTCTCCACTCTTCGCAACATTTCGGATATCGGCCTCCGAAGGTGTTCCGTAGTCACCGTTTTTATCGAAGAAATCAAACTTCTGAGCATATCCAGTGGCATACACAACGGTGTCAGGCCTTACATCGCGGCCCGCCATGCGCAAAGCATCCTTTCGTTTAGACATGGGGAAAACGGCGCGACCATTTGATAGGAAATGTGAAGGGAATGGAGCAAGATCGACAGTGAAGTCTGTTTTAGGGGGCATATCTTCCGGGGGGTCTATGTATTTGGACAGGTACTCCAATAATGCAGGTCGTTTGCGATATGGACGATTGATGTATGGCATTGCTTTGTGAGACTGAATGCAATATGATGAGACATGTGCATATTGTGGACAGTCCACAGTTCACCTTGTTCAAAAAAACATAGGCTCGCCCTAGACGTTCAGGTTCCAATTCTCCGACCTGACGTGTCGTTTAAAACTGTAGAGACGGAGGAAAGATAAGAGGCTCTCGTACCCATTGGTTGCAGCCCGCATGTGTACCTGTACGATGTCAGTCGAATGGAATGTCAGTGCCAAGAGGGAGAATGGTTGCCTGTGAGGATCCACAATACACGTTTGATCACGAAATCAGAGATACTGTATAACATTCTGTGAGATATAGTCAGGTTTGAGAACCAGAGATCAGCTCACAACCACCGAATGTGCGATCCAGCTACCCATGGATGCTGAAGCGAGAGAAGCGGTATTTACGAACCTGTTTGAGACACGATCAAGGATAATATGATACGTACGACGTATGCTGTTTCTGCCAAATTTGTGATCAAGGAGTCAATTGGGACGGGATTTGTTGACTCAAACTTGAAGCCAAAGATTTCGAAGTCATTCTTTCAAGCAAAGATCATCAGCACAACGTTACGAGCATTGCAGCAGATTCTATCACCAGTGCCTTGGGAAACGAGAGAAAGCTAGGTAAAGAGTTCTTCAGAATTAGAGGCAGGATATCAACTGATTAAAATGCGCGAACCCTGCCCGAGAGCATAGTATGACTTCTTTGGCACCTGCTTTGGCAGCTTCATAGGCTATGTCCATCCCAGTTTCGCCAGTACCGAGAATCATGATGCGCCTTCCTTGGAGTTGAGAACGCGATTTGTACTGGGCTGAATGAAAGACCGCAGGAGATACATCCTTATTGCCATCACGCTTCTCAAGGACATGGTTAATGCCAGGAATGTCGGGGATGGAAGGTGTAACGTGCAATCCAGTACACACCGCCACATATGCGACGTGGATAACCTCCGTCTCTGGATATGTGAAAAGGATGACATGGATGGGTAAAGCGCAAGGTGACTGGCTTACTATCTGACCATTCGTTCAGGTCACCCTGTGCGCGCCGGACATAGGTTACATTGTGGCCCCCTTGAATCCTGTTGCGTGAGATATTGACAACTTTGCATCCGAATTGAATCCTCTCCCATACGTGGAAGTGCTTGGCATAAGCTCGAAGGTAGTCAACATACTCCTAGGAAGAAGGCGGTAAGGATAGTGAGGCTGATCTAAAGATAGAAAATCAAACCTCCAGTGTAAGATGATCAGGACAAGTCAGAGGTAGTCGAAAGTCAGAGAAAGCAGTGAGTTGCTTCGACGATACTAAGGTAGCATTCTATGTCACATGCTTTTTGAATCCCATGCTGGAGCTCAGATATGGACAGTTGTTTACCTGGTACGAACGATACTGGAATGTCCCGCCCACATCTTCCTCTTGTTCAAAAATTACGGGATCAAACGGAAGTTCAGGTGAGGATGTCTCTACAAGAGTCTTGCAAGTCACCAATCCTGCTGGGCCTGCTCCAATGATGGCTACTTTCATACCCAAACGCTAACGACGAACTGGAAGGGATTGAGCGTGCAGAAGTATGAACGAGCTCACTATGGTCGGCTGAGAGTGTTCCCGGGCCGTCGATCGTGAGTCCATCCCTGACTATTTGGCTGACCGGAGACAACCGGAGATCACCGACGCTTGTTGTGGACGTTTGTGGACTAGGCAAGCTTCGAGCCTTGAGTTCACCACATTGTACTCGGTGATCTATGCATTAAATCAAGCACTATGATCAAGTAGTCTCCGTTGCTGACCCGATCACACCCTTGCAAGGTCGTGTTCTTCAACCCTAGATACTGTGAGTCCTTCATTTTCGATCCGTATTGGTCAACAGCATGCCTGCCATTTCTCTCGCACGATACAGAGCTATACAACTGGAGCTCATCACGCTTCTTCTCATCGACCTCTGCATCAGCTCACACTTTCAGCCCTATGTTTCTCACGAAGCCATCATGGGTCAACTGCTACCGATCTATCCACCATACCCGGCTTTCGTGTGAACGAGTAGCTTCCGAAGCATGTACTGCTCACTTCAGACCAGTCAACTCTGGAAGAGGTCGGGTGGCACCCTAAGCCGCGTGAACTAAAGGAAAGTGTTCCATTTTGAGGACCTCGCCGGGCTGGGTGACAACAATGGCCTGGGAGTATGATCGAAGCACCTCTTGATGTCAGGCGTTCTCGGCGAGCAAACGGACGATGTTCCCAAGCCACACTATTCAGCGGGCCAGGTTCACACGATCTTGTCATCGGGGGAAGTAGATATACTTATATGCAATGCTTCAAGATCGCCTCAGGCAAGGATGCCTGCCTCTCGCATCGTTGGTGAGTCGCTCAATTATTCCCGTCGATTATGGGCAACTGACAAACAACAGAATTTGGCAGAAGAAATGTTACAACGTTACTCCTTCATCCTGGTCTTGATCCTATCTTTCTATATTGTGATGGCCAAGAAGGGTTCGGAGCACTTAGAGTCATCGACCTCTGAAGCCCCATCATCGACTTCACACACAGCAATGGATGGGAGCAATCCATCGACGACCTCTACTATTACCGTTGCGTCTTCGCTATCGGCGTCGCCAACGTCAGCATCGCCCTCTCCAACATCATCCAATTCTCCATATCTTTATTTCGACTCTCCCGCCAACACTACCACATGCAACGATACGACGTTCTCATGGAAGTTTGAGGGGCAAACTTCCGTACCCTTGACTATACAGATAACGAACTCGCTTTCTGTGCAAATTGCTATAGCCCCAGGATACTCCAGAGCCATGGTTTCCTTTCGCACATTGACGACTGATGTGCCGTCGACCGCAGCAGAACTCGAGTGGTCTCCGGTGGATGTTGATGAAGGATCTTATACAGCTGTAGCATTCGATACATCGCGTGCGGCAGGCATTTTCGCTCAGTCTTCGCCCTTCTTCGTAGCATCCGGTAACAACCGTACTTGCTTAGCGAATTCTTCGTCTACTTCGTCACCATCGAATACCTCCTCACCTTCCTCTTCGTCCAGGTCGTCGACCGGCAAACATTTGAGTCGCGGAGCGCTGGCCGGTACCATCGCCGGTCTTGCCTCAGGCGTCATTATTCTTTTCTTAGCCTTCAGCGTTCCACGTTTACTTCGGCATCATCTTCCTACTCGTCGTAATAGAAGACCTGGCGGGCCTTACTATCTCTTCTGAATACACTATATGGAAGAAGTTCATACATTCCGTTGTTGTGATATATGATCCTATTGCACAACTATGTACTGTCCTTGTGAAGTAATTATAGGCAGCTGTAAAGATACAGTAGAACGGTCTACGCGATGTAACATACTGAATGAAGTTGCAAGAGAATAAACATAACAGAAAACACCCACGATCAACGTCCAATGGAACTCATGAAGCTGGACAGCTCTAGGTCCTGGTACTCTTCTTCAGTGGGCAAGTCCTCCAATCCGTCGAGGATGTTCTTGCTGTTCCCAAGAGCGTGCTCCTTTTCCTTCCTCTTCTCCCTTCGCTGATGGGAGAGCTCTTCATGTTCTGTGGTGTGCTTGAAAAGATCGAGGACCAAGTCCGTGTCCATCGTATCTAGACCTGCGTTTTGCTGCGTCACGACAGAGTTCGCGATATTCAACTTGAATCTTTGTAGACTGTGCCATGAAAAAAGGGGATACGTGAACAAGAGAATAGAGATTGAACGACATAGGACGCACCCCATGATTTTCTCCTCCAGCGTACCCTTGGTGATCAACCGATACACGTTAACAACCTTCTTTTGCCCGATACGATGTGCGCGATCCATCGCTTGAAGATCCTTCATGGGATTCCAATCATGCTCTACGAATATCACAGTATCGGCGCCGGTCAACGTGAGTCCCAGTCCACCGACGTGAGTCGTGAGCAGAAGACAGTCGATACTGGGGTCGGAATTGAATGTCTGAACGACAGCATGACGCTTGTTCGTGTCCGTGCTTCCGTCCAGTCGCATGTATGTCACGGAAGGAAGGTGCTTCTTGAATAGATCTGTCTCGATGATGTCCAACATTTGCTTCATCTGACAAAAGATCAGCACGCGATGCTGGGAGAATGAGTCTGTGGCGGTCGGTTCTGCGTCTGCAAGTTCGCTTTTGGCTGTATCTGCAGCGATAGTGGGAGATCCCCCGATACCACAATCGACGAGCAATTGTCTGTCGTAGAGTGTCAGCGAAGAATTTGAACTATTGCAACCTATAGTTTTACCGTAGGGCTAATAGCTTGGGAGCATGTTGTATATCGCTTAAATTTGAGCTTTCAGGCTTGAGCCCAGCTTTTTCGAATGCTGCTTTGGTGGCCTCCGCATTGTTCTTGAGGACAAGAGCCGGGTGATTGCACAGCTTGCGTAGATACTGAAGTGACTGAAAAACGTGCTGCTGTTCTTTTTTCTCGCCCGACGTCACCTGAGCGGCTTTGACAGCGTCTTCAGCATTAGCGCGCGCCTGCGATTGAGAAAAATCGTCGTAGAGTTGCTTTTGAACATCGGAAAGTTCGCAGAAATAGTCCTGGATGATCTTTGGCGGCAAATCATGGAGAACATCTTCTTTCAGACGACGGAGGAGGAACGGTAACACATGCTTGTGTAGAGCTTCCAACGCCAGCACGGCTAAAGATTTGAGGTTAGTCAGAAAAATATTTACAAATGAAGATGGTCTCAGACTGACCAGCTTCAGGATTCTTGGCTTTGCCATCCCGGTTGGCTATGATGGGCTTGCTAAATCGCTCGTTGAAAGACCCCTCTGTACCGAGGAAACCGGGCATCAAGAAATCGAACAAGTTCCACAATTCCAGAACGCTGTTCTGGATCGGCGTTCCCGAGAGCACCAGGCGATGTTGCGCACGGATGCTTTTAATAGCCTTGGATATCTTGGTCTTCGCATTTTTGATATAATGGCCTTCATCAAGAACACAGTAATGCCAACTTCTCCCTTGAAGGCTGCTGATATCGTTCCTAACCACCTCATACGACGTGATGACCACATCGTAGTTCTTGAGCTTTGTGAGCAGCTTGCTTCGTTCCCGAGCATTACCAGTGTACATGACAGGCTTCAGATTATCGACATATTTGAGGATCTCGTAGTACCAGTGTCCGGTCAGCGTCGGAGGGCAGATGATCAGCGAAGGGAGGTGGACGGAATCAGCGGATTTTGTTTCTTGATACCGCTTGGAACGTTCGTGGTGCTTGCTTGCTAGAATGCAAATAGACTGTAAAGTCTTTCCGAGACCCATATCTATGATGGGGTTGATCTGAGAGCGTGTTAGCATAGATACGAATATACTACTAACCGTCGCAAAGAACGCCGTGTAGTTGGTACTTAGCGAGGAACGCTAACCAATTGACACCGTCCTGCTGATACTTGCGTAACTCGGCCTTGATTGGCACAGGAATCTCGTAATGCTCGACCTTGCTTCCGTCAAGCAATTGAGTGAGGAACTGGCGCTCTTTGTCACGACGCCTCAGTAGTTCTTCCGGGAAGCCCGGAGGAGAAGGCAGTCCAACCTATGATGTATGTTTCAGTGATCGTACCGGTATGAAGAAAGGGTCAGATACCTCTAGTGGAACCATCTTCACGAGTGAGGCAAATGTGTTAGTAGCCGTCGATCGAACATCGTCGTCAGGGTCGCTCATACGCCCAAGGATAGGTACGACCATGAAGATGACATACGGCAGAGCCTTATCGTCAAGTTTCTGAACAACGTCTATTTGCAATGGCAATGAACCTGGTTAGTCTCAGTTTGGAGAGATGACGGGCTATGACTGACTGTATAGAAGTTCAGTGGCACCTTGTCGATTAGATAGGATGAGAGTGTCGTTCAAGAAGGGAATAACGTTCTCAATCAGGTAGCGCATTGCGTCAACCGTCATGACGTCGCATATTGTCGCGAAACATCGAGCAACAGATTGTCGAATTATTGCGAAGCGACTCCGCAAAGCAATTGTCATCATAGGGAAGAGCTCTCTGATCTTGGGCCATAAGTCTTCATGCAGCGTCGGTACAACAGCTTCCAAGACACTCAAAGAATCAATAACATCTTGGCCATATTGCTGTTCGATGAGTCGGTCCGCCTCCTCTGGCAATTCTACACAAAATAATCAGACGGATCAATAGCATCGTTTTAGTATACGTACGAGCATCACATGCGCTGAGAAGCCCGCCGGCCATCGACTGCCACATTTTTGGCACGGTGTCTAGCATCCTAGGCCCAAAGCGTGCCAACAGTTGTACGAACGCAAGCCCTGCACCCCGCCTTGAGATCTTTGCTTTGTGAGCGCTCTCAGCCTTGTACTCCTCTTTCGGACCAGTGTCATTTGCACTTGACGAAGTGGGAAATGACAAGATTGCTGACAAGTGTTTGCGATTATAAGCGAATGTAGGCGTTCGTTCATCGTCCTGACATAAGAATGTACAAAGATTCTTGACAATTTTGTCTGGAGGCTGAGCGAGGTTGTGATGGGCACAGAACTCGATGAAGGAAGCGACAGCCACCGCAGAACGAGTCTGAAGGTCAATGTTCTCTTCATTCTGAGAAGAAGATTAGCATAGAGAAACCGATGTCGACGTATGCGAATGCGGACTGACCTTGATTCCGTTCATGACCCCCTTGACGATAGGGCTGACCTTGTCCGGAGTACTCTTCAAAGCAACAAATGCGGCAGCAAAGGCCGCAGATACACGAATGTCATGCTGTGACTTCACTTCCTTATACCGCTCGATGCTGGTGACAACAGCCTTTCTCTTTTCAGCAATGACCCCCAGCTCCCGCTTCTTCGTCCTACCAAGGCTGTCTTTCAACTTCTTGAAAATATCTCCTACGGCTTCTTCGGCTGTCGCTAATGAGAAGCATCCCGGTTTCATACCCGTGGGATCAATCTCCAAAGCCAATGTGGGGATATTTGACCATGGGATCTTGCACTCGTGGCCAAAGGATTGTAGAAGAGTTGAGCACTCGCCATGAATGCGTGCCAGAGTAAAGGCCATCTCGTGATAGGCTGTGGGTGGATCGGTTTGTAACCATGCTAGAGTCTTGTCACTCAGGTCGCGAGCTAGTGAGGATATTTCGACCAGATGTTGTGGAATTCCGTGTGCGTCACACTGTCTCGCCCATTCCTCTGTGACTATAGCAGTGAGCACTTTCTGGAGCATGCTGGCAGAGTCGATGTAATGTAGAAGAATTGGTTGGAACGTGTCATCGACCAGTTGGCCCTGCGCGTAACGAGTGAGCAATACCACTGTACATGAAACGACCTTACTTACCGGAGAGCCCCAACGGGACATGAGGCAGGCCAAGGCATTCGCAGACGCAATCCTCGCTCTCCAGACCACATCCTGCGTGACCAGCGTGAGATCCTGAGCAAGCATATTCTTGTCCACGTTATGTCGTTCTGTAGCATTATCGATTCCGCCCTCAATCTGAAGAGGGTCGTAAAGAGCTGCAGGATCGATAGCAACACCCATCGGAGTCATCATGATGGCGAACCACTCCAGCAACTGGGCTTGCGGCACCAGTGACTCCATCCAGCCTTGAACAGATTGTAGTAGAGTCATGGTAGTTTTCCATGTTGCGGTCGTGGCATTCCGAACGTCCGTCCGCTCTTCAACTATCAAATTCTGGAAAAGCAGACGCAGAAGCGGGATTGTGACCCAATCCTTCGGTAAGGTCTGCACATTCATGAAAGAGTGGAGCATTTCAACTACAGCTAGGCGGACACTGGGAATCGTATGGCGAAAAAACGGGAATAGGGTAGGCGCAAGCACAGTCAGCGGTCGCCTACGCAAAATTATATCAGTGGCTAGAGCATGATATGACAGCACAATAAGACAGACGAAGCAGATTCGTTGGCCAGAATGTCGATCACTTCGCGGTAGGAGACAAGCTTGCCTATGTGTAGATCAACGACGTGTCAGTAGCATTTCAATCAACTGACAACTTCATACCTAAAAGATCCATAACCATTCCTACGCTTGAGCTCAAGTCGTCTTTCATGTCACGCAGACAGTTCCAGAGAACCGCGAGAACGGAACTCAGACACTCCGGTATTTGTCGAACGAGGTGAGTTGCTACCGGAATCAGACACGATGCTGCCACTGAACGGACATCGTCATCTCGATCGCCTAGGCTGATAATTTTTTTGAGTATTTAACTGAGAATTTAGATAGAAAAAACAGCTCACCCAAGAATAGCGGCGTCAACAACGTCTTGTAGAATCTCCCTGCCACTGTAGACGAAGGCACTAGGTGCCACCTCGACTTCGTCGACTTCCATCTTGACCAGCTCATCCTCGACAACATCGCTGCGCACAGCGACCTCGTACTTGATTCCCAACAAGCCAGCGTGTCGGACTTCCCAGACATGTCCCTTTTCATGAGCACCCTGTTGACGGGGTATATCTGTGTTTTGGGACGATAGAGTGAAATCTTGGCGGATCATTTGTAAGAGAACACGGTGCACATGCAGCACTGAACGTCGAGGCATATGAAGTAGTAGGGAGGCTAGTGTCTGCGAAACAATTTCACGTACAGGCGCTACAACCTAGACGGGTTTAGTGATATATCAAGTTTCGAATAGGCCATGATCACGTACTTGGTCAGAGACAAAATCACCAAAGCGATCTAGGCAAAACACGCATAACAGTTTGGCAGCCAAGTCGTTACACCATCGTTCATGCGCAGTCTCGTTCTCGTCTCGTGAGAAATCAGCTGATGCAAGATATTAACCGAATGTAGGACTCTATAAGAATCGCTCACACCTTTCGTACCGCCGTATTTTCCCTGAGTCTTGAGCAACTCTCTCAGCGCCATAGCGGCGCCATGGCGAACCTCCCATGCAGCACTAAAAAGATCAACCTCAAGGACCTTGACAAGACCGTCCCATATCCAATGCCCAGGTGGCACTTCGAGGGCCTTTGATTCTTGACCAGAAGCTTTGGGCGATACAGCGCCGCCTTTAGTAGGATCGACGACCACCTTGTCTGTACTCGGAGTAGGTTTGGGGCTGTCTGCTCTGGAGGAAGTCACTGGCTTGTCTTCAACCGCTACAAGACGCGCTCTGCATCAAGTATGAGCAAACAGACGTGCCCTCATAATGTCAGACTTACTTGTTTGACAGCCCTGCAGGGGTAGCTTGGACTCTGGCCCCTGGATGTGAAGGTGGCGGGGGGGCAGCAACAAACGCACTGTTGCCCTGTTTGCGCTTTCTTTTCAACCGGTTGCGCTCTCGAGCCGAAAGACCAGTCAAGTCATCTTCGGTCGGTGGTGGAGGTACAGCTGACGTCGACGGAGACGATGCTGCAGGAGTGCCAGACGTAGACCGAGGCGGAGGCGAGGGTTCTTTCAGCTTGGGACCCACATCGTTCGTCGGTGAGATCGGTGAGACGGCAGAAGACGCTGCTTCCGTTGCATCTTCCATCTGCACGTCGGTGTCGACTTCATTTTCCAGTTTCACGAAGTTGATATCCTCCGTGTCCAAAAACTCAAGTCCAAGGCGACGGATAGCTTCTTTACGAGCTTTCGAAACTTCCGAGGAGTTGGCTAAGATTCCCGGAGGCTTCGTAAATTCCTTGCCAGACGAGGCAAGAAGGAGAGACCCTTTTTGCATGAGTTCTTTTACTGACAGCGTTGGAAATTCCGGGAGGGGAAGAGATGTGGATGAAGATGAAAGGTCAGAGTCGAGGTCGTCATCATGGAAAGGGTGCCAGAGAGGGACTAAGTTGAATATGTGGAGTAGTGCAGCAGAAGCAGCTGCTCGTGTTTCGTAAGATCTAGAGTGCAAAAATGGGAGGACCTGCAGCAACGAGCACTGAGCGAGATAGAATAATTTCAAATAGGAGAGTATATACTCTTGCTATGACAGCCATCAACTCTGTCCATCCTAACATGTCTCCCAGAGGAACGTGATGGCGGTGGGAGTACTTGACATCTTCTTCGATAACAACATCGCTAATGACGCTTTTCGCAGCGAGTTGAGCGAGTTGTTTGGCGGCGGTAGTCCTCACTGAGGCAGATGATCCTGTATCAAGTAAAAGGAGGAGCCGGTCCAACCTTCAAAATTATTGCAATATGACAGGTAATAAGCGCACGAACACGAAATAGCCAGCGACGCTTACCTTGAAGACATAACGTAAAAAGAAGGCGGTTCTCGCCGGGCCGTCCGTGCCGAAGTAGCTGCTCTAAAAGAACGATCGCTCGGGGTTGTTTCTCACGGGTCTGAGCCCTCCGCCGACCTTTTTATCAGTTGCGCTGACGAGCTGCGTGACATAAAAAAGGCCATCCCGTGACAGGTCTGTTACCAGCCTGTTACCTCATGCGTGCTAGCCGGCTTTTCGGTGGCGCTGTTTCTTGCTCCTTGTCCCCCTTTTGTGGTCTATTTGTGTCCTCATCACATCAGATCCAGTTCAAACCTTTCAGTCTCAGCCTTGTGGACCTGTTTGAGTGAGCTCTCATCCATCATCTATGTCGTGGCTCGATTGCCTGCTGCATGAGCTGGCAGACGAGCTTGACAATGATTCTAACCGCAACGTGTCCAGTGAGTCTAAATGCTTCCATTGCGAGATCGTGATATTAGGCTTTTTGATCACAATAGATTGACGCATCTCATAACTTTAGGCATGTCATCATGTGGCCCAGAAACAATCTATCATCTTCGAACCGCCGTACGAACTTCTACTGTCGGATCTGTATCTTCAAACTTGCTCGACGAACTGGCACATGTTGCATACAATGCCATGTCTACAAGTCGTCAACCGGATCCTGCTTGTTGGAGACGACTCTACACCGACGCTTGTACTATACGCTCTATCGTGGACGTAAATTATATGCATGTCTTCGATGAGCAAATCGTCAGAGCGTCCATCGCGCGCCTCGATCGTGTGTTGGTAATCGCGGGTGCCCCAGGTGAAGGGAGGAGAGATCTTGTATTGAGTTTGATATCTAGACTGCAAACGGAATATCTTCCGTCGAAGACCTTCGAGCCTCCCTTCTCTCACAGCCTCACTCCTCCAGATACCTGCCAATTGCCATCGACCGCATCGCCTACAAAAGCTATCCCGCGCTTCAACAAGCCTCCTTCTCTCATATCGTTCCAACGCCAACTCTACCAGCAGCCGTTCATACTCACTGGCTATGCACTCGATTGGCCTGCCATGAATGATCATCCTTGGCATTCGATCGACTATCTCAAGTCCGTTGCTGGCCCGGGTCGCTTAGTTCCGATCGAGGTAGGCAGTGACTATCGGATGGAAGACTGGTCACAGCAGATGATGGACTGGGATGAATTTCTCGACTCTCTTGATCCCCGCCGTTTTGAGCGCGCACCCGTGCTATATCTTGCTCAGCACAACCTCTTTTCTCAGTTTTCTAAGCTGAGGGCGGACATCTTGTTACCCGACTACGTGTATACTTGCCCTCCTGTCCCTTCCGATTACCCAGATTACAGCCCTCCAGGAAACGAAGATCAGCTCGTCATCAATGCATGGTTGGGCCCAAAAGGGACAGTGTCCCCTGCACATACAGTAAGTAGCCTCCTCATTGTGCATCGGCGGTAAACTAAGTTGGCATAGGATCCATACTATAATTTCTACGGTGGGTCTATATGCGCATACTTTCTTGCTTTCTACCCCGCGTGCTCACCTTTGACACAGCTCAAGTCGTCGGAAGAAAGACTGTTTGGTTGGCTGCTCCCAGTGCCACTCCCTACATGTATCCATACCCAACACCAACGTCCGACTCTTCCGTCAAGTCGATACACAATCCTGCTACCAATAACTTGGAGCCGTCCATGAGCAACACATCCCGTGTAGATGTTTTCGCATCCCAGCTTGAAGAGCCCGAAAGAGATCTCTTCCCTTTATTTTCGGAAAATGTTGCTCCTAATGCTCTTTGCGCGACGTTGGAGCCCGGAGATATACTCTTCTTCCCGCCCGGTTGGTGGCATGCGATGAAGAGCGAAGAGACCAGTTTCTCTGTGTCTATGTGGTTTTAACACTTGTGGAAACTTGACAGCGGTGTTGATCCGAAATATTACATTTATCTCGCAGCACAACTATGTGTCCAGGCTGGATCCTGTGGTAAGTGACACAAGTAGCTCACAAAACATAGTCGTGCGATACACCCCGTACAGAATCACGAAGTCAGTCTGCGTATGCAGGTGTATGCTTACAGTATGTACTGGATGTAGTTGTACTTGTACGCGCGAGCTAGTTTTCCTTCGCAAATCTCAGATCTCATCTTAGATCTTAATGATGTTCCTAGTCTCGTGACATGGGCATCCGACCTAGGGTTGCTCCTTACTACTCTTCCGTCATTGACAGAGTCGTTTCCTCCACACCTGCCTCACCTTCCACTCTCTTGTCTTGTATTACTCTGTGAAACTATCTAAAGAGCAGCACGCACAATACCTGCGACCTAAAATATGGCCGCCAATGAACGGCGCACGCGCCCTTCTGTAGATGAGATCAAGTTGGTCTTGATCCAGCTTCACACACATCGAATCATGATACTGAGTCGACGTTGGTCATTCATTCTGGGGTTTGTTAAAGGCTTGCGTATGATCACTTGTTTAGCCCGGGCCTATGTCTGTCGAAGGTCAAGGATGCGGCACTTGGTGGGAGGCTTTTCGAGTCACCGGAAGGATCTCCTGGCGTCCCAGGAAGGAGTTTGGCATGGAAAGTGCGTTTCTGCGTTTCTTTTTAAAGGCTGTTTTGAGATTGAATCATCTATGGGACTCGCCGTACCTCTCCAGGTATTTTTGACATCACTTGAACCACTGCAGCGACCGCCCGAACTGCCGTTGGCGCCCAGCGCGTACCTTGAACCGATGCGTGCTTTGAGGACCGATTTCACACGATTACTACTCGCGAAGATGAGGGCACCAGATGGGAGCTATGAAGACGGGTTCATTGTCCCTGGGACGAACTCGCCACCACAGAGACCAAACAGGGCTGCAAGTAACCTAGAGCAGAACAATCCTCTCAGCTTGCACGATGAGGTATGTCATTTTCCCAGATAACATCACGCACGATTGGCATCATCTGTGCATTCCAGAACCCGTGGAAAGAGTGGTTCTCTGCAGTCGAGCTTCGCAAGACAATCTCACAAGACGTTGAACGGACGTGCGTGTCATTGATTCTCTTATCATGCTCCAGAACCAAATCACACTCGATCTAGTTTCCCTGATATTGAATATTTTCGCTCCCCCGTTGTTCAATCGCAGCTTATCAATATTTTATTCCTCTACTCTGTGATGAACCCCGCAGTCGGGTACCGCCAAGGCATGCACGAACTATTGGCACCATTGTACTACGCTGTAGATTACGACTCTGTTCCGGAGGCTGATGGATCGTCTTCAACCATTACCGACGATTTTACGGAAATGTGCTCACGGAGATGGGTTGCGGCAGACTCGTGGTCGCTTTTCCAAGCCGTGATGCGCGGCGTCGGGCGGTGGTACGAGTGGAGGGAGCCGCAATACGAAGTACCGATGATTGGGTCAGTTCCGGGACACGTCCAGCTAAACGTGCCAGACGGTCAAGTTCAGATCCAGCCGTATGTTTCCCCGATTTTGTTGGCCTGCAATCGAATACAGAAGGAGCATCTGAAGAGTGTCGACCCAGCGCTTTGGGAGCGCATGCAGAGCGCAGGCATCGAGCCGCAGATCTATGGCATGTGAGTCGTGCTCTAAACCTCTGCTATCGATGGTAGCGGGAAATTCGATAAAGGCTAATAGTTTACTGATTTGACAGCCGCTGGTTGCGACTCATGTTCACACGGGAGTTCAATATGCACGATTCTATGATTCTTTGGGACGGTCTTTTTGCTGTTGATCCCTCGTTTGAGCTTGCGCCGTGGATCTGCGTAGCCATGCTCTTACGCATACGAAATCGACGTGGGTCTTTAGTCGAACTATTTCTCGAAATCCTAACTGAATGTATCTCAGTTATACCATCTGATTATAGCACTCAACTAACCTACCTCCTCCGGTACCCTACTCCTCCTACCACATCCCCAACTATGCCCCATCATGCGACCTTGCTTCTGCGCCAGGCACTTACCCTCCAGATGTCCCCTACTCCCGCTACAGGCGCCGCAATTGTCTTCGAAAACCGCAATCTCCTTGGAATCCCCACTGAAGTTTCGGATCCCCCAGAACCCCGAGTTCGTCGAGCAGGTAGACCCGGAGAAACACAGAGGCGACGGACAAGCGTCTCTGGAAGCGATCTGCCCAACGGCGGGCCAGGGAGGAATGGACATGCAAGACAGGCATCGGCCGCGAGCCTGCAGTTTGCAAACCTGGGGATGCTTAAGCAGGGACTGATGGACCGGGGAGAAGCATTAGGGCTAAACCAGACGATCTTGAACGCTGTCTCCGAAATCAAGGTCGGCCTGCATCTCACTTTCGATGCTATGATGACCTAATTTTTTTCTGCTGGATTCATAGAAAAACCTTCCTGATTTAGCGGCAAATTTAGTTCGTACTCCTGCATCGCAGTCTGCTTCGTATACTGCATACCCTCTTGTCGACGAACGGCCACCTGAAGAAAGACCTCCGTGGGAGCCCCGAACCCGTTTCGAAATGGAGAAAGATGTTGCTGATATGAAAGCCCTGCAAAAACGCCTTGGAGAATCTGTTGGGTGGATTGTAGACACGCTTTTGCTCGACGAAGGTGAGAATGCCGCTGAGGATCAGGCTAAGAAAATCCGGGCGCGAAAGCGGGAAGCCTTGGAGTCGTTGGCATATGTGCGCGATGTTCTACGTGGGAGCGTGACAGATATCGAGGAGGAGCGTTTAGTCGGCGAAGAGGAAATCAAAAGGAGGAAGGAGAGGCTGGAAAAGGAGAAAGATAGGGCACCGACGAGAGCTCTGGAAACAGGCCATTCTTCCCAGACTTCTCAGGTTCACAGTATCATCCATCCTCCGCTGCCCTCACATTCACAGCCAGCTGCACCACTACCTGCCTCCGTCAATGAACCACGTTCAAGGACGATGACATCTCGAAGTTCTCAACACGCATTCGCACCTCTTAATCCGCATACAACAACATCCTCCACTTTCAACTCTCCCAGGTTTGACAACGCGCAGCCAACAGGTTTAATCACACCCTGGTCGTCGACGGCTTTAGCCAACTCTTCCGGAGCAGCTTCAAATGTCGGTGCGCCTCGTGCGCCATGGAATTACACACGATCAGGTTTCTCTGGGACGACGCCGTCATTCACACCACCGTCTCTTGCGCCTCCACCACGAGCATCCGTCATTCGAGTTCCTCCACTGCCAATAGCCTTGTACAAGCCGCATCCACCCCCGCCCGGACAGTCGCCGAATAAGGCGCAGGTACATGACGATCCATTGGGTGTGCTACGATAAACGGCGAGGATGTGATCCTGATGTGCTGCACTTACCACATTTAATTGATTGTGCGCTTGATGTAACATTCTGGACTTAATTTCTGCAGTCGCGAGACGACCTGAGAGTGGAGACATAAATAACCCGTGCAAACACACGCCCACTGAGCTCGCCGAAGCCGGGGAAATCACACGCGTGTGATTGGCGGGACAGATCGCGTCGTCACAAAATGGTCACTCCAGACCCGTCTGTTTCTGGACCGTCGCATCCTCTCCGCCATCCTCCTTCTTTTCCTCCTTCGTCCATCATCTCCGCTCTGTTCTAGGTCACTTGCCACCCCCACAATGCTCAGAAAAAGCTTGTCGAAGGCTTTGAACCGCTCGCGCGCGTTCCACAGCTCGGCACCGGCTCGGAGGGTCGTAGCGACCAACCCGGTTAAGGCCGAGGAGGTCAAGGTGGGCATGGTTCATTCATGATTGTCGACCAATGGAGCTTACACAAGGGTCTTTTCTCGTTGGTGGTCGTAGTCATGGGCATCAGGAAAGTATCCCTTGATTGAGCATGAGTACGACGCCATTGTTGTGTGAGTCTTTCGACGGCCGACGAATCCGGCCTACAAGAATGAACTGACATATGCGCGTAGTGGTGCTGGTGGTGCTGGTCTTCGAGCAGCCTTCGGCCTTGCGGAAGCAGGTTTCAACACGGCCTGCATCACGAAGCTGTTCCCTACAAGAAGTCATACCGTCGCTGCGCAGGTGTGTCTGACCTGGCCGTTCTCAATCAATATCGCGGCTGACTGCGCTTTCAGGGAGGGATTAACGCTGCTCTCGGTGTGAGTATCTAGCGTGTTCTGAAGAGAGCGAAGTGATTCTCAATGTTTTCCAGAACATGACCGAGGATGATTGGAGATGGCACATGTATGACACCGTTAGTAGCGCCCGCATTTGTTCTCGCATCTGGTACTCATCATTCGTAGGTCAAAGGTTCTGACTGGCTCGGTGACCAAGATGCTATTCACTACATGACCCGAGAAGCTCCTAATACCGTGATCGAGGTATGGTAACCCACATGTCAAGTTTCGGACGTCGTCGGCCTTAGCGTAGTTCATCACAGCTCGAGCACTACGGCGTCCCCTTCTCCCGAACGAAGGAAGGCAAAATCTACCAGCGCGCCTTCGGTGGACAGTCCCTGAAATTCGGCAAAGGCGGTCAAGCTTATCGCTGCGCCGCCGCCGCCGACCGCACAGGCCATGCGCTGCTACACACGCTTTATGGCCAATCTCTCCGCCACAACACAAACTTCTTCATCGAGTACTTTGCTCTTGACTTAATTATGCAAGACGGCGAGTGCGTTGGCGTTATCGCTCTCAACATGGAAGACGGTACGCTGCACCGATTCCGCGCGCACAAGACCGTTCTGGCGACTGGTGGGTATGGACGGGCATATTTCAGTTGTACGAGTGCCCACACATGCTCCGGTGATGGTAATGCCATGGTTGCGCGCGCGGGATTGCCGCTTCAGGATTTGGAATTTGTCCAGTTCCACCCTACGGGTATTTACGGTGCTGGATGCCTGATCACTGAGGGTACGCTATGTTCTTAACATACTCTCATTGTTTTCGAACTCAACGGTCTTCAGGTTCTCGAGGAGAGGGAGGATATCTTCTCAACTCCGAGGGCGAGCGTTTCATGGAGCGCTATGCTCCGACTGCCAAGGATCTTGCGTCTCGCGATGTCGTCTCGCGTTCGATGACGATTGAGATCCGCGAGGGCCGCGGTGTTGGTCCTGACAAGGATCACATCTACCTCCAGCTCAGCCACTTGCCTCCTGAGGTCCTTCACGAGCGCCTGCCTGGTATTTCGGAGACGGCTGCAATCTTCAGCGGTGTCGATGTCACGAAGGAGCCGATTCCTGTGTTACCTACCGTGCACTACAACAGTACGCTCTAATTCCTTTTCTGCAACCTTCCGATTGACTCAGACATTTGACAGTGGGTGGTATCCCAACAAAGTACACCGGTGAGGTAATAACTTCGGACGAGGTGGGTTAATTAAAGTACAATTTCATGAACCTTGTCAGTTCATTGACAATAACCTTGCAGAACGGTAAAGACAAGGTTGTCCCCGGTCTTTATGCTGCTGGTGAGGCCGCTTGTGTCTCTGTACACGGCGCGAATCGTCTCGGCGCCAACTCTCTCCTGGACATCGTCGTCTTCGGCCGCGCTTGCGCCCACCACATCAAAGAGACCCTCACTCCTGGCAAGCCGCACAAGAAGATCAATGACGAGGCCGGTATCGAGTCTATCGAATTTTTGGACAAGATCAGGACCTCGGACGGTCCCGACCCAACAGCGAAGATCCGGCTGGCGATGCAGAAGGCCATGCAAAGTGATGCCGCTGTGTTCAGGACCCAGTCCACGCTTGACGAGGGTGTCGGCAAGATCAAGGAGATCTACAAGACCTTTGATAATGTCGGCATCAAGGATAGGAGCATGATCTGGAACTCGTGGGTGTCTTGCTGTCGCGATGCTAGGCATATGCTGACGATGCATTACCAGTGATCTCGTTGAGACCCTTGAACTCCGCAACATCCTCCAAAACGCCGTCCAGACGATCACTGCCGCTGCCGCCCGCAAGGAGTCCCGTGGCGCGCACGCCCGCGAGGACTACCCCGAGGTGAGAACTGCTCCTGCGGGGCTACGTGTTCCGATCCAGTCCTACATAAGCTAACGACTGGCCGCCTTGTCTTTTTTTATTTATTCAGCGCGACGACGAGAACTGGATGAAGCACACCCTCACGTGGCAGCGCGACGTCAACTCGCCCGAGGTCGACATCAAGTACCGCGGCGTCATCAGCACGACGCTCGACGAGAACGAGTGCAAGTCCGTGCCGCCGTTCAAGCGCGTGTACTAAACGGGCAAGCTTCCTTCTCTCCCGGAAACACATCTGTTGTACCCGCGCCGAGGCTGAGTACTGAGTTGGGTAGTGCATGAGGCTGATACCGGGGGTGGGTACTAGATAGTCGGTAGTCGGATGCATTCGGTATCGCTCTGGGAATGAATGTATGCATGGTATTGCGTTATCAAACTCTGTAATTCGCCTCTCCGTCACTGCTCGACGTCCGACGTGATGGCACGTACAGTAGTTGTGCCTCATCCAGTCAAACTTTCCAAAATCATTCTATAAATAATAGTGACAGCAGCGCTCACTATCGGCGAAACCAAACAAAATCCCTGGGCTGTCTCTTTCTCGTCTCGGCGATGTTGTGCAGCCATGGCCCAGAGAACACCCCCTAGCAACACCCACGCGCTCTCTGAAGTCCAGGGTCTCTGACGCACGTCGATTAGGGAAAAGCACAAAAATAAATATTGAGACCCGTAGGTCTACCACTCTGGGAAAGCGTGTCATCCTTGTGCAGGGGCCATGCTAATCTTCTCTGTATCGTTCCAATTTTTTCGTATGTCACCCCGAAGGGGACAATGACCGTTGTGTGCGCCTCGGGGCACCGAGTGTAGGATCGGATTTTGTGCGCGCGGCGGGTGTTGGGAGCGTTTGTACGGAAGGACGTAAGTTGGCCAGGTGGACATAATTGCCTAGTTACTTGTAGGGAAAGCTAGCGATGATGGTATCAAGCCTTCACGAACAGTAGATGGTAGCAAGAGAAGTACTGGATACAGACACCGTGCGGTAGAGATACATCAAATAGACGCACGACTGAGCTAGCACTGTGGAACAGGAACGTCGAGGCCGGGGTCGAATCCTTTAGGAAACACCTGCCGCACATTCACGTTGATTCTCGCCGTCCGCATGTACTCCGCATATGGCGCCCACTCTCGCTCCCGCTCTACCACCGCCACGCCCCGATTTTCGACCTTGGAATCATCGTCGGCTGATAGCGTTCGAAGATGCACGGGAAGCGTGTTTTCTAGAATTCTGGGCACGCCTTGGAGGCCGTTCGGAACTGTTTGACGAGCGGGTTGAGAGAGAGAAGCGTACCGTGATATGCGCGTCGACACGCTGGACCGGACATGATGACCACATCGCCGGAGCGGAGAAGGATAGGGACGGGCTCGACATCGCGCGTGAGGCCTCCGATGAGGAATACAGCAGCATTGCCGAGGCTGCGCGGACGGGTGGATGGACAACAAAAAGGCAGAGAGTAATGTCAGTCTGTCAGTCGGGTTTCAAAGGAAGAGTGGCGCTGACGAGATGGAGACTAGCGGCGACGTCGCACATACTTCCGAGCGGTCGACGTGCGCCATGAGCGTGTCCCGCGTTTGGTAGAAGTTCACAATTCCAGCGTCGGGTTCTAATATCGTCGGGTATGTCATTTGTTACAGCACGACCGTGAACAGACAACACGAGGAAACTCACCGTAGCTGTCTCTCCAAGTATGCCAATCCGGACCCTCCTCGCCCCATCCTTCGATGTCTTCCCGGCGGAATACCTCATCCCAGTGCACGCTTTCCACCGCATCCCTGCATACGCTCCGATAGGCATCGCTCACGGGCTGCTTTCCCTTGGTGAAGTCGTATTGTTTCGTCCCCCAGTGGTAGAACCAGCCGATATTCGCCCAGCGCAGTTTAGGCATGATCGCGGATGTCGGGAGGGGGTGGACGGAAGTGGATGGGGAGGAGGGAAGTTTTGGGGTGCTCGAGAGGAGGGGAAATGTTGATGGGGACGAGGGGGTGTTGGAGATCAATTGACGAGGGCCGGGGAGTTCAGGGATCGAGGGTGCTGAGGAAGATGCTGAGGAGGGAGATGGAGGCGAGGGAGCGGAGGCGCGGGGATAGATGATCTCTTCTTCGAGGTTATTTTCGCGGGTGTGAATGAGCGAGTTCCATAGTCCGCGATCGGGGAGGATGTAGTGCGTGTCGAGATTTGTCGCGTTCGGGTGTCGGGTGTGGTCACGGAGGGACCAGCGTACGAGGTCCCGTTGCGTCTCAGGAGAAACGAACGAGGGAAGAAGAACGAGGCCTATTCTCAATACCAGAAAGGTAAGTCCGAGAGACTGCGGATGTGCAGAGCGAGACTCACCAGGGATGCGGGGCACTGCATACGCTTTCCTCGCGTGCCTCCCTCTATCATGGCCCTTCAGCTGTATCTCTCGATATTCGACGGCATCTGGCCGTCCCTTCCACCCGCCATTCGCGATCTCCTCGACTCTTGTCGGGTCCAAGGTCGCGAGGTCGAGAACATCAGAGAGATCTGGTGGGGGGAAGCGTGCCTTGTACTTCTTCTCCTTCGCTCTGAACGGCGTCCAGTCCGCGTCGACGTCCTTCGCTCTGTTTCTGGTTGTCTTGTGATATTGCCGCCTCGCCTTCTTGTACTGTTTGCTCGAAGGGTCGTATGGATCCGCCGTGGGGGTGGTAGCGGTAGAGGACATGGGCTGCGATCAGGACCAAACAAGGACCAAACAAACCGATGCCGAGGACGCGACTTGGAGCCGGCGAGTTTGAAGGAACGGTGAAGTTACTCCAACCCGACCAAGCCCGACGATTGCCTTCACCGCTGGATGCTTCAGTAGTCGCCGTCATTGCTCTGTCTCTCTTATGTCGTTATGGTTGCCCCGCTCACCGCATTCCCTCCTCGCTCGTCAATATGCTAGACCCCACCAGCTCGCGCTACACCCCCGCCTAATATCCTCTCTTCATCACCAACGCACCTTCCTTCCCCTCTCCCCCTCCACCGGATTGCACCCGCGTTTCCAGAGCACGCAGACAAAGGAATCTTCGCCAGCGAAACAGGCCAGCTCCACCACCACCATAAACGACCCCTCCACCTCTTCTCATGTCAAACCTTCTCCGCCGACGACAGAAAGCAGCGGTGCGCCGAAAGAGCCAGTGCTGAGCAGGGCGTGGAAGAAGGTGAAGCACGAGGCGCAGCACTACTGGCACGGCTCCAAGCTGCTGGCAAAGGAGGTGCGCATCTCCGGGCGGCTCCAGTGGAAGATCCTGCATGGTGAGAGCTTGACTCGCAGAGAGCGTCGGCAGGTTCATCTCAACCTTTCTACTCGAGCCGACCGACCCTTAATTGAGCTTTGCCCTCCCAATGTTTCGTTTAGTTAAGGCGCACGACGCAGGACCTGCTCCGCCTCATCCCGTTTGCTGTTTTCATCATCGTCCCGTTCATGGAATTACTCCTCCCGGTCGCCCTCAAACTCTTCCCTACCATGCTGCCCTCGACGTTCGAAGACAAATACGCCGCTGTGAGTACTCGTCTTCATGGCTCGACAAATTCAGCCGTTCATGCGGCCGTCACATCCTACAGGAAGAGAAAAGCCGGAAGCTTCTTCGCGTGAGACTCGAAATGGCCAAGTTCCTCCAAGAGACGCTGCGCGAGTCCGGGCTCAAAGCCAACGCGCACATCGTCGGCAGCGAAGCCTTCAAAGAGTTCTTCCGCAAGGTGCGGAAATAAAATAAAAATGCATCTTGGGCCCCGCTCACGGACACCGCAGGTCCGCTCCACCGGCGAGACGCCCTCCGCGCAGGACGTCGTGAACGTCGCCAAGCTGTTCGACGACGACCTCACGCTCGACAACCTCTCGCGCCCCCAGCTGGTCTCAACGTGCCGGTACATGGGCCTCAACGCGTTCGGCACGGACAACTTCCTGCGCGGCGCGATCCGCTCGCGGCTGCTGCAGATCCGGCGCGACGACCAGGCGATCGACGGCGAGGGCGTCGACGAGCTCAGCACGGCGGAGCTGCAGGCCGCGTGCGCGAGCCGCGGGATCCGCACGTTCGGCGTGAGCCCCGCGCGCCTGCGCGAGGAGCTGACGACGTGGATCGAGCTGCACCTGCACAACCGCGTGTCTGGCGTGCTGCTGATCCTCGGCAAGGCGTTCCACTTCGATCGGACGCCGGGCGAGGGCGAGAGCGGGCAGACGGCCGTGACCAAGGGCCTCGAGCATGTGCTGAGCGGGCTCCCGGATAACCTGGTGCGCGGCTCGCGTTTCGTCTTTTTCCCTTTCCGACATTTATGCACGCGTGCGTGTCACAGCTGAACGAAGCGGAGTTGGAAGTCGACTCGGACAAGGCGTCGTACAAGCAAAAGCTCGAAGTCCTCCAGCAGCAAGAAGAGCTGATCGAGGACGAGGAAGAGCAGGAGCAGAAGGAGGAAGACGCGCGCAGGGCGAAGAAGGAAGCGGAAGAGCGCTCCAAACGGGAAGAGGAGGCACGCATGGCCGAGTCGCTCTTGCCTGACTCTGAAGTGAGCTACCTTCTTTCTCCGTCCCGTTCAGTGCTGAGCGCATTGCCATTCTCAGCTGCACCCGGAAAAGTTCGAAGAGGAAGATGCTCGCATGACTACGGAACAGGTCAAGGAGCTCGGCGAGGCGCTTTCGATCCTCTCGGCCAAATCGAGCGTCCTCAAGGAGCGTGACGAGCTGCGCGCACTCATGGAAGAGAACTCGCAAGCCGAAGAGGCATGTCCTGTCATTCCTGTTCTCTGGTCCGCAGCCCTAACCCTAACTGCTGCTCAGGACCCTGGCTCGCCCTCGGCCGCGCTCGTGAAGCGCATCCGGACGATGCTCACCAAGATCGACACGCAGCTGGAAGAGTACGACGCGCGGGTGGGTAACTCTCTGCAGATGATTTCGCTCGACCAGCAAGGTCGGATCCCGGTCAAGGACCTCGAGACCGCGCTCGCGGTCATCAAGCACCGACCCGATGAGGACGTCGTGCAGAACGTTATCGAGAAGCTGGACGTGGACAAGGATGGATACGTCGAGCTGGAGCACGTGCTTGGGCTCGCGCGGGAGGAGGGGCTCGGTGAGTGTCATTTCTACTTATGACTACTCGGTCTTCGGAGTCTTGACCTTCTCCGTCTCCGCGACAGGGATCGTGGTGGACGGCGAGGCGCAGTCGATCATTGGTCAAGGGAAAGAGATCAAAAACTCGAAACCGCGCAAGGAAGATATAGTACAGGAGTAATAGCACCTCCGCATCGCCTACTTATTATCGCGTATCGCCTTATAGACTATTTTCCACCCTTCTTGAGTTTTGTTCAGTTGAATAACATGAGCATGAGCATGAGCATGAGCGCTGAGCACATCCGCCCCAATGATGAGCAAATAAAAACAAGAAGCATCCACAGATTCGAGTCCGCACCGAGCTGAACTGAAAGCGTAAGTAGGTAGGTAGTTATGCAAAGCACCGGCACCGGCAGGATCATCGGTCCATCGCGTCGACTGCGCGCACTTTCCGCCTGCCCGTCGACGCCTCTGGCGGCTCGACGACTTTTTCCGGCTCCCTCTCCTTCGCATCGCTCCCGGTGGCGGCACCCATGACTTCCTCGGTGACGTCCTCCTCTGCGCGCTCAGTCCACCAGCGGCCGGCCTGGAGGGCGAGGACGCCGGTGAGCGCGACGCTGCAGATGAGGTTGGAGGACGCGAGCTCGAGGATGTTTATTCGGAGTGCGGGGGGGACGGCGTCGGCAAGGGTGTGTGGAGGGAGGGCGGGGAAGTTTGTTGATAGATCTGCAGAGCGGGCGGTGGACGGTGGACGGATGAGAGGAAGGAAGGAGGCGAGGGCAGGGGCGGGGGTAGAGGGGCTTACTGGGGATTACAGAGTACAGATACACGGCTATGGCGGTGCCGTACAAGACTGAAGAATGTGCGAGACGTCAGAAGGCAGCGCGCACGGGAGGAGCGGCGGGGGCGCGGGACGCACAGGTGCTCGCGCCGTCGAACATGAGATTGACGGCCTCGCCATCACGGAGGCTCCAGAGGAGCGCTGCTGCGCCGAGGACTACGACCGCAGAGACGAAGGAGGCGGTGTAGGGGGATATTTTTGTGAGGGTGTTGTAGTAGGACGCGGCGGTCCACAGGTGCGCATCCGTTACGGGCTGTTTCCACAGCGTGAGCGAGTCGGCGGTCCAGTGGGTGAAGAGGAGACCTATTGGAGGGTGTATGAGCGTGAGTGTGGATCGGGGGTATTGGTATTTCGGTAAGGGTAAGGGGAGGTGGGAGCGCGCGAGGGTGGGTGAGCATGTGAGCGCTCGTCGAGAGACTTGCCTAGGAGAAAGGATGTGACGCAGATGATCGCGCTGACGCGGAGGGCCATCGTCGAGGAGAGGGGGAGGGGTGGTGGCCGCGAGGGTGCTGGAGGCAGCCAGCTTGCTGAGGACCAAGCTAGTAGAGAGACGTGTCGAGCGGGACGAGCCTGTGATTTCCCTCCGAGCGCTGTCCTATTTTCATTTTCGCCTTCATTTTCCTCTTGGCCTGACGTACTCGTCCCAGCCCCGGCACCTCGGCCAACCCCCGTTCCTTCTGCACACACAACACCCTCCCTCGCAGTATGCAGACCCTCCGCACCGTCCTCCGCAGCGCGCACCTCTCGCCCTCCCTCAAATGCGTCCCTCTCGCATCTCGCAGAGCGCTCTCCACCTCCCTCGACGACCCCCCGACCCCAACACCGCCCCCAAAACCCTGGTTCGTCGACCCCGACACAGAGCCCATATACCACCACCGCCAGTCCCCGCCCCACCTCCCCGCCGCCGCCTCCCCGCTCCCCGCCGCCGTCTCTGAGCCAATCCGCATCCTCCACGCCCAGCTCATGCAGTCCCCGCACCTCGAGCCCTCCGCGCTGCTCGTCCGCGACCCAATACCCACCCCTCCGGGCCCGCCGCTCCCGGACGCAGTGCCGAAGGGAAAGCGGAAGCGCGGGGGCACCCACGCGGGCCACGGCGTCGCGTTCCAGGGCGGGATCTGGTCATGGATCGTGCTGGCCCAGGTGCGCGTCTTGCCATTCGGTTTCTCCCTCCCAGGGCTTGTCCCTGCCGACGCTGACACTTTGCTACTTCGCGTTCGGCGTGCCACAGGTCAAGGAAGGCACGGAGAAGCGCGGCGCCATCGAGTCCGTCGTGCGTCTCGTGCGTAAAACGGTGCGTGGGCTCTCCTTTTCCTGGTCCCCGCAACGCGCGAGGCACCACTGAATGCTCCGACTCGTCGCCCGTGCAGCTCTTGACGATGGACCCCCCGCTCCCGCTGCCCAAGAACTCGCGGAGAACAGTCAGCGACGGATGGGCGATGGTGGACGCGGGCGACTTTGCCGTGCACATCGTCAGCCGCGACGCGTACCAGAAGTTCTTCACTGACAGACACAGGTGGTAGGAGTCGCCCTTTCAGGGAGACGCGGGCACACGCCCTCGGGGGAGGTGGTATATATGGGTTTGTATGGAAATGGAGTAATTTTAGCAATTGATGACCCCACTTAAGATTATGGCTGTACCGCCTCTCGCGACGCCGCTCTTTGTGCTGACGATATCCTCTCTATTGAACGATGCAACGGTTGCGCGAGGTTGCTTGAAGCCTAGTACCTCCCAGACATGACGAGCCCAAAGCCCCTGTCTCAACTGCGCCGTACTGCGCCGTCCTACGCCTGGCCCACCCCTCTCCCAAGGATGGCAATCCGTGACGTTGCGGGACGTCATAGACGGCCGCTCATAAATACCGCGCGCCCCTAGTGCCTACTCGCACTCGCCCCAACTCACACAAACATCCTAAACACAAACAACCCTTGTGTCTCCATCTGCTGACCCGTCCATGGCACTGAATGAGAAGAATCTCGGCACGAGAGGTGTCGACACCCACCTTGGGCTCGCGAACCCGACCGCGCACGGCAAGCGCGCGGACGCGCTCGCGGCCGACTATGTGCGGTCCTCTCTCCCTCCCTCTCCATCTTCAACAGACCGCTGCTGACCTCTCGCCTCTCTGCCTCTTCTTCCTCTTCTTCTTCGCATCGCTCGCCGTCATTCACTGCCTCCGCGGCTTTCCTCCTATTCCCGTCGCCGTTGGCGCCGACGCCCCGCGACCGCGACCGCCCGCACGCGCAGGCGAAACACCCGTCAACGAAACAGAAGCACGCGGGCGCGGGCACGGGCCACCAGTCCGCAAGCTCGCGCCAGGCGCGCCACGCGATGAGGGAGGCCGCGGGCGTCATCGAGGGGCGGCCCGGGATCATCGAGTCGACGAATATCGACCCGCTGTGCAAGAGCACCAGAGGTGCGCGCGCTAGGGGGGGCGGGTCCCCCGCCCCGTCATGCGACTTGTCGCGTCGCGACCGCAGTTACTGACGGCTCTCCCATCCAGTTTGATGGCCCCGAGCCTGGTTCTAGATCGTGTGTGTTGTATGTAGGTTGCTTCAGGCGGAAAATCTCAGTGGGCTGAGCTTGTTTGTGTTAGTGTCGAAATTGGAATCGAAATGTACGAGTAATGTAGTTGTATCTCTTATCTAGCCTATGAACATCTGTTCTCCTCTCCACACAAAAAATCGATGTACAGTAGTACGGTACGACGCAAGGTAGTTTCGAGTCTTTCGACATCGGTGTGGTAGCCCTATCAGCACGTGACACCCGCCGCCGGAGCAAAAAGCAAAGTTTGGTGGGTCCGGACGACGCGCGCATGATTACCTTTGTCCCCTTCGGGGTGACATACGAAAAAATTGGAACGATACAGAGAAGATTAGCATGGCCCCTGCACAAGGATGACACGCTTTCCCAGAGTGGTAGACCTACGGGTCTCAATATTTATTTTTGTCTGATTCCCCAAAGTCAGGCATCTTGATTGTCATTGACAACAGACAGAAGTGGTTGTATTCTCACTTTCGATGATCTTGGGAGTCCACACCCTTGCTCAAGTATTTGAGAATCGAAAAGGAGTTTATATAGTGCAGTGAGTGAACGAATCGTAGGGACATGGTATATAAAGATGCCTGCACTCAGGCATCAGCCAGCTACTACAGGATCGTCCATGTTGTTCCCCGAAGGAAGTGAAAAGCCGTCGGCGTGTTCCGCCTTAATGGCTTCCAACTTCGCATAAACCTCAGGGAGACAAGCCATGGGAATCTGTGGAGTGGGAGGAGCCTCGCACTCAGCGTCCGAAGCCGAAGGACCAGAAAAGATGAGCGAGGGCGCGGTTTCGTAGCACGAAACTCCAGCCGAGTCCAACAGGCCCGCTTTGTTCGCGCAATCATCAGCGACGCGTCGCACGCGCTCAGATGCGCCGACGATGTCCTCGTCAGACATGAAAAATGTCTCGACCTTGAGCACCTCCTCGCGGAGCTCGAAGAGCTCGATGCGGGTTGCGGGGTTTGCGGCGAGTACGCGCCGGAGGATCGCGTCTGTCTCTTGCGAGAGCGGGTAGCGGTCGCGGAAGAAGTCAGGATCGCGTATGTATTGCATGAATTCGGCGTCGTCGGGGTGCGCGACGCGCCAGGGATGGCGGCCCGTGAGCATGTAGACGAGGACAATGCCTAGCGCCCAGATGTCGAACTTCGCGCTGGAGAAGGGGATACGCGTGACGGATTCGTCGCGCGATTCTACAAGTTCGTGTGACGGTCAGGATTGTTACAGGTTAGGAAAATAAAGGGGCAAGTTACCTGGACTTGTGTAGCTCCTGGATCCAAGGCCGAAGTCCTCTGTGTATATCTGAGTGGTAGCCAAGCCAAAGTCCGCGAGGGAGACCTCAGAACCATCTTCAGAGCAAAGCACGTTGCCTGGTTTGAGGTCGCGATGGTAGACCCCTTTATCGTGGCAGGACTCAACGGCGTCGATGAGCTGAACGAAGGCCTGCTTCAGCAGCTCATCCTTCTGATAGTACATGCACCGGTCGGCGATGGAAGACATCAAGTCTCCAGAAGTCCAAAGGTCCATCACGATGTAAATGTAGCCCCTGTCCTCGAGGACACGATGAACGTGGACGATATTTCGAGGGCCGAGGACGAGCTGGTGCAGCTTCGCCTCAAGCTTTTGTGATTCGGCTATCCTGGAGCCAGCCTTGAACTTCTTGACGCACTTCACGGCGTACTCGGTAGGTGTGAGTGGGGATGTGAGGGCACGGTAGACGACGGCGAACGCCCCTGTTCCCAGTTTCTCGACAAGACGGAGAGAGCCGTTGTCGATAGAGCAGCCAGTAAAGTCGGGGATGATATCGCTGATGCGAGGCATGATGAGTATTGGTGAATAACAAGTGCGGTCAACGCAGGTCAAATAAACGGGTATTGTGTGGTGATGCTAGGAGTAGAAGGAAGAGGACAGAATAGGGATACTTTCCGCGCATCTTGTCTTTATATACTCTGCTTAATCGGTCTTGCGGATGTCTTACAGTAACATGGAGCGATGGTATGGAGTCGGAGGCTGGACTTATTCAACGCGAGGCGTAGAAATAACGTGATTGGCCCCCTCAATCACGAGGGAAGTTTTCACACGCTGACTCGTGTCTTACTCGTGCCACTGTCCGCGACAAGGCTGTAGCCCCACAGCAGTGAGTCGTGACATCTCCATTCATCTTGAGCTGTTGATAGAGTATACTAATGACCACGTCTACCGGCAGCACATATCGACTGGAAGTCGAGATTGGAGTTGGTAGTTTCGTGAGTGGTAGTGTTCCGATGAAGCATGTGAGATTGATTGACCGTGATTACAATCGCAGGGCTTTGTCTTCAAAGCGGAAGATATCTCGACTGGACGCGTCGTTGCACTCAAGAAATCTAGGACATCCCTCAAAGTCCAGCGAACCATCCTCCAGCATGAAGCTCGTGTATTGGCGCTTGTTGCCGGACATCCTTCCATTCCCACTGCCTTTGCTTACGGGCGATTCGAACACTTCGAGTACTTGGCCTTGGAGCTTCTCGATGAATGCCTCGGAAGCATTGTCCCTACCAAGAATGCGAGGTTGTCTCTCAGGTCTGTCTTGAATATTGCCAATCAATTGGTATGCGTTAACTTGAGCCTTGGTGAAACGATGAATTGACTAGTACTGTTCCTCACAGCTCTCCGCTTTAGAACACATACATAAACATCGCATCATTCATCGCGACATTAAGCCCAACAATGTCATGGTCAACGAAGACTTCTCTGTCATACATCTGATCGACTTTGGAATTGCGCGGCCGTGTCCAGTGGGCGAGCCAAAGACTCTCGATATTTTCAGTGAGCGCAGTAATGTCATCGGTACACTCAGATGGGCCAGCATCAATGCACATCACGGTATAGGTGAGTGGTCTTTGATATGCAAAGGACCACGCTCATCGTTCATTTCCATAGACCTCGGTCCTCGCGACGATCTGGAATCACTCGCTTACACGCTTCTCTTTGTGCTGCGCGGAGAACTTCCCTGGCAGGACCATTGCTTCAGAGGAACCATTTTTGGCAGGTACGCTCACATTCGGGAGAAAAAGCGTGCTTGGACGGGATCAAGACTGGCTGAAGGTCATCATCCCGTGTTCGGCCAGCTTCTAGACTACGCGCGCGGTTTGGAATTTCGCGAGACCATTGATTATGGGCGCTTTCGCGCTCAGATTCAAGACCTTCAAAAGACAGCCAATCTTGACGATACGGACGTAGAAGGTAATTACATCATGACGTCTCCTCACAATCATCTCTTTTATGCCTGCTCGAATAGCTTCGACAGAATTGGTCATGAATCCGAATCACAAAGCTACTAATAAATGCCCCGTCGAAGTGGGGCAGCTCATACTCGTCCAAATTGTGTCGCGGACGTCGATCGAAGGATATAGCATGGAGGCCAACGACCAGTCATACTGGCACGACCCTGCTCTGTCCTCTGAAGAGTGGCGTACTTCTGCCAGGCCGGCAATCGTCATTGGCTTTCAACTTGATCTTTCGACGTCTCTCTACAAGATCCACGTTGTTTCGCTCGGCCATGGCGTCCCAGCGGATGGGATTCTTACCGTCCCTGTTTCGATGTCTCCGTTGTCTTCGGATGATGCCGGCACCGCAATCGTCCCAGAACCTGCGTGGCCGAAAGCAGAGACATATTGCTATGCATTCCCTCGTGCTACTTGGTTTTACTGCCTTCCCAATCAGGTGCGGAAAATCCGATGATACACTCGTGCTGAAACCTGAATGTGCTTTCAAGACAATATCACCCGCGCATTGGATGATCGATGCAAAAGACGTCCGGGTTCTCGAGGAGAAGCTTGCGGTGCCGCCAGACTTCTTACATTGGGCCGAGACGAAAGACGACCCCGATGTACGCTATGATACGCGGATGAAGGAAATAGACTTTTATGTCCATGTCGCAACGCTCGGTCCATCGGACCTCGAATCAAGAGACGGAGACGGTCCTGTTGATTGGAGCGGGGAACGTGGTTGGTTCGACGAGCGCGTGAAGATTGCGAGGCGGCGAGTTTGGGACAATGGCCGCAACTGGACTACTTCAAGCGATGATACCAATAGCAGAGGGATAGAGATATCGGACGTGACAGACAGTTATGATGAGTGGGACCGTTCTCTGTGGGAGGCTCGCCAGCGCGAGAGGGACCAATCATTGACTCTAGACCAGGAACAGCAACAGATTGCATTTGGGAAACTTGCGGACATAGCTGAAGTTGTTTAGATACTCGCGTTCAGCACTGACAGTGGATGTTTTTTGAGGCATATTTATATCCACACTGCACAATTGTATCAATAGTAGTAGAAAGGATTCAGTGTAGCTAGCAGCAAAAACCTTGGGGATCGACTTGACGCGCTTGACGCGTGCCAAATTCGTCCAATAGTAGGTTCGTGCCCTCCAACCATCATATCCGAAATGTTGCACTCCACGACGTCTACGGGATCTTTCGATATCGTGAAGTATTCTAGGTCTTACCCTCCCCCGTCAATTGCTGGCTCTGAATCTCAGGCTAGCCAGAGAACACTTGCACCCCAGCCTGACTGGCAGCACTTCTTCAACCCTCTTATGCGCCTCGTTCTTGATATCACAAAATCTGAGCGTGGTGAATTGGAGTCTGTCAGGCTCAGGATTCTCTGGTATATGGATGGTGGCCCTGTGCCCGCCAACGATGCCATGGACATCGACCAGCGCGATCCTGTCGTCTTTGTGAGTATCGCTGACACTGATGGTGTATATATGCGCGTCTTTTTGACTTTGTGTACAACGCTTTCATTCATGGCTGATCTTAGGAGGACTTGGATCTTCTGTCTTTCTCTTCTCTGCCATCGTTGGGCGCCACTATGCACGGTCCCCCTCTTAGAGCGGCCTACCGCGATTCCGTCGTCATGATTCGGTACCTACATCGTCGTGAGAGCGCAACACCCGCCGGTGTGAGTATGCGAAGATCGCTCGGTGTCGCGTATTCGACGCTCCCTCACTTACGGATATATCCAGGCTTTCCGGCGATTCCAGATTAACTTTCAGTCCCCGGATGCAGCATCGCAGTTCATCGACGGCATTCGTGTTGTGTGCCCGTGTAAAGAAAACGGTGCTTCTGCACCTGCCTCTGCGCCTGCTCGTAACTTGAATCCGACAATGTCACTGGCTCCGAAGCTATGCGCTATTGCACCTCAACCGAGTGCACTCTCAAGAGGACTATCCACCGACACACCTGACCACGCCCGAAGCTCCTCTAGTTCTGGGCTCTCGGTCACCTCGTTTGGCTTTGGTCGTGATCCCGCATCTCGGTTCTCATCTCTGCCTCTGGATAGCTCGTCCCAGCTCTCGTCTGCTCTTCCGTCTCCTAACCCCTTGGCCAGGACCAACTCTACCTTGCGCTTGAACTCCGGCGCTATGGTTCCGCTGGTCTCTGAGGTCAGAAGAAATAAAGCAAGAGACATCTCCAGTCTGGTGCAAAGCCTGCATCCCAGCTCGTCCCTTCCGCCGTCGTCTCCTCCATCTTCATCTGCTCCCGGTCATGACGCATCGATGCCTCCGCCACCTGTGCCTGTAGTCTCGTCTGATTCTAGGGAACGAGCATCCACAGAGCCCCAGGCAGGTATCTCGGAAACGCAACGGTCGTTGTTCTTATCTTCCTTGCGTGAGACGTCTGAACTATACAAACTCTCGCGTCCAGAGCTGGAGAGCCTTGTCAATGACGTCGTCAGGCAGCCGGGGTTTGCCCAGATAGTAAGTCTGATGGTTTTGAGTTTAAAATCAGCTTAATATATGTCGTAGCTCGAGAGCCTCAATACGCTGTGGGTAGCGAAAGGATTTGTTGCCCATTGAGGGTTCTCGGGATAGCTGCGGACGATGTGAGCGCCAGTACGGTACAGAACGTCTGCGTACCTCGGTGAATTGGCTGTTTTAGGGTCGAAGATGAGCGAAGGCAGAAACCCAATAGGTGCGTTACATTCCATCAAGTATGCATCGTTCTCAAAGCATCGATGATCCTTCATACTCGTGACGCTCAATCCTATCCTTCGAAGTCTTGAAGCAGGGGAGAGGGTGTGAGAATGTATCCTTCAATGCATGAAGCCACGTATATAATCATGACGGTCAGCGAAGAGCAGCGGTGTCGATTATGGGGCTCTAAAGGTTGGACAGCAGACAGGCAGCACTTGCTACGTGGCGCCTGACATCGTGATAGTCTACATCGTGCGCTGTTCATACAGAAAATGCGATGTGAGATGCGAGGGCGAAAAGGTGTATGCGGGACTCACAATCTTCTACTTCACCCCATCGCTCTATTTGACTAGATACTTCTACCTGCGTGGCCAGCGCAGCTTGCTCCGCGGTGATACGTTTGTGCACCAGTGCGAACGCAATAATGAAAGACTTTGTAGTGTAGGTTGCCCGCTCCATGGCTTTCCAAAGGGGGTTAGTCATACGGATGTATTGCCTCTGACTGGAGTTCGCCACGTACCTGCCATTTGCCAAGGATCGAACTTACTCATCACTTCGTCAAATTTTTGTTTCGTCTCTTTCGGCTGGGCATGGAATAGGACGGAGTCAAAAGTCTTGATTTCGACGTTGAACTCCGAGCGGGCCCAGTCTAACAAGGGGATCCAGTGCTCGTCTTGCAGACGGACCAAAGGTGGAGGGTCATCCTGGTGGAAGCTAAGAGGCCTGAGATGAATTTGTGAGTACGAATTAAGAATCGAGCGCACCATATTGTATCGGTATCGAGATACTTCAAAAGAGCGGCACGAGTCTCTGTACGAGTGGCCTCATCTGTCATGGCGTCAATTGCACGCGCAGTGAGTGAAGTCTACAAAGCATGTCATCGGTCAGGCACGATGATCACAGCACTTTGATACATACCATAGGGAGGGCATGATGCTTCAAAATAGATGTCTGGTTCTCCCATTCGGAGGCAATCAAAGTCGCGACGAGTTTCTTGTACTGTGGAACGAGGAGGGGGTGTCCGGACGGTGTCTTCAGAGCTCGGTTGTCCAACTTCACAGTTAAAGAATCCCCTTGTGGCTCGATGTTAACTGTCTTCCAGAACCGTTTGAGAGTTGCCTCGGCACCTGGTTTTGAGAGTTTAGATACAATGTCAACCGCACGAAGGCATGGATCATTCACGGTTTGTAGCGGTCACTGGAGCTCCCTCCAGAGGGTTTTGGGACGTGGCAAAGCCCCTAGCACTGTAGATGGATGGAGAGCTCCATATGTGCCTCCTGCACGCAGAGTTGAAGAGCGGGGTGCGGCAGAGTCTTGCAGCTTGCATGTGGGTGAAAACAGGTCACAAAAGCGTGAGACGCGTCGATCAAGGCGCGTCGTCCGCTGAGTCCGTCGCGTCGCGTCTTCGTCATTACCGTCGCTGAGGATCAGACTTGCTTCGCATCCCACGTACATGTCAACAAACAAAACACGAAAGGATGTCCACCTGAAACAACCTGTTCTCTCTTCTTTCTTTCCTCAGGTGAACCCAGCAGCACGCGGTGCTGGCGAACACCATGCCGCAGGACCTAGCAAACGACCCGCGTCATCCATTGACTTAACCATCTCCGATGACGATGCGCAACCACCAAAGAAACAAAAAACCACAGAGCCGTTATTTCTACCGACGTCTCCGTCGCTTCACAATGAGGCTGGCCCGCCACGCATTCCCGCAAGCGCTGGCACGCCCGAGCAGTGGCGATATGACCCGTCTTCGCCTGAGCAACCTCCTCTTTCCTCAAAGGAAGATGGCAAACGCAAAGCCGTCCGCGAAAAACTTTCGCAGAAGCTTTCACTGGAGAACAACCTGTTCCGCCAAAGCGCTACCCAGTCAGAAGGCGATGGCGAGGGCCAGGCTGAAGGCCAAGAGGAAACCGCTTCGAACAATGCGGAGGCTTCTGGGGATGAGTTTGACCCTCAGTTCAAGAATTTACATGCCATGTTCGGTCTTCCGTCATCCAAGAAAGGGAAGAAGAAGGCCGGGCCAGCTAAACGCACCAGGGCGGTAGAGGAGATTGGTCCAAGAGGTCTCCCTTACACTGCGTTAGAGCAGCAGGTGAGTACTGAACTCAAAGTTTCCTATTGTTTCTCATGGCCATCCTTCGTTCTGAAGGTTCGACGGCTTAAGGAGAAGCATCCAGGGGTGCTTCTCATGATTGAGGTTGGCTACAAGTACAAATTCTTCGGCGAAGATGCCCAAGTAAGTTCTTCTCAAGACTGGCATCAAAAGGTACTCACTATATCCCTAGATCGCTTCAAAAGAATTGAGTATTGTATGCTATCCCGACCATAACTACCTAGTCGCGTCAGTTCCTGACCACCGCCGAGATATACATCTCAAAAAGTACTGCTCGAACTTGTTTTGTTCGTCGGTTCGCTACGTTTTCTTACAAAGCTATAAACAGGCTTCTATCGAGAGGGCATAAGGTTGGCATTATTGAGCAGACCGAGACTGCCGCATTGAAAAAAGCGAGCGACAACCGCAATGCTCCCTTTGAGCGAGAACTAACCCATCTCTACACAGCTACTACGTGAGTCGGCCTCTGTCATCCACGGTCGCGGTTTTTGAGGGTCTCTAATATGGATTACAGATATGTCGATGAGATAGACTCCGTAGATGATGTGGACAAGTCCACCGCTCCTCTTTTAATGTGTTTGGTGGAAGAATCCCGTGGGGGTATGGGCGCTGACGAGAAAGTCTGCATAGGCATGATTGTCATTTGCCCCAGTACCGGCGATGTCGTCCATGATGAGTTCATTGGTGAGCACGTTCACCGTCTCAGATGGACTTCACAGTCAATAATCGTATTCAGACGGACATATGCGCACCGAAATTGAGGTGACTATTTCACTGTACCAATCTGCAGAAGTCGAATTGAGCGAGTCATATCAGACGCGGATGGTACACCTGAAGCCTGCCGAACTTCTGCTGCCTTCCAAGAAAATGAGCAGCCCGACCGAGCGCATGCTTAACCATTTTGTTCAGTAGGATGTTGTATCTGCCTCCGAGATTCCTGGAAACTCACATGCCATTGAGCAGGAATGGGACGGGTGGTAATACAATTCGAGTAGAAAGATACAAACACCCAATGTCCTACACTGATGCTTTCAAGTACGTGTCCGATTTCTACGCCCGAAAGCTAGAGTCAGGAGTAGCCTCTCAAACTGTGGCCTCCGGTACGCCGTTTCCTTCGTCCGGCATGACATAGAGTTCAACTTGTTTTCTAGGAAAACTCATGGCGGGCATCACAGACTTTCCTCGCCAAGTCGTTGTTGCGCTTGCAGAGTGCATCAAATATCTTTCTGCATTTAACATCACAGACGCCCTATTGGCCACTGAATTTTACAGCACATTTACGACCCGGACACACATGCTATTGAATGGAAATACCCTCACGAACTTGTGGGTATCCGTTTCGAAATGTGTCATGCTAGTGTGCTAACGCTGATCGCCAATACGCCCAAAGGGAAATATACCGCAACGAAACAGATTTTACCATCAAAGGCTCTTTGATGTGGGTTTTGGATCACACGACAACGAAATTTGGATCTAGACTCCTGCGAGATTGGGTCGGAAAGCCGTTGGTGGACAGGAGGTCAGTCGTGTGCTCTTGATTCCATTCTAGGTCCTTGAGGTGCTGACTACGGTATGTCCAAGTGCATTGCAAGAACGAATAGATGCCGTAGAAGAAATCATTGAGAGCCCATCCATGAAGCTGGTTCAACTGCGACAAGTCCTGAAAGGATTGCCTGACCTAGCGAAAGGTCTGTGTCGTATCCAATACGGCAAAGTATGAGTCGCTCGAATTTATTCCTTATATTCGCATCGATGACATGTTTCACAGTGCACTCCAAAAGAGCTGTCCGTTCTACTCCCGGCCTTGAACAAGGTCGCTGTTGCGTTTCATGCGGTAGATAGCCCAGCGGACGTTGGCTTCAATTCACCGATTTTAAATGAAATCATGGCGGCGCTGCCTCGGCTGAGAGAACCTGTTCAACGCCTCATAGGCGAAATAAACCTGAAACGTGCGGCTGAGGGCAACAAGGCATTAATGTGGACTGATTGCGAAAAATATCCCTCTGTCTCAAATGCTGACATGGGTATCCAGGCTATAGAAATGGATATAGCGGAGGAATTGAAGTCGAGTAAGTCATCGGTACTGAGGATGCGTGATGTACTGTCTGATATCCTTGGGTAGTCAGAAGGGTGCTTAGAAAGCCACGCATCGAGTGGACGACTGTCAAAGGTGATGAGGTTAGCTCTTGTTCGTGCATTCGCCATTGTAGCAGCTGACAACATGACAAGTATCTGATCGAACTACCTACTGAAGAGCATGCAAAAGCTCCAGAGAACTGGCAGGTTTTCTCTTCGTAATGTCTAGTTTACTTCTGCCCTTCATCCTCGACCTGACACAGCATCTACAGCACGAAGAAAGTCCGTCGATATCGTTCGCCAATTATTAATGCCAAGCTTCAGGAACTTGCGCAGTTACAAGAGTTGCTTGAAGACGCAGCCAAGCAGGCCTTTGCCTCTTTTCTTGAAGACATTTCACAAAATTATTATGCCTTGCTGCGCGATGCAGTCAACAAGCTTGCCGTCGCTGACTGTCTTCTTAGTCTAGCGCTCGTATCCGTCAAAGGCGATTATGTCAAGCCCCAGTTCAATGATGATGAAGACGTCTTAGAGATCATAGACGGTCGTCACCCCATGATCGAAGCGATGCGATCGGACCCCTTCATTCCCAACACTGTCACAATGGGTGCCGACAAGCCCAGGAGCAAGATTATTACTGGGCCCAATATGGGAGGAAAAAGTTCGTCCGTAAGGATGATTGCCCTCATCACAATCATGGCACAGATTGGATCTCATGTCCCGGCCAAATCAGTCAAAATGAGCATGATAGACGGGATCCTTACAAGAATGGGCGGTACGTCTAGACGTGACCATCCGTGTCCATTGGTCTAACTCATGCGTTCGATATAGCGTCAGACGAGCTTGCTAGAGGACGATCTACATTTATGGTCGAAATGTCTGAGACGAGCGACATTCTCCTCCATACAACCGCTAAGAGTCTGGTTATTCTCGATGAGCTAGGCAGAGGAACTTCAACTTTTGATGGGGTAACGAGTCTTGTCGTTGACCCATTTATCCTGGAGCTCACAGAGGGTCAAAACAGATGGCCATTGCCCAAGCCGTCTTGCAGCATCTCGTTCAGATGAAGAGATGCAAGACTTTGTTCATCACACATTATCCACTAGTGGCAACAGAACTTGAGCGACGATTCCCAGGCGACTTGGAGAATCTGCACATGGGATTTTCTGAGGAGACGAGAGCCAATAATGTCAGGGAGATTACCTTTCTGTACCGGCTTACAGCTGGTTTAGCGACAGAGTCCTTTGGTATCGAATGCGGACGATTAGCGGGTCTCTCAGAAAACATACTAGAGGCCGCAGACGTCCATGCGAACAAATTACGTCTGCAGGTGGAAGAGCGACATAAACGCAATAAGTCGGGCAATCCTTCACCTTCATCTGCATAATATGCTGACAGAATCACCAGGATCCGCAAGGTCGCCCGCACGCTCAAGCAATGCATGGCTGAGCCATGCGACCTATCTGCTCTAGCAGAACTCCGGGAAATGATAGAGAACTCCGGGAAATGATAGATTCGTTGTCTATGAACGGATGATAAGCTTCTATGAAGTATTAGCCGTCTTCGACTTTTTCCGTTTGGCCTTCTTGGTTGACGCTGCGTCATCTCCACTCGCCTCGGCTTTTCTCTTGCCAGTAACTTCATCTGTATTCGTCACTGCAATCTTATTCTTCTTGCTCTGTGCGGCCGGAGCCTGGACCAGTTGCGCTATCTGGCGACACATAGCTTGTAGAGATGTCGAAGCTTTAAATCGGTCGTTCCCAGCTAGTTTTGATGTCAGGACGATCCAAGTGGCAGGCATCCAAATTTTTGACAAGTCATCGGGCTTTGACAAGCACCGTTTTGATTGGCGTACAGCCAGGAGAGCAAGCTTCAAAATGTCCTTGAGTTGCGCAGCTGTGAGCGTCGTCTCATCACAGGCTTTTGAGATGATGTCATGAAGATTCTGGCGTAACGAAGACATGAAGGATGCGATCTCCTTTTGCTGGTCATCCTGGATATATTGTTAGGATATATGCTGACACAATATGTTTCTCTGCTCACAATAGATGGCAGCTGATTGACCAATGCTTGGAGAAGCCCATAGGCTTGGATTTGGCGATATACATTCACTGCCCTTGTTGTGACGGATATGAGGACACCGCGAAGGGTCCAAGCGACAACTGGATTGCGCTTGATGAAATCGTAGAAGAATTTTGCGTTTAAATCCGACGCCTTCCTGGTGATGAAGTCGACAAGGGATTCTCGATAAACCTTGAGTACCGGCTCTTCTGCCCCTGCATGGAGCAGAACCTTCGACACATAAAGACTGCATCCACTGATGGTAGCCAACGCATCCAACGAGTGGACTTTGCGGGCACGCGTATGCAGCTCCTCGAGAACTCGGACCACGCCATCCTTGTCCACGCTCGAAGGCGCGTCCCTCAATTTGCCCACGCGAGACTTCAAGAGACCGGCTGTTTTAGTGGACAACTGCCTTTCGTCTGAGCCTGATCCGAGGGTGAGATCAACTAGAGGTGTGATGAATCTGATGATGAGGGGACTGGTGGGTTGTTTCTTGATGAATATATCAACCAGGTCTAGGATACGGTTCTTAAAATGCGTCGCCTCCCGTTGTGCATTCCCATCTGATACTTGATTTCAGTCTCATAATGTCATGCACAAGGTTGGAAACTAACCTTTACCCTTGCCCTTCGTGCGCTCACGGAAGATCTGCGCCAGCTGATCGTCTATAGCCATCATCTGCTCGTCGTCCATTTGATCTTCCTCTGCTTCGTCGTCGGATAAACCCGTCGCTGCTTCTATACCGTTCGCCCGCAAGACCTCAGTGATTTTTCTACGAAGTTCTGGATCTTCGTCTTCATCGCCAGTTTCATCGTCATCGTCCTCGCCGCCACTTGACGATGAGTCTTCATCTTCATCATCATCTTCATCTCCGTCTTCATCGCCGCTGCTTGCATCGCGCCCCTCACTTTCATCCTCGTCAACATCCATTTCGTCGCTGCTGTCGTCGGCTAGAAGTTCGGCAGGGTCACGACGCTCAAGTTGCTGGTACACAGATCAGTAAATATCAACTTCCGAGAGCGAATCCACTCACAGAGAGGATCAGGTCTACCGTACTTTCCTTCACAGCTCCACTCAGTAATGAAAAGCTTTGTCCGCCAACGGAGCGCATGTAGGCTGTCGCTTTCTCCATGAACCCGATGATGGTATCCACGAGGACGTCAATTGGCTCCGGGACAGACTCTACATTCTCTTCATCGGTGGTCGGTTTGTTAGCTTTCTTTTGAGTGGTCTTCCGGGGCGATGCGAATAAACGAGAGGCGCCATCGATGCATGTCTGAGCGAAAACACCATGAGTAAATGTGAATGACAATGACGTATAGCAATCACCTCTAGGGACTCAGTATGCCTGCTATCAGAGTCATCTGCAGCATAGTGCTGCAAAACAGAGGAAACGAGAAGAAGTTCAGCGCCCTTGGCCGCCTCCTGCTGGTCACCCGTGATCTATTCATAGCATTTGGATTTAATTCGTCACACTACGTTAGCGAAGGGAAAAAGGACAGACCTTGCGCAATCCGGTGACCACTTCCCGTGCTTTCTCGTGGATAACCTTCTCCGCACCATCAAACTCGAAGAGGGGTTCGACATGCTTGGAGTCTTGTTCCAATTGCTCGATCGTGACAACGACCTTTGAGACCCAAAAAAATCCATCTGCAGCAACACCAGCTACCTTCTGAGTCTTCTCATCATCGGACTTGACCAGGCTTGCCTGGGCCGTCAATTCCGCTAAAGAGCTTAAGAGGCGCTCTCTGCATTGCTTTCGCAAAACGTCTGACAATGGAGGGGATATCACCGAGTGCAACTACGAAGAAAGTAATTAGTCCTGCTGTGTCGTCAGTGAGTGATTAGGAGAACATACCGCGCGTAAAGAGCTCTTTTCGGACTTCTTCTTGACTATAAACATGCCATGCACCGTGAACCAATCGAGAACAGTTTTTAGCCATTCATCAGTTCTGGGGATAGTGTGGTTTCGAATAAGCCCTGCGAGCTGCTCGATGATCCATGAGCGGCGGGAATTTGTGACCTGGATATCATCCCTGCGACGCCACATTATTTTGAGAAGGAAATTTGACTCGAAATTGATGCGTACTCGTCGTTTTCGTCTATATGCTTGAGCAGGTGCCCGATATAGTTTTGTATTCCATCCACGTTCATGGTGGCCAGAATGGATTCGACGGTCTTCGTCTTGGTTAGTTTGTCGAACTGTTGGTTTCCGTTCACACCCGTAAGCTGGATAATGAAAGCGAAACCGATGGCAGGGTTCTTTTGAACAACAGTGTGAATATTAGTGGCCTGTGTGGATTAATATTAACAGAATGTCCAGGCTCATATCATAGAAGAGCGCACAATCTGCTTAGCGAAACTATGCAGGTAACGGTCGTAGTTTGAAAGATGGTTGATCCATGTCCGCATGAAGTTTTGAGTGAAAAGCATTGGTAAATCCGACTCCCTGACACGGGGCAACGCCTTCCTGAAAATCTCGAAGCCCCAATACTTCCTCTCAATAGACGCGGAAGAAGCAAATAAGGATTCTAGGACAACTATTAGTAAAGGCCGCCCACAGCATAAAACCATCACGCTTACCGTCAACGACGATCCTGAAAAACTCTTGAAAGGAGCCCTTTGGTGTCACCTCACTCTCCTGAGATGGGAGCAGCTCATCCAGCAATATGTCCCATACGTAGTGGACCTGTGGTTTCCAAGAGCGTCCTCCAACCTTCGGCCCATCCTCCTCCTCTTCCATGGCAGACTCCTGAGGTAGAAGAGTGAATCGTTAATTGACAAAAACGGGCAGTCAAATATCTTTCGTTCAATGACCTTCAAAATCTTTGATAACGCCGACATGTTCCCTGTGTGCAGCACCTGCCCATGTTTGAGCATCGGTGCAAAAAGTTTGCGCCATTCGCGGTTCGGCCACAGTTTCTGCAGCTTTAGAGCAAGAGCAAGCTTTTCCGGAGTCCAGGTCTTATTGTCCACGAAAACTACATCAAGAGTTTTGGAGAGGGCATCTTCCCTCCAGGGCGCCTCAGACCCGTGAAGCGAGTCAACGGCAAGACCCAGTGTCCACCACACGCTCTCTCGCAGCCACGATTTCTTCTCCCCAAGAGCAATTAGCTCCGAAAGCACATCTACGTAGCCTGTGAGGCTGCTGGCCTCTGTCAATGCGGAGCCGGACGAGGGAAGGGGCTGTTGGCGAGTGAGGAGCCCGGACTGGATAAGTGCGGTGATTCCGAAGAGACGAGCAAAAAGAACATCCCGATCCTCCTGGCCGGAGGCGGAGCCTTGAGTTGTGGAAGCATCTATTATGAGTGCAAGGATTTGTGAACATGTCACTGTGTTGATGCGGGAAAGTAGCTGTGGAAGAAAGTAAAGTTATAAGAAAAAAACAGAAGGGCGCGGACCGAGTTGCAACGAAGACATACCTCAGTGAGCGCAACCGAGAATCCAAGTCTGCTGCTCTCTCTTGGACTCGCCAAACCCCTCACTAACCGCCGAATCGAATACGATACATCCCCCGCATTCAAAAAATTCAGCTTGGCTTCCTCCTTCTTGAGAGCCGCTTTATCGCTATCTTCGTGTTCGTCAACCTCCTCCTCATCGTCTTCCTCGTCTTCACTAGCCAGGCTTGGCTCTTTTGGAACGAACGATACTTGAAGAGTTTCGAGCGCGCTGATGAGCTTGACAGACGCGTCAATACGCTCCTTCTTACTGGCGGATGATAAGTTCCAAAAGAGTGGGAGAGTAGTTGACATGATTGTAGTCGTAGGACTGCCCCAGACGGGGTCTTTACAGGAAATGAAGATGCTTCAGCAGACTGCAAAATTTGGCTAGTCCTATTTCACACGTGAGACGGTTGTTTGCTCTTGTTGAATTCTGAAGCTCTTGCCAAGCAACGAACAACAAGCTCCCCTATCGACGCTCAATATGACAGTAAGGCGTGAAAGTCTAGAGTATCATGTAGAAATGCCGCGAAACTGTGCCCACGTCACCACAAAAAGCTGTTTTGATTTTCGACAGATAGTCGCACATAAGGCGCAATTAACCCAGTTGCTTGAATTACGAAAAGAGTACAAGTAGAGTAGATCGAGGCAACCCTATATTCAGCCCATCATAACGCGAAAAGAGGTGGTCATACACGGCTCATCAGATCAATCGTTCATGATCACGCATCGATCTTGCATATACGAAATCGCGTACCCTTCATCGCAGGACCCAACTATACACCGACCGGTTACGCACGAAGTCTTCACAGCATTAGAAATATCAGAGCAATTGAAGCTAGCGGAAGGAAGAATCGAAACGTTGATCAGATCAACACTGTTTGTTAGCAGAGTTCAGGTAGCATCGTTGTACTGACGTAGCATCTAACACCGAACATCCACCACAATTCTCGAGATCACGGTCGAAGTTCGGGCAGTTGAAGCCATGATTGACGAGGTTGTCCAGAGTCCACGTCTCGCTCCACGCCAAACCCTGCGGTTGTGATTCCGCCTGGTTCACGAATGGACATACGCTCAGCCCGGAAGGACACAGCTGATCAGAGATATCATCTGTATGTATGCTGGCATAGGACACCGAGTCAGGGTTGATGAAGTCTTGAATAGGGACGTATTCCATGAGGGATAGTCGAGACAAGACAGCTAGCAGCAGATAGATGTCAGAAATAGCTAGTCAGTTGAAATCTCAGAACACACCCTGAGCGTGAAGAGAGGGCCCAGGCATCGCAATGACGGAGGCGAACATGACGGCAAAAAGAGGCAGAAAAAGATGGAACAACATATTACTGGTGTGAGATGAAGATGCGGAAGCACAGGCGGTTCAGAAATTCTGAGTAGAGTATATATAGGAGTGCATTAGGGGTGGCGGCAAATGATTCGCATTGGTCAACCCGCCTCAAACTCTCCGTGCCACCGTACAATGATGACTGCCGGACCAAGCGAGGTTTCCTCGCCGCTTCGGCATGGAACAAGCAAAGCATGCGGCCCAACGTGGCTGGACCAGGCGGCAGGACTGCCCCATAAAGGCGTTGGCGAGACGTGGGACTCACAACTTCCATTAGCACCTCGCCAAAGATATATACGCACCGTCATAGCAGCTTCTTCGGCCTAGCTGGGTGGGAAATTGTGAAGAGCAGCTGCGCTTTGAGCGGCGGGAAATAAAGTCATCTGAATGACAGCCAACTAAAGACGCGTGACTGAGCCTGACTGAGCTTGACTCGTATCTGGTCGGGCGAGTTGGAAGAGGGCCAGCATGACAGAGATCGCATCATATGAGAAGACTGGTAGTGATGAGAGAGAAAATATCGAGAGGTATCGAGGTTCGAGACACGTATGTCGATCGCTTTGCCTCGGTCGATCCGGGCAAAGAAGGCGCGGCAATTTGCAAGCTATTACGAGGCTTGCACGAGCCGCAGGTTGAGCAGACATTGATACTCGTTCAGAATACAATCGTTGGTGTTGCCCAGTCAAGAGTTCGAGATGGACGGCCAAGCAGTGATCAGGACGGTGTTGGAGAGAGAACAACTTGCGCGGTGTGGAGCAAAGACACTGAAGGATGTTGATCCTACCGGGCGAATGCCCATTTTTGGACTAGCGAACGGAGAAATTCAGATCTATAGGTGCCCGATGGCCATCGCTCTGCGCTTTAAGTCAGACCCGCATCCTCTCATTATTACAATTTTCTTCCATCGAGACATCGTGAGCAATGGCAGCTACATATCAAGACGCTATCATGCTGTTCGGAGACTCTCTGACCCAGGGAGCTTGGGAATTCAATGGGATTGGTGCACGCCTCGCTCGTGAGTGACATTACAGTGATCTCCCTGATACGTTCGTGTCACTGAACATCGACAGACGTCTATGCACGTAAATTCGACGTGTTAAACCGTGGATTCTCGGGGTACAACACAGAATGGGCGCTGCCCGTATTCGAGCAGGTCCGCAAGATGCGTTCTGTTACACTCCTATGCGATTCGTTCGATGCGACTGATTCTCTTCCTGTCCGCCAGATCTTCGCAAAGCAGCACGAGCAACAGCACGTCCCCCTTGTGCGGCTGCTCACCATTTGGTTCGGTGCCAACGACGCGTGCATTCCCGGAACCGCGCAACACGTCCCGCTCCCCCGCTTCACCGAGAACCTGCTCAAAATGATCCAGATGGTTCAATCACCGTCCTCTCCATACTACTCACCCGATACCAAGATTATCTTGATATCTGCGCCGCCGGTGAACACACAACAGCGCGGCGCCGACCTTGCCAGCCGTGACCCGCCGAAGGATCTAGACAGGCTCTTCGAAAAGACGCAGACTTATGCGGAGGAGGTTGTTAGGCTCGGAAAAAAGGAAGGTCTTCCAGTTGTCGATGCATGGACGAAGCTGTGGGAGGCAGCGGGGAAGGAGGAAAGCGCATTGAAGGAATACCTGTACGACGGTCTACATGTGAATGAGGCAGGCTATAAGGTATGTGGTATAAAGCCAAGTATTTGACAACTCGATTCACGCTAGAACGAAACGTCTTGGATGTGGATAGGTCGTGTATGATGGAATCGTAGAGGCGATCGCGACACATTACCCGGAACTGCGTCATGACGCGACGCAGTATAGATTCCCAACCTGGGATTATTTCATCGACCACTCCGTCGACGACTTCAAGAAGGAACATCATCTTGCAGCATGAACCGAGAGAATTCTGGCACGGTGATGATGGCGATGATGACGATGCTCAGAGACAAGGATCATTGGTAAGTTGTGCTGTGACAGTATGTGATAGGATCACCGGGCCTGGCTGAGCGCAGTCTGAGCGCTGAGGTTGAGATAGAAAGGACCGAGCCGGTGTTGGTTGCTATGCGGAACAGAATTACGTCGAATACCGAAGGCAATCAGTACCGACAGGCACTGACCTGGCGGAATGTATTAGTGTAATGTACCAGAATATACCAAAAGTCAGCTTGCACGGTCTGAGCCGGATCTGCCATAAACTCGATGGGTCTCAGCTGGTCGACACGGCCGGAAAGCTGGAAGGGATAATGATCAGTCTGATCAAGGACCGGTCTATGCCATCAGTGATGGCCAACAACAGCGACTCGGACCAGCGGTTCGCGACGGAGGATCAAAAGAGGCTAGGAAACGATCACGTGGGCAAATTCAACTGGGTGCAAACGCGGTACAAATAAGAAGGGGCGCCTAAAGGGCGACGCGGTTCCCCTCTAATTAGCGACACCACCGGGCAGGACAAGAGCGACGGCGCAGGTCCCGCTGAACGAACAGAACTCTCCTATTCCACCTCGAGGCGTTGAGCGGTGCGTGGTTCATGGCGTTCCAGTGCGGCAGAAGCAACGTGTTGATGTGATGACGGCACCAGGTGGACCCACAATTGTCCACATTCTGTGTTTGGCCCTCCCTCGTCTTGTTCAAGTCCCGTGAGAACATCTCTTCCTTCTGTGTGCTGTCCCACCAGTCCCTCTCCAGTCTTCGAGTCCTCAAGCTGACAATCCTTCTATCCTTCGGTTTCTCTTGATCCAGGCGCGGCCTCCTCCGTCTACACACTCGTTACGCCAAGGTAAATATGTTCCCTTGACGCCACCTACTCGTAATGGCGACTTCGGGGGTCACGCTCCAGTTCAAGTCCGCGCGTTGCCTCATCGCCGCCATCGTCTCCAGATTTGGGGGAACAATTGGCGATGACCACGCGGCTACCCCCGAAGTCCCCCTATTTTAGCTCCCACTTGTCCCAGTCTTGTCCCTCGTCCTCGCTGTTTCCTTGCTGACACATATGTTTGCACCAGCCGACTGCCTCTAACAGGGTTTCAGTCCGCCACGATCCCATTTTCAGGTCCAGGCCACCTTCACTTTCGGTGCGTGCTTAAATAACCAACCTTCCTCTGTTCAACTTTCTGAGCTCGACTCTCGTTTCGTCTGTCCTCGACGCGCCTGCTACACCATCTGTATCAACTACTCCTGTATCTACTGCGTTCCCATTACCCTTCGCTCTTTCACTACCGTGTTCAACCGACGCCTGCTGCACAAAACCGACTCTGCCACCGACAACATCCACGCCTCCAACGATCGACAACGACCATGTACCGATTCCTCACCCGTACCTTAGACACCAAACACGATCGCGGCGTGATCAAACGACAGAAACCGGACGCCTACAAACAAAGATTGGATTCAGACGACATGCAAGCATTCTTCGCAGCTCCCTCTAACAACGTGTCTTCGCGCTTCTTGAAACCGCCGGCCGCGCCTATGCGCAAGCTGAGCCAGCGTGTTCTCGGCGCGAAGGATGATATCGACGACTTTCTCTCCTCAGACTTGGAGCTCTCGTTCGCCTCCACCATGTCGATCAACTCCCCCCCACGTGACACCATTGCCCTGGCCCCCGAAGCCGAGAAGGAGGACGTCGTGCCCATGGATATCTCCCCCGCTCCCATGCGTATGTTCCCTTCGAGTCGCAAGAGCGGCGGCGACGACTCCACTCGACCTCGGGCACTCACTTCCGGGAGACTGTTCGGACGTGACGTGAGCAACGATCTGCCACAGGCTCCCCCGACAAAGACCGGTACTACGACAGGCAAACGCACCCAGCGTGCTGCTTTGCCCATGGAATGGTTGGGGCAGTCCAAGGCCTCGCAGCCTATTGACATCCAACACAGCGACAACAACATGTTTGCCCCTGTAAGTACTGTTTCATGGGCAAACTGGCATGTCGTTGATGATGTCTTTTCTTCGCCAGTCACCGCAAGCTCCTGGTTCCCCAGATGCGATGGACATTGACAGCTCCTTTGCTTCCGGCGGATCGTCGGCACCCGACGCCTTTTCCTCCCCTTCCCCACAGACAGGCCCCAACGGGAAACCTCTCGGCGGCTTTTTCTATAACCCATCTTCCCCAAGTCGTGATGACACTACTCTCAATCTGTCCAAGAAAAGGCGCTCGGTTTCGCCTGAGCCGACCCCTGCGAGGCGCCGTGCAGGGACAATGGATAGCTCGCCCATACCCCCTTCGTCCCCTAGCGACTCAAAGCTTGAGCGCCTCGCGAAGCCCATGCTTGGTGGAATGGGTAACCCTTCACTGAGCAAGCGTCCCCGTCGTCCCGCCCTTACCGCGATAGTCCCTCCGCTAGAGAGTATCCGTTCAGCCTATCCGGTCATGGACGGCAATGAGGATCGCCATATTAATGCGCCGTTGGCACCTCCTCGTCGCGCGTTCTCCGCTATGCTCCCTGTCGGTGGGCTGGGCGAGCCATACTCCGAGGAGTCGTCCTTCGAACAGGGCGAGATGTCCTCCCCTGCCGCTGCCTATTCCAAGAGGCAGCAGATGAAGACCATCAGGAGGTGCGATGGTACTGACGACTTCAGACCTCTGACTGGTGCCACTGCCATGGTCAGGAGGGACAGGGAGGAGAGCCCACGGGGGGCGGGCCTCGCTGGCTTTGGTGACAACGAGGCTCATGGGAAGATCTTGCCTTGCCACAGGGTAAGGGAAGATGGCCTGATGAGGATCAACTGCCAGACAGTGAGCTCCAACTGAATCTATGCCCCCTAGATTCAGGTCGCTGACTTTCCTATAGTTGGACAAGCTCCTGGATGGCGCGTACAACTCGAAAATTGCGTCGTTCAAGGTTATTGATTGCCGGTTTGATTACGAGTACAATGGGGGCCATGTTCCCGGCGCCGTCAACATCAACAACACGACCGCGCTGGAGGAATACCTCCTCGGCTCCGGCGTCATGAAACCAACCCCGAGCATTAGTGGCGACGGCCCCCAGAAGTCTATCCTTGTGTTCCACTGCGAGTTCAGTCTGCAGAGGGCGCCGACTTTGTAAGCACAGATTCAGGTCCGCGCAAATCATAGGACTCATGCCATCCTTAATCCGTAATTAGCGCGAAGCACTTGCGTTCGAAGGATCGTGCCTTAAATAACCATTGCTACCCGCGGATTCACTACCCCGAAGTATACATTCTGGAAGGCGGCTACTGCCAATATTTCAAGGAGTGCGCTGTGCGCTGCCAGCCTAGTGCGTACGTGCGCATGGATGATCCACACCACGCTGCGGCGCGCAAGGAGGACCTGGATCAGTTCCGCAAGAACAAATTTGGGCGCACGAAGTCTTACGCTTATGGCGATGGTGTGGTACTGGGTAATGCCGCTGCTCAGCAACAGAAGCGGAGTTCCGCCCCAGGGTCGACACAGCTGTTCGCGGCCGCCAATGCAGCGAGGACAAGGAGGGGGGGAAGCGCAAATCCTGGAGTGCTAGGGACACTCGTAGAAGACGGACACGCGCAGAGTGAAGATGAGACCGATACTGATTTGGGCGATAGCCCTTGCCCGGCCCCGTCCAAGGCGATGGGGAAGAAGATGTATGGTGGAAGAAATCCCGTCCGAAAGGCCGAGACGTTCAATCCGACCCGCTTTGGAGGATTCTGATCGTTCTCGAGATGAGCGCAAGGTCCATGCCTCGGACACACTGTTTTATTTCCATCCTGTTTTCTGTTTTCACCTCGAACGCCATGCAAAACCTCCTATGCTTGTCCTATCCACTTCCTCCATCACGTTTGTTCTTTCCCAATCAGGACATCGCTTCTCGCCATAGCGTGCTTGCGCAATGACTTTCCTGCCCCCTTCAATTTCCACGATCGTCGCCACGAGGCTCCGCTTCCTATCCCCATTCCTCCCCATTTCTCTTTGTTTGATCCAATTCGTCGCTCTCCACTCCTATCTCCACCTCACGCCCGCTCGATGATTGTCCGGCTTCATGTCCGCCGTGTCGCGGTTACACGATCAAGACTCGCTATGTCTCACGTTCATGCTCGCACGCATGCTCATGTTTCGTCCGTCTCTGTCTATGGTTTCCGATCACCTTCTCGATATGTTTCGCTTTGCGTTCCATCGACTGGACCGTCCCCGCGCGACCGCTCGTTCGCTCCTGTGCTTCCACCGTTTTGGCCTTGTTCATTTGACCTCCCTTGTTTCCGGCTTGGCGCCCCTCGACATCATTCCTCACCTCAAGACAAACAAACCGAAGCGTTGTATCACGACTCGCCATATCATCGACACTCCAAATATCACAGAATATCAGCAGAAATGCACAATTTTGCAACACCATCTATATCATCTCCTGACACCACATACGATCATATGGCTGTTCCGTTTGCCGACCGCGCTCTATCCTATCGCACACCCAGCACGACAGCATATTCCCACATCGTCCTACCGCCATTGGTCCGGCACGGTTCATCTGACCACTATTTGTGTTTATATATGCCCCTATCATCTCTCGACGTGCATACAACCCGTATCAGAACTGTCATCTATGCATTCCTCTGTCTCCGCTTCTCCACACATCAATGGTTCGACTCATCTTCCCAGTTCTCTTTCAACTGCTCCTTGGAGCCGTCTTTCCACGCTAATCCCATCGTTTCATTCGCAGACTCTCACTCTTATCCTTCGTTCGTCGTCTAGCTGTTGGACTCTTCGCGTTCGCGTTCTCGTTTAGTTCCCATTTCCGTTCTCATTTCCGCTTCCCGCTTTCGATTCATTGTTTCATCTGGGACACACGCCCGCCGTATCGCCCTTGAATGTCCTGCACGGTCGGGCCCATTTACGATTTGATACCGCGAACGCTCAAACTTTTTGTCCGTGTTCTTTTCTTTCCGTTTCGTACGCTTCAGCTTTCTTTCTGTTGTTCCGGATTGTCTTGTCTTTTGTCCTTGGTTTTCGTTTAGAGCAATCGGATTTGCATTGTCATTATCCGGGGCGAGAGAACGGTAGATGCGGATTAGAGACGATGATAGGGATTCGACTTTTGGTCGACGAGCGGCCAATCGGTTCGGTCGCGCGACCTCCTTCCGTTAGCCGCTGAGTTGTAGTTTTCGCTCCGCGTCCTGACAGCTCGAGCGCATGGTCTGCAGCAGACCTGGCCCACCTCCGCCACGCGTATCTCCACAGATGCGCCCTTTATTGGGCCTACGATCCCGACTCCCATCACATATGCTTTCCGATCGTCGGGCCACGGGTATCTCGCTTAGAGATGAGTTGGATTTGAGACCTTAGGCTCGTCATGCTGACCAATTTTACCAGAAGGAAAGAGGCCCAGTAACCCAGTCTTGTCGGGCTGGATTACCTCCGCGACCACAAGAAACTTGCAGGCCTTTGGGGGGTTTCTGACTTGTTCGCTCACGCCGACGACATGCATGTCGCTCCCTGCTCGTTGGCGCTGGATTTTCCAGCACCGATCGCAGGGGCGCCTTGACGATTGTTCCGCAGCGTGGTTTCGAAAGGGGCGGGGGCAGACGGACGCCATCGTATGCCTGTGCCCTAGTCGAGGGCCCTGCCAACTCAATCCAATGAGGGGCTATCTAGTACGCGCCCGACGTACGGAGGGCGTCCGTATCCATCGGCCCTCTCTCGGGCTTTCGCGAGAGGGCTGCGCCCACCACACCGGCCTGTAGCGTTGCTTGCGAGAGGTACGGCGCGACGCAGTCTCATCCAGATAAATCGGTAAGGCTGGTTTGTCTGATCTGCGCGGTGCGCTGGTCGCCGCCCCGGTGGGCAGATGAGGGCCGTGTCGCGGTCCAGTCGGGGGCGCGTTGGGGCGTGCTCAAGGCAGGAGCGGCGAGCGCTCTCCCCTCGATGATCTCTCGCCCTTGCCGAGGCACCCGTCGCGCCGCCATCGAGGAGCTCGTCGACAAGAAGCCCAGCACGAGGCGTCCGCGCGGGAACGCTTGCGCTCGCTCGCGTACGGATCGTATCCAGCATCCTTTCGAATGAGACCTCCGGTCGCGAGCGCCGGGATCGCAACGCGTCGCGACGGGCGCACGTCGTTCAGTTCTTCGCCGTTGGCTTTTTTTTTGTTCACAGGTCACAGGTGGGGTGCGGCGGTCGACGGTACGGGCGAGTCGGCGTGTTGCCTCGGCCTCGCGCGAGCTTCGCGACGCGGGTCGTGCGCGGGTGTGCACGTCGGCCTGCTCGGCGCTATCTGAGAACGCAGCGGGCGACGTCCCTGCGATGGACGTCCGGCGCCCGCGGCCCATCTCACCTCTTGTCTCGACACGCTCACAGCTCGCGGCGTGTGTGTATGCATGAGCGCGCGAGAGAAGGGAAGGCGCGGCGGGTCTGTCTGGGCCAGGCCGGCGTGCGGCGTGCGGCGTGCTCCGCGCTCGTACAGACAAGGATGGCATTCAGAGCGGCAGGATAAGCGTGCTAGCGAGCGCGCGAGCGTGCGTGCGTGCGTGTAACGTGTCATGTATATGTAGCAACAAAACAAAACAAACACAGAGCGCGAGAAAGAAAGGGAGAGAGATTGCGAGAGAGACCGGGTAACAACAAGTAAGCATCGACGTAGCGTGCACACATGTACTCGTATATATCCGCGCGGCGCGCAAAGGGGTAAATCAGTATCGAGATGGGAATCGCGATCGAGAGCAGGGGGTCTACGAGCGCGCTGATAGTAGCAGTGGAGTGGGAGCAGTGGTATCGGGCACGCGACGCGCAGACGAGGACCGGACGCGCGAGGTGCGCAAACGGACGTGCGCGTGGGGCGCGCCGCCGGGTCAGTCGAAGTGCATCCAGTGGCCGCGCAGCCCGAGCCTGCACTTCTCGCAGTCCGCGCGCGGGCCCATCGTGAAGCGCATTTTCCTCTGCGTCGCCGCCGCCGCCGCCGCCGCGCCCGGCGCGTCCGCGCTGGCCCACTGTTGCTGCGACTGATGTTGGTATGGTGGTTGCTGGTGCTGGTGCTGGTAGTGTGGGTGCTGCGGATGTGGGTGCGCCGGATCGAGCGGCGACGCGGGCTGGATGTGGATCGCGGGCGGCGGGAGCTGGCCGTGCACAGACGGGGACGGGGAGGGCGACATTGACGGGGAGGGCGAGAGGGAGGGCGACGGGGAGGGGCTGTGGCCTACGCCGAGACCGAGGGCGAAGGGGTGCGCGGCGGCCAGAAGGGGAGGTGTAGGCGCGTTGTGGATCGGCGCGGAGAGGAAGGGCGCGTGGGGGTACGGGTGAGGGTCTGGGTGAGGGTGAAGGGGCGCGGGGGATGGGGACGCGGATGCTGACGCGCGCGAGGTGTGCGCGGGTAGGGGGTTCGCTGGAGATGTGGGGGCGGTGGAGATGCGGATGTGCGGGACGTGCGGGACGTGTGTGTGCGCGGTGGGCGGGCGGAGCGGCCACGGGGGCGAGTACGGCGGCCTGAGCGGGGACGGGGCGAGCACCGGCGGGTCGTCTGCGTCGGCATCGAGGCTCTGCGCGCGCACACACAGGCACACACACGCGTGCGGCGCAAAGCGGGACGACGAAGAGAGAAAAGAAAAAGCGGGCGCAGCGCGGCGTGTCATCGAACTCGTCATCGTCGTAGTAATCGAGCGCGGCGCGCTTCACCTCGCGCGAGCCACTCGGGGACTCACCATCCGTGCGTCCTCGCCGTCGTTCCCGTCCTCCTCGTCCTCCCGGGGCAGCCCCGCCGGACGCCGCGCCCGCGCGTCGATGGTGAGCTCGCGCGTCTGCACGACCCAGCCTTCTTCGGACCCCGCGCGCGGCCCCGCGCCACTGGCGCCGCCGAGGGACAGCATGGCCCGTTTCTGCGCGCGCGGCGCGGGCTCGTCGTCAGCCGCCGCGCGAGAGCACGGGGGGACACTCACCGAGGGGCGCTCGCCGCCGTGCGCGAATGTGCTCGTGGGCGTAGGCGTGGGCGTGGGCGAGGGCGAGGGCGAGCGGGGGCGCTTTGGGCGCGCGCGCGGGGTGCGGGGCGAGTGTGGGTCGACGTCCATAGAAATCCGGCACGCGAGCAAGTATTGGAGTGAGTGAACAGTCAGTGTAGTGGTAGTGGTGTTAAGGGCGCGGTGGAGTGGCGGCGGCGGCAGCAGCTCTCGAGGCTCGCAGGCTCTCACAAAGGGATCCAAATGGGGACGGGCCCGACTCCCGATGCGATCGCACATCCTCGGTGCCTGATAGCACTTGGTAGCCTGCCCCGCACTCTTCCAAATGGCACCGATTACTGCAGCAGCGTCCAGCGCCAGCACTTGCACCAGCCGCGATCGTCCTCTCCAAAGCGAAGGATCAGTACCATCGTTGATATCAGGGCGCGCAGTGCGTACGCGCTGCTCTATGCAACCCGAGAGGGTAAACGCAGCCACTGTACAGCTACTACTCTACGCGAACGACGCCACGATCGGCAGCACAGCAACAACAAAAAACAACGATAGGAGCAACAACAGGGACAAAAACATACAACACGCTAGATCGCACGGGGTACACGGGCACGCTCTAGGTCGCGGGCCAGGGGGGGTAGTAGTACACAAAACAACAAGCAGACGCGCACGCACGCACGCACGCGCGCGCGCGATTCCCTTCCATTAGTGACGATTTTGACGGCGCCGCTCAGCCTTGGATATCCAGCCCGCCGCGCGGCAGGCGCGTCTCGCCCTCCACATACGGCTGCGCCGTCTCCTTCCGCATCAAATCATTAATCCACGCCCCGCGCGGGCGCACCTTCTCCCCACGCGCGTACACGACCGCGAGGTACAGCCACGCCGCCGCGTTCCCCACCGTGCCCACTTCGTCGCTCACGTGCGTGCGCGCGAACTCGCTCACGCGCTCGTACAGCGCGCCGTCGGTGTACAGCTCGAACAGGTGCCGCGCGACCGCCGCGTTGTCCCCGACGTCGCACAGGAAGCCGGACTGGCCGTGCTGGATCTGCAGCGGGATCCCGCCCGTGCGCGACGCGACGACGGGGATCCCCGCGTGCAGCGCCTCGGAGACCTTCACCTCGAAGCCCTCGCGCGTCGAGAGCTGGAGCGCGATCTTCGCGTTCGCCATCAGCACGTTGAGGACTGCGCGTGAGGGAGGCGGGGCGGGGCGGGTCAGCTATGCGGCGCGCACGCGGGGTCAGACACGGGAGGGCGGCACGCACGCTGGTCGCTCGGCGGGAGCCGCATGACGACGATGTCCTTCGCGTACGGCGCGTACGCGTCCGTGGTGAGCAGGTGCATGATCTCGTCGTAGATGATGCTCGCGTCGGGGTCGTCGACCGCGCCGTGCCCGCACACGAGCAGCTGCGGCATCTCCTCCTCCTCGATCGTCCCGAGCGCGCGCAGCAGCGCGCGGAAGCGCGCGTACGAGTCGATCACGTTCGGGATCCCCTTGGACGGGTCGAAGCGCGCGATCTGGATCACGTACTCGCGCGCGGGCCAATTGAGCTCGATCATCTTCTCCTTCGCGCACAGCGAGCGGAACTCGCCCATGTAGAACTGCGTGTCCCACGGGCCGAGCTCCTTGTTCAGCCCGTCGAGCCTGCGCGCGCACGGGGACCAAGGGTCAGCGTGGACGACGAGTGGGCACGAAGAAGGCGTACCAGTCGGTGGCGGCGCCCAACAAGCCCAAGGTCTCAATCGGAACGTCGCTAGGCACGAACTTGTTGACCGGATGACCTACACGTCCGCCACACAGGCACCACCCAGACCAAGCCGCCCAAGATAACACCGAGGATCCGATCAGCATCGCACCGAAATACACCAAGCCCGATATACCGACGCGATAGCGGCCGGTAGCGAGCCGAGACGAGACGAAGAGAAGGAGGGGCGGCACGCACTGATGAACAGGTCCGCAAGCTGGATGTTCTTCCAGAGGTACTTCCACACTTCCTCTTGCGGCGAGCCGGGGACGTGCACGAGGTCGCTCCGGATCTCGATGTGCGAGCGATACACGATCGGCACCTCCGGACGCACCTTGCGGATGAGCGGGATGAGCCCCGGCATCTGCGGGTCATCTGTGAGGGATATCCGCCGCGACGCGGTGCGCGTGGATGTCAGCGTGGGTTTAACGGGGAACGATAGAGAGGAGAGGACAGAGAGAGACTGCACCCGCGTCACCGCACTATTGCCGGAGCGTGCGACGCAGCGCAGAGAGCAGAACGGTACACGTTCATAGGGGCATGAGAAGCGGCCGCCACGCACCGATAAACGCGATATCGACACCGCCAGGCGCGAGCGGGCCGCCCTCCGCCGTCCAGCGGAGCCCGTTCTTGAGGATCCACGCGTCAAAGTTATCTTCCGCGTCCCGCGTGAGGCGCAGCTCGGGCGGCGCGACGCCCTGCAGGATGTTGTGGTTGTTCTTCGTCGTGCGGAACACGGACGGCGACGGGTTCGGGACGTACCTGTCGCCCGAGGTCACAGGGAAAGAGAAAAGGGCTGCGTCAGTATTTGATTCGGAACTGGGGGGAGGATGGAGGTAGGGAGATGACGCGTGATGCGGGAAAGACGCGCTCCGATCGGCGCGCGGGAGACCCACTTGGGTATGGTGCAACCCAAGTGACGAGAGCCCCATCCCCAATGAAATCGTTCGCACGGCAATGTCGGTCCCCCACGGAACACGGAACGCAGAGACCAAAGCAGGTCTCCAGCTTCACGCCTCGAGAGGGGATGCTCACCAAGCCACGTCCACGTCCAAAGCGGTCAGGAATCGGATGAGCGCGTGGCGCATCTGTGGATCAGCAGACGCGCTCAGCAGCAATTTCGGCAGGAGATGGGCGGATAGAGGCCGCTCACGAGAGCCACTCCGCCTGCGTGCCGGGCACGCGTGGGAGATCAGGCATGATTGTGGGCGCAGGGCATGCCAGAAACCGAGGAATTGTGCGAATAATTTAAGGGTTTTTTTTGGTCAGCATGAATGTTCATGGCCGGGGAGGAAGTGCGGGGGCTTACCGCCTTGCGGGGTAGAGGAGAAGAAGCCGATCTTGACCTTCTTCTCGCGGAGCTCGTCGGCGAGCCTGACGACGGCGTTCCAGGTGCCTTTGCCGACCGAGTTGCGGTAGGGCTCGAGGTCGTCGATGAGATGTATCTTGCCGCCTGCGTCGACGGTGACCTGGTTGCGGGGGCCGATGCTGAGGCGGGGGTTGTTGTTCGGGCCAAAGTACATGAGGCACTTGCGAGCGGCGGAGTCGGCTTGCTCATCGAGGGTGCGGGGGATGGGGAGGCGGGGTGCGACGCCGGCGGAGAGGGAGTTGGGGGGGACGGTGCCGGTGAGGACGGAGTGGTCGACGTAGACGGTGGGGGTGTCGGCGCCGGAGGGGACGTAGGAGCCGGTCGTGGAGGAGATGCGGTGCTTTATGTTGGGGCGGGTTGTGGAGTCTGTGTGGTAGGGCTTGATGTTGAACACGATGGGGACGATGTCGAGTTCGAGCCAGAGGCGGGTGCAGAGGTTGGGTGCCTGCGGGGTAGGTTAGTCGATCGGATCGGGGGAGATGGCAAGCGATCGGATGAGGACTGGCCTCGCGGAGGAGGCTGAGAGTGACGCCTGCGCCGAGGAATTTGCAGAGATGCTCTGAGGAGAACTTGCGGATGGCCTGGATGATGTGCTCCTCGACGGCGGCGGACTGTTCCTCGGACTGGTTGGGGGTGTAGGGGATGACGCTGGAGGAGAAGTCGGTGTTGTATACGGAGTCGTGCACGGAGATGGCGATCTCGTAGCCGGCGTTGTTGTTCACGACTGCGCCGGCGATGCCCGCCCACATGGGCTGGGAGCGCGATGGGGAGGGATCTGGTGAGATCGGGAAGACGGGGGGCGGGGGCTACGCACGGTGAGGGTGGAGTAGGCGGGAGCATTTGGCCTCCTGGAAGTGCTGACGCTGGAGAGCCTGCGACGGATTGCGGCTGAGGACTTTGACTGGAACTGATTCGGGGCCATGGCGGGTGAGGATGGGCGGTGGGCGGTGGGCTGCAGAGGGACGAGGGCTTTATACCCGAGTCCATCCATCTCGACCTGGCCAGGCGTCCCAGCAGCACCCCGTGCACCCGCCCGCACACGCTGTCCGGTGTCCGCCCAGCCCATCCCCGTCCCCTCGCCGTGCACGACGATGGCCGGACGGTGCAGACAGTGCGGCCGGCCCACAGAATGGGCACCCGACGTCGGCTCTGACGTCTGCACCAGCTGCGGCACCCTCGCAGACCCCTCCCAGAGCGTCCTCACCTCCCACGTCGACTTCCCCAACGACGCCTCCACCCGCGACTATGCCTCCCTCCCCTACACCCGCCCCACCGCCCTCAAGTCCCTCCGCGGCACCGCCGGCTGGCTCCTCGCTGGCCAGGGAAAAGAGGCCACCCACGACCGCAACAAGGTCCGCTCTCCTCCCGCTCTTTCCGACTTCCTCATTCTCTATCTCGCGCAGATCGCCCTCCACGAGTCCATCCGCACCCTCGCCGTCCGCCTCGCCCACCCCGGCATCGCGCCCCGCGCCCAGGCCCTCTTCGACCTCGCCCTCCACCGCGCCTCCCTCCGCTGGGGCCGCCCCGCAAAGCTCGCAGCCGGCGCCGCCGTCCTCTTCGCCCTCCGCGAGGCCGGCTGCCCCGATGCCACCCCTGACCTCGCCGTAAGTTCCCCTCCCGTCCCCTTTCCCATTTCCTCCCATCCCCTCCCCGCTCGCACCCCTATTTCCCGCGACCCCACACTTCCCCACCTTCGATTCGCCCTCGTGCGCACGCCAGCCCCTCGCTTGTGCGTCAGCCGCAGGCGCCCCGCGCGTCCCGCACCCCCGCTCTCGTAACGCACCCCGCATCGGGCGCCCCCCGCGCCTGCCCCGTCGCGTTCCGAGGCGCGCAATCCCGCACGAGGCCGCCGCCTGCCTCCACCACCTGACAGCACCCCGCTCGTGCCCGCGCTCGTGCCCGCGCGCGTGCCCACCCGCATGCCCCGTCCGTTCTGACGTTCGGAAACGAGCAGCCAACACGCGCACGCACACGCGCGTTCGAGCGCGCCCACCGCCGTGAGAACAGAGCGCGTGCCCCCGCGTCCCGAAGCGCGGAGATAAGCCGCCTGCCCGCCTGCCCGTGTACAGACAGACAGACAGACTCCCATCGGCCGGGAACTGCGCTCGCGCGATCTGGCATTTGGCGTTTCCCCTCGCGCTCCTGCTTCTTCGCTTCCTTACCCCGCATGGCGCCTTCGCACGCACAGCACGGCACCCCAACGCGGCGCGGGCCCCTCCCCGCGTCCACCACGGTCATCCGCGCACCCTAAAAGGCTTCGCTCCGTCCACCTATTTCTGGGGCTGCCTCGTGCGCGCTTTGCGAACCCTCTAGGCGCCCCCGCTGATTGTCGGCGCACGCGCACGGGGCGCGGCCGCGGGGCGACGAATGCGGGCGAGGGAATAGCGTGGCCCGACGCGCGCATGACCGAGAGCGTGTAAGGGCTAAGGCGAGGAGGGCGAGGAGAGCGAGGAGGGCGCCAGGGTCGCGGAGGGCCGGCGCTCCTGCCTTTGCGGATCGTGTGCGCATGCACGGTGGCCCCGGCGGGGGTTTCTGCGCCTCTTAGCTCGTGCGGTGTCGTGTCCGGGGTCGGAAGCGGGTTGCGCAGACGTGACGTAACAACTGCGAATGCGAATGCGGGGGCGAATGCGGGGGCGTGATTGAGTGTGGGGCGTTGGACGCCGGGGGCTTCGCGAAGACGCGGGTGTGGGGTAGGGCACAGACTCGCACTGCTTCCGTGCGCGCGTGTGCGCGTGTACGTGTGTGTTTATAGGCACCGGTCTATGCTTCATCGGGCCCGTACTGTACGTGCGCGGGGAGCAGATCTCGAGGCGCGCGTGCCGGCATTCCGTCCACTCACCGAGCCTGGGACGCGCCCACGCCCGTCCTCCACATCTATCTCTCGTCACCCGTTCATTTTATTTTATCTCACCCACGCTCTCTCGTCACTTGCATCGTGTCGTGTCTATTTTGCTGACATTGGTTATGTCCGACAGTACCTGCTCTCCGAAACCCCGATGACCCTGACCCGCGCGCTCACCCGCCTCCTCGCGCTTCTCTCCCTCCGCCTCCCCCGCGCGCTCCCGACCACGCACATCCCCGCCCTCACGGCGCACCTCATTGCCCTCCTCTCCTCCTCGTCCTCATCTGCTTCCTCCTCCCAATCTACAACCCCCGCGGGCGCAGCCACCGGCACCAATAGCACGCCGACCACCGCAGCGCCCGCGCTGCCCGTCGACCTCCAGGCGTTCCTCCGACCTATGGTACCCGACAAGCTCCCCGCCGTCCAGCGCACCGCCGCGGGCCTCTTCGATCTCCTCGCTCTCCCCGCCCCTCAACCAGCCCCTGCCCCCTCCGCACCGACCTCGCCATCGGTATCGGCATCGGCCGAGCCCGCACCCAACTCCGCGGCGCTCGCTCCCGCCCTCGTGATCCTCGCGCTCGAGGCGCACGCGGCGCCCCCGCGCGCTGCGCCGCACGTGCAGGCGCTCGCGGGGGCGCTCGGCGCGCGGCTCGGCGCGGGCGCTGGGGCGGGCGCGGGGAGCGTGATGGAGCGGTATCGGGGGCTCGTGGACCTCGTGGAGCGCGCGAAGGGCGGGGTGCCGTGGTTGGGGGGTGGGGGAGGAGGTGGGGAGAAGGGTGGGGCAAAGGGTATAGGGAAGGGTGGAGGGAAGGCGAAGAAGGTGGGGAGGAGGACGGAGGTGGCGCGTGCGGTTGTGGATGTGGTGCAGTTTCGTGGGGAGGTGTGGAGGCGGGGGGTCCGGGGCGGCGGGGTCGTCGACGTGCGGTTTGGAGGGGAGGGGGACGCGGGCGCGGAGAGCGGCGACGAGGAGTCGGTATTCGAGGCGGTGGGTGGGGAGACGGGCGCGGACCTCGACGCGACGCGATCTGGGAAGCGGAAACTCAGGGACGAGGGCGAGAGCGCGGTTGGACGCGCCTCCTCCGGCCGCGCGAAGAAGCCCAAGCCCAAGCGGCCGCGCACCGCGCACGACCTCGCCACCGCCTTCCTCCTCAACCCGCTCTCCGTCTCAGCCCCGTCTCGCACCACCCCCGCATCTTCCTCCCCAGCGCCGCCCGACACCGCCATCTCCCTCGCGCACACCGCGCACCTCCTCGCGCCGGACGCCGCCCTCGACACGGGAGCGCGCGCGCGCGCGCCGACGCGGCTGCAGCTGCTCGCGGTCGCGCGCGGGAGCGAGGCGCGCGTGCGCGACGAGGAGCTGTTCGCGGAGGGCGAGCTCGAGGAGCTGGTTGTTGAGTGCGGGCGGGAGCAAGAGGGGGACGAAGCGCGGCGGCAGGTGTTGTTGGGGATATGGGGGCCGGACTTGGACGGCGCGCGGGTGGGGGCGGGGCAAGGGGCGAAAGGGGGTAAGGATAGGGAGGGTGGGAAGGGGGTTTCGAGGAAGGGGCGGGGGAGGGTGGATATGGATGCGCTTGCGCGGATATTGGGGGACGCGGGCGGGGATGGAGAGGAGTGGGGCGAGGGGGAGGACGAGGGAGACGACGACGGTGAGATGCATGGTCTTGGGTCGTGGGATGGTGCCGCGGGACTGGGCGGATTGGTGATCGATGCAGATGGGGAGTTTGGGGTCGAGATCGACGGCCCTGGGAGATGGGCGGGCGCCGCGGGCCTCGGTGGGGGCGCGTTTGGCGCCGAGGAGGAGATCGTGGAGGAGTGGCGGCCTGCGTCGCCTGGCGGAGGCGCATGGGATGACCATCCGTTCGAGATATGAGCGCGGGGCTATATAGGGTCGAAAGGCGGTCGAGTTAAAGTGGCCCGCAGTGGTACATCAAAGATGTTGACCGCTTCGACGGAGTCGGTGCGTTTGTTGCTTCATGGATTTGAGCTGGCAGGTGTTCCCTTTATAAGGATTGCTGGTTTTTCTACGCCTAGAGCACAGCCTCGTTTTTTTGCCGTGCGGCAGACACGCGCAGACTGGGCTTGCCGCCTCCTATCGAAGTTGAGTAGATAGTACTTCTTATATCGTTTCTGCAAGTGGACTAGCACAATTCTTACAGGATTAATGGGATGCATCGGCTTCGTCTGCTCAACAATCAGCTTCCTCTATGAATTCTCTGCACTATCGAACTTCGCAGCATGTGCATCGGCTCCGTGCGGTAAAACTCTGTCTAGCTTTTCCTCACCAACACTCGTAAGAATATGGACAGGTCGACTGGGTCGATACAGCGGTGCGTTGAGCTGAAGGATGAATCTTGTTCTTTTCAAAAGACGGCCTTCTCCGTGAAACCAAACCTGGGTGCGCTCCAAATATGTGGCGTTCGCCTCCGAGTTCTCGCGACTGACGCACGTCCCAGCTGTTTCTGTAGATAACGCGAACACAGAGGACACAAATATGTTCGCCTTTTGTTTGTGTAGACAAAATTGTGCGAGAAGTCCACCATCACATCTATACGAATAATTCTAGATCTAACTCCGGTAAGCAGGCGCTTGATCTTCTCGGTTATTGCATGACGGCACTATAGATGCACACAAAGTCTAGAATACAGCCTTCATAACATTCATGTTTTCAAGCTCACGGGAGGAGTCTCTGCGCTTTTCAATTCAACAAACGAAGCTATCTAGCTATGCATGATCGCTCCTCGTGCCAACACTGGATTCATCCGATTCCTGACCCGGTGCACCAGTGTAGAAGACGGAACCAGGCGGAACCAAATCGTGGCTTTCGTACATCTGGCGTTGACAAAACGCATTTCGGCGATTCACTTGTTTCCATGCGTTCAATTGACCCTTCTTAGTATCAGGCAAGTCTTTCGCACATCAAAGTGATCATTCAGTCGCAGCTGACGTTAAGCGAATGTTGCTAGTAATGCAATGTTTACAAGAGAACATCCTATTCAGCGTTTGTAATTGTAGACTGCCTGCTTCTCGCGTTCTATTCGGCTCCACCGTCTCTCGCTCCGCTCGAGTGGCTAACCTCTTTTTCTGTCGAATGTGATCCAAGATCGACGCGTGCACTTTCCAAGTATTCGCGATCCTTTGGCATCAGTAAAGTAAGTCAAAATCAATGACAATCTTGGGGATAGGCACACACCTCGTTATTGACCTCTTCTATTGACCATTCTCCCTTCAGGTACTTCTCGATGAGACCGATCGCGTACAGGTCTTTTTCCTTGAATGCCACACGAATAGAATTAGGACCGTACATCCACGAAGGCTTTGCCCAACCGGGGGTGCCCCCTCCCTTCACCATAGCCTGCCCCTCTCGCTCGCACGAACCGAAGTCGATGATAACAGGAACATTGTTCTCATCCAGCATGATGTTCTGCGGTTTGATATCGCAATGGACTAATCCCAAAGAGTGCAGGTGTTCGATGCCAGCTGTGAGACCAGCGATGATGGCTTCACGATCCAAGCCCTCCCTATTCTCCTCCACCGCCTGCTTGAGTGTACGTGGGTAGCGCTGAATGCAAATGCCTTCGATGTAGTTGCCATCACGGCTGCATCCAAAGTATACACATATATTCGGGTGAGGATGCTTTCTCAAGAATTCAAGCATCTCGACCTCGGCGAAGAACCTCTTGCTAACAGACCATCCTCCGAAGTCGGGCTCCCAGGTCGTGATGTCGGGGACCTTGACGTAGGATGACTCGGGCAAAGGGCTCGGAGCCACCGTGAGGTCCTCATGCCATAACGCGCGAATGTCTTCCACGGGAATGGGGTCTGGCTTGGGTAGGCTATCGAGGTCAACAGTATCCCGAGAGCGATAGATAGACCTGAAGAAAAGACCATCTTCTTTCCAGTAGATGCATTGCTCCACGAAATGATTCTCAATCCAGTCGTATGCGGTAAGCTCAAGTATGAGTTCTCTCATGGTTGTGATCTTTCCTGACAGTCTACAAGTTGGGTATCAATATAAACGTTTGAACTTTTAAGAGCTATTCGTTCAACTCACGTTTGTCTGATGAAGGAAAACCTGGTAATGGCTAAGACCGCAGTTTGCAGAACTGTTCAATCTCCACCACCCTTGAACGGAGTCTGAACTTTGGGTTGTCAAGCGCAGATTTTGATATATAGAAGCGCCCATGACGAGAAATCTTCAGTTCCAACTACAACGTCAGCGTTTCAGCCTCATACCACCCGGTCTATCACTGTGATCGTGTGGATACGCAGATCGCGCGGGTGGGGGCGGGGCAAGGGGCGAAGGGGGGTAAGGATAGGGAGGGTGGGAAGGGGGTTTCGAGGAAGGGGCGGGGAGGGTGGATATGGATGCGCTTGCGCGGATATTGGGGGACGCGGGCGGGGATGGAGAGGAGTGGAGCGAGGGGGAGGACGAGGGAGACGACGACGGTGAGATGCATGGTCTTGGGTCATGGGATGGTGCCGCGGGACTGGGCGGATTGGTGATCGATGCAGATGGAGAGTTTGGGGTCGAGATCGACGGCCCTGGGAGATGGGCGGGCGCCGCGGGCCTCGGTGGGGGCGCGTTTGGCGCCGAGGAGGAGATCGTGGAGGAGTGGCGGCCTGCGTCGCCTGGCGGAGGCGCATGGGATGACCATCCGTTCGAGATATGAGCGCGGGGCTATATAGGGTCGAAAGGCGGTCGAGTTAAAGTGGCCCGCAGTGGTACATCAAAGATGTTGACCGCTTCGACGGAGTCGGCGCGTGTGTTGCTTCATGGATTTGAGCTGGCAGGTGTCCCCTTTATAAGGATTGCTGGTTTTTCTACGCCTAGAGCACAGCCTCGTTTTTTTGCCGTGCGGCAGACACGCGCAGACTGGGCTCACCGTCTCCTATCGAAGTTGAGTAGATAGTACTTCTTATATCGTTTCTGCAAGTGGACTAGCACAATTCTTATAGGATTAATGGGATGCATCAGCTCGGCTTCGCCCGCTCGACAATCGGCTCCGTAAACTCTGTCCAGCTTTTCTTCACCAACACTCGTAGGAATGTAGACAGGTCGACGGGGTCGTGACAGCGGTGCGTTGAGCTGAAGGATGAATCTTGTTTTTTTTTAAAAGACGGCCTTCTCCATGAATCCTCGGTGCGCTCCAAATATATGGCATTCGCCTCCGAGTTCTCGAGACTGACGCACTACCCAGCTGTCTCTGTCGATAATGCGAACACAGAGGACATAATTATGTTCGCCTTTTGTACGTATGGACAAGACTGTGGGAGAAGTCCGCCGCCACATCTCCACGAATAATTCTAGATAAACCTCTGATAAGCAGGCGCTAGATCCTCTCGGTCATCACGGTACACTCTAGGTGCTCATAACGCTCAGACTATAGCTTTCATAGGATTGAGGTTTAAATTCAAGTTCACGGGAGGAGTCCCATTGCCTTTCGATTCAAAAAAGGAAGCTACTATATTTACCAACGCCAGAATCATCAATTATATCCCGGGGCACCGGCGGAGAAGGCAGGATTGGCAAAACATATGGCGTATTTGTTTGTCTTCATACGTTTGGTTAACTCTCAGGCTAGCCTTCCGCACAGCAGCAGACTCGGCAAATCGAAACGGATGTTGCTTATACGCCATAAATGATATACAGTGGTGTAGTGCAATGTTTACAGGAACACATCACCACTAACTAGTCATAGAGCATACGATTCGTAGACTGTTTGATATCCCTGTGTTGTACTCGGCTGCTACCTCGCTTCGCTCAAGTGGCCAACCTCATTCTCTGTCGAATCTAATCCAAGGCTAACGTTTGCACTTTCCAAGTATTCGGGTTCCTTTCGTTCCAGTAAAGTAAGTCAAAGCCACTATCCTCTCGGAATATAAGTACCCACCTCATTGTTGATCTCTTCCATCGACCATTCTCCCCTCAGGTACTTCTCGACGAGTCCGATCGCATAAAGGTCTCTCTCCTTAAATGCCACGCGAATAGCGCCAGGACCGTACATCCACGAGGACTTCGCCCAACCGGGAGTGGCACCTCCCCTCACCATAATCTGCCCCTCCCGCTCGCACGAACCGAAGTCGATGACAACAGGAACATTCTTGTCATCCAGCATGATGTTCTGCGGTTTGATATCACAGTGGACTAGCCCCAAAGAGTGCAAGTGTTCGATGCCAGCTGTGATCCCAGCGATGATGGATTCGCGATCTAAATCCTCCTGCATTTCAACTGCCTCCTCCAGCGTACGTAAGTAGCGCTGGAAGTAGATGGCTTCGATGTAATCGCCATCGCGGCTGCATCCAAGGTATGCACATAAATTTGGGTGAGGGTGCTTTCTCAATGTTTCAAGAATCTCGACTTCGGCTGAGAACCTCTTTCCAACGGTCCACTCGCCGGCGTCGACCTCCCAAGTCGTGATGTCGGGGACCTTTACGTAGGACGGCTGTGGCAACGGGCTTGGGGCCACCGTGAGGCCCTCATGCCATAAAGCCCGAATATCTTCCATGGGGATGGGATCTGGCTTGGGTAGGGTGTCGAGGTCAACGATACCAGGAGAATGATAGACGGATCTGAAGAAAAATCCATCTTCTTTCCAGTAGATGCATTGCTCCATAAAACGATTCTCGATCCAGTCGTATGCAGTCAGCCTGCGTACAAGAGTCCTCATGGTCGTATTCTTCTCTGTCAGCAATCAAGTAGGTATCAGTATGCTTGAATTACTGAGAGCTATTCGTTCAACTCACATCGAGTGTCTGATCAGGAAAAGCCTAATAGTAGCTAAAGCCGTAGCAACGCTTTTGAACGTCTTCCACCCTTAAACGGAGTCTGAACTTTGGTTTTTCAAGCGCAGATTGTGATATATAGTGAAGCGCCCATGGCCAAAACAATCATCAGGGCCCATGACTCCGAACATCAGCCTCATGCGACCTAGCCCACCGCTATGATCAGGTGGATGAAAAATTCTCAGGCGGATATGCACAGCGTATAATTGGCCGATGGAGTCTCTGGTGTCATTATACAGCCGAATCTACCTCAATACAGATCTTCACAGCGGCACTTATACACACAGGGCATATGATAGAGACATGGGGGACACATAACAATGATTCCTCAGTGAAGGAGCGGTACAATCAGATCAACCCGACTTTCGCTATCGTACATACCACCGCCGTTACCGAAAACATTCGATCAGTCAACTGAATCGTATCAAAGGACAGTGACGATTGGAAAATATGATGAAGTTGGTAGAGATGCATGAATGAGATCCTGAGGGAAGAATAAATCAAGCTTAGATGTGAGATCACGATAATGAAAACTGACCACAATCGGTTCCTGGGGGGAACGTAAGCTTGGGACTTGGGGCAGGTCGGGCTGTTGCAATCATCATGCCAAATGTAGCGCCTGCCATCCTTCGTCCACATAGTCTTGAAGGAACATTGATTGACAGGAATGCCCTCACGACTATCGGTCGCACGGCATGCATGGCATGGCTCCAGGTAGGCAGAGGACTGAAACTTCATTTCAATCGCCGAAAGCTTCAACGGACGCAGATAAGTCAGAGCACTGCGAGTGTCAGAGATGGACACCGCTTACTAGAGTTTGTGATGGGATCCGTATGGTATACGAGATGTGAGATGAATGGGGGTTGCTTTACATTTCAAGGACCATGGTATTTATATGTTTGCGTGGAACGTAGAAGCGCTCTCTGCGCTCAGAGGACCCGGTTTTCTGAGTTTAACGGACCAATATCAGTCCATGAGGCTGGTAAGAATCAGTGTGAACCTAGTCCTCCAGATGTACGTATGCCAGTGTCCTTGGATTGATCGCCTACGGCGGCAGAAGCAGCCATAAGTGATGACGGGCTCGGCAGCTTCCTGCCATACAGCTCGTCTGGATTTGAGTTACAATCCTGAAGATATCAGGGCCATCTAGCAGTCACAAACCCTCACAAACCTAACGATTGTTATAATTTATTCAGGGAGCCGTCCATACACATGATAAGAAGTTCTCGATGTTCAGAGCAAGCTCGCGGTCGAGGGAGTTGCAGTGTGTCAGACATATACCATGGATAATTTTGACGTCGCACGTATGATCAAGCTATCACGATGCCATTCTGCAACCCGTTGGATCCTTGCATCTAATTTTGCACATATAGTCCTCGCAAAATCAGAACTGCCGCCAAACGAGGCGACGATTAGGCTTTCATGAGCGCTGTCGGGAAAGAAGCAATGGTATCAGAGTGCTCGCCGTTAGCAGTGAACAATCCCACGTACTGTTAGTTTCCACTGGCCTAGTACGAACACTGACTCGAGGAAGACTCTTAGAGGCGTGGGAACACGGCGTCAGAAAGCTGAGATCTTCACGGGACTAGTGCAGTCTTATCACCTTCCCGTCACAACATCTCAACAGATCTCAACTCCTCAGCTCCGCCACTCCAGCTATTGGGCTACAGCTGGGAACACACACCAATATTTGATTACGGCCGAGCTTCTTGTTTTCCTCGCTTATCATCACCGCCCCAACTCGCCGCGATTCGCTGGCCGTTGGCGCTTCTCACAATCGGCTCATCGGTCCAATAGGTGTCACCATCGAACAAATCGAATATAGTGGATGCTGTCCCCCATAGAAAAAACATCATTAATAGGACTCAGCACGAGGAACAACCGACGTTGGACATGCGATGTAATGGCCTAGGTATGATGTCTTTATATCCATTTTCCTCCGGCTCTGAGATTAGACGGCCCAATGGTAGTCCAATGATGCTCTTGTTCTTGTTATGGAAGTCGAGCTCTTTCGGTCATCATTGATCATACCACCTTCAAACTGTGATGGGCGCTATATCTACGCCGTTCCATATCCCACGAATTGACGTCCAGTGTCTCTTATTTTTGGCTAGCGTCTTTTTTCGAACGGTGCTTTCCTGAACGGAGATTCCTTGTATGCAGGAACACTCACAATCATCTCGAGGCCTTGGCACTGCCTAGTTGTCATAGGAAGATGCGCAGCGGTCGAATGGAGGCGCTGTTGAAGTCTCATTATGGTGACCCTTCGAGGGTTGAGGCTCAAAACACCCCCTCCTGGGGCGAGTCCTTGTCCTTGCGACATAGAAGACACGAGGTCAGCATCTCAGGCCAGACCCGCGTTATTGCAATGTCATCGCCCTCCAGGTCGGGAACTTCGCCGGGCCTGATGGTGTCGAGCCCGAGCTTACGGGGGAGATCGAGCTCCAGTGGGGCCAGGACATCCTCTTCACTGTCGTCGTGCGTACCTCCATCCTGAAGCAGGGCGTCGAGAGTCTCATCCTCACCAGCTGGCATGTCCCTGCTACCGGTGTGCCTGACGGCAAGCCCCTGGCTGGCGAGCACTGGAACAAGGTCATCACTCCCAAGGAAACCCACAAGGTGCACTACGACGGTGCCAAGCCTCTCATCCCCGACACGCTCGCCAAGGTGTTGGTCGAGCAGGGGATCATCATCGACTGATTGCTGGCACATTAACGAGTTGCAGAGTGATGTATCGAGTTGGGGCATATGGCACTGGTTTCTCTCTCTTTTCGTTTACGATATTATGACTTGCCGTTGCTTTATGCTTGTTGATTTTTCTATATTGCTTGTTCGATTTGTTCGTGCTCGTCGTTGCAGCTGCTTTAAACCGCGAAAACCCATATCATGTCCGTACTACCTAGCTAGCAACAATTACATATGTCGAAAAATGGAAGCTTTTCCACTTGACTTGCACCCTGCCTGTGTCGTTGGCGCTTATCTGAGTCCTGTACATGATTGAAAGACGTTGCGCGGCTGGAATATGATCACCTATATATCTCGAGCTGAGTTCCACATCCGCCTGCTTTCTTTCTTTCTCTTCCTTTCCTCTAGTACCCATCGTCACCTCGATCTTACTGTCCCCAAGCATCCATTAGTATCATCCACAACGACAGACGTGATGGAGGCTAATCTTGCTAAACTATCCAAATTTCAGATCTCGAACTTCTTCGAGAAGAATGCTCCTGCGACGCAACAGGAATGCGACCTCGAGGCCGAACGGATTACAGGCATGTCTATACACACGACATCTCTCCAAGGCGGGCAGAGCTACACCGTCCTCACCAACGATGAGACACGTGTTGTTCAGTTTCGCGCCGGCTACGCTGCCCTCGACATGGGGTTTCTCGGATATATTGAGCAAGCATACGGTCGATTCACGCCACATCACGAGTCCAGCGGAAAACTGGGCCAGCTCCATGTCTATACGATGCTCAATGTGGGAGGGGTCTCGATGTATCTTGCGCGGGATGCGTTAAACCGGAATAACTTCAGCCTTCGGAAGTGTACGGTGCAGGATTTTGCTAGGTACGTTGATCCTAAAGTCCCATACCCCCCTCTATCTACCTACATGGAAGAAACGTCCAGCTGACTTGGCTTTGGCCATACAGGTTTTTCGCCTCAGCATGGAACAACACACCCAAGCAGATGCCATGTCCAAGTCGTGCCTCGCTGCTCGACGAATACTCGTCGGAACTCTCCCAGCTCCAGACAGGGCTGCCCGAGCGCTTTCGCCCAACGCTGAGCCATCTCATCTCAATGCTCCCAAGTCTCTTGGACGTGAATTGGCCTCTAGTGCCCAACCACACCGACCTCCTGGAGAACAACATCCACGTGAGCATGGAGACGGGCCACATCATGGGAATTTGTGACTGGAAGGACACCACCATTGGTCCTTTTGGGATGTCGCTCGGGGGCCTCGAGACCTTGCTTGGGACAGAGACGGTGAGCTGGGGCTGGCGCTACCATCCAAACCAGCAGGAACTGCGGGACCTGTTCTGGGAGACATTGTACCAGGAGATGGGAGGCGTCTCCGAGGAGCAGAAGAAGCTCATCGATGTATCGAGACTGGTTGGCCTGTTCTTGGCCAATGGTTTCGAGTGGAAAGATGGGGTCAAGTTCCCCGCCAGTGAGGGATTTGATGGCTTGCGTTACCTCGAGTCGGTTACTCTGACACTTTGGATGACACAACAACAACTTTCCTCTACTTTTGTTCTGTGAAGGAGGAAGGTGGAAGATTGATCTCATGATTTCGCAGGCATATCCAGGTTTCTGGACGAACCACGGCCGCAAGGCTATCAAGGAGGAACTTGTTCATGCAGATATGGATGCGATACCTATAGCTGTCGTGAAACACGAGCGCACTGCCGATGGTGTTTACAATGACGGTGAAGGATCGAGAAGAAAAAAGGCTCGTTTAACACAGCCGAGCGTCCCGCAGCCATGTACCGCTCCCATCATCCAGATTCCTTCAGCGCCGGTACTACCCATGCATGCACAGATAGCTACACCCACCACATCCTCTCTTTCGTCTGCGCTACATCCATTGTCGCCATCTACACGCCCGTATTACTGAACTCCGGACTGGGAATGAATACGGTCGAATGAGTTCCTTCGCTAACGAATTCGTGGCTTCCATTCGACCACATTCGCTCCCAAACGAGGGCATTTTCACTGGGTTTGAAGCCCGGCCTGGTAAAACACTAAACAAGAGATCTACTTTCCAATGACCGACGATAATGGGTACAAGATATACAGAGAGCTGTAAAAGATCTATTGCAAAACGATAGCAAGGATGGCACGCTCGGAGAATATACTCAACCACCACGCGGAAGTATAAGTATGTGCGAAGTCCAACATGCCCAAATTTCACCAGAGCGACTACCACATAGGCCACAACAATGCGATTTTTACTTGCTCAACGACTCGACCAACGGCCAGACCTTGAACGACCCATTCGTCTGCGCGCGCGACTTGTACCCGGTCGGCACCCACGGCTCTTCCTGATCCTTCTGCTCCGGTTCTGCGTTGTCGCTCACGGTCAAAATCCGTCCCACGATGGGGCCGCGCACGTGCAGATGGCCGACGGGATCGCCGCCCTTCTCGACAACGTCGTCTTCCACCCCAGTCAACTTCGTCTCGACATTGATGACGGGAGGGCCAACGTGCGCATTCGCGGAAGGCGCGAAAGTTTGCAGGTCGAGGGGATGAGACGCGAAGATGGGCGCCGCGACGACAGGGTGTGTGAATGCGTTCACGAAGGGAACAGAGAGCGCGATGCGCGTAGGAGTGACCACTGTAGAATCGATACCGCCGCTGACTACTAAGCCTCGAAGGGTCGCAGCGCCCTCGCCCAAGACCTTGGTTCTGGCGCCTTCGAAGACTAGACGGTCCCAAAGGCTGTCTTTGTTCATGTAGCCGTCTATGATGCCAGCGAGCTTGTGTCGCCATGCAAGTCTGAACACGACGCTCTTTTCAGCTTCGCGCACGACGGCAGTCGTCAAATCTGTGAGGTGCCTTGGGGTTAAGAACAAGATTGTAGGCGAAGGGAGGGGGTATTGCTTCGTTGACAAGATGTCTGGAATCCCTGTAAGTGTAACAGCTGCATCGAGATCGATGTTAATGGAGGACACACTTGATAGAAATCACGGACGTACTATCGTCGGTCTTGTACAAAGTGGTGCTACTGAGGGTTGCAAAGCTGGTTCCTTCATAAAGTGCGGTATATGCGACCGTCCTACCAAACGCCGTGCTCAAGGAGTGGGCAGAGACAAGGGTATCCAATGCAGACATGGGGGTAGAAAGAGGTAACAGAGACCGCGTCGCGGTAACCCCGGCTGTGATATTCAGGTGCGTGAGTTGTGCAGCTTGAATTCCACCGTGGTGGTCCTGGTAGAATGATACAGTAAAGACATCATTCGGGTCTGAAAACGAAATCAATGTTGGTAAAGAAGGAATTATATGAACTCCCACCAGGAGTAGTTGCCGGGGCGGGGCTAGCCTGGCCTTCCGTCTCAACGTCAGCCCACCGAACCAGTTTGATATGCCTCGCTGCGCCGGCTAAAGCCTTACTGTCAGGCTCGCCGACTACGATGACGACATGATGCGAGTCCTCATTTGAGTCGTAGATGAGCTCTAGCACGTGAGGAAGGAAGGCTGCATCAATGACAATGGCAGTGGGAGGATGGACCTCGAGAACGTGAGAGAGAAGCGACAGTGAGGAAAGCGTGAATGAAGGGATGGAGTTCGAAGCAAGAGCCAAGTCGGTGATGATAAACTCTGGTCAAGACCATACGTCATCAGAGCCAGGAGAGCTTTCAAGCAAGAACAACCCGTACCGAGACCATCATTCAGTAGTAACAGCACATTTGACTCGCGTGTGAGGCCAGCCCTGAGCAGGCCAGCGCCAAAGGCAGCTATGCGGCTAAGCAGTTCGGGATTCGAAATCTAAAAATGACATGTAAATAATCGGCTGCTTATTGATGCGCGACAAGCCTCTTGCCTTCGTTGACCAAAGGGTCCGCGGGGCATCAGATTCAGGCTTGACCAGGTCCAAAAGGGTCTGCACCTCCTTCGTCGGTCTCACAGGAAACTATAGCCGAGACCGCCAGCAAAGATGATCAGATTAGACGACAACGACGTCGCGTGGCTGTCAAGGGCGACATACCCTGCCCATCAACCCGGTCCCATAGTTTCTGTACACAGCGCTCTCTCCCGGGTTCCTGACCCGACCGACATCGCTCTGCCTTCCGAGCAAAATTGGGTGCACAAGCGGTTGCGGTTTGTACAGATTGGCAAGCAAGAACACCGACGCGGTGATGAGACCGAGGAGGATGGTCAGGTCGTCGGTGACGAGATGTTCGGAGAGCGGCATGGTGCAGTTCTCGTCAGATACCGGTATGTGCGCAGACAGCTGTCGCTGTGGTGGGAGAGAGGAAAGGATGAATCAGACGACCTCAGCGTTTAGAACTTGGTTGCGTGTATGACGGATGATGTGTTCCCCGCTCTTCGCCGGGCTTTCGGTTCGGAGTAACAGCCTTGTATGGAAATTATGGCATTCACTTGCCTTTTCCTCCCACCATGGTCGACCGCCTCCTCATAATGAAACAGCTCGTGTGGGACAGCCTTGGGATATCAGAGTATCTGTCTGCATGACACGACTATGTATCCAGATTTTCCTTCCCACTAAGTATTGACATAATTTTGGCCAGAACATTGGACTGTGGTGCTCGGTAGCTAAAGTTTGCTCGTTTCAATCGGATACTACTTCCATTACTGACGCTCTCCATCCTCTCTCAAGGCGGTGCTGTCCATATCGCTTCAGGCTGTAGCCCACGGAACCACATCCTGGTTTCCTGTGTTTTTTCTGGCCGCTTGGCTCGTGCGCAGATTCTATTCAACCACGTGATGTGCACTCTAATATAACGGGCGAAACTCGCGGATCTCGCACCTGAACCGCCCTTCGCTTTCTTTCCACCTATCTCCCCTCAACAGCCTAACACTCTATCTGTCTCCGCTCGAGGCGTGTCACAACCAGTTCCCACTCTTGCCTTGTCTTGATTATTGTCTAAGCCATGGTCACCGCTCATAAGAAGGCCAATGCGAAGGCGAACACCGGGGTCACTGAGAAGAAGGTTACTGAGAGTAGCAAAGACCACCATACCAACCATCCCTCCTGGGTAGACATGGTCAAGGTATGTCACAAGCTACAGCCGACTTCATTGTCTCTGTGTGCGCTCTGTTCTTCATCCGGGCTGTCAGGGGCTATATCACTATATGATACACGGAGCGCACGGACCAAGCGATGGCCCATCATCTCCTAATACATATCGATGACTTCCATACGGCTGTCTCTTCTAATGCGTGTACTAATTCACCTCCAGGAATGTATCACTGCCCACCCAGACGATGCTCGCCATGGTGTATCTCGTCCGACGATCAAGAAGGTTTGCGTGTTTTATACCTCGCCTTTTCTTATTCGGTCTTCAACATTCCGAAAAACAGTTCGTCGAAATCAAGTACAAAATATACCCGAACCAGACGAGTAACAGTCAACTTGCCCGTGCTATCACGCATGGCGCTGAGAAAGGCATCTTTGTCTTGCCCAAAGGTCACACTTATACCTCTTGCTTAGGCGTTAGTGAGCTTACGCCACCTTAATAGGCCCGTCTGGCAAGATCAAGCTTCCCCCCAAGGGCTCTAGCCCTCATGAAACGACTAAAGAGGTATACTCTTCCTCTGCCTAGCATCCCTTGCCTTTAACTCTTCACGTCCGCTCGTTCAGCAGAACACCTCCGCGGGTGCGAAAGCACCGATCAGTTCGGCGAAAGCATCTACCAAGAAAGTTGTACCTGCCAAAGCTCAACCGACCGGCGCTGCCATGAAGAAGAAAATGGCAGCAGTCAAGGCCACACCCAGTGCCAAGCCGGGTGTCAAGAAGACATATACTTCGCGGAAGGTTGCTGCTGCGAAGAAGTCTCGAATCGCCGCTACCAGGAAGAGAGGACCCGTGACGAAGGCAGCGAGAGGTATCACAAGGAAGACCCGGTCTAAGGGAGGCTCTGTGAAGGCTTCGGCGAAGGAGAAGCCAGCCACTGCTAGCAGGAAGGGCGCAAACAAGAAAACGACGACGAAGAAGGCAAGTCCTTGAGCTCGAATGGCTTCATACGAAAGACCTTTATATGTCTAACGTTGTATAAGCAGACTCCGGTGTCCGTGTAACATGGTATGTACCAAGGCATTCGATGTGCTGCGTTTCTTCCAAGCTGTATTATTTCGCGGTCAGAAAATACGACTTCAGGCACACTGTACGATACGATATGGGCCGAAGTGCCGCTTCGACTCAGTGTGAGTCGCTGTACGTGTTTATTTAGTGAAATGATTGGGCTCAGTTGTGAAGAAGATTTTGTGGTCGTGATCTTGTACTTTTACTTATTTTTTGAGCTGATGATTAGCTTTGAATTACATGAACAATTCTATATGTGCAGAATCATGGGTGTATAGAGGTGGCCCAACACGAACTCCGTTGGCAGACTTGTCGTTCGCATTTTCGAGATACGCGCGCCGACGAGTCGAGCGTCGTTCGTTCATGCAAGATGTGCGGAACACGATTGGTTCGGAAACAGCCGGAGCAGTCGTCACGGTCGACCTGAAGCCGTTCATCACAGCGAGCGTACACCATGTTTGCCGCTAGACTCCCCAAACGCATTCCTCTGCCACGACCGGCGAGGCCGGCGAGGCTTATCTCCACCTCTGCACCCAGGCACTCGGACGCCCTCTTTGTGGTCGGTAGCAGTTTCGTCACACTCGAATGCTGTCGGTGACGCTCATACCTCTTGCGACGTTCAGCACCGCGACACTACCTACAACAACCCCAAGGTGCGCGAGACGTCTCGCGACGTTGCATGAGGTCTCATGAGGTTTCTTTTTAGATCCCATTTGAGTTCAGCGCGGAGAACTTGAAGCGTGCAGAGGAGATCATCTCGCATTACCCGCCACAGTACAAGAAAGCGGCCGTCATCCCCCTCCTCGACCTCGGCCAGCGGCAGAACAAAGGATGGACCAGCATCAGCGTGATGAACTACGTCGCGAAGCTGCTCGAGATGCCGCCGATGCGGGTGTACGAGGTCGCGACGTTCTACACCATGTTCAACCGGTGCGTGACAACTCTCGGGCGCGGCGATGCTCCGTGCCTCATCGTCTCGTTTCGTGCTTGCGGCGCAGGGAGCCCATCGGGGACAACTTCGTGCAGGTCTGCACGACGACGCCGTGCATGCTCCGAGGCTCGACCGAGATCCTCAACACCGTCTGCAGCCACCTGGGCGGGATCAAGCCGGGCGAGACGACGAAGGACGGAAAATTCACGGTCATCGAGGTCGAGTGCCAGGGCGCCTGCAGCAATGCACCAATGATGGCCGTGGGGGATGATTTCTATGTACGTTCCCTTCCTTCGACGGATCGCGTGCGCCGAACTGACCTCGGGCGAAGGAGGACCTCACTTCGGAGACGACGAAGAAGATCCTGGATGCGTTCTCCAAAGGAGAGAAGCCCAAGCCTGGTCCTCAGAGCGGTCGCCATACCAGTGAGAACTCTGCAGGCCTTACAGCGCTCACGTCGAAGGTCAGTCCCTTGGTCTGTCCTCGATAATTTTAGCGATTGAGCGAGTCCCACAGCCTTACGGTCCGGGGGAGTTCTGTACACCAGAGTTTAGTTAGTTGTAGACGTCAGTCAATGATCTATTGACTACCATCGTTCCCTGTGAATTTCAAAGCTCAAAGACCTGCAGCCATATGTTGACGATCGTCAACATTTCGCCTTTGTCCATGTATTGAAAACTATACTAGTGAAGTCTACCATCGCATTCATGAATCATGGGTTGTATGCATGCAAAATCCGTGCAAGTTGATAACAATATCATCAAAGTGTTATCGTCAGTCATCTCCCTCACCGTCATCATAGCCATAACCGCCTCGACCACCTTCAGGCAGTCTCTCGATCATGTAGCTGTGATGCCCTGTCAGTGGGCAATTTGTGAAGGTCATATTTCACGTACTCGACTTCTTCCTTGAGGTCAGAGCAATAGCGATCTGTGATGTGAGTTCAGTAACCCAGTACCTTTCAGTATGCAAAAGCAAAAACCTAGTGGCAAGTCAGCATCGTCGAGTCCTGCGTGAAAAAAAAAAACACGACACGCGTGTGAGAAACAGATTCCATCGCAGAGGATGCCCGTCGCTCACCGAAGGGCATCTCAATCTCGTCTGCTATGCCCTCGATACCCATGAATGTGAACGCGACCACCGTGACCACGGGTATCATCGCCCAGCCCAGCTCCTTGATGAGGGTGAACGGCAAGGCAAACAGGTACAGCGAGACGCATTGCTTCAGGTGGATGCTATCTGCGCTCGTGAACAAGTCGTTGTCAGAAGACTTTTGATTGCGAAGCTAAAGAACGACGTTTACAAGACTTTGGTATAGGGGTATTCGCGATCCGCTCCAGGTTGGTCATTTGTTCCACCATACCGTGCACGCTAGACAAACGACATGGTGAGATGAGAAACAGGGTATTAAGATAACAGTCAGATTCCTACATTTGATTCATCGCATTCGCACCTGGGGAGGTTCACTACTCAGTCAACGAGACAACGAGACCAACCGATCAGCTTGCCTGCAGGCCCAACGGTTTCCAAGAAACCATTTTTACGGAACCCAAACAACATCCTCGATATTTCGTGAGCCAAGCTGAAGAAGGAACAACGTCAGCGATGACGTTCGGCGTTTCGAGCGCGTCGATCGAACGGACATGAGTGGCAAGGGAATGGTGGCCTCCGTGTACGGGTTGAAGTTGATGGTGCGATGCTCAGAGCTCATCAGCGGCGTCCTCGACCCAGGCAACTTGTCCACGCTCCTCTTCACCCTCACCCTCTTCGTCGCCGTCAGCGTCTGACCCACACTATCAGAAGTCAGATGCTTATCCGGACTCGCCGTGCGGGAGGTCTCCGGGCTCGTGGTGAGCGCGGCATCCGTGACGGCGTTGTACGACGCCGCGGCAGAGCTCTTCCGCGACCGCCGGGGGCCCATGCCGTGCGCCTTGTAGAACGAGTCGGGAATGACGCCGGCGTAGTCATCCCAGTCGAGCCCATCCTCCTCGCGGAGGTAGTGCTTGACGGCGAACGAGAACGCGAGGCAGAGCTTGAGCGCGTCGGCCTTGGTGCGGTGCAGCTGGGCGGCGGTCACGGTCGTGGTGGGCGTCTTGCCCTTGGTATTAGGAGGCGCGTCGTCTGTGGGCGGGAGGGCGACGTTGACCCATATCATGCGGGACAAGTTGCGTACCTGGTCGGCCGTAAACAGAGAGGGGAGGCGGGAGAGAGAGGTGGACGCACATGGGCGGTCAATGCGCCGAAGGATTTGCGGCCTTCGTAATACCGATCGTACGACGTACTGCGTCACGCGAGTGTGGTTGAGCAGCGACGCGCTTTTAGAAAAGGAGAAACGCGCTCACCCGTTCCTGAATACCAGGATAAGACCCACCTGTCACGGTCGCCGGCATGAGTCCACGATCGAGGAAACAAGTCCCGAATCACAATCACTCACCACGACAGCGAGCAATGGGGTGACCGAGTTGGTCAGTGTCACCGCTTTCCCCTTGGACTTTGCATAGGCGACCAGAGTCGCGAAGATCGTCACCGTCAGGACGGGTCCGAACACGCGTCCTATGATCTACTCCAAAAGCGCATCAGCCACCCGTCGCGCGCGCATGAAGAGCAGAAGGGCGTGTACGCTATTTTTGACGCGGAATACGTCCGGGAGCCACGAGTACTGATGCGTTGCGGGGCGTCAGTCAGCCAGGCGGTCTGAGGTCTTTCAGTTTAAACGTCGCGCGAACGTGCCTTTCTCAGGTGCCTCCTCGAGATCAGCTTGCGACGCTATGGGTGCACACGGGAAGGGTGCGCGTCAGCGTGCGAAGCTCGGCGCGTGGACAGCGGTGGCAGTGGGTCGCACCGTGGTAGGCATGATGTGAGCCGGCGTCGAACGTCGAACGGCGTTGAGCTTCTTCTGTGGCACGGATGCGAATCAACGAGCACTGGAGGTGGACGCTGGTTGAGTGTCGACGTCGAGGGTCCTTGAACGCTGGATATCTCGTGCGACAAGCACCGTGCTCGGACTGGTCGCTGCGCGGCGGTGTCGGCTGAAGCGATCGTTGTCTGCTTGGTGGCGCACGCCGGAGCGACCGCTCCGTCAGGGCGTGTTCGCTTGATCGCCGGCGCCGCTCAGAATCTCGCCCGATTCGGCAGGTGTTTAGGAACGACGTCGGATTGCACGCAAAGAAACATACTGATACTCCAAAAACAACAGAACGGATACAGCGCCGGTTATGACGACAAAAGAGCCAGCATAGCCGGCATAAATATGTTACAGGTAAATTACGGGCCACTTCAACTATGGAGGTCATTAAAACAAGTTTGACACGAGATTATGGAGTGCTGGACAGAATTAGGCCTCGGGGGAATCAGCGGATCGAGATCAGAGCCGAGAGTCCAGGCGAGCTTCGTTGAGGCGGTACGAGATATCTGAGAGACGCGACGCAAGACAGGCAAGACAGGTGCTGTAGCCACAAGAGAGAAGCGGGTCATCGTCGACAGAGGCAGACAAGCCGTCCAGGAGCATCCAGCGCTCACGGCTGTGTCGAGACTTTGTTATCACGAGGAGGGGCGGCACGGACCATCGCAAAGGGCTGCGCATTGGTGAGCTGGCTCTGTCCCAGCACGACCGAGGAAGACGGTCGCGCGGTGCGGGAGACCGACACCGACATTGACACCGATGGCGGGAGACAAGACGGCATCTCTGCGCCCCCGACGCGCGGCGGAGGCGTGCATTCTTCGGTGTTTAAGCAGAACGACTTGCGTCTCCCAGCACGAGGCACCCCCGCTGCCCCGGCGCCGTTCGCGCTGGGCGAGGCCGGGTCGGTAAATGCCGCACCAGGCATCGCTTGTCCGTCCGAGTGCATATGTTCAAGAGACACAGACGCGGAGGAGGCCTGCGAGCCGTCGAGACGAGACTCGTGGACGGCGAGGAGCTGGGCGAAGGCGGAGGCCGGTGGGAGCTGCAGCTGGCACCGGAGAGCGGGCATGTTCGCGGCGAGGCGGCGGCGCGACATCGAGGGCTCCGCCCACGTCGGCACCAGCGACGGGTGTGCGAAGCCAAAACCAAAAGCACCGCCGTCGGGCGCCGCGGACACGTGCGGGCGAGCGTGCGGATCGAGGGAGGGGCTCAGAGTATCGGCGCCGGCGGGAGGCAGCGTGGTCCAAAGCCCGAGCGAAGGTCCGCCGGGGAGCATATACGCTGCGCTGCTGGTGGTAGACGCGTCGAGACCTGGGAAACGGTTATTTTGGTGTGTACAGATAGCGAACCGTGGACCGCAGACCTTGAGCGTCAACTGTGTCTGGACGGCGGCTGCTGCTGCTGTCGGCGGCGGCGGCGGACGCAGAGCCGTCCTTGCGGAATTCGAGGTCCGAGCGCAAGAGCGCCATCACTGTCCCGCTCAGTCAGCACCGCGATCGACCGTCGGCGGGGGAGGGGGCGGCGACGGGAACGAGGTAGGGGAAGGGGCGAGCACGCACTATACGCATCGCCCGCGTGCGCGCGCCGCAGATGCTGCATGCGGCTCCCGATCTGCTGCAGTGAGCGCACCTTGCCCGTCTTGCGCCGCAGGAACTCGCGGATCAGCTGGTAGCGCCCCACGCGCGCCCTACCGCCGTGCGCGTCCCCATCCCCGCCGAGCGCACCGGGACCACGGGTCTCGTTGCCCTTGCTGCCGCCACCGCCGCCGCGCGTTCCCCCAGAGCGGGCGGGGCGCGAACGCGCGCTGGGCGGGTATGTCGCGAGCGCTGCGATCGTGGGGCATCAGCGTCGGCCAATGGAGGAGAGGAGCCAAAACGCCCGGGTGCGCGGACTTGCCTTCGAGCAGGGCTGCGTGGAGCTCCTCCGTCCACACGGCCTCGGTCCCGCCGGGGAGGTGCCGGCGGGTGCGGTTCCCGACGTGGCGCGCGCGCGGGGCGGTCTGGGATTGGGAGGCGGGGTGCGGGGCGCTGGGGCGCTGTGGTGCGAGTGAGAGGTGAGCGTGTGGGGGGGACATGGCGGGGCGGCGGCGGTGGCGGCGGCGGGATGCAGAGGCAGAGGCAGAGGTAGAACCGAGGAGCCAGGTATACAGGATTGCTAGAGGGTCGAAGGGTACTTATGGGTCGAGGTTGGAAGCCGACTTGGGTTGGGACGGCTTGTGCAATGTGACCGGTCTCGGTCACGGTGCGACAACGTCGCCGACGCCTTGGCGGGCCGCGGTAGAGGCCAAGTTAAGTTCAGCCGGCGCGCGTCAGGTCGCGTCGCTGTCGACGAGCTCCGCGTCGGTGAATTTGAGTCTTTGACGCCTTGGCCGTTCCAACGACAACACACCACTGTGCGCGCTTACATCTGTTGAAGCGCGACGGGGTTCAGCATCCGGTCGGCATCTGTGTCGGTCGGATAACTCGGGATTCGATAGTCGGCGATGACGTCGGTGGTACGAGTACTACTGGAACTGCTGGTAGGGACTAGTGAACGCTCGTCGGGCATGCATGCGCGCGCACCATCACGTCGCCCCAGTCGGCATGCACTGTACGTCGTCCCTACCGGCGATCTCGACCTCGATCTTTATTTTATTTCTTCTACCGGGCAGGCAATGTAATACTACGAGCTGCGAGTCTGGCTCCTTTGTCGAAACTGCCACTCTTCGGAGCGTCTGCGGACTGCAGGACGAGCACCGCGCTCTGCTGGATCTGGATTCTGGCGGCGCACTCGTCGGGGCGTGCGTGCGTCCCAGTGGTGGTCTGGGGCTGAGTGTTCAAGTGTGCTCGCGTGTCCGTCGCCGGCGAGCAGCCTAATCTCTACTTGGTTCAGCTCAGCTCCTACACCGCGGTCTTCTGGGCATCTCGAGGCGACGCGCCTGTGCGTGTTCAGCGCTCAGCCTCGACATACGACCGCAGAGTCTGTCCCGCCGCGTTACGAACCCACCCGCCAGCTCGGGCGGAGGGCACCCAGGCGGCATGGACCTCCGTCCTACATCCCAGACCGCCCGCTCGCCCGCTCTGGCCAGAGGGTCAGCCAACATCCCTGCTCCTGCATCCGCGCTCGTCCTTCGTCTTCCTTCGTCATAGGACTGGAATATACGCACTACGGACGACGGCAACACGTCCTCGCACCTTTCGCCGAGACCGTGGACTGCACACGAGGGGCAGCCTGAGATTCTGCGCCTGCATCACCTACATTCGCTTCGTCTTGCGTCGGCGGGCCATGTTCGCACCACTGCTGCGCCCCCTGCACGTCCTCTCCCCGAGCACACTCTGCAGAGCAGCTCTCTCCTACCCGCGCTGGTGCTTCTCTGCCTCCTCACTGCCTACCTGCCTCCCCACGCCCCCTCCCACCCCCCCACTACACGAACCCGCCATCCCAAAATCCGCCCCCTCTCAGTGGGCCGTCTCCATCCCCCTCCGCCTCCTCCACCACATCGTCCGCCTCCCGCGCACGCTCCACAGGCTCTACGCGGCGCTCCCCTCCCCGCGCCCGTCCCCGCTGTACCTGGTCGCCCTCGCGCTCACGCTCCTCGCGCTCCTCGCGCTCCTCACGCTCCTGCTGCTCCTCCTCGCGCTCCTCCTCGCACTCACCCTCGCCATCCTCGCGCTCCTCGCGCTCCTCCTACCCCCCGCGACCCTCCGCGCCCTCGCAGCACGCCTATGGACCCTCGCACCGTCCCCTTCCTCCCTCTCCCTCTCGCCGTCCCTGCGCACAGGCCTCGGCCTCGGCCTCAAATTCGGCATCCGCCCCGCCCTCGATGCGGGCCTCGCACTGGGCAAGACCGCCGCGCTGCACGCGCTCCCCGGCGTCTTCGCGCGGGCGGCGCGCACCCCGGCGGCGCACGTGCTCGTGCACGCGCCGCCGACGCCCCCGCCGACGCGCGTGCTCGTGCACGTGCACGCGCCTGCGCCTGCGAGCGCGCAGGCCGCGGGGACGGGGACGGGGACGGGAGCGGAGTTGACGCAGGCGCTACTTGGGGTGGGGCCGCCGCCGCCACGGGCGCGCGAGCTGCGGCGGAGCCGGAGCTGGTTCAAGTGATGGCGGGGGACGGAGGGGGGGCCGTCGCTCTGCATCGCGGCTGGGAAGAGCGGAGGGGCCGAGATCGCCGGCGATGGAGTTACTGTACGGGGACGCGAGTGGGACGTGTTACGGTGCTACAGTATGTGTGTGGGAAGAGTAGCTAGTGTGGCGCCGAAAGTGTTTGATCAGCAACCAAGACTCGCCTCCGTCTGCCGTCTGCCGTCCGCCGCTGCCTCCAAGATGCCCGCCTTCGACCCCGTCCGCGACGCCGTCCTCAACTCCCCGCTCTCCCCGTCCCCCATCCTCCCTCCCCGCGCACACCCAGCACACACAGACAGCGTCCCCGTCCACCGTCGCGCCACCGACCTCAGCGTTCTCCTCAACACCGCCGCCCCACACCCACCGCCGCCGCCGCCGCCGCTGCCCTCCTCCGCCACCTACCTCCCGCCCCGCTCCTCGTCCCTCGCCCATCTCCTCCTCCCCGCCGCCCCCACCCCCCGCGCAAACGACGACAACGACGACGACGACGACGACAAGCTCGCGCGCGCACCCCCGCTCCTCCGCCATCGCGCCGGCAGCATCGCCTCCATCGTCTCCCCACCCTCCCCGCCCGACGACGGCCCCGACCACCCCTCGCCCTTCGCCTACTCCCACCGCGCCCCCGCCGCTCCCCAGGCACACCCGCAGCCGCAGCCCCCGCCGTCCCCCGACGCCCTCTTCACCCCCATCACGGACCGCAGCTTTTTCCCACCCCCGCCCCCCTCGCCCTACAGCACCTCTGCCAGCGCACACTCCCTCTCCCGTCCCTCCACCTCCGACGACACACCCCACCGCACCCCGCTCTCGCCCCACATGCCCCCTCCTCCCCGCCCCGCACCCTCCCAAGCACCCACCCCCGTACCAGCACCAGCACCTGCGCCTGCGCCTGCGCCTGCGCCTGCACCTGCGCCCGCACCCGCACCCGCACCCGCACCCTCCCCGCCCCAACCCCTCCCATACGAGCCCCACCGCCGCACCCCCGCCGGCTCCGTCCTCGTCCCCCTCACCCACGACGAGATCGACATGTACCGCTCCTACGTCGGCGCCGGCACCCGCCGCCTCGCCAAGCGCAAGCGCGCGGCCCCCGGCTCCGAAAACAGCCCCGCCCCCGGCTCCGGCCCCGGCCGCGCTGCGGACGCCCCGCAGCACCACCCCCACCCAGACGCGGACGGCACCGACGCCCTCGACGCCGACCCCGCCGCCGACGCGCCCCGCGCGAAGCGCTCGCGGGACGTCGCCCTCGTCGCCGACCACTGTGCGTGTCCCCCCCTCTCCCTCGTCCGTCCCGCGTTACTTATCCCGGCGTGACAGACAACGCCCGCCCCGAGGTCGGCGTGCAGCAGCGCCGCGAGTCGCCCATCATCGGGCTGCGCAAGTTCAACAACTGGGTAAAGTCCGTCCTCATCACGCGCTTTGCCCACCCCGCCCTGCACGCCCCCGCCCCCGCGCCGGGCGCCACGAGCGCGGGTGCGGGCGGGAACGGCGGCGGCGGCGGCGGCGGTGGCGGGACATTCGCGTTCGGCGGGCGTGCGAACGCAAAGGTGCTCGATATGGGCTGCGGCAAGGGCGGCGACTTGTCCAAGTGGAGCAAGGCGCGCGTCAAGGAGTACGTCGGCGTCGGTGCGTGCCGTCCTGTCCCCCCTTCTTTCTCCTCCTCCTCTTCCTCCTTTCCCTCTCCCTCTTCCGCTTTGAAGGCAGCTCTCATCGCGCATCCTCTGCAGACATCGCCGCCGTCTCCGTCGACCAAGCCCGCGCGCGCTACGAGTCCATGACCTCCCGCCCCTCGCGCGGGCCCCGCGGCAGCCACGGGAACGCCAGCGCCAGCGCCAGCGCCAACGGGGGCTTCGCCGCGTTCTTCGCCGCGTGCGACTGCTTCGCGGACGCGCTGACGCGCGCGGTGCCGCCGGAGCGGCTCTCGACGCCGTTCGACGCGGTGTCGCTGCAGTTCTGCATGCACTACGCGTTCGAGAGCCGCGAGAAGGCGCGGCGGATGCTCGATAATGCCGCGCGGTGGTTGAGGCCTGGGGGCGTGTTCGTGGGGACGATACCGAACGCGGAGCAGCTGCTGTGAGTCGCGCGCGTGCGTTCTGGCTTTTTATTTCGTCGCCTTGCTGATCGTGCGATGTTGGTGGTGGTGGTGTCGGTGGTGGATGGCGGCCGCAGGGCGAGGCTGGACGCGCTGCCGCCCGGCGCGCCGCCGAGCTTTGGGAACGACGTGTACAGGATCCGGTTCGAGGACGGCGAGCGCGCGCGGGACAAGGCGGCGCGGCCCGTGTTCGGGCACAAGTACTGGTTCTTCCTGCGCGACGCCGTCGAGGACGTGCCCGAGTACATCGTGCACTGGGAGCCGTTCGTCGAGTGCGTCTCTCGCTCGTATCTATCCTTATTTTTTTTTTTTACTGATCTTCGTCCTTTCGTGCGTTTCGTGCGTCGAACGCTGGGCTGGCGGTTTCGGCGGGCGTGCAGGCTCGCGGCGGAGTACGGGCTGCATCCGGTGTATAAGAAGGAGTTCCATGAGGTGTTTGAGGAGCATCAGGGGCACGCGGAGTTTGGGCCGTTGTTGGAGCGCATGAAGGTCGTCGATAAGGACGGCGAGAGCCAGATGGATGAGGACCAGTGGGAGGCGGCCAGTGCGTGTCTTTTTTCGTCTCCTGTTGCTTCCCCTTCTGTTTTTTTTGTCCCTTGGTTCGTTCGCTCGTTCGTTCGTGCGTTCGCGCGTTCGTGTGTTCGTGTGTTCGTGTGTTCGTCCGTTCGTGCTTTCGTTCGTTCGTTTGTCCGCTTGCTTGCTTGCTTGCTTGTTCGTTCGTTCGTCCGGAATCCATATCCCTGTTCCCTTCATCCACCTAGTCACTTTATTACGTTCTTCTGTCATTCCCTTCCCTTCCCTTTTCTCCTTTTGTTCGCCGTATCCTTGTTCCTTACCTTTCAACCTTTCCTTTCGATCCCTCGCACGTTCGTTCGTTCTCCGTACTATTTTTTCTTCATTCCTCCCCCATCCGTCCACTCATTTCCATTCGTTCTCCGTATTCCTGTTCCTTCCTCTGCTCATCTTTCACCCTCCATCCATTCAATCTCTTCCATCTGCCCTTTCCTTCTTTCTTCTTGGCGCTCCCGTCTCCCGGATCAGCGTCGTTGAACTAGGAACATCCCCCACAGATATCTACATCGCGTTCGCGTTGGAGAAGCGCTGAGACCCGCGCACGCGCCGAGTTCGAAACGCACCAAAATAGCCGCCGGCCAGACGCCGACCCTCGAAGCACATGCCCCGAACCGCCGTCGCGCCAGCCACTCGCCAGCCCCTCTGCGCCCTGCTCGATCGGTCCAACACGACGCGATCGGACTCGCCTCGCCTCGCCTCGCCTAGTCTCAACTCAGCCCTGCTCACTCTCACCCTCGCCCTCACTCTCACTCTCACCCTCACCCTCACTCTCACTCGCTCACTCTCACTCACTCACTCTCACTCTTTTACTCTTTCTTTCTCTCCCCCTCTCCCCTCTCACGCTCGCCTCGCCCGTAAATTAACTTTCCCGCGCCGTCATATCCACATCCAGCCCCGTGCCCCCGCCCCCGCCTCGCCCTCACCCTTCTCCCGCCGTGCGCTGGCGCCCCCCGCCCCACATTCCCCGGCCCCACCCCGCCCCACATTCCCCGGCCCCACCCAGTCCCCAGTCCCCAGCCCCCCATCTCGCGCTTCTTGACCAACCCAGCGCTCGTCCCCGCCGACGCAGCCCGACGCAGCCCCGCCCAAACATGTACTGTACTCGTGCACCGCTTTGTATCGTATGCCCCGCGCGCGCACGCGCGCGCGACGCCCCCCGTGTATATATGCGTCCGCCCGTTAGATGACATCTGTACCCGCTATTTTAGTATGCAGATAACTCACGACGAAGGACGAAGGCGCCGAGCGTCGGATCCGCTGACATCTCGCGGCAACACCGTATTTCTCAAATATAAGATAAAAACGATCAGGCATCTGTGTCCCACGGAGTGCGAGGCGAGATATATTCCTAGGGCGGCCATGGGGGCCCAAGACAGTCGTAGTAATGTAATGTACTTGCGACCCAGCGGCTGCGTCTGTCCTTCCTCGCCACGCCAAATGGTACGGATGCCCTGCCGTGGTACTTGGTACGATGTGGAACACAAGAGGTGCCAAGCAGTACTACTGTGACGATTCCTTTCTTTGAATCAACGCATTTATGTCCCGCGCGGCATAAGGCCAGGGGCGGCTATAGAAAACTGTAGGGGTAGGCACCGTATGTACTCGTACGTAGCAATTAAAGGGTTTATTCAAGACCCTAATTATCAGCCCTGCTAGAGCGGGCAACGGCTTGAAGAAGGAAGGAACTGTGACGAGTCATCACGTCGCCAAAGACCCGTCACATCACAACTTAGAAACGACGAGAGCGCCAACTTGACGCGTGACGCCCCCCCCTCGCCATTGCAAATCTATCTACGGACGGCAGTCCCGGCAGCGCCGCCACACGACAACAGACGACGACGGATGTCGTAGACAGGACCGTGAATGTAGCGTTAGATATAGGTCGGGATACGGTCCGATCCGTGGACTATGGAGAAGTGCTACTGTTACAGCGGCGGGGTGGGCATAATCAACAACGTAGTGACAATACGGAAGATTGTATGGGAGAATGGTAGGTGGAGACATAAACACAGTCATAAAAAAAATGGAGAGAATGGAAACGTAGAAGAGGAAGGCTGACAAGGGAAGAGTAGTCTACTCCTGGCCAAACCCAACGGTCTCCCTGTGACACAAACGAAAACCATCAGTTCACCGCTTAGATAGGGCTACGCAGAATGACTCACTCTACGGCCAACGTCAGCTTGTGCTCCAAGCTCGCGTAGTCCTTGTACGGCGGCAGATCGATCCGGTTGAAGCACGTGTGGCTCTTGGGCAGCTGAGAGGGGTCGCCCGCTTTCTCGATCGTGAAGCGGCGCGGGCCGTCGGAGCCCTGGAGGTCCTTGAACCCGTTGACGGGAATGCGAGACGTGCCCGTCGCGAACTGCAGCAGACGTGACTTCCGCTCGGGTGGCCACGAGCGCACGCATTTCCAGAACCACTGGATCACCTCGTCGTTCACCTCGTACCCGCGGTAATCCGTAAACTTGGTCCAGTCGTCACTACGTCATTTCAGACTCGAGTGAGCACAAGTGGACAGCACATGAATACGGTTGAAAGAAGGATAGGCACGTACACATCGATCTCGGACATGCCGCCGATGAGAAGCTCGAGTTCGCGCTCATCGAACACATTCACCAGATCCTGCGGGATCAACTCGCTGAAGCCGGACATGAACGCGTCAAACTGCTCCTTCACGCGCTTGGAAATACGGTACTCGACGACGTGCTCGACGTATTCCTTCTTGTTATCCTGTGTCACGGGAACGTCCCCACCGCCCGGCTTCAGCTCGATCGTGACCATCTCGCCGAACCGCTCCTCAGTCGTCGTAAACGTCTCATCGATGATGTCGGTGATGTCATTGTCCCTGGAACATGTCATCATCAGTATTTGTGGCCCTGGAGAAAACGAATGCCCCGTACAGCATCCAAGTCAGACCACGGTGAAGCTCTGCATCTACGCTCTCAAGGTCCGCAAGCGTGACCTTCTTCTTCAGAATCATCTTGTAGAAACTGACGATGAAGTACGCATCGAGGAAGCGACGATGGAAGATACCCAATCCCAAGCATCTCCCAATAAACTTGAAATAGTTCAGATGCTCGGGGTTGACGCCTGACGCTGGGTTGATCTGGAGGGTGTAGTTGTCATGTGCCGAATACTCGAAGAGACAGTAGAACGGGTTGAACATCTCATGGGAAAGAAGGAAGAAAAATTCTCTGTAAAAGATATGAGAAGCCGCGCCGTCCACACATACTGGATCACATACCGAGAAAGACCTCCATAATCAAGACCATCCTCGCCGTCAAACTTGATCATAAGCCTCTTCTTCAAATCATTCGGCGTTTGCCTCATGATTTCCGCGTAACTGTCCTCGAAGATGTGGTTACGGCGGACCTTGATCTGGCAATTACCTGGCTGTGCGCGCATTGCCGGCTGACTTCTGAAGTAGATGAGCTTCCGGCGGAAGTCGCGCTTGTACTGGGGAACGTTCGCATCGAGCGAAGATGGCAAGCGGGGATCGTCCCATGTCGTCGTCTTCGTGTTGTGATCGACGAAGTAGACACGAGCAGTTGACGTAAGACGCATCTCCCATCCTGATGGCAAGGGACCTAGCTGTGAGATCGTCTGTGGCTGCAAGGCAGTGTTCTGGCCGTTTGGCCCCATCACACGGATGATGGTCTGCCGACGGGGATCCACCCATGTGGTCGTGCGCGTATTGTGGTCGACAAAGTACGGCCGGCCCTCAGGCGTATATCTTTCCTCCCACCCAGCCGGCAGGTTACCACTTCCTGGCGTCGTAGCATTCGTACTGGCTGCGACGGCCGCGGCCGCGGCGTTTGGAGGAGGTGCTGTCGTGGATGTATTCCGCCCAACGGTCGCTCCACTGTTGGCCTCCAACAGATCATCGGCAAGAATACGGCGGTTATTGTGGTCGCGGGCAGCATTCGTTTCGCCCTCCTGAGTATGGGTGTTTGCGGATTGGCTGTTCGACGGCCTATTCCAGGTAGTAGTGCGGGTGTTGTGGTCGACGTAGTACGTCCGACCGAGAGGATCTATTCGTCGTTCCCACCCAGGCGGCAAGGGGCCGTATTGATCCTCATTGGGGTTGAAATTATGCTGGGCCTGGCTGTTTGCGACAACCGTCTGACCAGGGGATACAACGCCTGGTGCTGTAGGCCGCATTCCTGGCTGAGCAGCGCTTGAAGGCGGCGGTGGACCTCCGGAACTGACTGGGCGGGTCGCGGTGTTCTGCAGGGGATGCTCGGGTTCCTGTGATAGAACGGGCGTTGGCATTGAGATCACGGGCTCTTGATTGGTGGCGTGAGAACTTGGAGTGCGTGATAGCGCGCCTGACCCGCCAGCTGCTGCGTTATTGACTGATAGTGAGGACTCGTTCATGGAAAGGCCAGCAATGCCAGCGGAGAGTGAGCCAGCAGCCCCCGGACTGCGAGGGTTGGTGGCGGGTTGGCTCAGGTTCGTAGATAGGTAAATGATGAGTTTGCCGTGAACGACCAGATTATCGTTCGACTTCTTGAGGTCCAGCTGGAGCATTTCTGATAATTATGTAGATATTAGAGGTTCTGATCGAATGATAGATAAAGGGGCCGTACCATGTCCACCAAGTTCCAAGTCCAACACATCGCTGACTCGTACATTAACAACGCCCAAGAACCCCTGGTCCCGGCGCTTGAACTTGCGTTGATCGAAGATTTGGACGGCAACGACAGACGACTCCTTGACCATACTGCATTCATGGTAGGCGCTTATAAATACACAAACAATAGAGAATGAACTGGCTGCACTGACATATCAAAACTTTCGTTCCAGTAGGGATTCAACGTCTTCTTGATGACACTAGTCGTGTGTGTTTGCTCAGCATCGACAGTGATTACAGCGAAGGGGTCAGGAAGGCGGAAGACATCGCGTTTGGACAAGCCATCGGCAGCGACGACTGAATGGGAGACTGAGCCAGATACCCGAAGAGGTGTGATGCCTAAAGGTACACACCTGTAATCCTGATCTTTTTCCTACAAAGGATCGTGATCTCGTCAGACAATACCTGACAAATTCAGGGGGATGTGGACTCACAATTCCCCTTGAGCAGAAGACATTGAAGGTGCCGAGGCTGTTGCCAGAACTGTGACAGCAACAGAGACTATGAGATGAAGCAAGGAAATGAAACGAAGGTTGTGTATCCGGACGCTCTGGACGATGTTGTCGTTGGTGATGGAAGGTGGATTGACTATCCAGCGCTTCAAACTTCCACTCAGCCCGTGCCCGTGCCCGATCCTGCCATTTTAGGTAGTTTTCGCCGACAGCGAAGGCTGTCCTCCTCCGGTCCGGGACTGCTGAAGCGCTGCCAGTCCATGTCCAGACCGCAGCAAAGAATAAGTATCTCCCAGCTTCATCATTGAATATATTACAGTCTGTAATGGCAACATTAGATGTCGCTGATTTTCTTTTCCTGCTCAAACTACCGACGCCTTCACACTACCTTCCCATGTTTTTTTCTTGCCAACCATCAAAAGGTTCGACGACTCAGTAAGTTATGGTCATCGGCGGCCACGCCTAACCCTGACAACCGTGGTCCTAATCATTATATCTCATGCTTGAATACATTGACATTGAGTTCTCTTGACAGCAACCGACGCTATAAACTACCTCCTACATCCGGACTATATGTGACTCTAACCACATGGGCCATAGGGTCTAGTGTCCGACTGCTTAGATTGGACGCATAACACGCTGTGTTGTCTGCATCACAGGCTTTACAGTGTCCCGGCACGCGCTAGCACCATGGACGTCTGCGGACATATATCGGCTGCTCATGATTCTGGGACGTGGACTTATGGCCCCATCAGAAGGATCCCTTTGTTCGGTGTGTATACGACAAGTATAGGTGTGAGAGCTGATAGAAGTCTTTCCGAAGCACAGATACGACTTGAATTATATCCTAACTTGTCTGCAATGCGTCATGCCAGGTTATATCGTGCACCTGGAACACCGACGAAGATGCGAGATCAGAGTGGCAGCGATGGCAGATGTCCTGGTAAGACCGTTCTTCCTTCTTGCCCGATCGCAGTCGAGTTCGTATAAAATGCTTCCTGTGTGATGACGTCGTTCGTATTCACGATAATCGACAACTTAATCCACAGGTTACTGCGTTTAGATGTGCATCTTCATAATTTGCAGTGTCCGCGCTTTGCTGGACGAGTCTACCCAGTCAAGTCCTGCAGCAGATAGGCCAAACATTTCGGACCAGACATGATGCTATCATGTAAGGTATGTGCCGATATTTCCATGTCTCTGTGCGATATCGCACCTTTACGTGTCAGCGCTTCACCGTCTTCAATTTTCACTCCAAATCCGCCTTAAGGCTGCCCAAACACTGTTGGGCGTCAGGTGGCGTTGCCGTCGCGCTGTGTGCAAGACGCACTCCGGGTTTTGATGTGGAAGGACCATGTATTACGGCTACCGATGGGTCTTGTGAAGAAATTTGGTAAATCTAGCCAGCACACCTCGTCGCAGAAGCATTGTATGTACGCAAAACTTTATCCGCAACAAGCACACGCATTTCACGCCATGCCTCCGCAAACATGATCTTTACGTGCTCAATTACCACAGGCGTTAGGTTGATGAAGGCCGGAAGGGCATCTGATCCTTCATGGCCTAAACATGCTCTCCGTCCAAAGATATTTCATCGCCAATCAAGTTTTTCAGTTGACTCGTGTCGTAGCTTCTGTGCTTCGATAGGAGTTGAGGGCAACTTGAGACACCATGCTTCGTAAAATTACTCACACGTGATGGTTTTTGAGGCTTTTGATAGCTCTTGATGGGGCTTTAGACTGATCTACCTTGTGTTTCCACGAGACGGAGAGGGGCATTGAGAATGCATGTGACAATAGTTCCTCCCGCTTCCGTGAAGCAGGGATCTGTTATCAGGACTGTTCTGCCCACGCAAATCAACACCGGCTTTATATCGGGGCTCAGTGAGACCTTTATGAAGCTGGAAATTTCACCAGCATCGTCTCCCTCCATCGCGTTCTCCCTGACCTCCAAAGTCACTCCCATAACCACCAGCTGATCATGTCCCAACCAACGCTCTCGTCGTTTGACCCGTTCGCCGAGCATCCTTTCACGAATATGAAGAATCCTTCCCGTTACCCTCGCCAAAAGCCTGCCTCACATACTTCCACTCACCACGCAATGAGTTTATCATCCTCCCAACCCATCCAACTAGCCTCACCACAACCACATGCTACGATGTCGCCCATTCCAACTTCTCATTCCCCCACCGGGATCGTTCCGCCCCAGCAGTCGAAGGGCATCTTTGTCACGTACCAGCCAGACAGACGTCCTACACCAGACCTCGAGGACATCCTGTCGAAGAAGAAGGTGGCGCAGACGTGGGGTAGGACATGACGAGGTTACGGAGTGACTCAGTAATCCTCCTGTATAATGTTGCCTGCTATCGGTGCGGACGTTTTCGCTGCCGATCCACATATCATACTGACTTGGTGCTACAGGAATAATTCCACATTCACGATTTACCACTGTTTGCTATCACCGATACTGGTACGAGTCGAGAGTAGTGCATAATGGACGTTCTGTGGGAGTTTGTGGGGTCGTGTGGGGTCGTGTGCGGGGAAGCCGTGGGACTTGGAGAGACTTTGCACTGACTTTGCATGCCTCGTGATTGTTGATTACTGCGGAGTTCTAATACCGCTTCCTGATCTCACTGCTGCCCTCAATGGTCGATGGTCTTCCTGATATTCCGCCCTTGCTCCCAATTGACGCGCCGTACACACAAAACTACTGCGAGGAAAACATCTATCTTCTCGCTCAGCAATTCGAGCAGCAAACTCACGTGCGCGATGTTTGGGACATCTCCGTCGTATTCATCTCGAATCATACAAAATCGGTCAGCATTGAGCAATTCTCGTTAGATTATTCATCTTCAATCTTGCATCATGAGCTGCTAATTGTGTGCGGTACTGTTTCGTCAACGACAGGTCGCACTATGGATGCAGAAAGCCGCGACAAATCATGTCGTTGTATGGGACTATCATGTGATCTTAATCCTGCGCTGCAGAATCTCTGGCACGAGTGCAGGTTCGGCGGATCGCGAGTGCCAAGCCGACGGCGATCATATCAACACTACTATTGGCGGATCCTGGATCTATGACTTTGACTCCAAGCTGCCTATGCCATGTTCTTCAGGAGGTCTGTTTCTCTATTGTACGTTTGGCGGTGAACGTGCCTAATTTGTAACGACGATCTCGCATAGACTATCTCAGTGAAACTTTCGATCTAAGTGTAACGTTGCCCGAAAGCTACCATAGGTAAGAACGCTCCCTCTCATGATGACTCACGAAGTATCCACCATCCCTCGGCTTCGATGTCTCACTGTATGGGTAGTTTGTTCAAAGTCGTTCCTGCGTCCGAAGTCTTGGACTGGTTTGCTTCAGATCGGTCTCATATGGTATGTTATATCCTCGTCAGTCTCCCGACTTCTCGCGTTTTCCAAAAACTAAGCAGCACATCGCTAACCAAGTCTTCGGTGTACTCCTTGTGCCTCAATCTAGATTTCTCCCATTACTCACAATGATCAGCCGGTCAACCTTGCTCCAGAGACGGAGTCGTCTAGAGCAGAGTATCGTTCTCCCCCCCCTCCTTATCCTTTTCTTTGCGGTGCCAAGGCCAAGGAAAATGGCATAGGAAACAATCTGGCAGATTTTGTTCGCATGGATCTTCCTCAGGGGTTTGGAAGTGTTCTATCTTTGACGAAGTTTAAGAAATGGTGTTTTTGAACTCATTCTCTTCGACAGCTACACGTCTCCCTGCTCCATCTCAATCTTATCGCCCGATTCATCACATAAACGAGACTACTGTACATTGTTGTGCTTACTGGAAAGCCTGACTTGATCTGGCGCACACTGCGCGCAGACATTGGAGTTTTCCATGAGTATCCCGTGGAAAGACTGTAGAATAGGACACATTTTACCCGATGTCGCCATTCAACCTTTTCTAAGACGACGTTACATAATATTTTCTTGAAAAATCCATAACTGTCCTCCTTAATAGTGTGACATGAGCGTTACAAGTGTTGCCCGAGTGTGTCTAACGTGTCGATTCGTGCCTCCCGCTATATACCTACTGCCTCCCTTCCCCCTCTTCGAGGTTCAGATCATTCTTTTTCAGAATCTATATGACATCAGTACCACAACCAACGATCAATGGCTACTCAGGACTTAGCAATGGGGCCATGAACACGACCCAATCCTTCAGTTCACCGGAGCGCCATTTCACAGAAAACAATAGATCAGATACATCTCACTCAAATGGCTATTCCCAGTGAGTCATCTAAGGACAACATACTTCTTTCATGCTGCTTCAAAGAACCACATTTTTCGCACTCCACTTTCAAGGGAGTGAGGCTAAGTAGTCGGACTGATCGCGGCGACCTTTGTTTCACATCGTCTTCTAGGCCATCCCATGTCCCACATAACGAGGAAATAATAAACCATCTGTATCACTCGGGGTTCCAGACCGGTGTAAGTGTAGTTTAGGCTTTGCCAGAACGGCCCGTAGAACGAAGCTGATCACGGGTAGGGGCTGTGTAGAACTATGCAGACACTATTCTTGTAAGCTTTCATCGCCTTCCAGAGGGTGTCTGCCGCATGTGATGCGATTATCTACAGCATGTCCATCAAAATATCTATCGCCTCCATGCGATTATCCTATCTCGGTCCCCGTACCTTGTACATTTAATGTCCACATCGCCACAAGCAGTGGGTCAACGTGTGATATACGTTCATCTTGAGCAGGAGCCAGAAGTCACCCAAGAGGTTGGTCTCTTCATTTCAATTGACATCGTCATTTGACATACCGCCACGCTCCCACAGGGCTTTGCGATAGGTATCATGGTCTGATACTATTTCTTAATCTGGAAGGCTAATCCTGTTATTGTTTTTAGCACTCGGATACCTGTATTCTTCTGTATCGCTCAATCTGATCCACTCATCGAACGCGCGAGGAGTTCTTGCTGCAGGGTGTTTACTTGGTGGCATGGACGATCTTTGCCAATACGCCTATGAAGCTTGTCAGCGCTCTATCGGGCCAGATACGATCAACGAGTGGCTCAACTTCATCAACAGTAATCCGTCGGCGGAAGGAGCTGCCGCGCCCGAAATGCCGCCCTCTTTAGTCTTTGGATTATACGCCCAACGGTTAAGGAATGACATACTCACTTTCCTTGTTGTCACGCTTCCCGCGCTCTTGGACATTCCTTCAGGAGATGTCTCGCCCCAGCCAGAGAGGGGACGAAGCATGATGCTTCAAATTTTCTCCCATGTCCCCTTCGATTTATTCAAGGCGGCAATAGAGTCCCCTGCATTCCAAATCGGTCTGTGTCTAATTCCTCTCTCCGATACTTAGTAACTGATGCCGGACCGCAGGATCCGATCGTGCTCGTTTTCAATTTGCAAAGGACGCTATCGAGTTGAGAAAGCCGAGCGTCGCGCGCAATGGAGGATCGGAAGAGACAGTCGTTTTGGCGTTTGGTGGTGGGACTTCAGATGGTAGTGCAGTGCATGTCACTCGAAAATTGCGTAAGCGGCCTCTCTGGAAGGTCAGTTCTCCTTGAGGCCTCGAGGGCGTGTCATCGTTCCGGTGATCTTGTATTGCTACCGTGCGTGTTTGATGCCATAACAGCTTGCCCAAAGTTGATTGTACGTTATATGGCTGGCTGTCACATACGCTATCACAGGCAATCCATTAACCAGTACACTGGCGTGGTGAGAGTGCACTTGAATAAGTTCACGCACCAAACATATGTGTTCCACTTGGTAGCATGACTTCTCTACCTTGTCGGCAGATGGCGTGGATTCAGGCTTCGAGAAGCGCAAACCTGCTCTTCGAAGCTCACTTACAGTGGTAACCTCCTCTCTGGGAGTGCTTCCGATTGTGTGCGCGTGTGGGGCCAGAATATACGCTCCAGGGAAACCAGGCTCAGTTGGACCTTTATCAAAGGATCGGGTCTGGATGGCTGGATCCTATAAAACCGCTGGGATCTGTCGAACGATCGGCATCTCGACAGCCCTCTTTCCCCGCGTTAGCTATGGCAGCTCCTCAGCTATCCTTCAATGCTGTCTTTGTCAGTTTTTTTGGCCAGGCAGGGAATCCTCGACACTGCAAAATCATAGGGACCGAACCCTACCCCTTCGTCTCCCTAGAGATACGTACACCCATAGGGGCGCGTGAGATGCACACATCAGTGAGTACACTAAATCGCAGTTGGTCCGCGAGATGAGATCTGCTTATAACTGGGGCAACGATAGATTTCTGGACAAATCGGAAACGTCTCTCCCTCCGCCACCCTCGATTGGGTATCGGATGGGCATTTTGGCACCGCTCACATCCACGGGCAGTCTATATACATGGCAGACCTCGTCAACGTCACCGACCAGCCCAAGTAACGATTCACCCCATATGAGCGTGCTGCTATGCGTTCTCACGGGCATACTTCCAGCTCTCGAAGTTTCGATTTCGCAGGGCAAGACGGCGTGACGTACCAATATGTGTGGTCAAGAACCCAGCTGGGACTGTACATGGTCAGTGGATCGCCACCGCTCTTCATCCCTGGCCTCACGATGACTGACTCTTCTCGAAGCTGTATGTGTATTTGCATCCGCAGCTCGCCCCGTCTCACATCGCCACGTACCAACATGTCGAAGATCCTCAAGGTCGCACGTTCGGCAGTTTAAGTTACGGATTTGTTGACGACCACCTCTTCCTTCACGTCGTGATAGCGTTGATTCTCAACTTGTGGAAGGATCAAAACGGGTTCTGATTAGAATTTTTCGGCACGAAAGTGACATACATATCTTGAAACGAGTAGCCTGTATCCATATTGACGAAGCGAAAGCATGAAAGCAAAAAGTGACACAAAGCAGGTCGATGAAAAAAAGAGTCCAGAAATAAGTGCTACGTGAGCAGATAGAGCAACGGCCGAGCAATAGATTACGATGTCCCCATAGAGCCGAGCATATGCTCAAGTCGTTCCTCGACGGTCCAGTGGGCATCCGATTGAGAGTGCATGGAAGGGGCCGTGGTAGGCAGGGTCGGCACGATGTTGAACGATCCAGCCTCGATGCCGTGGGAGATGTTGTCGATGAGACGGCCGATTTGCGCGGAGGAGCTGAAGAACACCTGGCGATCGAGTGAGCACTGTGTTGCGCGAGAAAAGCGCACGATCGCTACCTTTGTTTCGGGCCGCCGGGGACCTTGTTGGGTCTTCCGTCGAGAGAGAAACGAGGAATTGCTATCCTTAGATGTTTTTCTCCCATGTTCTTTGAAAAACAGCTGAACCCCCTCGGAACTCGGTTCGCGGAAGGAATACTCCGAGACAAAACTCGCTCTGTTAGGGTAGAATGACTCAGCGTCGTCATCCCGTAACCCATTTACGATCGACCTAGTTGGAGTACCATCGATAAGACCCCCACCCATTCATATTGTAAATACGTCCTTACCATATGGTTTCGCCGTTGGCCAACTCCAGGACCTCTACGGCACGACCTGGTTCGATAATTGGCAATGCATCAGAGTTCAAACTCTGGTTCGTGCCGTCCACAACTTGCTCGCCGGATATAGTCACTGTCGGTTTGGCTTCACCCGTGTACATCTCGTAACTAGTGGAAAGAGAGGTCACGCTCTGGCCGAGAGTCATTTGGGTTAATGTGACTTACAGAGAATCATAAGCTGAATTAGATTTCTCTAATGGAAGGAGTGCAGGCTGAGAAACAGCCAGAGCGTTATCGCCCCGCGACAGAAAAGAAGCGGGCAACTGTGGAACGGGAGGGGAGGTGTCTGTGGAGAAACGCTGGCTGATTGGGGACTTTGGTGGCGGGGGGGTGGGAGCACGATCGTGAACGGAACGGGTGGAAAGAACGGATGCCGCGCTGGCCGAACGACGCCGGCGACTCGCGGAGTTCTTACGCATCAAAGCATTGAGGTCAAAGTTCGACTGCCGCGTCTCTGAAGGAAATATCAGCGTCCTTCGGAGTACCGCATTGGAGGCTGAGCGATCCGGTGCTGTTTCGTCCCTCCGGCCGCTTTGTTTCCGGAAGGACAGTTGCCTGATCGCCGGCTCGGGAGTTTGCCGCGAAGTCGACTGCTCCAAGCTGGGTCGACCCTCTGATATAGCCGGAGAGCGGGCACGGTCCAGGAGCGATGAGTCCAACCAAGCGCTCCTCTGGCTGGCTGCAGCGGATGCATGTCTCGAAGCATTGGCCGCCGTCGAACGCGATGACACCGATGTCGAGCGCGCCAAGAGGTCATTGAGGGCTTCTTGATCGAGGCCCAGATTCGAGGCCGCGTCGAAGAGCTGCTTCAGAGCAGCCTGGTCTGAAGGTGGCCTTCCGGTCTCGCCGACGGTCGAAGAAGCAGTCATGGCGGGATTAGATGACAAAGGCCCTGATTGTGATGCAGAAGACGGGGCCATTGCCTGGCCCAAGGACGGAAACATGCCATCGCTCGGGGCAGAAGGTTGAGCGTGATCGTGCATATCCTGAAGCTGGCCCACAGACGCTGACTGTGCCGCCGAGCTGAGCGGCACTTTTCGATGATCATGTTCGAAGGATGCTTCCATGGGGCGCGGCTTGCGGAAGCGGGCGATAAATCCCTTCAAGCCAGGTCCTGCAGACGCAGGAGGGCTGGGAACAGATACTTTGAACCGGCCCAGCTCAGTGGCACTGACGGCTGCGGGTGGACCGCCAGGCGGGATCAACGATACCGGATTGTAGCGAATGGTCTGAGCTGACGTGGGCGATAAGAGGTCCATCGGGAAAGGAGTGATTTCCTCACCGCCGAGGTGGACTGGCTTCGGCCGAAGGGTGCCTCTCAATTTCTTGATCCGTTGACCAAACTTCGAGCTGTTGTGGGCGTGGCCGGAGGCAGCTGACGGCGAGCGGAGGGGTATAGTGTCGACGCTTGTCGACGCCGAAACCAGACGCGGACTTGATATCTGATTCGGAGTGATCCGCTTGCGTTGTCCCGAGGAAGCAGTTTCACTCATTTTTGAGTTGGACGGGATCTTTCTCAGCTGTGCCATGGCCACTTCTGTCCTCCGCTGCACTTCCTTGGCCAGCTCAGAGTGGTCGGCATACCCAACAACTGGGCCATCTGAAGGTGGAGCGACCGTACTCGAGTCGGATGGGGGCACTTCGGAGGTCGAAGGAGGCGGCTCAAGAGAAGGGTCGGCTAGATTGGTCTGGTAGGTCACCGGAGACCCGCCGGCAGCCTTCGGCGTCTCCTGACTCGACGGAGACGGTAAACTGTCAGCCTCACCGTTCCTGGGAGTCTCAAGTGACTCCGCGCCACCATTCGGCCCCATCTCTCCAAATAACGCGTCAGCCAGAGCACGTCTACGACGGGTGGGGCTGGAGACCTCGGTGTCTGTGGGAGAATGCACGACGATCTCGGCGGTCTCACTCTTGGGGATACTGACGTGCACGTTGATCGGATGGACACGCGGCGATTCGATACTGTTCAGCACGGAATCCAGCAGGGCGTTGGCCTTTGAGACGCTGTCAGCAGGGGCGGCACGTGGGGCGGAAGCTGCGGACTGAGGCTGAATTTGTGATTGGATGGTAGGATCTGCGGTCTACAATAGGTTTAGATAGATGATATCACAGATAAATAGAGAGAGCGTGTGTCTGCAGCCACTGCCATAATCAGGCATATCGACAGGGTCACAGTTCCACTCCCAAAAAAAAACATGAGAAGGCTTACCCTGCTATCGCGACCATTGTTGGAATAGTTCGATTGGGACGTCGAAGGCCTCCGTCTCCGCACAGAATTGTTCCTATCCCGATTGTCCGGTGCATCCGCCTTCACCTTGGCCGCAAATACCAGCCGATCCTGGACCGCTGCGAAATCGGCCTTGGTGAGACCTGCGTAGTGCTGGATTATCTCCTCGGGATCTATACCATCCTGGCCATCTGCTCCCTCCACCTCTGCCGTCGAGCTGGATTTGTCCGTCGCAGAGAGATCGTGCCACGCTGGCTGTTCCGGATCGAGGGCATTGAACAGCGCGACCGTGCGATCCTGCTTCTGATCCCCCTCCCAAGAGTGGTAGCTGGAGCCCGCAGACTCCAACGAAGAACGCGACGAGTTCCCGATAGGGGACAGCAGCAGCGGCTGAGACTGGCTGAGAGAAAAGTGGGAGGACGAGTGGGCGTGCTTCGGTGGGCGATGGGGGCCTTTGGGCGTGATGCCGGGCGACATCTCCCCGTCGGAGAACGTCGGCGACACCGGCGACCGCGCGGCGAACTGGGTCGGCGTCGGCGAGCGCAGCACGCGGCTTGAGAACGATACCGGCGAGCCGAGGTCGACTCCTGACATCGCGGACGGCGGCCGGTTCACGGCCATGCCGAACGAGTCGCCGGCGGGACGCGTGCCGTCAATGAGCGGCGAGTCCGGCAGCGCGGGAGAGCGCAGGGAGCGTGACTGCGAAGCCAGTGACGTGGGCGACCGCGACCGCTCGATCCCCGCGTTCGGCACATCATGCGAATCGGTCGTGCTCATGGCGCTGCCGCTGCGCACGTGGCCCAATGACGAAGGTGCGAACGCAGACGCGGATGGAGACATAGATTGGCTGCCGCTCCGCGAGCGCGCCCGCGACGCGGGGCGCTCCTGCCACTCGTCGCTGAAGCTGACAGAGCTGCCGTTGCGGCTGTGGCCCGAGCCGCTGCCCGCGTCGTGCCGCGAGGACTTGTGCGGGCTGGCGGGCGCCTTCCACGTGACGTTCGACGGCGTGCTAGGGCGCGACGGGACCGAGACCGCCATCGGCTGATAAGCAGGGCCCGCCAGCGGCGATGCGGGACGGCGACGGCCAAGGATCGACGAGTCTACCGGGTCAAAATCAAGGTACGAGTCGTCGCCGCTGCGCGAGCCGTCTTCCCCGCTCGCCGTCCGCGCGCTGGCGCCGGCGACGAGGGGGGACGTCGCGCGGGGTGGCAAGCGCCCTCCCCCGCCGCCGGAGTCGCGTCTGAACAGGCCTGAGACGATGTTGAACGGTACGACCGGGGATGCGCGATCGCTCGCGCCGATGCCGGGTAGGCGGGGGGACGTCGCGCGCGGGGTGGTCGAATTCGATGGCGACTGGTCATCGGAGTCGAAGCCCATGTCGCGGGGGGTCATCGGCCTCGGCATGCCCGGAATATAGCCGGGGAGACGTGGCGTAGGGGACGTCGTGGCGGAGCGCGGGTACGGTGAAGGCGAGGAGCGCGTCGTATCGCTGTTCTGATGCTGGTCATAGGTGAGCGCAGTCCCCGTTGCATAGTGGCCAGCGACGGCCGTCGCGGTCGCGTCGTGTGTCTTGTTGTCCTAAAGGGGAATAAGGAAACATCACAAGGAAACATCAGATCTGCAAGGCGTTTGTTTGCAGGCGCACGTACCGCCTCGCCCGAAAACTCTCCGTTCCGACTGTGCCTATCACTGTACGAAACGGGCGAGCGAGGCATCAATACGCGATCGCCATCCGTGTCCACCTCGGCCTCCTCCTCGATCTCGCGAATGACCTCCTCGAGCGCCAACGACGCGCGGCGCATGTGGTCCCGCGGCAGCGCCTTGGCGAGCCTGTTCTCCAACAGCGCGGGGCCTTCGGGGAGCGCACGGGGGGTCGACATGACCGGCGTACGGTCGTTGCCGGAGAGGTCCGAGCTGAGCACACTGTCCTCTGGCGAGGACGGCCTGTCGCCGCGCCTGTGCCTGCTGCTGCTGGCGGTAGAGGAGACGGAGACGGAGGAGAGCGCCCTGCGGCCGCTGGCCCCCCTCGGCGGCTGCTGCGTCGCGCTGCGCATGTAGCTGTAGTCCCTGAACTTGCCGGATCCGAATAAATTATTGCTATACCGCTTGCCCACGGGGGACGAGGTGAGACTTGACTGGGCGGACGCGGAGGTGTTCGTCGAGCGCAGCGACTCGCGGCCGGCGTGGTAGCCCGAGTCGTCGGCCGTGGAGGCATTCGAGCTCGTCGTCGACGCCTTGGCGCGGAGGCGGCCGAGGGTTTCGAGGATCATTTCTTCTTCCTCTTCCGAGACCTGGTTCTCTGCGCCGCGTGCGCGCTGCTCTGCGAACCTGTTGCGGAGGTCCTCAATGGAGACGGCCTCGCCGGTGGAGGAGCGCAGGAGGGTGAAGCGGCGCGTGAGGCTATCAGGGAGCGCACAGAGGGTTCTGATGTTAGCGGACGGATCGTGGGACTGGCGCGCGCCTCCTCCACCCATTGGGCGGGCGGAAACGGCGGTTGTGCGGGAGAAGGGGGGGGGGGGCTTACTCTGGGAGGATGAGGGAGGTGCGAAAGTCGCTGACGGGGGGGAGGGAGGGAAGGGGTTGGCCTATGCGGGAGGAAGACGCGGTGCTGGAGCGCGTCGAGTCGGGGACCTGGCTGCGTCTGGGATCGGACCACTTGCTGTGTTGGCAAAAAGCACAAGGAGAAAGATATTGACGAGCGAGGGATCACAGTGCGAGTGCGTCAGTGTGTGTGTTTGCGTGTATGTGGGGCCAAGACGAGGGAGAGGAGAGGGCGGGGACATACCGGAAGCGATGCATGATTGTTGTGCGGCCTCGCTGTGCACACGTTGGGAGCGCCCCGCAGGCGAAAGGGGAAATTACGAGTTGTCGCGGGGAGGGGCCACGGCCTGGGAGTGAAATGAGGGGCAAGGACAACGTGGAGAACACGAGGAGTTGGAATATAGAACACAACGACGGCTGGCTCAGGTCCCTGCGTCGTCACCGGTGGGGCACGTCAGATGCCCTCGCAAGACACGTGTGCGGTGCGAACGGCGTCGGGCAGTTGGAGGAGATGGGAGTGTAATGGCAGAGAGGAGAACGAGCGTCGACGCGCAGGAGGGCACCGCGGCAGGCACTCCCTCCGCCACAACGAGAATTGCGTTCGGCCTGCCCGAGTGCACCGGCGCCGGCCGGCCATTTCAATTTCGGATAGGGGCAGGTCCCTCGACGCGTCGCAAGCGTACTCAGCTATCGTACACATTTCGTCGATTCCCCGTCACAATTACATACAACTGGAGACATCTGCTAGTACTTCACGACGACACTAACTACACCGGACGCGGTCTGGGGACGCGTTCGGTCACGCCATCGCGTGTCTGAGACCATCGAGTCAGGGCACAGCGGTCGAGAAGCCGCGAGAACACGTCTGCTCACTGCTTCGTCCACTCCTTCGCGGTGGCCAGAAACTTCGCCTTGTCGTCCCGCAATTGCTACCGTCGGCAAGAGAGAGTCTGTGAGCGCACGCACAACGACGCGAAACGAACGTGGACACGGCTCACCGCCGCGATCTCGGGCTCGAATGGATCGTCAGGGCTGGGGTTGTTCACTTTCTCCTTGATGACAGCAAGCACTGCGGGGCGATGACGTCGAATTCGAATGAAGCGCCGCGCAGGTCCGGCACCGCAGATGCACGACCCTGTTAATGCGCCCGAGCGAGATGCACTCGACGATGGATGACATACCTGTGGGCAGCTTGATTGCCGGCTTCCACTGGGGCGCGTAGGAAGAGCACGGGCTCGTGTGACGCCCCGAGAAGACGCGGGCATGAACCGAGGGTGGCTCACCTGATCGCGCAGGATGGGCACGCATATGTGGCCCTCGTCGTTTATTCCAGGGTGGTATATCTTCGTGCTGAACTTGACCTAGCGCAGCGCAAGCGGCAGTGAGTGCGTGAAGGGCGAGGCGCGAAGCGGCGTCCGCACCGCTGGGGCCTTGAAAGGGAAGCTCTCCGAGAGCTCGAGCTTGAAGTGAAAGACGCCGTGCTTGTAGGGACCATCGGACTGTGGGAAGCGGTGGGAAGGAGAGAGAGGCGAAGATCGAGCGATGAACGAGGCAAAGCGAAGGAGCCACTCACCGCCCCGGCGACGGTGCAGTTCCACAGGAAGACGTTGGCGTCGTCTGGCTGAACGGTCACCCCCTGAGAAGACGAAGTGAACGACAGGTCGCGTGGGAGAGGCAGGCGACGCACATCGATTGGGTGGTCGAAGATGTCCTTGAGCTCCTGAGATCGCGCAGATGGGCGAGTGACGACGGCGAGATGAACGAAGAAACGACACCTTGTTGATCCGACTGGGTGGGGGTTGAGAGGAGGGAGGGCGAGAGAGGGGGTGGAGATGCTCACCGTACGGCAGTCATCACGCGATGATGATGAGAGTGGGAGAGAGGAGAGGTTGTGACCGCGCCACTGCAGGCGTGCTGCTTGACGGAGCCACCCATGCTCGCTCGCGGCGCCTCTGCTGTCCCCGACGACGCCGTCCTCCTCCTCGCCCCCGCCGCCGCCGCCCCCTCTCACCATGCCCCGCCCACAAAGAAACGCAAGCACACCGCGTCCGCCACCGTGACCGCCGCCGCCTCCCCCGCGCCCTCCGACCTCGCCACGACCCCGAACCCCACCGACGCCAACGTCGTCCTCCCCTCCTCCTCACACGACCTCCTCTCCCGCCCCCGCCTCTCTATCTCCCGCGCCCCCGTCCTCGTTCCCATCGCCGACGGCTCCCCCTACCACTCCACCGAGCAGCTCGCCACCAACCACCTCGGCTACCGCTACGTCCCCGCCGGCCTTACCCCGCCCGGCTCCCTCGTCCACGTCCGCACCATCGAGAGCGCACCCACCACCGCCCGCGTCAGCTGGGAAGACCGCAGCCCCTCCATCAAAGTCACCGCAGACGGCCTCGGCCTCCTCGGCGACCGCGGCTTCCGCAGCGCCCGCCTCAACGCCCCCGTCCGCGAGGGCAAGTGGTACCTCGAGGTCGCCATCGAGCACGCCGCCGGCGCCCGCACCGATCCCTCCAAGCCCGAGGGCGCCCACGTCCGCCTCGGCTGGGGCCGCCGCGAGGCCCCGCTCAACGCCCCCTGCGGCCTCGACGGCTACAGCTACGCCCTCCGCGACAAGACCGGCGACAAGGTCACCCTCTCCCGCCCGCGCCCGTACGGCCCCGCCCTCCGCTCCGGCGACGTCGTCGGCCTCTACATCTCCCTCCCTCCCCTCCGCGCCCCCGCCGCGAACGACCCGCACGACCCCGCCCACGTCCGCCGCGAGCGCATCGCGATCGAGTTCAAGGGCCAGGAGTACTTCGAGTACCTCGAGTACGCCCAGTCAAAGGAGATGCTCGCCCTCATGGACTTCAGCCGCAAGCCCGCCGGCGACGCAGCCCCGCTGCCCCCCTCCGCCAAAAAATCCGCGACCGTCAAGAACGTCCCCGAGCGCGGCCCCGCCGCGCGCAACCCCAAAACCGCCCCGGAACCCGCGCCGCTCCGCCCGCTCCCGACGCTCCCCGCCTCGCAGATCGCGTTCTTCGTCAACGGCGCCACGCCCGGCGCCGCCTTCCGCGAGCTGTACGACTACCGCCCGCTGCGCGCCGCGCCCGCCGACGAGCGCAAGGCGCGCAAGCGCGCCCGCGAGGGCGCGCGCGAGCACAAGGAGAACGCGTTCGACGACGGCTGCCTCGGGTACTACCCCTTCGTCTCGCTCTTCAACGACGCGCGCGTGCGCATCAACCCCGGGCCCGACTTTGCGTTCCCCCCGCCGCCCGACATCGACGCCGTGCTCGCCGGGGAGGACGCGCCGATCGTGTCCGCGGGTGCGGCACAGCGCACGTGGCGGCCGTTCTGTGAGCGCTACGGCGAGTTCATGGAGGAGCAGTGGGCGCTCGATCGCGAGGAGGAGGAGCAGGCGAAGGAGGTGCTCGCGCAGGAGACTGCGGAGCAGGAACGGCGCGATGCGCAGCGCGAGCGGCGTCGTCTGCAGTCCGAGGCGCGCAAGCGTAAAAAGGAGCCCGCGCCCGCCGCGACCCCCACGTCGACGTCCACGCCAAAGCAAGGCGAGCTCGAGCCAGAGCCGGAGCCAGAGCCAGAGCCAGAGCGGGACGGCAGCGCCCCGGCGACGATGATCACGGAGGGCTCGCGCGTGTTCCCCAGCTCGTCGCTCGCGAGTAGCTTGGGCCTTCTTTCCTCGGCTGCCGTAGACTCTCCCGCGCCCACGGCGTCGAGCGTCGACATCGTCGGCATGCAAAGCGCGTACAACTCGGACTACGGCGACGGAGAAAGAGAGGCGCTCGAAGAAGAGGAGGAAGAGGAGGAGGATGCGGTGGCCGCCGCCCCCGCCGCCGGACCACGAACGCAACAGCAGTCTTATTATTATAACCATACAGGCCCGACGCAGATGCTCGAGGACGATCAGTAGTTGTGTGTGGTTCTTGCTCCTGTCATTGTTTCGCACACGCATCATCCACGTTTGTATTCAACAGTAATTTATGACATCGAGACACTCGACGCAACCGAGGGATGACAGGCTTCACCTATCACGGTATCGAGTGGGTTTGGTCAGACGAGGTAATGTAGAGGTATCCAAATAGTAGATTGTCAGGCACGGGCACGTCACATTAGTCAGTCATAATAAGGCGAGCGAGAGGGGAATAATAACGAGAGGTATAGGTTTCGAGATCGCTACAGTGTGCAGAGAACGGTATGAAATCAGGGGAAAAAATGGGAGGAGAGTCGATAAATAGGCTAGCTAACCGTGCAAAGACGACGAAAGTGAGTGCAGTCAATGACGGTAGGAATGCATGCGTTTTGGACAGCAGAGAAAAACGAGAGGAAGATCCATATAAGAAGGAAGTAAAAAGATAGGGGCTGATTAGAATCATGCACTAGTTTACCGTGGCGTCCACCGCGGAGCCGGCGCCCGTGTGCTGTAACTACACGAAAGAGGAAGCATGAGCACGCGTCTGAAACCCAGACCACACGAGCAATGACGCACCCGACAGTCTCGCCGATGCCCTTCTGCTTCTCGATGCGGATGTCAAAGATCAGGTCGCCGTTGGTCGCGTCGCGCACGATGCTGCACCAGTTCCGTCGACCCATGACGTACTTCGACTTTGAGTTCGACCCATCCGGCTCCTTGTCGAACAGCGGCAGCTGGGGGCATGTGCCGATCGTCAGCTCGGTCTCGGCGCTGGCGAGAGCAGAGCAAGGAAACAGAAGCAGGTCGGCAGACATACCATCGTCTCATCGGTATCCGCGTAATGCATGGTCCGGTGCGTCTTGGTCGAGAGCGCGTTCACCATGGTGAGAACCCCGCCAGGCGGCCTGCAATGACGCAAAGCAATGAGGACATCCATCCAAAGCATCTTAGATTTCAGAAGCACTGACGGTGTGTTCACGATGGCGCCTAGATGGCATTCGCCAGTTGATGTCATTGCCCTGGAGCTGATGAAGAAAACGTGGATACATACTGGTGACAACATTGATCATGTATCGGTGATCAGCAGCGGGTTGGACGTCAGGTGTCTTCTTCTTCTTGAGTGTCTTGAGAACTCCGACTGCAGCACAGTGCACGTCGCCCGAGAGGAAGCTGATACGAATGCGCCGGTGCTGGGCAAACTGCTGCAGCTGCTCGATGAACCAGTTACGCTCAGACTACGGGCGCGACAAACTGAATAAGGGGGCTTTAATAGTGATTCAGAGCACACGAGTTACCTTGTGGTGTCTGGACGTCCAATGATCATTCTGGTCGACGATTCAGTTTGTATGTAAGAAAAAGGGTCCAGAGATGGAGAAATGTAAAGCCGTACCAGATCGTCCAGTAATTCCGCATCCGCGTTGAACTTGTTCACGAATCCTTTCAGACCCAGCGATCCGCTTTTGCCCAGCGAGACCAGAGGATTCAGCTTTGACCCTAGCATCGTCTCAAGGAAGACCATGCGAGGATATGCGATCGGGATACCTAATTTTCAACGTAAGAACACATGTTCAAGTACCAAGTGCAGAGAACAAACCAAGCTGCACAATCAAATGTTCTACGCCGGGGGGTATTGCGTTCAATCTTTGAAATACCTTTTGGTATTCAGTTGGACTGCACACTTGGTCTAATTTTCTCTCTGCCCTGTTGTTGTTGTATGTCTATGTTAAGGGTGTTAGGTGAATCGCGGGGGGGCACCGTACCGGCAATCCAGCATCAACATCCACGCCGTAGGTCCGATGTACGAAAGGAACGTGTGAGACGGGAAGGGAACATACGATCCTTGACCGCCTATGATGAGAGACCTGCTGTAATGGGCCCCCGGTCGGTCGTCCAGGCCATCAACATCAACTGCAGAGGGAAAGTCATGTAAAGCACAATAACGCCGCGAGGGGGAGATAGACAGCGCACCATTGATGAAACACTGGAAAAGCAGGAAGAAAAAATAGCCTCGCGCGCCAATTCTGCCAACGAAACGGTAAGAAAAACACCCAACGTCGCACGCCGAACTGTCCCCTTACGTATTGAAAACCGGGGCTCTCTGCAAGTCATCAGGATCTGTTCGAAGGCAATGATATAAGCAATGTCTATACTAATCAACGGTGTGACTGACAACTTCCAAACCCATCAATCTTTACTCGGATGATCAGCTATTATGGTGACATTCGTGTGAATATATGCTCACCAAGTCTGTGAACATCATCCTGAAATGTCAGCTACTGCTTCATGTTGACAAGCTTGCTCTAAACGTACCGTGATCATCTAACATGAACAACATACCTTTTTAAGTCAAAAGCCTATGTTTGACAGGCAGAAAATATCCTTACCAGCCATATTCATCATAGGTCTATGTCACAAATATCGATTAGATGTTCAGTCGCACACTCTCGTGAAATACGTACATTGAACTGTTGGCCCTTGCGAATGCCCCGCTGCGGAACACATGGCAATAATGGTTGAAGTAAAAACGATCAATCGCCGACAAGATTTCTTGTGTAAGAGGATACTTCTTCTTTTCGTCAGGCTTCGGATGATTCACCCAATCCTGCAGCTCCGGTTCGCGAGTCAAACTGACAGCAGGGCTCGGTAAGGTGTGTAGAAGCTTGCATCACATATAAGCGCTTACCCGTCACAATACAGCTGATCTCCTCCGCCGACAAGGGCATGAAACGGGCGCTCCTTATGCTTTGAAAGAAGGTCTACCCATACCGGATCGTAGCCACTTTGGAACCCCGGCCCGCGAAAGTCGTCAGCATTGACACCAGCGCTGAAACCATTGCACTTTGGTAATAATGTTGAGTAAGACGCTGGCATTCTTTGCAATGACGACGTACTGAGTAAGCTGCCAAACGCATATTCTGATTACGCCCCGGGACATAGAAGTCAAACTCCTGACCATGGTTGACGTGATAGCGAATCCTCATCTCGTGCTCATCCAAGGGGATTTCTATGAGAAATCTCCAAAATGTGTAGGTTCTACGCCAAAGAACAGTCATGAATTACTGCTATCGCAGAAATGACTAGCAAGCACACATACCCTCCATTCCCAACGTAGACATAAATCTCCTGGCCCGGCACAGATCTCTTTTGAGCATGAGGGCCTTTGTACTGCCCGTCAATCGCGGTCGGAGACATATGACTTGCCATGGGATCGGCGGGGTGTGGACCGAGGTCAAACGACCTTCCATGACCATTGCTTGTCCCGTTGTGCGTTCTTTTGGACACCGCCGGGCGATCCGGATCCCATTGAAAAGTGAACATGGGATGTGGTTCATAAATTGAACCAGCGTCAGCGGCTGGTTTGTCGGGCATTGAGCACAAATATCATACTACAAAACATGATACTTACTAACAATGAGAGCAGCGCCCAGCCAGACGCCGCGCTCATCTACCGTGTCATACCGCAGCAGCGGGCCACACATAAACTGTAAATGGGGGTTCATCTTGGCGACTCGAAGAGTTTGAGAGCGCTCGATGGCACTCATGTGAGTGAATTGCGAAGTCATGGACGAAACAGATGGCTGTCTCAATTCCCCGTTGCCCCCGGGGGCTGCAGCAGCCCATGAGGTGGGCGGTAATCCGAGAGGCGAGTGAGCGACATAGTGCGGTGATGGAGGCACGCCCGCTTCGTCTTTTGGAGGCAGAGGGGGACCAGGAGTAGCTGGCCTAACAGCGGGATTGAAGCCACCTATGAAATCCTCGGGTAATGGCAAAACTTGTTCTAATGGCTGGAAGCGACCGTCGGGACCTCTTTGCTGGCCATCCTGTGTGTCCAAATCCCGATGAGCGAGTTGAACAGCCGGCGGTAGTAAACACAACCCACTCCGTGAGCAGCCCTGCGCTGCGCGTGCCATCCTGCATTATCCATAGTGTATCGGGAGCACTACGGATTGAGGAAGTACACCGATCCAGGAAGTGCCAAAAGGCAGAAAAATGAAGGAAGGAAACAAGTACACAGGTAATGAGAACCGCATCAGGTCTTAGGTGATCACATTCTTTAAGCGCTCCTCGGCGTGCTCGACTCGCGACGTCATTCAACCGGATCAATGGTCACTTATACCAAGATCTAGGGTTTCTCAATGAGAGACAAGCCGCAGCATTAATTGAGGCGAGACTGCAGGTATATTTCCCCAAGTAACCAAAGTTGCAGAATTAGAATACGAATTATTAGATAGTTCCGCATGAGCTCGTTGCGTATGTCTTATTGTCATGTATACCTCCTTGATCATCCAACGTGTTCAACAACCGTAGTCACCAACTTTCCTCCCTGGATCAATGTCCTCAACATCTCAGGGACAGGTTTCTCTTCGAACACACCGTCCTCCTCTCCTTCCACCGGTAAACTGACATTGATGCTGCTGCACTTCGCCGTGGTGATCTCCACGCCCAAACAGTCTTTGCTGAGGTAGATTTGACCCGAATCCGTGGAGTCCAGTTGAATTGTGGGCGCCGAGCCGGTGATCTGAAGCGTGAACGATGGTGAATTGGTTACGGACACGGACGCAATGACCGAGCCGACGAGGACAGATGTTTTCGTGCAGTTCACTAAGCGCAGTCAGCAAAGGGTGAATCGCAAACAAGAAACGGGCTCACCAATCGTCACGGCGTTTACCTTGCCCTTAATTACGATAGTCGAATTCTTGCACCCGAACAGGCTCACTATCTGATTCAGCTCGCCATTTTCCACGATCAAGCTCTTCTCATTCTCTTGGTATTCCTATATCCGCGGTATATCAGCCGAGAATTTACCCTGCATGGCTGTCTACTTACAATCACCCACTTGCTACCTTCCAGTGCGAACTTCGACGGTTTCTTACCCATAAGAGCGTGAGGCTTGCTCGGCTTGATTGGCTTTTTTGGAGCTACTTTTTATTCTCGAAAGTTGGAGATAAACCCCATCATAAGGACAAAAACACGCACCTGCCGAAGTTCCTGGGGTGCTAGGCACAGTGCTTCCGCCTCGTAAAGCCGGGTTCTTATGTGTCATTTCATTCTTGTCGACCTTCCGCAGACCCTTCGTCACATCTTCCCCGCGGCTGAGGTCTGCAAAGAGTGCTGCGTGACCGCCAGCTGGTGCACCAGAGTTGGGCGCGGGTATGACTGCAGGTGGCGGAGGTGGTGGAGGCGGAGGACCCCCACCAGCTGACGCTTGATATTGCGATATCGTTATTCCCTGTGCGACTACGTTCAGAAGGCAGAAAGCTTCTGACCCATCGTCCTTACTTTAGCATTCCAAACAAGACCCGTGGTATGGTGTTCCATGATATATTTCTTCAGTTCATCTAGGATTTCCATGTATGCTCTGACCCATTCTACATGCTTGGGATCCCTGGAATGAAATGGTTAGCATGATACATTTGCACAGAAATCATGATTATACAACGCACTTCTCTTTGAAATTTTGAATGATGCGGTTTCCGTAGAATTGGCTGGAGTCTTTGATATCATTGACGAACGGACCTGGTTTATTCTCCTATATCATTCGCAGTCTATCTTTCCAACTCAGTTCTTTCGCAGAATGCGATAGATCACGCACCACAGCGACCCAGCCGATACACGAAGCACCTTCAGATAACATGCTCAGATGATGGACCCAATCCCGCTCTTTGCTGGAGTCTTTGATCTTCGTTATGGATTCGATGTCGGGCTGAAAACCCAAAAGAAGCTCTGCAAACGCATTTGGATCAGGCTTCTTGCAAGCGCCGGCAGTCTTAATCAGTCCATTCAAGGTATTGAACAGATCTCCGGTCTTCTTGGCCTGAATAACAAAAGTCGGGTTGGTTACTTAGATGATAGAGGAATTGATACATGCTGCACACCTGCTCTATGACACTTGGGACTGCAAGGGCGTCTGTTAACTTTATGAACGGCTTGACCTTTCCTTGCATAATCTGTGCCTCGAATGCTATGACACTAAGCGGTTGCTCGACTGGGGCAGGGGGAGGGGGAGGGTGCACTGGTGGTGGACCTGCTGCTGCTGCTGCCGCGGCGCGAGCTTGGGCATTCGGGTCGGGTTCATCGTGTATAACTTGTGCAGTCTGCGAAACGTTGTACACGTCCTCGAGTCGTGAGGCCACGGCCTCAAGCCTGTAAATGGTATGCTCAGTCGTGCATGGGGAAGTTGGCACGAGAGTTATTGGTACCGTTTCAATACGGTTGACAGGTTGTGCAAGCCACTAGACATTGTGTGATGAGAAGCGCAACGATGAGCGACGCGACGCGGACGACGGAACAGGATGTTGCCAGGCATCATGTTTACCGTAATTGGTATGTTTTTCTCACGAACAATTGAACAAAGTCTTTCTGTCCAAAGCAGGCGAGAACCCCAGGGAAAAACATGTGAAAATCTTCATGGTTTGCAAAAGAGATTGCACTTTAAACAAGTAACAGTAGAGCGACTGTAGCGGACGAAATCTAGGCTTTATCATCTCTATCAACTCCCGTCTCCTTCTCCATAGCCTGTTTCTTTGCTTTCTTCCGTCTACGACGCTCTCTTTCAATCTGCTTGGCCTTCTGCAACTCACTTTTCGACAGCCCAGGATTATGAATCTTGTCCAGCTGCACATGTTTATTAGCGGGATGCAAGTATATATTAAATGCATCTCACTTTATCTAATAGAATTCGCCGCGCAAACATGCGATTGAGTTCCAAGGAACGTGTTTCCTGGCAGGAGACGCGAATCCCAGTGGGCTTATGCAGGAGCTGAACATTGTTCTCGGTCTTATTAACAGATTGTCCGCCGGGACCACTACCTAAGTATCAACGATACAATGTAAGACCCATAATGGGTATAAGCGTGACATACAAAGCAGGCGACGCGCACCTCGGACAAACGACTCCTCTAGATCGTCCTCTTTCAAGTCAGGCACATTGCGTTGTTTGTGAGCTTTCTTGAGCTGTGAATAGAACCGTGGAACTGTGGATGCTGAGGAATCGGGAGAAGACGATGGGCTGGTGAGTCAGTGACACCTACATCAATACGGTATATCAACGGGCATTAAGGCTGTCATAGGAGAGCTAACGTACTTCTGCACTTGTTCTCTCTTCCTCTGACTGCGACTAGACAACTCTGGTATGGGCTCCGGACTTTTGATGGAATCATTGTCCGCCAGCTCAGTGTCTTTTGTTAGACGGAGTTCTACACAATACATCAGTATTGCCTTTAGGATGATATGAATCAAGCTTACTCCAGGTCTCCTGCCCGTTCACTGTGGACGGCTCAGCTATCTTCTGAGCTTGCACGATGTTTTTCCGAAGCACATCCGCGACTTCCCGAGCCAGAGTGACATTTTGCTCATAGAGTTGGGTATCCGTCTGTGACCTCCCAGCTAGCGTATCATGACGCATCTTATCCCGAAACGCTAAGCAAACGAGATCCGATTACGAAAAAATGCGATAGGAATACGCCAGCGCATACCTCTGAGCACTCGTTCATCCCCTTCCGCGACAATCAGTATAGAGGGATCGCTACATGTCCAAAGCAAGGCATACCAGAGAATGTAGCTGCCGAAGCACGATATAATGAGCGATAGGCCGAACGAGCAGCAGCTTGGAGTGAAGGTGAGATAGTCATCGTAGGGTTGAGAAAAACGGAAAACAGGAAGTCGGCATTGGCTAACCTGATCGGTTATGTAAGACTCGATACGGGTACTTCCGTGAATTCTTTAGATCTTGCCTGAGATCCAAAGTAGCTCCATACTTCCATGTGCGTTAGTGGGAAAAGAGAGGCTATCAACACCGAGATGATGTGCACTGATCTCAACGCGAGCTGCTAAGTGCGTCAAGGGTGAAGCAAGAGTGAATGATGTCTACTCCAGAGAAGCACTGAGCCTTGTTTGCATGAAGTGAAGCTGAACACAAACATCAAAAGACCAGCGCATTATATAGCCTGTTACTCGAGGGCTCGAACGTTATCAGTGTCGATGTAAAAAGACTGCAGCTAATCTTTTCACAGTATAGTTTAAGCAGTAGGAAGTGCTATTGGATTGAACAGAAAGTGAGGCAAATCACTGATCGACAATTGACATATGGTTCTGCATTTTGGAAATGAATTGTTGAGAAAAGATACCTATCCCGAGTAGGACATATTGTACAATGGAGAGGATAGCATGGCGCATGAGTTCACTTGCTATACTATGTAACACCATGGATCAGAGTGAATTTTATGAGGCCCTGCAATGATAGTAAGGGGTCTGAGGTGGTTCAAAGCTGTTCAGAGATCCTCGGTGCTATGATGGCGGTCAGCGGAGAGCGAAATTTCCATTTTGGGTGGTTGTTTGGCAACAGCCTCTGAATCAAACAACCCAATCAGGCGTGTTTTCCGCGTGGCTGATGAGCTGCGTCGCGACTTTTCGAGCCTGTTCATGCGTGTTCAGGTGTGGCCGTTGTCGAGATGTCGAGACCGATCCTACGTCCTCAGCAAGTGACCGGACAACATAATCTGCCTTATCGATCAGCTCGTACTGCGTATCCTACGTTTCTCTCATTCCAGGCGACACTCAAGTTGCAGGCAGGATGGGCATGGTGTGGGCTTGTCGATGCTTCTAGGTGGGACATGGTAGTGAGATTGGTTGCAAGGTGTGGATGACATATTTGTCTTTACACAAGCTGCCTCAGGCTGAAGACCATCGAATTTTGGCTCTGGCCATGTGTTATTGACCACCCTTCACATCCCGCAGCGACCACGAGATCCGCGCAAATGTGCTCAAGTCTCTCTTGTTGAATACGATTTCACTTCTCTCGATATATGTCTTCGATCTCCTACTGCATCCTCTAGCGAAAGATCAGCCTCAGAAATGGCTACATCGGAATGTGGGGTGGTTCTACCAGGTGCTATGGCTGCTCCCCGTCGTGGGCCTTTCACTCTATCTCAATGTGATTATTACTCTGGCCTCTCCCTTGAACATCTCGATTTAGCTAAATTCGACTCTGCAGACCTCATGGTGCACACTCATAGCTAAACGCACATACACTTTACAACACGGCCGCTCCTCGTCGTATCCAGGTCCGGGAACTTCCCCTTCCCCGAATGCATACATCGCCTTCCTTCATTCGCTGGCGACATCCGCATACCGTAGCGTCATGGTCCTCACAAGTATTATTGTTTCACTTGCACTGAGCTACGTGCCGCTCGTCGGCGGTTCGGCTGAGTTTCTCTTTCTATGCTGGGTGGATGCGTGAGTCTGTGCGCGCTGTGTCCGCGTGTCTGTTCTAATGGTGATGCCCATGGTAGGTACTACTGTTTCGAGTAAGTTTTGTGAGGGCCGAAAACCACGCGTCAGAAACTCACTGCCTTTCTCGTGTAGATTCACATGGATCGCGCGTGGTCTTTCGCTATCTCGGCGAGTACGGCATCTAGAGGAACGTTGGGCGTACTATTTTGCATTCGGTCAGTTTTCTAGTGATCGCTCCGCGCGTCAATATTAATTCATGGTGCCTCAGGTCTTCCATCTGCCGCTCTCTGCATATGGGGAAGCACCCTTGCCAATGCCGCGCTCTTCGCGCTTCTCTTCCCATCCGTCAGTCCGTTTTGACCGTCGTGACTCCGCATATCGGCTGTCTTACACCCCTGTGTTATTTAAAGTTCATCATCATGGCGATGCATGCTAGGCCTGTCCCATATGACCCATACAACCCCGTCCCACCATCGCCGTCACCTGGTTCACAGCAACAGCCCATCCTCCATCCTTCCCCATACATCCCAATTCGGTTCCCCGTCTTCGTACCCGTCATATTCATAAACGACTGCATCGTGCGCATTCTCAGCTTAGGCACGCGAGGTGGGAGATCAAGATTCACCAGCGGAGGGAGCAAGGCGTACGAGACGGCAGAAAGCGTGGAAAAAGGAGAGGGCGGTGATGAAGTGGAGTTACGAGCTACGAATTTTGGTCCATCAAGGGTGGGAATTGGGGGGAGGACAAAGATCCTCGGGGATAGTAGGCGGAAGATAGACTGATCTTTCCTGCGCTGTCGAACAACACATGCCCCTCCCGTGCTCTATATTTTCCATTTATTACAGTAATGACTCACATTCAGACACGCACGGAGCATTTTTTATGATACCACTCAGATCTATACCATAACATAGGCACCTGCCGCATCTTCATATTAAGGTACTGGCTTTCTCTGGACTTTGATTTCTGTGTGATGATACACACGCTCTCGGCACGAACCGAGTAATACAATGGACACACAAGAGCAGTCCGAACATAGCTTGTTTTTTGTCGCCGCTTGAGGACAGCATTCAACCGAACCCTGCCCATTCAACGCTGAGATACGTGACCTTTCTACTCTCCGGATTCCACCCACACAGCAAGTGTGCCTTTTTCGTAGCTGTACCGAGCCTGCCGTGCGCGACAATTTCCATGGGACGCATCGGAGCCGTTGGAGAGCTCTGCACAGTGGCAGCAAAGTGGGAATGGTACCGCAGAGGGTCACCTGTGTGTATCCGCCCGGCGGACGCCAACCAGAGAGCAATCAGCAACGATAAACGAGTCCACCACGCGAGGAAAAGTGGATCATAGAAGACGCACCAGGATACACCAACCAATCTCCACCAAATTTGCTCCCTCCACCCATGTAATACCCCTTTTCCCACAAATCTCGGAACACCTCGCATTTGGCGCGCTCTTCGTCGTTCGAAGGGTAGCTCCAGACCCCGGCCGTCCTCGCAGAGTCTATGGTGTTGTGAACGTGCTCCTCGGGGGCATACCAGCTCAAACTGTCGGACGTCGTGGGTATGGTCACTGTGTACGGGAGGTTGGAGGGCGAGGCGGACGATGGTGCCGGAGATGACGGAGCTGGCACTTGGGTTAGAAGGTTTTGGCCTGCAGATAATTCGGCGTCGATCGGGGAGTTCTGTGCTGCCTGACGTGCGAGCTCCTCAGCCTTTCGCCGCCGCTCTTCACGCTCCTTTCGCTTCCTGATCGCCGTCTCGCTCATCGCCTTGCCCTCCTTCCCTCCCGCTTCCTGCTGCAAGCGAGCGATTTGCAGACGCACTTCTGCCGTAGACTCGGCCTGCCATCTCTCGAGCTGATCATGCGAAGGTGCGTGGTGTGCCTCGGGGTCGTCGACGAGGACTGCAAACTCTGAGAACAGACTTGTTTCGAGGCTGTTGAAATATCCCAAAGACGCTACAGGCGCACCTTTTTCTACGAGGAGTACGACCTCTTCTGGCATCAGGATGAGCGGTAGGCCGAGGAAGACATTTTGTTGGGATAAATGAGGAAGGGTGCCGCCCAGGACGCCGCAGATATGATGTTTTGCGCGAAGTTCCGCGACATCTGTACTAGGTACGGGTGTTATCAAATATTACAGGCTGTGGAACAAACAATGAAGCGCACGGTCAACTTGCCATACAAAGGCGCGGTTGTTTGAGACGTGGATGGGTATTCGGTTGGAGGTGGTCATGAAGAGTCGGTGTCTCAAAAGAGTAGATCTACTGACTCGATGGATGACTCAGCACTAGCGCTCTACACTGTCCCGGGGCCTTGGTTGATCAGTCCGAGGATGGGTCTGTGCGCCTGCAATGAGCTGCAATGTTGTCCAAGCGCTCAAAGTTGCAGCTCAGGTAGCATTTATATATAGAAAGATGCGGTTTCTTTGATTCTTTGAGATTCTCCTCAATCTCTGCGAGAGACGGCGAATCCGTTTTCGGGTCAGTCTATCCCACTCGTGACTACGGTCAGAAGATCTTCACGGGGCCTTACGGTGGTCCTTGGTTTGTCTCCCATATGCGAAAATGTTCAATGTTCGTACCTGGTGTCCACACGAGAAACTGGGTCCGGTGAGGGAAGTCCTGGCCGAAGCGGAAATTCTCAAATCCTTGAACATCACATGGGTGTCTACCCTGGAACCCTGGATAGTGACCTCACTGAAGATGCATGTCTCGAATGTTGGTCTCAAAAGATCAAGGCCGCCTCATCGAGAAGCGTCCGGAAGGGAAATGGTCCCCCGACGATGTCTCGGAACAAAGTGAGCGTTGCCCGCGATCACTTCCATCGTCGCGTTCATGACGGGTGGGTGTTGTTCGACTGCAGCGATAGGAAGAGATGGGGTCAAACGTCGAGAGTGCGAACTTACAATACACAAGCGATTAGGCCTGCCACGGAGACTCCGTATAGGGCGAATTCCCGCCAGCAAGCAGGTAAAATATAACCCCACGAACTTCCTAGCATACTCAACCGCCCTATGTCTATCAGCCAGCCGTGCGAACACCTGTGCAGATCCTCCACCAGCCGCCGCGAACACTCTACGCTGGCAGGGAAAGGACGGCTGTCCTCTACTTAAGGTGTTTCCCGAGCCGTGCGAGGTGATAATTGATCGTCGGCCGCTGCTTTTTAGTCTTGAATGGCTGTACCAGAGCGAAGCAGAACCGTCAAAGCCTCAGCGCTCTCATACAGCAAAGGTTGGGGCAACGGAAGGAACGAGGAGAGCGGCACGCACCGTGGTGCGCATGCACTCGAACAGCGTGGTTGCGGCAGACGCGCATTTATCGACTGACAAGTGGTCCTTCGTCGCAGCCCAGCAGCCCAGCATCTGCGCGAGCTCGGGGGCGCAGAGCGTCGTCGAGGTGTCTGATTGGATTGTAGACACGAGGTGAGGCGAAGCAGGCACAGTGCGAGAGAGTGAGCGACGTAGTTCAGCGCATGGCCAGATTAGAGTATAAAGGAAGGAGAAATAGCGAGGATGAGGCGACGAGACGTTGGCGAGGGGACGCCATAAGATAGAGCCGTCAGCAAGGTCGACGACGACAAAGGCCAGAAGGCCAGCTAAAATCCAACGCACTTTTCTGCGGCCTCACTTTCAAATTTTTGATATGCATCCTGTCCTAGTACCCCGACCTCTCGCCTGAAGCAGCGTCTAACAGATGGGATGAAACAGAGGTGGCGCGGACCTGCGCGGTGGGCGAACAGTATGGGTGCGCTATAAACGGGCAGAAACGTCGGAGGACGGGCCACGTGCTCGGGATGAGCCACGTTGGCGTGCGTGCTACCAGCCCTCCGTCCGCGCCGCCCGGCTGCTCTGGCAGCTTGCGCGCTCGTTTCAACGTCTACTTAATACGCCTATCTCTATCACCGACCCCACATCCTCTGTTTATTCTGGTCGACACAGACATCCTCTTCCTCCTCGCCACTCACTAAGCAGTGTAACTACGTAGTAGATAGATAGACGCGATGGCGGTCCCGCGCTCCCTGAACAAGAACAATTCTGGTACGTCGGCGTCCCTTGGTCCTGCAGGACTGTGGCTTGTTGAAACGAGCTGACGAGTTGTTGCGACCCCGCATGTAGCCGTAAAGCGCATCATGCAGGAGGCGCGCGAGCTCGCTGCCGACCCGAGCACCGACTATGACGCAGCGCCGCTCGAGGTGCGCGCCTTGCTGCATTCTCCCTCGTCATCAACTTCTCAGCTGACCTTGCCTCTTGCTCTCTACCGAACAGGACAACATCTTTGTGCGTGCCCCTTTCCCGTCCCTTGATTTCATGACTTCATTCCATCCTCCCCGCCTACCCCCATTGTCCTCGCGCCCATCGTACGCACACAGGAATGGCACTGCACACTCCGCGGCCCCCCTGGCACCGATTTCGCCGGCGGGCTCTACCACGCCCGCGTCATGCTCCCCGCCGAATACCCCTTCCGCCCACCAAGTATCATGCTCCTCACCCCGAACGGGCGTTTCGAACTAAACACCAAGGTGCGCATCCTGCCTCTTCTGTGCCACTACCCACGGCCCGTCTGCGCCTGCACCTCGCGCCCCGAGTTCTCGCCTTTGTCTCTCTTGGAAAGGGCGTTCGGCTGACGCTGGGACGTGTTTATATGTGTCCAAAAGATCTGCATCAGTTTCACAAACTGTGAGTCGCCAGTTCCTCGGCCTCTCGATCCATGAACCCCAGTTCATCATACATCGCTGACACCTCCACCCACCCAACAGACCACGAGGAACTTTGGCAGCCTGCCTGGGGCGTCCGCACAGGTACGTGCAAAGACCCCACTCTCCGCCTCGCTCGCGCAGCCCACACAGCCTACTATCACACGAATGAAACTGACCCCCGTGACCGCATATAGCGATCATAGGCCTGCAGGGATTTTTCCCGCTCAAGGGGCAGGCAGCCGCCGGGGTCGGCGCGCTCGAAGTACCTGCCGCGGAGCGCAGGCACCTCGCTACGATGTGAGTCCCCTCTCCTCACCTTGGTGCTTTTAATCCCTCTCCTCGCCTATACCTTGTTACCGTCACATCGCGACCGCCGCCATCCCTCGCTACGCCCGTTGCCTACGCACTCCACGCAAAACACGCCCCAAAAACAAAAGCGGGCTCCGCCTCATTTTAATTCTACTTTTTACCCGAGCTCCGATCGCCAGCGAGGCACTTGCCACTTGCCGGGCGCACATGCGCTCTACTACATCTCCCCAATCCGACATCTAAACACGACCCGCCTCGTCGCATCTGAATCTGAGAACTTATTTTTTATGTAAAAAAAAAAGTCCATTGGCTGCTACTGACGCGACTTCTCTTCCTCCCCCGTGTCGCGTCCTGCAGGTCGAGAGAATGGGTGTGCCCGCACTGCAACCGCACGAACCTCGAGATGCTCCCGGACCCGCCCGCTGAGCCCGATGCCGACTCGACCCCTATTCCTGCCCCTGATCCTAGTGCTGCCGCTCCCGCCACCGCCAGCGCTGCATCCGCCGAGAACGCGGATCAAGATGCGTCGGCTAGAGCGTCGGCAGCGCCCGCGGGTCCTGATCCGGAGGCAGGCGCGGCGAGGGAGGCGAGAACGGAGCCGGGAGCGGGAGCTGCAGAAACAGAAACAGAAACAGAAACAAGAACAGAAACAGAAATGACGAAGACGGAAGGAGCGGCGACGGGAAGAGCAACGGGCGCGGAAGCTGGAATGGAAGCCGCGACGCGATCGGAGCAGGCGCCCGCTGGGGCGTCTGCAGGGGCAGAGACAGCGCCCGGCGCAGCGCTGCAGGCAGAGGCCCGCCCGGTCAGGGTAACTGCACATGCTCTTCCGTCTGCTGCGTCGTCGGCGTCGTCGGCGTCTTTGTCTGCGAGCGCCACGCCCGAACGTACATTGACTCCCCTCGCGTCGCGCACCCACACGAGCGCGCCACGGCGGCCGCCGCTCCTGCTCGACACCGCGATCTGCGTGCTGCTCGTGTTGATGTTCGCGCTGATCTGCCGGCGGGTGTTCTGATGACGAGATTCCCGCTGACAGCCCGAGAGGGCGAGATCCGCCGTCGCTGTCGGTCGTGCGGGGCGCGGTTCTCTGTTCGGGCTCCGCGCTGCTCGCGCCCAGGATGAAGCGGAACTGCTCGTCGTTGGAGATTTGCCTTATCGCCTGGAGAGGGGCGGGCCTGTGGCCGCTCTGAGTAAGTGACTAGGTCAGACTGCTCGTTTTTTTGTGTCACATGCCACTCACTATACGGACTACGATACACGCATCTTCTACCACTAAATTGTTCTATTCATACTCGCGCATTTGACTTGTGCTATGCTGTGCTGTGCTGTGCTGTGCTTCTCTTTTCCTATTTCGCCGTTTGTTCGTTCGTTCGTTCGTTCGTTCGGCGGCCTTGCTGCCCTTCTTTGATTGCTCCTTGTAGATTTCCGCTCGTCTGACCGATTCCCGCCTCGAGTTCCCTTTCTCTTCTTTTACTATACTCTCCGCTGCTGTGCCGCCGCGACGTCCGAACGGCGGCCGCGGTCTCGACACGAGCTACGTTAGAGTCGGTGACCGGCAAGGTTGCACATCAGTGTCAGGTCCTGTCTTGCCGATAGAATTTTTTGCATGCATAAAACGACGTGCTAGCGCGCGCGTGGATGGGAGGGCCATGTTTAGGTGGGCATTTGGGCGGTGTGCGCTAAGACGAGAATTGGGCGCGCGCCACACGTATTAGTGCGCCGAGGAGAGAGGGCTCGGAGATGACCGGTCCGGCAGAACGAATTAGGGGACGGGACGGCTGCACTCCAACCCACTCCATACTTGCCTTTTATTCCCCTGCCCTCTCCTCCTCGTCTACATATAACAGCTCCCCGCCCCAGCTTCGCTTGCTTACCCCATCTCCACACATCCAACCTCCCATCCCATCCCATCCACCACCACCACCACCACCACCACCACCACCACCACCACCCACACACACCGCCGCCCTGGCTGCCTCCGAGAGCGCACCAGCCAACATGCACCGCAGCCAGTCCCTCGCTGTCCGTCGTCCGACACGGCCCCCGATGCACCGTGCCCACAGCACAAAGTCCCTCCTCCGCCGTGACGCCCGCGCTGCCCCCGTCCCCGTCCCCGTCCCGCCCTCTCTCGCACACTCCCCGCTCCTCCTCTCCCCACAGAGCATGTTCCGCCGCGCCTACACCGCGTCGTGCCCGTCCCAGCGCGACGAAGAATGGCTCCGCGACACCGTCCCCGTCCCCCCCTCGTCGCTGTCCTCCTCCATCTCCGCCATCTCCCCGTCCTGCTCGCCCGCCCCGTCCTCGTCCTCTCCGACGATGCCCAGCGGCGGGCCCACCCGCGGCGTGCTCGCACGCCGCCTCAGCACGGACGCACACACCCCGCACGGCGCGCCTCCCCAACGACGGCGCATGCCCGGCCGCTGGTGGAGCTCGCCCGACGTCCTCGCGTCGCCCTCACTGCAGCCAGCATCCTCCACAGCTCCCGCACCGCACTCGCCGCCGATCGTCCACTGGCGCATGGCCGCCCTCCTCGCCCACTCCACCTCGCGCACCACATCGGCATCCGTGTCGGCGTCCGCGACGGCACCAGGGCGCGGACCGTGGGCCCACGCGCGGCATGGGCACACCATGTCCGAGGGCGACGCCGCCCGCACTGCGCGGGTCGTGCTGGTGTCGTGACCGCGGCGGGGCTTATCGGCGCTTCGGACGGAGCTCGGGGGGTCTGCAAAAGGAAATGAAAGGAAGGGGGGGAAGGTGATGGGCACGGACGGAAGGGGCGGAGAATGAGATGCGCGTGGGATAGGGGTCAATGCTGAAGGGAAAGAAGGAGCGGCAATGGGCAAGGGAGAGAAAAAGGGGAAGGTGTGTACAAACTGCGGGCAAGGCCGCCGGTGGATTCAGAAGTCGGACGAAGAGGATAAGAACTTGGAGGAGGATCGGCAGTTGGGCAGGCGCGAGGGGATGACTGCCAGTTCCTGGTCGTTGTTTTTTTTTTCTCCTTTCGATATCGCATTCAGTCTCAGTGAGTGTGCACCAATGTCCTGCGCGCAGGTCGTCGTCTGACAACCTTTTCATTTCTGCTAGCTTATTTGCCTGTCTGCCTGCTCGATTGCTCTGCTGCCCTTCTACCCTGATCGCCGTCCCAGGATCTCGCCGATATCCACAGTGCATACACTTGTCTCCGGTCTGCAGCGGCGCGAGGGTCTCTTCCTCTCCGAAACCTCCGAACTTCCGCAACGGGGTGTACGTATCGAGACATCGAACGCACACGTACACGTACACAGCAGTTCGCTAGTAGTTCGCCGCACCGGGCACCTGCCCTGTATCATATGCCTCATCCCTGTCCCTGTCCCCATTCCCTCGACACTCGCCGTCCGCGGTTCACATTTCACTGCTGCGGTCTATGTCCATCCTCGTGCTTGTTCTTATCCCTGTTCTGAGCTGGCCGTCTTTCCCTTTTTCAATCACCTTCCCCATGTCCTTCCCCAACCCGTCCCCTGCCCTTCTCCACTTCTCCACTTCCTCGCTATCTGCCGCTGTCCCTGCCTTGTCTCATTTTCTTTCTCACTCCACTATCTATGTCTGCCTCGGGTTCTCGCGCGTGCATTCGCGGGCCCTGAATCCACTATCAAACATACATGGCACTCCATCCACCAATTCCTCTCTTTGGCATCTCTTTTTTTTTTTCTTTCTGGTCATCTCGCATCCACCACGTTCAAGTTCGCAGTCATAGCAGCAACTCACGTGGAGGAGGCTCACGGGTTTAGGGGTTTACGTCAATCTGGGTTTCGCTCTGTTTTTAGTCCTTAGGGGTTTTCGACTACTGGGAGGGAGCCGTCGATCCATACGCCAATCGCCCGTTGCACGAGTCGCAGACTGTCGCGGGAGATTGCGAACCCGAAGGTCGACTGCATTCGTCAACTCGCGTCGCGTGCAGGGTTCACGTTCACGTCTCTTTACCTACTGCTGGTGCTCAGCTGTACTTTGTCTGAGCGCGCGGCTGGTAGTCGGCCGTTCTTCCAGGTCCTTCGCTTCTTTACTTACTGGGTTTTATGTCTCATGCGCCCTCCCCTTTGTCTTCTATCTTTCGGCCTTCCTCGTTGGGTTTTGGTCTATATTTTTGTTTTTTCGTGGGCTCGGTTTCTTCGGCCGGTCGCAGGCGTCGTGCGCCTGGGTTCCGTCCTCCATTTGTCATCTCCCCTATGCCATCTTCACCTTCATCATCTCTGCCCGCCTGTCCAATCTCTTCATCTTTGCATTCTTATCTCCTCCATGCTCACCCTTTTTCCCCGTTCGATTGCCTTTTTCCATTTACAGCTCCGGATGTATATGCACTGCCGCGCCTGCATTCGCGGATACACATGCCATAGCATGCCATCCTCCCCATAGAGTCGTTGGCTGATGTTGAGGGGGCTTCTCCCGCGGCAGCCGCCTCGCTTGCACCGATCGATCCGGCCTTGTCGATCGCCTCCCGACTCCCGTCTCGCAACGCACCTCCGTCCCCGCTTTCGGCTCTCTCTCCGTTGCCCACCCCCGTTCTCGCCGATCCAGCCAAGAACGCCGCGTTTTTGTGTCTTGTTTCCTGTTTGATCCCACCTTCCATCCGAGACGGCCACGGCGGGCGATGGAGATCGGGCACGGCACGGCAGTGCCACGGCGCAGTGCAACGTGTCCGTGTCTTGTTTCTGGTGCTGGTGCCGGTGCTGGTTCTATTTCCGTCGAGCGCTCGGCTCACTATCGCTGCGACCACGGCTAGCTAGCTGCGACTCGGATCTCGGTCGTGGTTCTCGTATGTACAGCCGTCGACGCGTCCTGCCGCTATCACGTCCTCGCCACTCCACTCCACACCACCCCTCCGCGCCGTCTCCGCCCGCGCACCCCGCGGATTCGCCACCCTGTTTCCACTTTACTTCACTGTATCGCACCCTGTACAGCTCTCACCCCCATCGTGCCGCACGCAGCACTCCTCATCACTTTCCACTACTCCCAAAGCACCCTGCACGCCCCGTGCATCTCTCGATCGCCATCCATCCACCTATACTCGTAGTTATACGCAAAGAAGGTAGTAGTATCTTACTATACTTAGATCTTATCCCTCGCCGCGCCGGGCGGAGCCACTGGCTCCTATCTCCGTCGCCCTTGTTTCTTATTATGCTACTACGCACCTCGCACGCACGGTATCGCCTGGCTGGGCTGGGTGGCTGTCCTGCTGGGTTAAGTCGGCTGCGCTCTACTTACTCGTCTTAGCTTTCTTATAATTAAGATCCGCGCGTCTGCGACGCGTGGGCGTAATCGGAACGAGGCTGCGAGCCCAGCTGGGGCTTTTCTGAGCTTTTTTTTCCGGTCTCGGATCTTGGACGAAGTGATCAAGTGCGGGGCGGTGCATAGCGTGTTCTGAACGTTAAAGTCCTGGGACCTGAATGCCCTTCCCAATGCGAGCCTGCTGCCTCCAACGTGCGGTTTGTTGCAGTTGGCAGTGGGTTGCGAGTCGGAAGAACCTCGGCTGGCATCCAGCCGGCGGTAGCCGCGGCGGTGCGGGCTTGGGGCCGAGGGCACTTGGAACTTTGCAAGACTTTGTAGGACTTTGTAAGTGCTGCAATAGCGCTGCTGGCGTCTGTCCTGGCATTTCAATTTTCCATGCATACAGTAAGAACTGTTCAAACGTGGGATGTTAGTGTAGTGAGCAGGGGATGACCCGATGAGCCCCGTCGTCAATGCATCACTGGCAACCTTTTACTTACCTTTCTACGCAGTGGCCACTGGCCATCCACCACGTTCAGTTTCCCATTATTGGCCGATTCTTTGCGCGTGCGCTTGAGGGGTCTCTCTCTTGTTCTTGCAGTCGCAAAACCATGTGTCGCATGGCTATTCGTTCACGTTTGAGAAGTCGATGGTACACCTCTGGAGGAGTCCAAGGCTTGACATGAACGCATCGGCACGTGCTCACGAAAGTGGCTGAGTCATACTGGCAGGTTCTATGAAATGAGCTATGGTGTGCGACACTCATGGACAATCCATACCGCGCCCAACCATACTCATTGTCATTGTAATTAAGCTCTGATTTCCATGCAGTGAAGCGGTCGAGCCTCGTTGGCACGATATCACGCCAAACTCTAACGAAGAACTAATCGCGCGAGGATGAGTTCCGAAGTCGCAGCGTCGCAGATTCGAGACACCATCCGCCATCTGCAGTCGCCCATCCCAGATCTCCAAACCCTGCAGGCCCTCCTCGCCGCCCCGCTCGACGCCATAGGCCTCTTGCCCCCGCACCACCAGTCTTGTAACACCTCCCCCCTCCCTCCCGGTTCCTTGGTGGTCGCTCGACATCTCCCGCCGCTCCAGCGTGCCCTTCTCGAGCATGTCGTCCCGACATGGGGGCCGGCACTCCAGGAGGCCCAGCTCGAGCCGCTGCTCGAGCAGTATTTCGTCCCGGACGCGTTCTCTTACGCCATCCCTGCGGCGGGAGAGGTCTCCCTGCACGCGTACACGACGCTTCTCTCGCCGCCTCTGACTCCGTACGCCATCGACTTGCTCGCTCGCCTGTCTAGAGCGTATCCTATCGACCGCCTCCATGCCACCGTGTTCTCAGGCCGGCCGTTCGCGGGCGCGGCTGCTCTGCTGGCCTGGGACGACGCTGTGAAGAACGTCCTCTCCGTGCCCGCAAAGGTGGCTAATGCGCTCGGCGGCAGAGGCGATATCCCCCTAGAGCTGGAGCAGGGGCACTACTTCGATAACCTCTGCCTGCGGTCCGAGGCCCTGATGCACTCGCTCGCGCTCGGACAACCCAAAGGTGCGTGCGCGCTCCGACTCGCATCGCGCGGTGCAGGACGCTGACGTCGCCCAGAAAGCATGCCCTCGCTGACATACCTGTTCACCAAACTGGCCAACGTCGGCGCGTTTCCCTCCGCCCCTCCCACTGCGCCTTCCCAACCCTCGTTCTTCCACTCCGCGCTCCCTGCCATCCGCGCGCGGCTGCGCGCCGACGCGGACAGGACGCGGTATTCCGCGCTGTGGTCCGAGCTCTTCGTGTCGCTGCCTTCGTCCCTCACGCTCCAGAGCATCCTGACATCCCTCTTCGGGCACGTGGCCGCTCCGGCTTCTGGTCTTGATGCATCGTCGGCAGCGCGGGGCCTCGTGAAGCGCGAGGCGGGACTCCTGCGGGGCACCGTAGGCGAGCTCGCCAATGATTCGAGTTTGTGGGAGAGCGTGGGCGCGGCGATCCTCAGCAGAGATTGGAGCGAAGGCCATGCAAGAATATTCGCGTGCTGGGCCGCCGGTGGGCAAACGGAGTCCGTGAACGGAGGAGGTGGGCCTTTCTCGTCGACAATCATGTTATGAGTTCACGCCGAGCGGTATCCCGCAGCTCTGGATGCTTTGTTGTCGAAAACACTCGATATGTGGTCTTCTCCGGAGCACATCAAGCATTCGCTGCTGTCCCGCCACCACTGTGAGCTCGTTTCCCGCCATTAAAAACACCGCGACACTCGATATATCGTGTTCCCAGACGTCACGCTTCTCCTCCTGGCGACGATCGCCTACCTCCCACCCGCCTCGGCCGTACTCGCCGACATCGCCTTGTCCCTGCCCTTCATTCGCAGCATCGGCACGTATATCGGGCACCTCGACCCCTCCGTGCGGCGATGCGGCATGCTCGTCGCGGAAGAGGTCGCGCACAAGACCGGGAAGCAGCTCGACTTTGGCGACTGGGAGGGCGACGAGGGCGGTAAGGCGTGGGCGCGGGGTGTGCGCGCGCTGCTCGCTGGAAAAGACGCGGACGCGGACGATCTCCCCGAGGACGCGCAGGCGACAGAGCGCGAGTTGTCCGTCGAGGAGCTGCTCACGGGCGAGATATCCGAGCCGCCAGACGGCGAGTCCGCGCGCCCGTCGGCCTCCGCCTCCGTGCAGCTTGGCGGGTACGACTCGGACGACTCGGTTACGGGGTACGCGTCCCCCGCGTCGTCTTCGCGCACGCCGTCTCCGACACCTTCCGAGCTCGACGAGTACGAGAAGGACCCGACGGTGCGCATGGGGCGCGACAAGATCCAGAGGCCCGTGTACCTCGCGCAGCTGGGCCAGATGATCCGGAACACGAGCGGCTTGAAGAGCGAGCATGAAAATCAGGAGGCGGACAAGATCGAGGTCGCCCTCGCGGTGGCGGAGGAGTTGATCCGTAGAAAGCGAGGGTTTGGGACGGAGTTGGGTGAGTACAGATAGCCGCGTTTTTCAGAACAGAATAAGCGTTGACGGACGTTGTGTCATCGACGACGGTAGAGGAGAACGCAGTCAATCTGATCTATGGGTTCGTTGGATTGCAGGACAACTACGAGATCACCGAATTTGATCGGAAGCGCCAGGCGGCGCTGAACGCACTCGTGGCGTGCAGTCCTCGCAAAGCCGCTCCGTACGTTCACCTCATGCTCTCACATTTCGCACCGGCCGACACAGCTTTCCTCCGTGCAGCGCCGTCATCGAGGAGTTTTTCAAGAACCAGTACTCGACGGATCAGCGCTACGTCATGCTCAACTCCCTCGCCCTCGGCGCGCGCGAGCTCGCAGGCATGCCTCTCCCGCCCACGGCCCCTGTGCACCCCCTCGTCGGCGACCGCGTCGCGTTCCCCTCCAAACGACTCCCGGCGGCCCTGCACGATCGATATCTCACCGCCAGCGACGCCGCGACCGGCCAGGTCCGCGCGCTCCTCCGCTCGATCTCTGCACAGGCAATCGAGAACACAAAAGACGCACACGCGGACCAGATCCCAGAGCTCGCGCGCACGCGCCGTCTGCGCCTTCGCCAAACCCAAAAAGTCACCGAACTATCTCCCCATCCCCACCCCCCTCTCACTCGACCATCCGATCCCAGTGCCCACCACCCGCCGCAGCCGCCGCAGACGACGTTCGCGGACGTCGCCGTCGCGTCCTTCATCTACCCGCTCGTCAACCGCTTCTGGCTGTTCCTCCGGGACGAGCAGACGCGCGAGGAGCGCACTGCGCACCGCGACGCGCTGCACCGCTACCGCGGCGCGGGGACGGGCCTGGTCCTCAACCCGGTCGTGCTCGTCCACTTCCTCGCGACGCTCGGCGTGCTTGTGCACGCCGCGCGCAACGCGCCAGAATGGCCCGCCATCGTCGCGCCCGACGCGCTCGAGCTCGCGCTCACGATCGGCACGCGCCCCGTGTCGCTCGCGCCAGAGGACGACGACAACGACGATGACGACGGAGATGGCGCGGGGCCCGGTGCGCGCGGCGAGAGCAAGGAGGCGCGGGTGCTGGCGACGGCGCTGGAGCTCGCCCTCATCGTCCTCGACGGGTCCCTGGAGATCGACGCGGGGCGGTCCCTGGGGCTGGAGCACACCGCGCTGCTGCTGGCCGTGGGCGAGTGGGCGGGCGCAGTGTTCCAGACGCTGGAGCAGGGCGTGCTGATGCGCGGCGGGGGCGGCGCGGCGGAGGCGCGGCTGAGCAAGGCGGCGGCGGGGGTGGTGATCAAGGTCAGCGAGCTGTCGGACAGGTGGAGGAGGTCCATGATCGATGTGGCGCTGTGATGTAGATGGTCGTATGGAAGGTACGTCGTCAGGAGTGTTTGACAAGTTCCTAGATGTACGGTCGTCGTGTTGTTGCTAGCTATATATGCTGGTCGGTCTTTCCGGTACACGTCAGTCGTCACTTTGAGTGGATCAACACTGCATGAAGTTATTCGGTGGAAGTATACATGCCTGACTCGGACCATGCAAAGTACGAGGGAAGCAATTACACTTGACATTTCGGCGGATACATACAAGAGGCAGGATACAGATATACAGGTCTTCTAGCGAAAGAACGGGGAGGGGGGGTGGGAGGCAAGTCTACATCTAGTACAGCAGCAGATCGAACTTCCGAAAACAAGACAGGGTAATACTATACCGTACACAAGGCGGGCGACAACAGGATGCGGGGGACATAGGGGTACGAAGTAGAGATCGAAAGCAAAATAGAACGAAATAGAACAAATTAGAACGAAGAGTCGTGAACCCCAAAAGGAGGGCGTATCACATGGCCTGCATAATAGGCGTCGCTGCATAGGACGCCTAGACAGACAGACGACAAGCGTTGACGCGCTCAGTATCTGCTGACCAACAACACGTTGAGGCCCGACTGCTTCACCCATCCGAGCGGGACGCGCTTCTTGGGCTGTGTCCTGATCTCGCGGACGAGGCTGCGTCGGCTCGGGTGGAGCACCTTCTGAAGCGCGGCAAAGCCGTCGCCGCGCGCGTTGAGGTAGTCGCGGATGTTGATGAACGCGTGTGATTTAAGGAGGAGCTTCGCCTGGCGCAGGGAGCGCGGGAGTTCAGGGAGGGTGAAGGGAGAGGGCACGGTCTTGGGCGCGACCTTGGGCGCGACCTTGTTGCCCTGGAACTTGGAGAGGAGGCCGAGCTCGATGATGAGCGCGTGCAGGAGCGGGAGCATCGCACCGTTGTTGGTCGGCTTGGGATTCTCGAGGAAGCTGCACAAGGAGATCAGGCGGTCAGGCGAGATGGGTTGTCGATGTGGAAAGCGGGACGTACGAGGTCATGAAGCTGTGCGCCTGGTGGAACGCAGGCGGCTCCCTCTCTTCTCCCATCTCCGAGACGTCATCTACGACGGTACGCTGCCCGAGCCCAAGGCCTTCCGTCGGCTTTGCCTTGACGGCGGCGGCCTTGGCCTTCTTCTTCTTGGACTTGGTCGGACTTGCCGGAGGAGTGGTAGATGCGACGGCTGCTTTCTTCCCAGCTGCACGGTCCTGCGCAGGGGAGGATGGCGGAGAGGGGTAGGCTGCCTGAGCCTTGGTGGGGGTGGCAGTAGCAGCGGCTTTGGCTTTGGCCTTTCCCGTGACGTTCGGGGACTTCTTCGGCGTTTGAGGCGGGGTAGAAGCTGTAGCTTTCTTAGAAGTGGGTTTCGCCTTGGGTTTCGCCTTGGGAATCGCCGGAGTGAGTGAGAGTGAAGCGAAAGCATCCGCGATGACTTGCGGGTCGATGGACGAGGAGGCGACGGGGCGTGTGGGCGGTGGGACGAGGACGCCAGATGATTCCGGGCTGCTTAAGAAGACGAAGTCGTCTGAGCCCGGGGAACCTGGCTGTGCCTGGCTCCTGGGGGGCGAAAAGTCGATTGAGCTGCTCGAGAGACTCCAGACGATCTCGTCGTCTGAAGTCGCCGAATCGTCTGCCCATCTGCCCGACGGAGAGGAGGGGACATCGAACGAAGGTGAATGTGACCGCGCCATGCTGCGATGATGGTGGGGAAGATGAAGGTAAAGCGGCCGAGGATTAATGAAGGGGGGAGATCTTATACGATCTTATCCCTGACTGCGCTAGACTTGAAAGTGCTCCGAGCGCAGCTGGAAGCCGGCGTTGCCAACGAAACGACGATTTAAGCTATGCGTCGCTGAGCAAGGCAGAAAGGCGCCACCAAGCGAGCGTTGCTAGCGAGAAGAGAGGGGAAGGTGGAAGAGAGGGGGGTGGGGAAAGGATGGAAGAGGAGTGAGGTCCAGGGTAGACGATAGAGCAGGCCTCGAGGCCCTCCTCATGCCCTGCCCAACGAGGCTCGCCACTTATCCGGTTCGTTCCCCATTGTCCCGCCGCGATGCCTTCGTGAGAACTCGTTCCAAGAACATCCTCAAATGATGTAGCGTGCTTCCCAATCGCCTCGTTTCGCTGGTTTCAGGACACGGATCAGGCATGTCAGGCAGCACCTCAGTGATCACCAGCCACTTGATACCCTGAAGCAGCAATTCCATTCAACGTGTCTATATATACAAGATATGGTGCTGCCCCCTTGAGAACTGAGTGTGTGTCCCTCGATGTGCGCAGTCGGTATGGATGGAGAAGTGAATGACGAATCTGGCAAGCTCGGGGCCGTCCGGGGTGCTCGGAGCCTCGGACCAGCGCGAAACTCTGGCAGAGAACCCAGACTGACACACTGAGAACAATTAGCGGAAAGCTGCATTTTCACTCTCAACATGGTTCACGCATGGGAGGGGCCGACGCCATACAGGATTCGTCGGGAGATATAGCAGGGAAACCGAAGGGTAACAATCGAGGAGAGACGTCACCGAAACCAATGCAACAGTGATGAGGATGGACATCCAGCCTCTCTTTGCCACGACTTTGAGGTAACAGTCGTGGACCAAGGTATGTCAGATACACGGAGGGGTAGACAGCGTGCATCTAGCAAATTTGCAGAGTTTCCGTCCAGGTAGCTTTGCTTGGCACTGAACGTGTGCGTAGTGAGGAAAATAGATCAAGAGGAAATGCTCGACACGCACGAAGGGGGTGCAGAAGGGTGTAGATTATGTCAGTGAGAGTGTTGACAGGTGATCCGAGGCTCATGTGTTTGAACAAAGTATAGCACGCACTAATGTGTTGCAAATACCGGCTTATTGTTGAGCGCACGGGCCTATGAAAACTCGTAATTAAAACCACGGTTGAGGAGAGGTGTTCATAGACGCCTTGCTTGGACGGTCGACATCTGGAGATTCGGGGTACTAAGTCGAGCTGCCCTCGCGGCAGACCAATTTGACCATATTCTCGCCTTCCAAAATGAATTTACAGATGATAGGAATATACGCACCGCGTCCACATTCCCGTCACGCGCCCCTATGTTACGAAAAGGAACTGAGTTGCGAGCAATGTAACAGGTGCTATAATACATAGTATCGCCCGCTGCGAACGAGGATGTGTCAGTGGTCAGAACGTGGTGCACCAATCCATACAGGGAGGAGCGAACCTCTGTCCTGCCCCTTATTATGAGCAGATTCGCCAGTACACCACGCTATTTCCCTGTCCAGCGACCGCGACCTGCTCGACTTCGACGCCCTTCTTCCACACCTTCCCCCGCGCATCTCTTACCTCGGCCGCTCTTGTCTTCACCAGCATGAACCGATTCCCGTCGGGCAGGGAAAGGGTAGTAGGAACGGCAATGCTTGTGCGCTTTCCGTTGCCCAGCTGATATTCGTAGTTCGTGCCCCAGACGAACAAGTCCAGGCCGCCGCCACCTGGTCCCGACTGCGACAGGGTGTCGAGAGTGAGCAAAACATGTCCGTCAGGAGAGATAGACATCGATTGAGGAGAAATGGGCTGAAGATTGTTTGTCTTCTCAGAGACTAAAAACGAGTATTTGAACCGTCTGACAAGCACCTGAGATACAGAGATAGAATGACGTACATTCCAAAAGGCCGCTGACGCTTTTGGTCCGGGAAGGGGCCCCTTGGGCGTTGCTAAAAAGTGCATTGCCAAGTCCCCCGTACTGACCATTGCCGCACGAGAGTAAATCAATGTTGCGGATGCTCGTACCATCCCTGCGTTCAACCGTGAAAAATGCCAAGTCGCCTCCCGCATGTAGGTCAGTGCATTTTGTGAGCGTGTCTCCTGCTGTGGATCTCCACAGGACGACTTCCGTCGGTACGGTGATGGTGTCGAGCGAAACATTACCGCCCAGGCCAATTTGGCTATGACATCAAGTGAGCACACGGCGCAGTGTCGTGCAGACAAGTTACACACCCATATTCGTTCGCGCCCCAGCCGAGCACCCTGCCGGTAGTCGTCTTTACGTAGCTGCTCCGCCCACCAGCAGCAATTTGATCAACCTGGACGCCCCTAAGAGAAGGAATCTCGAACAGTCGGTCGCAGAACCTGATATTTTGATCGTCCACGCCGACCAAATTTTCTGATATGGGGAGAAGAGGGGCGCTGACCGCAGGAGGCGATGAAGATGAAGACTCGCGCACATGCCGCGATCGATTTCTGTACGGGTCGATGACCGCCTTGGGCGTGAGCTCGACGTGGAGTCGTGAGGAAGGCGGGTGGATAGCAGAAGAGGGGTTTGAGATATCGAACTTGCGGAAACCAAGCTGGCCGTACGTGTTTGCGTTCTTAGTGATCGGGTGTGCGAAGGTGCGTCCAGAAGACGTCAGCGCAAGGAGGTGGTCACGGCCCGCTGCAATCGAGATAAACCTGAGGGCAATCGGTAGTCAGTGACGTGCGCTTAGGATCTGAGCAAAATAGGGTGACTTGCTTCTCTCCCCAGGCGAGCTTGTGTGCTGGTGCGACCTCGGCAAAGTCTATGCTCACATCTTCACCCCACATCCAGCCTGTACCCCACCACGGCGAGCTCGAGGGTGTCGGCGTACCCGGTGATAAGCTTTGTGCAGCTGCTTGGGCAGATAACACGTATAATTTGCCAGACGCTGACAGAGCATAAACGCGCGATTCCGTCACTTGTAAAGACTTGATGTTCTTGATGAAAAAAGAGCGTCACTACCATAAACAGCATTGACATGGATGGAGAGATTTGACCTTTCCCTTCAAGGTCAGCGTCGGCCCCCTATCTTTCGTGCCCGACGCCGATGTCGAAGGTCCAAAGAATCCGTCTCCCCATTGGTACACATCACCTCGAGCATCAACGCACGCCGCATGGCTGGAATGGAGGGCCAAATCACGAAGGGCAGAATTCTCCAGAAAAGATGCAGCGACCGGCGTGCGGATTGAGTCGATTGAAGAGTCTGGTGAAATAATATGCGATCTGTTCAAATACACATCATGAGACACGACACTCCACGGCGCTGACTTGACACTCACTTATTGGAGCCCCATGCCAGAAGTCGAAGCTTCCCATCTGTTTCTTCCACCTTCGGAATCCTAGATGCCTCTTGAAGCGTTTTGGTTTTATCTGCCAGGTCACCAGATGGGACAGCATCATTATGAATCATCAGTGGACGGAGATTGTGCGCTCCGAGCACAGCAGCGGAAACCAGAACAAGCGTTCCCCCGAGCATAGCGGCTGCTGGACGCTTTGACGTCGAACCAAGGGATTTTGAGTACAGCCGGCGCAATGAACGCGCAGTGCTGGCCGGACTGCCATGACGTCTGAGCATTTTTTTGAAGTGACGTGTGGACGGAGAATATGCTTGTGAGCGAGACCTTCTGTACCACGGTTTAACGCTGGGGTGAGCAGTAAAGGGGACAAGTAAACCTTCGACTCAGGACTCAAATGATATCATTGGCCGCGACGTGTAAACGGAATCAAATTTCAAATATCGATCGAGATCTATGCCTTCATGCTTATGTTTTGCCGATGGCGATATTTTATTCTGTTCTGCACTGACAACTGGCACACTGGCACAGATTTGGGTTTAGTTGAAGGATTTTAAATTCCAAAACTCCTTTGAGGCCTTTCATCTATTATCAGCCAAACACCTCTGCAGATGCGTAAGTCGCCGACAGTGAGGAGAACCGGTGACTTGACGATTTAAGAGGTTCCATTGGATGTCACTTTCATACATGTGTAGCTGTGTCGTGAGAAAGCCCATCTCCGGCCAACGGTGAAGTACGATACTCGCGTCGAATGAAAGCGCCGACAAGCCAGAAATGTGGATCCTTTTTCAGTGCATGCTGACCTTGAAATCATACATGGAAAACGATGAGGAAACAGGTGGACGTTACACACGATGCACCGGGATGGGTGAACAGTACGATCTTTGGGATACGATCGGAGTCACATCATGTTTCAGACACATAAAACCCACTTGATAACCCAGAAAGGAATTCGAAGGCGTAGTACGAAAAACAAAAAGGAAACCTCTCCCTCTCGTTCCAAGGGAATGACAAGGGAGCATCCTGAGAAAAAATGGAAGCATAAAACCAACCGCAAGTAGAGGAGCGCTGGAGCTTCGAGCATCTTCATATGTCATCAGCATCCTAGCGAAAACACACTTGACGTAGATATTTCGAGCCCTGCCTGTACGAGCGCGTCGCTTCTGAAACCGAGACAGTGCGGATGGTAGCCGTATTCGAACTGTATCTGCGTCGCGTTATCCGCACATAACGCTCACTCTATGGATCATTTCTGAAGTGTCGATAGTGACCTCGGAAAACATTCCGATGACGTGGATAAGTCACTCAACAGTACAAATGTCCGTAGGCCCTCGGAGGGTCACGTTCCTACCAGTCCGATGGAGTATTTAACCCGGTTGGATCGAAGACATCTATCAGCAGTTCAGCACCGACACTCACACTCATACTCACATCGACATGGCCACCAGGATTGACTTGCCTGACACCCTTGCCAACTGGAGATGGCCCCGCCGTCTCAATCCTCACTACCCTGCAGTCAAGAAAGAGGCTGCAGAATGGGTAGCGAGCTTTGGCGCCTTCACTCCGAAGGCTCAACATGCTTTCGATCTCTGCGACTTCAGTCAGTAACACAATCAGCTAGTCATGCGTCTCCTCACTGACCTAGCAACGACACAGATCTTCTGGCAGCGTTGGCGTACCCAGCAGCAAGCAGGGGTAAGCTTCTGGCGGGAATAAAGCCGTTGATGAGCCGATCATAACTTTGATATTGAACAGATCATCTACGCACCGGCTGCGACCTCATGAACTTGTACCTGGTTTTTGACGAATACTCGGACGTCGAGGACGCTGCCGGAGTCCAGAGGCAAGCTGATAGCATCATGGACGCCCTGAGAAACCCCCACAAGCCCCGCCCCGCTGGTGAATGGGTGGGTGGTGAGATCTTCAGACAGTGAGCTCCCATCTGCGTCAAGCGTCAGGGCCATGCCGGCTAACAGATAGCGGTCAGGTTTTGGGAGCGCGCGATCAAGACTGCGAGCCCTCAGTCCCAGAAGCGCTTCATCAATGCGTTTGGCTTCTACACCCAAGCGATGGTTCAGCAGGCCGCAGATAGGTCACACTCATACATTCGCGACATCGATAGCTACCTGGAAGTGCGGCGCGAAACGGTGGCCGCTAAGCCCGCATTCGCGCTGCTCGAACTTGGCATGGACTTGCCGGACGAGATCATTAGCCATCCAATCATCCAAGACCTGTCCATTTGGGCCATAGACATGCTATCTTTGTCGAATGTAAGGCCATTTTGCCGTCTTGTGAGATCCGACTGGTGTACTCAATTTATCCCAGGACATCGTGTCGTACAATCTCGAGCAAGCGCGCGGAGATGACGAGCATAACATCGTCACGATTGTGATGAATCAGCTCAAGACCGACGTTGTAGGAGCGATGCAATGGGTGAAAGACTACCACGAGGAACTAGAGCGCAAGTTCAACGAGAACTTCGTCAAAGTTCCGCAGTGGGGAGAGCCAATCGACTCGCAGGTTGCTCGATACCTGGACGGGGTAGGGAATTGGGTGCGGGGACACGACCAGTGGGGTTACGAGAGCGAGAGATATTTCGGCACCAAGGGGCTGGAGATCATAAAGACGCGGTGTGTCACATTAATGCCCAAGATCCATGCTGAGAGCATGGGCCCTCAGATCGTCGATGTGTCAATGTTGTAGAATATAGTAGGATGGGAGAGTGTCCTAGACGCCTGTTGATCCCCTAGTTGGTAGAGAAATACCAGCAGATTTATGTAAATCATAATCTGTATCACTCGATGAACAGAAAATATCTGATGTGATTGCGGTACTTGATGGTATTTGACGTAGTTCGACGAACAGGCCGCTGTACGATTAAAAGAGACTTTAGCAGAAAGCTTCCCCAGCTCCAGGGGCCATACCGTCGCTGTGTTCTCGGGCTTGAAGACAACAACGGTGCAGGCCATTGTGCGACCGATCATCGATCAGAAGCTGCGAACATCAGCAGGAAGAAAACTCGTTGTGTCGAGATGCGGAACATGATGCATTCGAAGTGAGTAGCGCTGTGTAGCCACTGGGACCAAACAAGGAGTACACAAAAGCAGGCCTATGAGGTCGGTGGAGGCCAGTGCGCTCCGCCCCCTCGCCCCCCCACAGTTCCTCATAATACGGCGGCCGTCCATTCCACCCCGCCTCTCCTAGGTCCCCGTCATGGGCAATAGTGCCTCATCGTCTGGGCGAGCCGTACAGGACGAGACTGTCGATCTCGGTTTCCTCTACCCGCAGGGAGTGTACTCCGGGTCCAGAGACTGGAACGAGACCGTTGTCGGCCAACTGATCTGTGACCGCAAGCTTGCTCCCTTTTACCGACCACTTGAAGATTACGACCCCTCCTGGGATGAGGACCAGATACTCGCTGCACGAAAAGAACCTCCTGCGGCCGATTCTAGCCACTCCGAGACACCAGCACGCAACGATGTGCCCTCGGCCTCGTCCAAACTGGGACATAACAAGCGGCCTAGCACTGCGAGAGAGGTCCCGCGCTATGTTGAGGCTGCGATATACAGAAATGCCGTCGAATGTCCCATATGTTTCCTCGTACGCTCTTTCTTCCTGACTCGCCCCATATCCATGATGTCACATGACCCTGATCTGTCGCTCGTTACTTCGGTTTCCAGTATTATCCACCGAATATCAATCACTCGCGATGTTGTGATCAGGCTATCTGCACCGAGTGCTTTGTGCAGATCAAGCGCTCCGAACCAACCGTGACCCACCTCGTCTCAGACCCCGCGTGCTGCCCATATTGTGTACAGGAGCATTTTGGAGTGGTATACACGCCCCCTCCATGGCGTACCGGTATAGGGAGTGAGGGATCGGTCAGTTCATGCACAATGATTCCCAATATCGTGCTTCTGACTCGGCGATCTTTCCTGACTCTCCTTCGCGACTCCCCGTCAATTCTCTCTTATACTTGATAGACTTCCCCAATGTGGCCTGACTCTCAGCATTCGTTTGAGTCTGTTACGCCTGACTTGGGGAAGCAGAAACGTCGTAAGAGCTTTGGGCATGATAGCGCAGAAGTCGTCACAACAGGTATGTTGTATCCCTCCTGTCTGACCCACAAGGTATCCGACGTGAACCCTGCCTCCGATCTTTTTCAGATCAAATTCGTCCTGATTGGGAAACCAAGTTGGCCGCCGTACGCGCTGCCGCAGCCCGGCGCGCTAACCGCAGGATCATCATGAGGCAAGTCGGTGACCGGTTAATTCCTGTTGGTATAACCAGCGGTCGCATACACCCCCTGCCGCCAGAGGCTGGTGCTTCGGGAGAGGGTGGTGAGGGCAATGGCGGAGGTCGGCGGTCAAGAAGGCGGCAACAGCAACAGCAGGAATTGAATAGTCTGCTCGGCCATATGGGGCTAGGTGGACAGGATTTGGAAGAGGTGCGTCAATTTTCATCATCGCACACGATGATCGAGGGGAGGTGAGTTGCTCATGATATTGCGTTGTTCAGCTTATGGTCATGGAGGCGATGCGGCTTTCGTTACTTGAGCACGAGGAGCAGCAGCGCAGGCAGCAACGCGAGGCAGCTAACAGTGGAGAGGGTAGCAATGCGCCTGCGCCTGTGCCTGCGCCTGCTGAAGACGCTAGTGCTGCAACTAACGGAGCATCGCCATCTTCGTCTCTTTCTGCAACTCCTACGACCGGCCCCTCGTCTACTTCAAATCCGCCTTCCCCTGATCAAGTATCTCCCTCTGCACCCTCTTCCCCGATCACTGCCTCCCCGACCATTATAACCTCCTCACCCCCACAGAGCCATGTCGACCCTCCTACTATTGCAAGCCAACAAACCGTCTCTTATGATGCAAATAACGCTATAGGGAGCAGCTCGGATGCAGATTGGCGTCGCCGCGAGCACTTGCCCCCTCTCCCGCCTCTTGCACCCCTCATCCCTGATAACGCATCTCCTGTGAGCATGCGTTCCGTTGAGCATACCCACGAAGAAACTCTGGCGGACCGGAAGGGCGCCGGCAGCGTCAGCGTGAGTGCGAACGAGACTTCTGGTAATATAGATCCGTTCGAGGACCCGACTCCGGAGGTGCCGAGCGGAAGCGCTTAGGGATGCTGCTATGGGTGCGGAACGGAGAGGGTGCCCAAAGTCCATGATTTCGGACTCTACTGGCGTACTTGCAGGTGTATTGTATACTCGTCGTGGTTGTTATCGTCAGGCGAGTCAAGGCCATGATTGGACTGTGTAGGCGGATAGGAACTTGTAGATCGTGGGTGGTGATGCGTCGAGCCGTGTCTCTAATGAATGGGCGGGATGGAATTATTGTTTCTTTCATCCTTGTTGTGTTGGCTCGCAAACACTGCTATCTCTACTACTTTTCGAGTAGCACCCAACTTAACATCCCACCCCACCCTCTTTTTCAACCAGCTTCCCTCCACCTCTTCTTTTCCTTTGTAGTTTCTCGCTTTACTGTTGTCTTTGAATGTCTGTTCACGGCTCTTTCTCCTCCATGCTCGCATATGTGCCATGTCCATATCATGCCTTGTAACCTACACTACTCTAGAATTCAATCGCGAGAGCGGAGCTGGCTCTTTCCACGCGCAAACACAGGTCGTATGCAGTCTTCTACCGTGAACAAGACGAGACTGCTGACTACAATCGAGACTGAGGCATTTGACAGGACCCAAACTGTTTGCGATTAATGCAGCATGTACACTATTGAATGATGCGTTTCTATGAGGGGTATGCACTGTGCAATCCGGACGATCGCGCCCTGCAGCGTGGGGCACAGAGGGCCAAATTGGAGCGAAGTTGAATACGCGGGAAGAAAAGAGATGAAAGGACGTGGGCGAAACAAGGGTAGTTGTGCTAATAGTGAATCCGTCAGGCGTGTATCGAGGACCGTCATAACGAGCGTATTTGCTGAGCGAGAGAGGGGCCGATCAGAGAGCGGCGGCGTCGTCGAGCATGATGCCGAGCTGGATGAGCGCGAGGTTGAACTGGTATATGTTGCCCTCGTCGACGCCGGCGATCGGGCCAGCAGTCGCGACACTCGCGTCGGTGATAGACGCGGTGGTGGGCACGACACTCGTCGCCATCGTCGTCGTCGGGGGAGGTGCACTGGACGTGGTCGGCGGTGCGCTGGACGTGGTAGGCGTCGTGCTCGTGCTCGTAGTATGAGGCGCGCTGCTCGTTGTCGGCTCGGGCGGGGGCTGTGTGGTGGTTGTGTGGGGTTTCTTGGACGTCGTCGTCGTAGGCGGGGGAGGCGTGTAGGTCGTCGTAGGCGGGGCGGGCTTGGGCGCTTCGGAGGTCGTGGGTTCGGGTGCAGGCGAAGGCGCGGGTGCGGATCCGAACTCCCAAGAGCCGTAGATCACGCCTGCATCCTCGGAAGCGAAGAAATCAAAAAGACCTTCGGAGAAGTCAAGACCGCCGTAAGGGCAACCGGGGCACTATGGGGAAGGAGATCAACATGGGTTCCCATTTAGGGCTTGAGCGGGGCCAAGAGACCGACCTCGTCGACGATTTGAGCCTGGGTTGTCTTGCCATTCGCAGTGATGGTTATCATGTCAAAGCAATGACCACCACCGGCGTATTGCTGAAAATGCGAAAAAGACGTTCAACGATGATCGGAAATACATCTCGAGGAAAATCACTGACAGCCGAGTTGAGCGCAACGATCTGAGCGACACCATGTAAGCGAGCGCTCACTTCTTTGAAACGAAATCATATGCACTCACGTAGTCACCCGGAGCGTTTGTCTTACCACATGCACCAAGCCCATCCTCGTAGAATGTAAACCGCGCGTTCTCAAACCGCTTGCCCAAATGATGCTCGGGACCCAGGCGTTTGCGAGCGTGATAATTCTTGACGTCGTGCGAACCTGCTGCGACAGGGGGCCAAGACGTGGCCAGGGAGAGCACGACAGCGAGACCAGTGAATGGACGCATGGTGACAGCAAAGGAAGGGTGATTGACGGGGGAATGGACTGAGCGACGGAGGGAAACGGTAAGGACAGAAGGAAGTGTGTAAGGAGCGTCAGCGCTGGGCGCGATGGGGACGAGCGGAGACAACCTGAATGGCTGGACCAGAACAACAAGAGAACGGCACAAATTTCTGGGGTACGCTGACCACCCTCGCCTGCCCCCTCGTGCTCCAGCCCAACCCCCGCTTTACGTAACCGACGCCGTCTCCACCGTCCCGCGCTGCCATCACACACTACTGACGGTTCCGCGATGCGCCCATATGTCGTGGGGTCGTTTGCACAATATCGACGTTATTCGCGCTAGCGGGACCCGACTCGGAGGAATACGGACCAGAACATACATGCCATTCGACGACGTCGGCTTCTTGCTACACAGCAAGATGTCCATCTGCCCATCGTATCAGATTGCACTCTGGGGCATCGGATCTCGAGGAGAGGGCGACAGGAAACACACCTACCTGTCCAAGGCCAAGGGGGACAAAGAGTGCAAGACGCGGAACCAGCCTCATTGGACGCCTCGAGGATGAAACCGGCGTGGACCCCTCACACGAGGTAGGCTGTAGGGCTGATGGCATCACCGCCTACCACAATTATCGACCAGAAAAGACCACTCAGCTGTGCTGCTAGTCTATGTCGACAATCATCAGCCATCCGGCTGTGCTATTATAACAATCGCGAGGTTCGATTCACGAAGACTCACGTATCCATGGCGCTCACACGGTCTCAAGAATGGATACATACCATGCACGTCGCCCGTGGACTTCGAGATCTTGATATTCATGAGCGCAGCGCTTGATCACAAGTGACATGAACGTGTGTACAAGGCTTGTCTTTCAAATTTTGACATGTCTCATCAAGAGCTTTTGTCGTCGTAGGTGGGTTGCCACCTACGCCCACTACGATGGATGGAGGCGTTGAAGATATGAATGATGGAGCACTCCACATCGCCATGATACGACGCGAAAGCCTTTCAATTTTGTAAGCCTAACGACACATACGAGGATCCTAGATGCCGCGGGTCCCGCACTCCCGCATCTACGACGTCAGCAGCTGACGGACCTCATATCGGAGTCACAGTGCATGATGGACAGAAGAGCAGGATAGGTGGGATGTCGACGTCGGCCTCCCCTTCCCACTCCACTAGCGGCGCCTTGCCATGGCAACACCTGCGGGGCACTGCGACATCCATGGAAGACAAGCTGGCATGGCAGAAGACCGGAAGAACACACAATAGAGTTATGTGGAGAACCCCCGTGATAGTCACTCGCGTCGATTCGAATGGTACACCCACCGAAATATCGAGAAGAAGCCTCTGGTGCTGCGCACCGCAATAGTATCAGACTAATGAATTCAATCGCGAAGCTGATTGAGTCGGACAGGCGACGAGGGTGCGTCGTCGGCTGTCTAGTATTCTTCCTGGGATCAGGCTGATTAGCGGCTGGCTACACCGGTATAGTAGCAGAAGATGTCGCCGAATATCGTTGGAGTCTCATAAGGCGGAACATTTTGGGGGCTTGTACCGCAAGGCCACCGTAAACCAGATACGTCAATTGTTCTACATAAGAACACGTCGTCAATCATATGTACGCCTACCAAGCGCTTACTTACTCACTTTGGCCACAGTAGCCGCTTGTAATCAAAGATTCTTTCATTTTATAAGATACCGAAGCAGCGGTCACTAGATCTTACTATAATGAAGCGTCCTAGAAGGCCTCAAAGTTCACATGAGGAGAAACGCTGGTCGAGGATTGGTCGCGAACGCACCTCTACGCCTTCGGGGAAGCATTGAAGAAGTTCATGACAACAGAACTCGCATAGAACTCGCATAGAACGCACCCCGAATCCAATCGTGATGATCCTGGGCCCGCCAATTTAATCGACGCGTGACATCGGTCGAGAGATCTACGCTGGTCGAAGGCGCGCAGCGGCTTCTGTGCGCACCCAAGAACGGAGCGAGAGTCCAGGAAGCCGACGCTAAACCGGTTTGGGGTAACCCAATACAGCGCCAGACCCGACGGCCATGAGCGAACGTGAACTTGAACGCAGGTAACGCGCAGCACGGTCGACGCCCATGTAAAACATGAGGTCGGTTTAGAGCGACGCGTTTGGTTTGGCACTGGTGCGCGGCGAAAGAGGGGCCAGCCAGGGTCAGCTGCGGCGCGTCTAAAATGTCGGAAGTGAGGGATGTACGTGTACGTGTACGCAGCCAATCGGTCAAGACGCACCTGCGACGTGGCCGGCGAACATACCCACACTAGTTCAGATTAGCCTACTAGCATAGTATCCGCGTCTCGCAGCGGACGACGTCTCCGAAACACGGCTGCCAGGATGAAGAGCGTCGTCGCGTACGAAACGGTCGACTCAGTAAATCTTAGTGCTCACCTTTCCTATTGAGAAGGCAAGCGAGGGCTAGCACGTATCAGTACTTAGAAGGACCGTCGAAGCCCACACATAAGTAGCAGCACTTCTAGGCCAGCTCGGGAGGGCGCTGAACCCGGCGGCATGGCAGAGAACCCGACAGCCTACTACAATCGCCAAAATCTCCGAAGTGCCGTACACCGAGCAGCCCCGAGCCCACATCCCCAGTCAAGAAATTACATGGAAGCTCCTCCACAGTGCGAGACAGTGCAGGATCCTCCGCGCCTGTAGTATGTCGCACGCCTGTCCTCAGACGATCGAAGCGCTTCGTCAACCCACCACACGCCGATTTGGGGGCGACACAGGACGAGTGTGAAGCGAGGCGAGGACGTCGGGTTCTGGACGTCGTAAGATCTCGCGAACGGGCCGTCGAAAAAGCGAGAGCGATCGTGGCTTCTCTGCAGTTGTCCGCTCTCTCTATCTACCAGGGAGAGCCGTCTTCGATCGCGTCGGGCTTCGCCAAGACGCCCTCGACGGCATCCAAAAAGCCAAGCCAAGCCAGACGTCGGTCGTCCGCCAGTTAATTCGAGTCGAGTCGAGTCGAGTGGAAGCTTCGAAAACGGATTCTGCCAGACTCTAGCCATCTCCCCGACTATTCTGCGGGCGCCCATACCGCGCCCTCGCGCGTTCGGTCCTGCCACGCCGTCCATGCCTTGCCTAATCCTGATCTATCCTGATTCCTCGTGTCGTCTCGCCGTCCTGCGGCACCAGGCGGCACCTCAGATCACGGCGTCGTCGATAATCGGGGCTGCCAAGTCCAAGTGTGTCCAGATCTACGACCCTCCGACCTTGCCGAGCGCCCACAGGTCTCAGTGCGCGCGGAGCGGCAGGCCGCATGAAAAACAAAAGCGAAAGCGAAAAACAAAAAGCAGAACTCAAAATCAAGATCTGCTCCGTGGGCGCTTCGGCGCTTAACAGGCGATCGTGCACATGCCGCGCCGCGCCGCCGCGGTACCGTCTGGTACCGCCAGCGCCTGCTAACGAACTCAATAACTTACTAATCGCAGCTAGCAGCTGCTAAGCCGCCAGTAGCACGCAAAGCTGCTTGCCATTAGCGCGTGTCCCACCGCGTGTCCACCTAAAAATGACGCACCTTGCCGCTGCGCTGTTCGATGTCTGTGAAACATGCGCATTGCGGATCGATCAACGTGGACTCGGACAGTCAGGCGAAACAAAAAAAAATGGGGAAGCAAGTAGCAGCAATGGAACAAGCTGGAACAAGACTGTCGTTTCGGATCCTCGCGCGCGGCCGCTCGAGCACTCCGAATATAATAACGTGCATGCGTGCCCGTGGCCCCGAATCCCGATCGCGTGTGGAAGCTGGAAGGCTCGAAAAAAGAAAAAAAAGGCGCCCGAAAACAAATGCCTGCCGCGCCAATGCCGTGCCGCGCCGCGAGCGACGAGTTGGATATTGATTAAATTGATTATCGAGGGTGTCCGAGAGCGGAAGAACACCAGCTTCCTCGTTCCAGTAGCAAGGGGCAAGCAGAGAGAGACTTAGAGAGAGACGCTAATAATCAGTAAACGGACCCGTCGCGATCGACTGGCAACTCTCTGCCAGTACTCCGCCACTTCTCCGCCTTCCGTCGCGGAAACTTGCGCACGGCGCCCGCGCCATCCCGCGCCATCCCACCACTCCAGTATCCCACCCCACCCCAGCCGACCGTCGGTCCCGAGCAACACCCGCTGAGCTGACCCCAATAGCTGTCCTCGATAACGCCCGAGCCGACGCAAATTCGCGATCGGTCGGCTGGCTGAACACGCTGAACCAAGCTGAACCAAGCTGGGCCGGCTGCGCCAGCTGCGCCAGCCAGCGCTGGGCGCGACCCAATCGGCACCGCACCGCACCGCACCGCACCGCGCGCGGGCGAGGCCCGGCGATCCATCTTTGCGGGGAAATCGCACAGAAGGACAGGAGACCCGCGCATGTGCGCGATCCGCCCGGCTTTCGTTCAGCACCCGCACCCACCAGTCTGGGTGTGCGAAGCGGATGGACATGGTCAAGAGGCCTGTTTGCTTGTTCGAAATCATTAATATATCGAGGCGAGACGTAAAAGGCCAGGACGTCGTCGGCGTGGAGAGGCGCCGTTCGTTCAACTATTATGTAGCATGTTATGTGTGTATGTACCGGCGGTGCATCAGATATCGCATGCGCGAAGCACGAAAAGGTTAAAAAAAGATAGAGCAGTCCAGCCGTCCGCCCCGCCGAATCAAATCGAGAAAGAGCCGCACCCGAGCCCAGCGCCGTCGCACGCTCATGATCGGCGATGACTCGCTCGCTTGGACGACCGACCGCCCCGTCCGTCTTCACCGCCCGACCCGCCACTTGCACAGGCTCAGCGCTCAGCTCCTGGACCTGCTGCGGCTCCTCTCGCGGGGCACGACGTCGAACCCGCTCTGGCCGAGGTCCGCGGGCAGCGCCGCGGTCTCGTCGAGCGCCTCCCGGCGCTCTTCCTCAGTCTCGGGGGCGAGCAGGGCTTCGGTGACGGTCTCGTCCGAGTCCGAGGGGGCGCGCGCGGTTGCGGGCGCAGGGCGCCAGAGGAAGCGCGGGGGATTGACGAGGTTGTTGAACAGGAACTGATAGCGCACGCGTCAACGATGATTTTGAGCGGGCGAAAGATGAAAAACTCACGGTTCCGTACACCAGGAGCCCGAAGCCGAGGACTTGCACGAGGGAGATGGGCCATACGAGCACTTCCCATCCCAGGCCGAGGCTCACGATCCAGATGGCGAGCGTGCGACAGGTGTCTGTCAGGCTGCGCGCGGTCGCGCTGACGTGCCGTGTCACGCTCAGCCCGAAGAAGTTGAACAGCGAGATGCTGACGGCGATCACGAGGCCGGAGTAAAGCACAGAGGGAGTGTCGACGAGCTGGTGCCATCCCCGGGGAAGGTCGAACCACGGCGCAGCAGGGGAATCGGCGGGGATGGTGATGAGGGGGAGAATCGGAAGGAGGAGGAAGATGGAGAGCGTGCCGAAGAGACCCTCGTACCCAACGGCCAGGAGAGGTGGGACGGCATACCTGGAGAGAATCTTCTCTTCGACGACGAATTGAGTTGCAGTGCTATATTCATGGGAGGCGCCATTAAGACCTGCTGATAGATGGCGGTAACCGTGTGTACTGGATGGGGACTTACAAGATCTGGGCGAATAGAATGAAGAAGACGCCTGGAGACGGAGTTCAGTCGCGAGGCTCTGCGGATGATGCTGACGCGAGAGTTACCTATCAGAACTCTGGTTGCCTCTGGCTGTTCGATCGGCTCTGCAACCGGGCCGTCACTCGGGGCGGTGGCGTTCAGAAGCGAGGTCACGGTCTCGTGAAGGGAGTCCTTAATGAGGGAGCCGCTGAAGCCGACGAGCGAGACGCCGGCCATAACGGTAATGAGAGAAATCCATCTAGACCGATTCTGTGAGCAGGATTCACTCGCGGGGTGGCAGGGAGGATGCGCACTGGTAGAGCCACAGGCGGCGATGGAGAAAGAGGACGGAGAGGATGCCGACGAAGAGCACGAGAGCTCCACGGGTCATCTGGTAGATGGATACAGGAGTGTAAAGGAGACCGATGTTCATCAACTGGAGGTGAGATCACGTTGCGACGTAAGTGACGGTGTTTCGGATCGCGATCAACAGGTATGGAGATAAAAGAAGATGGGAATAGATTGAACGTGCGGAGAGTGAGAGCGAAGTCTAATTTTGGCGTGCAGTACCGAACGCGACATAGTGTATGACGAAGGAGGAGAAGAGGAAAGGGACGGACCGTGGTGCCGGTGAGGTCGCAGAAGGCTGGAAGCCATAAGAGGAGGATACGCCAACCGGAAAGCTGCGGGGGCGGAAGCTTGGAGAAGGAGCCTGCCAGCTCAGGCTCGGAGGGTTGATCTGTCGGTGGCGTTGGAATGATGCTATCTTGGGGATCTGCATCAGGGGGTAGACGGACGGAGGAAGAGCGGCGAGATGCGATCCAGGCGTAGAGCACGGGGAGGAAACCTGAATGCTCTGTGAGTGGGAGAGGGCGGTGAGGACAGCGAGCCGGGATGGGACATACAGAGCATCTCTCCGACTGGGACGGGGAGGGAGGTGAGCTGAGAAGGGGAGGGGACGGGAAAGGGGACGGACGGAACATTTGTAGGGTCTGCCAGACGGGCTGCTCGTAGAGGACGTGATGCCTGGAGATTGGATCGTCGCAGTTCTCGACACATTGCATGTCCTGGAAGGAGGGTGAGCCGGCGGGGACAGGAACGAGAGGCCAGCGCACATGCCTGGTACTTGGACCATAGGGAGTTGGATGACCCCTGTGGGAGAAGCGTGAGCGCGGGGGACGGTGGGGGGATGGACGGTCGGTCGGTGGGGACGCACGGTGAGGATCATGCCCGCTATGAGGACGGGGACGTAGAGGGCGGACGGCATGGCTGTGGGTGCCGGGACTGGGGGCAGAGAGGAAGAAGGGAGGGAGTGCTGACGTCAGCGGGGAGGCTTGTTAGGAGACGGAGGATTGGTGCAGGAGATCGGTCTGTATATAAGAACGCGCCATGCTTCTCCTCCTCCTCCCCCCCGTGCCCCCATGGTCGTCCTCCTCCTCACGTCCCCCCACGGCAACTCGGGCTCTCGCTATTTCCCCTTCCACGGCTATCTCGGCCTCACCCCCCTCACTGTCCAAGGCGGTCCGTCCCTCTCCCCCCCCCGTCCCCGTCCCCGTCCCCGCTCACCGTTTCTCCGACAGTCGTCCGTACAAAGCTCGACCCAGACGGCAAGCCCCTCCAGGCAAAATCCCTCATCGTCGCCGTCCGCTGCTACGAGGCACGCACAGGCCGCCGCGGCACAACACACTCAAGCCTCCTCGCCGAGTACTCCACCGTCCTCTGGCACGCCCCCGCCACCGCCGCCACCGCCCCCCTCGCTGACTTCGAGCACGCTTTCCGCATCACAATCCCCCGCGATGCCCCCGGCTTCAGCACCGCGTATTTCCAGGACTACCGCTTGTTTTGGCGCGTAGAAGCAGGTCCGTCCATCCTATCTCAATTGTCCTCTCCTCGACCCGCCATCTTAATCATCTTGCCCAGTCATCTCCCATGCCCACGTCATGGGCATCGGCTCTCGGCTCGTCAAGTCCGCCGAACTTCCCTTTGTTCGCTACGACGTCCCTTCCTCAATCCCGCTGCCCTCACTGCCCTCCCCCGACCTTCTCCCTCACCAAACCACCAAATCCCGCGCACCCGCCATCCGCTACTACGTCTCCGTCCCCACCGACGCCGTCGGCCCCCACGACATCCTCTCCGTCGGCGTCTTCCTCCGCCCCCTCGACCCGTCCGTCTCCGTCCGTTCGGCCAGCCTCACCGTCGAGCGCCGCATCGAGCTCCGAGAAAACTCCCCCGCTTCCCCCACCTCCGCCTCCACGCTGTCCCCGCCGAATATTTCCCCCACATCCTCGCGAGAAGCCTTCCCCTCGCTATCGCGTACGCCGTCGGCCACCTCCATCAGCCCTCCGCCATCCCCGATCATGCCCGCGTCCGGCAGCACGTTTACCCTCGACACCATCAGCACCGCGCAGACGGCCACGAGCGCAAATTCCCAGCTTCCGCTCCTCGTGCGCGATCGGGCACGGGAGCAAGACCATCCCGCTTCCCCGCCCTCGAGCTGGACCGGCGCCCCGTACAAGGTGATCAACAACACCGTCGCGGGCACCGAGAACGTGTCGGGCCGCTTCGTGCGCGACGTGCAGACAGGCGTCTGGAGCAGGACCCTGACGATGCAGTGGCCCGCATCGCGCAGCTCGGCGCGGTGGGCGTTGGGCGAGACGATGGCGACCGAGCTGGTGCGGGTGCGGTTTTTTGTAAAGGTCAAGGTGCGCCCTCTCCGCTCCCGCGTTCGCCTCCCTCGAAAGCTCATCTAGCCGCCGCGGGGCACGTTAGATCATCGTATCTTCGCCTTCCGGAACAGACTCTATCGAGCTGCTCGAACAGCCGCTCACGGTCATCTCCACCAACGCGTCCGAGCGCCAGCTCGCGATCACCAAATACAACGCCTCCCAGGCCGCCTCGAGCTCCCGCAGCTCCTCAAAATCCAAGTCCCCCCATCGGACCGCGCCGCCCTCGCCTGTCCCGTCCGTCCCGCCACTAGAATCGATGCCGGTGCCGCACTCCGCGTCGTCCGGGGGCGATCGAAGGGCGCGCGAGGGGGACGAGGGCGAGAAGCAGCGGGAGGGCAAGCGGCAGCGGGAATCGCGCGCGCCGAAGCGGCCGCACACGAGCGCTGGGCCGCGGGATCGGGGGAAGGGGGGCGCGGGCGGGATGCTGGGCGCGGGCGGCGGCGGCGTGTGGCGGCCGGGGACGGCGGCGGCGGGGGGTCTGGTGAGCAAGGAGGGGCTGGGCGGGGGTCTGGGGATCGGTGCGGTGGTGGGGATCGGCGGCGTGCACACGGTGAGGATCAACACCGTGACGGGCGTGACAACGACGCACGCGCAGGCGAGCGGCGGCGCGGCGTCCCCGGACCACGTCCGCGCGTGGGAGGAGGAGCTGGCGCGGATCGAGGCCCAGAGTCGCCGGAGCAGCATCGGCATCCTCTCCCGCCCAAAAATTCCATCCCTCGCGAAGAGCGCCCGCCGCTTCTATGGCGAGGTCCTCGGCAGGTAGCCCTTCGCGACCCTCTCCCGTATCATTTCCGTCCATCCGCTCTCCCTATCTGCTCGTCGCTTTCGTCTCCCGCCCTCGCTTGTATGGATATTCGCATCACCACCATCACCACCACCACCACCACCACCATCATCATCATCGACCCCACCCTCATCAGCGCATCCCCCTTTTCCCGAGCATCATCATTCGCACCTCGATATACAACTATTCCTTACATTATTGGTGATAGCCGCTCCCTCCACCCCTCCATACCCCTCGTCCAAATCAAGCCGAAGACCCACTGTATCATATATACCCCGTGGAGTGTTTACCCCCTCGTTATCCACAGGCTCCTTGTTTTTTTGTTGTTGTTGTTGTCCTCGTTCCCCCGTTCGTTCGATCCTCTTGGTGGGCCACATCTCTCGAGCAATAATGCAGCGCGCGACGGCGTGTAGATAGTTCTGTACATTCGTTACCCCGAGCAGCCGCCCCGCGAAGCACTGTAATGCCAAAGCACTCTCTCGCTCTGTCTGTCCGTCCGTCCGTCCGTCCGTGCTACAGTACAAGTGATCTCCGTTCTCGCACGCACGCCCCGCGAAGCCATCCCCGCCTCGTGGTCGAAGGCGCGAGCGAGAGGCGACATCGAATCTCCTCGGACACGACGCGATCGAACGGACGTCATTTGAGAGTGACGCCCAACCCGATCGACCGACCGCGTGCATTGCACGTACGTACAGACAGCCGCCATGTACGCGACTGAGACCTCCTGCCAGTGCGCGAGGCCGAGTGCGCGTCTCAGTCTCACGAGACAGCGCGTCCCCGCCACCTGCCAGATCGCCCCCTATCTCGATCCCCCGACTGGACAGACGACACGCACAGCGCACCATATAAGTACGCAAACCCCGGTGGTGCCGCCTTTCGCGCGCGCCCGCGCCCGTTCCGAGGACGGCCACACTGCATCAGCTGCCGCGGTCCATCCGCACGCACACACGCACGCACGCACGCACGCACGCAGCGGCAAACGCAGTGCCACTGGAGCAGTGTCGGTCTGTGCGCGGCACCCAGAAGCAGCGTCACCGGGGGCGGGGAGGGGCGAAGCGCGCGCGCTAGCGCGACGTCTCGGGCACAGCGGGGACGAAAGGAGATCGGGAATCGCGGATGCGCGGGGGGGCGCTGCGCGCTGCGGCTTTCCGGCGTGGGCGCGGGGGCACCTGGCCAGGAGGGCTTGATCAGAGGGCTCTCGTTCGGCGCGCGCCGGCGTGCGGGGCCCGACGATGCGGGACGGGCGAGGAGCCCCCGCGCGTGGAGGAATGGCTTGGCTGGGCTGGGACGGGGGCACGCCCGGAGAGGCGCCGCGGGAAGGCAGGCGGTCTGTGCACAAGAACAGCGGGGCCAGAAGCTGGGGCGCATATCACATGAATCCGCGCTCGAGGCCTCGAGGCCGTGCGAAGCAGCCTCGGGTCTGCAGGAGTCGGAAATAGACTCGCGGGCTGGGGCGCGACGTCAGCGCGACGCGCGAAGAATGGCTGCGTGCGCGCCCGGACAGAAACGTGCATCGGTGCTGAATGCTGGATGTCGTGACCGTGGCGCAAGGCGGGTGCACGCTAGCGCGAAACGAGGACGGGAACGCACAGAGAGAAAGCATCCTCGACCTCACTTCGTACGTCTCCGCTCAGCCCGGCGACGGCGTGTCCTGATCTCCGAATTGAATCCGCCGCACAGGAGTTCTGTGGGCGCTGCGATAGCTATCTGAACCGATGCTGGCCAGACTCGGAACAAGACGAGACAAGGCCGAGTCTAACCTCTCCAGACCACGCATAGAGATAGCCCAGTGCGGTGCCGGTGCCCGCTTCGGCGACGCTCGACTATCGCTGTTCATTCAATGGACAGCCTGGTGCGGGCACCCCAGATCCACAGCCACTACACCAGCGTGTGTGTACTTCGTTCCACAGGATCTTCCATGCGGGGAAGCCTTTGAGATCGCGTGGACGAGTCGGCGCTTAGGATGACGACGCGTCTGCGCGACAGGATGTCCCCCAGATGCGCTGGGCTCATGATGAGAAAGCATAGGCGCTCGTCGTGTTGGCTGACTACTGTGCGCGCGGATGCGCTGGGGCTAAATCTTCTATCCTACCACACCCGAAAGGCCCGCGTAGGGAAGCGCCATGATGTCAGAGGAGGATACTAAGCACCCAGGGTCACAATAGAGTGGAAAAGTTCGAAGAGAAACACTCGCTGGCAGGGGGCGGAACACTTGAAACAAGGTTCCCTGCATCTTGAAAGAAGTTGCATCGCAGCTGGTGCACCACGCACATGAATGTGTGTCGCCAGATCAGGCGCCGATGGAGCCAAGCCGTGCGTGCGTCCTGCTGCACTTTCTAGGCTTGACTTTTTTGCGTCAATTCGTTGAGGGTGGCGAGAGATCTTCTTTAATACGGGAGCTTGCACAGAAAAGAATCATTGGCAAAGATGAGTTCATGCTGGAGAGATGGGCGGCAAATGCCGTATCCGAGGCCGAATACCAGGGTCGACGTCATTTCATCTGACGCGGCATCCCACCACCACACCTCCTCAGGAGTCCCAGATCCCTTTACGTTTTCGTCCGAACCCTTCTCGACGAATCACACAACGCAAGCCCAAACATGTCCGCAAGAATGCCTTGGTTGAAGCTCACGACAGTCACCGTCGGAAGTACGCAGCCTCTTTCCTTGTGATCGTTTTGTATGACATCGTGGTAATCCCCTGCCCGCCCCCCTCGCACCACCCTTACCGCCTCACAATCGACCTTCGACTCGGATGCGATGTCACAATTGGAATGATGCGCGCGCCGGAAAGTTATGGGACTGGGGTACTTGTTGATGCGGAGTGAGTGAGACCTGTCACTGCTCCCCCCAAAGGCAGCTACCGATGATTGTTCCGTGGGATGTAGCCACTGTCCCAACACCTGAACAGACATACAATGTAAGCCGTGTTTCCTCGCGTGTGACCTGTCGGAAATCCCTCAGCTTCTCCTGTATTCACGACCACTCATTGCCATTGCAGGCTCTATCACCGGACTTGAGACGGAAAGTCGACGCAAATCGCCAAGCTAGGCTTGCTTTGCAGCACGGCACCCAACGCCAACAAAGTGCACAGGTCCGTCTTTTCGTCGTGGCATACGCGCACGCCGCCCCCGATTTTCCGGCGTCCAACCGCGTCATTCAATGCTCTACTGCCGTGGCTGACCGCCCCGTCCATCTCTGTCCAGCTGGAGGATCCCGACGCGGCAAAACCTCTCTGGACAGACCAGCCCACCAAATCCCGGTAAAAGTGGGCTTTCGCCGCCGAGATCCAGCGTCTGCGATCCCTTCCTGCCTGTCGTTTCGCTGTCGTATTTCCCTCCATGCGACATGTATCGTACCCTTAATGGATGGTTTGGCTCCGTTTCTCATGGATCCTCTTCTTGAGCGATTCATGCGCCCGCTGTATCTGTATCTATTGAAAGTGTCAGCTTCCGCGGTATCGTAGGTTTGATGCGTTCGTCGTTGGTCAGTCGACAGAGCCTGACCCGCTATAGACTGGAAGAGGGATACCCTTTCCTTGTTTTGACTGAGGTGTCGGGCTGTGAACCACTCGCGAAGTCGTTTTGCAAGCCTATATTGGCTCAGGGGTAGAACGGTGAAATATTGCCAGAATAGACCACATGGACAGAACTGACCATTGGATTGCGAAACGACGGCAGGCGACCAGAAGGCCGGACTGCCAAGCTAAGAGAGACTTACTCATGTGATACGAAGGACACAGACAAAATGGAACAAGAGATGGGCAAAAATAAATATTGAGACCCGTAGGTCTACCACTCTGGGAAAGCGTGTCATCCTTGTGCAGGGGCCATGCTAATCTTCTCTGTATCGTTCCAATTTTTTCGTATGTCACCCCGAAGGGGACAACAGTAGCTGTGCGCGCGGGGTTAGGACCCACTGAACTTTGAATTTTGCTCTGGCGGCGGGTGTCAGCCACACGAACAGATTCTAGAATTCTCAGACTGGCTGACATTCTCCGTGAATACATGTCAATCGAGCCCGGATATAAATCGCGAGGAGCAGGCGATATATCGTGTGCTCTTTGACCCATTGCATCGATTTTGCGATGTTGGTCTGTGTCATGGATGCGATCAGCCTGGACTGACCGATGCAATTAGTACTGCTACAGGTCGATACAGAATACATGCTCTCTCGCTACGTCATGATGATATGGCTTTATTTATTCGAAGTGCGACTTCGAGAATCCACAGCTCCTCGTCCGCGCCGTCACAAAGCGCTTTATCAGCCTCGGCCATCACCAGCGCACATTTTGATTTCTCCCGTGAGGCTAGAGTCGGGTGAAGGATGATAAGATCGTGCAGCTGTATATGAACAGAATCTGATATCAGAAACGGAAGGCGATGGAAGATGGTCGAGGACGAACCTGGGACAAAATTTGCGACGCCGAATATCCCTCGCGCATCAGCATTCTAACCTTTTCCCGAATCAAATCAAAGCCGCGTAGGGTCTCGGTCTTCCTATTCGGTTTGGCCAACGCGGCGCCGTCCGTATCGACATCCATCGCGTCGCCATCAGGACTGGGTCTTACTTCAATGCCGAGCGCGCGCGCAAAGTCGTGTACTATCGAGTCTGGAACGACGCCTGCGATTTCTTGGACATCGCGTGCTGTGATAGGTTCTGGAGGTATGCTTGCGGCAGATAAGCGGGCCGCGGACTGGAGGTATGTAATGGCACGACGAAGATCTCCGTTGGATGTTGAAATAAGTGCGGAAAGAACCGGTGGTGAAACAGTGATGTGTTCGTCGTTGGCAATATGTTGGAGGCGGGCGGACGAGGATGTCGCGTCAAGGGGTTTGAAGCGGAATTTGGAGCAACGAGACGCGAGCGGCTCGATGATTCTGTCAAATGTGATGACTCACGGGTTAGATGAAGCTGAAACAAGAGAGGTGAGGCGTACCGAGTTACATAGTTGCATACAAGGCAGAAGCGAGTGATGCGCGCGTAGGTCTCCATGATACGCCTGAGCGCACCTTGTGCGTCCTGTGTCATGCTGTCTGCTTCATCGAGAATGATGATTTTGTAAGGTGGACAGGGATATGTTTTGCCATCGGATGCGACGGTAGTCGCTCGAGGGGTCTGACGAGCAAAATTCTTGATCTTCTCACGCACGATGGAGATGCCACGCTCATCCGAGGCGTTGAGCTCCAGAACACGCGAGCGAAAGTTGTCAGGGCTACAGCAAGTGAATCAGCAGGAAGTGGATGCTAGCAAATGATCAATATTACCCAAAAAGCTGACGTGCAAGAGCAAGGATTGTGGATGTTTTACCGGTTCCTGGCGGTCCATAGAACAACATGTGCGGAAGCTACCCACTTGCGTTAGCACTTGCATGACGAGTATAGAGACGTGAGTACATTCGTCGAAGTCAATGTCTTTTCAAGTACAGCAATGATGTGCTCCTGTGATGATACATCGTCAATTGTCTTTGGGCGACTGCCAACAGGGTAAGAATAGCGGCTTCTTCCTTCAGTTGGACAAGGGTACGCAACTATTTTTCGACCCAGGGCTGTAAGTTCGAATCAACGACATGCTTTTCTCCTTTTTCCGTTGATTTCTTTGACGACTGCTGCTGGAAGAAGTTGGCCACCATATTTGAGCTCGAGTTCGTCCTGAGACGCGTCTGGCGATCTTGAGAGGCCCTCACGCGCGCAGACGCGTCGAGATCGTTCTCACGGCTGCTGAGTCTGAAAACGCGTCTGAGGCGCTGTTGTCGTGACCCTCGGCGCGGACCCGTCTTCTGAAATCATCAGCCCCCGACGAGCACCGACAACAAAGCAACCGTTCCGAGGATATAATGGAATCAGACGCGACTAATGGTGTGTGAGCCATTCATTTCTCCATATACCCGTACTCATCTGCTATAAGGGCAAGCGGTCTCTTCCATCAACGGTGAGCTGCCATCACGCGTCGCACAGTCGGGGAGGGGGGGGGTTTGACGCGTCATTTTCCGTAGGGAAACAGGAGAGACAGTCTCACGTGGAAATGAAGAATGGAAAGGTCAGCTTCAAACAGAAGCCGATGTCTCTGGAGAAGATGACAGAGACGATGCAAGGTGCGTAGAGGAGGCTTGGTGTTTGGGCTGGAGAATGCAGCTCAAGCTCAACTTTCACTGTAACATAGAACTGGTGAAGTTTCGCGAGTTCTTAGAACGACGAATAGAGAACCAAGACCCCCCGTTGAGTCACGTACCAGACGAGCACAAGCCGCTCATAGCGAAATTCACTCAAGAGAGGTGTGTGTCGATTGTGTCGTATAGTTGTAGAGCTCTGCTCATCGATTCTTTCAGCGACAAAACCATAGTTGCACTTTCTAAACACATTCAACGAGAGCTCATCCCTACCCCGAACGACGGAGATATGGCTCAAGCGAGTTCTTCCGCAAGTTCGCTGCCATTGGAGACGATTGAAGCTACCATCAGATCCGTGGCAACAAGGGTCAACTATGGCATTGAACTGGCGAACCTCACGAGGACCCCTGCATTGTTGTGTATCTGGAGGTGGGAAGTACAGAAGGATTACTATCATTGGCTGCCTAAGGCTTCACGCGAGAAGATCGAAGCAAGATTGGCCGAAAGATTACTGGTGAGTGACTACATATTATGGTTTGAGACATTGACAGAATTGGTCTACAGGCTAAGCAAGAGCTGCAAGCTCTCTTTGATGCACTCCCTCAAAGTGAGCGAGATGCCATGCTCGGAACCAAAGGCGTGGGTGCCGTCGCGAAGCAGAAGCCGAAAGCACTCTCCCATGCCACCTCTAACGACCTCTCACCTGTCCGCGGCTCCTCACCTCTAACTTCACCAGGCAACCCAATAGACAGCAAAGTGGATCTCGAGAGTGTCGAAAATGACAGTGCCCAAATAAAGGCAGGCCCAGGCCGCCCGAAGAAAGCTGCTGACCCGGAGAAATCTGCAAAGGTTCGTTGACCAGTTCATCTATAGTCGTCCTTCCAAAAAAAAAATGTGTTCACCGAACAATCCGCAGGAAAGGGAGCGACTGGAGAGGAAAGCTGCGAAGGCCGACAGGGAAAGGAAAGAGAAGGACGCCCAGAATAAGTCCCGCTCCCTCATGGCGAGCTTTTTTGCTAAGCCGAAAGCCTCCGCATCTACATCGATACATGGCTCGCCTTCTGGAGAGCCCATCGCCGGATCTTCGACCAGCTCGACGTCCGACTTCGACAAGGCCTTCAGACCCTTCGTGCTGAAGAAGGATGCGGAGCTTGCGCCTATCAATTGGTTTCAAGAATCGAGAAGACAGAAACGAGAGGATGCGGATGTCATCGTTATTGATGACGATGGAGAAGATACACGGGACACGGTGATGCATGATGCAGAGGCCGATCTCTTAGAGCTGAGCCCAAAATGTTCGTTTAACTCCATTGTGTTCTCAATCTCCGAAGATGCTAACATTCGTCTAGCTTATTGCAAATCGTTGATATTCTCGTTGCCCCTCCCGTTGGACCCTTCGCGTCTTTTGAGGCGTCCCTGTTCTCAATTCAAGGTGTATCATCCCGATCCTGTCCGGTCCATAATCGCCCGCCTTTCAGAGGCCGAACTCTCTGACGACATAGCCGTTGTACGCGAACTTCTTGCTGATCTACAAGATCGCAAGCGCTTCCCTGCGAAAGTGTTGATCTTCGACGAAGACCGGCGCCCGGGCTATTTTGGCACGTTCACGCGATCCTCACAAGCAATTGGCCCCCGTACGCCATTCACACGCGACGACGTCGTGGTTGATTATTCTTATGACAGTGGTGAAGAGTGGGGCGAGGAAGAGGAGGGGGGAGGGGATGACGTCGCGGAGGCGAGCGACGAGGACGGAGATGATGAGGAAGGGTCATCGGATCTGGACGATTGGCTTGTGGATGAGGATCAGGAAGAGGTTGCCACGCCTATCGACGAGCGAGAAGGCATGGACGGATTCCCATTTCCACCACCAGAGCAGGCGAAAGGGAAACGGAAAGTTGAGGTGACGGGGAAAGGAGAGGGCGCAGACGTAACGAGGAATAAGAAGAGGAAGGCTGTTGTGCCCTTAGTACCTTTGGTCAAGGGCCCATTCTGGGAAACTAAGATGGGCAAGTGCGAATACGAACCCTTCAAACAATATCGAATCCAGCTCTTCAACGGTGTGTATTTTACGCTTCCCTGTCGGTGCTGGTTGCTAATTAGATATTGCTCAAGATACTCCATATCCCATCGACCCGTTCACGTTTGTCTCCACTCCTGTCGAAAAGCAGGTAGTTAAACCTGCACCTTCCACGTCCACGTCCGCGCTCGCCTCGTCATCGGTCCCTATTTTTGCTGTGCCAGCTCTGCCATCTCATTTCGCGGCAAACTGTAACTCACCCTCTACCGCTTCGCTATTAGCCGTTTCCACTCCCAAGCGCGCGCTAATCTCACCGAAGAATCCCTTCCCTGAGGCGCATCTCCCATTCCTTGTCTCTAAGATCGCAGCTCTCGCAACAAGCAGTCTGCCTGCCCTTGTAGACTCGGTGTATCAAGACCTCAAGGCGCACAAAGTGAAAAAGTACGCTATCGAGGTGAAGGTTCGGGAGATCTGTGAAAAGGACCAACGAAGAGTCTGGGTTGTAAGGAAGGGGCTTCATGTAAGTGACTGATACTCATTATTTGTGTGGATTGTATTTATATCCATACATTAGGCTCTTGATGGACTGACAGTATCTGCTTAAGCCAGACATGGACTGCAAGAGAATGACTGGGAGCGGCTGTTTTGTTTTCTATAATGTTGTTGATTAATCATACGTCCTGCCAATACACTACGTTGTATTATACCGCTGATTGGTCGCCTCCATCTATTACCATTGTCAGGGCTCTTTTCCATTGCTTCAAAACTATAGAGGTAATACAATAATTGTACAACATAATGAGCAACGGCCCAACAGTGGTGATGGCAAACATGGAGGTTCAAGATCAAGTATCAAGTGCTGGGGGTTGGGCAAAGTGCTTTTCAAGATGCCGCCAGCTTCCATAAGAGATCGGCTGTCTCGTAGTCTGAGCGAGGTTCATCATCTTTGACGACGTGAACGTCACCGGATGTGCTTTCTTTAACATCCAATTAGCCTCGATGGCATGAACAGGAAAGCGGAACACATACCGACGAGCATCTTCTCAATATTTCCATCTTTGTCAAGCACAGGCTCAAATCCCAGTCCTCTAAAGATCTGCAATCGCAAACTGGATCGCAATGAAATCCCATCAAAGTATTCGATCAAAACAGGCACCGATTCTTCTAGCAGGATTGGACTCACGTAGTTCCATCCAAGTCGTGTTCAGCAGCCGGATCGCTCTTCTCCAGTGCGCGCGCTTCCTCCTTCAGCCGCGCGAGCTCCGCTTCCTTCCTAGACACCGCGCTCTCAGCATCGTTGATCGCCTTTGCGAGTGAAAGGCCCGATGCATCGAGCTCATTGACAGTTTCGGCATGTATTTCGGCAGAAGGGACAGACGGCGGACGTGTGGATGACGTCCGTACCGCATCGAGGATGCGAGATAATGCTGATGTACAGGTGCTTCCGGTGAGAAGCTCGCGGCGGGATATGATACAGTTTTCATGACGCACCTTTCAGTTTCCCATGTGCATCTTCATATTCTCTCTTACGTTGCACAGATCTCTTGGTCATCTGCTCCTCCATTGCAGCGACTGTGAGGTAGTCCTCGTCTGGGTCAATCACGGGAGCCATGTCCCGAATCCCTTGGCTTGGAGCGCATCGTCAATTCCGCAATTTCGATACAAGGTTGTTTTCGATTCAAAAAACATACATTGCTTCTTGAATATCAATCGACATGGTCAGACGCTAGCGGATAGTTGGCATTCGTTGTGAACCTGTAAGCAGGGCGAACAGTCTCAGCCCAATCGGGACGCGTCGAACGTATCATGTGCCGTGACGTCACGCGTACTCTACTGACCAGAAAGGCAGAGCAAAGGAGAGTGAAGCTATTAGTGAAGCTAGTGAAGCTTGGAAGGCTTTGAAGCTTTAAAGAGCTGTGAAAAAGGCCCGAGACGGGAGGACTCGAGAGACGGGAAACTTCGTATATTTCCAACGTCAGTATACAATTACACAGACAACCCAATTTACTAGTTGCGGCCGGCCTTGATCACGAAACGCAAGCTCTACCCTCATTCTGCCCTAGGATCAACCTTGACCACAACTTTTCCAGTCGCACGCATTGATGTAATCCTATCGTACGCATTGATAGCGTCATCGAAGGCATGCACAGAGTCGACGACCGGCTTTACTTTGCCTGTCAGGGAAGATGAGGACTGATAGTCGACGAGGATCACGAATCCAAAAGACTGACCATCGGCAATCAGTTTTCTCATAGCTTCTAGATCCTCATCCTTGTGGGACACCATAACCATTCTTAAAAGAAAATGTCAGATGTAGATTATAAGACGTGTTGATTGAGCATACGCACGTCCATTTTCTTCTTACGCCTCCCAACCATGTCGGCCGAACCAAGTCGGTGATGAGCTTGAGAAGCTGGAGAGTGGATGACCATCCCGTAGGTGTGGGTCCGACGGAAACAAAAACGCCGCCTGGAGCGAGGTACTTCTCGCTCTTGGCATAGAGAGAGCCATCTGCAAGGCCAACGGCATCTAAGATGACATTGAATTTTGGAGATGGTGGGTTTTGAGAGAAGAAAGTAGCGAGGTCTTGCTTCGTGTAATCAACGAACTGGGGAGCGTCAGTGTAAATATGAGAAGCTTTGTTTGTCGACAAACCTCGTCAGCACCGAGGCCAAGGACAAAATCTTTGTTTTTTTCGGACGCGCTGGCGACGACCTTGACGCCTGTAGCCTTGGCGAATTGTATAGCATATGACCCTACAGTTGTGCTCCCTCCGTTCACAAATAGCGACTGTCCCTCCTCAAGCTGTGCAGATTGAAATAGAGCTTGATAGGCTGTCATCCCAGCAAGGCTTATTCCCGATGCTTGCGTGGCCGAGATATTAGGAGGACGAATGGCAAGATTGCCAGCAGGTGCAACGGTGTACTCTGACAAGGCTCCGTATTTCGTCTTCCGATTCAAATCTGCATCGCTTCAGTCACAGCGATATATTGCCAAATTCGATCTCTTACCAACAGGGATCCAGCCGAATACTTCGTCGCCGTTGGCAAAGTTCGTTCCGTTGGCATCGACGACTATGCCAGAAAAGTCCTGCTCTGCAATAAACGGTCTTCCTGATACAAAGTTGGGCAACAATTTCATGAGTTTGTACCCTCTGTACAATGTATTCAGCGAGAATTCTCTAGAAAGGGGTCGGGTTATTACACAGGGTTCAACGCTGCTGCTTGCACTTTGACGAGAACATTTCCTTTGTCAAGCTGTGTTGGTACAGGTAACTCCTTGTCAAGTCTGAGTGCCTTGCTGGGAGGTCCCTGTGCAACGACGCGCCATGCTTTTTGCGTTTGCGGAATCTGTGTGGGGAGCGACATGGTGAGAGAAAAGATTAGAGTGCCGAGGCCGAGGTTACCGAACGTACCCAGACATAGCGACATTGCTGAGCAGCCCAGGCAGGGAATCGGCAATGGGAACAAATGACGCAACGCCACCGCTGTCACGTGCTGGGAGAGAGATAACAGATTATCTCTCTTAGATAATGGATCTCGGAAAGGACCCTCTGCCCAAGATTCAAGAATCTCAACTTGTCAGCGCTCAGCCACCACGCTCTCCTCGTCCTCTTTCCCCGTTTCTCTCTTCTTTTCATCTTCGTTATCACCCTCCGCGTTTGATACAAACGTTTTTCCATCATGGAGGTAATTGCTGCGTATGTTCCCATCTAGATCTTACTAACGCGTCCTTCCTCAGGCTCTACTCGACTTCTCGCGAGAGTTTGATGTCTCTCTCATGGACAATGTTGTAATGACTCTCTACTCGGGTTCTGGCAGCAAGGAGGTGCGTTTTTTTCATCCAGCACTGTTCATAGGTCAACTCAAACAAATATGTGTGCTATTCATACGCCACTAGCAACAACTTGCCCAGCAAGCTCTCACACAATTTCAAGACCACCCTGAAGCATGGACGCGTGTCCCAGATATCATGGAGAGGTCTTCGTACCCTCAAACCAAGGTGCGGTGCTCCTATGACGCGTCTGTAGGGCATTATTGACCGGGAGACACGGGTGCTGTTTGTAGTATATTGGACTGCAGATCTTGGAGAAATTGATTAACACACGCTGGAAGACTCTTCCTGAGGGCCAAAGACAAGGTAGCTTCAACTCCACCCACCCGATGTGTTCCTCTACTCACAACGATTCCAGGTGTGCGGAACTTTGTAGTCGGTGTCACTGTCAAAGTCGCATCCGACGAGGCGACAATGCGGAAAGAGAAAACATACATCAATAAGCTCAACCTTGCTCTTGTCCAGGTGCGTCTCCCTCTCTCACGCAGCTTTCGCGCAGTTTTGAACTCTATTTTCAGATCCTAAAACAGGAATGGCCGCATAATTGGCCTACATTCATCCCAGAGCTTGTTGAGTCTTGCAAAACCAATCTTTCTCTCTGCGAGAACAACATGGCCATCCTCCGTCTCCTTTCTGAAGAGGTCTTCGATTTCTCCGCCGAGCAGATGACACAAACCAAGATCAAGAATCTCAAGAACCAGATGTGCGGCGAATTCTCTGAGATCTTCAAGCTCTGCTCAGAGATCCTGGAAGAGGCGCAAAAGACGTCACTGGTCAAGGCATCGTTGGAGACCCTACTCCGATTCTTGAATTGGATTCCATTGGGGTATATTTTCGAGACCACTATCATTGATGTTCTCATCCAGCGCGTGAGTAAGCGTCCTTTATGTTGCTGTCGTTATGTCTAATCGCAGCACAATTCAAAGTTCCTTGAAACTCCTGACTTCCGTAACATCACTTTGAAATGCTTAGCAGAAGTCGCCGGTTTGAGTGTTGGACCCGAATACGACCCGAAATATGTTTCCCTGTTCGAGATGGTCATGACCGCCATCAACCGCATGGTCCCTCCGAACACAAACATTGCTCAGGCTTACGCTCACTCGAACGATGCTGGCCAGGAGTTCATTCTCAACCTCGCCCTGTTCCTGTCCAACTTTTTGCAAAACCATCTCCGCAGCGTCGAGACTGAGACGACTCAGGATGTCCTTCTGAACGCACATCTGTATATGGTCAAGATATCTCAAGTCGATGAGCGCGAGATTTTCAAGATTTGCTTGGAGTACTGGCTCAAGCTTGTGGCGGAACTGTATCATGAGATCGAAAGCTTGCCAATCGGCGACAGTGGTCTCATGATGGGCCTCAGCCTTGGTGGAGCGAGTGGGGCACAGAGCATGTTGAATGGTGTGCCATTGAGGAAGAATATCTACTCGGACGTGCTGTCCAACCTGCGTCTGGTCGTCATTGAGAAGATGGTCAAGCCAGAAGAGGTCCGCATCACGAGTCTACGTTTCTGCCGCCTTTCCTTTCGCTGACAGTGTCCCCTACAGGTTCTCATTGTCGAGAACGAGGAGGGCGAGATTGTTCGCGAATTCATGAAGGAGTCCGATACAATCGTGCTCTATAAGTCCATGCGCGAGCTACTTGTCTATCTCACCCACTTGGACGTTACAGATACCGAGACCATTTTGACCGAAAAGCTCGCAAAGCAAGTTGACGGGTCGGAATGGTCTTGGCAGAACTTGAACACTCTTTGCTGGGCTATTGGCTCTATCTCTGGAGCGATGAGTGAGTTGTGATAGCCTGTTTCTGTCTTCTCTGGTCTTCATTATTTTTTCAGATGAGGAGACCGAGAAGCGATTCCTTGTAACGGTCATCAAGGATTTACTTGGCCTGTGTGAGATCAAGCGCGGCAAGGACAACAAAGCCGTTGTTGCTTCTGATATCATGTATATTGTCGGCCAGTACCCTCGCTTCCTCAAGGCTCACTGGAAGTTTCTCAAGACGGTGGTGAACAAGCTCTTCGAGTTCATGCACGAAACCCACGAAGGTACGTCTTATGATAGTCTCGTCTGTCTCTGCGATGTTCACGCTCTTCAACCTAGGCGTGCAGGACATGGCGTGTGATACATTCATTAAGATTGCGACCAAGTGCCGACGTCACTTTGTCATGCAGCAATCTCAAGAGCAGGAGCCGTTTGTCGATGAGATTTTACGCCTCCTTCACCGCATCACAGTCGATCTCGCACCACAGCAGGTGCACACTTTCTACGAGGCCGTAGGGCATATGATTTCTGCGCAGCCGAATAAACCGCAGCAAGAGAAACTCATCATGAAGCTCATGGAACTGCCAAACAATGCAGTACGTGTTTGTCAATGCTATGGACATTTTGCGTTTTCCTTCTTATGCGTGTCTCATCTGCGATTTTTTCCATGACTTATAGTGGGACTCCCTTATGTCTCAAGCGTCTGCAAATTTGGACGTCTTGAACAACGCCGACAACCTGAGAATCCTGGCAAATGTCCTCAAAACCAACGTTGCGGCTTGTACGTCGATAGGGAGCTTCTTCTTGCCTCAGATTGGACGCATATACATGGATATGCTTGGTCTGTATCGCGCAACAAGTGGAATCATCAGCGAGACCGTTGCCAAGGAAGGTATGTATTTGCTCTACACTGTATGATCACAAAGTTGTTCGTTTATTGAATGACGACTGATTAGGCCAAATCGCCACGAAGACGCCCAAGGTTCGGCATCTGCGCACGGTGAAGAAAGAGATCTTGAAACTCGTTGAGACGTACATCAAGAAGGCGGAGGACCTAGAAAGTGTCAATACTACCCTTATTCCACCACTATTGGATTCAGTCCTTGGGGACTATAATCAAAATGTACCAGCAGCACGAGACGCCGAAGTCTTGAACGTGATGGCGACCATTACATCGAGGCTAGGGGTGCGTTTCATTCATGGTGCCACACTGATACCTTCTCGCTCACCTGGACAATATCTATAGCCCTTACTGACACCTCAAGTTCCCCCTATTTTCGACGCGGTCTTCGAGCCGACCTTGGCCATGATCAATCAAGACTTCGCTGAGTTCCCTGAACATCGCGTCGGCTTCTTCAAGCTGTTGAGAGCGATCAACCTCAATTGTTTCCCAGGTTTGTATCAGTATTGATGTTCAATGTTAAATCCGCTCATTCCCCCGTCCTCAGCTTTACTTGGACTCCCGCCGAATCAATTCAGTTTATTCATGGACAGCATTGTCTGGTCGATCAAGCATACGATGAGAGATATCGTAGAGACCGGCTTAAATCGTAAGTGGGATTATGAACGATTGTGAGAATACGTGACTGACGCGAACGATCAGTCTGCTTGGAAGTCATCAACAACTTCGCTGCTGCAGATACCCAAGTGGCCAATACGTTCTTCCAGCAATATTACCTCAGATTCCTACAAGACGTGTTCTTTGTCTTGACCGATGCGGATCACAAGAGTGGTTTCAAACTCCAGTCTACATTGCTCTCTCGCATGATGCAACTAGTGGCGTTGAACCAGATCTCGGCACCTCTGTTCGACCCTGCCGTCGTGCCAGATCCAAACATGACCAACGCCATCTTTGTCAGAGAATTTACCGCCAACTTGCTCAAATCCGCATTCCCTCATGCATCGAAGTGAGTTCTTGATTTCTTATTGTAAGGTTCTCAATACCAATCAAGATGTCTTTTACAGTGCGGACATCAAATCGTTCGTCATCAACCTCTCAGAATACCACAGCGACGTCAATCGCTTCAAGCTCGCCCTTCGTGACTTCCTCATTCAGCTCAAAGAGTTTTCGGGCGATAGCACCGAGCAGCTCTTTATCGACGAGAAAGAAGCAGAGGTCCTGCGCAAGGCGCAGGAGGAGCGCGAGGCAGCGATGCGTATTCCCGGGATGTTGAAACCGTCCCAATTGGAAGACAAGGACGAAGATATCTAACTAGGCTTGAGACGCTGAATGACGACGTTTGATGAAGGTTGACACCTTATGCTCTTTCCGCTCCTGTGATCTTTTTGTGTTTTATTGCTCATGTTCGCACCCCACCACAACCATCTCCCAAATTCGCCGTCCTTGCATCTCCCTGTCCCTCCATCGTCCCCCCCTTCATATTATCAGCAGTCTTAACGCTCACGTCGCTATTATTGTTTTTGCGGTGTTCGCATATTTTGGATGTAACAATAGCCTATAGCAAACGAGAAGAATCATTTTGTAATGTCATAATATGGACATCCATGGTTACATTGTCTCTATTGTTCAAAGTTGAAGGTGAGTGAACGACTCGGCCGTTTCTAAGTGCGAGGTTGAAGGAATGTTAGATGTATGTATGACATCATTGAACCGGCGTTTGCCGAACAAGGCTGAGGTCAAGTAAAGATCAAATCCTGCCTTCATAACTACCCTCGATGTTCAAAAAGTGAGCCCCGCTGTTGTGCTGTCCGCGCCCACCGCTGATCACTATGCTCAAGGTTTTCACTGACATCCGATGTCTCGGGGCAGACCCCCGTGAAGTCCTCGGTGCAGCGATCTATCAGATCCAGCATACTCTCTCACTGGAAGATCGACGCAGAAACACTTGAGGATATATGGCCTAAGAAGGAGCCAATCGTGCACGTAAAATGGTCTGTCGACTTCTCGCTTCTCTATTGATGGAACACACGAGGTCGCCCTTGATCTTGTTTCTGATACATGCTTGATCTTAGCAGAGAACACATCTCGATATTTACCCTTCATGGCGAGCCATTGTTCTTTCAGCACTTCGACGGACCATTTTACCCAACGCTTAGATTGCTTCACAAATGTGAGTTTGCTTCCAAATCACACGTGAGCAACGACGCTGACAGGTCGTGCCGCTCCCTCAGATCCTTTCGTCCTACCTCGGGTCCGTATTGACCGCGGAGCTATTCGTTTCCTCCTTAGCGGTGCACATATGATGTGCCCTGGGATGACCTCCGCAGGAGGCTACCTCCCTCCCGCGGATGCCGCTCTTCCCCCCAACAGTCTCGTTGCCATCGAGGCAGAGGGCAAGGAGCATGCCGTAGGCATCGGTATCACGAAGATGGGCACGGAGGAAATGAAGAAGGTGAACAAGGGGGTGGGCGTAGAGTCTGTCACTTATCTTGGGGATGACCTCTGGTCCATACAGAAGCTGTAAGGTGACGTCGGATAAAGGATGCTGTACTGATACGTCGTGGATCTCAAACATAGTAGTCCGAAGGATCCTTTTCTAGACCTCTATCACAGTCAAAAAAGGGGAATGTGAGTCACCCTTGTCGCTAATTCGCTTCTGTTGTGGAAGTCATCTCCGAGTCAAGGCCTGATACAGATGGTCAGATACACCCGCTATCGATGACAAGTGTTCTTGCGCGTATGTATGTTAGTGTGCAGCGTATTTCTAGTATGTGCAAGTGTGCGCACCATTGGTGCATTTGGAAACGGTTGAAGCAGAGGTGGATCGTCGTTCATCCAATTGGTGTAATCATCAGGTTCGACCAAACCCCTCTCGTACTACATACGGCGTGCGATCATGGCCTGTTTCGCCGCTTTCAATTCGAGATCCGTCAAAGGATCCTCACACGTAAAGGAATGCGGTGAACGGCACGCTAACTTGATGCACTTGCTCTGGTTTGATGTGACTCAACGACTGATCGAGGATCCGTCAACGGTGCAGCGATACTCTCCTGAATCCAACGGCTCCTCAGGGTGGGCCTATGTCGTGACTTGAGCTTTGCTCGTGGCCTGAACGTTTGTCAAATGGAGTCAGATCTCAAAACACATCGTGGGAAACATGTCTGTTTCCTACTCCAACTTGAATTAGCCACCACCCAGGTCGTACCGTTAGTCCTCGTTAGTCTCCCGCAGTGAGTCCTTGATTGAAGGTGAAGGCAATAATTCACTTTATTGAGGGTCATGTTTTTGTTTCTCTTGAAGGCAGCTAATCTTTCGCTAAGAGAATCTATTGTCAAACTGATAACATGGCTGCGTCAGTCGAACAGCCTGCCTTTCGCTACGCAGATGGTTTCAAAACTTCTGGCCCGCGAAAGAAGCGCACAGGCAAACTTGTCTTGCAGCATACCTCATCCGAACTGTACGATTCGTCCTTACAGGAATTGCGGACAGGCAATTGGCTCCAGGAGTGTCACCGTTCGTTCTTAGCAAGTGCTCCTGATCCTAGCATTAAAACCTCGTGTTTCCCTGCAGGACTGACAAGAGATGCCGTGAAAGAGGCGTCAATCGATTCCCCATCCGTCCTCTGCCTAGGCCTTGGATGTCCGGCTTCATCTCGAAATGCTAGATCCCAGTTGGCCTTCCTCATCGAGACACGCGATAACCTTTTCTTGGTATGTACAATCTGCTATGTCATACAGTTGCAACATACCGGCTATCATCTTACTCTTGTCGTGAATAGGATCGCGATAAAGTTGCCGCATACGACCCTGCGTTCACCGCCGAGGACGTAGCATTACTTGCCCAGTTGAGCGTGTCCTGCAGATCGGAAGACCACGCAAGTATCACTATCTTTGCGTTATGTGGCGACATGCATTGAACGGCGCCTTTTTGCAGTCCAAGGATCTATCCATTGAGACGCCCACCCTGCTATTCATGCCGCATTGCGACATGGGACTTTATGAGGCGCTCTTGCGGGATAACTGGTCCAGCGAGCGCCTGTGCAGCCTGTTCTTGATTGGCAACTTGTTCAGCGACTACTTGGTAAAGTGCGCTTCTGCTGATGACTTATCTCTGCAACGCCCTGCACTAACGTAACGTCGTTCTCATGCAGCAAACCATCAAATAAAATGGCCACGCAGTTCCCATGCCTCACAAGGTTGAGTGAGTGCACCTACCGCTGTTTGGTTGCCTCGTGTTGATGCCCGTTCCCACAACCGTAAACGTCAATCCAAAAATGATTCTGTTCGGACTCCTTTTGCTGTCTGATGCATACACTCCGCTCTTGACGCTCCTGCAACTATTTTCGACTGATCCCTAGCTCCTTATCTCCTCGCCCGACCACTTCCGAGCGGTGGGCCTAATCCGACGGCGTTCGTGAGCCTGGCCATTCAATTTGTGGCCCCACAGGCGCTTCCGCCTAGGACGGATACAACTTTCTGGGAACTTCCGTCACAGTCTGACGTGGCCGGCGAATCAAACAAGGGTTGCTTTATTTAACAACCAATGGGCCGATAAGGTTGGAAAATCGAGGCGATGGAAGATCAGCTGGTCCCCCTAGTTTGGGCGCGGGCGTGTTAATTGCGCATGTTTGATGCAAAGGAGTCAGGTCTTCAAAGCCCGACCTTACTGGTACTTATGCGCGTGGGTGCGAGGTGGACGATCCTGGTCGTCCTTGGCTTGGGAACGTGCCGGGGGATGTTGAAATTGGAGGAGTTGATATCGGAGTCCCGAGAACCTGGAGGTCTAGACAGAGAACACGGTGGTCGCGTGTGCCCGATTGGCTGAAATTGAGTTTGCCGACGAGTCATCGCTATCGTTTGTGCGCAATCTTCGCGAGGTGCAGAAGAACCCCTGTTGGAATACAGTTGGCAACACGGGGCACTACAAAGGCCCAGCAAGGCAAGTCAGTCGCAAAGTCTAAGATTGGACTAGGGTTAGTGACGTAATATGCACTCATGCCCCTAGAATCGCGTCACAGCTCAAGTCACAAATAGACCGCCGTGTTTCATGCCAGCACACGACACGAAATCGAACCACCACGCAACAAGAGCAATTCCGAAGAATGCACATAACTATATTCCCTGGAAAAAGTTGAAAGACTACGGATATGTGCAGGCAAATAACGCAAAGATGATATGCAGTGAGAAAAAGACGATAACGACAACCGGGCAATAGAGCGAAGACTAGCACTCTTGATGATAGACATTATTAAACACAAGTGGCGATGTACGACGGTCATCGGGAAAGGGGAGCGGATCGAGTTCGAAGGGAGAGAAATATGAATCGTCCGTGTCAACGTATACCTGGGGAAGAGACTGCTGCTGGCGAGAATGTGGAGTGGATGGATCAACAAAAGCAGACATTGAGCGAGAGGTAGACGGCGTAGAAAGCGCGTCAGATTCGTCGTCAGACTCATCCTCAATGGCGTCTGGAACAGGCAGGTCATCTATGTCGTCTGTGTCGCAGTACGGGAGCGCAACGTTGAGAGGAGGGTAGCTGGAATCGAGGGGGGAGTTGAGGGGAACGTATTCAAAAGCCGAAATGAGGTGAGAGTGATATGGGGGATAGACGATGGGATATGGCATAGGGATGGGTGGGTCATAATACACTGGATGACTGGTGAGGTCCTCGGAGGATGACATGGGTGACGTCGAAGGGGTGAAGGCTGAGTCGTCATCATCGTCCACGGGAACAAGCGACACATGAACGTCCGAGTCGTACTCGCAATCGTCCTCATCGCCAAGCGTCTCGAGGAGGGAGTCCAGCCACTGGGATTCTGAATCGTTCACGGCCGAGTTACTCGGATGATTGGCCAGCTGGCCAGCGTCGGGAAACATGAACGAATCATGTTCCTCTTCTGCACACACTTCCTCGTCCCCAGCCTCTTCGTCTACTGCATTAGTAGGATACACATGATTTACATCGGCCGTGCTGCTGCTGCAAGATGGGACAGTAGTGGGCTGAGAGCGAATAATCGAGTTTTTGAGAAGTACCCAGCGATGCAAGCTACATTTGTCCTTGGAACTGGTTCCAATGGCCGAGTGCAACTTGGATCGGGCGTATGAGACTAAACTCCGGGATTCTGATGACATGTAAGGCAGGTTAGGTGGGGCAGGGATATACGGGGAAGTAGGAGTCGTCTGTTGGGACGACGTCATTCATGGAACGAAACCGCAAATCCATGAAGAAGGACATACATGAGCGAACGCGGTGGAGTCTTAGCGGTGTATGCGATAAACTATGAAAGGCTCGAAGAGTATGGTACCGTGTTTGGATTTACGGGCTTGCTTGTCGACCATAATTGTGAGTAGAGACCGCCTAACTGTCTGGGTTGCGACAGGGGCGAGGGGGAGAGCGAGGATCGAGGGGGGCAAAAAACTGGACGATTATGTAGACATGGCAGTGAGGGAGGACGACAAGGGGCTGAGGGAGGGGCGGTTGACGGCAGAGGGGTTCTTATATAGGCACTGCGCGTTACGACCTTCGTGACTCGATCGCCACCGTCTTTCGCTAGCCGCCAGCACCTCGGCGGAAGCGCGTCACGCTTCGTCACGTCGGACAGCCTCGGGTCACTCGCCGGTCGCTCCGACCCATAAACCTTGATAACGCGTACTCTGCACGACGTTGCGCTATTCGCGCTCACCACCTGCAAGAGTGGCAACACTTGCCGTGCCCAAAGGCGACACATATCTGGCTGATGTATCTATAGCAAACATATTACACATCACATCACGTCACCCCTCATCCATCTCGTCGGCCGCTTCCTCGTCCTTCGTCGTCTCCAGCAACTTCTTAATCTTGTTCACGCTCTTCGGCGACACATCGCGGGCAACTGCAAGCATCTGCGCTGCCTTCACCTGATCGCCAATGAGGCGATATGCGCGCGCTAGCTGGAAGATAACGTTCGACTCTTCTGGCGACGAATCCCGAAGGAATTCCAAGTCTCTCACGGCAAGCTAAGTAAGGCGACCCGCCAATATAGGCATCAGACACGGACACACGTCAGCGAGCAGTCCCGGAAATGAAAGAAGACCGCTACATACCGTGTATCGCTTCATTGAGATCAGTATTTTTGCTCGACGATAACGAACCAGAGCGTTCTCAGGAGAAAGCTTGACGGCTTGGTCGAATAGCGCTAAAGCAGCTTGATGATCAGCACGGCGCTCAACGGCCTAGGACACCAGTTAGTTGGAAAGGCGATGAGTCCCGCGTGATCCAATATACATACCATTCCGACGCAACCTAGGAGCACCGCGTTGTTGGGATGAATCTCCGCTGCCTTCCTGTAATGGTACTCGGCCATTCGTATTTTGCTCATCCGCAGGTAGCAAGTTCCCAGCCCATACCTGTAACAAAAGCGATAAGCACACAGTTTCTGTCAAGCGACGAGGCTCCACGGAAGTCAATCGAGCCATATACGGCAGTGGACATGACATACCAGGCATTGTAGTGCCGACTATCCGCACGCAGGGCTGATTGGAACGACACAACAGCATTGTCGATGTCTTCGTCAATCAATTCGTGTCCGGCGAGGGTGAACGCGTACGCGCAAGTGGGGTCCAACTGTTGAGCACGCCTGAAACACGTCAAAGCTTGTGCGCGTTCCTTCTGGAGTGAAAAGGTATTTCCAATAGCAATCCATGCCTGAGGCGAGCGAGGGTCGATCGCTAAGAGCTCCTGTGCCAGAAACGAAAGTTGCACCGATCTCTGGAGATGCCATAGAAGGGTCGAATACACCTCCATATCCCATAAGCGATATGGCTCCAGGGTTCGGACCGCTTGGAAGGCACGTTCCGCCTGCATGGTTTGATAAGGATTGAAGAGCCAATGACAAGTCAGTGAGGTCACCGGAGCTGCGAGATTGAATACGTACAGCAGTATAATCTGTCCGTTCGAAATGTGCCCGCCCTACGGTAGCCATGACAAGCGCAGATCGTTGATGCACGTGAGGTAGTTTCTCCAGCTCGTCGAGACATAACTGCGTGTCGTAGATAGCGAGAGCTCGCATCGCGCTAGCGAACAACCGCATTAGATCGTAAATGTATTGATCCGCTTGTTCCAGTTCAAATGCTTCTTGCGCTGCCTGCTCCTGTGCAACTATTGGATTACTTGGAGCAGGTGACGGGTCTGATGGCTGAGAATGTGTTATGGAGGGTGGCGACTGTGAGTGAGTGTTTTCCGCCATCGTCGCAGGGTCTTCGTCCATGTCGGAATCAATAGATCGCGACTGTGAATGAGTCCTTGCCTGCAGTTTTCGTCGTTCTCGAACTGATGGAGGCTGGAGGCATCAATCAAAGCTTAACTTTTTTTTCTCCTGCTGATTGTAAGAAAACCGAGGTTCCCACCTTGCCTGGGATTGATGGTTTACTTGGTCCCCCCATCAACCGCGCGCTTCGCCGTGTAGCCGCGTTCGCCTCGCGATCTGACTTGCCACCACCCGCGGTTGTTGCGTTCCTGGAGGTCGTCGCCGCAGACTGTTGACGGCGACCGGTAGATGATGAGAAGATGTTAGCAAGAGTCAAGGCCGGGCGTGCGCGTGCCTTTTTCGAACGGGCGTCATCCGCTGCAGCCGCGGTCGGCGCGGGAAGTTTAGACGCCTTGAGTAGTATTTCGCCGGAGCGCTGGCGTATACTAGACGAGCGCAGCTTCTTGGGCACAGGCCCGGCTTCGTCTGATGAATATAATGGTCGTGACGCTTGAGATTGCGCCACTTTGGGGCGATAATGGGCTTGGAGGACAGAGTGTTCCGGTGGGTATGAGAAGGAATCATTCGCTGCGCTGTATGAGATTTCAACGCGCATTGCATTTCAATGGATCGCACGAGGACGCACATAGAATCTCTTGACCCTGTTATGCGGAATGGTGGGTGGCCATGGTCATTTCTGTAGGTGCGGAAAAGATTTCCAGCATTGCCTGTGTCGGGTGTAAAAAAACCAGCGCCTGTGGCAACTGGCCCCGAAGGTGGTTGTTTTGGCGGCGGCAGAGATTCGTCAGACTGTGCACGTCGGATGGGAGGCGGACGCGATGGGAATAGCTCCTCGACTTCGGGGACTGATCCTATGATTGTAGTTGATACCATGGCTGTGAGTCGAGTGATCCAGAGGCTGAGGTACTAACCTAGACTGCAAAGACCCAGGAATGCATCCCATAACATTGGGTTGAGCGCCAGTGCCAGGCGGAAGCTTCGTCGGGCGTGGTCTGGCAGCTTGCCTTTCATCGCGTTCAGGCCAGATTGACAGTGGAGGGCAGCCTCTTCGGGGAATGCACGTGTAGTGCGTTGCCCAAGTGATGCTGCCGGTTCGATGGGGATTAGAGAAAGTGAGAAAGATGCGTGAACAGACGTACGTGAGGGGGAATATGTAGAATCTTTCAAGCTCTCCTCCAGTGCCTCGCGTGCATGCCTATGTCTCCCAAGCAGCGAGCAGCACTTTGACTTGATCTCCAAACAACCACTACACCGCTGGTCGAGAGGTAGATTTACGAGATGAAGTGCTGAGTGGGTCTGACTAGCACGAAGCATGGCCGTGGCATATAGATGTCGCGCGTCATGATTATCCTGATCGAGAGCAAAATACCTCTCTGCATAGAACAGCGCAGATTTGTGTAAATTTGCATCCAGACATGACCAAACCAGTGAATTGAATCTCTGTTGCAGATATGGCCAAAAGGAGGGATTGGTTTCTGGCTGCATGGCCTTAGAGCATACAGAATTGGCGCAAGACGTGCATAAATTGCAGAGATTTCAGGGTAATATATGGAGAGGCAACCAGATAAAGCTGCCGAGACTAAAGGTGGGAGAGGTGGTCAGTGGCTAGCAAGCAGGCAAGGAAGCTCGGGATGAGAGTCGGCGGAAGGGTCTTGCAAACCAACCGCGTCTTTACTCATCACGTGATCCCGCCCTCACCTACTGGTCCAGTGGTCTCCGAGCGACTCCGTCCGGCCTCAAGCTAAGTGCAGTCTCCCGAAATTAAGGGTCAAACTCAAGGCTTCCCACATTGATCGCTAATTTCAGATGACCGTCCATCTTTACTCGATAGAGGTCCTTTCAGACCTTTCCTTTCACGCCACTCCCGATATTCACCAGAAATGGTTTCGTAGACTTAACGATACAAAAAGGAACAAGGGGCAGAAAATTCTTGCACTACTTTTAGCTTCACTGTACAAACACGCTTTGGTTCTAGTGGCCATGACCGTCTGACTCTCCTTTTTGCTCTGGAAAGAATGTCACGTTATCAGTTTCACCGATTACAATGCAGTAGAGCCCACACACCTGGTACACATTGGATCGCATCGTCGATGCGCAATAGTGACACTGCAGCTTCAAAGGCAGATTTGAGGCTGCGAACTTTGCTGACCGTGGGCTCAAGGATGCCAGCCGTGACATTGTCTCGGACCTCGCCATTGAGCAGGTCCAATCCGTAACGCAGAAGCACCTTCTTGGGATCGCCTGCTGGCGCATTCTGGGCTGCATTGTGGAATGACCGCAACTTTGCGACGAGCTCCGTGGAATCCTTCGCTGCGTTCACGGCGAGGGTCTTGGGAATCACAAGCAATGCAGTGGCGAATTCTGCAATCGCCAGCTGCTCACGAGATCCCTGCACAAAAAATATGAGCACCCTGATGATATTTAACATGAGACATAAAAAAATTACCAGGGTAGTTGCAAAGTTTTCCAGGTAAATGCTGAGAGCAGACTCAACAGCACCACCACCGGGAACAACGGTTCCGCTCTCTAATGTTCGCTTGATGATCGACAAGGTGTCGTGCAAAGCTCTCTCCATTTCATCCAGCATATAATCGTTGGCGCCTCGCAGGATGATCGATGCCGAGCTGACGACCTTCGTCCCTTTGACAAGGATCAATTCATCATCGGAGATGCGCTCTTGAACAACCTCCTCTGCGGTGCCAAGATAGCTCGCTTCAAAAGTCTCATCGCCTTCCAAGTTCGCAAGACTTGAGACTAGTTGGCCGCCTGTAGCCTTGGCGATACGACGCAAGTCCTCTTTCCTGCAGCGACGAACGGCCATTGCCCCAGCCTCGACAAACTCCTTCAGCGCAAGATCGTCGATACCTTTGGTGGTCAAAATAACGTTAGCACCGGCGGCAAGGATTTTACGTATCCTCTCCAAAGTGATATCAGCTTCCCTGTTGTCAGTCATTTTCAGCGAATCCGGTGTTGTGGGAAGCGGTTGATGACATACCGTTTCCGGATCTCTTCCAATTGATTGGGGTCGTCGACCAAAATCTGAACACCCAGTTGCATACGTATTTTACGCAGGTCAATGTCGAGGCATGCAATTTTGGCCTTTGTGATACGTGTCTTCATGGCTAGAGGGGTTTGATCTGAGCTAGGTAGATCTATCTGATGTCCCGATACGCACCTTGACTAGCGACAGTGCAGTTCAAAGCATACCCCTTGACGAAGACCGACTCCCGAGCACTCCGTCCGTGAGCTTTGAGAACATTAACCGCCTTCACAGGATATTTTGTTTCTCCACGGGTATTGGTGGTTTTGACGGCCAGCATGGCTTCAACAGCCATAGGTGCAAACAGATCATCATCGCTGACATAAATTATCATCAACAAGGTGTAAAGCGATAGCACGGATATTGAAACTCACCCCCCAATGATTTTGCTGGACATGCTGGTCTTGGCAGCATTTATCAACGCATCCTTTCCCAGCTGATCTACCTTCACACTGAGCTGATCCTGCATAAATCTCACTGCTTCCCTACACGCCAGCCTATACCCAGTGATGATTGTCGTAGGATGAATCTTGGCTTTCACCAGCTCATTCGCGCGCCGGAGAAGCTCAGCAGCGATGATCACGACAGAAGTTGTTCCGTCGCCAACTTCTTTGTCTTGTTTTTGCGCAAGATCTACGAAAATGCGTCCAGCGGGGTGTTCAACAGCAAGAAGGGCGAGGATCGTTGCCCCGTCATTTGAGATCGTTACTTCCTGAGAATTATGGTCAAAAAGTTCCTCTCAGGCTCGCAAGAGAAGACCCACTCCGATGTTATCGACAAGCATTTTGTCGAGACCAAGAGGACCCAAAGACGATTTGACAATGTTTGCGATCGTCTGTGCCGCGACCACTAATAGTGTCCTCTCGAATCACGAACGATTACTTGAGAAACCACAATTCCAAACGTACCATTCTGATCGCGGATGTCCTGGCCGGACACTCTGTCCCCTCCGAGGAAGGCACCGGCTCTTGGATCGCGCTGGAACATGCTCATCGTTGTTGAGAGGAAAAGGTGTAATTCAGAGAGCGCAGAGCGCGCTCGCGAGTCTCCGCCAATGTGGCGCTATTCGAGGTCCGTGGACTAACCCTGATTACCCATTGATTCTGTTACACGAGTGTCCTAGAGTGTCCTTTTTCCATCAAACAGCGTTCATCTCGACAACAGGCAACGGCTTCATTTGACTCTCGCAGTTTTACATCTGCGGAGGCAATGCATTGGTAGGCCGAAAGAACGTACTACTATCCAAGCGATCCTGGCACTGGTATCAACAATCGTTTCTAAGCTTGCAAACACGAAGCTCTGATTCCTCAGGTCCGACCACTTCCCATGTCCTCCGATAAAGAGAGTTCTATCCGCGGTATGGCTACTCGCAGATGATTCGAAATGAGTCCTTCATCGAAATGTATAGCTTTCTGTGGCTTCACTTCGGGCTGCTTTGTATGGTATGGAAATGTCAGGCTCTCTCGGCTGATACGAACAGACATTGCCCACCTGGCCAAACTTGTGAACTCTTGACGCAAAAAACAGACCACCTTCCTCTACGTCGATCTGTCTACCTTGTCCGTTCCCACTTGCTACCCTCCTGACTCTGCGGTCCCGGGCTGGTGTCACCCCTGGGTCACTCGAGCAGTTGATCACCTGTGCTTGGAGGGGTAACCTGATGTTTGCTGCAACGTGGCTGGTGATACGCGGCTTATGTGCAACGACGCTACCAATGATAGGTCTTGCAACGTCTTCGAATGGATTTCTGTCCATTGGTTTCCTCGGTGTATCCCCTGAAGGTGCGGCGTCCAGGAATGGGTTGCGGATGGATTGCATGCTCTCATCCGCATACGCCAACTCTCGTCGGCTATGGGTAGTCGGCTTTCGATCGATCGGCTCTCGACTGCTCTCTCGGGACACAAATGGAGGTGGCGGTAAGGCGTGCTGTTCATAAATTGGTAGGTCAAAATTGAGCGTCTGCCAGTGTCGTTTCATCGTGTCAGATAACTCCAACACAGTATTTGAGGTCAACTGACCAGGTAGGGCTGTCTGTTCTTCTCCTTCTCGGTCTGTACGCGGGTCAACATAAGTATTCTGCCAGACTATGTGGAACACGTACTGCGTCCTCTACCATGCTCCATTCATCTTCGACCCTGAACACATAGGATTCCTCCGCATTCTTGACATCCATCTGCAACGCTGTAAGCAATCACCCACGCGAAAACTCCTACTTGAATAACCTTTCCCTGCAGAAGTCTAGCCTTCTCGCTGGTGCTTCGACCTCTCTTCTCGAGGAAATGCATCATAAGGCTCGGTGGTGTGGTGGACGTAGTGCAAATGGATACAGGTAGGATTGGCTGTATCGCTCATCTAGATATATACCTGCATTTCGTTTCTATGACTGATGGTCTGGATTGTGATCCCCAGCCTCTGAAGCAACCTCAGGCCACTGCCAAACTACTTGGTTGCAACTGCTGCTAAGACGATTCGGATTCACAGGCTGCATTCCAGGCATAGTGTCAACCTCTAGAATTGTATGGAAAGGTCGATTAGTCGTGGGGACATAGCCGTCCATATGACAGCATGATTGAACACTTTCATCACTTTTTCAAACAGTTAGTAGTAATCTACAGAATCCCTTTCTGTGCTGGATTCATATTCCATAGTTACTCAGAAAGTATCGTCTCGTCCTACAGTTTCTTTGCGAAATTGACTGACATGGACCTACAAGCTAACACGTCCAGAGACAGGTGCAGTGTGACGTAAGTGGGTGGCTGCCCGATGGACCTCGTTTTGGGCGTCTGGGGAAGTTCACCGCGCAAGCTCGCATAGCACCTTGAAGATTTGTACAGCGAACTTCCCAGTTCTCCAGAAATTCTCTTCCTACCTGTTTCCCTCATTAACTGTGAAGCATGTCTACCATATCATCGCCGTTAACCACGGTAAATGTACACGCACGTCACGATCCGTAACATGGAACTAAGGCTGAAAGGCACAGGCTCACCAACATGCATCCAACGCCGATGATTTCATCGCCCAAGGATTATTGGTCTCTGCTGCAGAGGAGCACGAGAAAGCAGCAGAAGCGTTTCAGACCTGTATTGACTCATCTCACGATGAAAACGTTGCGTGTCTTTCTCGAGTTCACGAGGAGATCCTCCATTTATGCATACATTTCTTCCGCAGGCCAAACGAACACTGCGCATGCTATTTAGTGAACACATTAAGATCGCGAAGGACCTGAACAGGCGGATAGAAAAATTGAAACAGGATGGTGTGGACCCTTCCTTACCCCAGAAACCTGCGGCTCCCCGTCCCGCACCGGTTCCAACATACTTTGCTTCCCGACCTTCGTCATCCCCGCCTCCAACAAACATTCGAGGTCGGATGTCAGACTCACAACACACAGTCGATGAATCGTTCATGCTCCTTGGGCAACAGGTGCGCTGCTAAGTGTCTTCATCTCCGGATTGTTCCGCTGACGTATGTTTTGCCACAGTCAACAGACGCTGGAGACGCTTTCAATACATTCTGGAAAGCGATGGAAGTGCTCGATCATTTATCTCAACCCGTAGCGTTTGCCACAGCATCTCTTGGCTTGCCGGAGTCTTCGCGTAGAGCATTGGGGAGGGAAGGAAGCAATAGCAGCGACACGGACTACGAAGACGTCGGTCGATCTCGTCGAGCCCGTGCTTCGGGACAATCTCGGGTCCTATCGCCTGATAACTCTTTTGCTACAGCGTATGATGGCGAGATTAGTAGAGATACTACGAAGTCAACGCGCATAAAACAGTCTGTCATCGACCCGCGAAATGATTTTGATGAAATCGTGGACGAAGGTGAGCAGAAGCATGTGATCATGGAATTTGTGAGACTAATGACTTAGTGACACGGATGCAGACTATGACTCTTCTGATTCCTTTTGTATGATCCCCTCGAAGTCTGAGGCTTCGCCGTCAATGCTCAAAAAAGAGATCGTTTCTCTCAAATCTGACCTTGAGGCCACCCAAAAGCAGCTAGAAGTCGTTGAACGGCAGCTCGAAATACGTAAGGAGCAAGATCAGCAGCTCAGAGATAACATTGTCGTCGCACGCAGAGAAGTACTGCAGTTGTGCATACCCGTCTGCTTCGAGAAGCTGACTGCCGATGTAGGCACAACGGGCCATGGGTGCATCGCTTGTGGTCCAGCGGCAAGGGCAATCTTCGTTTGATATCGGAAGTCTGAATTTGGGTTTGGTTCCGCCCCCACCGCCTATGCCACCGATAAATCCAGGGCGAGATAGAGAATTGATGCGTCGCATAAAGGAGCTTGAAGAAGAATTACGAACAGTGCGCGTGGAAAGCGAGAAACAAGTCAGCCTTTCTATATTCTTTAATCTCGTTCGGATATTAATCTGTCAACAGAAAGCAATGATTGCGAAGTTCCGTGAGCGCTGGGACAAGTTGAAGGAGTCAGCGAAGCGCAAGCGGGAAGCGAGGGCTGCTGCTGCTGGTGTACAAAGTGCAATTGTACATGAGCGTATTGACGAAGAACCTGAGGCCGAGGCCGAGGCCGAGCAAGAACAGTAGACATGATGTTCCATTGCTCTCTCGAGGCGGACGAGACGCAGTTGAGGTGATTCCGATCCCAATATGCCCCCTCTCAAGTTTTTCGTCTTCTTGAAATCATATGTTGTATCGATAGCCCTCTAGGCATACCTCTTGTATATATGGATGCTTTATACTAGGTTCTTTTGTGATGTGTTAGCTCAGCGGCGAATCCGATATGAATACCGTGGACGGAGGACGGGATATCGTCGTAAGCGGCACGCACTCCTAGCACACTCCAAAAGTAAAGGTCAGGCCATTAAAATCACGCCAATTGAAAGCACTGAACTTCCGAGGTCATAAACAGAGCCTGACGCCCACGATGATGATGTATCATTGAAGCTAGTCCGATATGTTTTGATCTTCCCTGGGCATACTTAGAGGAGTGAAATGTGCTAAGACATGCCACCAGGGAAGCGAGTCCTCTTCGCACACATGGGTGCTCATGCACATGCGTGACGTCCGGAAGAATTCAGCTGCCATGGAAGAAGGGGCGAAAACTCGGAGTTCGCAGGGACTCATCAAGCAACCAACTAATCAGTGTGGGTAGTTCATACTAGAAGGGGTGCCGTTAGTTGGTGGCCTAGGGCAGTCGGAGGGTACTGAAAAATAGATGCAATTTCCATATTACAGTCGTTTGCATGTCAGCTTGCACTCGATGTGGGCGAGAAATTGTTTGTTGTAGCCAAACAGCATGATATCCTTTATCACTTTACACAGCCACCGGCGCGCGACAACTTCAACGACCACCGCTCCTTGAATGAACGGAGTTGAGTCAGAGCCTTTATGCTGTGAGTCATGCCAGTAGACAATGAGTTCCCTCAACTCGACGGAGAGCTGAGGTGCCATAGAGCAACCGCCGACTTTACGAAGTAACAGTAGGTAACAGTGTGACCCATGTGACTATTTGGCTACAACAAACAGTTTTTCGCCCGCATCGAGTGCAAGCTGTCATGCAAACGACTGTAGTATGCATCGATGACCATCCTACTTTTACGCAAATAAACCGAAATCGACGATGCGCAAAGAGCGCACGGCAGAGTCAAAATCTGCCCTCATAGTGGTGAAACCTTCCTCTCCAACGGCGCCATCATCGGAGGACGTGATGGGCACGTTCATGGTCAGCACGAGATCCACGCCCTTAGTTTCCACTCTATACAGGGCCATGAGAACTCGTACATCATCCGCACTGGCCCTATTGAATTTCTGAACAAGTTGAGTCCCATAAAGAGCGATGGGAGAAGGGGTATCATCTCCTCTGTCATTCGGGATGACAGTTATTTCATGCACTTGGCTTGACTGCGCCGAATTATCGTGAGCCAAAGAGTCAAAATGAAACCTGAAAGAGAGCAAAGGTCGAAGATCACGGTGAGATAAAGATAAAGCCTAGGATATAGAATACCAAACCTGGCCGCATTAGAAAAGTCATCAGGCTCGACCCTCTGTAAGATCTCGAAGATGATGCTGACGCTGGAGTCAGGATACAAGAGGACCTCTTGAGTGTCTGGGACTTGACGCAGATTACTGAGATTTTTTGGTCGATGAGAGGATTCGAGCAGAGATATCCACCAACGTACGAGGCGTCGACTAGCCTGGATGGCAATGTAGCAGTTATGGTCCCTCCAAAGAGATCTCGTTTGGTAAATGAAGTCATTATTAGAACGAGCACTCTACCAGAAATACTAGGTGACACTGAGCGACCAAAAGTCACGTGTAATATGGTGTGCACGTGCATCTGTCACGCGATTTGTTGGATGATGGGCTCCCAATACATCGGGAGGGAGACCGTCTAAATACGACTTGTCACTGACGAAGTACACTTCTAACCATGGCCGATGCAGGCCGTCGCTTTACCATGCAGCCTCCCAACACAGATCTTCGCTCTGGTATCCCTGTACCTATGTCCACTGCGAAGAAGCCAGGATCGGGCATGCGACTGTCCACAGCTGGCCCAGCTCTCCGAGGACTACATCCTCCAAATGCTATGGCACCTCCATCCACTAACCCGCGACAATCTATGTACCGCTCTCAGAACATGAATCCACTGCTAGCTAGTGCCTCAAAGCCCAGCTTTGGACGGACACCACTTACCAGGTGAGTCGCCTTGGATTCTCTCATGTTCTTGATGTCAATAACTTGCAGTAGTGCACGTCGAGGATCCATGTGGGGAGGAGGCATGCCCCCGCCACCAACCTCCCAGGTTATCAAGGATGTTCGTCCACTTCGAGAGCCCCAGTTTCAGAGCAAAATGCGCCAAGATGTTTATAATTGGCTCCGGAGCACATCGTATGATATCTCGATGCGAACATTGACGAGCATCACTGGGAGAGATTATCGCGGTATCTTCAATCATCTTGTTTTGATGCTCGACGGAAATTATCCTTTCGACCCCAATTTGAAATTTGAAGACGAATTTATGACCGCACTTAAGGCCCTTCGGTACCCTTTTGTTGGCCAGCTTAAACCCATATGGCTTGCAGCACCAGCTAGTATGGACTCATGGCCCGCTTTGCTGGGTGTTCTACATTGGCTGGCCATGCTATGCAAGGTAAGTTGATGGCCTGTACGCCTCGACAAATGTAAGATTTGACGATTGCTATTTCTAATGCTTCCTTTTTACGGTAGGGTAGATTAAACTATTTGGAAAGTATGCATTGGACGCTTTTAGATTCAAGTGAGGTGCCAGAGGAGTTTGATGATGAACATCACCATCACACACTCGCATTCGAACACTGTAGCGAGGCCTATGAAGTCTTTCTGTCCGGTGTTGACGATTATAGTCCCCAAGAGAGAGCATTGGAAGCTCGATACAGTGAGTGGCAGTGTAGATGTCCTTTTCAAGTTGCTATAACAAAATCTAGAGAAGAAGAACGAACGAGTCATCCAGGAACTAGAAGAGCAAAAGGCGTTGCTAAAAGAGGCTCAACTGGAGTACGCGAAGGCCATGTCAGAAGCGGTCAGTGCTTGTTCCAAAACGGCTTGGTCCATCTGATGCGTGCCACCCACAGGCACCAATCGAAAAGCTAAAGAAAACCAATCAATCTTTGAGACGCGATCGAGAGAAGTTTCAAGAGGTCATAATGCGGTGGGAGATGAGGAAAAACAAGCTCATCGACTATATTGCTCAGGAGAAGGCAGAGTTGGCAATGAGGGGTAGGTTCATCATCGCAATCATCCTTCGGATGTCCCACGCTGACTGACAATCGTGCAGCAAATTATCTGGAGGAGCTGAAAACGGAGCAGGGGAAGCTGAGTGATATCGTAAAGGAACAAAATCTATCCCCCGAGGAAGTTATCCGGATGAACACAGAGCACGAACAGCTTTCCCGAAATCTAGAGGACCTCAGACATAGGATAGCGGAATCCAATAAGGTCATATTATCTCTCGAAGTCACTGTCACGAATCGTGGTTCTGCTGCGGAGGAGGCTTTAGACGCCTACACGAATCTGCTTTCCACCCTCGGACTCTTTCCGCCATTACCATCACCGTACGAGGATGTCGACTTGACATTGGAATTAAATACCGCAGCATCAAATCCGCAACAACTACTATTGGGCGCGGATCTTCGACGTGTCATCAAACCTACGTTGAGTGGAGTGGCAGAATCAAAACGCATCGAGCGTGCTGGCCTAGAAAGCGAGCGAATCAAGGTCGACAATGAGCTTGATCAGCTGGTGCTAGAGTGCGAGAACTTGGAGGAGGAGATACACCAAATCGAGAAGAAGGTGGTTGCATTGAATGAACAGGCTGAAGACCTTCGAGAAGTGAGTCTTCTTATTACTCGAAGTGGTTTCTCACCTTTCTGCAACTCGACGTTTAGGCTGTTCAACAAGAGGCACACGTAAGCAACGCTGAGGCTACCCGGCTAGAAAGAGAACTTGCACAGGCCAGAACCGCTGCCCTAGCCAATGGTGTCGGTGTGAAGTCTCGTCTACAAGGGCTACAAATTGCGTGGGTCTCTTCTTAATCCTCGATGGTTGCGTCGTCATTCACGTTACCCGCATCCACATCAGATATCGAGAGCAAGTGGAGAAGACTGCTCGGTTGAAGGATGAGACTGTCCGAGCTATCGTCAAGAACAGTAGCGAAATTGCTGTGTTCAAGGAGTCTATCTCGCAGCAACTCAAGGATCTTCGCGACTTCGCAGAAGCAAACTAATATATTTTATCATTGTGTTTGTATATGCCTGAGTGAGCCTGGTTGCCTATCGTTCTGCACCACCTATCCCTATCGTCTTGTATTAACCTATGTACGCCATCTAATAACCTTCATCACTTGCTTGAGTTGTTTTATAGAAATTGTCGTATCCTCCATCTTGTGTTGAATGTGACATCTTTTAATTCTCCAAACTGCAGTCGCAGGGCAAGGGAGCCCCCCTTGACAGTGCTGTGTGTTACTCGTCGTTGATGCATACTGTGTATGGTTGTCGGATCATGGGCATTTATACCCGCTTTGTTCTCACCCAGAAATCTGAGATCCGAATTGTGAAGGAGAAGGTACGGTCAAGTCAAATTGCACTTATAGCGAGTGGAATTGGGTCTTTGCTGGTTAATGTTAATTATCTGACTGTTCTGGCTTGACATGCCGAGTTTGATTTCAGCTTGCCATGTCTGCAGAGCACGCGTCCCTTCAAAGCTCTGTCTGACATGTACCCTGTCTTCACAGTGTCGGGCAACGCAAAACAAACTGCTCCGGTTCCACTGCTGCGGCACGCCCGGTAGACCCGATATACCGAAACTTCTCTGTCATGGAGGGCGATCGGTTGGACACATCCAGCTGTTATTCAACGTGCAACTCGCGGCATCCTATTCCAACTATACGACATTCTGTGATGAAACTCGTCCGTTGAAACCGCCGACGGAAACTTCTTCCAATTAACGAGTATCCTAACGTCATTGTACAGCTTCAGCGCGCTATGGAAGCTATCTCGAGTTCAACCTTGGCATCGGTGCGAATGTAGCGTTTACTGCGCCGGCAAAGCGTTATGAAGTGAAATTTATATCACATCTAGAAAATTTGCCCCATACTATGACAAAATATCTATCCTAATTGTTGACCAACACAGAAGATATAGCCGTCTTGTGTAGAGCAAAATAGGTGCTCAGTGTGGCTCATTCATATCGAACCTCAAAGCTTCAGCGGGATTTGGAGCGGACATGCAAATGGTCCGCCCGGTGAGTTTCACACCACTGGCATTGGTTCGTGAGCCCGTCTTGCTCATAATTAGAAGGGCGTGAGCTATATACCCATGGTGCCGTTGCTCCACACTCCGGACTGCGTGTGTAATATCGGTCCTAAGCAGCTTCCCGACAAAAGCCACCTATGATGAGAGCCGCACCCTAAAATCGACACCTTTTGTGCCGTAAAATGCACGATATCGCGGCCGACACTGGATTTCTTCGTAGGCAAGTGATCGATACAATTCCCAATGATATATTGAATTCGTAACGTTCACTGATAGAGACAGAGCTCATCTGCTGTAGTACGAAGGCCAGCCATGAGAAAGTGACACGCAAGTATATCCCGCAACAATGAAGTAGTTTCCCAGTTGTTGCGAGGCCAACACAAGCTTGCCTATAGGTGTGGGCAAGTATAGGTTCGCACTCGCACGCGCGTGGATCATATCACCCTGTAGGAAGTTGCGTTATAATTCCTCGAGGAGTACCTGGCTCGGTTCCTTTGCGATTGAGAGATTCTATCCGCAGACATGATTCCCGGCTTTCCCTGACCACGGATCCGGACTGTCCATGTCCTTGGATGCTCTTTTCTCCTACGCTTACACATGTACTTCTACTCATTTGCAGTATCTTTGTCCCACAGAACGATTCCCAAGTGTGGGCACTTTCTACGACATAAGAAGGGCGCAGGGTTCGCAATCTCTCTCGACGCCCCCCGCCTCCCGCGACAATCCTCTACGGCCTCTCCTTAGACGACATTCTCGGCTACCGTCATTTTAGTTCTCAATGTCTACCAACGTTGAAGGAACCGTTCCCGCCTATGATGATGCCGAGAAGGGGACGTTGGAGGTAAACCCTGAGCAGATGGCTATAGTGCCTCTCGGTTACAAGGGAAAGAGAGAGGACACGGCAACGGTTATTGCCAAGGAAGTGACGCCTGCACCAACAAAACTGGCTTCTAAGCCTGCAGGCAAGAAGAAGAAGAAGGTATCAAAGTGGATTCTCTGGCAGCTGTGGTTCAACACGTACCGGTTCGTGCTCTTGGACTCGTCTGAGGACCTGATTCTGACATCTCGAATCGCTTTGCAGGAAACTCTTCACCTTTGTCTTCACTTTGAACATGGTTGGCATCGGCATTGCTGCGTCAGGTCACTGGCCATACGCTATCAGGTACAATGGTGCTATGGCGTTGGCAAACCTGAACTTCGCCATCTTGATGCGCAATGAGCTTTTCGGCCGTGTCCTCTACGCGATTGTCAATTTCTGCTTTGCTAAGGTACGTCTTGCAAAATCTCACAGCTATCTCTTCTCAAGACACAAATTACCCACGCGTGTAGTGGTCTCCATTGTGGTGGCGACTAGGTTGCACGTCAGTTCTGCAGCACCTTGGCGGCATTCACAGTGGCTGTGCCCTTTCCGGCGTCTGCTGGCTCATTCTAAAAGTCGTCAACAACTTTCGCAATCATCAAATCAACCACGATGCCATCTTGGTTCTTGGGACGGTCACAAATCTCACTGTTATCATCAGTGCCTTGAGCGCATTTCCGTGGGTTCGTAACACGCACCACAAGTAGGCTCTTCCCACCACAGCATGTGCTTCGTTTCTGACATGGTCAAAGCGTGTTCGAGCGTCACCACCGTTTCGCTGGCTGGCTAGGACTTCTTCTGACATGTAAGCGCGATCAACCTAGGATTCTTCCTCGTAGGGCCTCACTCCCATGGCAGGGGTGTTCACAATTCTCGGTGACTCTTACAACGTGACTACCCGAACGTGGAACCTGAGCGGTATACACATTGCCCATCAGCAAGACTTCTGGTTTGCAATGGGAATGTCGGTCTTGTGAGCTGCGATTCCATTTTCTATGATGATCTCTGCGCTGACTTATTTTTAGCATCATCATTCCATGGCTGTGCGTTCGCGAAGTACCTATCGATATCGAGCTGGTAAGTGCTCACTAGAGCTCAGAAAGCATGGCATACTGAATCAAATCTCTAAAAATACAGCCGTCGCCCAAGGTAGCTGTGATTCGCTTTGAGCGTGGAATGCAACAAGGTCTCCTTGGCCGCATCTCTCGATCTTCAATCATGGAATACCATGCGTTCGGGATTATTTCGTGAGTAAATGTCTGATTCTACACGACCTTTGTTCCCACTCCATGTCTTCAGAGAGGGCACCCACGCGAAGTACCACTATATGATCTGTGGTGTGCAAGGTAGTCCCTTCATTATCCGCTTGTGGCAAGAAAGCCATTCGCTGATACACCTATCGAATAGGCGACTTTACCCGCAGTCTCGTCAACGACCCGCCAAAAACGCTCTGGACCCGAGAGCTGAAGGTATTGTTTCATTCCCGCTGTGGTCCCCCCCTCCCCACAGTGCTCTCATCGCGTCTTTCCAGTTTGCCGGCGTGTCCAACACTTCGAAACTGTACACTCGGGGCATTCGGGTATGCACCGGGACCGGTATCGGTGCTGCGCTGGCCACCTGCTTGCAGTCTCCCTATTGGTGTGTCCAACTTCAGCCTTCTCACGCATCCTCGGGACCTGACGCTCGTCTTCTCATCGTTCCTCCTCCCCGCATCAGGTATCTGATCTGGATCGGTGAGTCATTCTGCCTCTCTTCAGAGCCGTTGATCGAAGAAAGGAAGGACGGGCTCTATATCTGTGGGCATTGGAAACCCGGATTGGATGCTGATGCACCGGTGCCTATTCGTTCTCAGGTTCGGATATCGAGAAGACCTTCGGGCCTACCATTAGCGGGCTGATCCACCGCCATATTGGCCCGGAACGCCTGCTCCTGTGGGACAGTAGGGCCCGAGGGGGCAGACCCGACACAATGAAGCTCGTAAGGGACGTGTACAAGGAATGGCAGGCAGAAGGTGCGTCCATGGAAGTCATCGTGTCTGCGCCCCCTCATCCCTGAGACCGCGCCTACTCGATGCGTTCGCGTGTACAACAGTCGTGTTCATCACGTCGAACTATGTCGGTAATGCGGAGATTCAACAAGGGTGCAAGGAAGCTGGGATCCCTGCTTTCGGGACGCTGTGGGATTTCGTGAGTGGAACTTGACTTCGGCCTCCTCTAATCTTCCCATTTCTGACACCGTCTCCTTTTTTGTCCTTGTTGTCAGTGAGCTGCTTTCTTTGTCGCACGAAGCCCTGTATATATTTCCGATAGACTAGTTTGGCTCTGGGCACCATACGCATTATCACTCCACACACGCGCACACCTACGTATCGCACCCCCTTCTTACCACTTTCACGTCACTTACTCTATTCCGCGGAATTGCTTCTGAGCTGTTGTATTGTTGACGTTGACCACGACGAGCGGGACAATGGAGCGCCAGCGACGCAGCGGCTCGCGGGAACGCAGATGCGTTATTTTCATTCAGTCTTGGGCAACAGACTTTTTGTGACATGATTCTCCAAGTGAGAGGGAGGCCTGAGAACGCTCGAACGCTCTCTCGAGGGGCAGACGAGGCGTGGAGAATATCTTGACCCTGCCACGCGTCACGAAGCCGCGTACCTCGCTTGGGCTACGAATGAGATCGAGGATGGCTGTCATTGGACGAGAAGAAGATATGGTATACGTAGTGCGCTTGGAAATACGATGTGCGAATCGTGGAAGCGTGAGAGGTTGACGCCATGACGGGGAGATAAAATATGGGAGGGGGAGTCGGAGGCTTTTGGCCGCACGCCAATGCACACGAACCACTCGAGATGATGAGAACGAGATACTCGGAATGGAAGCCAGCCTGAGACGGGTTGTGGAGGAGATAAGTATGTCCATTGCATGGAAGCGACCTCACGGTCGTGATGATTGATTGGACGGACGCAATACACATCAGCTCCGGACGGGCAATCATGGTTCGTGCATCCCCGAGGTATAATGAACGCAGCGGGGGGCTGGATCTAATTGGACGATTGAAGACGATCAGGTGTTGGTAATATGAACTGGGGAGATGCCTGTGGCCTTGAGGCCTCGAAGAGGCTCCCCGCAGATACAGTCTGCCGAAGACTCAACGAAACTTGGTCCGAGTGAAGCATGCTCGCTGCGGAATGACTATGTCAACAGAGAGGAACCCAAGGACCATCCTATGACACTCGATCTCACCTCTCACGAACCCATTCGCGAATAAAATTGTCGCAGCAGGAGCCTGGAGGGTGGAAGAACGCGAATGTTCAATTTTCATCAAATTCCATTGAGGATCTCGGTCCTCAGATGAGATTATTGTAGCTACTTTCGAAACAACCCCGACCGAATCATCGTCTTTTTGGGTCCCGCAATCACTCTACAGAATGCCGGGCCTTTTACTGTGGTCTCCGCTCTGGATTCATTTTGTTGTCCTAGGGCCGAGTCGAAGTATAGACCTAGTTAGTCTCCGTGGCTGGCATTTACACAGAAGACAATCATTCTGTGCATAAGAAGACCTAGTCACATCTCGATAGTCGAGACTCGACAAGTGGTCTCGAAATCCTCCGTCGTGAACTGTCGTGAACCGCCCGGCCCACTTCTACCAGTGCCGGCTTGGCACTCAACGTTCAGTGATGCAAGAGAAAGAAAAAAGCAGTATGATCCAGGATCTCGATAATAGTAGCTGTGGAGTCTGGACCGGGCCTTGTCGGAAACGGACCAGATTGGACTAAATCCGGATTGAAATGCTGTCGAATGTCGGACCACGTTGGACGTTGGACGTTGGACGTTGGATATTGCTGGCAGCTGTGGCAATCGCAACCAAACTTGACTTCCAGCGCCCCGGTGTGGGTTCCGCTCAGAGCCGTCAGGCGCGTCAGAATGACGAGGCAGAGCCAGCAGCCACTCGGCACTCATGCGCGCAGTCTCAGTCCTCGGACAGCCTGCCACACGAACAATTTTATACTGTACGCATTTCCTTTCTCTTTTCCTTTCTGTTTCTATTTTTGTTTCTTTTTTTTTTTACCACTCGGCGCTCTGTACATGTCTCCTCGCGCCGTGACTCACGTGCACCGAACGCGGTTGTGAGCGTGAGCTGGGGGGTACAAGGCCCGTGGACGCTGCCATTCCGAGCTCACGTCTGGGCACAACCACTAAGCCAAGGCCAAGGCCACCCGACCACCCGACAGCACGGAGAGAGAAAATATATAAAGCATACAGCGCGGCGCGGCGCGCAGCCGCCCGGGGCTGCCCAGCACCAGCACCAAGCACCAAGCACCAGCACCACACGTCCCAGCTCGCGCGGAGCCGCTGCCCACACGGGTGACGGCGATCGACGGACAGACGCGGACAGACGGAGAGATAGATAGATAGATCGAGCGGTAACGGGGACTCACGACACGACGCTAGAGAGGGGGAACGCGATCGCGGAGAGGCGGACAACGTATAGACATGCGCGTGTGATAAGCGAGAGGGTACGTGTGTATCTGAACAGAGAGGTGCGAGAGGAGAGGGGAACGTGGATATGGATGTGGAAGCGCGGAAGAGGAAGAGAGATCATTATTTGACGGAGAAAGAGGAGGGGGAGATGTCGGGCAACTAACGAACAGATGAACAAACAGAGACGGAAGCAGACAGGCCCGGAGGCACCCCGGGAGAAGATACAGCGACAGCGCGCGGGATAGAGACGAGAAGAAACGGGATAGAAAAGAGACGGAGGGGTGGAGGTGAGGGGCGATAGGACGAATGATACACGAAAAAAAAGGAACAAAAAAAAGCTGAAAGAGAAAGGGAAAGAGGCGGCGGAGGCCGCGAGCGTCGGGTATGATGTGGGCGTGACGCGCGTCGCGCTACGTGAGGCAGTACGCCTCGATGACCTGGCCCGACCTGCCCATCCACGCCCACCGGCGGCCAGGCTGGATATGCGTGTTCGGCTCCAAGCGGAACCCGCGGCGCGCGAGCTCCGTGACGATGCGCGAGATGTTACGCGCGTCCTGGCCCGATGCGACGCCGCGAGCACGACGATCACGACCGGTCGAAAATCGGAAGCGGAACACACGTCAGAAAGGAGGCAAGGACGTCAGCGTGGGTGGACGGAGACGGGGACGGGAGAGGGGAAGGGACTGACGTCGATGCCGCTGTGCTCTCTGCCTTGGAATGGCGCGAGGCCGAGCGCGCGGAGCTGGCCCGCGATGTTCAGCGATAACCGCCTCGGTAATAACGGCTGCGAAAGGCACCCGTCCAAACACGACCGTTGTTCAAGGAAGATAAGCGTGCGTGCGTGCGTGCGTGCGGGAATGCAAACGTAAACGCCGGCCGTGTGTTATTTTTATTTTTATTTTTATTTTCAGAATATTGAGATAGGGGCCGGGCGCGCGAAAAGGGAAGACGAGACCGACCTTCTTCGTTTGCGCCATCCCGAACTGCCAATGGCTCACCACCCTGCGGACGTCCATGACGTCGCCTCTGATCCAGTGCGGCATCTGCATCTGTGTGCGAAGATCGCGTTATCGTAAGAACCCGAGCACGAGCTCGCACGCCGCCTGAGTTGGCGCCCAACGTCTCCGCAGACGTGGGTGCGGGGGCGTTTGTGGGGAGGGGGGGGGGAGTTGAAGCTCACCTTGGAGATGAAGCATTGCTTCACGACGAAGTCTCGTACGTCGAACGGGCCGTCGGTGCACCAGCAGAAGCGAACGAGGCGCTCGCCGGTGTCTGGGTGGATGAGGCCGTTCTTGGCGAGGAAATGCGAAAAATTCTCCGCGACCTGCGGAAACTGGGGCGCGTTGTCGACTTGTTCCTGCGCACGCGGGACGGGTGGGGGACGGTGAGAAGATGGACGAGAACGCAGCGGGAGGGTGTGAGGACGGGTGAGCGGTGGGGACGGGGGGTACTGACCTGTGTGATGCCGGTGAGGGCGGTGCAGAACTCTGAGAGTTTGGGACGCCAGGTGGGACGGACGAAGCTCCTGAATTCGTCGACAGTCTCGAGCGTGCTTGCGTGCCCGTTCTTCTGCTTGTCCGTCCATCTGAGGAGGCAGACGGGCCATTCCTGATAGACGGATATGATGAGAACGTTCCTGAAGCTTGTGGGGTGATCACGCGAGCAGACGCACGATGATCTCGTTCGGCCACTGGAAGTCTGTGCCTTGAAGACATGTAGCCTCTACGTCGAGGACGAGGAAGGCGTCGAAGGGCTGGTGGACGAAGGGGGGGAGGGGTTCTGGGGCTGCGACAGGGATGTCTGCGGAATCTGAGACGAACACGGGGGCGTCGTTGGTTGTTGCGGAACGGATGAAACTGGCGGGGAGTGGCGCGGGCCTCGCCTTGATGATGGAGAACATGGTGCGGAAGACGGAAGCGGACGGGGTGGAAGAGGAAGGGGGGGCCGGGGGGTGGTGTGGGAGATCAGCAGGGGACGTGTACCATCGAGCGAGGAGGAGGAGAACGGCGGCGGCGAGGAGGAGGATGTGTGCGGGTGCGGCGAGGGAGGGGGGATGTGAGAGAGAGAGGAGGTGGAAGGGCATCGGGCGCCCTCGACTGGACCGTCGCCACGGACGCGAGCGATCCTCTGAGGCTGCGACCCCGCCACCGCTAGCGCCCGCCGCGGTCCTCATCGGCTTCGGCCGGCACACGCCGCCCGTCCCTCCGCCCCCTCGGCGCCCTCCCTCCCCTCCCTGCCCACCGTCCACCGCTCCCCATGTCTCAGCACGGCGACGACCTCACAGACGACTTCGTCCCCGACGACACAGTAGCCCTCGACGACGATGGCGCTGCAGGCTCCCTCGTGGCCGACAACGACGACATCGGAAAGCTCCTCAGCGCAGACGAGGACGAGGACGAGGACGACCGCGCGGACGAGAAAAAGGCTTTGATGGAGAAGAAGCGGAAACGACGGGAGAAGGAGAAGGAGCGCAGGCTCAAGGTGAGTCTTTTCTGCCGTCCCCCGTCGCTCCAGCCCGTCATCCCATCCCTTCTCCATCCTCGCCCTCCTCGCCGGCTACCCCAGAAACGAAAGCTCGCAGAGCCCACCCAGGAGGTGTCAATCGCTGCCCAGCCCCCTGCCGCCTTGGCCGACTACCTCTCCACTATGCAGGCCAAGTCCTTCCCAAAAATGTCCGCAATCGAGCTCCAGGACAGGCAGATCCCCGGTGCGCCCCGCCCTTCTCCTGTGCCCGGCGAGGCCTTCTGATATTGACGGCGCAGGCAGAGTCCTCCATAGCGGACACGACCGCATGGACGGCATCGAGGAGCTTGGACGATCTCGTCCAATTTATAGTCCAAGGTGCGCGCGCCTTCCCGTCACCCGTTCAGACCCGTCCTCGGTCTCGGCGCACGGCACCCGTTCACGCGCCGTGCCCGTGTCCGTGTACATCTCGCGTTTCACGTTCTGACGCGCGCGCTTGCCTTTTCTTTTTATCATGGTGCGCAGCGGTACCCACACTGCACACGCGCCTGTCCCAGCGGACCAAGTCGCCTGGGGCACCCACGCTGCTCTTCCTCACTGGCGCGGCCTTGCGCGTCGCGGACGTGACGCGAACGCTCAAGAGCAAGACGTTGCGGGGTGAAAAAGGCGCCGACGTCGCGAAGCTCTTCGCAAAACACTTCAAGCTGCAGGAGCACGTCGAGTATCTCAACAAGACCAAGGTCGGCGCAGCGGTCGGCACGCCGGGCAGGGTGGGCAAGCTGCTCTGCGAGACGAGTGCGTGCATACCGTGCTTTCGTGCGCGCGTCGGAGGGCGCTGACAGGGGCGCTTTGATGTGTTGCAGATGCGCTGGCCGTGTCGGCCCTCACGCACATCATGCTCGACGTCAGCCATCGGGACTCGAAGTCGCGCTCTCTGCTCGACATCCCGGAGACGCGAGACGAGGTGTTCAAAACGGTGCTCGGCGCACCACAGGTTTTCGCCGCCATCCAGGCCGGGAAAATTCAGCTCGTGCTTTTCTAGGTTATTTCACGCCGTAATTCCCACACGTTGCATATGTCGGTTTGGCGAGGGTCATTATATTACGAAGTAGAACATAGTACGAGCAGGAGTAATCTAGAAGCCCTTGGGGTTCACTCTGTGCGTGATCTGAGGGCAGCATTGAGTATCAACGAGCGCTTGAAAAAAATGTGTGGACAGAGGGCGTACACGAGTGAATTTGGGCACTTTGTGGATGCCCTTTCGGTAGCCTCGTGCGTGAGGGGTGAAGACGGTGTACTTGTCCTTCGGGTCCATCTCGTGCTCTTTCGGAAGCTCGAGTGCGCTGGTCTGGAGCGAGTATCAGATATGCACGAACCGTTTCGGGTGCGAGGGGACACACCAGTGCGCTGCACTCGACGCCGCTCGCCCGCACGGCTTCAATAACCGCATCCACCTTCTTCAAGCGGGTTCTGACATTGGCTTTGCGGGTCGACGACAGGCGCCATGGCACTTTCCTAATGGCACGCAGAGCGTCATCGCCCCCGGACACGCACGCGAGGCTGTCCACTCACCACAGAAGACCCACATTGACGGGCGAGGTGGCCCTGAACGCGCCGAACATAGTAGCAGCGGGGAAGAGAGGGAGGAGTCACGTGTGGCCGCGGCCACGAAGGTTCGGGCAAGGTTCCCACGGGACGTAACGTTTCTTTCTGCAAGCTGCTAGCACAGACGCCAACAACGTCGACGATGAACGGAACCGTCGTCGTCTCAAACACCCCACCCACCCTCAACGGGCACGCCATCAATGGAGGCGCCAACGACAATGGCGCCATGCTCGCCCACGACGCACCGCAGGGTGCGATGAAGTTCACCAGTGGACTCATCCTCCCCCCGCCCGAAGTCAAATGTGCGTCTCTCTCCGTCTGCCGTGTCCGTGCGTTGTATTTACTCCACGCTGACAATTTTATCTCTGCGCCCCCTCCTTGCTCTCGTCCTCCCACCTTCTCCTGATGCGCGCGCACAGCCATCATCGACCGCACGGCGCTCTTCGTCGCGCGCTCCGCGAACCCGCCCCAGTTCGAAGACAAGATCCGCGAGAACCAGCGTCAGGACCCCAAGTTCTCGTTCCTCAACCCGGCCGACCCTTATCATGCTTATTACAGGCACCGCATGGACAAGGTCGTGCAGGGCGAGCTCGACGAGGACGTCGAGGTGAAGGAGGCCAAGGGCGAGGAGAAGGCGGAGCCCGCGGTCGAGGCCGATATCGGCAAGGAGCCGCCGCCGCCGGAGTTCATACTCGAGTTGCCGAACATCAGCGCGATTGACCTGTGCGTGTCTCCTTTGTTGGGTCGGATTTGGGCTCGCGTGGCGTGTCGGTTTGGGTGAGTCGGTGTGGGTGGGATCGCTGATGCTCGATTCGTCTGGTACAGGGACATCATGAAGCTCACCGCGCTCTTCACCGCGCGGCGCGGGCGCGCGTTCCTCAACGCGCTTTCCATGAGGGAGGGCCGGAACTACCAGTTCGACTTCCTCAAGCCGACGCACTCGCTCTTTGCGTACTTCAACCAGCTGATCGAGCAGTACACCAGGGTGCTGCTCCCGAGCCAGGAGACGCTCGCGCAGCTCAAGGAGCGCGCGGAGGCGGGCGCCAAGTGGAAGATGCTCGACGTCGCGCGGAAGCACGCCAAGTGGGAGCAGAAGAAGCGCGAGCAGGAGAAAAAGCGCGAGGACGATAGGGAGGCTGAGCGAAGTGCGTTTTCCACCCATCCGTCCCACTCGTCATCTCCGTCACTCCAACCGTGCGCCACGGGCGTCGCGTCGTGCGGATCTGCGTCGACGGACAGCTGACCGCCCGTCGCACCCACAGCCGCGTTCGCCGAGATCGACTGGCACGACTATGCCATCGTGCAGACGATCGAGTTTACCGCCGCAGATGCCGCGTCCGAGCTTCCGCCGCCTATGAGCGTGCAGGAAGTCGAAAACATGACGTTGGCGCAAAAACGCATGGCCGCGATGGTCATGGAGACGACCGCCGAGGACGTCGAGGCGCACCGCGCGCGCCAGGCTGCCGCCGAGGCCGAGGCCGCCGCGACCGCGACCGCGGAGGAGGACGCCATGGCGGTGGAGGAGAGCGACGAGGAGGATGCGGAGGTCGAGGAGCGGAGACGAAAGGACGAAGCGGAGAGGCAGAGGGAGCTGGAGAGAGCGCGGGCCATCCAGGCCAACTCGCTGGAGGCCGGTGGCCCGATGAAAATCAGGACCGACTACGTCCCGAAGAGTGAGTCCGAGCGCTCGCTTCGCTTGTTTGGTCGTGCTGACGAACGTCTGCTCGCGCTGCACAGTTGGCGCGAAGACCAAGGTCGCGATGACCACGTGCACGATCTGCGGGCAGCAGGTGCCGGTGAACGAGCTGCAGGAGCACATGCGGATCGAGCTGCTCGACCCGCGCTGGAAGTCCCAGCGCGACGCGCTCGAGGACCGCAAGGCGCAGGCGTCGGAGCTGCAGCGCGGCGCGAACGTCGTGTCGTCGCTCAAGAACCTCGCGCGCACGCGTGTGGACATCTTCGGCGCCGAGGCGGACGAGGAGCGGCGCAAGCGCGACGAGGAGGAGGAGCGCGAGCGCCGGAAGGAGCGGGAGAAGGTCGTCTGGGACGGGCACACGGCGTCCAGGGCGAACACGCTCGACAGGTACTCGACCAACGTCAACTTCGACGAGCAGATCGCGGCCATCCATCGCGCCAAGGGTCTCGGACCGTACGTGATCTTTGCTATGCAGAGTTAGGTCAGAGTATCTACTGACATCCTTGCGCCTTTTGTGTGTATGCATCCACAGACAAGAAGCCAATGCCATCGGCCCCGGTATCGGCCCTGCCGCTGCGCCGCCCCCGATGAATGCGCCGCCCCCTGCCGCACTCCCCATCCCTGCGAAGCCCATCGGCGCGTCGACCGTGCCCGCGACCGACTCGGCGTACTCCGCCGCCACAATCTCGTCGGGCCCGCAGCCCGCGTCGCTCTACCCTCCGCAGCCGCCACCCGTCATGCTCCCGCCGCTGCACTACCAGGGCCTCGACGCCGCACAGCCGTTCGGGTACCAGCCCCCGCCTCCCGGGCGCCCCGCCTTCAGCCCACCCGGCGCGGCGGGTACGCCCCCGGTCGTTGCGGGCGCCGGGATGGTGCGGAGCGCGGACGAGATGATGGACGGCGCGCCTGGAGACGATATGCCCCCCGCGAAGAAGCAGCGGGTCGCGAAGCTGCCGGGGGGACAGATGTACCCCGAGCAGGACTGGGTCAACATGCACCCGGTGCGTTTTTTTTTTTTTCTTCCTTTTTCGATCCCTCTTCCATTTCATTTTATCTTACTTTATCGTGTTTCAATTCCCTTGCGATGACACGGGCTCACCTCGCGCGTCCTCTCCAGCACCCGATCTCGCTTCAGGTGCAGATGCCGACGGACGCAGCGCGGCCGGAATGGAAGCTCGACGGGGCGGTGGTCACGGTGCACGAGCTGCCGCTCACGCTCCTCGTGTCGACGCTGCGCGACCGCATCCTCGCCGCGACGGGGAGCGCGGTGCCGGCGTCGCGCATCCGGCTCGCGCAGGGCGGGAAGATGCTCGCGAACTCGAACACGATCGCGAGCTACAACCTGGAGGACGAGGACCTGCTGGTGCTGAGCGTGCGGGACCGCAGGTAGATGGCGGATTGCTACGCGGTTTCTCTTTTTTTGGTGGCGCTGGTGTTGTTGTTGTTGTTGTTGTTGGTGGTGGTGGTGGTGTTTGTAAGGTATTGTTGCTGCTGTTTATACTCATTTCGTTATCTGTCTGCGATGGGAAAGCACCTCCGGGCGTTATTGCCCTGGTGCCCACTGCGGCGTGACTGCATGGATAACACTCAGGAGTATATATTCGTTCTTCGAATGTGCTACTATCCTGCATTCGACGCCATGCCAGCAGAATACATATGGTGGACAACAATGCTGGACATGATCAGTATGCTCCAGTACCCGATTTGGATTGGGGAGACGCGACGACTTGATCGGGACGCGTCGATGTTCTCTTGATCCTTGGGTGTGCCTCTACAACCTCGACAAACGCTACTTTTTTCTCTTCCGTTCCACATGGCCTCAGACCGGACACAGGCAGATGCTCGCTATGATTATTGCCCCTGCACACCGTGCCGCACGCATGATCCGCCTTTCATCCAGCAGCGCCGCACGATCCACCGACACGGCCAACGTGAAGAAATGAATTTGAGAGACAAGGCTCTGGCGACTGCAAGGGCATGAAAGATGTCCCTCAGGCGAGCGCCCAAGAAGCCGGATGATCCTGGGATACCGAACACGGGGAAGGGCTTTCGTGTAGGTAGAATGGGATACGTGATCGCTGGCGAAGCATCCGGTGGCCCTTTTCCCCTCACGCGAGCATCCAAGAAGCCAGATAATCCTGAGATGCCGAACGCGGGGAAGGGCTTTCGTGTAGGGAGAACGGGATACGTGATCGACGGTGAAGCATCGACGGGGCTCGGTGGGCCTTTACACCTCGGGCGAGCACCCAAGAAGTCAGACAATCCTGGAATGCCGAACACGGTGAAGAGCTTTCGTGTAGGGAGAATGGGATACGTGATCGCTGGTGAAGCATCCGGTGGCCCTTTTCCCCTCACGCGAGCATCCAAGAAGCCAGATAATCCTGGGATGCCGAACGCGGGGAAGGGCTTTCGTGTAGGGAGACGGGGACACGAGATCGCTGGTGAGCCTTTTTCCCCCCTCGAAACCTTTTTACATACATGGAGTAAACTAACCTCTCACATCTGAACAGCACCTATGCATAAAAACGCCGCGACAGAGGGCATATATGCGCTCAATCAGGGCACGGACGCCGGCACCGCCGAACCCCGCGACGAGGCCTCTGTCGCGCCCTCCTTAGACGGCGGCTCCCTGTACTCGCTCTCTCGCTCGGGCTTACCGTTTGCTCCCGCTTCGGCAACTCACTCGGACTGCAACCCCAGCGGACTGTTCGACTCCCCGGGGCACGCTTCCCCACACCCTGACGGTGCGGAGTTTCTGGAAGCCTTACAGAGCCTTATACGAGCTCGAAAGCGACCCCCTTAAGTATCAGACAAGCGAGAAACTCTTGGACTCTTTCTTGAACTCTGGCTCTGGCTCTGGCTCTGGCTCTGGCCCTGGCTCAGCCTGGCTCTGGTTATCTCGAGGCCATCGACTACAGTGCTCCTCTCTCGCCCCGGCGGTCGACGGACACACGCTTTGCCCAGAGCGCCCAGACTCTGCTCAGCCCAGCAACTCAGACACCCGCAAAAAAAGCCAAAACACGCAAAAAGCATCCAGACCTTTGACTCCACCCGAGAACGACAACGAACGAACGCGGACCGCAGCCTTGCTCGACTTGCCCATGTAGAGTCCCGGTACTTACTCGTATGTATGTCCCCACGGGCCTCCACCCGGCCCCAGATCCTGTTCCGCGGGCGCACTCTCGCACAGTTTTTCGCGCTCACCTCACGTCGCCCACAGAAGGACTCTTTCAAGGGCAGCAGGCCGCACACAGCCGCACGCACGCACACGCAAGCAAGTCACCACAAACATCGCCATTCCAATCCACCCGCGCTCGACGCCAGCGGAATACACCAATCAGCGACGCACCAGCAACAACAAATAACAGCCAAAAGAAAAGAAAAGAAATAAAGAAAGAAAAAAAGGCAGGCCACCTGGCGCCAACGAGGGATAGGATGGGTAGTGGTCATGCATCATGGGTCATGAAAACGATAAAGTAAAAGAAAAAGTAAAAGTTTGGTCAGGAAAAATAAAATCGGAAGCACAAACGCGATGTCACCCGTGTAGTAGATCCCCCATACGACCACAAAGAACCCGCCGCAGCAGCTGAAGGGACGTACAAGCGAAGGCAAAGAGAAAGAGGAAAAAAGGGGAAAAAAAACCGGGCCGCCCGAGATCGGCGCCCCGGTGCGCGTAAGTAATAAGTAAATAAACTGTGAGATCGTGTTGGGTATATAGAGAGGCCATACGTGCCCGCCAGAGGTAAATATGCGACGCGTTAGAATTTGTCTAAGTAACGAGGAATGTCCGTCCGGGAAGGAGCGTTATTGTCCGCGGCGATACACATATTCGACATGTGGCGACGCGGGGGCGCCTGCCCTCTGCGCTCGCGCTCTACAACGCGGCGCCGCCGGCGATGATGCCGCTGAGGCCAATGAGCGCCTGGTTCGCGACGTCGAGGCTCTCGGGGTCGCCCGACGTGCTGGAGATCGTCCCGGTCGCGACCGCGAGCCCGCTCGCGACGCCCGAGGACAGGTCGAGCGCAGTCGTTGGCACGGCGGACGGGGTGGACGACGTGCTCGGCTTCGCGCTCGAGGTCGTCTTCACCTTCGTCGTCGACGGCGTGGTGCTCGTCGTGGACGGGACCTGCGAGGTGGACGTCGGGGTGGGCGTGGGCGTGGGCGTCGGAGTGGGCGTCGGGGTCGGGGTGGGCGTCGGGGTCGGGGTCTTGGACTTGGACGTCGTCGTCTCCGGGGGAGGGGGCGAGCTCGTGGTGGGCTCGGGCTCGGGGGTGGTGGTGGTGGTGTGCACCTTCTTGGTGGTGGTGGGCTCCGGATCGGCGGTGCTGGAGGAGACGGTGCCGCCGCCAGAGCCGTCGTTGAAGTTCCAGGTGCCAGTGAGCACGCCGACGGACTCGTCCGCAAAGTAGTCGAACAGGCCACGGGAGAAGTCGAGGCCGCCGTACGGGCATCCAGGGCACTGCAGACGCCAGCGACGCGAAAAAGGCAGGAAAAAAAAAAGCGGGCGTGATGAGAAACGCGACGAAAGACAGGGAACGTCAAACGACCGAGCGCGCGCACCTCGTCGGTGATCTGAGCCTGGGCTGACTTGCCGTTGACGCTGATGGTGATCATCTTGAAGCACTCGGGGCCAGGGTAACCGCCGCCATATTGCTACGACGGATCAAAAATCAGCAAAGCCGGATCACGACCCTCCACCCGCATGCATGTCCCAGCAAGGACAAGCATCGAGGCGCGGGGCTTGAGGGGAGGAGGCGGAGGGAGTAAGGGAGCGAGGGGGGAGCGAGGGAGGCGGCGATAGCGAGGACGACTCACGATGCTGTTCAGCGCGACGATCTGGCGACGGGAAAACACAATGAGCGACGGCGCCCCCTATTACGCGGTCGAACCCAAGAAAACAGGCACTCACGAAGTCAGAAGGCACATTGGTGATCCCACAGGCACCGCTAAAGACAAAAAACCGCCGCCGTCAGCCGTGAACGCTTCAGCCGCCAGCCGTCGACGATCGCGCCCCAAGCAATCCCATCACAGCACATGTATATCACAGCACAGCCCAACGCCGCCCAAGCCCAAGCCTTAAGGAGTAAAACCCCACAGCGGGCGGGAACACATAGCGAGAGCAAAAAAAAAAAAAAGTCAGGGGGAACACTCACAGGCCGACGTCGTAGAACGTGAACCGAGCGTTGGAGAACCGCTTCGCGAGGTCCCCGCGCGGGCGATGCGCGATATCGCGGTGGCGACGGGCGCTACCGCCGTGTCCCTCCGCCGCGACGAACGGGAGGACGAGCGAGAGCAGCGAGGCGCTGAGGAAGGTCGAGGAGCGCATGGTCGTAATAAAGCAGGTTACTGTGTGCGTGTATGTGTGTGCCGACCGACGCCGAGTGGAGCGGGTCTGATAAGGAGAGGGTGGGTGGAAGGAGAGTCGGAGAGCGAGTGAAGGACTGTTGTGGCTAGAGACAAGCCGTCGTTGCGCGAGCGTCAGAGGAGGGGGACGCGAGGAGGCGGGGAGGCGAGAGCGAGGCGGTGAAGGTGGGAGCTGCAACCGTCCGTTTATGGAAATCGGATCCGTTGCCAGTCGGGCTTTCCTCCCCGTGCGCTCTCAGCTGGCCCCACGTGCGCCGTCAGACAAGAAAGGCCGACTTCATCCATTGTTCAACGGCATCGCTACACATCCAATCTCGTGGACGTCGCCATGAATACAGTCGTAATGACACGCGCGCTTCAAAGCCGTACTACGTATGAGATGCATCAGCGTACAGGATGGAAAAGTGTGGAGGGGGAGAACAGCGTGGGTAGCGAGCACACAACACAAGCAAGGCTGAGAGAGAGAGAGGACAAAGGACAGAAGAAACTGTGGAAAGGGAAAAAAGAAGAGCAATCCAGGGAAAAAGAAATGGCTTTATTTTTCGCCCATTGCTCATCGGATGCCCGCCGTCGCCTTCTGCAGCGCACGCTTGATGCCCAACTGCGCCTTGCGCAACTCGTCCGCCGTAGAGTCCTCGATCTCGAGCTTCTCCAACGCCCGCGCGAGCTCAGCCTCGACCTGCGACTTGGCTCCGCGCTTCAGCTTCATCCCGATCTCGGGCGACGTGATCGTGCCCTCGACCTGGTGGATGTACGCCTCCAAGTCAGACTTGGCTTCGTGGCGCGCAGAGAAGTCCTTGTCGGCCTGCTTGAACTGCTCAGCGTCCTTGATCATCTGGTCAATCTCGGCACCCGAGAGACGGCCAACAGAGTTGGTGATGCCTAGAAAAGTAGAACAACGTTGGTAAAAGCTCGACAAAGTCTGCGGAGTTACGCACTGATGGACGCCTTGCGGCCAGAGGCGCGGTCCATGGCGGAGACCTTCAGCAGGCCGTTGGCATCGACCTCAAAGGTGGTGACAAGCTCGGCCTGGCCACGGGGCATGGGAGGGATGCCGTTGAGCTCGAACTCGCCGAGCAGACGGTTGTCGCGGCACTGAGTGCGCTCACCCTCGTACCTGTCCCTCGTCTGTCAATGTCAAAACGAAACAAGGAAAACAGCTCGCTGGACTCACACAGGGAAGGTGACCGTGGTCTGGTTGTCCTCGACGGTCGTGAACACACGCGACTTGTTGGTGGGGATGGGGGTGTTGCGTGGGACGACGACACCGAAGACATCGCCCTGCATGGCGACACCGAGGGACAAGGGGGCGACATCGAGGAGGAGCAGGTCCTGGGTCTTCTCGGACGTCTGGCCGGTGAGGACGGCAGCCTGAACAGCGGCGCCGTACGCGACGGCCTCGTCGGGGTTGATGGACTTGTTGAGCTGGCGCCCACCGAAGTACTCCGAGACGAGCGCCTGGATCTTTGGGATACGCGTCGAACCACCGACAAGGACGATATCGTCGACCTTCTCGCGGGGGATCTTGGAGTCCTTGAGGACCTTCTCGACGGGCTCGATGGTCGACTTGAACATCGCAGCGTTGATCTCCTCGAAACGGGCACGGCTGATGTTGGCGGAGAAGTCCTCGCCCTAAAATAGTCGATCAGACACGAACGCGTGGTAAGTTGAAGCATCGAGTAAATTACCTGGAAGAGCGAGTCGACCTCGACGGTGGTCTGGGCAACACTGGAGAGCGTGCGCTTGGCACGCTCACAAGCGCTCCTCAATCGCCGGAGCGCACGGGGGTCGTCCGCGATGTCGAGCTTCGTCTTGCGCTGGAACTCCTTCTTGAAGTGCTCCAAGAGGGTGTTGTCAAAGTCCTCACCACCCAAGTGGGTGTCACCGGCGGTAGCCTTGACGGCGAAGACACCGCCGCTGATGTTGAGGAGCGAGACATCGAAAGTTCCTCCACCGAGATCGAAGATGAGGACGTTGCGCTCGGTCTTCGATTGCTGGTCGAGACCGTATGCGATGGCGGCGGCGGTGGGCTCGTTGATGATACGGAGCACGTCGAGGCCAGCAATGGCGCCGGCGTCCTTGGTCGCGAGACGCTGCGAGTCGTTGAAGTAGGCAGGGACACTGCGACGAGGGTTTAGTCTCGCATCAAGAATGATTGAAATATGGGAACGCACGTCACGACGGCCTTCTTTACGGTCTTGCCGAGCTTGGCCTCGGAGATGTCCTTCATTTTTGTCAGCACCATGGCGGAGATTTCTTGTGGGCTGAAGGTCTTGTCCTCGCCGAGGTATTGGACCTTGATCAGAGGCGATCCGTCCTTTTCGACGACCTCGAAAGGCCAGTGGGTCATGTCCTGCATGGCGAGCGCAAAAAAGGGTGAGCGCCGGCGACGCAAGGGATATGCGACGAAATTCAAGTCACCTTCTTGACATCGGGATCACTGCGGGGTGGGCGAGGCCGATGAGATACGGCCCGATCGAGCAGAGAGCAAGGAGGACTCACTCGAATCGGCGGCCGATGAGACGTTTTGCGTCGAAGACGGTGTTGCGGGGGTTCATCGCGGCCTGATTCTTGGCGGCATCGCCGATCAAGCGCTCCTCTGCCGAGAAGGCGACGTACGACGGGGTGGTCCGGTTACCCTCTGCAGGATGCGAACACGTTGAACATGACGCTCGCAAAGAAAAAAAGAGGAATGCGAAAAAAAAAACTGACGGTCGTTGGCGATGATCTCGACACGGTCGTTCTGCCATACACCCACGCAGCTGTGGGGAAAAACGCAGAGATGAGCGGTAGATCCCACGGGAGGGGAGAGAAACGGGACGACGGAGCCCACGGGGAGAGAGAGGAACTCACGAGTAGGTTGTGCCGAGGTCGATGCCGATAGCGCCGTCGAATGCGTCTTCCATTTTTTTATAGGGCGGGGAGGGGGATTTGGAAACGGCGAGAGGGAGAGAGAGAGAGGGGCGGGGACTGAGGGAGGAGAGGACGAGCGAGGACGTCGACCGGCGACGAAAAAAAATCGATGATGCTGACGTAAGCGCACCTCACGCTCTTGTGCGCACAGCCACCCTCGCCTTGACCCTCGCCTTGACCCTCTCCACCTCCTCGCCATCTCCTCGCCATGCGCTGTCCCGCACAAGCAGCCTCTGCAGCCCGCCGTCTCGCTTCGCGCCCGCTGCGCCATGCACAGACGCGCCCGCTGACCACAGACGCCCCGCGCCTCGCGTCCGAGGAAGACTGGACGGCGTTCCAGCAGCAGCGCGCGGACCGCAAGTCTCTGAGTGCGTGCCGATGTCCGTCCGTGTGCGCGGTGTCTGACCCGCCTCCTCTCCTTCCCCTCGCCACGCAGTCGAGCACCTGAGCGCGTTCGGCTCCGCGCAGACGCGCGACAACACCTTCCAGCCGCACCACTCGCTCGCGCGCCCGCCGCCCCCAAAAGACCTCACTCTCTCCGCCCTCCTCGCCGCCGGCGCGCACCTCGGCCACTCGCGCGCGCTCCTCAACCCCAACTTCGTGCCCTACGCGTACGGCACCCGCGCCGGCGTCACCGTCATCGACCTCGAGCGCACCCTCCCCATGCTCCGCCGCGCCGCCGCCCTCGTCCGCGCCGTCGCCGCCCGCGACGGCACCGTCCTCTTCGTCGGCACCCGCCCCGACCTCCGCGCGTGCGTCCGCCGCGCCGCCGCGCGCCTCGGCCCCCAGGGCTTCCACGTCGGCGAGAAGTGGCTCCCGGGCACGCTCACGAACCGCATCCAGTTCTTCGGCCCAGACGTCGCCCGCGCGGAGCGCGTCACCCCCGACCTCGTCGTCTTCCTCAACCCGATCCCGAACCTCCACGCCATCCGCGAGTGCGCGATCGAGCACGTGCCCACCGTCGCCATCATCGACACCAACGTCGACCCGCGCATCGTCATGTACCCCATCCCCGCCAACGACGAGAGCACCCGCGTCGCGGAGCTCATCGCCGGCGTCCTCAGCATCGCCGGCAGGGAGGGCGTCGCACTCAAGGAGGAGGCCGAGGCCCGCAGGGAGGAGCAAAGGCAGCGCAGGGCGAGGCACGTCTCGCTCACGTACACATAGCTTTTGTCTTTTTTTGGTCCCACTACGATAATACACGCTCGCGTATTCTACTCGCACACCCACCCCTTCGCTCTCACCCCTATGGCGGCCCCTTTGGCCGGTTCCGCTGTATGTCGTACCAATACTCTGCGCAAGCCGCGGTCAGCGCCGTAAAAACAGTCAAGACGAGTCAAACGCAACGCACTTTCAGCCGCCTCGAGCGCGCGCACGTTGCCCTGCAGCTTGTTGATCGTCTCCTGGTACTCGTCCTCCTCCACGCTGTCGTGCACGATCCCGCCGCCCGCCTGCAGGTACGCCATGCCGCCCTGGAACAGCATCGTCCGGATCGCGATGCACGTGTCCATCTCGTCCTCCGCAAAGTCGAACCGCCCGACCGCGCCCGCGTACACGCCGCGGCGCTCCTGCTCGAGCTCGTACACGAGCTCGATCGCCTTGATCTTCGGCGCGCCCGAGACCGTCCCCGCGGGGAAGATCGACCGGAACGCGTCGAACCTGCCGCGCGCGGCGTCAGCGACACGGCCCCTCGACTTGTCAGCCGCATAGACGCAACGCAACAACGCACCGCGTGAGCCCGTCGCGCAGCATGCCCGACACCTGCGACGTGAGGTGGATCACGTGGCTGAACTTCTCGAGCTGCATCAGGTGGTCGACCTTGACCGTCTTGGGCTGGCAGACGCGGTTCACGTCGTTGCGCGCGAGGTCGACGAGCATGATGTGCTCCGCGCGGTCCTTTTCCGACCCCAGCAGCTCCTGCCCGAGCCGCTCGTCCTCTGCGCAAACAAAAAGGGTATCAGGGTCGGCGCAGGGCGTGACGGCGGCGCGTGCGGCGCACCTTCCGCGGTCTTTCCGCGCTTCGTCGTGCCCGCGATCGCGTGGTTGTACACCTTGTTGTCCTCGACCTTGCAGAGTGTCTCTGGGCTCGCGCCGACGAGCTGCAGGCTGCCGCAGTCGAGGTAGAACATATACGGGCTCGGGTTGATCTGGCGGAGGGTGCGGTACGCGTTGAACGGGTGGAGCTGGGTGGGGCGCTGGAGGCGCTGGGAGGGCACGGCCTGGATGATGTCGCCGGCGACGATGTGCTCCTTGAGGGTAGACACGAAGCGCTCGTAGCCCTCCTTGCCGACGTTGGACACGGCGTCCGCGCCGAGGGAAATCGGGGGCTGGGGCACCTCCGGGGTGGCGGTCTGGAGGACGACGCGGGCGAGCCTGCGGGCCTTGGCGACGGCGGTCTGGTAGGTGAAGGAGAGGTTGGCGGGGCCGACGTTGTCGGGGCAGAAGACGTGGGAGACGATCTTGACGTTCTGGAAGAGGTGGTCGTAGATGAGGATGGTGTCGACGAGCATGAAGACGGCCTCGGGGATGTGGAGGTTGTCGTCGAGCGGGCGGGCGGTCTTGGGCTCGAAATGCTGGATGGCGTCGTAGGCGACGTAGGCGATTGCACCGCCGGTGAAAGTGGGGACCTCGGGGAGCTTGACGTAGCGGTAGACGGCGAGCTCGCGCTGGAGGGCGAGCATGGGGTCGCCGGTGATCTCCTCGTTGGGGCCGGTCTTGATTACCTTGAAGGGATCTAGAAACGCGTGAGCGGGGGCGCAGCGGACGGGCGGAGGCGGCACGCGCACCTGAGCCGATGAAGCTGTAGCGGGCGATGTTCTCGCCGGAAATGACAGATTCGAGGAGGAAGCTGTACTTTGAGTCCTTTGCGATGCGGAGGTAGGCCATGACGGGGGTGAGGAGGTCCGCGGGGAGCTGGACATAGACGGGGACGCAGTTTCCCTTCTTCTGGTGGAGGATGAGCTGCTCGACTGTTTCGAGCGGGGGAAACGCGGGCAGTTTCTGGATAGACAGGGGCGGTCAGAGACATTAACGCGGCTTGGGGTGAAGCAGACCTGGGGGTCAATGTTTTTAGCCATTCGTGGGACGAGAGAGGGGAGCGAGGGAGAGGGGGTGGAGGTGGGTGCGCGGGTATAAGAGCATGGATGACTCGGGCGCGGGTTGCAGCGAAAGATGATCACACCGCAGGTTGTGTGCGAGCACATTCATGATGATCAGCCCTCTCACGCAGTACGCTCATACATATCACAGCTCTGATGCAATGCAAAAATGATATACATGTAACAAACAACACCGTTTCTCTGATCGTGGAGATGTCACCTCTCGTCTTCGGAGTACCCTTCAGCCGTCGATCTACAAGTGGCGACCAAACGATGCTATTGGTTAGAATGCGGAGAAAAAACTACAGCGCTCTCGGACTACGCCAGAAACCTGACACTAGCCTGACCTTCTGCAAATCGACACTCAAACCTGGCCATCTTCAGTGAATCCATAGACTGTGGTCTGCAGACAAGTTGTCATAATCGATCATTTGCTTCGCCCTCAAGACTTCTTGGCTCTTGCGATCAGCGTCCGACCGATAATCGTCGGTTTGAGCAGAATCGGTCCGCACATGTTGTTGCTTGTCTTTGAGCAACGCATCGATTGAGTCCAGCAATTTGGCCTTGAAATAGATCTCTGCCTTCTCGTGTATATTCGTGATGTGGTTTCGCCAGCCACTTGTCCGCGCCTATGCCAAACTCAGAATTCACGAGATTACAGACAGGACATTCCTTTTCAGAGACACCAACATAGCACGGATCCATCTTGCTCTGTAAATCTCCATGTCAATATTGGCATTGGAAGGTGTGAAGAAAGGTAATTTTCCAGGTTGACACCTTGGACATCGTCCAGTTCCTGGTGAAGTGCAACTTGGTTCAAATCAAGCAAGCCCTTGTCTAGGTTCCTCTCATCCAGGATGCTAGCCAAACCACCCTCACAATGAACACACCCTAGGAACACGGGAGTCGGCGATAGTAAACCTTCGCACATGCGGCGAATTGAGCCCCCCGCGTCCATCCCGTCTTGTTGCATCAATGAACGGAGTTGCGTGAGCACTGTCTCCACGCGAACAGCATCGTCTTCGACTAGTATCTCCTTCACCACATCTTCCCAGTGCCACATATCTGTCCCAAGATGTTCGACAGAGATGACAGTATGAGTGATATCCTGAAAGTTCGGTGTTGCACCTACGAGGCGGTCAACAGCATGTAGTACCACAACCTGTCGACGCAGGTTGTATGCGTCCAATGTTGTCGAGCCCACAGCTTCAAGCAAATCTGCATTGTCAATGTCCGTATCTCCTTCCTCCTCTAATATATTTGATTTGCCCTGAGGATCTCTAGATAGTGTGGTATACCTGGTTCCTGCACCTGCAAAAAGATGGTCAAACATGTCCGGAACTGCGAGAGTTAGGTAGTCTGCAAAAGCATTGGAATATGTGATGGTCTTCAAAAGAGTGCAATAAAGCCAGGTGTGTAATGCCGTCCTGTTGATTGTTTTTGAGTTGGCTTTGCAAAGCTCGTCCAGACAGTTCTGATAGGCTTTCAGAGTCGAGCAAAAGATATGATGGAAGGCCACGCATGTCTCCTTGACAAAAAGAACATCATTGCTCTGTGCTTGTGTTTTCAACTCGATGGAGGATAGTCCTGCATATTCCACACTGAAAAGGTGTTTGTCCCAGAAAGTTTGTGTGAGCAATTCCGAAAGGTTGCAGTCCTCTTTGTTGTGTAATGATGAAGACCGCTGATCATATAGTTCAGGCAAGCGGTCAGGTTTGGCATTCCAGACCTTGTTGAGGAAGGCAAGTGATCTCGTACACCTGAGTCGAGAGCGCATCTTGCGGTAGCCACGAGAAACAATGTGAATGCCTAGATCGAGAGGCGAGGTGACCTTTCCCTTGATGATGTTGATCACGCTCGAGACGTGCTCATGAAACTCGAGACTTTATAAAATGTTTCGGAGAGGTTTTTGTTTGATGAGAATTTCACACTCACGTTTTGTGTTCAACGGAGACATTGCTTTTCTCTCAGCCTGTGTCCCCTCTTTCCCTTCCCCGATCTGGTATTCCCGCTCGCGGCTTCGGGGCGCGTCAGATTGGTGACGATGATGCGGTTCTCATCAGTCGACCTTCCGCGCCTTCCACGGGGATATCTGTGTCGCCTTGATGTGAGACTGAGATGATGAGCGAGAGCGAGAGGGCGTCGCGCGTGTGCGCGCGGCTGATGTCGGTGTTCCTCTCCCTACCTGCGGCCACAGCCACCACTTCACGGTCTCTGACGAGCACAGTAGCAAGGTGATCAAGCAATCTATGCTGTGTCAGGGGCTTTTCAGTGTCTTGTCTCTGGTATGCCGTCCAAGTCTGGGATAGCGAAGTATTGTGTCCTCGAAGATAGAGGACAGCTGTAAGCAAGGTCGTGATTGTTTTGAACTTGTTGATCGTGTTCTCGAGGGACTCGGACACGTTCCGCTTTGATGCACACATGGTTGCGACCGTTGTAATTGAGGGCGGGGGATGGGAGCTGAAGCGACGAGAGTCGCCCGTGCTTGACTGACCAATGGGTATACAAGACAGACCAGGGTGGACGCGGGTTGCAGCGAAAGATGATCACACCGCGCTTCAGGTGCGAACAGACAGACGCATCGCTCATCCTCACCGTCGCCTGCCCCGCCGTCCGCGTGCGTACACACTCACCCCTCCCGTCTCACCTCGCCCACCCCTGACACACAGCACCGCCCCCGCAGGCCGCCGACGTCGAGATCCACGTCGACAACACCCTCGTCTCCATCCACATCGCCCCCTACTTCCTCCGCCTCTCCCTCCCCGCACCCGTCACAGAGGACGACGCCTCGTCCGCCGCGTACGACCCCGCCGCCGGCGTCCTCACCCTCACCCTCTCCAAGCAGACCCGCGGCGAGCACTTCCCCGACCTCGACCTCCTCCCGAAGCTCCTCGCACCGCGCCCGGTCCACCCGCCCACCGCCCCCGTGATCGAGGTCCTCGCATCACACGACGCCCAGGATGCCGATAGCGATGCTCGTCCGCGCCGCGAAACGCATCAGACGCAAGATTCAGACCTGGCGCAGCGCGCGCAGGCGCTCTCGCTCGACCGCCCAGACCTGACACACGAACAGCGCGAGATACTCCAAGGTCAGTAGTCTCCGTCTCTCCCATCCACGTCCCATCCACATCTGCACCAACATCAACATCACTCCCGGCGCCCATCTCACCTCCTTACCCTTCTTCTCCGCCCCTGTCTCGACTCACCCCCTCTTCAGCCGCAGCAAACGACTGGCAGCTCCCCCAATTCGTCCCCGCCCCCACCTCCTTCCACACCGCCCTCCAAAAACCATACGGCTTCCTCGACGCCTACACTGGCTACTTCCGCCATGTCGCCGAGTCCCCCAATGAAGCCAACGCCCTCGGCCCCGACGCAGAGACCCTCTCTCCCGCCGACCGCCGCGCGCGCCGTGTCGCGCAGGAGGATGCGCAGTGGGACGAGGAGCACTACATGTACACGCCCCGTCTCTCTGCGCATAGCGAATCGCACCGCTGATCTCTGCGTCCTACAGGGCGGACTACGCTGACCCAGAGACCATTGAGGAACTTCTCGAGTGGGAGCACCCGCACCTCGCCGTACCCGTCGTCGCTCCCTTCACTGAAGCCGAGAACCTCGCCATGCTCCGCCTCCCGCGCAAAGAATGTGCGTCGCCCGGCCCTCGCCTCCCCTTGTCCACATGATCCCCCTGACCCGCTGACCCGCACGCAGACCTCCCCACCCCCGCCCAGACCCACAGCCTCTACCTCACGCTCGCCACCCTCCTCTTCGCGTACGCCTACGACGCCCGCACGACGCAGCACGATCCCACCCCCGAAAGCGCCTGGACCATCTGCGTCCTCACCCCCGCCTTCGCCGCCCTCGACCCCCCGCCCTACCCTCCACCCTCCGCCTCCGCCTCTGCCCTCCTCATCCCGTCCCTCCAGCCCTCCCCCGCACCCGCGCTCATCACCCCCGCCGACCTCCTCCCCTCCTACCGCCGCGCCCTCGCCTTCCCGCTCCACCGCGCCTTCCCACTCGCCGACCGCTGCCGCGCCGACGCCGCGCGCCTCCTCGCCCGCGGCCCGCGCACCGTCCTCCGCTGCCTCCTCGAGCTTCGTGCCCTCCTCGACGCGCACGACGCCTACTACGTCTACGCGCGCATCTGGCTCGACGACCTCTGCGCCTGGGTCGCAGCCTGCGCGAGGTGCGTCTCGCGCTCTCTCCCTTTCCCTCTTTGCATCTTCCCTCTCCCGCCGTATCTCATCGCCATTCTAAGTACTCCTATCTTCTGTTTTGCTTGCCGCTTCGCTCGTCGTTTCTGCTCCCGTTTGATTTCATTCATCTCATCTTTCGTTCTTTCTTCGCCCCACGTTTCTCCTCCCCTCTCCCGCGCGCGCTGCGGCCTCTTAATATGAATGCTGACCCGACCCGACCTCCGCATCAGCGAAGCCGCCCTGCACGAGCTCGGCACCGCCCTCCTCGCGCTGCGCATCGACAAGCGCGCCCTCGGCTGGGACATCGACGCCCTCGAGGCCGCCGTCCGCGCCACCCAGGCCCAGCCCCGCGCGCCCGACAGTGACGACGAGAGCGACGAGCACGACGAGGACCCGGGCGATTCAAGCGAAGAATCCGACTCGGATTCGAGCGAGGACTCGAGCGAGGAGGGCTCAGACTTAGACGACGCGCGCGAGCGTCCGGGCGGCGCGCGTGCTGCAGAAGACACTGAGGTGCAAAAGACAGTCCCGGTCAGCGTGTGACGGCGCCGCGCCGCGCCTCCCGTGTCGTAGTTTCGTTTCGTTTCGTTTCGTTTCGTTTCGTACGCCATCTCGTCGCCTCTCGCAAAAGAAAGGCGCCGCCCTAGTAGCCCCACCGCAATGCATTCGTAACTCGATGCGTCCCCACCTTACCCCGCGCGTTCCCGTACGACCGCCGCGTCGTGTTCAGCGTTCAGCAGCTTATTTGCCGAGCTGAGTGTTTGCAAGCAGTCCTCATTCATAAAGAAGGCTCGGCGGCCCGAATGAAATAAGTGAGATGTGAAAACACAACCAACAACACGCGTGCTATCGTCCTCGTCGCCGTACGACGATCTACAGAACACACCATTACCGCCCACTCGTGGGTCTACAGGACACATGCGCGTGTGCTACACTCTCGGCGTCCCCAAGCTAGCCGAAGCCCAAGCTCACGCCCAAGCTCACTAGCTCGAGCACCCAACGTTCGATTGCCCCTGATCCAACACTCCTGCACACCGCATACACGCTAGCCCGGGTCTAGTCCACCTTCACCTTGGACGGCGGCGAGATGAACGTCGCCTGCAAGCGCGCATCAATACGGTTGGGGAACGGACACACAAAGCGGACGTACGGAGATGAACTTCAACACCTCGTCGATCAGCACCACCGGCGCGCTGAAGTACAGCACGGCCTTCCACTCGACCAGGTTGAGCGGCTCGATCGCGAATATAGCCTGGCGCGGGCGAGCGAACGGACAAAAGAAATACGTCAGCCGGTGGCCAGACGCTGGAAATCGCACGAAAAAAACTCACGGTGAAGAACGGGACGTAGAGGATCATGAAGTGCAGCGCCATGCTGAGCGCGATCGCGGCGACCAAGAATGGGTTCTTCCAAATCGGGAGCCGCAACAGGCTCTCGTTCTCCGAAAGCGAGTTCATCGCGTTGAACATCTCCACCGTCACCAGGATCGACAGGCTCATCGTCGTCGCGCGCCGCGCCATCACGTTCGTGAACATCTCGCACCCGATCTCTGGGAACCGTGCCGCGCACTGGTGGAAGTTCGACTGAACGAGATGAATTGGTCAGTCCAGCACAAGGTGGGACAGTGCAAGCGCGACATACCAGCTGAGAGAACGTGATCTGCGGCCCGTCCGCGAAATACATGAACCACCACGCATAGCCGGCCACAGTCGCGACACCGACGTACGTCCCAACGACCATATACCGGAAAAAGAGCCACTTCCCGATCAGCGGCTCGCGGCTGCTCCGCGGCGGCACACGCATAATGGAGTGGTCGGGCGGGTTGAAGCCGAGCGCGGTGGCGGGTAAGCTGTCCGTGACGAGATTGACCCAGAGCAGCTGCACGGGGATCAGCGCCTCGGGCATGCCGAGCAGGACCGTCAGGAAGATGCTGACGACCTCGCCGATATTCGAAGAAACTGAGGCATCGCGGGAAGAGAAGCGGTCAACAGAGAGCAGGGACAGAAAAGCGAGAGTGGAAACGCACTGAGGTATCGAATGAACTGCTTGGTGTTGTTGTAGATGAGTCTACCCTCCTCCACGGCCTTTTCTATTGTGGCAAAATTCGAGTCTGCGAGAACCATGTCGGCGGCCAACTTCGCGACGTCGGTGCCACTTCCCATAGCCACACCAATATCTGCCTTTTTCAAAGCCGGCGCATCGTTGACACCATCACCGGTCTGCCAAGAACACAAACATGAGTATTCTAGAACCCAACAAAACGATACATGAAAAGCCACATACCATAGCCACGACCAGACCCAGCCCCTGCAACAAATCCACCAACTGGCTTTTATGCCCTGGCTCTGTCCGGGTGAACAAGGACGCTCTTTGAACCGCCTGGACCTTCTCCTCATGACTCAGCTCCTCGAACTCGCGCCCAGTATAGCTCTTCCCGGTCAAATCCTCGTCGTCACCAAAGATCCCGATCTGCCTGCAAATCGTCTCTGCCGTGCCCTTGTTGTCGCCCGTTATGCACACCACGCGGATGCCCGCAGCCTTGCAGTTCGCGACCGCGAGACGCGCCTCGGGGCGCGGCGGGTCGAGCATGCCAACGAGAGAGACGAAGGTAAGGTTCTGCTCAAAGCGCGCGTAGTCAACGGTGCTCTGAGACTGATAGTGAGCGGCGTCGATATCCTGTACATCGACAAACGCGAGCGCGAGTGTCCGGAGACCAGCTTTGCCGTATGCGGCGGTCTGGTGAAGTATTGCGCTGCGGAGGGCAGGGGTGAGAGGCACGTGCTGGCCGCCGGCGATAAGGACCGAGGTACAGCGGTCCAAGACGGATTCCGGTGCACCCTTGACGAAAAGCGCGCCGGTGCCATTGAGCTTGACAAGGACGGACATCATCTTGCGGTCGCGGGAAAATTCAAAAGTGAGTAGCCGGGGAATCCGGCGCTCGTAAAAGTCGTTGACAGCCGATGCGCGAGTTACGGGAGGGAGCGAAGAAAGTGACACAGTCAACTCCTTGTCAGGGCAACCTATCTTCTCGGCCAGGACCTTGAGAGCAGCCTCGGTGGGTTCACCAACATTACTGTACATATTCTTATCCTGCATGCCAATGTTAAATTCATGCCGCGCCGCCAGAGAGAAAGACATGACTTACCACATTATAGACAATTTTGGCATCATTACAGATAGCACTTATCTCGGCCAGACGTTGAATGGGCTCTGATCGGAGGTCATCAGAGGCATCTTTGCCATTGACAGAGCGGATGGACCCATACGGGGAGAAAGTGCTGCCTTCAACTACAAACTCCTTCGGGGCGCCCGTTTGGGCGTCAACGATGAGGAACTATAATGTCCAAGTTAGCACCGATACCAACTTATACAAATGCATACTACTCACTTTTGAGATACTCATCTGGTTGGTGGTTAAGGTGCCTGTCTTGTCAGAACAGATAACATTAGTGCTTCCAAGCGTCTCGACACTGGGTAAGTTCCGGACGATAGCGTTCTTCTGTGCCATTTTCTTTGTTCCAAGGGCGAGACACGCGGTGATGACGGCGGCTAAGCCTTCTGGGATGGCAGCGACCGCGAGAGCGACGGCAATCTTGAAGTAGTAAATTGCTCCCTTGAGTGCGCCATGGTGCGCAGGATCCCAGAAATGCCGGATGTTAATGAGCCAGACAAGTATACAGATGACGGTGATGACTTTGGCCAGTGTGTCGCCGAACTCGTCAAGTTTGCGCTTGAGAGGCGTCTTCTCGCTAATCTGAGAAGAGATAGACTTGTGGATATCACCGATGGCGGTGCGTTGGCCGGTAAAGACAACGATCGCCCGGGCATTGCCGTTCACGACGGTTGTACCCTGTGAGAACAGGCGTTCAGGGACATGCATACACCACGAATATCGAAGGAACACTTACAGAAAAAAGCATGTTGGTCATGTCTTGCTTGACGGCCTTCAAGTCTGAGACAACGTCTATGGACTTATTGACGCTGACGCTTTCGCCGGTCAAGATAGCCTGGTCGATTCGGAAACTGCTCGAGGAGACGGAGAGTACACGGCAGTCTGCAGGGATTTTGTCTCCGACGGCGACAGCGATGATGTCTCCAGGTACCAACTCAGACGCGTGGATGCGTGCAATCTGACCAGAGCGTAAGGCTTTCGCCTCGTCCGGAGAGTATTCTTTCAAGGCCTTTGATGTATATGTCAGAGAGCTGTACAGGACTGAAGAAGACAGCACGCACGTCAATGGCTTTCTCGGCATTTGTCTCTTGAATCACTCCCACCGTCGCGTTCGCGATGAGGATGAGCAGGATGACCGAGGGTTCAACGAAAGCACCGTACAGGGTGGCATCTTCAGCGTCGTCAAGCAGGGCGAGGACAAAAGATATGACAGCAGAAGCAAGAAGGATGAGGACGAGCTGGTCCTTGAATTGTTCGAGGATGAGCTCCCAGAGCGGTGTAGATGGTTCCTCAGGCAATACTGGTTACCAAGCACGTCAGTTCAATGTGTAATTAGCACAGAGGCCACGCCTTACATACCATTCTTCCCATAGAGCTGAGCGTGTTTCTGGGCCTGTTCGGGTGACAGGCCGACGGTGGAGTCTACTTGAAAGTGCTGGAGGACATCCTGCGAGGACTGTGTCCAGGGAGCTTCCATGGCCTATGCAACGGCAACCAGGTGCAGCAAATGCGAAATATGCTACGCTGGGAGGTCGAGTCGTGGGTGCGGCAGTAGATATAACTGACGGGTGGGCCTTGTGAGCGTCTTTCCAGAGATTTCCCTCCCCGGCTTTTTCGCGCACGTGGGGAAAAGCTGACGTGGCAATCGCTGTTTGCACCCCTTTGCACCACTCACAGCGAGTGAATCTGTCATCCCGGCAGTCTGTGCACGTCCCAGTCTCAGGACGGGAAGGACATGGGAAGATGATGACCTGGCCATTGTGCAGTCGAAATCGGGAGAGGCAAACGCGAGGAGGATGTCCACCCGACGAGAACGACGGAAGGCGGAAGGCGTCATCCTAATACTCACGTGATTTCGTCGCGTCTCACCAAAATTTCAGAAGTCCATCACAATGGAGGGAACTTGATCGACGCGCGAAATAAATCTTGTTTATATAGTTACCCTGCACACATCAGACTTCCGTCCTTTGGAAAAAGCTACATTAAATCATGTCGCGCGGGATGATGTAGAGTGATAGAAATTGGCAATGAGAGGGGCTGACAAGTGACTATGGAAAGGTTCTGAGTATACTAAGTTGGTGCATCTGCTCAACCAGAGGCTATCCGCGCATTGGGATCGTTGACTATTACCGGATCCTTCCACGAGGCCTGCAGAGCAACACGCTCAACATGACAATAGGGATAAACGCAGAAAACACCCACCATCATCGTGACCACCTCGTCCCCGTTGCTTTCCACCACCCTCACAATGTCCTTCTCGTCAACACTGGGACTGTTCACGAAACGTGCAACGCTCTCCAACTTCTCCACGTCGACGCCGTACTTGCCAGCCAGCTCCTCAAGCTCTCCGCGCGTCGTGACGAACCGGCGCTCCTCCAGCAGATCCGCCAACGACGCCGCCAGCAAGCGATTCTTCGGCATGCGCGTCAATGCGGCCTCCGTCTCAGACTGCGCACGCGAGCGGAACGCCTGGTTCACGTACTCCGTCTGGCCAACGTTCATTCCCGACAAAGATGAGGGCGCGCTTCACACGAACGAAGGCCCGGGAGACGTACCGTCCTGACGGTCTGCATATGGTGGTCCACCTTCACAGGGCCCAGCCGGCTCAAGTTGGCCAGGAGCTGCGGGTCCCGAGCATCTCTTTCAATGGCTACGGATATCAACACATGTCGTCAAAACATTCGACAAGCCGGCAACGCGGACATACCTTCGTTTCTCGTCTCGCTTGCCAGCGGTGGTCTTTGAGTCTGTGACTCGTGGGCACCTGCAGGTAAAGCATCTGTGAGACCTGGTGCTCTGGCACCTGCCCATGATGGCGGTAGCTTAGCGACAGATTTTGGAAGTGTCCGTGCAGCTTTGGACGAGGCTGAGCCCATGGTGCGCAGTGGTGATTATGCAGAAAAAGGACTCAGGTCATCGTAGGTCCCAAGTTTGGCACCCGTTGTAAGTCTCGGACTCAACTCGCATGAAACGTGGTGTTATTGACCTAGAAATTTGAACTCCATGAATGACGTATGTACAATATGTGTCCGTGAAAAGTCGCAATAAACAGCACTCCAAAACTCAGACGGTCGCGTGAATCCATCTATAATATTTGTTGGCCACTTTTTACAGCCTTGCTTATGTATACAGAGATAGAGAGACGAAGGAAGAAAGCTAGAATCAAAACTGGCTGAGAAGAAGAAACAAGCAGCAAATTGTGAAGTGAAAAAAGAAATGAAAAACGACGGCCATTCCAGCATCGGGCTATTCAACGACAGCGCAAGATCCTCATCCGCGATTTTGTCCTCGAAAGAGTGCAGTAGGGCGTATGGGAGAGAGACTTTGCGTGGGGGGAAAACAGGGGTATCAAAAAGTGTGGAGCAATCAATGCAAGCAACCATAAACCCAACGAAGGGGGACAGAACTCGAGGGAGAAATCGTAGAGGACAAGAAATTCGCGGGGCGGGATAGAATGCAAGAGAGCGACGTGCTAGATATATAGGTCATGCATCACGGACGCTGAGTTGTCGTTTAGGCGTGGAAAGCGCCCATATTGGGAGTGAGGTTCTGTTGGTACATTTGATACATGTAGGCCTGATACGCTTGGGGAGGAACAGACTGTGGTGCCATTCCATTATAGGAGGGTTGGCCCATGCCAAGAATGTTGCCAGCCGAGGCAAGGCTGGGCGACTGGTTCCCGTAAGGCCCAGACGGAACGGGTGTCGCGGGAACGGACGGCGTAGACGACATGCCGCCATTACGACGAGGAGTCGCACCGCGAGGGCTGGACAAGTCGGGGGAACGGATGGCGAAGGGATTGAAGGGGTCGGACGCCGGGGAGAATGCTGACGCCGGGTTGGAGTTACGACCGCGCTGGTTCGGGTTGTTTTGGTTGTACGCAGGATCAATGGAAAGTTGGGGCTGCCCGGACTGGGGGTTCTGGCCGCCCATTTGCAAGGCCGCCATCATAGAGGCTAAGTTCTGATCATGAGTGGAATAGCCAGATGGAAGACCAGGCATGCCGTAGGTGGTCGGCGAAGTCCCAAACTTCGTCTTCGCGCCCGGTGTTGTAGCCGCATTGGGATAGTTCGCCGGGAAGTTGGGGATAGGGAGGCCAACCTCCTCGATCAGACGACGATAGGCCTGAGTCGCGATAACCTTGAGCTCAATGAGCACACGCTTGGTGGCTTCGATGTAGGCAGGCCTCTGGGCAGCGTCAATGAAAGGACTGGTGAGAATCTTGTGCACGACCGCGACTCCGTTCACTTGGTCTCCCAAAACATCCGTGAGAACGTGATCACCAGGGGATGAGAACAGAGCGTCCACGACCTGGCTGGATGCCTGGGGCTCCACCTTCTGGTTCACGATGCGCAGAACGGTGAGAGAAGCCAGCTTGTGCGTGCAGAGGTGCGACAAATGCGGCGTGAAGCGAGGTGCCAACAACAGGTACCGCGATGGGAAGCCAGAGGTATCAAGGAGCCAAGTGAGGAGCAGTGCGCCATTGGGATTTGTCGCCAGTGGAATCGAATTGAGGATGATCGCGGTTGCGATACGGCGCTGCTGGTTGATGGAGATGTTGGGGCTTTCAAGGCAGGCCCGCATGCTGCGAGCGCCGAAACGTCCTTGCGCAACATCCCACAAACGGTCGACCATCGCATCGAAGATAAAGTCATCAGCGGGGCCACCAAAGCGGAGGCAGCACCTGGAAACGGTGAGTCAAGCAAAGCCTATGAACGTACTGACCAAACGTACTGTATGACATAGTTGCCGAACTGGTCAAGAAGCAAGGGCGGGGCGTAGGGGCGCAAGTTTGACGCTATCAAGGCCACTTCCTCCGGGGTTTGCACGCAGTCGATGATCTTCTGAGCAGCCCAAGTCCCGTTCTTGTGGATACCGATCATTGCCAAATGAGGGCCGATGCGCTCCAGCATCGCGAGACGAGCCTGGGTGGAGCACTTCTCAAACAGCTTTTGCACGACCTAACAAACGAACTCAATCGAGGTGTCGTCCGAGGGAGGTGTCGATTACTTACTGTGTTGCCAAGCCAATCTGAAGCGAGGTCTACGATTTCGCCATCGAGGAAATCGGCCGCAACCTGCTCAATTTCCTCGTCCGAGATGGTGTTGGAGTCCATCCGCTTGCGCAGCTCACGCAATTTGGAAGCGTCCCAACGTCTGTTGTGGGGCCTCTCGGAAACAAGAGGGATGGTCGTGTAATACATGGTAGGAGGCCGGAATTCTGCAGTTTGTTAGGTGACTAAGGACCGTCGATAGTGACTAGTGTCACTCACCCGACAAAGCCTGGATATCGGCGTCCGCATCAGGGCTTCCACCCGCGAGCTCCTTCATGATCATTTGCTGCTCCGTAACAGTCGGAGTCCATCCCGCGGGCTTCGGGGTACCATCGTTCACGTACGCGGTATTGTGGGTACCAGCACTGATCATGCTCAAGAGCAAATTCGAGCGGTAGTTCTCAACGGCGCCCCCCAGCACCTGCTGATCGACAGGAATAGTCGATGCTCCCTTAACGCTGCGTAGGGCGTGGATGGTAGCGCCGACACTGAGGTCGCCCACGCCTTGCGCACTGACACCAGGGTTCTCCTCTTGTCCTCCAGCGCCTTCTTGCCCATTCTTGACAGGGACCTTCGCAAACCCAATCCGAATCGCTCCGACGTCACTACCTAAGACATCCCGTCCATTGAGTGCCTTCCTTGCCCTGACAGCATCGTCCAAGCGTTCAAAATTGATGAAGCCGCAGTTCTTGTGAGTCAGCACACGCGCCGACTCGATGGGTCCGTAAGGACTGAACACGCTCAAAATCGTCGCTGGCGTGGTAGTGGACGGGATGGAGCCGATCCACAACGCGCGCGTCGGGCTTGACTGCAGCTGCGCATCGATACCGCTCAAACCAGCGTTCGCTGCGTTCTTGCCAGTGCCGATGGAAGAAGTACTGTTCGGAGTGGATGCGCCAGCACCCTTTCCTGGGGCGGCCGGCGCGCTGTCGGCTTTGCCGAATCCGATGCGCACGGTCTGTCCGTTAGGCATGCCGATATTTCCCCCAAGACGATTAAGAACGTCCTCTTTAGCGCGCACAGCATCTGCCAAGTCAACAAAGTTGACGAAACCGCATTCCTATAATGAGAAAAGAGATCAGCCTGTCGAAGAAAAACCCCTAGCGCCTCAGTGACAGACCTTCTCAGGCAAAAGCCTCAAACTCTCGATGGCGCCGTACGGGGCGAAGACATGGATGAGCTGCTCGCTTGTGACAGAACTGTCCAAGTTCCCGATCCAGAGCGACCGAGTGGGCGTCTGCATCTGTGTGCTCTGCTCGGACTTGGGGGAAACAGCACGTCCCGTCTGGCCCGGAGCAGCCAAATACGGCGACGACCTCGTAGCCGACAGCTCGCCGTTGGGGAAGCGGACAGTGGGAGACACCCCAGCACCACGAGAGGGCGCAAGCTTGTCGGTCTTCAGAATACCACCGGGTATGTTCAGCTGACTGCCCCCAGCATTATTGTACGAGTTTACGGCAGTGGCCAATTCGTATGGGGACGGGTCCAAGGCCGCAGCAGCGCGACGGTGCAGGTGCGACGGATCCTCGAGTATGCCAACAGAGATGGCACGCGGCCTGCTATTGAGGTTCGCGCCGAGGTGCTCGCTCTGCCTGAAGCCTTGCGCGACATACGATGGTGGGTAGTAGCTGTCGGGCGTAAGGGAATCGCCGTAGGGATCGATGTTCTGGCGGTTGTAAGACTGTTCGTATATATCCTCTTCTTCCTCTGCATTCGGGGTGGCCAGGAGCGACGCCGTCGCGGCAGACATGCGGCGGTATGGATGTGAAACCGTCGTGGCGCGCATGCGGGGCGGGTTGGACAAATTCCCAGCGATAGCAGCCTGAGCCTGGTTGCGAAGCTCTGAGATCGTCGCCGCCTGGGGCATCATCCTATGGTGACTCTCGTCCAGTCCCAAATAGTCGAGTGTGTGAACATCGAACTCGTCTGCTCCCGAGTCCATCGACGTGACCGAGTGCAGCTCATCCAGGACAGGGAACGAGCTGTTGTTGTTTGAGAGCCATGAGGACGAAAATATGCTTGGACCGAACGCGTTGGACAGCCCATCGGACGGCAGAATTGTCAATGAGCCCGAGCGAAGACGACTGTTACGTTCCGTAAGCGCAGACGAAGCAACAGAAGAAGCTACGGAAGCCGAGTGGCGCAGGCTCGGCCGCATCGGCGCCGCTGCCGCGTTCTGTGCCGTGGAGGCCAGCTGCTGCAACTGGTCGCTGAAAGACTCAGTGGAGGGGGCGGTGCTACCCAGGGTGTTTGTGGCTGCATACTGCTGGGCGGCCAGCGACACGTTTGAGGGTAAGGTCCCGGCCCTCGCCCTTCTGAATCCAGCGGGGTAGGTGTTGGGGGGCAGACCAGAGCCATCGGCCGCGGTGGTGGAGGTGGCAGGAGAAATGTCATTAGGAGGGGAACCACCTGAAGCTAGGGCGCGCAGCGCAGGGGGCCTGTATCTGCCAATCATGCCATCCCCTTGCATCTCGCGTGCCCTGTCGACAACTGTCAGCGCCGAACATCACAAAAAAAAAAACGCAGGGAAAGCACACACCTCTTTGCGAAGGCAGCGGAGGGAGCCGGGGGAGGGGTTTTCCCAGAAGGGGTCCTGGAAAAACCAGCGGGTTCGGCGGATAGAGACATTATAACCTTGGAGACGAATAGAGATTAGGTATTACTGAAGGTGCGGTTGTTGCAGAGGCTGGCCCGTGTAGAAAGCGAGAAGAAAGAGGGCTCGCAGGGCTCCGCAAACGGATAGTAGGCGATGGTTACTATGTGCTGGACAAGCTGGACAGTCGTAATGTTGAGCCAGAAAACCGGATTTTTTGGGAATGAAAAGAATTTTGATGGGCGAAGATAAACAAGAGCTGCCCACAGCTACTATAGTAAGGACGAAGTCCAGTAAATAGTACTAAGTAGAGGGAATGAGTGGTGGGGAGCAGACCAAGGCGCCCTCCCTGCCTAACTTTACCGGGTTTCAATCTCCGCACCCGGCGCTTGCCCCCCTGCGTCTCCTTCCGTCAATTATGCACACCCCTATTTCGTACAAACAGGGCAGCCCTTGTGCTCGTTGCGTCCGTCCGTGCCACACTCTCTCTCCATCCTCCTTGCGGACTAGGGCGATCATATCTATTCGTTTTCATGCCATACATCATATGTGCTCGTACTGAGTGGGGGAATAAAAATATAGCACGACATAACGTACGTAGCTGCTCATAATGCTTCCGTCGCAATCTCTCGCCCCAACGCCGATGGGTATCCTTCGTGGGCGTGGGCGGGAGACGACGCCTGTGCGCGTGGTGTAAAGTACTGGGTCTCAACTCGGGGCGATGAAACGTCCTGAGCCTGCAAATGCAGGCAATAATGGAAGGGAAGACGTGAAGAGCGAGTTACTGATACAACTCTAAAAGACGCGACGTCTGCTTCGCGACAATGAACATAAACACAATGAAAACCGAATAATTAAAATGCCGTCTGTCTCGGCAAGTTCAACAAGACCTAGCCTGATGCGCCCACGCACGGCCGGCGAAAAAGATGCAGCTGCCCGGCCGCAGGCAGAACTAGAATTCATGACAAAGAGCTTCGGGAGCCCCTCTTGCTGGACCGCGTCCGCGATCGAGCCATTGCATTTGCTACCCGCTTGGAACGCCGAAGAGGACGATCGCGCGAGCACGATCGCTGCACAACCACCGCATCCGCCGCGGCCTCCTTCCGGACATCAGCATCGACCTCCGCGGTAGTGTCCCGGGCGCAATCATCGGCGATGGGCACGGCTGTGGTCGGCGGGGAGTTCTCCCAATCCGAGAGATGGCAGAGCGTTTGAAACATCTCCTGCTCCGTGGGGCTGAGTGGGGTCTCCACCACAGCCTTGTCCTCTGACTTCATAGGAAGGGAGAGATCCGTCAGCGTGAGCGAAGGGTGCACGGATAGCAGGTGATCTTCCACATCCCAGTACGAGACCATGCCGCGTTCCCACGGTGTACTGGCCTCGCGGAGTGGGACTTCTCTCCGTTGCAGGAGCCGTTTGGCTTCCTTGGCTTCCTGCGTCGATGCAAAATGTGGTCCGAACTGGTTTAGAAGGCGGCCACGCGCGTTTGACCTATGAAAATCCTGCAAGGCCTGGGGGAAACGCTCAAACAAGAGGTCGGAGAGGAACGTGTCAAGGCAGGAGTCGGCAGCCCGATGCTCCTTGACGAATGCCTGAGCCTCTGGGAGTGGGACCCAGGTACCACATGCGATGGAAGAGCCTTGAGTGACATACATAGCATTCGGAATGGAAGCGGCTGGAGGGGTGGGAACGCTCAAGTATTTGGCAATAAGACCGAGGTTGACAAAGTCGGTATCAATGCGGCGGAGCAGACGGGACGATTCGACGGTCATCTGATACACGGTTATGCCTATGTTGGAAAAAGAACAGTGAATAACTTGGGAATCATATCGAATTGAAAAGAGTCATACCTTCAACTTGCGTTGCAGTGACAGCTGGGGAGCAAGGCTCGCACGTGTCCACGACAACGACGTCGGTCTGAACTCCTTTCTGTTCGAGTAATGGAGATGGTCGAGGTCTAACATCGGCCCTTGATGAAGATAGCGTTGGCTGTGACGGGCGCCACAATGGAAGAGGTGATGTGAAAGTGGGTGGTGTTGGAGGCACTTCGTCCTGAGTATCGTCAGACTCAGCCGAAGGTGTATCGGGAAAAGGGGACATGTCGGAAGGCGCTTCTGAGACTGCACGGATCGAAGGAACAGGGTCCAGCGTCTGGCTTCTGGACTTCTTGCTGTCCCAGTCTCCTTCCTCGAGCTCGTGCGGGGGTATGCTGTCGGGCCCAAGCAACTCTGCATCTTTCCACATGAGCTCGCTTGGCCGACGCATGGTGGCCCATCGCATTTCACCGATCTCTGAGATAGGCGAAACTACGGACAGAGGGGTGAGTGGGGAGCCGCATATAAGACCGTCGTCGTCCGGAGAGAATGTCGACGAATAGCCCATGATGAGTGACGGGGTATGCGCTTCTTCCTTGAGCGGAACGTGGTAAGTCTCGTCGTCTCCTGGAAGGTTGTAGGGCGTCGGGCTAGGTGCGTCGTGACTGTCGTACTCCCAATGGTCAGACTCTTCGACCTTCACCATGTTCGACGAAACCTCCAATCCAGCAGCAGCCTGAGTGACAACCTCCATGACCTTCATGCTGTCGAAGCCATTATCGAGATGTTCCCATTCATCGAGTACTCGCCTCATGTGGTCACAAGGTTCCTGTTTCACAAAGCCACTATCGTCAAAGTGACTTGAGGAGGCGATTCGTGGAAGGCTCGATCCGCCAAGTTCCAACTCTTCTTCATCCTCGTCTTCGTCATCCCAATCCATATCGTCGTCGTCGTCATCCCACGGAGCACCTCGCAGTGGCATAGAGGGATAGCGCCGGAAGGCGGAGATGGAATTCACGTAGTCAAAATCGTCTTCAGAGTCTGGTGGCGGTGAGGCAACGGAGAAGGGCACGGAAGGGGAGCGGCGATAGGCGATTGGGGAGTCGACGGGAGGTGAAAGATACGGCATCTCAGACGAAGGCGAGTCTCGCATGGATTCGTCGTCTTCGTCTTCGTCTGAAGAGCTTTCAGAGTCCACAGACATCGAGTCGTCGTCGGAATTTGAGTCGTCAGAGACGTCGATGATCTCTCTCGGGATCGGCTCCGGGGCCGGAGTGGATAAAGGGGAAGATGAAGCAATACTGGAGGGGGAAGGTTTCAACCGAAGAGTCAACTTCACCTTCGGTGGCCTTTTCTCGGCATCGCTCCCGGAATCAGAATCCGCCTTTCCCCCATCAGCGCAGGCCCTCGCCAATCTCTTCCGCTTCTGACCGCATTGCTCCTGCCTGCGCACCCTGTCCCTCTCCCGTTTCCGCTCCCTGGGGCCTGCCGACACACCCACCTTCCCGTTCTCGGTGTACTCGCAGAGGCGGATGCCGGCTCTTGCGAACGGGCAGGGAGCGCCGGCGGCTTTGCTCAGATACCAGACCATGGTGCCTCTTCTAAAGTTGGTGACCCTATTGTCTCCGGGGGCAAGGGCACAGTGGGCGCCACCGGAACGGGAATGAAGAGCGGAGACCAGTTCGTCGTCTGAGGGCGTGCCGGAGAGAACGTGGCGTGAAAGAAGCGGATAGTCCTGTTGGGTGTCACACCGGTGCATATGATTGCGAATATAGGTGGTGATGGCCTGGCCAGCGGCGGACGCGCTATGGAAGAAGTCAAGAACGTGAGTCTAGCCATCGGGTGGGGTTAGGGGTAGCGGGAGGACTGACTTCTGGCATACGAGGCCGAACTTCATGGTCATCTCGGCAAGATCTTTGATGGTCATGGCGCGATTGTCCTGAGAGGGTCAAGGGAGTGGAAGGGTGCTGTCAGATAGAGTACATCACAGATACAGGGATAGGGTAGGCACGCACCACAGACAGAAATGATCGACCGATGGCCAGGAACACCTTGCTGCTCGAATCCTCGACGTGGAGCATGACATGAGGAGGTGGAAAGTCAGGGATGCCGGAGTCCGTCGGAGGTGCTAGGGAAGGCTGGCCAGGCTTGGAGACGGGGAGGGCAGGCCTTATGCGGCGTGGTGGGGCGGGGGAGTCCGCGGGCTGTCGCAAACGCGCCGAGGGTTTGATGACGGAGTTTTGGCGGATTCTGGTGCCATAATGGTGCTGGAAGGAAGCGGAGGGGTGGCCGTGAGGGATGGGGTGTGTGGCGAGGGCAGGATCCATGCAGGACGTATCATGAACAGCGGGGGAGGAGTATGGGGGACGGATGTCGGCCAGCGATGGAGCGGAGGGCGTGAATGAGTTGGGGAGGAGGGGGCTGGAGGGAGGGGCGAGGAGGTGGTGGTGGTGGGATGAGACGGGGGGAGGGAGAAAGGGAGCAGGAGGGAGGCCAAGGTTATAGCGCGCGAAGCTTAGGAACACGCGCTTTTGCAAATTGCTTGGGCCTCCCTTCCGTATGGCTCCTGCTTTCCCACGCTCCCCCCCTCCATATTACCAGCCCCGCACTCCCTTATCCGCGCCACACCACGGCAACCTCCCAGCCACGTCCGCGCCGTCCACGTTCGTCGTCCCTGCAAAATTCAGTCAGCCGCAGCACAATCGTCGGTCTCATCAGCAGCCGCGAGCTGGAAAGCCGCAACAAAAACACGGCGTCCTTCCATTCCCCACGGCAACCTCATCTTGATCTAGGCTGTAAACCAACATCCCATTTGGGAACCTTTTGGCCCCCACGTTGCCGCATGACCTGAGAGAAGATGCGCATCACTCACATCAACCGCCACGTTCCCCGTGTGCGCTTCCTCTTCAGCCCCCGCAAGGCCTCCTCACCGTCCGCCTCGATCTCAACGCTTTCGAAGCACCGCACGCCCGCGCCGTGACGGGCCAGACCGGATCCAACTTTACCGAGGGGCGTGCGGACGCTCAATCGGAGTTGCCGCGTCGTAATAGGTGACGCAGCACAGCCAGGAAAGGAAAGGGAGCCTTGAAAAAGATGGCGGGTTCCAGATCAATAGCTCACGTGATGCATGACGCATTGCGCCGCGCGTAATCGTACCCACTCGGAGCGTCCGTCGCGCCATGCCCTCGCAGCAGCGTCAACCGCCCGTGGTCATTCCAGCCCGAGGGGGAGTCTGAGGAGTTGGACAGCATACCGCAGCGGATGACACGTCCACAATGTTGTAGTGCATGCGTGCCCCATAATGACAAGGACAAACCTAGACAATCCCAGACATGCCGAGGCCGCGACACTGAGATCCGTGAGGCATATACCAGTGCTGGGCACTCAGCACCACGGACGGGCCCTACCGAGGGCCACAGCCACCGCAGCACCTAAGATTTGTGCTCCCCCCCTCCAAAACCAGATCGACCGGATTGAGAACGCTCAGCGGAAGTGGACAGGACTGATCGACTCACCTAAAGCGATCCACATACAGCACTCCTATCTGGGATCGCATGCCAAATGTAAACCCGGTCGGTCTCAGAGCGGCTATAGGGTTGGGCCCCAGTTCATGGACGGCGAGTGCGTGCGTTCGAGCGCGCATCTCTGGATGAAGGACCGATGTTCACTGCGCAGACCGCATCGCATGGAAGTCTACACGCGAGCAGGGCAAGGGCACTAGTTGCCAGGCATATAGCGTCAAGCTTCCATCGACATTCGCCCGACGCCAGAGCGTGTGCATCTTGTGCACTTCCATAAAACGACAGCAAGTGCGGGAATAAGCTGATCCGCGATCAATGTTGTCCTGAGTTCCTTACGGCTGCCGCACCAGATCAGGACGCGCAATGCGAAAAGGGGTGAGCAGAATAGAGTGTCACTTTGCTATGCTGACAGGCCAGGTTGGGCGACGTCGTTCAAAGAGAGGAAGCCAGCGTCGGCATCGATGTCTCAGAAGGCAAGGCGAGGACGGACGTGATGCTGCGTGACCGAGTGTGACCAAGTGTGATGTGACGTCATCCTCTCCTGGACAGTCCGACTGGTGGACTGCCGTGCACAGCGTATACACAGTTTGGCGCTGCTCAGGTCAACCTAGCCGATCACAGCCACCCGACAAATCCACTTTTTCACCCCACAACGTGCCCAATTGTCCGACGGTGCACCTCGGCACTGTTTCGCAATTCTTGACTTTCAGTGCACCTCAATTGAACGCATGGATTCTGTGACGGAGATCTTGGTGTGTGTACGTGCCGACGTGCCTCATGATTCTATTACTGACCACGTCGAAGAACGGCTGACCGTCTCGCTCAGCAAACTCTATACGCGCACAGTTTCAGCCGGAGTCACCACCGATGTCGCTTGTCGCGTGCTAGACACCCGTTTTGCCCGCTCGTTGACGTACACGTGCAGCACTTTGCAGCCGTCGAGCTTCCGCCAACTTCGTCTCAATTTAATCTGCGCTGCGCGGTTCAAAATCTCTCGGCTGCGATTTGCGTGTTTAATAGGGTCATAACAGGTCATAACCGAGCTCTCCGCAAGAAATTCGACCGTATGCTGCTACGTAGCCGCACTTAATTTTAGCGGCGGAACAGCCCCAGTCAGGTTGGTATACCAGACCCAACGTATCAGCGGAAGAAACATGGCGGCGCCCAGTCTCGCCCGTATTCTGTCCATTTACCTAGATTTACCTCCCCTTGCGTCAGCTTGCATCCCCCGTTCCCCCTCATCGCCATAGCGATCGCTGCTAAATTGTCAATCAAAGTCAAGTTAAGGAACGCCGTTGCAGGCTTCTTCTCCTTTGCTGCCGTATGACTTTGTATACAGGGGATGTTTCGTAGCGTCTCGTCAGCCATCCCCCATTTCTTAGATGGGATCCTCATGCTGCGAAGGTTACAACAGGGATGCTCTCGCTTGAAACTGGTCTTTTTACTGGTCAGGATCCATGGCATGCGAGATTCAGCTCCACTATTGTCCAACTTGCTTGCTCTTTTGTACTCAGCTTATTCTCTCCGGCGAACCCACCATTATCATCTCATTGTTCTTTGGACGAACGCACTTCTGATCCTCGTTGGATCGAACAATGTCTTTTCGAATTGGCATGAATTCGCTCCCCCCTTCCACATGTCTTGGAACCACTCTATGCCATATTCCTCTCAACGCTCTCCATTGTCCGCTGTCTGACACTAGCATTGAACGCTGCCCCCACTTACCAGCACGACGAGTCTCCACAAGCTAGCAAGCGCCACTTGCACATTGTTCTCTTCGGACGCTCGAGCGCTCATCCGTAACCGGCTTTATGCCCACGCTTGCGCCTGTTCGAGGTCGCCGGCTCTTCCCTGGTTCCCCGCTGCTGTATGTGTATGCCCCCTTGTCCAGGCAGATATCCTCCACCATTCATCATCCCACCAATCCCCACCCCGCTGGCTCGTCTATATCTGGTCTCTCTCTTCCGTCCCCAGCCCCCTGATCCGCCGACTCCTGCGTAGACTGAGCACATCAGGTGTCGAGATCGATAGGCGCTCTCAACCAACCCTGCTTTCGGCTGATCACTACCATGGTGAATCCATCAATACCCTCGTCGAGCGTCCACCTTCCTCCCCGTACTTCCTTGTATTCTATAACCCGTGTAGGCCTCTGTTCAATTCTCAAGATTGTAGCCTATTCTTTTAAATGAGAGCCCTATTATTCTCTCCCGTCGATGTGATTTATACATGGATCGAACTACTGTCATTAGATGCATGTTACAGTTTTGCGAGGTACGCCGCGCACAATAAATACATATCAAGGTCGGGCCGGCAGCTGCCGACACAATACTTTTGCTCGTCTCTTGTTTCAGTTCGGACTCGCAATCTGCGGCTCGATGCGTCATGCGTCAGATTTCAATCGTTGCGGATCGCACGAAATAATATACCACAGAAGATCAGATGTATACATTGACAGGACAACGTCATCTGCCGAACGAGGACTCGCGTTGTACATGTAAGAGATAAATGGGACAGCCAGGCAGGACAAGGTATAATAATCGTATAACATAGAGCTAGAGCCAAACAACAAAGGGGAGTAGCAATGGACCAAATATCGAGGACGGAACAAGAGCGCAGTGTGTACCAGACCGTCCATAGAGAAAAGGAGATGACTAGATAGAGAACGCTAAGCCGCCGTCTGCAGAGAATGACAAAAACAAAACCCCATCAGTTTTGGCAGGAGCGTAGGGAATATTTGTGACGGACCTTCTTTCCTGCCCTCGTTTTTGTGGTCTTACTGGCAGCTGCCTTCGTCTTTGTGGCCTTCGTGGCGGCGGCCTTGGCAGCGGCAACCTGACATCAGTGTTGTTAGAGAGCACCGCGACGGAACAAGATCCAACAAGACCGACCTTCTTCTCTGAGCTCTTAGCCGTGCTCGTCTTCTTTGCCTTTTCGGCAGGCTTCTTGATAGCAGCCACCTTCTTCGGTGCGACCGTCTTCTTCAGTGGTACAATCTCCTTTGCTTTCTTTGGCGCAGCGGCAGGGGCGGTCTTCGTCTTGGGTGCAGGCTTCTTAGCGGCAGGAGCTTTGGCCTTCGTCTTCGCCTTTGTGGCGGGAGCAGCCACTGCCTTGGCTTTCGCCGTCTTCTTCTCTACAAGTTTCTTCGGTGCTTTGGGCTTCTTGGCGGGTCCATCGGATTCCTCATTGGAGCTGGTGGGCTTATTGTTCTGAGGTTAGAACAGATTCAGGTGTTCGAGCAGTGGCATAGGGAAAGGCTAACGGACCTCCTTCATCTCAGTGGCGGCGGCAGTGCGAGGACGCTTGGGTGCAAGCTTGATCTTGCCCGAAGGCCCCTTGGGCAGAGAGAAGACACCCTGTTCGGCGCCGGTGGTGATGGCACGGTTGAGCTGGAAGAGGTTACCGCCGCTCATGTCGAGATTGTATTTATCCTCTGCGAACTGCGCACGATGGACATCAGAGGGAGAGCACAAGAGTGCTGAGGGAGATAGTGACATACCTTCTTAAGAGTACTGCGAGATACGCCCGAGCGAGCGTCTTCGGGGTTGGCGGCAATGCATTCCTGCCACAACCAGTTATGGCCTGACATCAGTGACAATGATAAAAGTAAACAGACCTTGATGATATCCTTCCATGAAGGATGGGTAGCAGACTTTTCTTCCACTGACTTCTTGTAGACAGGTTTCTTGGCAGTGATCTTCTTCTTCTCCTTAACCTCTTTCTTGCCAGTCGACCGAGAGGAGCGAGAACGAGGAGCCTTCTTTTGGATAGTGGCTTCTTCAGGGGCGGGTGAGGCAAGAGGAGATGCAGACTCAGACATTGCAGATAGAGATCGAGTGGATGGAGGGATAGAGCGAGGGGGCGTGTGGCAAAGGGACGGAGATGATGGGCGGATGAGCGAAGAGTTGTTGCGGCGGCACTGGCCAACGCGCCTCTATTATAGCCCCGCGTTCCCATCACGTGAGCGCAGGACGCGTTGTTGATTGACGAACCTTATTCTTTGTTGACACCGCCACCGGATGCTGCCTGCGTGAAACCTACTCATCCAGGCTATTCCGACCCCTCTGGCAGGGTGCTGGTCTGTCCTTGCGCAAAGGTTTGAGCCAATTACATCTTTCATTAAACCGTGAGATCCTCTCTGAGTATTTTATAAATTTACAATCTACGACGCATCGCGTGTTGGAACACCACAAGATGTCGAGGCAATTTGCAAGGATTCACCTGACAGCATCCGCTGGCACAAGTGAACCGCGCTCGGCTTTTTTTGTACGAGGTGAGTATCCGACTTCATTTGATCACGTTCGAGTTTTCGTATCTGCGACATTGATGTCGGCAGGGAGGCGTTTAAGAATGTTGACAACAAGCGCATAACAGAGTTGGGATAAGCCTGGATAATCATTGTTAGAGCTTACTATATCTAAGTCCAATCCAACATGCAACCCCAGCCGCACTATCAGTCCAACGTAGTCCACACTCGAAGGATGTCCTCGTTCTCTTCGAGCTCATACACCATCTCCCCAACTCTGCTTTCCAGCTCCTCGTCTGTGCTCTCACTCGCCTCGGTCGGTACGTAGATTAGCTCACTTGTGAGCAGCTCCCGGACGCGTCCTGAGGACATCACGGCCTCGGTGAGTTTTGTGAGAGATTGTGTTGGGCAGATAAACTTTTTGAGGCCGCAACAATGACAGGGCCGCGTGTCAGCGAGTTCAACGACGAAATAGATGCTACGGCGCACCTGGATCTCGACACTCTCTTCCGACACGTTTTGCTCTTCAAAATCCTCCGCATCGGCTTCGAGCGCTGCGTCGATGAGCGCCTCTACTTGCCCTGCATCTACCGCGACGCGCACGCAGCCCTTCCGCTGAAACATGAATCCAACAGTCGCATATCGTGCGCTGGACAGATCACAAACACATATACATGGGTCGAAGGAAAAAAGTCAGTTTATGGGCTGGGGGGCTGGGGCGTATGTAAAGACGCACTTATGTTTGTTGAGAATGGAGCGCAAATTGTGCAGCGTGCGATTGCCGTTGTCTGTCAGACACTCTCTTCACAGCATCAGGGGACAAACGTAGAAATGAGAGTTGACGAAGCACAGGCGTACATCAACACGCCAACGGACCCGTGCGCCATCGCCTCGTACGTCGCAAGCTGGTTGCCCTTGTCCTTTCCACCGCTTGCCTAAAGTGATCGCCGTCAAGGGACATTGACAACCGACTCAGATGAATGCGCGCCTTGAGAAGTGCGGTCTCAATGTTGGCCTTTGGTACACCCTCCAAACGTGCTCTCTTAAGTGTGTTAGATAGCGCTAGGTTCTTGTCTGGATCCGATGAGCCTCCGTCTGTACCCGAATACACATCACCTGTTAGCGTGATCTCCGAGGCCTCGAGAAATTGGGAGAAGATGGTCTACGCACTCCGCACCGCGACCATAATTTCCTAATCTTATGACACATTCACTGAGTATACCGTCCGAACGCGCGGAGAGTCGAGAAAGGCATTCCATATTGGAAAAGGACAGCAGTACGTACGCGGCTGGCCCGCCCATAGATAGCGGATTTCTGTGCGTCATTTATGCCTTTGCGCTGCTTAATCTTGGCCCACTACAGAAAACTGTACATCAATGACAATGAAGAGGGCGATGGTGATGGTGAAAGGCGAGCCGGGTACGCACTTTACTGTGTCCTGAGGACGCGGGAAAGGACGTGGAAAAAGAGCGTTGACAGAGACGGGTGAGATTACGAGGAAACATTTTGGATGGCTTGAGGCACAACGAAGTGCAGCCAGGAGTGCTCCTATTGAGGAGCAGGAGGTACAGGGAGGTACGAGTTCAGAATTTCGTGGCGCACGTTTCAGGCGTCGAACTCAAAGTCTGCGTGATGAGCAGTACGTGATCACCGGGTAGCGCCGAGCTACTTTCCTCTGGAGTCTGGACATCGCACAGTGCATTGTATGCAGTGCCGCTGACGACGAGGCAAGAGTGAGATGGTTTTCTGTATCGCTCGAAGCAAGGGGTTCATCTACGCAGTGAATGTGAATGAATGATGATGAGGTTGACCTGGATATGGACGTGTCGCGTGGCGGACAGCCATCTCTTGCAGAGCTTTCTTCGAATCTTCAGCACTGTCCATTCTTCCGTACACAGCAGCCGAGACTATTCACTTGGGCAGCATCTGTCCTCTAGATAGCCACTACTTAACTTAGAGCTGGCCTCATCTTGATTGGAGATCATGTTTTCCAAAATACCCACCAAACTCTCCGCACCATTTGGCTTGTTGGGCGATGAAGCCAAACTCGCATTCCGTAGTCAGCCTACAGGGATCTCGAAATTAGCTACTTCACGGGTCCGTCTTGCTATCTTCTCGACAATCCTTCTCTCAGATTGACAACAGAACTCCAGAACATCTCGCAAACCGATGCGTATTGGGATCAAGTGAGTTGAGGTCTGCCCATGTGCTGCGCACGACTGAACACGATTGCTGGACACAGTACACTGTTCTGTTCGATTCAGCATCCGATGTATTTTCTCTCATTTCTCCCAATGACAGTACGTGCCTATCTAGTCCTTCTGAACAAAACCGTTACATCGCAAACATCCCTAGTCCGTCGGGCTCTCCTTGAAGCGCCAGAGAATGTCGCGACCCTCGTCCGCGTTATATGCGCCCGTTTGTTCAACCTAGTCTCAGACCACACATTCCCATCCTCTACCAACATATCCGTCGCATACTTCACCTCGTCATTACTCAAAACAGGAGCGGCAGAGCGCAACACCACTAAGGAAGTACTCAATTGCATACGCGTTCTTCAGCGTGTGTTACCAGTGGTATTTGAGATTGACAGTGAGTCCAGCATACTTGAGGAGGAGATTTTCTGGAAGAAGGAGGCCGTCGAGAGACGCGATAGCAAGGAAGAGACAGAGCAGGTGCCGCAGTTTGTGATAGAGGACGACGATGAAGATGCAGCAGAAGGTGAAGGTGGGACTGGGGGATCTCAACCCAAACGGACATCTCCCCACAAGACTCATCACGCCAAAACGCTTCCTTCGCTTGCGGAGCGACTTTTCAGCTGCTTAGTTGACTTGCTTTTCTGCTGTGGCTTTACTTTGCCGTCCAAGATTCAGGTGGACCACTACAAAATCAACTACATCATCTGGTGCGTTTCTTTATAATTGGACTCACCTTGGCTGGGCCTTAACTTTCAGCAGGGAGAAAGGCGTCGGCTCGACTGTGGATTTAGGTCCTAGTCATGCATATGATAATAATAAGTCTGAAGTCTTGCGACTCCTGCTCATCATCCTTTCGCGTCAAATATACGTCCCACCCGCCTCGCTGTTTACCGTTCCATCTCTCTACACCCTTCAGTTTGTTCAGCGCACCCCGAGGCGCGACGTCCTAACCGTGCTCTGCTCGTTACTGAATACAGCAATGAATTCATCACAACTGTATACAGCCAATTCCATCGGTGGTGTCGCAGGACGTCTACCTTACAACCATCTCGTGTTCAAAGGAGAAGACCCAAGAGCAAGTCTTGTGGGCAATTGCTTTCAGGTGCTCTGTGCCCTTCTCGACTTCCAGAGCGGTAGCGCGAGAGATGTCCCGACCGGCACGGGGGAGAATCAGTCCCAGGCTCCAACGCCGCGCACTAATGCTTTCAGATACTTCTTAGCAAAACTTGTACGAGTCCTTCCTCTCTTATGTGGCGGCCTTGATGACGCATATACCAGCATCGAACACAAGATTTTCAATTCATCATCGATGGTGTCTTGGGCATCTTGGAACAACAGATGGCGTCTGTGAACAATCTACTTCCCGGATCACGGAGGTCTGTTCCATACATTGTCGAAACAAGTGAGCTATATCACGCATATTCACACGAATGGTTTCTCAGCCTTGCATCTAGTTGTATTCTTTTGGAAAATGATCGAGTTAAACAGGGTATGCGAATTACGTCCCGTCCGTTTCATGCTCGATTGAACACGGTGATGGTTTCAGAAATTCAGAGTCTATCTCCTTGACCTAGAGAAATCAATGGACATAGTCGCATATCTGCTGTGTTATACTCTTGAGATCAAGGACAAGCCCCGTATGTCTTTTCATATCAATTCTTCGAGAGTTATGTACTTACGCATATCTAGAACAACACGGACTGTGCCGAGCGCTGTCGTATATCATTCAGACACTCTCTGCGGAGACCGCTTTCGGGTTGAGGCTCACATTCCCGCTCAAAGCGTCTCATGTGCCGGCGAAATGGAATGTAGGAGGTGCTGCTGCAGACTTCATGATCAATGTACGCTCGATCAAGCGTTTTCATCACGCATCATTCTGACTAGCATGATCCCTTAGTGCGTATACTGCATCGTTGCGACCACATCCGGGGCTCTGAATTCGATCTATCCTGCCTTGATAATCGCGCTTTCAAATGCCGCGCCTTATTTCAAGAACTTGAACTTGAACTCTTCGACTCGACTAGTCCAACTGTTCTCAGCGTTTTCGAACCCCGTGTTCTTGCTAGCAGACGAAGGTCACCCAAGACTGTTGTTCTTCATGTGAGCACCGTGCTTGGTTTTACGGATATGCCTTGACAGGTCATATTCCGCTGGTAGGCTGGAAGCATTCAACGCGGTTATCTCTCATCATCTCCCAGAGAACGCAAACCTTGTCTACGGCATCCTGCGTGCGCACAAGACTTTCGAGGATCTAGGAACCTTTACGCTCGCAAGGGGTCTTCGTGAAGTGAAGAGGATCCAGCTGGCGAAAGAGGAGCAGGCGAACAAGGCGGACGCAAAGGGGAAGAGCAGAGCCGTGGGCGAGCACGAGCAGCCGCACGAGGAGAAACAGCGGTTGCTAGAACGCGAGAACAGCAGCGCGCTCAGCCTTTCCAGCCGAGTGCAGTCAGTGGACAGCTTGGCTGAAGTGCGGGTCATCCCACGAGACGGAGTGCCTGTGAATGGGACGGGTCACACTGCCGCAGCAGAAGAGCTCCCTTCCGTTCAGCCGCTGATGTCACCTACAACAGAATTGCCTCCTACTCATGGTGCCCAGTCATCTGTCTCCGAGAAAGTCAGAGGCAAGATGAGGGAGCGACGGTCCTTGTCGCTGGATACAGACGCTAGTCTCGATCGTGTGGCCGCTGCGGGCGTGGGGAGAAACGGGTTTGTGCCGACACAGGAGTGGGTGAGTGCCTTGAGTGAACGTCGTATCGTGTCGAATAGGTGCTGACTGTCATTCAGGTCACATCTTGGCAGCAAGGGTATGTGGTGTCGCTTCTCGGCGAATCTATCATGAGTAATCGCTGAAATAATATCAACATCTGTTCAGGCTTCCTCTCGACGTAGTGATGCTGGCTATCTCGGAGCTGATGCCCAAAGTTCAAGAACTTCAGGCCTCCGGGAACAAGCCGAACGCCACCACAGCCATCGTTGACTTTTTGAGCCACGCATCCTTGAAGCATGTCCTTCCCCCGCCCCCACCATTGAACCCTAGGCGCTTCATTGTAAGAATCCCCTTCATTAAAATGCTCATCTACTGATCACCTCTGATTGCCTCCTCAGTGGTCCGAGAGTTCCATCGTCTGGCTGTCTTCCTTGATATGGGGCGAGATTTACGTGCGCGGCATGACTCCCCTCGGCATCTGGAACTCGACGAGCGTTCGCTTGTTCTATGTGAAGCACGCACAGAGTCATCAGCGCCAGATCTCGGAAGCGGTCTCCAGCGTCGTTGGAGGACTGCTGGGCCGAGCCTCTGAGTCGCCGCAGATGACGAGACAACGGTCAGAGCGCTCTTGAAATCGTTGAAACTGTTCGCCCGATCTCGTGCATGTGCATGAATTGTTGTCTCAGACGGCCTAGCTTTCATGTAAAGGACTTGTAGCTAGTGGTATCTATGTGTCGTGGCGTATGCGTATTTTATTAGTTCAGTACTCAGTACTCACGTCCCGTCGGCTGTCGCCGGCATGCCACAGGCGCGTTATACAGGCTCGCGTCAGCGTCGAACTCTTCGTTTTTGACGAAACACTGCAGCGGTTCGACTTAGCCGACGATGCGAACGATCTTCTTCTGCAACATAAAATTGACAAATGGATAATGTCCTACTTACAGCAGTGGATGGTTTCAACCCAATTCATAAGGTTGCTCTGAAGAGAGGTGAATATTGATTGTGTTGCCTACAACCTTTTGTGCATTTAAACAGTTTACACAGGTGGTCTTGTGAAGGCAACAGATGTTTTGATGATCGCACCCCAGGACCTGGCAAGGAAATGTAGGGTGCCGCTGGTAGAGGCACAGAGTATTGTAGACATCGTTTGTCGAGCTCTAGATCGCCCACCGAGCCTGCTTGAAGACCTTGAACGGTCAGGCACCGACGCGTTTACAACAGGTGACTCCACCCTCGATGGAATACTCGGAGGAGGTATCAGACCGGGCATGATCTGGGAGCTTGCGGGAGAAGGGTATGCTCAGCTCCACTCAAGCCTAACGTTATTTAACGAGGACTTCGCATTCAGTGCTTCAGGGAAAACGCAACTAGCCCTCCAACTCTCGCTCATGGTACAGCTCCCATCATCCAAGGGCGGACTTTCTGGCTCTGCGTGCTACGTGACAACGTACTCAGTACTCCCGACGACTCGTCTAGTAGAGATGCTGCATGAAAACCCGCTATTGTCTTCATCCTCCTGCAGTCTCTCAAATGTGAAGACCGTTGTGGCAGGGTCCGTTGGGGCTCTTCAATACATCCTTTCAAACTCAGTACCTGCCCTTGTAGAATCCTCAGCGACATCTGGAGATATGCCTGTCAGACTGCTCGTCATAGACAGCCTGGCAGAAGTCTTCCCGGAGGACAGGCCATCTGCTGCTCAGCTTTCAGAACGCTCCAAGAGCGTTTCGGACATCTCGAAAATGCTTCACCGATTGGCAAGCCAATATCGCATGGCAGTGGTAATCATTAACCATGTGGTTGATGTGTGGGCGCAGGGCGCAGATCGCGGCGTTCAGGGCGACCTCATATATGCCGACCAAGCGCGTTTCTTCAGTCGTGCGGATGGCATCCCAGGGGAGGGCAGGAAAAGCGCCGCTCTTGGACTGGCATGGGCTAATCAAATCAACGCACGCATCATGCTAACGCGGACTCATCGACGGCAGGCTCTGGATGAGCTTCATGGCCGAGAGACGAAGCGACCACGCTTGGAAACCCCCGTGCCTCGGAGTGCTGTGGAGGTTCAGCCTTATCTCGTTCGACGCTTAACTATCATCTTCAGCTCCGTATCTCAGCCAGGTTCTCTCAACTTCATCATCACCGCTCAAGGCGTTAGCTCAATCGACGACGAGATCTGTTTCTCTTCCCCGCCGTCAGATCCTCGAATATCCTCAGCATCTCACTCATCAGGGTTGGACTCCAGCCCTCCTCAACCACTGATGGCTGGTGTGAGTATTAACGATGTCGCCTATGCAGAGAATGACCTACAATCAACCTTAGACGTCGCCGAATTGCATGACGTTGAAGGCCAGGAGGATGATGAAGAGGCTCACTATTGGAAGGAGCTTGGTGGGGATGACGCTCTCTCGGAGAATGAAGGAGACGTTGACGAGTCAATCTTTTCGAGTAGTGCATAACTCCTCCACGTAACTGCTTCACTGTGTCATCGCACGGCTTCTGGCCTAGTAGATTTTTGTTCATCTAAGCCAACAACTTGACAACAAGAGAGCGAATCAACTAATACACGTATAGCGCATTATTAGGAGTCTACACAGCGCATTACGATAGTTACATATGTCGTTCATGCACCCATGTGCCCATATGAAACCGTCGGGATAGAGTCATCTAAAGGTACAGTATCAAACTGGTTCCACGGTGCAGGATACGTCTCAACATCCGGTCCTTTCTCCCTATTGCCAGACAAGTAAAGAGGACGGAGTGGAGCCTTCTGAGCATGCCACATGCCTTCGCGCACATGCATGAAGATTCCCACAGATGCTAATCTCAGAACAGTAAGGACAAACGAACGATGGAAGCAAAAAATAGGTGGATGCACGCACCAAGGACAGGGGTGACCCAGCTGGCTAGCAGTGCGAAGACCACAAGTCCTGGGCCAGCGCCACCGCAGGCGCCAGAAAGGCGAGAGAAGTCCTTGCAAAGCCCGCTGTCTTGTCCCGCACGAATCGAAAGGAGAACAGCGACGACTGTAGATTGCTCGTCAATGCGCTAGATTCAATGAGGAAGAAGACATGAGGAGCTTACCGAACCCCATCCACAAAAGACCTCCAAACGCCATCGTCTCTATTCTGGGGATATTCTTGTCAGACTTGAATCGCACTTTGTAGCATATGCTGATAAAAGGACCATGTTAACATCGAAGGCAGGTGGCTATGGCAGATGGAGGCCTCGCTCACAGCATAGGAACTTCAGCTGCAGAGACTAAACTGAAGATTAGTGCGGCGATTTCATAGTCTGGTGTTGCGACTGCATTAGCCTCTACAAACAAAAATACAAGTTACAAGCTCTAACTTGTCTGGTCATGGCTCGCCGTTGTGTGCAGGCAGATGATGTAAATGCACAGATTTAACATGGCAATGATGGCTGCGAAATCGCGGTTGGGCTCAGCTTTATACAGAAGACACTATCGCACTCACAACCAAAGATGACAAAACGGTGGCGGGCTGCAAAGCTACTCATCTTGTTCCAGACAAGCGATGTGCGTATAAAGAATGTAAGGGTACGAGAGCGTGAGACGAATTGTGAATGGCCTGAATGTTGGAGGGTTGGTGGGAAGAAGGGGATTGTGAGGAAGAAGCGCAGAGAGGGAGGGTTTATAAACAAAATCGCGGTTGTGTGGCGAAGACAATGCAACTTTGAGGCCACGTTCGTTTCAGTTTGTGGCTTTGAGTCATGGCGGTGGCCGCCCCACCGAAGCGAGCAAGCCACCGCTAAATCTCATGGTTGTCGAGGCGTTTCTTGAACCTTGATCAAACTGCAGACACTCCTAGACACAAAAATAGTGTAGGGGGAAAGAGAGTTCATTACGACACCTTCTTAGACACTTCATGACACGCTGTCCTGAATTGCGAATGAAGATGCTGCCAAGGAGTCAGAATATTGTAAGGAACTGACCTCAAGGCCAGCCCCATGACACCGCCAAAGGGCATTTGACTTGTTCAAAGACAATCGCTGTTCAGGCAACAAGCTCTGGTCGCTCTTCGCGAGGAGACATTCGAAACAGCCGGCTGTCATGTAATAATTTTCAGTACGTTATGAACAGTCATAAGGACTCAAGGAGTATGGAAGAGATAGAGAAGGTACTGATGTTCTACCAAGCGGGTGAGTGTGTAGCGATTGGCTTCCAATTGCTTTCTCGACAAGAATTAAGTGATTCGTGAATCACAACGAGAGATTGGCCGTACCAAGATAGTAGAATAGAGTCGAACGGAGTGAGCTCGCCCTGGGGGATCTGGAAGACACATCATTGAGTCGTGCCATCCTATGGATGTGGAACGGGTCAATTGTCGAGTAACTCACATGAGGGGTTCATAAATCCGAATATTCAGAGTGTTACCAGAGCGTTCCGCCAGGTATCCATACAGGTTTGTTTGATATCGAGGTTGGGTCACCAATCGCCCAGTTCAGGATGCATTTGCAAACGAATCAAGGAAATGTGTTTGCTTAGATCTGCTTAGATCTTATCGGGTGATACAACATATGCGGAGAATGAGCGCTTGAGACACTCAGGCATACAATAACTACTATGTATAAAACACATATTCCATTTCACGTTGCGATAGTAAGATGAGGAGACAAGAACAAACTTAAAGTACAGAGGGACCCAAAACGAGCAAGGTGGATAAAGGAGATGGGTATGAGCGCGAGCGGGGAGAGAACAGCGGCAAGGAAGGAAATCGAGAGGGATAGAGCGATCATCCCAATTATCCAGGCACCGCTCATATTATCTATGCTGGGGAGTCCATTCATAGCCATCCGTCGATGATGCAGAGGCATCGATATGACAAACTGGCCGGCCATCATGCGTCTGATGACAACTCAACCCATCCCCGCTGCCCAAACGTATTCTCCCCCGAATAGCTAACATACAAGAAATTGTCTTCATCCCTGGAGTAGCAGTGATCAAAATACGGCGACGCGACGAAGAAGACAACAACATACTTATGTTCTTCATAAATTGCACTCATCAATGCTGCTGTTGGTGGGAGGATCTCATCGACGAATATGAAGATGGCCTTCTCGGGAGCAAGCTTGATGCGCTTGCGGATCACGTATACAAACTGTCCTACAGTGAGATCCTGTATAACAAGCATATCAGCTTCCGTAGACCAGACACGATGATCCGAATATGGGATTGAAGAGGTGAAGATCGCACATACCGAAGGTACCAGATACTTCTTCTTGTCGATTGTAGGAATATCTGTCCGATCCGCCTTCTCGCAGATCACCTTCAATACAACTACTGTGAGTTCACGACTGTAACAATCCTGTATATACTGCATACCGGAATGCGATCTGGATACTTCTGTCTGATGCGTTCGGCTTCCGCCTTGCGTTTCTCTGATAGCAGAGGGGTAAAGTGAGCGGGCTTGCGTGTGCAATGACTGTGCATGGCACGCACCAAAAGGGTGCTCATCCTTGAATTTGGATCGCATGTCAATTAACTAGTGGATTTCAAGAGCTGAACAGAGTACAGATGCTTTGGAATGAGTCGCAAAGGAGGAAAGGAGGCGATGGTCGACGCAGCGATACTGAAGACGGTGCCGGTTAGAGCTTATAGAGGCGAGGACAACAAGCCCTTCATGTGACGTGACTCCAGAGGCCACAACAACCCACAACAACACCCCATCATGCCAAACCCACTCATAAATGGACTCTCTGGCCTCTTCTCTGACCGAGTCAATTCCCCCAGGCGCTGCCAATCAGTAAACACCCACGTACATGTTCCATTTGATGGCTAGCATTCTATTTTTGCGAGGTCCCACGGTTTGAACTCCCTCGGAGGTAACATGTGTCGATGATGCTGACTCCCCTCAGCTGCAGTGCTGCACTCATCGTTAGCCAACTTACTTCATCACCCTGACAGAGACTTCGACGCATTCTCCGAGCATATTTTGCAAGTGCGATGCAGATATAACAAGTGTATATCTTGATTGATTTTCGTCGACCTCTTGAAATCTTTCGATTATTTGCTGGTTCTGCAGCTATTTTGACGACCTGCGAATGCACAGCATTCAAGGCCCATAGGCGATCTGACGAATCAACACCATATTATGGGCAGTCGGTCTGCAGATACCACAGTTTGGACAAGATGATAATGGCCCTTATATGGGATAATTGACCACAATGGAGTTGATTACAACGCGCTAGAGTCCACGGGGCTGACGAGTGTCATCTTCACTCTTCCTCGCTGTGTGTTCTTGTCCTTTTCCACTTCTATGCTCACTGTCACCTTGTCGAAAACCGCAATCTCCACCTCCTTGCCGCCAGTCTTAGTCGAAGGGACAGTTACAGTATAGTTATCTGCGTCGAACTGAGTTTCCCGCTTGAAAAGCACCAGACCTTCGATTCCAAGTCTAATTTCGTACAGGTTCATCAGCGTTTAGAACGTCTACTCGAGACTGGGGATCCTGGGACATACTTGGAAACAAAAACCCCGAGACCATTCCTAAACGTTCTGATAACGAATGCTTCTTCCGTCACTTGACCGCCGCCAGTTTTGTGAGACTTCTCTCCACGGGATTTGAGCGCCAATCCGACATAGAACTCAACACTTGCTCGGCCTGCCATCTGTGCCATCCTGTGCCTTCGGTTTACAACGTCCAGGACCCGTTCTACATGCGATTTAGTGTGCAAGGAGGCATGAAGGGGGGAATAGCCGATGGCGGCGGAAAGCTGGCGATGGGCAAGTACATCTGATGGCCATGTTAGTAGAACGGGCAAAGCAATGTCTATACCTGCACTTACCGGCGTAACGCCGAATAGGACTGGTGAAGTGTGTGTAAATGGAGCTTGCTAAACCATAGTGACCGAACGTCTCGGAAGATACACTGCCTGAGCAGAAATACTCTGCGGAGAGCATGCAGCGTGTCGCCATAATGCGCACTAGGGTATTAAATGCTGGCTCATCGGGGTCCTATCGTTGGGCGGTTAGAGCCGAATCGGGATTAATGACAAACGTTTGACGCACTGTGCACTTATCTAGGGAGGCCGCCAATGCTCCAGAACTCGAAACATCAAGGGACAATCCTCGCCTTTTTTTCAAGATATCTTGGAGCTTCTCGAAATTTGATTTCGGTGGGGGAAGATGCCGTCTAGTACACCCTCTCCGTGAGTCGAGACGTAGGGTGGAGACAGCAAACTACGGTACCTGAGCACAGCGGTCTGTGGGAACGTCTCCTGTATTTTTCGAGCTACGCTGATATTGGCAAGAAGCATGAATTCCTCAACGAGGCTGTTCGTTTCCCGCAGTTCTTTTTGCTCTACATCGACGGGGTCTGACGACTCAGCGCTATCCATGTGGATTTTGACCTCTGGAGATGCTAGGTTCAGTGCGCCCGCAGCCATGCGCCCCTCTTTGAGTTTACGCGCGAGCATATTGAGCAATCGAAGGCTCTCCGTCAACTCGTCATTGAGGCTCCTGCAGGGCACATAAATGTCACACAAATAGAACGAGGAGAGATAGGTGTGCTGACGGATCATCCTTGCGAATCTGTGCCTCTTCATACGTGAAGGCAGATTTTGAGGCAATGACGGACTTTGTGAAGCGAACATTGACAATCTCGGCTTCAGGGGTGAGTTCCTAAAGTAAGAACATCAGCGCCGAAGGGTTAGAGACGGAGGCTTCACCAACCCAGATACAAGAAAAAGCTAAGCGCTCTACATGAGGACGAAGGGAGCACAGATTGGTTCCCAGCAGGGCTGGTAGCATGTCAATTCGCTTGTCTACAAGGTACACCGTAGTCCCTCTAGACGCTGCTTCACTGTCCATTGGATTGTCCGGAAGTACGAAATGCGACACATCAGCGATATCTAGAAAGCAATGAGTGAGGTTTCTCCAGAAGGTGGAGATCATTTTTACTTACGCACTCCTGCCTCGATATTTCTGTTCGAAAGCCGACGAGCGTGCAGTGCATCATCTATGTCTTGACAATCTACATGTTCAACGGATTGAGCACTTCGACATCAGCAGCAGGGTGAGCGGACGAATTACTTGGGGGATCGATGCTGCATATGATCAAATTCCGCAGATCCTCTCGGTCCCTCCACTCGGGGCTCAAACTGCTCTTCGGGGGAACGACCCAGCGATCTCCCTCGGGAGGCAGGCAGTCTAGGATTGCTTTCCCAAATGGCCGATATGGAACGTCGAACTCCAACAACAGACTCTCCTGCTCCGCTTCTTTGCTTTCTACTTTGCCTAGCGATCGCACGAAGTGGCCTTCTGGGTAACGCGAGGTGCTATCCCATTTATCGATAGTGACGAGGATCTTTTGCCCTATAAGAGAGGGAGCCTGCCTCGTACGCATGCGGATCCTTGGAAGAAGTCGAGAGACCGGCGTCGCAAAGACCGTCTGTTGCGACAGAGAAGTGGGGTTTGATGAGGTCAACGAGGTGCTATCAATGTGGCAAACGTATCTGCAGCCAAACCCATCAGAACAAGCTCCCAGAAGATGAAGCAGTAGTCTCACGCCCGCCAGTTGCGCTTGATAATGCCAACCACACGACCCGTTGGCTGTTTCTCCGCATTGGGCGTTTTGGACTCCTCTCTTTTGAGCGCTCTCCGCTCATCTATCAAGGCATCATTGTCCTCTCCTTTGTCTGAGTCCTCGACATCATCGTTCTTCAATGTGACTGTTGGCGAATACTTTCGTTAGTCGACACAACGCTAGCGAAACAACATATAATCACCTTCTTGGTCAACTACTTGATCCGCAGGAGCCTTCCACTCCTTCTCGTCGAAGACTTCAATAACAACGACATCACCTTGTACAGAGCGGTTCATGTGTTCTCGACCAATTAGTAGGACAGGCTTCTCAAATCCTGTCACCATGATACTGCCCTAGATTGTTTACGCTCGTGATGGTGTTTTTTGAAAGACGATCTTAAAAGTTGCATACCTCTAAGTAATTGTATTGATTAGCGTTGAAGTGTCCTTGATGCAATTGGCCGGCTTTGATGCCTGCAATCAAAGCACCAGAAGGCAGATACTGTATCGAATTATGCCGTGAGATGCAATCAAGAGGCAAAACTGAGCACCGTACATCTGGGTATAGGACAGTGCGACCGGACGCAACCGTTGGCTCAAGATCGTTGGACCCTGCCACCGATAGAAGGTCAAGCAACTCGGTTGCTTTTGGCATTCCCTCCACGTATGAACGGACTAGCGACAGGTTCATTCCACGACGGTATGACCGGCGAGACATGCTGTACTTACCTGACAAGCACTGGATGCCTTCCTTTTCCGCTTTTTGGCGGTTGGCTACATCATCAGTGAGGAGTACAACCGTTGGAATTGAAGGAGCGGTTTGGCCGCGGATGACAGGGCGTGTGAGTGAGAGATGAGAGTTATACCAAGCAGTTCCCTTGCGGATGCCTATGATTGTTTTTTATGCTATTGAAGCTATACCTTGATATCAGTTGAGACATACCTCGATCGTTACGGTCATTGGGTGTCTCCCCATTTTCACGCACAACAGCTGTCTCTCTGCAAAGGTGAGTAGATGGATAATGATATAAAAAGCGAGAGGATTACTTACGATCGAAATTCATTGTAGAAGACCCATGTCCGCTTTTCATCCAGCTTCACAAGTGCCTTCAAGCGATTGTATAATGGTAAAGAGCGATGGCGGACTTCTTCGAGGACCGTCTGCAGAAGGATGATGGGGGAGGTGAACAGACTGGATTCCATGAGATCCATCTGAGGAATCTCTTATTAGCGAGGGTCCGTCTCTTTACAGGGCAACGAGTGGCCGTAGTGTCACACCTCGCAAGGGAGCGGATATTAGAGACTAGAAATGACACACCTGAGCTAGAAATACGTTGGTGTCTGGCAAAATGAAATGGCCGTTGGGAAATAGTTTGTGATCTAAGGTGCCATTAACTGGCAAAGCAGTGTCGGCCGAGGTAGAACACTCTCTACAGCCCTCTATACCACAGGACACATCATCCCTCAGATATCTCTCCCTTATGACTGTACGAGGTAATCTATGAGAGCATCGTGTTGGAACGGCAGGGTGCACACCTTTAATGACTTTTCCCCTTGCAGTCTTCTTGAAGAACTTCCGCTGGGTGATGACCGCATCCTCAATGGGGCGCTTCCTGATAGTAACTTGGACCATGGAAACAAAGGCGAACTCAGGAAGAGGCGGGAACGACGGGTGAATTTCTGAATACAGAGTCGAAATTCCGACTCCCAAGTCAGAGATTTGTGACAAACGCCATGTTGATCTTATCTTATCTTATCTCCTGCGGATACCGCATTGACACGTCCAACGACTCGATCATACTGCCGCCATCACTCACTCCCGTCTCCAATTCGAAAAGCTGGCAACGGTAGTCAGAAGTCTTCAGAAGTACAACATCGTTATAGATTCCTCATCACTGCATCCCTACATAACGGCGACCAGCTTCTGACCCAGCGCCGCTCGCAACAATGCGACTGCTCTGGTTGCTGCTGCCGCTTGCACCTTCGGTCTTTTCGAAACCCGCAAATGATACAGACTCTCTTTTGTGGGGCGCTTATCGGCCGAATCTTTACTTTGGTCTGAAGCCCAGAATACCACAGTCTCTCATGACCGGCCTGATATGGTTTGGAACTCAAGACTACCAGTCCTTTACACGTATGTCCCATGATTATATGAAGCATAAATAGGTCATTGAAGTGGATGTCATGGAGGCTCTCGCCATGCTTGTGACCAAGGGGACGAGTTGGATGGGTATACGTGGACGATGTACGACGCACGTGATGGAGGTGTCCAGGTCCTGAAGGACAGCAAGAACAATGTCAAGGTCACCACCGAGTTCCTCAAAATACCAGGTGGTGAGCATGGTGGGAGTTGGGCTGCACGAATCAAGGGGGAGCCCATGAACCCTGGTACACATTTTTACCGTATAACAATCTTCGTACAGAGTTTCTGACCTGGCCGTCTAGATCTTCCCTCTCGCACGTCTTTCATCTTCTATTCGGGCCTTGAGGGACTTGGAGGCATTGACATGGAGACCCAGGAAGCAGAGAATGTTAGTTCAACCTGAGCCACCCTTATGTGGCAGAGCTAATATCATGCATCAGGGAATAGAAGGCCCCATCGAGTTTTCTGGCTCGACGCCAGAGCTCGACGAGTTCACCATTCGTATTGAGGATGGTATGGACTCAAATATGTTCCGATAATTTTGATGAATTTTTGACATATTTTAGACCCCAAGAATGCGGCATTCAACGGCGGTCCATTCGCCGATGTCTTCAAAGACCGGATCGGAAAGACGCATTACGGAGGCTTCCGAGTCCCCCAAGACAACATGTGGCAAGCGAAAGGTATCATCGAATTTATTTATTTATTCTTGATTACTGAACTTTTACACTTCAGAGGTTATTATACAGGATATATTGCAACGTGCTCGAGATGCGCTTGCACCCTACCAGAACCCTGCAGGCGGGGCACCCGATCCTTCTTTCATACTGCAACTGAACGACGAAGCTCTGTCCAACAGCAACCTGTTTGCAGTACAGAAACTCTTTGATGGTGAATTCCAGTTTGATGTATTTTTCGAAAGCAAGAGTGCGAAACAAAAGTTAAATGGTGACACCTGCTTTATCAATATTCATGGGAATGCTCGATGCTCATCCACATTTTAGCTGCTACCCTGGATGAGGGCATGCAAGCTTTCACTAGTTCTTTTAACGAACGCTTCCAGTCGGTTTTCCCTGTCCCGCCTTCACCGAAAAAGGAGTCCATTGAGTCCTTCTCCAAAGCCATCACCTCGAACCTGATAGGTGGTGTTGGGTACTTCTACGGAAAATCCATAGTCGATAAGTCATTTGCGTACGAATGGGACGAGGATGATAGTTTCTCTGCCGAAGGAGATGCAGAGGATAGCAAAGACAAAGGTGACGGAGGTGCTCATCTGACAGAGCCCAAGGCCCTGTTGACCGCTACGCCGAGTCGAAGTTTCTTCCCTCGAGGATTCTATTGGTGAGCCTCAGCTTGTTTCGCTATTCTCAAGAAAATAACATCTGTGGTAGGGATGAGGGTTTCCATCTGATGCATATCGGCGAATGGGACAATGATTTGAGGCAAGTACCTTCGCATCGACTTTTCGGGAGCGAGTACTTCATTCTGCTCTAGCTTGGAAATTTTGAAAGACTGGATCAATCTCATTGACGAAGATGGCTGGGTTGCCCGGGAGCAAATCCTTGGAGAGGAAGCACGAAGCAAAGTGTGTTGCTCGTGAAACCGTACTCACTTCCATCTCAAGCATGTGTTATTTTTAGGTTCCACCTGAGTTCCAGACCCAAGTCCCAAGCTTTGCCAACCCCCCTACTCTGGCCATGGCAGTCACCGCATTCATTGGTCGCCTTAAAGCCACAGGGGGCCCCAGCGATAAGGATCTTGGTATAGACTTCGGCATGGCTGACACGCAGATACCTCTTTCCTCTCCAAGGGTAGCTGGAAGCCGTTATTTGGAGGATCCTGAGTTAGCCTTGTCGTACCTGAAATCCATCTACAAACCCCTCAAACGCCACTACGATTGGTTCAGGCGCACACAGCGCGGCCAGCTGAAACAGTATTCACGTAAGGCGCGTTCGCGCACTGAAGCCTACCGCTGGAGAGGCAGGTCTGAACAGCACGTCCTGACAAGTGGCATGGACGACTACCCCAGAGGCCCGCCCCACGCGGGTGAGCTGCATCTGGATCTCATTTCGTGGATGGGCTTCTTTTCCAGAACAATGAAGGAGATTGCCGAGTTCGTCGGCGAAGAGGAGGATGCGAGCTACTTTGACGAGGTTGCAAATGCTGTGATTGGCAACATTGACGGTGAGCATGGGTCTGCTCAAAGAGTGAATTTATCTCATCGCCTTTGCCTTAGACTTGCATTGGAACAAAGAGGAAAAGATGTACTGTGATGTCAATGTGAACGATGATGGTGACTTTTCCTCTGATATCGCTGTATCTCCTGACCGAGAAGCCTGACCGCGTTGCAGATGAATCATATCATGTCTGTCACAGAGGATACCTATCTCTGTTCCCATTCCTTTTGTCCCTGGTGTCACCTGACTCGCCACATCTCGGCGCGATCCTCGACTTGCTGCGCGATCCTGAGCATCTTTGGTCGCCCTATGGCCTGCGGAGCTTATCCGCATCTCATCCTGACTTTGGTCAAGGAGAGAACTACTGGAAGGGGCCGATATGGATCCAGATGAACTACCTAGCCCTGAGAGCATTGCACAAGGTGCGTTTCATACCGATCAAGTAATATGACTTATTCGGTTCGCTGACTCTGTGAACAACAGACGTATGCCGCACAAGAAGGTCCATATCAGGATACGGCCAAGAAGGTTTACTCGGAACTGCGCCATAATATCGTTGACAACGTTCATAAGGTGCGCTGAGTGCGTTACCCGTTCACACAGCCCTTTCTGACCGTGCGCAGGAATACGAGCGGACAGGGTACGTATGGGAACAATATGATGCCAAAACAGGAGAGGGAAGGAGAAGGTCGGTGCACTGTGTCGCGCATACCCGCTCGTTCTAACGCCTTCTGGTAGCCACCCCTTCACTGGATGGACATCATTGGTGACCTTAAGTGAGCGTCTTCTTCGTCAGGTCACGCTCATATCGCTAACGACCACTCTCTTCAGTTATCTCGGAGAAGTACTGAGGTGTTGTACTCATCTCTGCGAGTTGCCTGCAAATATTATATCTGCCTTGAGCATCTATCTGGTGATCTAAACTGAGAAGATACGAGCACCGACGTCGTTGTGAAATGTCTACGCATACGTGCCAATCAACTCGTACCGAAACTGGGGCATCTCCTCGGTGCCTTTTTTGACCTGTAAACGGGGACAAGTATGCCATTTTCTACCATTGGATCAAAATCGATGGAGCCCGGTATCTGTGCTTTAGCGAATGGCGCTGACGCTCACACCCCATTCGGTGAAGGAAGACAAGGGTGCACAGTGTTTCAGGGAACACATATATTCCTTAGCGACTGGAAGCAGTTTAGCCACCAGGCTGCGTGCTCTAATAATGCATCCAGAACAATACACAGCACTGGACATGGACGCTGAGCTCTAGTAACCGAAGCACCCTTCCCACCGGACATGTCTTTCGCACGCCGTTGCCAACAGGTGCTTTGGGGCTTTTCGTTGATGTCGGTATGAGCACTTGTCTCGCGATGCAGACTCGGATACTGAGCAACGTCCATCGAATCCCAGGCTCTCATCAACGTGGTCGCGATCCCGTTGGGTGCCCAGAGACCGAGCGCGACCAACCCACGTAAGACGGAGTGGCAAGTATGTTGGCCTCTGGCCGTCTGGGAGATCGTCTTCTGGCTGGCCATGAATAGTTCCACGCTCGCCTCCGTGATCGCGGACTATGCATTGTATGCATTCTTCAACGCGCTTCGGGATACGATCTCATTTACATCCACAGGGACATCCAGTACAACAACTGGAAGCCCATGACCGTGATAATACCACTGTAATTGATCGGGAACGTCATGGCCTTCATGCATGACCAGGAACACCTGCGGCATCTCATCTGCGGACATATGGAATCGGGCTTTCCAATACGTCGTATACATCTAGATCGCGATGGTTTTTGTGGGCTGCTTGGCGCACGGACATGTTTTCTCTCCGCCGTCTGGTGGGCTCACTGACCCCCCCCCTACCACGCAACTGTTTCCCGCATGGCTTGCCGGATCCCCACTCGACGTCCACAGTATCTTCGAGGAGAAGCCCGAGATCACTGAGAAGGTCGTTGAGGAAGATGCCGCCCTCCGTACTGACGCTAAGGGCGCTGAACTGCCCTGATCTGCAGTTCACTCCATGTCCGGTATGTGTTCAACATACGTATGATGCAGTCGTTCCAGGAGCCGTCGCCCACCTCGCATGTCTCCGAAAGGCTGGTTTCCTCGTAGTAGAGGGTTTGTGGACCTTGATTAGTGATATGCTGTAGCGTCGCGATGATAGAACTGTTGTGGTCCCTGATATTCAGAGCGGGTGCTGCGGGTCAACCGCCAGTTGCGAAATCGATTCGTCGCAGGAGATAAACTACGTCAGATGATAGAGAAATAATCAGGAAAGACGGAGGAGGAAGTTCCGAGGAAACAAGAAGAAGCCGTAAGGACGTCATGAAAACAGAAAAGTCGAAGAGATCGAGGGCCCACCATGGATCAGATATGGCTGAAGGATTATGTGCGGTGGTATAAATGAATCCACGGACGTGGCGTGGATATACATGATGCGCGCGTGGGCCCCCCTTGGAGGGCTCGCAACGCCGAACGGTAGAGATGTCTACGGAGGGAGGGAGGTGTCGCAGAGGAACATGTCGCGGTCAACCCGTACAGTACATACGCCTGCGCGCGTAGATATTTGAATCATAGATTACGGACGTCGAAAGTATCCGGATCGAAGCTGAGCGAGTCAAAGTGGAAGGAGTCGAGCCGCATCTCGAAGCTGAAGTCCTGCTCCGCATCCGCGTCGTGCGGCGTCTTGGCCTGCTCTGGCGTTCTCGCGAGGGCATCCAGGACGGGCGACGACGGGAGGGAGAACTGCACGTGGTAGGCCTCGTCCTTGGGTGTGGGCGGATCCACCGTCGAAGGCAGCGAGTCGCTGGTCTCCCCATGCGACTCGGACTGCATCGGCTGTGTTGGCGCGGAGAAAAGGCGCTGGAGGTCCATCAGGGAGAACCGGCGTCTCGCCTTGCTCTTCGTAGAGTAGCTCGGCGAGACCGGTCGGCTTTCTTCATCGAGCGACGGGGACGTATGGCTGTTACTGGGAGAAGAGACGGTGGTTGAGGTAGCGCGATGGATCGACGAGGACATGGGAGGAGAAGACAAGAAGACATCGCAGGACGACTCGGGGGTGATTTCCTCGTACGAGTCTGAGATGTCGGGGGCGGGGTGGTTCCTCTGGGACGCGCCGAAGACCTGAGAGAGCGAAAGCGACTTGCGCTTCGTCAGCTTTGGGGTGGGCATGGTGGACCACCGCGCCGCGTCCGCAGAGTCTTGCGTCAAATCCCGCAGGGCAGGAGCAGAGTTCTCCCTCGACGGCTGGAACACGTTCTGCGCGGGGGGCTTGCGCGAGCCCCTGCCTATGGTCTTCAGAGACGAGAACGCGGACGCCGCGCGCGCCCTGAACGTCTTTGACTTCTTCAGCGCGGGCGCGGGGCCCTCCATGACCTCTTCTTGCATGGCGCTCCTTCGCAGCTTCACGATCTCCACCACATCCTCGTCCTCCCCGCCCCTCTGCGCATCGTCCTCCGCAAGGATGCCCAGCGGGCTCTCCGGTCGCTGATGGTAGAGCGCGCCCCGGCGCGGCATCACGGCCTCCTCCGACGCATGGGTCGGGCGGTGGAACGCGGGGGCATCGTCGGCCGCCGGATGCGGCTTCTCCAGCGCGAGGCGCGCGAGCACGCGCGCGGCGAGGGACTCGTCGGACAAGGAGAGCGGCAGCTGGTCCTCGTGCGGGTCGCTCGCGTCGAAGACGCACCAGGGCGGGTTATCGTACTGCTCCTCTTCTGGAGGATGCACGTACACGTTCGGCACCTCGGGCGAGTCAGACGCGGGCGAGTCGGTCGGACGCGAGCCGGACGGCGCGTGGGCGGTGTGCGACGATATTTCGTGGTCGGGGGGAAAGGAGTGTGGGGTGGGCATGTCGCGGTACATAGAAGGGATGGGTCGTGAACGAAGGAGTGAGTGACGAGGACCTGACAGGCGCTTTGGGAGTCTGTCGCAACAGCAGCGGGTTTCAACTTCAACTGCCCGCACTCATTAAATTACGTAGCCATCCCGTCCAAAAGCGGAACCTCTACTGCCCATCCCATAATGGTCGTCAAAACATGACCGTATCGTAATATGTTACTGACTGATGGTCATCTAAGTAAGAGAAAATAAAACCCGAGCTCTATGTTTTTGTTTCCCGCGAATCATCAAACCCTGTCTTTCTCCCGGATGGTCGTAGCTCGGGACGACGTCGCCGTCCCGTCCGAGAATTGCCCCGTAGGCTCGTGCCAGGCGAACCTAGACCTCGCCCGCACCCGTCGGCCGTATTTCTGTCCCCGACGCCGCCCGTCAATAAACACACACGCTCGGGGGCGCGAGAGTGGCACAGGGCGCTCACCCAGAACAGGATCGGCACGGGCATGATCGCCAGCGCCAGAAACGCGAACACGCTGCTCGCCCACTGGTCGCCCAGCGCCCTGAACATCACGGGGCTGAACAGCGGGAACGCCGCCGCGAGCACCGAGCGCAGCAGCACCGTCGCCGCGATCGCGCTCGCGCAGTAGATCGTGTACGTGTCCATCATGTAGGCCGTGAGCGACTGCAGGATGAGCGCGATCGCCGTGCCGAGCGGGATCCCGCCGAGGATGGGCACGATCCAGTGGATCGAGGGGAACGTCGTCCTGTGTGCGGGAAACGAGAACGGGCCCGGTGAGTCGTCGCACGCTGCCCCGGCCGGGAAACGGACACGCACCAGGCGAACCAAAATAGTCCCGCGGGGAGCAATATCGCACCCACTATGGACAAATACAGCCGCCTGCACACACGCACCCGTCACGGTGAGCTTCAGAGACACCGCACATCTGGACGACTGACGCTTCAGGAGGAGCATGTCCAGACTCGCTCTTGTCCATGGCCCTCCAATAGAGCCTGTTTTGGATCGGCGCCAATGCGGTGCCGAGGACGACGCCGACGCCGATGCCGAGGAACGCGAGGCCGCCCTCGCCCGCCGTGAAGCCGCGGTGCTCCTGGAACACGATCGGAAAGGCGGAGAACTCCGCGTAGAGGGTCGCGTAGGTGACCGAGATGTACAGCGCGATGAGCGCGACGATGGGCTCCGTGAACAGGAAGCCTAGATGTCAGCGCGGGCACAACAGCGTCACTGGATCGGAAGGGCGCGCGAGGAAGGGCAGGGCGAACGGAATGGCCGCGTCAGGTTGGCGCGCATGAGGTCTCGGAAGGGTAAGTGGCGCCCCAGGTCGTAGATGGTCGTGTAGTGGACGGAGCCGCCCGACTGTTTCTGGAGCTTCCGTGCACGCCTCCGCAGGAGGACGGGGCCGTACTAAGCACATCGTGATGTCAACCGTCACGAGGAGAAAGGACGACGAGGACGAACCGTTTCGGGCGTCACGATCACACCGAGAATGAAGGTGACTGCCGAGAATATGAACATCAGCCAGAACGAGAAGCGCCATCCCAGCTTGGGGTTCTGAGAGACGAAACCGCCAACTATGGGCCCTATGACTGTATGCATCGCACGACGATAAGGGCAGATCTTGCCTTCCGCAGGTATGGAAAGGGCGTACCGGGGCCAAGGTAGGGGGCAGTAGAGTAGATGGCCGACGCAACGCCCCGCTCACGAGCATTGAAAATGTCCGAAATAGCGCCCCCGGCGTTCGTCAACGCTGCAATCAATCTATAACCCCACTTGACAGGGAAACAAGAATCTGCGCGACAGGCTTACGAGAGGAACCGAAGATACCCGACAAGAGCCGGGTCGTGAGGATGGTCGGGACGTTGTGGCCGAGCGCGCCACCGAGGTGGAAGAGCGTGTACGTCGAGTAGGTGCAGAGAAATACGAGGCGCTGTTTCGGGTCGAGGTTGTGAGCCAGGAGGGTCTGCAAGGGAGCAGAGGCCTTACTCGTCCAAACATCTATAATAATAAAACCGCGGTAAATCAACGTGTTTTTGTAATACCCGGCGACCAGCTCACCTCACTAAGAGGCGCGAAGAGCAGAGGACTAAAATACACATCAGCACAATCTCGCGATGCAAGGGAAAGAGTAAACTGGCCCCAGCGCGAAGCCCAAGACGTAGAGCGAGATGCCCAGCACGACGACCTCCTCCGACATCGGTATCTCCTCCTTCAGATACGCCATCCCCCCACTATACGCACTACTCGAGAACGACACCGTCCACGTCCCGAGCGCGAGCTACAACACACGAGCGCAGCGACACCGCAGCGCCCCAACACCACACCATCAGCACCATCAGCACCGCCCAATACCACGCACAACGACGACGGCGGCGGCGCGCGCACCTGCGACGTGATCGCCCACTTGCGCTGGGTCGACCAGTTGTACGGGTTCTCCGCGTCGCCCAGGTCCCAGTCCACGACGAACGGGTCCCCGCGCGTCCCCGTCCCCGGGTACCGCGGCGCGCTGGACTCGGCGAGGGCGGAGGCGGAGGCCGGGCGCACCGCGTCGGGTGCGGCGTCCCACTCGACGTGGCGGGCGGCCCTGCGCGCGCGCTCTGACGCGCTGGGCGCCGCGCGCGGCTCGGGCACCTCTCCCGGCCCGTGGGGCGTGTTAGTCTCGGGCGGCATATCTCGAGAGCGTGAGCCTGCTCGGTATCGTCTCGTGAGCGGCGTGGATTTAAAAGCATGAATGTGGAGTGTCAGACTGGCCTGCGAGCGATAGTGATAGCGCGGGGGCGGCGACGGGGGAGGAGACGGCGAGGCCTGGCGAAAGGCGGGAGCACGATCGAGCAGAGGGATCGAGGGCCTCTTGGACGACCCATGGTGCGAGCTAAGTACGTTCCCGCCAGCTCTCGCCCGCGCACCACGAATCGCGAATCGTGCTTCTCGCCGACTCGTGACGGGAGAGAGATAGCCCCATTGCCGCCGGACCCGTCCGAGTATGTCCGATGCAGCAGCTTGCGGGACTCGGTGACCTCAGCGCGGGCGGCGCGGCACATGCCTCGTTGGAGGGGATGCTCGGACTTGCGAATGGACGGGACGGGAACGCGTGCGCGCTTGACAGGGTGTGTGTGCCCGTGGGAGCTCGTCGCGTTGCGAGGCAGCGTGCAGGGCCATGTACGGTGACGGCACATGCACGCATCATGGGCGCGTACACGCACCAGGGGCGTTGCAGATAAATGCGCGCAAAGAAGCGGACGCGGATTTGCGTCGGGGAAGCGCGCAGTGCGATCGCCACAGCGTAGCCGACGAGACGCGAGAGGCCCGCCGGTCAATGGGACGTTGTACGCCGGGCGTCGAGGCGGCGAGTATCCCCCGACGCATGGGTGCTTACTGAGATCGACGGCGGCTCGGCGAAAAGCCATGCAAAGTTTCGAGGACCGAGAAGGACGCCTGGATGACGGCATGGGGATGATGGACGCCCTGAAGACTGCGCTTCTCGAGGAGGACGTCGAGCGTCGCAAAGATGTCTTGCTAGCGCCCAGTCTTATTGCGGACGGGCGTTTGGAAACCGGATGGCTCCCGTCGTCGCACCATTGTTATGGTTGCGAACAAAATGATGAGAACGCGCTGAACGGCGGATTCTGTGCCTCGCGTCGCGAAAGGCGGTCGGGCGGTCGGACACGTCATGATCGGTTCTGAGAGACAAGATCACCGGGCAGCACTCTGGGTAGTCACGCATAGCAGGTGGTTCATTTGGCGTCGACGAACGGAAGGGGCGTATGTACAAGTACGGCAGCCTAGACTTAATCTATGATAGGAAATAGGGGCTGTTCGCTCTGGACACTGCCAGATGCGGCTGAAAAGGATATGTCCCTGCGACGGAAAGACATGGCAGGGGGCTGGAACAGCAGAGAGACGCCTGGGCTGAGGCGGGCGGGTGCAGGGAGAGAGTGCGCGCCTGACGAGCGGCGGCGCCGTTGGCTGTGGCAGGCGGCTGGCTCGGAGTCGATCGACGAAGCGGCAGTGATGCGGGGTGTTAGCGAGAGGGGGGGCAAGCGAGGGGAAGCGGGGCAGAGATGGAGATAGAGGGCGGGCTGGGACGGAGAGGCTGTTTGTTGTTTGTTTGTACACTCGTGCGCCGGTCACAGGTTCGGCCGCTCGACGCTCTTCCTCCACCACGCACGACGCCTCCCAGCCCTCGTCCCCTCGTCCCCATCGTCCCCGACCAACACACCCGCCCTCCCGACACACACACCTCCAGCCCTGTCTCTGCCGGTCCACCGCCCCACGACGCCCACCCCACCCACAGCCCCCGTCTCCGCTCGCTCCTCCCATCCTGCCTTCGATCTTCTTCCGTGTCCCTGAACCAGCCCCCGTCCCCCCCGGCCCCAGCCCGCCCTCCTCACAATGACGACCCACGCCCCAATAAACGGCATCAAGATAAATCGTGCGTCCTCCTTCCGTCCATCCACCCACCCCCGTACCCCTCTCCGTCCTCGTTTCGCCCCCTCGTGTTCGAGTCCCGATGCTCACTCCGCTCTCCCTCATCCATCCCCCCCCATCACCGCCCCTCCCCGCACCCGCCCCGCCCGCCGCCCCGTCCCACCGTGATCGTCCCCGCCCCCTCGGATCGCCCGCGCGTCGATCACGACAGCCATCGACGACCCCCGCAAGGTCGTCAAGGTCGAGGCCTCCGACGGCAAGTCCGGAGAGCTCCGTGACGTCTCCTACACCAACTGCAAGGTCATCGGAAACGGCTCCTTCGGCGTCGTCTTCCAGGCAAAGCTCGTCTCGGGCCCGGATGATGGTCAGGATATTGCCATCAAGAAGGTCCTGCAGGACAAGCGATTCAAGGTGCGGCCCTCTTCCATTCCCCCCACCGCCCTTCCCCCCCGCATCCGCACCGCTGACGACCGCCCCGGCCGCTGTCGCCATGGCCCCCTCCAGAATCGTGAATTGCAGATCATGAGACTCGTTTCCCACCCGAATGTAGTCGACCTCAAAGCCTTCTTTTATTCCAACGGCGACAAGGTATTTCCCCATCACCATCTTCGCTTCCCCGCCGTCCCCCCTTCGTCCCGCTTTGACGCCACTGCACCCCCCCCTCATCGCCCTTTGATCACAGAAAGACGAAGTGTATCTCAACCTAGTGCTCGAATATGTCCCCGAAACAGTCTATCGTGCCAGCCGCCACTATGCGAAACTCAAGCAGCCCATGCCCATCCTCCAAATCAAACTCTACATGTATCAGCTCCTGCGCTCGCTCGCCTACATCCACTCCGTCGGCATTTGCCACCGCGACATCAAGCCACAGAACCTGCTCTTGAACCCGGCAACAGGGGTCCTCAAGCTATGCGACTTTGGCTCCGCCAAAATTCTCGTCCCGAGGGAGCCCAACGTCAGTTATATCTGCTCGAGGTACTATCGTGCGCCGGAGTTGATCTTTGGGGCGACGAACTACACCACCAACATCGGTGAGTTTCCCGGTGCCACCGTCTCTCTTTTATTTTCTCATCGGAGCTCACCCGGGGTCCCGTGCGCACGTCAGACATCTGGTCGACAGGCTGCGTCATGGCCGAGTTGATGCTCGGCCTGCCGCTCTTCCCCGGTGAGAGTGGCATCGACCAGCTCGTGGAGATCATCAAAGTCCTGGGGACGCCCACGCGGGAGCAGATCAAGACGATGAACCCGAACTACATGGAACACAAGTTCCCGCAAATCAAGGCCCACCCGTTTTCAAAAGTGAGCGCGCCCGGCACGCTGTATGCTGGTATCTGATCTGATCCGGCTCGCGTGCAGGTGTTCCGGCCCCGCACGGCGCCAGAGGCGATCGACCTCGTGTCAAAAGTGTTGGAGTACACCCCCGAGGCGCGGTTGAGCGCGGTGGAGGCGATGGTGCACCCCTTCTTCGACGAGTTGCGGATGGAGGGCGCGAAGATGCCGAACGGGAAGGACTTTCCTCCGCTCTTCGACTTTACTCGAGAGGGTGAGTGGTCTCTCTTTCGTCATTGTCAGAGTCGCGTGGCGTTGGCTGACGCGGGCGGGATGTGTCATTGCGGCCCCCCTTTCCTTCTTTTGCAGAGCTGTCCGTGCTCCCAGATCTGATCCACAAGCTCGTGCCACCACATTGCGAGCCGGAGCTGCGCTCACGGGGGATCGATATCAACAACTTCGTGCCGATACCATTGGAGCAGATGAGGATCACGTTGGACTGACGGGGCAGCGCCGCGGTCGGCCTCGCGCTCTCTGTTTCTCTCACTCTCACTCTCTCGTTTGCTCGTCCGCGCATCTCGTCCGTGCATTCCTGGGTCTTTCTTTCCCCCTTTTATTCATTCTCACCGCCTCCCCTCCCCCTCCCCTCCCCCCCTTTTCTTTTCTTCTTCACTGTTCATCTTGAGTCGATTCACGCTCCCCGCCTCTTTCGTTGACCGTTTGTATACGTGACGATGTTGCTGCTGCTTTTTTCTTCTTTTCTTCTTCTTCCTCATTCTCCAGCGGCCTGTTCGCGAACGTTCCAGGAGGGCAGCTGTAAAGCTTGTGTGCGATGTTGTTATTGAAAGAGAATGAAATGTGTGTGTGTGTTGCAGTGTCATTACATGCAGCTCTCCTGCCGTGGGTACACGGGCTGGGCGGGCCCATCGATATCGTCATCGCGGTGTACTACTTACTCGCTAAATATACGAAGTTGGGAGAGGCGCAAGGGCGAATGAATTGCGGGCTTGGTATATGGGGATAAGGGCGAGTTGCGCGTTGTCATGCAGGCGGTCGCGAATCTCGCATCGTGATTTGCACATCTCGCACACTGGTCCTTGGGCGCTGCTGTTGCCAGAGTGGCTCGGCTGTGGCGGGGACGGCCGGGCACAGCAAGCACAGCCATTGCGGGCTCGGCTGTGAGATCGGGCAACCCACGTCGAGCGCACAACAGCAAGTCGCCATCCAGGGGTGAGAAGAGGACCGGCATTGGCAAGTGCGCTGCGATTCTGGCGAATGGGGAGAGCAAGAAAAAAAAAGGCGGAGGGGATCACGTGTGGTGTTTGCGCGATGTCGCGTGCGATGGACGTCAATCGCGGACGCGGACGTGCTCCCCAGAGCTCTCTCCTCCGTCAAATGCACCAGCCCTAGGAGGCCCTCCCCCGTCCTCTCTCCCCCCGACCCCCATCTCCTCCGCGCCCACGCCCCCCCACACACACAATGGCCCTCGCATCCAGCTCGTCCTACGTCTGCGACACCCTCCCCGCAGCGCGCATCTCCGACCCGGCCTCCAAGTCCCGCTCGCCCTCCCCCGCGCCCACCAGCACCACCTTCGATCTCCCCACCCTCTCTGCGGACGACGCCTCTGCCAAGTGGGATGACAAGCAGGACACCCAGGACGCCGATAGGGATACAGATGCCGCCTCGCGGTATCTGCAGCCCCCGAACCGCAAGCTCTGCATTAGGCATCAGCGCATGGCCGACGAGGGCATGAACTTGAAGCTGCAGCAGGTGCGTTTTTTCTTTCTTTGCGACTCGTAGATAGACCATCCGAACGACCCCGGTGGCCCGCATATATGCGCCCTTCCGTGGCCATATGCGCCGCCCATTGGATTCCGAGTGATTGGTAATAGCCAATGCTGACCCCTTCTTCCAGTCGCTCGACGCCCTGCCCGTCGAGGAGCGCGAGGCCGTCAACGCCGTCTGGTCAAATTTCTCCTCTTCGCCCCACCCCCGCCGCGAGCTCATCCTCCGCGGCATCCTCACCATGTGCTGCTTCTCCCAGCTCTCCCTCCTCACCGAGCAGCTCACCTTCCTCATCCGCATCGACCCCTTCACCGCCCTGCCGCGCGAGGTCTCCCTCAAGATCCTCGGCTATCTCGACGCCATCTCCCTCTGCCGCGCCGCGCAGGTCAGCAGGCGGTGGAAGGGCCTCGCGGACGACGATATTCTCTGGAGGGGCATCTGCGAGCAGCACATCGGCCAGAAGTGCCGCAAGTGCGGCTGGGGCCTGCCGGTTCTCGAGCGCAGACGCACGCTGCACGCGCACTCGGCGTCGCCTTCGCCCGCGCCGCCGCTGCTGTTGTCCGCGCCGCCGGGCAGCAAACGGAAGCACGACGAGAGCCTCGGTGAGCAGCCGCAGCTGAAGCGACAGCGCTCGGAAGCGTCGCGCGTGCTGGTCCCAGAGTCGCTCCACGGCGTACCATTATTGCATGCGCCCTCACCGACTCCAAACCCTGTTCGATCTGCCTCGATCGACAGCAGCAGCACTGTTCCTTCCCCATCCGCATCGCCCTTTCATCGACAATCCTCAGAGATGATCACGCGTCCTTGGAAATCCGTCTACAGCGAGCGCCTCACGGTCGAGCGCAACTGGCGCCGCGGCCGCTGCTCGGTGCGCACGCTCAAGGGGCACACGGACGGGATCATGTGTCTGCAGTTTAGCGAGACGCTCACCCACCCGTCCTTCCCGATCCTCATCACGGGCTCGTACGACCGCACCGCGCGCGTCTGGAACCTCGAGAGCGGCGCCGAGGTGCGCTGCCTGCGCGGGCACACGCGCGCGGTGCGCGCGCTGCAGTTCGACGAGGCGAAGCTCATCACGGGCAGCATGGACGGCACGCTGCGCGTCTGGAACTGGCGCACGGGCACGTGCATCCGCACGCTCGCGGGCCACACCGCGGGCGTCGTGTGCCTCCACTTTGACTCGAACGTGCTCGCGTCCGGCTCGGTCGACGCGACGGTCAAGGTCTGGAACTTCCGCAACGGCGAGTGCTTCACGCTCCGCGGGCACCGCGACTGGGTCAACGCCGTGCAGCTGTGGGACGCGCAGCCGCGCTCCGCGTCGTCGTCCGCCGGCGCGTCATCGTGCGTGCCCGCGTTTGACCGCGCGCGCTCGCCGCCGCCGCCATCGTCCGCGGCGCACGCGAGCCACATCGACGCGGGCAAGATGCTGTTCTCCGCGTCGGACGACGGCACGATCCGGCTGTGGGACCTCGCGCTGCGGACGTGCGTGCGCCAGTTCACGGGCCACATGGGCCAGGTGCAGAGCATGAAGCTCCTGCTCGACGACCGCTGCGGCGAGGGCGACGACGGCGACGAGGACGGGGACGGGGACGGGGACAACGCGCCGCGCGCGCTTCCGCCGAACCATCCTGGCTTTGACGCCATCGCGCCGAGGCTGTCTGCTGACTTTACTGGGGCGGGCGCAAAGGCTGGGGCAAAGGCTGGCGCTGGGGCAGGAGCGGACCGCGACGGCGCGCAGGGCGCAGAGGCGGAGGCCCCCGCGCTATCGCCGCCGCCCAAGCCGCGCGCGCAGCCGGTGCTGGTGTCGGGGAGCCTGGACAACACGATCAAGCTGTGGGACATCGAGACGGGCAAGGCGGTGCGGACGCTGTTCGGGCACATCGAGGGCGTGTGGGCGGTCGCGAGCGACAAGATGCGGCTCGTGAGCGGGAGCCACGACCGCACGATCAAGGTGCGTTGGGCGTGCCGGCCGGGCTTTTTTCGTGTGCGAGGCGCTGACCCGCTGGTTGTTCGGGGGGGTTTTTTTTTTTTTTGCGGGGGTGTTTGTAGGTGTGGAGTCGGGACGAGAGCCGGTGCATGACGACGCTCGTGGGCCATACGGGCGCGGTGACGTGTCTCGCGCTCGGCGAGGACAAGATCGTGTCGGGCAGCGACGACGGGGACATCCGCGTTTGGTCTTTTTGCGGCTGACCCGAGGGTAGTATCAGCCCGTCGCACGTTCCTCTCCTCTCTCACATCTGCCTGCCACACCCACACCCCACACCCACACCCCACACCCCACACCCTACCTACCTACCTGCCTACCTACCTTATCCTCTGCTCTAGATATTTATCTCTGTCTCTCCCCCTCTCACTTTTTTGGTTTATTTTGGTTGGTGTTTGCTCCCTCGAGCCCGATTGTAAGATGTCGTCTCCCGCGTGCTCAGATACATAGACCGATCGTATATATCACCGAATATCCCCCATGCACGTCTATGGATACACACAAGTACTAGTATAGTATAAAAAACGGTCGACCAAGAAGAAGGGAAAGACGCAGGTATAGCAGTAGATGATAGATAGATGATGGATGAATAATAGAGCGACAGATCGACCCAGCGGTCGCAGGCGTGCAGCACGTAAACGGTACATCCTGGGGCGCGTGAGGAGAGCCCGGCGGCCCCAGGAGGGGGTTATTACAACAGAACGCGGGGGGAGACGCGAGGGGAGAAGTCAAGAAAGAACGCCTGGTGGGGGTAGGTGGGTGGATGGGTGGTGCGATTAGAGAGACAAGTGGTATGTATGTGGTCAAAGCGGCGATGCGGTATATACAGGCGCGAGGCGATGGGCCAGAACGTCGGGAAGCGGGGTGCGGTAAGGTGTGGTAGGGAGTGGTGGCAGAAGCGAGGCGAGGCCGGGCGATCGTGCGCTCGATGCGTCATGCTCGGCCGCGGGGCGGATCGGGCGAGAAGAGATCTTTGGAGGGCGGCCGCGAGGAGGACGCGGAGGACGAGGACGCGCCCCTCGCTGGCGCCGGGCCGGTGGGGAACCCGAGCGCCCTGAGTTCGGGGAGGCGCTGCTCGTGCATGACGCGCTCCTGCTTTGCGAGCGCGGCGCTGCGGTCCTTGAACGCGTCCTCGATGCTCTGGTCGTCCGGGATCGACTTGAGCTGCCGCTGGAGGTAGTCGAGCGGGCCCGCGCCGCGGTGCGCGGCGAGGTCGGGCGGCTTGTGTCGCAGTACCTCGCGGATGTGCTGGATGAGCTTCGTGATCCGCACGAAGTTGATGAGCGCGTGCTCGTCGACCTCGACTGCGGGCGCCTGCGAGCGAAAGACGGAGTTGAGGTCGCGCAGGTGGACGGCTGGGCATGGGCATGGGCACAGGGAATGGAGGAACGCCGCGTCGGTCAGTGCGCGCCGATGGGGATACCTGCGGTGCCTGACGCACCTAACCAAGGAACACAGGGCGCATCCGACGCGCGAAGGGCTTCTCTGTACGCGCGGTGGTTGCGCTCCGGTTCCAGGAGGCTGTCCAGCCGCTGCAGCACGCGCTTCTCCTGCTTGTTGAGCGAATTGTCGTGCGTGATGACGAGCGCGGTGATGCTCGACGACTGCAGCGCGTTCACGATGGCCGACATGGACGAGAAGTTGCGCAGCTTCCGACATTCCTGAAGCGCGATCCGGGCTCGGTGAGCACTCGCGGGATCTTCCATCGCGACGGCATCACGGCGTCGCATCAAAAGAAAAGAAAAGAAAAGGGGCGCGCACCTCGGCGGTGTTCACGAAGAACTTGAAGACCTCGCTGCGCGACTGCACCTCGTCCGAGCGCAAGACCGACTTCTTCACCCAGTTCACGATCCGGTTGTTCGTCTTGCGCGCGGCGTCGATGTGCCGCGTCCCCGAGATCTGCTGCAGATGGACCACGCAGTCCGTCTGCGTGATCCTGCTGTACAGGTCGCCTTCGATCAGCGTGAACGCGATGGCGAGATCTGTGGGGACGAGGTCCGAAGCCTTGGACACTGGCCGCCGACCGCTGGTCGTCCCGGACGGAGACCGGAGAGGCGGGCTTTGAAGTGCCCTCTCGAGCTTCCGCCGCTGATGGAGGGCGGTAGGTAGATGAATGAGCGACGCCGCCGTAAATACCACGATGAACGAGATGGTACCTTCTCCACCACGCCCGCGACGATCTCGCGCGCCGCCGTCTCCATGGTCTGCGAGCTCTTGATCGACGCCGCAAAGTCGTGTATTCGCTGGAGAAGCCCGGTGTTCATGTCCCCCTGCTCCATCTTGAGCCACGTCTGCATCAGAAGGAGGATCCTGCAGAACGCATCAGGACACGCTCGAGCGACCAAACGCCCACGGGAGACTCACGAATAGCGCGTCGACACGCGATGCTCGGTCGTGATCACCGCCATCCTGTCCATGTCGTCGAACCGTCTCTGCAGGATATTGAACACCTCCTCGCTCGTCGTGAACGCGCGATAGCTCGTCAGGAACGCAGACCGATACTCCAACTGGTCCTTCCCCGTGTCCGCGAGCAGCTGCCCGACCAGCCCCTCCAGCGTCCCCGCGTCCACGAGCCCCTCCGCGTTGCGGCGCACAATGGCCTGCGGATCCATCACCGCGCGGTCCAGCATCGCAGCAAAGTCCGAGACGACGAACGACGGGTCCCCGCTTATGCTTGACGCGCGGCTCGCCACCGAGTGGAAGGGCGAAAATTCCAGTCGCGCCGACGACGTATCGGAAAACGACGGCAGCGAGACCACGCGGCTGCCTCTCCGCTCGTCATTGCTGCTGCGCGCGCCATCATGCAACGAAGCGTCGGCAGACGCCGCCATGCTCGGCGCGGGACGAACCGACGCGGGCGAAGGTGGGGGTTTGAAGAGCATGGAAGGCGGGGACGCGCTGATGGGGGCGGACAGGATACCGCCCGTGCGGCGGATGTGGCTGGCGGACATGGGTGAGAGATAGGAGGGAACAGATTGCGGACTGCCTATGACAGGTTCCTCCATTGGCAGAATCGCTTCGGGGGTGTATGGCGACAAGCTGGCTCGCGTGCGCCTCACGTCGATGGCCTGCGGTCTGGTTATGGATAGACCGGACAAAGGGGGGATATCGCTGGACGAGCTGCTCGCGGTGGACAAGGAGGGCTGGTGTGAGCGGCGGATCGGCATGGGGAGCGACGCTGTAGGTATCGGAAGGGGTGATGTAACTTCCAAACAAGGATGAAAATCTGGGTTTATGGCGGTACGGGAACGAGAGACGCACCTATGCCGGGCGACCTGTCAGGCAGCATACTTTTCATGGCCACGCGCAATTCAAACATCGTCGGCCGCTCCTCTGGCGCTTTCTTCCAACACCGCAGCATGAGCTCCCACAGCGCATCCGTCAAGCCGCGCGCGGCAGCGCTAGCGCCCGGGCGCTCAGGCAGCTTCCCTCGGACGATGTCGAGGATGACGCTCGCGTCACGCGAGTGATTGCTATACGGCGGCGCGCCGGTCAAGAGCTCGAGGCAGAGCATGCCGAACGACCAGACGTCCGCGGGCTTGGACGGCGCAAAGGGATCTGGCTCAATCATCTCGGGTGCGAGCCAACGGTAGTTTCCCGCGGTCGTGGTCTGCGGTCCGGGATTGGCCTGATCCGCAGTGAGGCGAGACAGGTCATGGGAATCAGTGTAGACGCGCACCTCCTCGATGACCTGAGAGAGGCCAAAGTCACAGATACACGCTTTTCCGGTGTCGGATATGAGGATGTTCATCTGGAAAAGTGGGCGCATCAGCAGGCTGCGCAGGTGGCAAAAGGGCGCATATCAGAACTCACGCCACGCAGGTCTCCGTGGACGATCTTGTTGGAATGGAGGTACTCCAGGCCTGATCGGATGCGACGTCAGCTCGGGGCTCACCACGGCCGATAAAATTGGGGCGCGCCTGAGGCGACTTCGCTCAGAAGCCGAACGCAGTCTACTTCGGGGTGGTTCTGCACGTAGGTGATGGCGTTGCCATTGTCCATCCATGGGCTGACCTGAGAGCGATGTAAGAGGTTGCACATGACGGGGCCCCGGCGATGCTTCCAACGTACCGAGTAGACGTAGTCGCCGATGAATGCGATGCCATACAGTCGAAGGACGTTGGGGTGCTGGAGGAACCGCCAAATCTCCACTTGCTTCTGAAAGCGCTGAGACCCACAGATGTCAAGCACCGCATTGACACGCATTGATGAGAGCTTACCAGCTGCGCTGCGGGGGATTGATTCATCAGCCGAGGAAATCCTAGGGCAACCTGCGGGGCGTTAGCGAGAGCTGCCGGTCCGCAGCGCGATCGGGACTCACCACGTCCTCTCCCAACCACTGCCCGATGAAGATGTCGTTGAAAGAGCCCATGGCCACGGCGTGCTCGCTCGTCTTTGTCACTTGCCCAGTCACTGTCGATCGGCCGACGGTCAGATAGGAATTGCGGTCGAAAACAGAGACCCACAGTCTGCCATTACGGGGAGTGACAGAAGCGGCTGCAGCTCCCTCAAGCCTTGTCGAAGCTGATTTTCTTGAGGCATCTCTAGCATGGGATCTTGGAGTTCCTGTGGGCGGATCGCTCACCGTTGGGACTCAGACCGGGCGCCTGTTCTACGCACCTGCTGGATGACACGTATGACGGACTGGACGTCTTCTGGGCCGGCGGTGCTGAGGCCCTCCTTGAGGGTGTGCATGTCTTGAAGTAACTTGTGCATCATTTCGCGGAGCTCGAGATGATCGCGTTCGCGGATGGCTTCCAGAGAGTCCCTTCGGCGGCTGGCATCAAGATGCAGGGCGACCTGATGAGTGCGCGCGGGGGGGGATCTATGAGAACGGGAAAAGATCATGATTCGGGAGGAAGGGGACATACGTTGAACTGGCGCAGGCAGGTCTCGAGCTCGCGATACGAGGCATCGATGCCCTGCTTTATATCCGTCTGGTGGACGAAGGACTTTACTTTGTTGTGCGCGGCCCACACCTGGACGCGGGAGCGGATGCGAGATATGACGCTGGGAAGAGGGATAAGCGGGATCGGCATGTGCTGGAAAGGGACGGAAAAAGGGGCAAGGGACGGGGGACGCACGCCTCTACGTCGTCGACTGCGCGGAGGGCCGGGGTGCCCTCAAGGCCGACGGCGTTCTCCTGGAGGGCGAGGAGGAGGGTGACGCATCTGTTGGAGAGGTCCAAGCATTGTTGCTGTGTGCGGGGGTGAGTGGAGAGGACGGAGGGCAGGGAGCGGGCGGGGGCTCACGCGGTATACTTTGACGTTCTCGACGGAAGCGTAGAGCGTGCGGACTATCGCGAGACACGCTGTCAATCGGCTGCCCAGGGGCGGACTCAGCACAGAGCGGAGACTGACCGAGGTGGATGCCGTGCTGGAGTTGTTGCGCGCTGGAGAGGGCAGCGAGGTCCTGAAAGCTCATGGGCCTCAGAGGTCGTGCTGATGCTTGGGCTTGGGGGCGAGGAGGGGAGAGAGAGCAGGAGGTGCGGCATATACGCGCTGGATGCGGAGGGCTATATGGGCGTTAGTGGGTTCCTGGTCACCTCGTCCCTGGTACTCCCAAGATAACGCCCGCCGCACCGCCAGTCTCTCTCCCCGCAGTCCTGGCCTGCTGCTCTCTGGCGGCCTGCTGTGACACGCTGGCCATGCTGTGTGCTCTGTGCACCACTGGCACGGTCCATCCTGCTTATTTGCATTTCCTGCGACGGGCTTCTCAGAAGAACATCCCTCGCACATGATAGCTTGCCGGTCTGGCGAATAGAGACTGGGTAGCGTGGCCGAGTTGGTCTAAGGCGTTGGATTTAAGTCATTCTTGATTCCCAATGGGCGCAAGTCCGCGCGAGTTCGAACCTCGCCGCTACCAGCTGTGTTTTTTGCTTGCTCCGTCGTCCGTTTGACCCAGTATCCTTCAAAGTTGACTTGATGTTTTGTTTCGCACTTTTACTGGAGGCACAATGGGGCCTCTCTGCCTCATAGCCCCCTTGAGCAATGCATGGTCTACTCTCTGAGCTGCCATCTGTCCTTCTCTCTCCCTTCAAGGACTTCTCCCATCTCCACTCCAGCCTCAAGCTAGATATTTCTCGCCCCTCCAAAAACTCACCCATCCTTTGGCCTTATCATTCGTCCTGCCCAGCCTACACCCGCCTAAGACTACTATACACACTGACATCATCATCCTTATATGATCCCTGCGGCGACAGATTGGGGTCATCAGCGATTAATCTGTTTCACTTTTGGGGCGCAGGTGTCAATGTGTGGCCCAACATCTAATTCTTACTTACCTTGACGAAGGTAAGTCGAAAGCCGTTCTCCTGCTCAACCGAGATTGGCTTTGGCTATCACGCGAGTTATATGGGGCATGGTCACGATCTCGGGCATAACACGAGCATCATATTCCGCGGTAAATGGTATCGTTAACAGTGTGACTTGTGATTGATGACCATCATTTCACCGACAGAGCATATCTCAAGACGGCCGTCTGAGTCATTAATGAGCACAGGACATGGCTGATTGTGCGGTCACGAAATTATGACCTGGTCTATGGCCAACCTCAAACACAAGGCGGACATACCATGCAATGGCCAGTGACGGTTCGAGAGTATCGATATATGCAGAGCCACGGAGACCCACATCGGCACCTCCTTACAGGAATGCGGCGCTGTGGGCCTGCCCACGGAGGCTGTGTGCTACTTTGCCTGAAGAGATCGATTCCCAAATGCCTTCTGTGTGGTCATGAAACAGCACGTCAAGATAGACCCCGGAATAGGCGACGGACGGAGCTCGAGCATCCCTAATCGCGCATCTACGGTGATCAGAATCGACCGAAAGAACCCGAAAAGCGACTCTCATGGTCAATTGTCGAGGCGCGCTTCCCTTCGTCGGGTGCGAAGACTCCACGCACAGGGTTTATGATAGATGAGAGGTGTGATTCATTGTCTGACTGCGTAGCCTATACAGGCAGTGTAAGCAACTCGACGCTACCGACCTTCCAAGACACGTCACCGATAACGGAGCTCGACGGATGGTTGACCGTGTCCAGATGGAGGAACAGGCAGCTCGTCTGAGGCAGACGGGCGCGGGAGATCAATCGTCCTCGTGTAGTTCCTTCCACGCCTGTTCTTTCTTGGCTTGCCGGACCTTTGCGTCTTCGCGGTTTTTCGATGCACGGACCATGGTCTCCAGCCCATCGTTAGCGAAGCGGCACGTTGCGCGAAAATAAAGAGGGGGGAGGACCGCGAGGCGCCGCTCACCTCTTTGTGCAGGCAGGAGTTCAGCTGGTTCTTCGCGGTGTTGCAGCCCCCCGTCCACTTTGTCCAGAAGTTCGCATGGCACGCCTCGAGGGCCTGGAAGAACTCCCTGCAGGCTGGGAAACGGAAAGGGAAAAAACGAGGGGTGTCAGTGGGAAACGTCGAGTCTGCGTGTCCGGCGAAAAGCCCAACCAATGCGCCTCTCGGATGCCTGTGGGTGCATGAGGCTGAAGGGTCGGTAGGCCGGAGGGAATACGAGGCTCCCGGGCCCACGCTCGGTGTGGATAGCTGGGGGGGGTCGCTGGATGACGAGGGCGAGGATGGAAGAGGAAGCGCGTTCCCGCGGGTGCAAGTCAGCAGCAGCGGCAGAGGCGATAATCGCGCTTAGATAACCCGAGAATGTGGTTACGAGGAGGCGTTGACCCCAACGCTTGCTTGCAAACCCGGACCGACCGCGCATTTTACGATCCCCAATTCCACCTGCCTCCACCACCTATAAATTCCGGCTTCTTGTTCGCGCATACACCCTCTCCCCCCGCCCGTCTCACCGCCATGTCCAAATTCACCCCCCAGTCCTCCGATGCAACCTCCATCGCGACCATCCGCACGCTCGCGGCCGACGTCGTCGGCAAGGCCAACTCTGGCCACCCAGGTCAGTCGGCGAGCTCGACGGACGGGGCGTGTGGTGGAGCTTTCGAAAATATCTGATCCGTGTCTGTTCTAGGTGCGCCTATGGGCATGGCGCCCGTGACCCACGTCCTCTTCACTCGGTGCGCAGTGATCTCCATATTCGACGCCTCTGGCGCCTCTTGACCATGCTTGCCCTTTTCGTTAGCTTCTTCAACGCTAACCCAAAGAGCTCGAAATGGTTTAACCGTGACCGATTTGTGCTCTCGAACGGGTACGCGGTCCATCGTCCTGATCGGCGCAGATGTTTCGTTCTGACTTGATGATCCCCGCAGCCATGCGTATGTGTAGACCGCGCTCTGTCTCTGACTGTCCTCTGAATCCGCATCAGCTGCGCGCTCCAATATATCACCCTCCACCTCTTGGGCTACAAGCTCTCCATGGATGATCTCAAGGCCTTCCGCCAGATCGATTCATTGACCCCCGGTCACCCCGAAGCCAACCACACCGATGGTGCGCTCTGCGTCCTATCGATGCATCTCGTCGGCTGATCAAATGCTTCGATAGGTATCGAAGTCACCACTGGCCCCCTTGGGCAGGGTATCGCCAATGCCGTCGGTCTCGCGATGGCGCAGGCCCATCTCGGGGCGGTGTACAACCGTGATGGTTTCGACTTGGTTGACAACTACACTTACGGTGAGCCGGCAACCATCTGTTGGCGTGGATTCGACTGACGGACGCCTGTAGCATTCCTCGGTGATGGCTGTCTCATGGAGGGTGTCGCCAGCGAGGCGTGCAGTCTCGCGGGGCACCTGCAGCTCGGCAACCTGATCGCCGTAAGTGCAGAATATTGATTTTTTAATCGAACATGAACCGGCTCTGATCACTCATCCGCGCGCGCTTTTAGATCTACGACGACAACCGTGAGTCCTTTCTGCATTTTTGCTCGTGTCCACAGAGATTGATTTGACCGGCAGATATCTCCATCGACGGTGACACCGCTGTCGCATTCACCGAGAACGTCGAGCAGCGGTATCTCGCGTACGGCTGGCAAGTTCTTCACGTCGATGATGGCGACAAGTCAGTTTTTCGCTTGTCGCTCTGTCGTCCACAACCTCATCGTCTCCGCAGTGACTTGGAAGCCATCTACAACGCGATCGCCGAGGCTCGCAAGGAGAAGACCAAGCCCACTCTCATCCGCTTGCGGACGACCATCGGCTACGGCTCCAAGCAGCAGGGCACCCACGGTGTCCATGGCGCCCGTGAGCAGTCTCCGTCCCCGAGTTCTCCGCTGAGCCTCTGTTGAACCATGATCCGCAGCTCTCAAGGCAGACGATATCGCCGCTCTCAAGACGAAGGTCAACTTCGATCCCAACACCTCCTTCTACGTCCCTCAGGAGGTCTACTCCGCCTACGCCGAAGTCGGCAAGCGCGGCGCCATCCTCGAGCAAAAGTGGACTTCCGCGCTCGCGACATACGCCCAGAAGTACCCCGCCGAACACGCTGAGCTCGTGCGCCGCATCTCCGGCGAGCTCCCCAACGGCTGGGAGAAGGCTCTTCCCATCTACAAGGCGACCGACGCTGCGCAGGCTTCGCGCAAGCTCTCTGAGATCGTCTTGACCGCCGTCACTCCCGCTCTCCCCGAGCTCCTCGGCGGGTCCGCCGATCTAACAGGCAGCAACTTGACGAAAGTCAAGGGCACGGAGGACTTCCAGCCCCCGAGCACTGGCCTTGGCAGCTACAAGGGCACGTACATCCGGTATGGTGTCCGCGAGCACGGCATGGGCGCCATCGCCAACGGTCTTCACGCGTATGGTGGTATCATCCCCTTCGTCGCCACGTTCATGAACTTCGTCTCGTACGCGGCCGGTGCCGTCCGCCTGTCCGCCCTGAGCAAGCACCAAGTCATCTGGGTCGGTGAGCACACATCCCTCAGACTCCTTGCCGTGTGTTTCAATTGACGCGCTCGTGTCCGTCAGCCACCCACGACTCGATCGGTCTCGGTGAGGACGGCCCCACACATCAGCCCGTCGAGACCGCCATCCACTTCCGCGCGACGCCCAACATCGCTTTCTGGCGCCCGGCCGACGGCAACGAGACCTCCGCGGCGTACCTCGTCGCCCTCAAGTCGAAGCAGACACCCTCGATCCTCTCGCTCTCGCGGCAGAACCTGCCGAACCTCGAGGCGTCGACGATCGAGAAGGCCGCGCGCGGCGGGTACGTCGTGCACGAGGAGGACAAGGAGGACTTGACGATCGTGTCGACGGGCTCCGAGGTCAGCATCGCGCTCGAGGCTGCTGGGAAGCTCAAGGCGCAGGGTATCAAGACCCGTGTCGTGTCGCTCCCGTGCTGGCTCGTGTTCGACCAGCAGCCGGAGGAGTACAGGCTGAGCGTGCTCCGGAGCGGCGCCCCCATCTTGTCGCTCGAGGCGCTTTCGGTGCGTGACGGTTTTCTTGTGCTGTGTGTAGACTACAAACTCTGACGGTGGTCGTCGCATCACTTGCAGACCGCTGGCTGGGCCAAGTACAGCCACGAGCAGTGGGGTCTTCCTGCCTGGGGCGCTTCCGGCCCCTATAAGCAGGTCTACGAGAAGTTCGGGATCACTGGCAGCAGTACGCCTTTTTCCCTTTCCTTCGACGAGCGTTCACTCATATTCTTTTGCTCCTAGACATCGCGGTCGTGGGCAAGAAGGTCGTCGACTTTTACAAGGCCAAGGGCGGCGAGGTCGTCTCTCCTTTGGTCAAGGCCATTCACTTGTAGAGAGGGAGAGAGAGAACAAAAAGATAGACGCGAGAAGTGGGACGATTGTGCTTGTCATAGAATGTACCGCTAGAGATGTGTAATGCATTGTTGAGAAGATTTCGTTCGGTGTGCACTCAGTCGGGGCCTCAATTGTAGTGAGCGAGCACACATGTCGATGTGACATTGCGGGAAACAAACCTAAGCGTCGCACCAAGCTCAGAAGTCAAGACACGGGACTCGCAAAGAAGTCAAAAGGTGACGCCATACTGACGCAGCTGAGAGATTGCAAGCAAATCAAAGAACGCAGTCTATCACAGGATGTCTATTTTCTGGCCACGACGTTCATGGTGTCCCAAGCCGCCCGCTCGACGTCCTCCTTTTCGACCTCCTGCACGTGGGGCTTCAGGTAGCGGGTGTCCTGGCACGGCACGGGAGCCCCGTCAGCACGCAAGGGAGGCGAAGAGACCGGGCGAGACGCACCTCCTCGGGCTTTGTCCACTGCTCCTTGGGCAGCGCCGTGTGGAGGATGCTGAGCTGCGAGGCGCGCTTGAGGCGGAAGGCGCGGTCGTACGCCTCGTTGGGCGTCAGGCGCTGGATTGCCTGCGTGCACGGGACACGGACGGCGGTCAGTCTCGACGAGGACGGAAACGCGCGCGGAGGCGAATGCTCACCCGCTGGACATCCTCGCGCTCCTCGACCACTGGCGAGGGGAGGGAGGCGACGGGCGTTAGACGCACGTAGAGGTGGGGGGCGGGCGGGGGCACGTACGGAGGTCGTCGTATTTGAAGCCCATCTGCCTGTAGCCGGAGAGGTTGGCGTACCAGGACGCGACGGGCTTGAGCCACCTGGAGAGGGTGCGGGACGAGCGCACGTACGGCGCGAAGGAGATACCGAGGGGGCCGAAGAAGGTCATCGTTACAAGGTGGAGTGGTGGTGTGGTGTTGCTGAAAACCAGCGGCTGGCGTCGCAGGCGCATCCCATCCGGGCCTTTCCGGCGCCCCCTCGCTCTGTTTGGCTGCTGTTTGGCCACCGACACCCCCCCGGCTATCACCGAGATACGGATGGTCGAGATATCTGTCTGCTTAAAATCGCGCTGCGAGATCGTTTTCCGCTCCCCATCCTCTCCTCACCACTACCACTACCACTCACATCCATCGCAATGTCTGTCCAGGAGCGCACCTACATCATGGTCAAGGTCCGTCTTTTTTTTTTTACTCTCACCCGCGAGCGGATCACCGGCCTGACCGCGACGATCGCAGCCCGACGGTGTCCAGCGCGGGCTCGTCGGCAACATCATCAACCGCTTCGAGCAGCGCGGCTTCAAGCTCGTCGCGCTCAAGCTCGTCCACGCCACGCCCGAGCACCTCGAGAAGCGTGCGTTTCGTGTTTTTTTTCATCTCTCTCCCCGGGCTCACATCGTCGCCCCGCGCACAGACTACGCTGACCTCAAAGGCAAGGCCTTCTTCCCCGGTCTCATCAAGTACATGGCCTCCGGCCCCGTCGTCGCCATGGTCTGGCAGGGCCTCGACGCCGTCAAGACCGGCCGCGTCATGCTCGGTGCTACCAACCCCCTCGCCTCCGCCCCCGGTACGCCCGCAGTCCAGCCATGAAAATCCCGTCCCCCCCCCCCTTCCCCACGCGCGCGTCATGCTAGCCGTTTGACTGACCGATTGTCGACCCTCAGGCACCATCCGCGGCGATTTTGCGCTCGCCGTCGGCCGCAACATCTGCCACGGCTCCGACGCGGTCGAGTCCGCCGAGCACGAGATCAAGCTGTGAGTATCTCGCGTTTTCTTCCTCCCTATCGTCATTATCTGTGTCCTCGTCGATCGAATTATTCACTGCGCGTGCCCCCTTCACAGCTGGTTCCCCGAGGGCGTCACCCAGTACGAGAGCACCCTCGCCAGCTGGATCTTCGAGTAAAAAAGCACGCGTGCGGCGCGGCCCCCGCGCGGCGCGAGAAGAGATGAGAAGAAGCAGTTTGCATGTGTTGTTTGTTGTAGGCGATATCGATTGTAGACAAAAAAATATACATCATAGCCGTGGAAGCGACTCGCAAATCGGCTGCCATCCATCCATCCATCCATCTATCTACTCATCCCCGCCTCGAGGGGGCCTCGTTTCTCCAGCCAGACGCGAGTGCGCGCCGCGGCGTAAGTTAATAAGTGACGTCCACCGCAAGCACGTCCTTCGCTCGAAAGCGATCCGATCTCTCGCGCGGCCTCACTGCGCCCTCTTCACATTCACCCGTCCGTCTATTACATCACTCGCGACTAAGGAGACTTTTACATGTAAGTGCTGCTACTGTACAGACGGCGCAGAACCGAGAAAGAAGCAGGAACATCAAGGAAGAGCAAAGGAAAACAGCGAGAATAAATAACGAATGACGACGGTCGTTCCTCCCACCATATAAATAATTGAGGTCCGAGACGAGATGCAGAAGATAGACATGGCCAAAGGGTGGTGGAGGGGTGGAATGGAATGGAATGGAAAGAAAGGAAAGGAAACGGAGGGGGGGGGGGGAGGGAAGGGAAGGGAAATGGATACTGGAAAAAATATGCTATGCGATGATATTAAAATGCGAGGCGATGATATTGAGTGAGGCAGCATTTGACCACCGGAGGAAAGTCCACGGGCCACGATGACGGGGGGCAGAACGAACGCAGAAACACGAATAATAAAATAGAGACCGCGCGCCAGGGGCCGACGCCAGCAGGAATGTACGACGCCATTGCGGGGCCCACAGAAAGCTCTGAGCGGCCTCCTTCGGCTTGACTGCACACGGACACGGGCACGGGCACGGGCACAAAGCGCGAGACAGACATGACGGAGGGGTGTCGCCAGAGCAAAACGGTCCAAGGGGGGAGGACAGGTAACGCAGCACACGTATTGAAAAAAAACAGGCGAGCTATCCAGCCGGATCCTGGCGCGCCATACGGGATTTTCTACGGCCCCGCGGGGGCGGCCGCCACGATCCACACGCCCCAAGTCTGCGCGCTGCGCGCCATAGGCGTCACCGGACAATTATAACGACGGCGCCGATGGCAAGACGGATCGCGGGGTTGTTGGCCTCTGCCGCTAATGGATAAACTCTACATGGTTGGCGAGCGGCATCCCGACGAGCTCCCCGCCGGCGCAGACAGCACTTTTGTTTTTGTTCTTGGCTACCCCGAGCCAAGAACAAAAGCAAGAGCGCGCATAAGATCGTCCGTCCGTCCACGCCTTGGAGGGCTTGTCGGAACATCGCTCGTCAACCGAGCAGAGATCGTCCATTGTCAGCAGAGGCCAACAAGCCCGCGAGGTCCTGCTCGTTCGCCGCGTCCAGCCGCCGAGAACGCGCTTTCAGGCGCACTGTGGAGATCGGTCACGCGGACGTCAGTATGTATACGTATATGCGCGCTATGCGCAAGGCTCGGCGTGTGTCGTGCGGTCCGCGCGCGAGTGGGGGATGCGCAGGCAATCGATGCGGTACGGTTTCGGAACCGACTGCCTGCGCACGCCCCGTTCGAGCGCGGATCGCGCGACACGCGCCGCGTCTTGCTCGCAGCGGCAGACGAGGCGAGATGAACTGACGATTTCGATCCAGGCTGAGCAGCACGACCTTCGCCGCGCCGGCCGTGCTCTGCGCCTCTCCAGAGCCGGCGCCGGCACCCCCCATGAACGCCGAGCGGTCCGTCCAGTGCTCGTCCTGCCATATCGCAGCCTTGAGTATCAAATCGTCCATGCTGCGCTCGAGCGCGCCCGGTCCGTCAAAGTCCACGCTCTCGGTGCGCACGGCGAGGCTCGCGAGGTAGTTTCCGCGCGAGGTCTGCACCTTGAGCGCCGCCGAGTGCGAGCGCACGCGCGCGAGCAGAAACGCGAGCGCGTCCTTGGCCGCCGCGCCGAGCGCGTTCGCGTTGCTCGCGAGCCCGTCGAGCTCCATCACGACGGGCAGCGGTACGATCACCGTCCAGCGCAGGCTGTCGACGAGCGCGGCGAGCGGCGGGAGTGAGGAGAGGAAAATGTTCGTGTCGACGACGAGGGTCGTGTACCCCGGCACCAGCTTCAGCGACGGGCGCGCGGGCGCGGCGCGGCGCGGGACGCTCCGCCGGGCTCGGCGGAGCTCGCGCGGCTCCGGGTTCTCCGATGGGCTCGTGGATGACGAGGATTGCAGCAGGCTTCGCAGATGTCGTCGCCGCGCCTGTGCGAAAGAGGGGGCCAGAACCGATCAGCCGCCGCCATTTCCAAACCGGCAAACGAGCCCAAAAAAAGGGGGTGGGAGGGGCGGAGGCAACACACGAACCTTCAACACCTTGACCTCGTCCGAGTCCATCTCGTCGTCCTCGCTCTGCTCCGACAAGTCTGCGAACTGCCACTCGTCGTCGCCGTCCACGTCGACGTCCATATCGTCCGAATCGTCCCAGCGCGTGCCGCGCTTCCTGCGCTCCTCCGCCTCGCGCTCCGCCCGGTCCTCCTCCGCCCACACGCGCACCTTGTCGCGCAGCGTGCCCTCGACGACCCACTGGCTCCGCCCGTGCGCCTCCTCCACGCGCCGGAAGCCCTCCGCGGCCTTGGCGAGGAGCTCGCCCGCCCAGAACACGCGCATCCACCGCTTGTCCGCGACGGCGAGCTCGCGCCGCGCGCCGCGCAGCTTCGGGTCGTCGTCCTCGTGGTCGTCCTCGATCATCCCATCCACGCGCGCCTCCTCGACCTCGTCCAGCACCGCCATCTCCATGTTCCCCTCGCCGCTCGTCTCCCAGAAGCGGTGGTCGTAGAGCTTGCGCCCGCCCCACGCCATGCCGCGCAGGCTCCAATCCTCGGGCAGGAGCATCGAGCGGTCCAGCGTCAGCTTGACCGACGCGGAGCGCGACACGGAGCGCGGCACCGTGCACAGGAACGCGGCGAGCATCTCCCAGGGCACGGCGCGCTCAAGGAGCGCCATCGCGGCGGGATGCTGCGAGAGCGTGCCGAGGAAGGTGAGCACGATCGTGAGGTACGGGTTCAGCGCGTCGCCCAGGGTGGACCCGCGCCGGACGGGCTTCTTCAGGACATGCGCGAGCATCGCAAACGTCAGCTGGAGCGCCATGCTGAACGCGGGCAACGGCTCCGCCGACGCCGACGCGTCCGAGAGCGAGGGCGACGGCTGGGTCTCCCCGTCGACGTCCATCTTCTCATCCGCGCCGGCACCGGCCGCGTGCTTCCGCGCGAGCTTCATCTTGGCAAGGGGGCCCGCGACGGGCCGCTCCTGCTGGCCGACCACACCCGTGCGGCGCAGGGCGCCGGCCGGGCGGCCGTACTCGAGGATGGCGCCGACGTTGACGGCGGCCATCATCGTCCACTCGCGCGCCTGCGGGTCCTCGATCGAGAGGCGCTCGATCAGGCGGCCGAGCGTCGGCGCAAAGTCGTCGAGCTGGATGTTCGTGAAGAGCATGCCGTGCAGGTACACGAACAGGTCGAGCGCGCACGCGTCCGGCGCGCCGCGCCGCGCCTGCGCCGCGGGCGACCACAGGGGGAGCACGGATTCGCGCGAGGTCGTGAACGGGTGGAGGGTGATCATGCTGGGGGGAAAGACCGGGCGTCAGGGGGCGCAGAGCGGAGGGAGCCAATGCCGCGTGAGACTGACCTTTTCACAAAGTGATACAGCCCGCGCAGCTCCTCGCCTTCGACTTCGCGGCTGAGGAGGCCGAGGTGGTGGTGCAGCTTCCCGATGCCCGGCTTGTCCTGCACGCCCGCCGCGTACCACTCCCTAGCGATGGTCCTCCAGCGCTCCTTCTCGGGCTCGAGCTCGAGCCTGCGGGCGGCGGCGATGCCCACGCTCGGACTCGGCGAGTCGTCGATGCGGGGGAAGGGCTGCCGGCTGACGGAGCTGACCGCGGCGGACACCTGGGCGTCGGCGGACTCGGGAGAGGGCTGGGCGGAGGTGAGGATGGCGGCGAGGGAGGACGGGGGCGTGGCCTCGGTGGCGATGAGGCCGGCGATGGCCATGCGATAGCGGGCGAGGTCGCCGAGGGCCTCGAGCCAGTTGATCTTGAAGGTGTCGAGGCTGCGCTCCTCGAAGAGGCCGCTGTAGAAGGTGTAGGCGTAGTAGATGAACTCCTGGAGGTGTTCCATGGCGACCTGGGAGGAGAGGGAGAAGCGGCGGAGGTTCTCGAGGAGGCGGTGGAAGGCGTGGCTCCAGAGGCGGATGACGATGTTGTATTTTTCGGGGATGCTGCGGAGGGAGACGGGGACGGTGGGGGCGAGGGAGATCTCGAGGAGGTTGTGCATCATCTCGGCGAGGCTGTGGAGGAGGTCGTTTAGACGGCGCAAAAGGAGGAAAAGAAAGAGAGAGGGGGGGAGGGAGGGGGACGCACGACTTGTGATCCTCGATGCGCTTCTGCCATCGCAGGGACTCTGCGTCGTCGCCCCTTGGCTCTGGGGAGGGGCGGAGGACGAGGCGCGCCTCGGAGGCGGCGTCGTCTGGGTCGTCGCGCATGATCTTCGCCTCGAGTGCGGAGATGTCGCGGTAGAGTTTTTTGAGCTGGGCGGAGAAGGCGGTCGTCTTTGACTCGTCGCGGGACTTGCGGTCGAAGATGGAGGGATTGGAGGAGTCGTCGGTTGTGTTGGAGGAGAGGGTGAAGCTGGAGGAGATGATGGAGGGGGTGTAGGAGGAGGCGGAGGAGACGGAGACGATGTCGCGCGAGGACTTTGAGGCGGGTGGTGGAGGGGGGGGCTTGCGTGCCTGGGAGGCGAAGCGGACGGGATCGTCACGGCGGGGGTCGTAGAGCCTGCCGGGGTGGGACTGGTCGCGTGGGGGGTGGGAGGGCTTTGAGGGGGCCCTGGGTGCGTAGGAGGAGCTGGTGGCGTCGGAGATGGGATCCGGGTCCGCGGGGCGACGCATGGGGACGTCGTCGGTCTGGTGGTTGAAGAGCTTCTGCTGCTTGGCGGAGTGGGGGTGCGGGGAGGCGCGGGAGGGCCCGGAGATGGTGAGGCGTCGGGAGAAGTCGTCCGCGCCGTCGTCTGGGTGGGGGACGGTGCGCTGTGGGGAGCGGTGGGCGGGGTGGGGTTTGCGCGGAGACGAGGGGGAGGGGGACTCGCGCGGGGGCGGGGCCGGTGTGAGCGGGGCGGGGGAGGGGCGCTCTGTGCGGTCGCGCGTGCGTGGGGGGCTGGATGGGGCAGCGATGAGGATGTGAGTGGGTGCGCGGGAGAGAAGGACGGACGGAGCGTTCTTGCGCTTGATTGCGAAGATCCTGTCGGCGAGGTCGACTTGAGCGTCTGGCTCCCTGTGCTTGCGAGGAGCGGAGGCCATTGCTTGCTACGGGGAGTGGGGAGAACAGAGGGGACGGACGGGAGAGAGGGAGAGAGGGAGAGAAGGCGAGGGCTGGTGGTGTATAGCGGTCCCGTGCATTGGCTGCGCTGCTGCGCAGTCGCTGCGCTCACGGAGAGATCCCACATCACCTGTCACACCCCGTCACGCCCCTCCTCGCCCGCTCGCCTGCGCGGGGCCTGGCACCGGCCGCTGCTGGCGGTCTCGGCGTGACACGGCCGCCCCGCGCCTCGCTCCATCGTTGCTGCTGCGCGCCCCCGTCCACGACAACACCCTCCCGTCCTCTGGGCCCCATCCGCATCCGGCGTTCTCGGCCGTTCCCAAGCTCCCACAGATCACATGCAATTTCCACTAAAATACACTTTGCTGCTGCGCCCCCGCCGTCCCAACATAACACATCCTATCTATCGTCCTACGTACACCTCGCTTCCCACCCCCTGCCCCTTGCCTCACCACGAATGGTGCCCTCCGCTCACGATGATGCTTCCCGGCACAATGTCAACACTCCGTCAGCTTGACGCCCGCACTCGGCCCGGAACACACGACATGACATGAACAACACTCACTCGCTCCCCGTGCAGAACGTCGACGCGTCCGACGCCAGCCACGCGACCACCCCCCGCAGCTCGTCCGGCCGCCCCAGCCGTCCCAGCGGGTTCGACCTCGACCACTTCTCGAACAGCTCCGGCTGCTTGTCCAAGTACGCCGCAGTCATCCTGCACCACCCGCGTTTGCAAAAAAAAAAAAACCGCAAGACGCCAGCAGCCACGGTCCGGCGTCAGCGCGTATCTCATTACCCCTGTCGCTTCGCAGCCGACGCCCGCAAGCGCAGCCGCCCGCTCAGCTCACTCACGATGTGTAGATGTGCCCCGGTGAGAGCGTGTTCACCCGGATCCCCTTCGCGCCCAGCTCGCACGCCATGCTCCGCCCCATCTGCAGCACCGCAGACTTGGAGCTGTTGTACGACACCCACGCGTGGTCCTGCCCCGGCGATCATCGATCGTCGTCGTCAGCACACGCCCGCGCGAGATAGACACCGGTCGGGCGCCTGATAAGCACGCACGCATGCAGGCTCTCACGCACCTTGTTCGTAATGCTCCCGCTCATCGACGCGATGAGGATGATGCTCCCCGCGTTCCCGAACCGCACCATCTCCCTCCCCGCCGCCTGCGCCGTAAACAGCACCCCGTTCGCGTTCACGTCAAACACCTACCCGCCCCGCCCCGCCCCGCCTGTCAGCCAGCCGCCCCGCACGCACGCACCGAGTCACGCCCACGCACGCACCTTGCGGAACTGCTCCGCGGGGTACTCCAAGCAGTCCGTATGCTCCCTCAATATCCCCGCCGCGGCAACACACACGTCCATCCTCCCCTCCCTCTCCCCAATCGCCCGCCCAACCGCCCACATCCGCGCCTGGTCCGTAACATCCGCACACACGTACTCCATCCTCGTCCCCTCGCCCTTTCCCTCACCCGCGCCCATCCGCTTCACGTACTCCGCCACCGCCTCCCACTCCGCGCCGGGCGACGCAGGCAGGTCGACGCAGTACACGGCCCGCGCGCCCGCCTCCGCGAGCGCGAGCGCCATCTCGAGCCCGAGCCCGCGGTTCGCGCCCGAGACGAGCGCGACGCGCCCCGCGAGCGTGAACTCGTCGCGCAGGCGCGCGCGCGGGGCGATGCGCGCGTCGGTCTGCGCGGCGAGGGCTAGGGCGACGCCGCGCGGGGCGGGCGGGGAGGAGGATTGCGCGGCGGGGGCTGCGGCGGGCGGGGTCTTGGCGGTGGAGGCTGGGCGGGTGGTGGTGAAGTGTCTTGTGAGAGGGGGAGGGGCTGCGGCGCGGGTGCGCGTGGCGCTGGCGAGGGCCGCAGTGCGGCGCAGTAAGGCGTTCCTGACAGACAGCAGCATTTCTCGCTCGTCGCTCGTGGGTGGGTGTAGATCTGCAGGGGCTTCGCTACGCTGCGCCGCTCGCCCCTATGACTGTGTCTATATGTATCCCGGCCGCATAAGGGCTACCCACGGCGCCCCCGCGGCCTAGACCGCACCCTGTGTCCTGTCCTGTCCTGTCTTGACTCGTCGGGTCGCGGGTCGTGGGTCGTGGGTCGTGTGTTCCGCCGCCTTATTTGTGGGTCGCGGGTCGAGGGTCACGGTGTGGTCTGGAAGACCAGCTGACGCGGCGGATCGTCGCTCCGGGCGCGCGCGTCTTCGGACTCGCATCCATTGCACTGTACTGGGCCAGAGGGCGCGCAGCGGCTGCGCCCTGCGCGCTCGGACGCTGCGGCTCTCGATCAAGCAGCACGGCACGCTCGCGCTCGCGCTCGTGCGACGCGCTCTCGAGAGCCCTCGACGGTACGTACCGAGCACGCACACTCTCCCGCGCAGTACGTTATCCGCCTTCTCGCGCGCCGCGCGCCGACCCCCTGAGCGGTCACCTGGCGCGCTTCCCTCCGCATTCCTCCCGCCGCCCCCCGACCGTGCACTGGGCAGCCAACTCGAGTGACTCGCGCTCCGGAATAGCATATCACATCACGTCCTGCTGCTCGCCCTCCCACAGGCGGCGATGTTCGTGTAAGGTAAGCACTGTAGCAGCAAGTAGTAGTAATACATGGTATGAGCACTAGTAATGCGGAACCGCGTGCCCCTCCCTTCCGTAAACGATCGGCGACGCGGCAAGAAGCAGTTAATACGGACGCCGATAGCAGGCATAAGTAATAGATCGTGGTGTTACAAACAACAACAACCAGAAGGAAAACGATGGAATCGGCACCACCACGATAGATAGAACAAAGGGCGCCGCGTTCCCGAGAAAGCGCCGCTAGAAACACGCGCTGGCATGTGCTGCGCGCACGCGCGCCGTGCGTCGTGCGTGCTCAGCCGCGGCCCCCGCGGGGGTCGTCCCTGGGGACGCTCCCGAGCCACGGCACCCACGGGACGACCTTGGCGTTGAGCCGGCGGAAGAAGTGCGCGCCCCAGCGCGTCGGGAGGTCCTTGCCGTGCCACTGGTCGACGACGCGGATGATCTTCTCGGCCTCGTCGAGGTCGACGACGACGATCGACTCGATCACCTGGTGCGCGCGGGCGCATGAGCGACGTCATCGGGAGAAGAGAGGAAGGGAGGTAATAGGGATGACGGGGATGATGGGGATGACGGTGACACGGACCTTCTTCGATCCCGTGATGCGTACCACGTATTCCTGTTTTTGCCAGAATATGACGCGGTTGGGCGAGTCGGTCGAGGCGAGGACCCGGCGCCCGAGGGTCGTCGACGAGGACATGATCCTAGTCTGCGTGCGTGCAAGTCGCATCGGCGAATTCGTTCCTGGCGACGGCTCGCGAACAAACAACATACCAGAGCAAACCACTGGTTCAGCGACGCATACGTTAGCGGTGCGCCGCAGGATGAGCGAGAGGGACATGCCTGCGATGCGATCTCGTTGAGGTCCTTGCACCTCGTGAGCGGATGCTTGCGTCCGCGTCAGCTGGCTTACGAGACGCTCGAGGACGGAAACGACACACTTCAAACGACGCATCCCGCCTCCACCTCCTCTCGAGTATCTCCGTCGTCGGCCTGCATTCATACAGCTGCGCGCAGCGCGCCTCAGGTCGGGGATCGTCTGCGCCGGGAGAGAGCGCCGCCACGCACCTCCTTCAGGTCGTCGACGACGGCGCGGTGGTCCGCGCCCTCGTCTGCCGCGCTGCTGTGCCGCTTGGGCCCCGCGCGCCCGCGGTCGTGCTCGAGGGAGTTCATGCGCCGCGTGGCGATGCTGCGCTCCTTGACGGGGTCGACGCCCGAGTAGTGCGCGGCGCCCGCGACGGACTGGAGCAGCGCGGGCGTCGGCACGGCGTGGAGGAAGTGCGTGTGGTGGTGCGTCTGCGACGGCGGGGACGGCGAGCGCGGGCGGGGCGGCTGCTGCAACTTGGCTGGCATCGCTGGGTCGTTCTACGGTGCTGGTGGTGGTATTGAGCGAAGAGGTGTTGGAGTCATGCGAGGAGCTCGAGACGGAGAACGAGCACCTTGTTCCGAGAGCCCGCGGCCGTCATATCTCTACACGCACATCACGTGCACCCGGTCCGTCTAACTTACAAGTCAATCGTCTAATAGCAAGGTGGCGCACGCCACTCGCACTCTCCTCCCTACCACCATGGCCCCCCCCTCCATCAACCTCCTCTTCCACCCCAAGAAGAAAAAGACAAACGGCGCAGCCCCGTCTCCGCAGCCCTCACCCCCCAAGCGCCCCCGTCCCGCCGTGGCTAGGCCCCCGCCGAAGAAGCCAGATGACGACGACGACATGGCCGCCCTCCCCGAGGGCCCGTACACCGAGTTCAAGCTCGTCTCCTCCGCACTCAACGGCTGGAAATACGACGTCATGAAGTTCGACTCGCGCAAGCAGGTCGACATCCTCAAGTGGCCCGCCCCCGTCAAGCTCAACCGCAAGGACCTGCGCCGCTCGGCCGGCGCCGCAGACGACGGCGTGCCCCAGGCCAGGGCCGTCGGGCCCATGCTCGGGCCTGACGGCAAGCCCGTGATCGGGATGGATGGGCGGACGGTGATGGTCGACGCCGAGGGCAGGCCGATCCACGCCGACGGCTCGTCCTCCTCGAACAGGCAGGACAAAGGGAAGGACAAGACCCAGCCGCCGAAGAAGAAGTTCCAGAAGAAGACGAAGCAGGTGTTCAAGGTCGCGGAGGAGATCAGGCAGCTGCGCAAGGAGGAGCGCTATCCGTGGGTGCTGGAAGACGCCAGCGGCGGCGAGATATGGGTCGGGGCGATGGAGGAGGTCGTCAAGGCCGAGACCCAGGCGTTCTTCATGCCCGCCTCGAACAACACGTTCAAGTTCGTTCCGGCCCATCGCTGGTACAAGTTCCAGAAGAAGCCGAACCATTATATTCCGAGCTTGGAAGAGGCAGAGTCGCTGGTGAGTGTGGCGCCCTTGCTGCTGCAATACAGCCTGAGCTCCCGCGTTGCGCGTAGATGGCGCGGATCAACCAAAACAAAGATCCCATTCGTTGGCTGCTGAAGCACAACGGACAAGGCCCCTCCGCTGCGACTGCCGCGACGATCAAGGGCGAACCGGACGATGGCATGACTGTGGGGCAAAGTCTCGGTCCTGGCGGTCGGCAACTCCGGACGGTCGACAAGGGCTCCGATGCACTCTTTGGAGATGACGACGACGAGGGCGGAGGGCGGAAGAGGAAAGATAACGGGGCGGAGGGCAGCTACGACGAGATGCTGTTTGCTGAGGACTTCCAGGACGACGAGGAGAAGATGAACGTCGAGGAAGAGGAGGACGACCTCACAAAAGAATTAGAAGTGGGTCATTTCTTCTTGATCCGGTGTTCTATAGCTATAGCACCGTGGTCTTTAGGAACGGCTCCAGCGCGAGTATATCAGTGCCAACAAACAACGAGAAGGTCACATCGATGAATCGGACGACGAAGAAGACTTCGAGCTCAGCAAGGCCGGCAAGGCACTGAATAAACTTGTCAACAAGCACGGCGATAACGACGACGATGACGACGACGGGCTCTTCAATCCGTACAAAAACGACGTCAGTACGGTATGTTTATCGAGCTTCCATTTACTCATCCCCCCCACATACAGGACGAGGAGGAAGAGGAAGAAGAGGAAGAGGCTATCGTCACGAACGAGCCTGCCGTTATGTCTCAACCTCTGCCATCGCGAGCGACTCCTATAGCCTCGCGGCCGCCTTCGCAGCCCACTGTAGCCCCTGCGCAACCCTCCGTCCCATCCACATCAAACTCCCGAGCAACGTCCCCCGTGCCTAGCCACGGCGGCCATGTAGTCGTCGCGAAGCGTGCGACGAGCCCCAAGGCCCCCAAACCCAACCGCCTCGGGAACGGCGGTCGAGCAACGAGCCCCTTGGCGCAGTCGTCTGCGGTGGTCGCCAGCGCGCCAGTCCGCGCCACCAGCCCGGCCGCCTCCTCGTCCCAAGCCCCGAACGGCGCGTCTGCAGGCAGCCGCGCCACCAGCCCCGTCGCCGCGCCCCTCACCACTCCATCGATGGTCACGCCGACCGCCCACCCCACCAAACCGAGCAAGAAGCGCAAGGCGACGGACGACTCCGCCGCGGGCCAGCACAAGAACAAAAAGTCCAAGCCGCACCCGCCGCCTGCCGTCGGCCCGGACGGCAAGTTTCTAGAGCTTGAGGACAGCGCCGTGGTCGACTTTCTGCGCGAGCACCCCTCCATACCGACGCGAGAGTGCATCCACAACTTCCTGCCCTATTTACATACCCCACAGAGGAAAGCGAAATTCACTGCGCTCATCAAACGGATAGCCCAGCTGAAACAGGATAGCACACAGTTAGTTCTGCGAAGCGCGTATCGTACAACTGGCGCGGGCCCGAGCAAGTGAACTGGGTTGGGCGGTGGGTCGACCGGGCAGGCTGGCAGAGTGGTCGAGAGACTAGGGAGGTCGTGCCAGGAGTGCTCTTCCACCTGCGGCCTTCCTCGCGATTGATGCATCACTGTCGGTTTCTCGTTCAGGTCGTTGAGGACCTTGGTTTTTTGTATTCTGAGAAAGACTGTCACGGCGCTGTACTTTGTGTCCCGGATGGATCCTGCTATTTAATTATCCAGTCCCTCGAGCGCTTGCTCTGTTAGATCCAAGTCTCGTTCAAAGAATGTTTAGGTGGTTATGCAGACACGGAGTCAGAGCTGCCGACCGCTACGCGTGCCTCCCTTGTTCTGAGGATCGCAAGCTTATAGGGATCTTGACCTAGGCAGGTCTTCCAACACTATTCTAGAACCTAGCACGAGAGACGTGTGAGTTTCCGGATGATGGTCAGCTCGAAACCCAACGTCATCAATGTCATTAGCAGTGTGTGAAACATCAATGAAAAGATTGACCTCCAGTAAATTTTCCGCATAACCCCATAAAGGAAGCAGTGTTCTTACATGTGTGTTCGTGCTGAGTACTGTACCGCATGTCGACCAGGAATGCTAATTCATAAACACTGGAAATTGAGAACCTCCATATACCAAACTAGACACAAACCGAATAACAGCAGCAGGTAATAAGTGACGACAGCATTCTACTTCAGAACGAACAACAACGAGAGTTGAGTGCTGCGGCGGGCAAACGACGTTCAGCCGCCGTTGGTCTGGCCTTGCCAAAGGCCATATGATTTTCCTGGCGTCGTCTGCCACAGACGAATAGTGCCTGAAAAGAGAGTGAGCTATAGGATATAAACGAAGTAAGCACGCTGACGTACCGTCCTCTACAGATACAAAATCACGCAGGCACAGGGCAACGATCAGCAGCTGAAATGATTATTCGAGAGCGACGAGACTGACCGCTTCCACTGGCATACAGCTCTCCGTCAGGACTGAACTCGACGCAGTGCACAGGGCCATGGTGCCCCTTGAGCACCTCCCGCTCTTCCCCATCGATGCCATGCACTCGCACCCACTCGTCCGTCAGACTACCCGTGACGAACCGATCCTGTAAGATCGGGTGGATAGACGCGGACGACGGCGCGTATGGGAGGGTCAGGCTGTGTGTGGCTGCGCCAGTGGGTAGCGACGGCAAGAACGCGACGGTCTTCCCCGAGGTAACAACGAGGCGGTTCGTCTGCGGAGAGAGCTCCATCGACGTTATAGAGCTCGGGAACGAGAGGCTCGTCGTCAACTTGCGCGTGCGCAGGTCCCACCACCTGATCCGATCGCGAAGGATAATGCCGACGGTTACCGACAGTCCCGGGGCTTTGCAGGAGAGGCGCACCACTCACTTAATCTTGCCGTCCTCGCCAGCGGTGACGCCGGTGTGCTCGCCGACCCACACGACGCTCTTGACCGTGCCGTCGTGGGTTGACACCGAGCCGCTCTCGACGAGAACATCCGGCTCCGCATCTGGCCGACCGAGGTCGAAGATGCGCGCCTTTTTCTCTTGTCCGCCGGTGAGCAGGTGGCCCGACATCGGAGAAATCGCGACGCTGCGGACGATGTGGTTATGCGGAAAAGAGTGCAGCGGGTTGCCCGTGTACGAGTCCCAGATCTTACTGAGCATATTGAAGCGTATTCAGTACGAGATGTCCGCATGAGGCCCTCCCGGGAGCATCGTGTCACGGGAGACTCACGCAGTGAAGTCGGCGCTCCCTGACGCCGCCCGCGACGCATCTGGGCTGAGCTTGGTGGACCACACGGCGCCTTTGTGCCCTACAAACGTGCCAATCCAGTCCCCCGTCCATTCTCGCAGCATCGGATTCCCATCCTTGCAGCTGGAAATGAGGAGGTAGGTGCCGTCGTCTTGGAGGGCGGAGAAGGAAAGATGTGTGACGGGACGCGTATGGCCTGGCGCCACGAGGGGCACCGATTTTAGAGGCGTCGTCATTCTATACGTTAGAATTGAAGGATTAAAGGAGAGAGAGGGTAGCGGGTGAGATGATGGTTATGTTCGTGTCGACGGTCGTGATGTGTTCCAGTAGTAAGTTATCGGTGGCAGACCATGACAAGCACACCTGCCTTTCTTGGCCCCATCATCTTTGCCGTCTCTTGCCAGCGCTTCGACCCCGCATCGTCCGGCAACGACATGCGTCTCCATATGTCCTCAGACGATACATTTCTACACCTTGTATGTTTCCTGAATATTTATATATATGTGCTCTACAGTGGCTGGGATGCAATGCTTGGTAGGTAGAGATTTCTTGCTTTACTACCTAATATCAGGCACGGCAGTGCCTGATGAACGTTTACATCCGTCAGCACTCAGTTCTTCTGCGCAGTCACAGTCGAAGAATTCAACACTTCTCAATATTGTAGTGCGCTTCGAGACAAGGATGTATTGTACTGGTACACCACGGGAGACCATGGTATAGGTTTCTGCCCACCCAAAGCTACGTGTTTCACGCACATTGCTTCTTGGCTGTCATTCGGACTTGTGACTTTTGTTGCTTGCCTTGACGAGAGGTTGTATACTGCTTGTATGCGTGCTTCGTCTGCCCGCGAGAGCGCTTCTTGGCGCTCGCCGTATCATTGATCACGATCTCCTGTCATTAGTCTTGCGAGAACGTGACGCCATTTGGGCGTTGTCCTGTTGTACGATTCATTCTCACAACATATCAAAAACCATGGAGATGCTATTTGAGAATCCCAATTCGGGCGCATCTTACACCAACACCTGCACGCTTCTATACACGCCGAACCTTCTATACACGCCGAAGTCCTAGTGCAATCCTTCTTTGCACAGCCTCGGTTTACCTTCAGCGACGGTGCGTACCTCATTCCATTCTTCAGACCTCAATCGTACTCATTGGAAATGGGAGAGTGACGGTATGTATAGCTCATTATGATTGAATCACGTATCTGTTCACATTCGACTCAATCACGCCAGCGATCTGTGCTTTGGGCGCCTGCACCCTCCAGGTTTGGATTTTTCCCTTCGATCGTAGGAGATCAGCCAACAGAGGCCGCCGACGCTATAAGGACAGATATTCCAAATACCAGAATTATGACGGTTCTCAATTCTGAAAACAAACGAAGCACTTCGACGAGCAGTGTTCTATCAAGATGGATGGACGAATGGGTAGGGGCTTGCAGATACTCGAGGTACATTCTGTCGCTGTCAGAACGATTTGAAGATAATTATAGAGGTGCTATGTAGTACTTGCCGGTGAGACCCACACATGAAAGTCGTTCCAACTGTTTTGGGTGGCGCAGGCTTGTTCCTCGCTGTGGCCAAGGAAAGTTTCCGGTGTGTCGGTGTTCTCTCGGTCGATTCAGAATCTGGTGGTTCGCAGAGATCGGGACCAGCGAACTTGCGTGTACTGATATCGCGATCGTGTGTTGTTCGGGCGTCGAGTGACCGAAAACGACTTTCTGGTCTGTCTACGGCGAGATTCATGTAGCAAGACGCTCAAGTGTCTTGGGCGGTCGATGTCATTCGATCATCTTCCGTTCTGCAGCCTACAAGCTCGAGGGTTCTTCAAGACATTGGAAGAGGATATATGACGGGAGTCATAAGCATAGGGATTAATGAGATCATTCACATGCCATGGGCTTAGGGCTTATAGGTAAGCACCTTGTCATACCTAGATGGATTGGTGAGACTGGAGAAGTACAAGAGTAGGCACTGACTGAGAGAGACAGTGACCCACAGTTGGAGTCATCCACCTCACCTTCCTGATTGGGACCATCCACCTGCTTTAAAACTCCGCGTCGTGCTCATTGCACGTCAATTTCTGGGAGGATTGCGTGCTCGAGGATGTTTGCGACATTGTGGTCAATTTTCGGCATTGATGTCATCCGTTTGCGCGCCCTTCTCCGTCCCCGTTCGCTTCTCCTCTCATAGACCCTTTTTATTACGGACCAGCCCGTCACCTAACCGTCGAAGCTCCAACGCTTGTTTTCGTGCTTCATACCCGACACAGCTGCGCGCTATATAGGATTTTCCTAACCGTACATCGGACAGGCACTGGCCCTGAGATCACGAATCAAGGCATCATCGCGTATATGCCCTAATCCTGTCTAGCCACTCCAGACTTAAAATCAAGAACATTGCCGCTCTTTCCTGCAGCTTTGCTCCACCCTTTCCCCATCCCGCCTCTCTTCGTATCCTTGCACGATGGCTACGGCGGTGAAGAGCTTCGGAAAGCGCGTCATCGGCTACCCAGAGGAGCGCGTCTCGGTCATCTCTTCAAAAGACTGGGTCAACAACCTCTCCAAAGATCCCAAGCAAGAGGTAGGCCCACCCTTTCCCCATCGGTTCTTTAGCTGACATACCTCGCAAGACGATCAACTACTTCAAGCGCTTGTTCCCCATCCTCGGATGGATCACTAGATACAGTATGCGATTTTTTTACCGTCCCATTTCCTTCGTACTTATCGTTCCTCTAGACCTTGGATGGTTGACGGGCGACGTCATTGCCGGCCTTACCGTGGGTATGGTACTGGTGCCGCAGAGTATGTCATATGCTCAGGTATGACTAAGTCTTTGCTATGGGCGGCTTCGGTGTTTGTTCATACTCTTCTTCGACATCTAGATCGCTACACTGGAGCCTCAATACGGTCTATATTCGGCATTCGTCGGAGTCGCCATCTACTGCGTTAGTATTGTTACCTCTCACAAAATGTTTTTCGACTGACGCTCTCGGCATAGTTGTTCGCTACGTCGAAAGATGTTTCCATTGGCCCCGTCGCTGTCATGTCCTTGACCGTCTCCCAAATCATCAGGGATGTCAATGCAGCCCATCCTGGTGTATGGTCATCTCCACAGATTGCGACGACAGTTGCTTTCATCTGCGGTTTCATTGTTCTGGGCCTCGGCCTCCTGCGCTTGGGTTGGATAGTCGAGTTCATTCCTGCGCCCGCCGTTAGCGGTTTCATGACTGGCTCTGCGATCAGCATCGCTGCTGGTCAAGTGCCGGGCTTGATGGGTATCACCGGATTCGAGTACGTGTTTTCATGGTCACGTCGATCTTTTGGATTTGAACTTACCCTTCATCAGCACTCGGGCCGCAACATACAAGGTTATCATCAATACCCTGAAGGGACTGCCTGGAACAACTAAGGATGCAGCATTCGGCCTCCCTGCTCTTTTCGCACTATACGCCATCCGTATGCTCTGTGACTACTTTTCGAGACGATACCCCAGAAGAGGTCTGTTCATTTGATTGCCTTCTAACTGAAACCAAATTCACATCTCCACGTCAGCTCGTGTATTCTTCTTCATATCCGTGCTCAGAAACGCTTTCGTGATCGTCGTCCTTACCATCGCGGCGTGGTTATACGTTCGCCACCGCAAGAATGCGAAAGGCAAATACCCCATCAAAATCATACAGACCGTTCCCCGAGGCTTCCAGCATGTCGGCCAGCCCGTGATCGAGCGCGCACTGCTCAGTGCTCTCGCGGGAAAGCTCCCAGTAGCAACCATCATTCTTTTACTGGAGCACATCGCTATCTCCAAATGTGGGTTTGGGTTCCTGATCCTTCACTGCATCTGTCGCTAAATGCTATTACTTGACTAGCATTTGGGAGACTGAATGGATACAAGATTGACCCGAACCAAGAGCTCATCGCTATCGGCGTTACTAATACGATAGGCTCATGTTTCAATGCATACCCCGCTACTGGGTCGTTCTCTCGTTCTGCCCTCAAGTCCAAGTCTGGCGTGCGGACCCCTGCCGCGGGCATCATCAGCGCTATCGTTGTGGTCGTCGCGCTTTACGGCCTTACATCAGCCTTTTACTGGATCCCGAACGCGGCTCTGAGTGCTGTCATCATTCATGCCGTCGCTGACCTCGTCGCGAAGCCCACTCAGGTCTTCTCTTTCTGGCGTGTCTCGCCTCTCGAGTTCGTCATCTGGGCTGCCGCTGTCCTCATCACGGTTTTCTCCTCCATCGAAAACGGCATCTATACATCCATCTGTGCCTCTCTCGCCCTATTGCTTGTCCGCATCGCTCACCCGCGTGGATATTTCCTCGGGAGGGTCACAGTCCAAGCCGAGAAATCCAAAGAATCTCGCGACATATTCGTTCCTCTCAAGACCAACGGAATCATTAACTCTCAAGTCAAAGTCGACCCTCCCCTTCCCGGCGTCATTGTCTATCGCTTCGAGGAGAGCTTCCTCTACCCGAATTGCTCTATTGCAAACTCGGCCCTGGTGGACTACGTCAAGGAGCACACCAAGAGAGGCATAGATATGAGCACCATCAAGCTACATGACCGTCCATGGAACGATCCAGGCCCTGCGCGAGGCGCTGTTGCAGAGCAAGAGGAAAACAACGCCAAACCATTACTCCGCGCCATTGTACTCGATTTCTCCACTGTGTAAGTCCACCCCTTCGACCATTAGCCCGAGACACAGAACACTGACCGCCCATTTTCACAGTTCGCAAGTCGACACTACATCCATTCAGACACTAATTGATACCCGAAACGAAGTGGAGCGGTGGACAGACCGCCCCGTCGAATTTCACTTTGCGACCATCCTCTCGCCTTGGATCCGCCGCGCACTCGTCGCGGGCGGGTTCGGCACCGGTCTGCCTGCATCTTCCGGACCGCGCGAGATCGCGCCCGTCGTGCCTTACCGTGGCGGCTACGACGAGCCGCACACATCCCAGCACTCGCCCACCGACGTCGAGACACTGGACATCAAAAATGCTCCCCAGTCTCCATCAGCCATCGGGTACGGCTCTTCGTCAGAAGAGAGCGAGGGCCTGGTCGCAGACGATACGCCGTTCTTCCATCTTGATCTTGTCGCTGCTGTGCGCGCGGCAGAGCAGGGCCTCACAGCGCCGTCGCACTCGACGCGCTCGTCACAGGATTTGAAGCCCTGATCAGACGGCCTGATGCAGTCGGCCCGGGGTGTTGCTGTTGCTCTGCTCGTCGGGATATATCTATGCCAGGATATCGCTTATCATCTATTCTACGCGGGTGGAGCTCGTATGCTGTGGTTGTTGTCGTGCTTTGGACTCGAGACTCAATTTTTGCTGTATTCGTAAACTGTATTTGGCTATTGTGACGACTAGGATCTTGCATGCATAGGGGATTTGGTGATTAATTGCAATGCTGTAGCGATGTGGTCTTTTTCTTTTTATTTAGTATCTGCTGGTATCTGTGCCAATCATGACCCGTGCGAAGTCGAGTCGTGAGTTCAAGTTGTGGTGGTCGAATTGTGCTGTAAAGCGACAAGTGCGTAAGCAGCGAGGAAGACCGCTACAAGTACGGAGTCGACAATTCACTTCCAAAGGTATCCTGGTCTATTCGCTACCGTTGAACAAATTGTAAACTTCAGCCTTGAGGCGTCTGTCCTAGCGCATACTGGTATCGTAGAAGAGGTCCACCGAGAGTATTGTATCAGAATTCGCTACGAGTTTCGTCTCCCAGATCTCGATCAAAATCAAAGAGCAACGGTTTCGAATAGATCGAGCTGCGCGTTCTGGGAGCGCAATCCAAGAAATCTATCACACAAACATCAAGGTCACAGCTGCCGCGATCAAGGCAGATGCCCCATTGACCGCCAGGCGGGTAGCGTCTGAGGACGACGACCCACTGCTCGACCCCGAAGCCGTCGCGGCCGGTGTCGCCGTGGCGATGGCGCCCACACCCCCTGTCACAGGCCCACTGTCTGACTCCTAGGGGCGAGGTGAGAAGGATCGTTGGTTTTCTATAGGGTAAATAAACCCACCTGGACCTCGCTCCCGCCGATTTTGAGAGCCGCAGCTTGGAAAGCGGAGAAGGTGTTCCCCGTGGAGGGAGCGTTGATCGAGCTATCACAACAGTCAGATATATCATTGGGAAGGGGAGCGGTTTAGACGCACCCAACCATGCCCAGACCGCAATGGCTCACTTGCTTGCAGTGGAACCAGATAGCTAGGCGACGGAAGATGTTATCCAGACATTCCTCATTGTCAAGACATGGACGTACGTTGTGTGTCGTCTGTGATATTGATGGTAAATTGGACCCCTGTCTGTAATCCGGAATCGAACCCTCCAGAGCTCCCATTTGTGGCTGCAAGATACGTGCATGGCTCATCGAATGACGATTGAGTGACCGAATGGGCAAGTGAACCGCTATATTTTGGTTAGATACACTCAGAATGAATGCCAGACCATATATGCTCAGACAAACCCGGGGAAGAAGAAAGTCACGAGCGTCCCGTTGGATGCTGTGATATTACTAGGATTGAACACGAAATTACCGCCAGCGGCCACGTCAACCTGCGAATACTATTGTCAACACCGACTTCTGAGAAGAGAGGCAGACGTACATTGATCTGGCTGCTGGTACTTGGCGGCGCAGATGGTGCGGAAACAGGAGCAGCAACGGTCGGGGTGTTTCCAGTGTTACCACCAGGTGCTGGGCCATATATCTGTGCGTTCGCTACGATGGAGAGCAGAAGGATGGTCAAGGCAGTGATCAACATTGTAACTGCAGGTGCTCTAAAGTCAACAAGAGTCGCGGCGAAGCCAAGGGAAAGCGGGGGTCTCAAAGGGTGGGATGTGAATCTGGACTGCCAGGCGTAAGACACTTAAGAGCAGGCACCCAAAATAGACCATATGGCTTGCTGCGGAGGTGTGTGAAGAATAGAAACAACATGTTGCTGGGAAAGTTGTGAAACAACAACACACGGTGCTTGATTAGTGGAGACAACGGGTTGCCGACCGGAAGAGGGCTTGTCGAGGACACGGAGGGTGCAGGGAGGCGAACGAGAAGCGAAGCAATGAGCCAGGATCTTGGCACCGTCGAACCAGGAAACCGAGAATGGGCTTGAGGTTCGCACGTCAAAGATATTTTTTCTCGACAATGGAATTCATCATATCAGACGCGACAGATGTTCTCCAGAAGGAAAACCAGTGCTTGTCATAAGCACGGATTGCATTTCTGAAGCTATCCTGTAATCGTGTTGTCAAAGATCTGTAATATGTGACTGACACTTACTCATATAGTACGCTCCCAGAAATCATGCAAGGCCATCCCTGCGACATGGTGCCCGAGGCAGCAAATCAATAATCACTGGACCTGGTGCCTGCTCAAAGACCAACACCAAGAAGCTCTGCGACAGGCACTCCATTTCCGAGGACAAAAATCAGTGTGGGGAGACCCACTTGTATCCCGCCCGAAGGGATTCTACGAGCCCCAAAAGACGGATTTCCGCAGTCAAACGCGCTCAAATAGCGTGTGGGAATGCGGGCTCGACTACTGATGTGACTGTTATGCAAGACCTTGCACTCCACCTTACACTAGCGAATTGCACCCGGGACATGCAATGGTAAAAGTAACACATACCTTGGGAACAACTCTCCGCATCTAGGCTAGGTGTGAACTTATCAAGTCAGGTACCGCTATCCCGAGATCACCGTAGGACGGAATCGGGAATCCGCTGTCCTCAAGTTTGTCTGGCACCATACATGATTGACAGTGAAGGAGAGGAAAGGATGCGGAGAGACAGTAGTACACGTGGTCGACATCACATGAAATCCTGGCCCATCGATGTGAGCGTATTTTTTTTGCAAGTGCATCACTTTGACGATTGCGAGAAAATATAAAACACCCAGGAAATAACTTGACGCACCTTGCACTAGACAACAACAAATGATCAGCCGGGACTCTGTAACGCACTTGGTCCGGTTCCAATGATCGATGTCGCCACTCAAAGAATAGCTGATCATTAAAGAATAAACCTGCTATGCAGTCCCTGATTCATCAACGCGCGTGCGGGAGCATGGTAAAGACATACAAAACTTAGTTATTGGTTCTCTGATGAGATGCCAAGATTCATGCCCTCAACAGAAAATTTGACGATCCTCGTATCAAGCGTCTTCAAGCTTACCAGCACCAGCACTCCTGTCTCCGCGAATCCTGGGACGAGAATAATTCTACACTTCTGTGAGTTCTGTTTGACGAGTCGCGTCGAAAATCGTGGCTGGCAACCGATGGCGTAGACGTCGGGCGTTTCGGTAAGAATGAACGGATCTGTGGTGAAATATGGATGACACCAGAGTGTGTCTGGTGCCGTCGGAGCGACGTGTCGCCATCGCAAGGTCGATTCTGCAATGCTTAATCGCGTGACCGGTGGACTCGGTAAGTATTTGAACATGTCGTTTAATGGCTGTCCAGATGTAGCCAGAATCAGGCGGCTGCGCGGAAGAGGTTGTCCTGCTTTCTTCAAGTCTTCCAAAGAGTCTTGAGCCCTCGAAGCAAGGTGTATATACGTAGGATTTGTCTCGCAGGTGAAAGTGGCATAAGTAGATGCAGCTCCGAACATAGCCCGAGGGAAGCTTTGTTGTGGTAGGATAGTGCCTGAGGGGTCGGAGGCCCCTGGAAGAAGATGGACGGGCATTGATGATGCAAGGTCATGGAGGTGCGAGGAGAGGTGGAGGATTGGGTGTGGGGAGAAAGAGGCAGAGTCATATCCGTATCGGCGCTGAGAAAAGATCGTGAGATGTCAAGCGATGGCTAACATTCAGGTATTGGACAGAATGATGACTGACAGGCCTTTTCTCGGTTTCTTTTTCTCCGTCATCCGTTGTGCCTGTAGCTCCGATTGGTGCGAGTGAGTTACCAAGAACAACAAGCCGCGTAATCTGAGAGGCTGAAATTTGATCACCCAGCCCACCACTCTCTCCTGTGAGATATTCCACGAGCATCTGTATCTGTGCATCCGATGGAGTGTGTGAGCCTATGTCCAGACCAGACACAAATGCGACAAAATCCTCCGGGGACTGTGATACCGCTGAAGATTTTTCTGCAGCATTCTAAAGTTAATTCACGAAAAAAATAAAAGGGCATTTGTCCACACCGTCTATGTCCATCTCATCTTGCTCTAACCTTTCACCTTCGTGTTGAGGGGGCATCTCAGCAAAACACAGATCTATGACTTCAAATTCACCGCCACTTGTTTCCAGCCCTAATGCTCCTACAATCACCCCTGTCAACAGTTGCGCCTTCTTTAATCGGTCACCGACAAGCTGAATGCGGCCAGACTCGTCCTCAAGTGTGACAACGTCATCTGGTGAGTAGATTTTTTCTCTTGGAGGTGGTGCAGGGATGGAGCGCTAAAGCCACAGAGACTTTAATGTCGCAAAAAAAAACATATATTGAACAACATACATCTCTCCCGATGTCTTCCAAAACATTTGGTTTTAGCGGCATGTCTAGGTACACAGTTCCAATGACAAAACATAGTTGTCCTTTGATCACATCTAGCACTCGAGGAACGAGCTTTGGAGACCCTGCGAGCGATGTTCAGATATATCTGGCATATACACCACATTCACCAAGAGTACGGCCCGAGTTTGGGGCTTACCAGCAATATCTTTCCAGCGTTTCTGCGCTTCATTTTGAACAAAATCTCTCAATATGCGTAGTCGTGCAAAGTAAATGTTCGCGTATTGGTGTTTGTATGTTTTGTTGGCTGCATTTATAACGAAGGTTGGGATTTTGTCGGAAAGAGGCAGCGCCGTTGTTGGGTGGCGGGCGAGAGGACTTGATGGAACCGAACTATTAGACACTTAATTATCAGTATCTGAAATATGGAAGAGAAAACGTGTGCTGACAATGGGTCAGATGAGGACATTGTAGTGGTCAGTCAAGACCGAGGTGCGTTTGACGCGTGAGTTAGCAGGCTATGGCAGTGCTATGGCCAGAGACGCGACGCGTGACAACCGCACCTGTCGTATTGTCACACATAATTATCGTAACTTACGTTGTGTGTCTTCTCTCTGCCGCTTTCGTCTAGTTCTCGAATGCGAACATTCACCGCACACACGATTCCAATGGTTCAAGCCGCCCTTTGAACGTTCTTGAACGTTGACATATGAATCATATATTGTGTTGATCACGCGCTGCCTTTTTTGCCAATTATGCCTCCTATGGCTATTTTCAGAACACAGGAGCATCAGTGTCCGTATGAGGCCAGTCTCGGTCTGGGTGAGGTCATGGAGAGGTGTACTCGGCGTCACTGCACGATATACACTCCTCGTTGAGTTTCAATCTGCTTATAAGCCTTCGACCTGCCGCTCTGCTCCTCACCCTCTTCGGGCCCCCAAAGCGCCATGTCTCTCTCCAAGGTGCCCTGATCTGCACCTCTTGCCTGTACCTGACAGACTGATCCTCTATATCGAAAGCATGTCAATCCAGAACATCTAATACAGCAGTCCAAGGTATATACGTTCTTGAACTAGCTAACTTCCACTATAAAAGCTTTCTATTAGGACAAGCCGCTCCACGCACATCACTTAACAAAGTCAGATACAACCTCCTTGTCTTACGGCGCTCGTTATGGGACATCTTCTGTTCCAAAATACAAAATCCCCTCCACGGTAGGCCGTATGAACTATTTTTTTCCGGAACGGCTAAACTGATTGATTATTGGCAACAGGGAATCGACGCTGAATCCAGTTACCAACTCATTCATGACGAGCTCTCTCTCGATGGTTCTCCTCTTTTGAACTTGGCGTCGTTTGTACACACATGGATGCCTGCCGCTGCTGACAGGTTGATGCAAGAGAACATGTCTAAGAACCTGATTGATCAGGACGAATACCCGATGACGCAGGCAATCCATACTCGCTGTGAGTTTTGCTCAATGTATCTTGAATCACTGTTAAATGCTGTTGCTTCCCAGGTATCTCTATTTTGAGTGACTTATGGCATGCGCCACCGGCTCACCAGGCCATAGGTACAGCTACGACTGGCTCATCTGAAGCTGTTCAACTCGGTGGGCTCGCCATGAAACGTATTTGGCAGGAAAAGCGCAAAGTAGCCGGCAAGTCTATTCATGAGCCAGGACCGAACATCGTCATGGGTGCGAATGCTCAGGTTGCCCTTGAAAAGTTTGCGCGCTATTTCGAAGTTGAGATGCGTTTGGTTCCTGTATCTGCCACGAGCAAGTACAGGCTTGACCCAGTGAAAGCTATGGAATACGTTGACGAGAACACGATCGGCGTGTATGTCATCTTGGGCAGTATGTTGATGTTTCTTTCCATCGTTGACGTATACCACATTGACCCACACAACAGGCACTTACACTGGCCACTACGAACCTGTAAAAGAGATGGCCGATCTCCTAGACGAATATGAGGCCAAGACAGGCAACAATGTGCCCATTCATGGTACGGACATCTGCTTCGCGATTCAAATTGAATTGCTAATCGAGTTCACTCCTATCAAAGTCGATGGTGCATCTGGAGCATTTGTTGCTCCTTTTGCCACGGTGCGTTCCTGCCAACTTATATATCGCAGTTCTTCTCATGCTTAATTCACAGCCCAAGCTTGTCTGGGATTTTAAAATTCCTCGTGTCGTCTCCATCAACACATCCGGCCACAAATTCGGTCTCGCCTACGTTGGCGTCGGTTGGGTTGTCTGGCGCTCCCAAAAATACCTCCCGAAAGACCTTATTTTCGAGCTCCACTACCTCGGTTCTGTCGAATATTCCTTTTCGCTCAACTTCTCCCGTCCCGCAGCCCCCATCATTGCGCAGTATTTCAATTTCCTGCACCTCGGATTTGAAGGCTATCGAAGGGTCGCTCTAAATGGCTTAGCCAATGCGCGCACGCTTTCACGCGCACTCGAGCGCTCTGGGTATTATACAGTGCTGAGTGACATTCATCGGTATGCGCAAGGAGGAAGCCTGATGGGTGCTGCGAAGACGGTTGGTGCTGTCGATGAAGCGAATGTTGAGGCAAGTTGATCGAATGATATCCGAGTTACCATCATTGATGTGCCAACAGAACTATATTCCTGGTTTGCCGGTCGTATCTTTCCGGTTCTCTGACAAATTCAAAGAGAAACATCCTGATTTGCAGCAAAGATGGATCCAGACCCTCCTGCGGTCGAGAGGATGGTGATTGCATTGATCTTCATTCATGTCGCATATTCATTGACCATATCGCTGTCTATAGGATTGTCCCCAACTATGAACTTCCCCCGGCTATGGAGACAGTGGAGATCCTCCGTGTCGTTGTAAGAGAAAATTTGACTGAGGTCCTTATCGATCGCCTTGTTGCGGATCTTGTATGCTGTTGCCCTATCGTCTGGCGGTCCTCGTACTCACTTACATTCATAGATCGAGATCACTGAGTCACTTGCGAATGACGACTCCCCGACCCACGCGTTAACTTCTCTTGGGGACCAAAAGCATCGATCCACGACTCATGAGGAAAGTCACGGTAAAGTTGACGGTGACATGATTGGTGTCCCCAAATACTCTGGCACATATGCCAAACCGTGTTGAGGAGAATTCTTCCTACATAGCGAATCAGATTGCACCATGTTAGAAGACCTTCAAAGGTAAAGTATAATCTATTGTCTCGAGGCTGTCAACGAATTCTGAGCCATTCTACTACCACTCCGTTTTTGTGCTGTATGTACGATAGAATCCGTGTTGGAATGCAATAGTTTCTGACAGCAGACGCAAATACATTCCCTCCAAGGTGCGCTTGCTGGAGCGTCATGGAATGTGAAATGGGCTCGAGACCGCTCGAGCTTAGCGAGATGCAGGAGATCAGAGGAATATCAGATGAGATCAAGGTAACTATGACATTCCTAGTCTGGCCTAGTCTTCAGATGTTTTAGATATACAACAGTGGATGCCTTTCCACAGTATTTATGGCAATGCTACATCAATCAATCGGAGTCGAACTCTGATTTAGATTTAAAACTAGAAATCTTCCAGAACCACGGGACCATCTATAAATCGGTGTATGCGCGCATTTGATTAAAGCGGAGCTCCAACTATGACTCACCTCTCCGCGCAGAGAAGTCAATAAGGTTCAGTCGGAGCTTAAAAAACTGTTCACAACGATGAATTTGAACTGGAAAGGAGGGAGTGGACCCCCCTTCCAGTTCAAAAATCTAGAAGAGGGGTCTCAAGCTCCGACAGAATGGATTCGCCCAGTATTCGCCCGTGCCGACGCGGCAAATAAGCCATCGGAAGAATCTGGACTTTAGAACTCGCTCTAAAGGCCTGTGGAAAGTCATCCAGTTACGACGCAATGTCCTGGAACGTCCTGTGTTGGTCAGCAACGAAGATCAGGTCTTGGCGTCAACTGGCATCAAAGCCATCTCGTTCCATCAATGCCTGCCTGTGGCTAGCACTTATCTAGCCCCCATCTTGTAACGTTGTTACGGTCCCATTTTGCCGAGACGGACGAGGACCTACGAGGACGAACGCAACACAGATACTTTATCATACTTACGCGTGGGTTTTCAGATCTACCAGGGCCTGGTTTTTGATGCATCCATCACCAACTATTTCCAAGGGCGGAGGATGTCGCCTAGCCGAATGAAATTGGTCATTTTTTTGATATCCTTGGGCGTATAAAGAAGGAGGCCAATCCTCCCGAATTCCTCAGCTCCTGCTCTCTTCGTATTCATTTGGTACTGGTTGGTGAGACATCTCCCTCTACTCCTCTCCTGCTTTCGCTCCCGATGTTGACCATGTCTTTTCAACAGCCACCTACTTTTTTGTTCCCTAACGAGTCACTCTTTGCTTTCGCGCCCAAACTAATCTTAATCTTCACGATCACATCCATCTGATTCTTCTCATCCAAATCACTTCTGTCATAATGCACTCTTCTTCGTTGATCGCTGCTCTTCTGTTCGTCGCGGCCGCCTCCCCCGCGATCGCTGTTCCCATCTCGTGCGTCTCTCGTCCTTGATATTCCTGGTCTTCGGCTCGCATCCTCACTTTTTCTGTTCATCTTCTGATAGTCAAACGAAGGCTCAAGCTCGTGCAGAGGATATCGATGCTCGTGCGCTGGGCCTTGGCTCGATCGTCAAGGAACTTGGCCTCGGTGCTCTCAGTGGTGGAGCTCTCTCCGCCTTGAACCACTTCATTGGCGGTGACTCGTCTTCCAGTCGTCGCGATGTCAGCCCTGAGGATCTCGCGGAGCTCATGGAGGCTCTTCAAAGGCGGGTCTTTAGCTTTCATTCGATGTTTCTCGCTTGTTAATCCTTGTCTGTCCCACAGCGAGTCCGGTGACGGCGACATCGAAGCTCGCAAGCTTTCCCTCGGTACTATCGTAAAGGAGCTTGGCACTGGTGCCGTTACCAGCGGTGCCGTCGCCGCCCTCACCCACTTCCTTGGTAGTGGAAGCGACAGCAAGGCCAACAAGCGTGCGCTCGAGGAGCTTGAGGCTCGCGGCCTAGGGAGCCTTCTGGGCAAATTGATTCCATCTGCTGAGGAGAGCCTTAGCAAGGTCCTCAAGAACAGCATAGTGGGCGGCCTTGCGTCTGGTGGAGTTGTCGCCGCTGGAAGTGCCGCTTCCGGTAACAACAAGTATGTCTCCTGTGGTACGGCTTCTCAAACGCGGACTCAATGTCATCCTTAGGCGCGAATTGTCTGAGCTCGAGGCTCGCGCCAGCATTGGTCCAGCATTGTCCAAGCTGGAGGCGTCTCTCGGCAAAGGCGTCGTGAGCACTATCGTCGGTAGCCTTGCTGCTGCTGGTGTCTCCGTAGGTGCCAAAACCATTAAGAACAACCTACCCTCCAGCCAGACACAGTAGGTGATATCTTCTTGATCCGTCAAACATATGCTGAATTACCCCTCAGGCGTCGCGAGTTCGACGAACTCGATGCTCGCAGCCTTGGCAGCGCATTGGGCAAGATTCTCCCGCAAGCCACCGACGACATCGTCACTGTTCTCAAGAACAGCATCATCGGTGGTCTTACTGGTGGCGCCGCTGTCGCCGCTGGCAACGCTGCCCTCGGCAATAACAAGCAGCGCGACGTCGCTCACACCCTTCCCTTCGACACCATCGACATCGACCAGCTCAAGAACATCCTCAGCAGCACTGTTGGCCCTGCAACCCTCCCTATCGTCAAGGACAAGCGCGAACTCAAGGATGACGACGTCGTCGCTCTCAAGAGCATCATCGACAACCTCAGAGTCGGTGCTCCAGGCTTCGCTACCCACGTTGATGCTCGCGCGTTGGGCGCCACTGGCAAGGGCATCCTGGGTACCGTCGCTGGCCTTGCCGCGTCGTCGGCAGTTGAGCCCATCATCGACGGGATCAAGGGTCTCTTCGATCGCGACCTCGATGCCGCCCTCGAAGCTCGTGAGCCCCTTGGTGCCACCGGAAAGGGTATTCTCGGCACCGTTGCTGGTCTTGCCGCGTCGTCCGCGGTTGAGCCCATCATCAACGGGATCAAAGGTCTTTTCGATCGCGACCTGGAGTGCGTTTTGTCTTATCCCTCACTGTTGTTCGTTGGCTGACGGGCTGAACTACTTTGCAGCACCGACTCCTTGATTGCCTTGAACTTGCTTGCCAGCCGGGAGCTGAACGAGCTTGATTAATTGACGAATGAGTGTTAACGAATTCTTGACGACCAGTAATCTATGGAGCATATTATCATTATTTGGGCATGTTATATCGTTATCTTGTAGGGTTCTTTGTGTTCCTCCTGTTCTGTAGTAGTTGGAACGAATACAAAGGGTGTTTTTGGGAGCTGAAAAGAGTCTGACAACTTGCAAGATTTCTGAAATGTCTTCCTTCGTGTCATGGTTGAGTCCATGGGACTCTATCAACACCCGCGGCGAAGATGTCAAGGGGACTGCCCATGGTCGCTGTGTCCTTCTGCATGTCTCCGGAAAATTAGTGCAGGTCGTGTGTCCTAGGGTCTATCTTACAGCTGTTTGCAAAACGATAGTCCTCTCAAACTAGAGCACACGAGTTGATGCTGACATCGCGACGTGCCTAGAACTTGCCTTAATCAGGCTCTATGTTCCTTACGCTGCTCACATATCTAGATATTCCCCACAGTCATTTTCGCGATGCTTTGTCAGGCCTGTGAGCAGTACTTGATATCTATGAATGTCTCAGTCTGTTTTTTGCATTGCTTGACCAATGTAAGAGCCCAATGTGACTCCATTAAGAATCTGACTGCTGAGACCTGGCTTTCACTAGCTAGAAATGTCTAGAGATAGCTAATGATGGCTCAATATTTCAGTGTTAGTCTATGTAGATAATCTAAGCTTGATCCTTTCCAAAACAGTGATGAGCATGCACCCACACTAGGGTCTGAGGGAGGTATTTGGGAAGCTTTAGGGAGAAGCCAACTAGCTCTAGACATGTACTCATGCCCATGAAAAGTGTTTGAACAGGTGACTGTGACATAACATGTCTCCTAGTTTCTGACTGTCTCCTGAGAGCAATTGTCAATGGATCAACAATTTGATAGTCTTTATGAAGAGCTAGGAATGTCTTTTATACAATACAGTAGTTGGAATCTTGTATGCCAGCCTTTTGCTGCCTGAACTTGTGCAACTCTCTCTGGCATCTTCCCAGTATGTCTCTGAATCTCCTCTGTAATTTCTTCTCATGCATGCTGTGCTGCTAACCATAGGTTCTCAAGAGAATTACTAGCACCTGGGGTATCAGAAATATGGTTTTTTAGCAGCAGCTATAATGGCTCAATAGGGTTAAGATTGGGTGAAAATGGAGGATGTGTTAGGGGTATGATGCCCAGTTTCAACTGAGCAGATTTTGCAAGGCAGCTTGTGTGGGCTGGTGCTATATTTTCAACAATAAGCATGAGATGTATCTGCTGCTGCTCCATCCTATTGAAAAATTTCTTTAGAGGTCCTTTAAGAACCTGTGCAATATACTCTTTTGCATCCAAGCCTCTACCTCATCTTTGGCCCTTCTCACTTATGGTTGCAGGTGGGAATTCTAGCTTGATCAGTGGATCTTTCACACCATGTGCAATACACCCCCATACCATGATGGATTTATGACCACCCTTGAAGGTTGGCTGTATGTTCTCAGGAAGAAATTCTTCACCTGGTAATCTTGTCACTCTCTTATGCCCTGGCCTCTCTCCTAACTCTAACTTTGCCTCATTAGTCCAGATAACCTTATTCCAGTCCCTTGTCATATTCTCCTTTGCCTAAATGAGACATTTTTAGACAGCCACTAGTGATAGGAAGGGCTTGCGATGTGCAACTCAGTGGTGATAGCCAGTAGAAGTTGCTATGGTGCAAACTTGTTAGGATGTTACATGTTCAACATGCTCGGAAATAATAGGATAAGGGTCTAGACAGTGTGTACAGATCTCATGAAGGACCCCATGCTATATGTGGCTATCAATGTTATGTGGCCAGCCAGATCAAGGGAGACTGTGTTGGGTATGGAATTAGTTCTTGTGAGTGACAGTATAATGGCATGCTCTGACAGAAGCACCAGTTAAGGAAGCAAATTTTCAATATGAGTATCCAAGATTATGCAAAGCAAGGATTTGACCTCTTTTTGAGGGTGTAAACTCAGTGGTTCTAGCAGGAGGCACGTTAGGACCGCGTTATATTGCTAGAGGTGGCTCTAAGTGCTGAGCACAACACTAAAACAACCTCTAATGCAGGGGGTACTGGAGCTAGTATCTGATACACAAGGAATTGTTAGTGATGACTTTAGAAATTGATGGTGCACTGAGAAGCAGTGAGGAGTGTGAGATTATAGCACCTAAATGGTTTTGGGACTGTACCAAACACTGACCAAATATTCAGTTGGTCGTGTTGGCAATTCAGTTGGTAACAAGAAGGTAGTGTTGCGACCAACAACTACATGCTTCAAGAGCCACACAGGACTCTGACAATATATAAGGGGAGGACAAGGGGTACGAGCAAAGAGATGAGTATGAACACAATGATGAGCATGCACCCGCACTAAGATCCGAAGGAGGTATTTGGGAAGCTTTGGGGAGATACTAAACAGCGCTAGATAGGTACCAAAGATGCCGACTTTTACTAAAAATAGTCAGTCCCTACCCGACCGACAACAAGCCACCAAAGGATGTTTGGCAGCACTTGGGTCAGTTTGCCCACACTTCATGTACTTACCATGACCGCACAGGAATGTTACGATAAGTGTTTATGAGATCGGAGCTAGTAGTCTGTATTGGCCGATGTCCTCCATGAGTCGGTCGGTCCTTATTGCTTATCTTCCCAACTTCCACATGGTCAGTCAAACGTGATCTTGCACCCTTATTTGGCCACCCTAATCGTACATTACTTCTTCTTTATTGTCATTGGCTCACCAACACCTGTGCCTGCTACCTACACTCGGGCAATGGATCCCAAATGTTCGGGATTTTGACATCACTGATTACCTTTTACCTTATCACCTTTGGAACCTATATGGACATCTCACCTACCTTCTTATCTTCCCTGATCGCTAAGGCTTGGCATCCATTCAACATCTACTCTTATTCTGTATTCAATATTTTACTTAGGGGTGCTGTTTACTATAAGACCCTACATACAACTCTAGAATAAACCAGCTTTCGCACCCCACAGTTCAGAGCTCATTAGCACTCATCTCAACCATTGAAATTGTCTTCATTGACTCCTAAAAACTTGTCATCCTTATTGTTCGGCCTTGTTCGCATTCGTACTCATCTCTTTGCTCGTATCCCTTGTCCTCCCTCATATATTGTCAGAGTCCCGTGTGGCTCTTGAAGCACGTAGCTGTCAGTCGTGGCACTACCTTCTTGTTACTGACCGAATCGCTGACACAACCGACTGAACATTCAGTCGGTGTTTGGTGCAGTCCCAAAACTGTTTGGGCACTATAATCTCATACTCCTTGCTGCTTCTCAGTGCATTATCAATTTCTAAAGTCCTCACTAACGATTTCTTATGTATCAGATACTAGCTCTAGCACCCCTGCATTAGAGGTTGTTTTGGTGTTGTGCTTGACACTTAGAGCTACCTCTAGCATATCAGCAAATGAGGCCAAACAACAAGGATGACAAGTTTTCAAGAGACGAAGATGATTTCAATGGTTGAGATGAGTGCAAATAAGCTCTGAACTATGGGGTGCCAAAACTGGTTTATTCCAGAGGTGTATGTAGGTTTTTATAGTAAACAGAGCTCCTAAGTAAAATATTGAACATGAAATGAGAGTAGATGTCAAATGAGTGCCAAGCCCTAGTAATCAGAGAAGATAAGAAGGTAGGTGAGATGTCCATATGGGTTCTGAAGGTGATAAGGTAAAAGGTAATTAGCGATGTTGAAATCCTGAATGTTACCTCCCTCAGACCCTAGAGTAAGTGCCTGGTTATTAACAGATATATAACAAAATACCAATTTTTTGACTAGGCATAATATCTACTTGAATTTCTGTTTTACCTAAGGGTGACTAGCCTTGTCCAAACTCCAGTGGCTATGCAAAAATTGATATATACAGCCATCTACAGTATTGTGCATTTGGATTTAAGAGGACTATCATTTTGTAAATAGCTGCAAGCAATACTGCTTGTTTTTAACATGTATAAAGCCACTAGGCTTATCACATACTATAAGCACTAAGATGGGTTTCCTAGGCTATCTAAATGGTGACTATCTAATAGATAAAGACTATAGCTCTTTGTTGCACTTGTGCAAGAAAGTAATTATTGCTATTGACCTTGTCTTTAAAGAAATAAAGAAGGTGATCTTCAATGACCAAGTGATGACTATTCATGACTAGACTATCTTCTCTAATCCAATAGATGACTTCTGATGGATTCCAAGAAATAACTAAAAAAGCAGCAAGTCCTTGATATGTAGTAGCAATATAAGAGTGAATGAGGCTTTGAGACAAATCTAGTGCTTCATTAGACTAGGTATAACACTTTGAATCTAGCAAAGTTTGTAATGCATAAGCTAGGAAGATAGCTAGATGCCAGGTGTGGTGTAGAAATCAAGTTGTATATGAAGTGAATAAGCTGAGCTTCTTAGAAGCTCATCTCAGCTAAGGATACATATAAGCTATTTAGGGCTAGATCCAGATCTGGTCTGTGCTTCTAAATGCTAATCTACTTAACAGGTATCAAGACTTCTGGGGGATCAAAGTCTTAATTATGATATATAATATATAGTCCGCAATGTATTCTAATATAGTAAATATGACGAATGTTTGTCCATATCATTATGAATCTAGGAACTGAGCAAAATTAATGTAAGTAAGCATTTAAGCCAAAGCTTGTGAATGAGTCATATATTGTAAGTGTTTATGTATAAGCATGTAAATGGTAAATGAACAAGTTAGCAGCCTATACCCCAACCTTGTTTCTGTCACCTGATCCTCCTTACAAATCATGTGTTAGGATGTGGTTATAACAATATGCTATTGTTTGTCAATATTAAAATATTGCAAAGCAAGCTATGGGTCCTAAATTTTGACTATAGTGTATATATAATCAATATAGGGATTAATAGTATCATATATCAACATATTATTCCTCAATGTTTCCCTTTATATGGATCACATCAGAATTTAACCAGACACATGGAAAGGATTATATTGCTTTGGAACCCAGACTTGAGATCTTGAGATCTTGAGCTTGAGTGCCTAATAGAACCAAATAATAGGCAGCCACACTCAGGTTGGAAGAGGTATGCTTGAAAAAACATCCAGCTAAGCAAATTTGACAACCTACTTCATTGAGGTCCAAGAGTGATAATATCAACTTCTAAGAACTTAAGGACCTATGTCAATTATACTGGTCTGCTGAGGGGATATGTGTAAAATAGGCTATCACAGCATTAACCTGTCTGATATTTCCTGATGCCTACACTCTGAACAAGGTCTCCTATAAGAATCTGTGGTACAAACACAAAAAGAGAATTGTTTGCAAATGACTGAACATGGCACTTACTCTTAGTGAATTGAGCAAGGTGTCACAAGGTGGCAGCACTGTAGCAGCAAATAGTGCATGGTCATGAGTCGATACATCTTCCACGTGACGAATCAAGTGACGAATATCAGGGTAGATCAGGGTCCAGTCGAGACAGGAAGAGGCTGCTTTGTCGATTAAGCTCTAACCAGTGTACAATGTCAATAGCATCCACACATTCCGAGGCTTTCGACTCGAAGCTCTGGCTCGAAACACCTCTTATACCGTCTGTTCACATATCTAACAACCTTGGCCCAGATTGCTCTGTGTATCTTAAGCTTGAGGTTAATTTTCTTTGAATTCTGATGGAAAGACGTGACAGACCTTCATTTCACATCTGTGCACAGAATCTGCAGCCATCTCAGTCGTACAAGTATCGAGGTCTCTCGCTCTTTGTCAAGCGTCAATTCGCTCGCCACGGTCCTTCTCTTCATGTCATCTGTGCCTCGGGGGGAAATGCGGGGCTTGCGGCTGCCTGTGCAACACAGATGCTGCATCTGAAGTGCACGATATACCTCCCAAAGGGCGTGGCAGAAAGCACAAGGCTTTTCTTGAAGCGGCTAGGAGCTGAACTAGTCATCGCTGGGGAGTACTACTTGCAAGCAGTACAAGCGGCTGAGAAAGCAGTCAAGGACGATGCGGATGCGTGCGTAAGTCCACGGTTTAGAGAATCCTTGCTGATGGAAATCTGCAGAGTGTTGGTGCCAGCATATGACCATCCCCTGTTGTGGGAGGGGCATGCCTCGATGATTGACGAAATCAAATCTCAGCTTCCTAGCTCGACCAAGCCAGATGCAATCTTCTGCAGCGTTGGTGGGGGAGGACTTCTGGGAGGTATCATAGTTGGGTGTCGTAATGCTGATTGGGATGACGGTAAGTGCCCCTCGTTCTCGTCTACTTCACTGCACTCACGTCGCGATTCGATAGTACCCATCATCACGCTGGAGACACATGGCTCAAGCTGCTTTTACCAATCTGTCATGGCAAATCGATTTTCGTCACATACCCTTCCGAACGGAACCTCTGTCCGTTATGACGAGAAGAACGACGTCAAACTCGTACACATTCACAACTTGACATCGAAAGCGTCTTCCTTAGGTGCATCTGAGCCGTCAGGCGGCGTCGTGAAAATGGCCTTGGAGAGAAAAGGAAGGGTTAAATGCGTTACCATCCCTGACGAGCTAAGCATGAAGACCGGGCGGCTATTTGCAGGTGGGTATGCATACACCTTGTGCACTTAGCTCTCACTCAAGATGTCAATTTCATAAGAGGACCACAAAATGCTGGTCGAACTTGCCTGTGCTACCACACTCGCACCCGCGTATAACCCATTACTCCTTGACTCTCTGGTTCCTCTGGTACATTCTGAGGCCAAGAAGATAAGAAATATGGTATTCATCGTATGCGGCGGCTTCAAGATCTCTCACGACGAGATGAAAGAATACGAGGACATCGTCGCAGCCGACGTTGCAGTAGGGGGATATTGGAACGTGACGGTGGACAGTGAAAATTTGAGGCTGCACAAATGAGATGGGATATACGGATGATTTTACCGATAAATACGATGCAGGGGTGAATGCAGTTGAAGAGTTTAAGATAAGCATTGCGGCGACACACCTACTTCAGGGGAGATGTCAATAGAAAGGAGGAATTGAGTGTCCGAGAGAGCTTACCAGAAAGCCACCAATGCCAGCTAGACCAACCTTTCTGTCCCCTGTGCCCCCGTAACAGGCTCTTCTACAACGCGTCCTTCTGCTCTGTCTCTCTGAACTCTGCGTGCGGCCTTCTGCGCCTTTATACGCTCGAGCTCCTCTCGCACCGTAAGATGGTGGGTGGGTAAGTTGCGCGTGGTCTTCTCTTCCGAAGGGAATATTCTCTCCTTGTACTGTGGATGTCCGTGAGTGGAATATAGTGCCTCAAACCGACGGAACGCACCGGGAGTACATTCGAGTTGTACCATTCTGGATCTCCATAGTGCAGGAATACAAGCACAGGGAAGAATACGTAGACAGCAAATTTGAATACCTCGAGATTGGGGCCGGCCATGATGTCACACACAGAAACTGGAACGAGGGCAGGGCAAGAAGGAGTGCCGCCGTACACCGACCGAGAATATATGCAAAACGGCACAACGCGGAGCGGCATCTAGACCCAAGCCCATATGGGGAGATCGGACAAATACATGGGATCCCAGGTGGTTCCGTGTTCAATCTATTTTTTGGTCCGATATGGTGTCTCGAACCTCTGTTCTTGCGTCGATGCAGACTCGGCCTTCTGACGAATGCCGCGTGTTCGATACTTTTTTCTTGGCATGAACCCGAGTTCAGAGAGGTTCAGAGCATGTCCCCCATTTATAATCCTGAATTGAATTCCAAGGTCCAAGGCAAAGTACCATTTGGCCTTGCGCGAAAAGGTCAACAAAAGCTATCTATGGCGCACGATAGGACTTCAATATTTCAATGCCGAGGCATGATTTGTGTTTCCAAAATCTTGCAAGTTGTCAAACTCTTTTCAGCTCCCGAAAACACCCTTTGTATTCGTTCCAACTACAGAACAGGAGGAACACAAAGAACCCTACAAAATAACGATATAACATGCCCAAATAATGATAATATGCTCCATAGATTACTGGTCGTCAAGAATTCGTTAACACTCATTCGTCAATTAATCAAGCTCGTTCAGCTCCCGGCTGGCAAGCAAGTTCAAGGCAATCAAGGAGTCGGTGCTGCAAAGTAGTTCAGCCCGTCAGCCAACGAACAACAGTGAGGGATAAGACAAAACGCACTCCAGGTCGCGATCGAAAAGACCTTTGATCCCGTTGATGATGGGCTCAACCGCGGACGACGCGGCAAGACCAGCAACGGTGCCGAGAATACCCTTTCCGGTGGCACCAAGGGGCTCACGAGCTTCGAGGGCGGCATCGAGGTCGCGATCGAAGAGACCCTTGATCCCGTCGATGATGGGCTCAACTGCCGACGACGCGGCAAGGCCGGCGACGGTACCCAGGATGCCCTTGCCAGTGGCGCCCAACGCGCGAGCATCAACGTGGGTAGCGAAGCCTGGAGCACCGACTCTGAGGTTGTCGATGATGCTCTTGAGAGCGACGACGTCGTCATCCTTGAGTTCGCGCTTGTCCTTGACGATAGGGAGGGTTGCAGGGCCAACAGTGCTGCTGAGGATGTTCTTGAGCTGGTCGATGTCGATGGTGTCGAAGGGAAGGGTGTGAGCGACGTCGCGCTGCTTGTTATTGCCGAGGGCAGCGTTGCCAGCGGCGACAGCGGCGCCACCAGTAAGACCACCGATGATGCTGTTCTTGAGAACAGTGACGATGTCGTCGGTGGCTTGCGGGAGAATCTTGCCCAATGCGCTGCCAAGGCTGCGAGCATCGAGTTCGTCGAACTCGCGACGCCTAAGGGGTAATTCAGCATATGTTTGGTGAACCAAGAAGGTGGCACCTACTGCGCCTTGTCAGCGGGGAGTTTGTTCACAACAGTGGTGGCGGCGACTTCGACACCGGCACCAGCAAGGCTACCAAGGATGGTGCCCGCGAGGCCTTTGCCAAGAGCCGCCGGCAACTTGGCCAGTGCTGGGCCAATGCTGGCACGAGCCTCAAGCTCGGACAATTCGCGCCTGAATATGAAATTCACCATATGTCTGATAAACCGTATCACAAGAAACGTACTTGTCGTTGCCGAGGAGGGCTTCACCAGCGGCAAGGACACCACCAGAAGCAAGCCCACCGACGATGCTGTTCTTCAAGACCTTGCTGACGCTCTCCGTGGCAGATGGTATCAGCTTGCCGAGGAGGCTGCCGAAACCACGGGCCTCAAGCTCCTCGAGCGCACGCTTGTTGGCCTTGCTGTCGCTTCCACTACCAAGGAAGTGGGTGAGGGCGGCGACGGCACCGCTGGTAACGGCACCAGTGCCAAGCTCCTTTACGATAGTACCGAGGGAAAGCTTGCGAGCTTCGATGTCGCCGTCACCGGACTCGCTGTGGGACAGACAAGGATTAGCAAGCGAGAAATATCGAATGAAAGCTAAAGACCCGCCTTTGAAGAGCCTCCATGAGCTCCGCGAGATCCTCAGGGCTGACATCGCGACGACTGGAAGACGAGTCACCGCCAATGAAGTGGTTCAAGGCGGAGAGAGCTCCGCCACTGAGAGCACCGAGGCCAAGTTCCTTGACGATCGAGCCAAGGCCCAGCGCACGAGCATCGATATCCTCTGCACGAGCTTGAGCCTTCGTTTGACTATCAGAAGATGAACAGAAAAAGTGAGGATGCGAGCCGAAGACCAGGAATATCAAGGACGAGAGACGCACGAGATGGGAACAGCGATCGCGGGGGAGGCGGCCGCGACGAACAGAAGAGCAGCGATCAACGAAGAAGAGTGCATTATGACAGAAGTGATTTGGATGAGAAGAATCAGATGGATGTGATCGTGAAGATTAAGATTAGTTTGGGCGCGAAAGCAAAGAGTGACTCGTTAGGGAACAAAAAAGTAGGTGGCTGTTGGAAAGACATGGTCAACATCGGGAGCGAAAGCAGGAGAGGAGTAGAGGGAGATGTCTCACCAACCAGTACCAAATGAATACGAAGAGAGCAGGAGCTGAGGAATTCGGGAGGAGTGGCCTCCCTCTTTATACGCGAGGAAATCAACAACATATCTATTTCTATTTCGTTAATGTATGACATTTTCTGCCCAGAACCTCATGAATTTGAAAACACACCTGTGGACATGATCAAGTATCTGTGTTGCGTTTTTCCTTGTCCGTGTCGGTGGGACTGAATCGTAATAATATCCATGTCAGAAACCAGCCAGGAGGCGGCACGGGACTGAATGCCCATGTATGAAACACTCCAATATTGATGCCAGTCGGTGCCAAGATCTGAACAGGCCCACACTTCGCATAGGCAGGGCCATACTGGTAGCAGGCAGCCTACTGCAGCGAAATATGCTGTCTTGGTATGTCATACCAAGACCGCTCACCTTCACGTGGTGACTTTCGGAAGGGGGGTCGGCCAAGTTTGGCCGTCTTGGCAGGATACGTCGGAGTGCACTGTGTGATCTGACGCCCAGTGAGAACCCTGGATCTCCCTGGATTGATGTCGGGACTGAATTGCCTTGTAAAAGAAAACTAGGCTGCTACCGTTGCCACCCACGGTGTCGAGGTTGCTCCTGGTTGCTCGAGCATTCATGAGATCGTCCAGGTCCCGCCATCCGCGCTTCGGCGCATCATGACCCGATCGGTAGACTCGCGCAGTGCACACAACTCCTGTCAGTAGCTCCTGTCTTTGATCTCATGCCGCTTGTCTCTCCACGTCCATCTCCGCGCTCCTGCATTCGTATTCGATCATCTTTGGTTGCTGCGCTACACACCGGCACCCAACAACCATCATCGAAATACCTTGACTCGACACAAGCACACCATCTTTCCGTATCGTCATCACCCGATGATCTTTCTCCGTCTCAGAGGAGCACGTTGAATGCAGCTCTTCGCGTCGACCAAGCTGGAGAAGTCGCCGCAAACTACATCTACCAAGGCCAGTTGGCTGTCTTGCGGCGGGACCGTCGCACAGCTGCTGTGATTCAGGTATGTCCCGCGGCTAACGCATTTGAAGATCGTGCCCATAGCACGCACTGTTGTTATGGTCTTGTTCACGGGTCGATCAGGACATGTGGGAGCAAGAAAAGAAACATCTGGCTGTGATGAACAAGCTGCAGGTACAGCATCGCGTCAGGCCCACCGTCCTTTGGGAGGTTGCCAAAGTCGCTGGCTTTGGACTTGGCGCTGTCACTGCCTTGATGGGCAAAGAAGCTGCGATGGCTTGCACTGAGGCTGTAGAAACAGTTATCGGCGAACACTATGACGAGTTCGTCTTCGCGTTTATTTAGCAATGCTTCATATAGCTGACTTGTCGCTCTCATGCAGCCAGCTCAAAGAGATGGCTGAGTTTACTACCGAGCATCCGAGTCTTTCCTTATTGAAGGATATCATTGGAGAATTCCGAGACGACGAGTTGGAACATTTGGATACTGCGATCGAGCATGACTCTCAGCGTGCGCCTGCACATGCGCTGCTCAGCTCAGTCATCGGCACAGGATGTAAGATTGCCATTGAGTTCTGCAAACGGGTCTAGTTACGAGATGAAAGATGCCGATTTTGTACATAGCAATTAGTTCAGTCCTCTGTTGGCTCGGCGGCAGGAGGTGCGATCCTGTACAGGGATTCACCCTTGCGCTTCCCGCTGAAACTCCACTTGAGCTGGACAAGAGAACATGAGCATGTGCTAAGAAACGGAGATTCAAGGACGTACATCCTGCTGAGCTGAGAACCAGACCATTCCGGCTGGGATGAAGAGTAGCCCAGTCAACGAGATCCAGCTAGCTTTGGAGGTAAAGCGAAAATGCTTATACACATCCTCACGCTACGCAGTACGAAGATGGTATGAATGGGTGTGCACAAGGTATGACGCGATTCAACATACCATACGGTTCCATCGTTCTACGGACGCGTCTGTCTGGAACAGAGTTAGAGATTTTGAATATCATACGTGCATTTCGGTTACACACCCGCACATAACCTGCGGTACGGGAGCAGGCAAGTGAGCGGAGAGAGAGAAGAAAAGGGCTGCCGGGCTCACCGTGACCCGCCATGGTGGATGTCGAGTGTAAGTTTGTTGATCTTTGTTTGTGCAGAATTGCTTCTCTCCACCATCTTGCACTTCTTTGTCACTCGTCACTCAACTCATGGCTTACAATCGTGAATGGGATAGAGGCAAGAACACCTGGGACGACGGAGGCGGCTGGTATGACAATAATGGTCGCGGAAATGTCAGGGGCAGAGAAGAGGACTACCAGGGTGAAGGAAAACGAAGAAAGTATAACAATGGGGTGCGTCAGCGCAGCTGCACCTCTCATCATGCTCAAACGATTTACAATCGATTGTTTGCAGAGTTATGATGCATCCCAAAACTGGGATGAAGGCAGCTACGACACCAGCTCCTATGATACAAGCTATCAGGAGCAGCAGGACCCTCGTCCGACGCGTGGTGGACACAACGGAGGTGGCGGCGGTACAAGCAGTAGTGGACGCGGCGGCGGTGGCGGCGGGGGGTTCTATGGTCATAAAAAGAACCTCGTGTCCAGCGAACCCAGCCCCCATGTAATCTTTCTTGGGCTAGATCCTGACTTTACAGAGGCGGACGTCCGTTGACTTTCCTTTCCTCCTGATTTGCCTCTCGCTGAACGCCTGCCACAGCTACAGGCATACCTCAACAATCACGGCTTCTCCGTCGAGACGGTCACGATAATCCGAGATAGATCAACAGGCACTTGCCCATCACTTGACTTTACTCTTGGCCATTTGCATTGACGTCTCTTTCTTTTTTTGCTTCCCTTTGTGATCCTTCTACCTGCGACCGCTTGCCCATCTATGCGCGTCCGAAGGTCAATCGAAGGGTTTTGGATTTGCGCAGTTCACGACAGTCGAGCATTCACGTGCGTTCGTCGACCCGCTCTTTCCGTTCATCCAGGTTCCTCCTCCCGCGTCGCATGGTGCGACTGCTACAGCCGCGTTTTACAAAGCGCTGGAGATGGGTACGCCGCACAACGGACGCAGGGTCAAGATTGATTACTCCCAGAGTGCGAACCCTGGGGACAGGAACCGCTTCGGACGGCCAGCGCACTCAAACGATGGCACGCGGGATATTGGCAACTCACAGGTTCCGATATTGCTGTTCCGCGGGCTCGACCCGCTCTCTGGTCCCCAAGCGATCATGCAGGCTATGAAGGGCTCCTCTGGTCCGTCTCAGGAAGGTGCTAAGGGCATGAAACGCATCATCCTCATCAAGGACAAGGTCACGATGGCGAGTTGGGGTTTCGCTTTCGTTGAATTTGTGGACGTCCAGGTACGGTGTCTGTGTGTGTGCTCCGTTGACCTTGTTTGATGCTTTCAATTGCATTTTTTCGTTCCTAGGCCGCATCCACGGTCCTTGCGGCGACTATGTCTCCTCAAATCCATCCAAATGGGTTCCGGATATCTGATCGCCCTGTGGCAGCCTCTTTCGCGCACATATACTCGTTTCAGCCGCTGCCAGATCCTATGATCCGTGACGAGGCCAGCATTCCGTCGTCGCTAACACTGGGTGGGGTGGAAGGCATATGGGTTCGATACTGGGATGAGGCTTCCACTATCGCTATGCTGGAGTTTGAAGTGCAAGAGCCCGCTCGACAGCTACCAACGTTTGGGACAGGTAAGAAGGAAAAGAAGAGGAAAGGTGTGTTATGATTTTCTGGCCCACAAAAGTGGCGTTCACCATTGGAATGTTAGCTGTCGACGATAGCGTAGCAGAACGTCCCGCGCCTGTCGAGGCTTCGGTTCTGCCCGTGTCCAACAAGCCAGTTACGCTGAACTTTAAGGGTTCGGCTGCTAACAAAAGCGCTTCTACTATCGCACGTAAGCACGTTTCCCGTCTCGAAATCGTGCTATATCTGAACCACTCCTATGCATAGCGAAAGCGGTGGCTCCTTTGGCCTTGGGATTCTCGATGACGGATGAGTCAGGAACAAACGATGATGCTAATGTGGAGAAGTCCTCTGCGAATGATGACGCCAAGGGTTTGTCTCATACTCTGAGATACGGAGACAATTTGTTGTGGATGCGTTTATTGATGGTTCATGCCATGCAGTTGCTGCGGCCAAGAAGGTGGCTCCGATGATTGCCAGCAAGAAGGTGCGTTTCAACTCAGCTGTTCAGTGGTTATTTACGACTGACTGTTGCTCTACAGATTGCCAATAACATCACAAAGTGGAATCAAGTCCAAGAAGGTTTCAACGCCGACGCGCCCGCCGCCACCACTTCGACCACCGCGCCGTCTCCGGTAATGTCTCCTCTTAGTTTAGCGGCAGCATTCATCCGGCTCAATGTAAGGCGGGATCCAGGTTGTTGTCCCAATCAAGCAGGTTACACCCGAGGTCAAGGCGAAGCCAGCGACGCCTTTGCCGTCCGAGTCCGAGTTTGAGTTTTCTGATACTGCCAAGTTCGCGTGCATGTTGTGTGCGCGCCAGTTCAAGTCGTTGGAGCAGCTGAAGCGGCATAACAAAGAGTCTGACTTGCACAAGGTATAGAAATGGCTCTGCCTTACATCCTCTCCCTTCGGCGTTCACTTCTTACATTTCATGGTCACCCTACCTGATAGAAAAACTACAAAGACGCGAACTTGCGCGAGATCGCGCGCGAGAAGGTCAACGCTGCGAAAGCATTAGCGACTTCCAGTTCCAATGCTTCCAGTTCCCCAGCGCAGCCGAAATACCGCGATCGCGCATCCGAGCGGCGGGTTATGCACAATCAACCAGATGTTCCGATGCCCGAAGGTTCTGACGAGAAACGGAAAATGCGTCGATTCGCAGAGGGCCCGCCACCCCCGCCTTCCCCGCCTTTGCCCCCCCCTAACCCTGGCCAGGATGAGACTAACGTGGGCAACAAGCTACTGAAGATGATGGGATGGAAGGAGGGCACCGGGCTCGGTGCGGATGGAGAGGGCAGGGTCGATCCCATGTAAGACTGTTTGCTTTCACGCTTTATTGTGGTCCACATATGCGTTGCTCGTTGCTGACGTGGGACCGAGCAGCAAGACCGCACTATATGCTGCTGGTGCGGGCCTGGGCGCGAGCAAGGCAAAGGAGGTTGGCAAGTACCCTGATGGATACACGGGGTACGTGCACATGGCGCAGGATGCGGTGAGTTCTTGGTTTCATCTCGATAGGATGAGACGGTTGTGCATCTGGAGCAAGTCGCTGAACGCTTCGCAAACAGGCCAGGGAGAGGTATGGCAGCTGATTGACAGTGTTGGGTAGGGCGGCTATCGTCCGACCGCCTATGTGTGGACTCATTCCTCTGTGCATCGTCGAATCACTGTTGCAATCCCGTGCTACATATTGTTATCTTACTCTCGTCACGCGATAAGCACAGCGCTTGGTTTATTAGGATGGATTCATTAATACTTCGAGTAAGAGACAGTTCGATGACATTAAAGTCTGCGTGAAGTGAGAACAGGTACGTAGGTCTAACTTACGGCGAGGCAGGTATCCTTTACAGGGCAATGGTCCTACATCATGATGATACCGAAGGCGGCGGCGAGGAGGGCCAAGGGCGTGCTAAGACCCTGCGCGCTCATCGCTGCATTCCCCGTACTGGCGGTCGTTTTAGCGGTGCTACTCGCGGTACCGGACGCACCGGCCGTTGACGCGTGGGCGGCGGGCAGAGTCGATGTCACGACCGCGGACGTTGGAGAGGGAGTGGCCGTAGCTGTGCCTTCTTCCACGGTAATGTACGTGCCCTGATGCAAGGTGAGTACGCGGCGTGATCTCAACCGAGCCAAAGAAAGAACGTACGGCGACGGCAGCACCCAACTTGCTGGTCTGGACGACGAGGAGTCAATCAGCAGGGGACAAGGAGAAAGCGAAGTGCGAACTGAGATGTAGTCCTCGAGGTTGAAGACGGAGACGCCGACGTTGGCCGTCGAGAGGTTCGCCGGAGGAGTGAAGTCGGAGCCTTGGGGAAGGAGCAGGATGACGTAGCTGTGGGAAGCTGTCATCGCGCTGAGCCGAGATGAACAGACGCAGATTACGTACCGATGGGCACCGCTGCCCGACGCTGGAGCGGGTCCTGCATACTCTGTGACCGCCAGACCGGATGCTGTGGACACATTGAAGGGAGACGAGCCTGAATCAAAAGGGGGTAATCAGCGTGTGTAGGGTGCATGGACTGGCGGGACACACCGGTGAGCGTGACATCATTGACCAGCCAGTGGCGGGTCTGTCCTTTGGATTCATCAGTACCGACAACATCAGCATCAGCCATGACGAGCGTGTAGTTTCCCTCCAGCTTGACAGTGTCGTTGGCGGGCATAACGGTGAGCTGGGGCGTCGGCGAAACCTCTAGCAGATTTCGCGCACGCACATAGGCCGGCGCGGGGTTAGCCAGGTTAATCGCGTCGTTTGTGCGAGTTATGAACTCACGGTCTTTGGTCAGCTTTTGGCCGGGAGAGATGGTGCCCACGCCTGAGTAGGAGAGGTTGAAGAAGGCGGTGGGGGCGAAGGTGGGAAGGAGGGAGGGGACGAGGCCGGCGTTGGAGAAGTGGGCCTGGATGGCCTCTATCTCGAGGGTGGGGTTGGTGGGCTGAGCGGTAACGAGCGAGGCGAGAGAAAGAACGAATGCTGCTGAGACAAACATGACGAACAGCGATGACAAGTTCTACTTAAGTCGTTGTCGCGGTCGAGAGTGAAAAGAGATACGGAACGAGCAAAGTCCGTCTGGGCTAATAAGGGTGCTCGTGGATGAGTCAGCCAAGGCGCTCATAGAGTGGTCCTCGCGCTTGACGTCGTGCTCATTGCTCAGTTTCAATGTTCAGTGTTTAGTGGTCGTTCTACAAAGGTTCCGGACATCGATAGCGAGAATAGAATAATCAAAATATAATCAGATATTACAGATAATAAAATCACAGTCTACTGAGCGTCATCGTCAATGCCCAGGGTCCTACCCAGCCGTGTCCGTAACCTCCACCGCCGAGCCAGCCGGCGACAGAATGAGTTCCTCCTCCACAGTCTCCCCAACGGCCTCCAATTCCGCCGCCAGCTCTGCGGCCATCGTCTCCGCACGTAATCTCCGCCGTCGGGTCGTTGGCGCCTGTGTAGCGCTGATCGTTGGCGACGTCGGTACGAATGTCTCGAATCCGCCCGACTTCAGCTGCGCCAGCATATCCCGCGCAATATCCGCCGTGTCTGTCCTCCCTCCGCTGATTGATCCCTCCGTCGAGACCGTCAGCGACTCCGATGGCCGCACTGCCGCACCTGTTCGGCCACGGCGCATCCGACGACCGACACTGTCACCGTTGCGCAGCTTCTCTAGCAGGTTGTCGAGCGCCGCCGTATCCTCAAGATCCTGTGCGCTTGCCGCTTCGCGCGCTTTTGCACGGTTGACTTTCATCTCCTCCTGCGCTTGCTTCCGCTTTTCCACCGCTTGCTTCTCCTCTGCAACGGTGCGATTGTCAAGTTGACATTTCTGTTGAATCAGGATCAGTAATGTGACGGAATGACTGTGTCGAAGAATTGTCACAAACCCGATACGAAGTGATGAATGTCTTGAAGATGCCATAAAACTCCGATGATGAGAGACTTTTGTCTTCCTCGCCAAAGTATCTCACCACTTCGGTGAACGTCGTCTCGGCATTGTTCACATCATCCACCAAATCCTCCAGTTGCCGTGTGGCCTTGCCGAGAAAATTCCACATCTGTTTTGAGTAACGGTCGTTCTGCTCGACCTCAGAGAAGTGGTCGTGGAGTTCGCTCCGGATCGTCTTGATTCCCTCTCTCAGCTCAGATAGGCCTTTTCGGACGTCGATCAGGTTGACTAGAAGGGGAGCTTCAGCAACAAATCAACGAACAAGAAGAACAAGAGAACTTGCCTCGGTAAGCTTCAGCAGGTTTGGCCAGCTCTTCCACAAACTGCTCTATTTCTGGGAAGTGCTTTGCGACTGTTCTTTCAAGGAAGTGCAAGAGGGTTGTGTTGTTCATGGATTTCGTGTCCACCAGCTAGCGGAGACAACCTCAATATTACTACTGAGATAACGGAAGGGCTCGCGCGCTACTCACTTTATTGATACTGCTGACCCGGAAGCCAAATGCACCGCCCTTTATTCCGGTGCCATTCATGAAATTACCGATCATGAGGATGAGCTAAAATGACTAGGTAAGTCTAGCTCATTGATGGCCGCAAGCACAACATACATTGAGTAATTCCTTGAAATGAGTTGCACTGAGCAGCGCCTTGCCAGCTTGGGAGAGTTTACGAGCACCCTGGAGACGGTTAGTATCAGCTTCAGTCGACGTAGACGACTTTTGATGTGATACTTGCATCGTCCAAGAGAGCCCACTGTTCCTCAAATGAAATCTTGTACAGCATCCCCTCAATTCGTGGACCCAAGCGATCAATCTGTATGAGTTTGACCATGAGACGATCGGCAGAGTGTAGGCCAGCGAGCTCCTCGGCATCGGCATTGCGGTAGACGTTGAGCTTGCCAACCTATAGAGTCATTTATAAGGATGAGCCCAAACTACAGCCAAGTAATCAAGGGAACCGACCTGCTCTGGTGTGGGCACGACGCGCTTGAGTTCACTGAGGAAGACTTGTGTGCAGACGTCCTGATCGAACTCTTTGATCTTCTGAGCGACCTCCTCTGGCGCAAGCTTCTTGACTCGCTGGATGAGAATCTCTGTTGGACCGCACTCTCAGAGAAAGACTGTCACGAGAAAGTAAATTGTACCTACCGACACGTTTCTTGGTCTGCGGATCGAGCACGCTCTTCAGATCCGCGCGTCGTTGTCGGGCTGCAAACGGGAACTCTGTTAGAGGGTCATAGTAACGACACTAGGGAGCATACCCAAGAGGTTCATGACGAGCTGTTTAGCCTTGAAGTCCTCCTCCATCTCCAGCCAAATTCCGTCGGTCGACAGCTTCGCCAGCATTTCTTGCTCTTTTGACGGCTCCTCGTTGCTCCATAGGGTCTTAGACACCTGCTGCTGTGGCAGCTTATCCCACTGCAGTTGCTTCATCTTTGTGCTGGGCGTCACGGGCATGCCCTTCCGCGCAGAAAGTAACAAGTTCAGATTCGCACCCAGTAACATAGACGCACGTGCAGAGTTGGGTCCAGATGTTGGCGTGGCCCATCCCTTGGTAGGAGGTGGGGGTGGGGGTGGTGGTGGTGGTGGTGGTACGCCTGATGTGGGAATGAGGCCGAGGCTCCCAGGTGGTGGTGGTGGTGGTGGTGGTGGTGGGGGAGGAGGAGGAGGAGGAGGAGGAGGAGGAGGAGGAGGAGGGGACATAATCCCGTCAATGCCGAACGGCGGCGGCGGCGGTGGTGGTGGTGGCGGCGGCGGCGGCGGGGGGGCAGAGCCAGAATCAGATTCTTCAGGCAAAGGTGGTAACGTTGGCGAATGTTGAGGGCTGCTGGAAGCGGATGGCGGGCGACCACCCTTGGCTCTAGCTGCGAAATGTTTATTAAGCTGTTCTGCAAACGAGCCCCCTGATGGACGGGCGCTATCAACTATGGATGATGTTACCGATGTCGGCTGGGTGTCTTCGGTCAAATTGGTGAATCCGCTCTGTGTCGAACGGTTATATTCGCTCTCTGCATCCTGGTCATCTGCGCGTGTCGACGAAGGACGGGTAGAACCACCGTCGCTAGCTTCTGCTAGATCTTCCAGGGGTGCAGCAAGTAGGTTGTGCGATTTGTGCGACCGCTGCATTAGCGGACTGTCTTCGGCAAGACGACGAGAGTCTTTCCGCCGTGGCGAGCGATTGATAGATCTTGGGCTGAAGACAGGTCCATCCCGAGGTGCATACTGCCCACATAGGATGGAGATAGATGAATACATCACACATCTTAGAATTGAAACACACGATATTGGAATCATACATACAATCTTTACGCCCGCAGCCAGCTGCTGTTGAATCTGCTCCTGCACGTCTGCCTCATCGGCATCCATGAATTGAGAGGTCCTACCATTCGCCGCTTCGGACATACGCATTGGTTTTGACGGCTTACTGTTCTTCCTTGAGTGTGGACGTCGCGCAAGGCTCGACCTTCCAGGTGTCGCCTCGCTGTCCTCAGACTCACTCTCGTCAAACCCATCCTTCCGTTTCTTGCGCTGTGGGCGGTCACCGTCTCGACCTTCGAGTATATCGATAGTTTTATTCCGCTGCAGATGCCGCTCGAGCGTCTCCATGAGTGCCTTGCGGTCCATCTTGCTGTCGACGTCATCAAGGATCTCGTCTACACCTCTACCGACTTCACGGAGCATTCGGAAAAGCTCCATGATTTGAGCCTCGAGCTGGGCGATCTGTTCCTCGTACCCAGTCTTCTGCGTTTCGAGTTGGCCCTGAAGGCGGGTGGTGTTCTCTCGTGATATTTGGAGTTTCTCCTCCAGATGCGCAACCCTCTCCTTCAACTGTCCAACGAGCCCCTCACTACCCTGTGAAAGTTCAAGCTCCAATGACTCTTTCTCCAGCTGAAGCCGGCGCGCTTCTGCACGGACTTTGGCGGATTCTGCTTCCAGAGTCTGGTACTGATCTGCGTCGTTAAACTGAGCAATGATGCGCTCGACCGACTGGCCCAATCGATTCTCTCCATTGGCAAGTTTCTTATCCATGACCACATCCGTGACCAGTGAATCGAGTAGCTGATAGTAGTGAACAAGTCCTGGCCCCTCTTCCCGAATGAGGAGTAAGTGCTGCATCATAGATAGGAAGTAGTCGTGAGCCTTCGAATCTTCCGTCCTAGCTTTGAGAGCGCCGTACACATCCTCCAAGCTCCTCATATCTCGCAGAACCTCCTGATCCAGACGTTCCCGAAGTTGTTGTTCGTCATAATCGATTGTGTCTTGAAGGATATCTAATTGCTTATCTAGCTGATCCAGGCCAAAGCTTCGACAAAGTTCAAGAATCCGCTGCAGGCCGGCAGCTTCCATTTGGGCACGGTGATGGAGGCGCAAGTCAAGGTCGTCTATGCCGTCCATGATACCATTGATGAGGAGAAAATTGGATAACTAATGCAAGATACCATGAGGAGAGCATGACGAGTTCAATAAGCAAGACTTACCGCGTATTCATTTAGAGATCCTTCCAACCCGCCGGCGTTTTTTCTCATATCCTCACTCGCACCGACCAGACTGCCCATCTTACCTCGACCCATCAGCGAAACCTCCATACTTTTGAACCAGAAGGCATAAGGCGAGTCTCCTTCATTATTCGCGACACTCAGGGCCTCGAGACCAGATATAGCAAGGTTGATGGCCTCGGTGTTCCAGTACACTAAGAAAGTCAAGAGATCGAGGACGAGTTTTCGGGTACCTATCCGAGGCGAATTTAACGAGGAAGCCACTTGAGTGACGAGTTGATTATGTGTTAATGCTTCATTTGTTGCAGCCTGTAACATCGTCAGTACCAAAATTTCTATTAGTAGAGCTTCTGTATTCCTGACCGGATGGTTCAAAATTTGCTTCAAACAACGGACGACTTCAATCTCAAGCGCCGCATCGGAGTCTCGTCTGTTACGGATAGTTCACACTAGATTCAACAACAGGTTGTGAAAAAGTACCTTTGAGGGCCTTTACGACTGATATGTGCAAGTGCTTGCGCCAATACCGGCGTTCCCTGTATTGAGATAAATTGACGAAACCAACTATGAATAGTCCAATCTTAGGTTAGCAAAGATTGTACATGTCATGTATGGCAGACGTACCCCACTTCCTTACTGCGCAAGGAAACAAGCAGGCTAGAAGCTTGCTTGGCTGTGATGGTTTTGTCCAAAAACTTCCTCAGATACCATTCCGGCGTTCCCTCATCTATGGGTGCTGATTTGCCCATTTCCTGCTGCTTCTTCGACTGCTCCTCCTTCATTTTCTCCTCCTTCCAACGTATACGCTCGTCGCTTTCCACCATATGCCATTTCTGGTCTATCGACAAAGACGGAAGGGATCCTATCTCGCGCGTGCGCATGATGTTCTCGAAGAGCGCCTCGATCTCGGCATCGCTCTCGGGGCGGGGAAAATAAAAGTCATCTTGAGGCCCGTGACGATGAAAGTGTGGGAAGTGTGAATGGGCTGAATGGCTCTCGGATGGAGCTACAGAGGGGGCGTAACGTGAAGTACGATTGCCGTCGGAGCGCGTTGTGAAAGTAGAGGACGGGCGCATCGTACTGGAGGATGCGGATTGGGGCGGAAGCGGAGGGTGAGGAGAAGTTGGGGAGGGATACTGGCCAAAGTCGACCAAAGAAGGACTTCGTCTGCCAGAGCTTTCACTTTGGCGTAGTCGGCGCGCAGTTGGTGTGTAGGGCTTCGAAGGGGACTCAGCGGAATCGCTGTACAAAGTCGACGAATCATCTGTCACTAGGGACATTTGAGGGGAGTTTGGTCTCATAGAGACATTGTTGGCAGCGTAGACAAGATCCCGCTCTGCCTTGACGCGTTGTATGGTATTGAGGTTGAGATCGGTGCCATTAGTGGTGAGCGTGGGGTTTGTGATAGGTGCAGAGATGGCGTTGGCGAGGACGGCGGAGCGAAAGCCTTGTGAAGACGACCCAATGGGCAACGGAGAGCCTGGGGGAACTCTGTCGTATGGCATGGAACGCAACTCGCCTCCGGTAGATACAGAGGGCTGGCGTGGGCGAGATTTCTTCTTGCCGAACAGACTTTCCATCATAACAAAGAGAAAATAGCGTTGCCGTCGTTAGAGAATCGGGGAAAATATAGCACTCTAGAAAGGGTATAAAGGGTAGAGAAGGGAGAGGCGATGATGGTGGTCGAACAGATGAAGGGAGGGTGCTGGGTTCCGGAACTGGGAAGTGGCAACAAGTCTTTCCGGCCAGGCGACGTCTTTCTGTTCTTTTTGTCACCGCTGTTTGAGACATGGTGAGCACCAACGGCTATTCCTTCGACAGCATTTGACATCATGATTCTCAGATGCAATCCGACTTTGCTCGACAACGAGCAGTCATCACCGCCTCGAGTCAGGATGGACGTCTCGCCCCGTTATTCCATCAGAACGCCCTTGCACCGATCTTGAAACTTCCCCTTGATCTGCTCACCACCATCTTCCTCTTCTTCCCTGCCAAAAAATTTACGGATGAATCTCCTACGTGGCTTCGCATAACGCACGTATGTCGTAGATGGCGTGAAGCCGCCATTGGATGCGCCCTCATGTGGACAAATATCATGTTTGATCCTCCTCCGTGGACAACTATAATGCTCGCTCGCTCTAGAGGAGCACCTTTGGTGATCGAGGCTGACGTTGATGACTCTTTATCAGGTCGTACTCGTTCTGAGCGCGTAGATCTTGCCCTTGCCCATTCACATCACGCTCGCGTTATACGCCTCAGAACCCCTCCTTCAGCGGCTAATGGACTAATTTTTACATTGAAGAATTGTCCTTCTCCATTGCTGGAGGTACTTGAGCTACGGATCACATATCGCGGCCCTTGCTACATTCCTGAAGATATCTTTGTGGGTGAAGCACCGCATTTGCGTAGCCTAACCCTTGAAGGGTGTAGCATCAGCTGGCGATCACATCTTTTCAGCAAGAATTTGACCTATCTTACCATCGTCGATACCCCTTTACAGGCTCGACCCTCACTTCATGATCTCCTCAGCATGTTGCGGTGCCTCTCTAAGCTTCAGATTCTTACTCTTCACCGTTCGATACCAATGATTCCCGAAACCATCAATGCCCTGCCCCCTTTGATAAGCGAGCACCGTCTTCTCGAGTTTCCTCACATGGAGGCTCTAAGTCTAGATGGGTTCGTTATCGATACCAGCAACCTCATTCGATACTTTGTCATTCCACCTGCAGCTTCCGTCCTCATATCGTGCCGACACAATCCAGCTCATGCGAATCTCAGGATTTCTCTCCCTGTTGTGACAGCCGTGGTGGAGGAGCAGTGTAATTATCGAGGCATTGGCATCACAAACCCATCATGGGTGGTCGATCTTCTACAAGGCTCGTCATCCGACGTCGAGGTTCTCCTTTCAAAATGGGACCAGACATCTTACAAACACCGGTTCGCTCTGCGATTTTGTTGGCGCGCGCAGGCCTTGCCTCTGATCCCGATCACACTTGTCGTGCAGACGCTAATCGACCCGTTACATCTGGAGACCGTGAGGGGGCTCAAAATGGCAGGAGTGTTTTCCATGGAGCATAGAGACTGGCAGATTATGTTTGCCTCGCTTCAAAAACTCGAAACGTTTCACGTCTCGCATGACCTCACGTATACCTTTGCGGATGAGTGGGAAAACATGCTCCCTCGTGTCAATGACATGGGGCTCTCTACTCGGAATGCAGCTGACACCCTGGTGCCTCTCCACACCCTCAAGACCTTAGTGATTTCACATGCTCATTTTTCCCACCCGTTGGGTGAGAAGCAGCTTTTCCGGAAATTGCAGAGTGCTCTTACTCGACGACGGGAGCTGGGCCTCGACCTTTCGCTACTCGATATTAGGCAAAGTCATATCACGGAAGAACAGCTGCATGCTATTTCCGTCGCTGCGGGCACAAAGACTCATTGTTCTGGTTACCCAGAGACTTATGGAGTCGGAGAGCCTGATGAGTGGAGTGACGAAGATGGATGAAGATGATCCAGTCGTCCAGTCAGTACGTACATCCTGTCTTGACGCCTCGAAAACACCCATTCCACTTATTCTCACGTTGAAAGGTTAGAGCCGAGAAGAATGCTGTTCATATTAAGCCAGAGCTGTGACCCTATCGGAGGTACTAATCACTGCGGTAGTTATGGAGGATGGGTTTACAAGAGGATTGCGTTTCCTGGTTCGAGTTTGCCAAATCTTGCCTTTGAATGATTGCGACCATCACGCCAATTGGACGTTGGCTCTACCAACAGGCTTAGAGAAGTCGACGTTGGGCTCAGTATGGAAAAACAACTCGAATAAATTTTTATTGAACCACGTGGTATGGTGGCTTGATCGAACACTCTTCCAGCGCTCTCTCCAAACCGTGTACATTCTCGTTCTCAGGACAACCTCCACTCTTTTGTATAACACCCACTCTATCTCACATCATTTCATGGCAGGATCTACCAACGGATCTATTGCGCCCTGTGAGCAGACTTTGCGGCTAACCTATTACCAGACACTGAATGGAACGAAGCAGTCATTGTTGCCGTTGTCTTTGTCGGACTTCTCTCTGTCACGCTTCTGCTTCTTTTGCTTCATGCATGCGTGCGCAGCCAAATTCGACTTGCAAAAAACGACGCGGGGCGGGATGGTGGAGACTGTGAAAACACGCACCCTGACGATAGCATGTTGGAAGAGAAGGAATCAGGGGTCACGCCGACGTCACAAGCTTCACAAACTTCATTCACGCTCTCTCCTGATCAGCCCGTGGTCTTTGATGTTGATACAGGAAGGGGATACAATGTCGAGATCATGCAAGTAATATTGACTCCGCCTACGCCAGCCAAAGAGAGAGGGGACAAGGGCGTACCTGTCCCGTGATGTAGATCGACGTTCACGTGATAGTCATGTATATCCGCGTTCATCTCGTTTGTTGCGCTGAGCGTCGTATGCGCACCTATTAGGCTCTTTTGATCTTGGGTGATACTGTCTCTGCCTGCATGAGCCATTTGATATCACTAAAGTTATTTGTTGATGCATTGACTTTTCCTTGCACCCAAGATAGGTTCAATGCATTTCAATGCTCATTGTTAGGGCAATAAAAGCTGATCAATATTTTCCTCTTGCCCATGATATTCGGCATAGTGGTCTACTAGTATTATTCTGTGGGGAAACCCGATACCTCCTTGTATTTCTCATGTCAAAGAGTGAAGCTGAATCAGTTTGTGTACTCTATTCCAAATCATAAATCATCATCAGGAAAGGGTATTTTAATCAATGTTTGCCTAGCACAGTCCCTCATATAATTCATCTACAGAACACTCTGCAAGGAGAAGAGGTATTGCCTTGCCTTTGTCAACACCATGGATTCATGCTTTCATGAGAGTGGATTCTTGAAATCCATCCATCCATAAATAGAAGGTGACACTGGAAAATTGTGGTGCTTAAGCGATGGCTATGCTTGTGTGCTTCTCGCTTATGCTCACATGGGCCACGTAAGAAACCACGTGAGACCACTGTCCCATAGGCTTTGGGACGTGAAACAGAGTGTGTCGGAGTTTCAAAGGGAGTGGGTCAGTGCATGCATGCCTAGGGCTAACCTAAGCATAGGGTAATTCTCTTTTTCTGGCACTGTCTTGCAGTGATTTCTTCAGGTAAACTATGAGGGGGCATTTAGCAAGGGCTTAGCTTGGCAACCACTCTGGGTTCTTGGTTTTGTTTGCAGATATTTTTTTTTTATGTAAATAAATAATAAATAGAAGGGGACAATAAGAAATGGTGGCACTGGGCTAATAGCTCAAGTCATATGTCCTTGGTTACACTTATGTAGGCCACATAAGAAACCATGTGAGCAAAGCAAGCATCCATGACAAATGGGGTAAGCAGAGTGAGCTATGTCTTGGTGCTCCTAGCAACCCTAGAGTGGGCTAAGCCTCTGTAGCCATTGGAGCTTGAAATGGCACCCCAGCACCTCACAGAGAACCTCACGGAGGAGCCTCATGGGTGGGACCCTGATGGGGGAGCCTTGTAGGGCAGAATCTCATAGGGGAATCTAATGGATAGGACCTTATAAGGAGCTTTATATAGGAATTTTACAGAAAGGACCTTATAGGATGTCACAGAAGAGCCATATAGGGATATTGGGGCACAAGACTTTTAGTAAGCAGAGTGAGCCATGTTTTAGTGCTCCTAGCAACCTTAGCAACTAGAATGGGCTATGCCTCTGCAGCCATTGGAGCTTGAAATGGCATCCTAGAACCTTACAGAGAATCTCATGGGGGAGCTTCATAGGGCAGGATCTTATAAGGGAATCTTATGGATAAGACCTTATAGAAAGCTTTATATAGGAAGGACCTTATAGAATATCATAAAAGAGTTATATAGAGATATTGGGGCATAAGACTTTATGGGCACTGGACTTTATAGGCACTGGACTTTACAGGCACTGGACTTTGTGGACACTGGACTTTATGGGCACTAGACTTTATAGGCATTGGACTTTACAGGCACTGGACTTTATGGACACTAGACTTTACAGACACTGGACTTTAAGAGCACTGGACTTTATGGGCACTAAAAGTGACATTCTAGCACCTTATAGACAAGCTTCACAAAAGAGCCTCACCAGCAAGATCTTATAAAGGAACCTGACAAAGGAACATAATAAGTAAGCATAATGGAGGAACCTAATAGGGGAATATAATGAAGGAACCTATATAAGAAAACCTTATATGGGCCATATCTTGGCAGCTATTGGAGCTTAAAATAGTATCCCAGCACTTTATGGAAAAGCCTCATAGGTAAGACCTTATAGAGAAACTGAATAATACTTGACAAGAGAGTTTTATGTAGAGAATATCATGGGCAGGACCTTATAGAATATGACAAGAGAGCTATATTAGGGCAAAATATTTTATGGGCACTGGACTGACTTTACAGGCACTAGACTTTATAGGCACTAGACTTTATAGACACATTAGACCAAGCACTGTAACAAAAACTCAGATTAAGCATGGTTGCGCTGTTACAACACAATGGGTGAGAAGCTAGTCTCTAAATAGAGGGTGACAGTAGGGGTCCAGTGGCAACTAGCCATCAGCTAATCCCACATGACAAACTATGCGAGACCACTGTCCCATAGGCTTTGGGAGGCAAAACAGAGCATGTTGGGGATTTAAATGGAGTTAGTCAGCACACACGTGCCTGGGGCTAACCTAAGCATAGGGAATTCTCTTTCTTGGCACTGTCTTGCAGTGATTTCTTCAGGTAAACTATGAGGGGGCATTCGGCAAGTGCTTAGCTTGGCAACCACTCTGGGCTCTTGGTTTTGTTTGCAGGTATTTTTTATATGTAAATAAATAATAAATAGAAGGGGACAATAAGAAATGGTGGCACTGGGCTAATAGCTCAAGTCATATGTCCTTGGTTACACTTATGTAGGCCACCATGACAAATTTAGTGAGTAGAGTGAGCCATGTCTTGGTGCTCCTTGCAGCCCTAGCAACTAGAGTGGGCTATGCCTCTGCAGCCATTGGAGCTTGAAATGGCATCTTAGCACCTCACAGAGAGCCTCACAGGGGAGCCTCATAGGTGGGACCCTGATGGGGGACCCTTATAGGGCAGAATTTCATAGGGGAATCTGATGGATGGGACCTTATAGAGAGTTTTATATGGAAATTTTACAGGAAGGACCTTATAGGATGTCACAGAAGATCCATATAGGGATATTGGGGCAATGGACTTTATGGGCACTGGACTTTACAGGCACTGGACTTTATAGGCACTATACTTTATAGGCACTGGACTTTACAGGGACTGGACTTTATGGGCACTGGAATTTACGGGCACTGGACTTTATAGACACATGAGACCAAGCACTGCAACCAAAACTCAGATTAAGCATGGTTGCGCCGTCGCAACGCGACGGGTGAAAAGCTAGTATTTTGGAAAGCTGCTGTGGCTGAAGCGCTGAAGTCATCACGTGAATTCCACGCGAGGCGTGGGAAAACGATGAACGACAGGCCGTCGAATATAGAAGTCACATCTTCACGACGATCGTCTGGCCCATGGCAGAAAACATCTATAGCAAGGGAACCAGAGTCTGGTTCGCCGACAAGGAGCAAGGATGGATCTCTGCGGAGGTCACCAATGTTGTCAGAGGTGCTGATGACAAGATCAAACTGTCTTTTCAAGACCAACGTGGAAAGGTGCACATGCCAAGTTCAGGGATTATTGACGTGATGTTTCCTTACCACTGCTCTCATTCTCCTCCAGGACATCAATATCGACACGACCGTTAATGACATTAAAGCAGGGTTGGACTCACTCCCGCCATTACGAAATCCACCTCTTCTGGAGACCGCGGATGATCTGGCTACGCTATCTCATCTTAATGAGCCTTCGGGTACGTGTTGCCGTTCAGTATCCATGTTCGTTCGAATCTGACCGTGTTGGTATAGTTTTGCATACCATCCGAAATCGTTATGCACAACACAGCATATATACCTATAGCGGTATCGTGCTAATTGCCGTCAATCCCTTCCAGCGTGTTACAATGTACGGCCCTGAGATTATTCAAGCCTACAGTGGGCGGAAAAGAGGGGAATTAGAGCCGCATCTGTTTGCCATTGCAGAGGATGCGTATACAGCTATGAGAAAAGAGGGTATGGGCCAGACAATAATCGTATCAGGCGAGAGGTGCGTACACTAGTTTATTTGTGATAAACTTAAGTTTGATTTCATGTGTTTAGTGGTGCTGGAAAGACCGAATCGGTGAAATCTGCTCATTTTGACTCTTCAGTGTTGATTCTAATATATCATAGGCCAAGTTCATCATGCGATATCTTGCCTCTGTGAACCCTCCAGATGCGGCTACGAAAGCGAGGACAAAGATCTCGCTAGATGAGTCCAGTGAGGTTGAACGTCAAATTCTCGCTACAAACCCTGCACTTGAAGCCTTCGGTAACGCCAAGACGACGCGCAATGACAACTCGTCTCGGTTTGGAAAGTACATCCAGGTCCGTAGAGTATCTCGTGCATCGCTATGTTCACTTCATGTTGTCCCCCCAGATCCTCTTTGACGGCAAGCAGGAGATTGTTGGTGCACGTATACGCACATATCTCTTGGAGCGCTCTCGTATCGTCTTTCAGCCTCTTACTGAGCGGAACTACCATATCTTCTACCAACTTTGCGCTGGTGCGCCACTCAAGGAACGCAAGGATCTAGGACTAGACAATGATATCACCAAATTCCACTACCTCAAACAGGGCGGTCCCCAATCAACGCCAATACCTGGAGTAGACGACGCAGAGGAGTTCCGGCAGACACAGCATGCACTTTCCACAATTGGCATCAGTGTCGAGAAGCAGTGGGCAGTTTTTCGGTTGCTTTCTGCACTACTCCATCTTGGCAACGTCGGCATCACGGCGATGCGCAATGATTCCGCTATAGATGACAATGACAGTGCATTGTTGCTGGCTACACGGTTCTTGGGCGTCGACAAAGCAGAATTTAAGAAATGGACGATAAAGAAACAGATCACTACTCGGTCGGAGAAGATCGTCACCTCTCTCAATGCTGCACAGGCCACAGTTGTCAGGGATAGTGTTGCGAAGTTCGTCTACGTCTGCCTGTTCGAGTGGCTTGTGGCAATCGTGAACGAGAGTCTAGCTGGCGAGAACGGTGAGGCAGAGAGGCGGGCTGAAATGTTCATCGGCGTTCTGGATATCTACGGATTTGAGCACTTCCAGAAGGTCAGTCCAACAAGACTCATTTCTAGGCCGATCTCTCACCTATTTTGCATCAGAACTCGTTTGAACAATTCAGTATCAATTACGCCAACGAGAAATTGCAGCAGGAGGTCTGTCCGCCACATTGTATACATACATAGCACGGTGCTGACTGTGTTACAGTTCAATGCGCACGTCTTCAAACTCGAGCAAGAAGAGTATGTGAAAGAGGAAATCAACTGGACGTTCATCGACTTTTCGGATAACCAACCTTGCATTGATGTTATCGAGGGCAAGCTTGGTGTGCTTGCTCTTCTTGACGAAGAGGCTCGTATGCCGTCGGGCACGGATGCATCATTCCTCCAGAAGCTTTACAGCCAACTCAATAAACCGGAGAACAAAGAGGTCTTCAAGAAGCCTCGCTTTGGTAGCTCTGCTTTTACAATCGCTCACTATGCCTTAGATGTCACCTATGAAGTAGAGGGGTTCCTGGAGAAGAATCGCGACACTGTTCCCGACGAACAGATGAATCTGCTTGCAGCGACCAAGAATCCTTTTCTGCGGGAAGTTCTTGATGCTGCTCTTGCGTCCACAAAACCTCCAGAAAGCCCCAATCCCGCATCACCTGCTGTTTCCGATTCTGCAAGTGGAGGTTCTCGTCGACAATCGCTGATTCCGGATCCTGGACGCTCGTCTCTGGTAAGCTCAGCGTCGTCAGGCGCCAAACGGCCAGGCGCTGCCGTCCGGAAGCCCACTCAAGCCTCAATATTCAAAGCATCATTGAGCAATCTGATGGATACCCTTAGCGTTACAAACGTGCACTATATCAGATGCATCAAGCCCAATGAGCAAAAGGAAGCCTGGAAGTTCACACCCCAACAGGTCTTGAGCCAGCTACGAGCTTGTGGTGTACTTGAGACCATCCGAATTAGTTGCGCGGGTTACCCTACGCGATGGACCTACGAGGAATTTGCAGAACGGTAGGGTTTCCGCCTGTTGAGTACTGTATATTTCTCACATTTTCACAGATATTACATGCTCGTATCGTCAACTATATGGGGTCCGATGATTCAGAAGCTTGAGCTCAAGTCATTATGCTCTCTTATACTCGAGAAGACTATCAACGACCCTGATAAGTATCAGAGTGGGCGCACGAAGATCTTCTTCCGTGCTGGCATGCTTGCAGCCCTTGAATCGTTCCGATCTGGCAGATTGAATGCTATGGTCACCGTAGTTCAAAAGAACATGCGTCGACATATGGCGGTCAAACACTATCAGGAACTGCGACGGGCAACTATCAAGATTCAGACATGGTGGCGAGGCATCACAGCGAAGCGGTTTGTCCAGCATGTTCGTCGTGAAACTGCTGCAATTCGGCTACAGAAAGCTGCTCGGACATTCATTCAAAGAAAACGATTCGTCGACATCAGATTGGCTGTTGTCCGATTCCAGAGTCGTACGTCCCGGTTTCGACCATTCACTTCACCATCTCATCTCTTGTGCAGGCGTTCGCGGTGCGCAGGCTCGTCGTGCATTCAAAGAAAGAAAGCACAAGCATGCTACTATACTTTTGCAAACTCTTTTGCGTGGAGTGTAAGTCCCAACTTCTCTAAAAATAGCAAGAAACACTGACGAGCCCGTTATATAGTCTTGTGCGCCGAACATTCCGTGCAGATGTCAAGCATGTCGTCTACCTGCAATCATGTATTCGGCGGCGGTTAGCTCGCAAGCGACTGAAGGGTCTGAAGGCCGAAGCACGCTCAGTCTCCAAGTTCAAAGAGATCTCGTACCGGTTGGAGAACAAAGTCGTGGAGCTCACACAGAACCTCCAAAAACGGACCGAGGAGAAGAAGGAGCTGCAATCCAAACTCAACGAAGTCGAGCAAAAGTTGCAAACTTGGATGACACGGCACGAGGATGCGGACTCTCGAGCGAAGCAGTTCCAGTCAGAACTCGTCACCGTACAAGCCGAGCTCTCTCAGCGCGATGAACTCCTTCGTCAGAAGGAGGAAATCGAGAGACGCCTGGAATTGACGCTTGCCGTCGTGTCGGACAAGGAGGAAACAATCAGGAAGCTCGAAGGCGAGATTGCGCACAAGGTCGAAGAGCTCGAGACCCAGCAGAAGGAGTTCCAGAGCTTGCCTCCCGCTCGGTCGGCCGAGGACAGCTCGGTGATCTTGACGTTGAAAAACGAGGTTAGCAACTTGCGAGAGCAGTTGAACCGTGCGTATGCCCTCAATGCCCTCACCAAGGGCTCGCGCGAGCCTCCCGTGTCGCCGACTTTCGCACCCACATTACGCGCCACAGATCATCAAGAACCGAACGGGACCAACGGCACGAACGGTTCTCCACTCACCGCACACTCTCAGCGGCATCAGCGGCGGCACAGCTCGGCAGGCATATATGCCCTTTCGCCGCCGGACCACCGAACGTCGGCAGACGAGTTGATGACGATGGTGAAGCGCAGCCAGGCAGCAGTCCCCCGTGCGGTGTCCGTTGCGTACAACGGCGAGGACGGCTTGACGCGGTTCCGCGGGTCAAATGGGCTGTCGGAGATCTACGACGATCCAGCGGAGGAGAAGATCCGATTGCTACAGGACATCAAGCGGTTGGACGAAGACGTGCTGGAGGGCCTCATCAAAGGCCTCAAGATTCCTCTGCCGAGCCTCACAAACCCGTCAGCAGTGAAAGAGATCCTGTTCCCTGCGAACCTCATCAGTTTGGTCACAAATGAGATGTGGAAATACGGTCTTATACCCGAGAGCGAGCGATTCCTGGCGAACGTGATGCAGACTGTTCAGGCGCATGTCATGGTGCGTATTGTTGTGAATATTTATCGTTGATGATGTGATGCTCATGATGACTGTCACAGACCTTCCTCAGCGAGGACTCGATCATACCTGGCGTTTACTGGCTGTCAAACGTCCATGAGATGCTGTCGTTCATCTGTGTCGCCGAGTCGGACATGCTGCAGGGCATCGGTCCGGGAGAGGAGAACGCGGTGCGGCCATTCGACTGGTCAGATTACGAGCGGCTAGTGTCGGTCGTGAAGCATGACCTGGACAGCTTAGAGTACAACATCTACCACACATGGATGACAGAGACGAAGAAGAAGCTCGCGAAGATGGTCATCCCGGCGCTGATTGAGAGCCAGTCGTTGCCGGGCTTCATCGCGAGCGATGGCGGCGGGCGATTGTTCAACCGCGTGTTCAACTCGAACAGCCAGCCGGCGTTCAGCATGGACGATATCCTGAACCTGCTGAACAAGGTGTGGAAGAGCCTGAAGAGTTATTACATGGAGGAGAGCGTTGTGCAGCAGGTCGTGACGGAGCTGTTGAAGCTCATCGGTGTGACGAGCTTTAACGATCTGCTCATGCGACGGAACTTTTCGTCGTGGAAACGCGGTGGGTTGCCTTTGGTAAGGAATAGCCATTGCGTGCTGACGCCAAGGGTTGTTTGCAGCCATGCAGATCCAGTACAACATCACGCGTATTGAGGAATGGTGCAAGTCTCACGACATGCCCGAGGGCACGCTGCAACTCGAGCATTTGATGCAAGCGACCAAGCTTTTGCAACTCAAGAAGGTGCGTCGTGGGCTGATGCGAGATTTCCTGCACTTTTAATGGTTTATTGTCTCATCTACAGGCGACGGCGGCAGATATCGAGATCATCTACGACGTGTGCTGGATGCTCAGCCCAATGCAGATTCAGCGCATGTGCACGAACTATTACGTTGCAGATTACGAGGTGCGATTTATCGCTGTTACAGTCACGCTTCACATCGAATGAAGAATTGATGAACAACTGACTGACGCTCATGCCTGCACAGAACCCCATCTCGCCCGAGATCCTCCGCATCGTCGCGTCGCGCGTGGTCGCAAACGATCGGAACGACCACCTCCTGCTGCCCGAGGCGGAGGAGGTCGGCCCGTACGAGCTCCCGCTGCCGCGTGAGGTGTCTGGGCTCGAGACATACGTCCCCGCGTACCTCAACGTGTCCCACCTTCGTAGGCTCGCCGCGCTGGTCGCGTGAGTCCTCGGCGAGCGCAACATTGTTGGTCGGGGTTCCCTTGTTGGCGTTGGACAGTTCCATGTTTTGGGCCGTGAATTTTAGATATGGTAGCGTTCTTTGTTCGTTCTTCATTCATTCATTTGTGAGGTCAAATATCTGTCTGTCTCTGTCCATTTCGCTTGTGAATTGCTGATGTTGTTGATGTCGATATCGTCACCGCTGTCGACTAATTGTGTATGGATTTTCTTGTTTTATTTTTCGTCTCTAATATATTTGGTCTCTGTCTCTGATTATCTCCTACAAACTCACACGTGTGTGCGCGCATTGTTGGGGATTCGAATGCAGAACGATGTTAAGATGATACGAGATAGTGAGACAATACATGACAGCAGGTGGTGATACACACAGGTGCTCATACAGGGACCCCAGAGGCGTCAACGGGGATAGTAGAGATCGAGAGGAGCGCGCCGTCTTCAACTTGGTCGACCAACGGCTGGTCAGTGCGCAGGACAGTGGCCTCCTCTGTTGGGGAGATCTTCGCGAGCTGGAGAAACTAGATACGGATAGGCATGCAATTGGCTGAACGATGCGGCACGTGGGAGAAGTAGTTGAAGAGACTTACATGGCCGGCGGGGGCGGAGGTGTGGAGGTGGTCCGCGAGGAGGTCGAGCGCGCGGCCTGTGCCTGTCGTCTTGTGTAAATGTCAGACAAGCTGGGGTATACCCGTTCGCGGAAGAAGAGAGCGGAACGCGTCATACCTTGCGGAACCAAAACACAGACTCTGGCTTCGTGCTGGTTCCAAGACCAGGAGGCGATGATTCGGCGGCATGCGGGCTGAGTTTGACGTGCAGCCGCTGGTCGACGGGGACCGCGGTGCGTGTGCTGTCTTTGGGATCGCCGGGGACCGCACGGTGGCGCATCTTCATGAGCTCGAGCTTTTGGAGCTGGGCTAGTTTCTTGGGATCTGTGGGGATGCTGCGTTGGCGCGGGGGAGGGGTAGGTTTGGAGGTGACGGTCGAGGTGGAGGCGGAAGGAAAGTATTTAGCAAGGAGAGCGTGGGCGGATGGGTCCTTCGGCGCCGGGGCGGGTTCTGGGATAGGGCAAGAATGGGAGACGGGGGTGCGATGGCTATCATGGATTAATATACGGATAGGATTCAAATTAGGATGAGTCGGTCTCACGTAGCGCAGTACGCGAGATGACAGCGGGGGCATCGCGCAGATATTCGCTCTGGGTCGTCTGCGGTGCTCGAGGAGGTGTAAGCCTCAAGACTGGGCTTCGAGCAGGTGGTGAGTGCGCATCGGAGGAGCGGGGCGAAAGCGGCAGCAGCGGTGGATCTGAGGGCGGCAGGGTCGACGGGGCAGGCGTGGGCGTCCCTGGTGAAGTGTTTTCTGCAGTACTGGGTGCCGCAGATGCAGCGGATGGGGAGAAGGTCGAGCTCGTTGCAGGACGGGAGGGCGCAGTGTGCTGCGCCGGTGAGCGCCAGGTCCATCTGCGGCGATGGCCCCTGGCTCGCTGCAACGGTCGTCTCCCAGCATGCCTCCGCTCGTGTCCCACGTCTCCGCCCTCGCTTCCTCGCTCTTCCGCTTTTTCTCCTGGCTGTTCCTGCGCATAGTCAGTCTTCCGTGGTTCGTACAGCAGCGAGCCACGTAACTAACCAGGGCCCATTCCTGAGATCCCCGCACGGTGGAACGAGATCCTCCTGCCTACACTCTATCTCACATACTTGCTCCCCGCGCTCTTCGCATCCACTTCGCGCGCTTCCGCATGCGACGAGACCAAAAACGACAAGGGCGATAGCAAGGGCGACAAACATGCGAAGCCTCCCGTTCCTTCGCCCGTGAGTTACACCCCCTATTAGCCTCACACAGCAAACCCACTCACACCATCAAATATTTAGCCCAAAAGTTTAGACACATTCTGGGACGTCCTCTTCTCATTCCCGTCCTCTAAACGCTCCAAGCTTCTCAACTTCGCCGTCAACACCACCATTCTCTTCGCCGTCGCCGAGTTTGCCCTTCACCCCATCTTCGACACCGCCTCACACGTTGCCTTCACCCGTGTAGGAGCAATCTACCCCGATGCAGCGAAGCTATTCGTTCGATACCCCCGGCCCGATCATGCTACCGATGGTAGCGAGGAATCCCCGCACTCCGTTCGCATTCTCTGGCGAAGAGCCTCCGATACCGGCGAACGCTCAGCCGCCCCAGACGTGTGGACTGACGGTCCCATTATTAGCTTGACGTCTGCTCACGACTGGGCGAACACAACGAAGCTGAACGATCTATGGCCCAGCACAGAATATGAATGTACGTTGGCTCGTGCTCCGTCTTCGCTGCCTAAAACAACGGTTGTTTTGTTTGTTTCTGGGATACAGACATATTAGTCGACGTGAATAAAGGATTGATTCCGGCTATTTCTGCAAAGCCCATCCGATTTAGGACGTTCCCCGATTCTCGTTTGCCAGGCGGCTCCCGCTTCCGTTTCGTCGTGTCTTCTTGCGTTACTCCTAACTTCCCCTATAGGCCGTTCCATGGCCGCACAATCAAGGGATTCGATCTGCTGGCTAATTATCTGGCCTTAGAGAAGTTTCCTGCAGCGGAGACTGTGGTGGAACTGCCATCCACCGACTCTGCAGACTTTGAAAGCCTCAATGACTCGTCGTCAGATCCACTGGGGCTCAACAACATCGTTCAGCTGGAGGCGAACTCGACCAGGGTTTCCCGGGGCTCAGCGAATTCGACAACACGAGTGCGCTCTCCGCGCACCGAATTCTTGATGTTCCTGGGCGATTTCATCTACGCAGATGTGCCTGTGTATTTTGGCGAAGATAAGGAGGCTTACCGCCGGCTCTATCGACGGAACTACCAGAGCCCGAGCTTCAGAAAGGTCTACGAGCAGCTTCGTACGTACGGTGCTCACCCGCTCCTCTACAACTGTGCACACTGCTGACCGTCTTCGCAGCGATTTTCCACACGTACGATGACCACGAGGTGCGTGAAATTTCGTCGGTTGCTGTGATATGAGACCTTAAACACCCCGCGGGGTTTTGCTCTTTTTGGAGCAGATCGTCGATAATTTCGCAGGGCAGGCTAATGACTCGCTCACGCCTTTCCCTAGCGCCTCGGACGCGTTCCGCATCTATAACGCCGACGTCAACTTTGACCCTATAGAGAAGGAGCAATTCTATTACGATTTTAGGTACGGGGACGCTGCGTTCTTTGTGATGGACACGCGGCGGTATCGGTCCGATGTAAAGACAGAAGGGGAGACGACGCGAACGATGCTCGGGGACAAGCAGTTGAGCGCACTGCACAAATGGCTCGGGGAGGTCTGTCGATTCCGCGCCTCCTCTCCACCTGACTGCACATCCGACCTGAGAAATGTCCTTTGATGGGGCAGGCGAACAACACCGCGACGTTCAAATTTATCGTCTCCTCGGTCCCGTTCACCTCACTATGGACGCACGACGCGCAGGTAGACTCGTGGGCGGGCTTTGCGCTTGAAAAGGCGACGCTGCTGGACGCGCTGCACGCCGTTCCGAACGTTGTGCTCCTGTCCGGTGATCGTCACGAGTTCGCGGCCGTCGAGTTCAACAGCGAGAGAAAGGACGGGCACCGCGTGCTCGAGATTTCAACGAGCCCGCTGAGCATGTTCTACATCCCGCTCGTGCGGACGCTGCGTCTACAGAGCGAAAACACGGTGCAGAGGAGCGCCGTCGTGGAGAAGAACGCAGATGGGGTCGACGTGAAGGTCGAGGTCGAGGTCGAGATCCCGCAGGAGAGGGTGCTCAAGTATCTTCCTCTCGGAAACCACAAATGGTGCGTATCACGCACCGTCGAGTCGGTCGTAGTCTGGTCTGTCCTGACGCGCCGTCCCCAAGGTCTGCCATCGAGATCGATACCCGGGATCCTGAGTCCCCGACGGCGACGCTGGAGGTGTGGATAGATGGCGCTGTTTCCTATAAGTGAGTCACCCCAGGACGAGCGACACAGTACAGCACATTGACATCCAATCAGCATGACTGTCAAGGGCAAGCCGGTGCACATCAAAGCCTCGACATCGTTAGGCGCATTCGTGCCGGATGGGCTCAAGGGACTCCTCGACAAAGTCGGGCTCACGCCGAACCGATGGTTCTAAGTAGAGTGTCTGCGACGACTCGACGACGATTTCGCCTTGTGGCGCATCCTATTATAGAAATTCATGCTCCTGGTTTGAGGAGCATACGGGCTTTCGTACCATCTAAATGATAGAAGAATATTATGTAGTGTATGGTGTATATATATATATCACATCTAGCTATTCAGTTTACGCAGATAAAGTGATTTCTTGGTCTATATCTTTGGCATCTAGCACATTGACATCGGAGTCCGGCTGAGAGAACCGCTGTTGAATGGTGGCGTAATGGTCCATCTCAGACTGGCTGACGCTCGGCGTCAGCTCGCGCAATGCGGCGTCGAAGTCCTCCTGTGAGACGGTGACCTCGATATCGGCGGGCGAAGCCATCTCGGCGAGGTAGTATTGCGGCGTGATCGGGAAACGGCGTGTATGTACGGCGTTTAGGTCGACTGTTAAGATTGCTATGAGGATACGCTGTGGAATTTCCGTTCGCTCAAGATAGACTCACCGAGGATGCGATCGATGCCTTCGGCCTTGCGAGACATCGCCTTGAGCAGCGCATCTGAGCATAATGCGTAAAAGTCCGCTCCCGTAAAATTGAAAGGACATTTCTCCACGATGGCCCGGAGATCAAGCTCGGGGTCAAGGCGGAACTTGCGAGTCAACGCTTGTATGATTTTCAATTGCGCCTCATTAGTGTCGCTGATCCCCAGGTACAGCATCCGGTCGAATCTGAGAAAGGAAAGGAAACCGACTGGTATGAGGTGGGAAGCAATTAGGATATGGGATAGCCAGACCTTCCTGGCCGTAAGAGTGCGGGATCCAGCAAATCTGGACGGTTCGTCGCGCCGATGACAAAAACATCGCCGCCTTCGCCCGCCGCGACGCCGTCTAGCTCCGCCAAGAGCTGGCTCACGATTCGGTCCATAACGCCACCCGAATCCCCGTGGTTCCCACGCTTGGGTGCGACAGAGTCGAGCTCGTCAAAGAAGATGACGCACGGGCGCGCGTTCCTAGCGCGCTGGAAAACTCGCCGCACGTTGGCCTCGGACTCGCCGATGTACATGTTTAATAACTCGGGCCCCTTAACAGAAAAAAAGTTGAGCGAGCAGGATGTTGCGACTGCCTTTGCCAAGAGCGTTTTTCCGGTGCCCGGTGGCCCATACAGTAGGATGCCTGACAGAACCTCAGTAAGCGAGGCATCATAAGATGAGTAAGAAAGACTCGCCGGAGCGCTTTTTGAGATCTTGGCCAAATAGTTCTGGATGCTCTAAAGGGAGCTGGATCGTGTCTAGGATCTCAGACTTGACTTGAGCTAGACCACCAACATCGTCCCAGGACACATTCGGAATCGTGGGGGCTCCGATGTTCTGGGAGTGTGAAGATCTCGCTTCGCCGAGGGCGACGTCAAAGTCCGCAGCAGCGAGAGAAATACCAGCGCAGAACAAGTCGATTTCGCTGTGAATGTCTGCTCTACTAAATTGAAACCGAGAATGAAATCAGATTAATAAAATGCTAGTGCAAGATTGGGAAAAAATAAGAACTGACGTAGAAATCTGTGCACGAGCAAACGCCGCTGTTCTGGCCCGGATCAGAAGGTCTTGCAGGTCCGCAGCAACCAATGCTGCGGTCTGTCTTGCAAGGCTGGGGATGGATACGTCGGGAGCTAGATGACTGGATGAAAGCAACGATTGCAAAAGATCGAATCTTTCCATTTCTCCTGGGACCTGGGTTTTCGAGAGACTCAGATTTTCGAGTTTTAGCGAGTTAAGCAAGTACATATATTTACCTCGAATGTGACCTCATGTTTGAAGCAAGACAGGACGCTTGCTGGAACGCGTGTTGATTCACTTGTGGTGCCAAAGACAATGACGGGATACCCGGACAGACGCCAAGCACCATACAAATCATTGATGAGTTCTTTGAGAGCACTCACTACCCCAGGCTCTGCACGATGAGATTAGTTGATATCATCTGGAAGGAGGAAATATACTCACCTTTCCCAGGCTCTATGGGCTGCGTAGACTGCACAAAGGCGTCCATGTGTCGAATGACTAGGACGCATGGAGAGCACGAGATAGCTTGTTCGAAACGGGCACGTAGGATGCCCTCTGTCTTCGTATCGCTCTCCCCGAATATTTCGTAGCAGTTCACCTAAGCACCGTGTCAGTTTGAGATCCGTTCGTTCGAGGAAAGGAGAGGCGGACCTCAAACAGATGCATTCCCAAGCTCTGAGCAACCCATGATGATGTTGTGAACTTTCCAATGCCTCGTGCACCCTTCAACAATATCGAGATCGGCAGATCATACGTCGAAGCTTGCGACGTGAATGCCACAGAGGCAAGTGCAAGCATCTGGTGGAAGGCCTGATGATTTGCTGATCCACCAGGCATCAAATCGTCTGGTGAGACAACTGGGGCCTTCACAATATGCAGGGCTACGAAGGAATAATGAGCAAGCCTGCATTGCATTTGAGATATCTTTGAACTAGATATACCCATAAATTCGGTGACATTCGGAACCCTGAGGTGTTCAACCCCAGACTGAATCATCCGGGTTACAAGAGGATCCACCCAACAACCCAACTCTCCTACGACAGAGCCTTTATGAATGTTTGAACCAGGAAGATCATTGCCGTTGTCTGCAAGTGTGTCATGATCAATGTTGGTGACTACGAAGAAAACAGCTTGATGAGACGAGTTTGTGGGCGTAGGTCTACTCTGTCTCGTCAGCATCAGAATTTTACACGAATTTGTCAAGGACTGACTCGACATAGATAGCATTTTCAGGATCACTCTTCCCGCTCCCGAGAGCACGTGAGTATTGTATTTCGTTCGCATCCACTTGAAGGGCCAACAAATCGCCCCGTTTCACGAGTCGCTTTGTGCCATCAAAGTACCGCTTCAAAGCATGAAGGACCTGCTGCTGATACACGCGACTGATAGATACTCGAGATGCGATGCGCGCAATCGTGATGGATTTCGCGACAGGTATCAAAGGTTGGAGGCGTCCTCCAGGAGTTGCTTGGAGGTGTATGCGAGGTGACGAGGGAGAGATGTCTGAAAAGACGTTGCGAAGTAGGATGGGAGAACATACAATATGACCGCTGACGGACGAGGTGAGAACGGTATGAGATACAATATCACGGTAAGGCTTACTGCTTCATCACCAATTTGTCGTCGGCGCGTACTCGAACCAGACGCGAGAATGACGAAGAAGCGCTACTGGCGATAGCCTGTGAACGTGTTGCATTAAATGCGGTACAAAGACAACGCATATAGACACGCACCCAGTCTCCATCGAGGATGCCGACTTTGCTGAGGTCCGCGGTTCGAATATACACTGTGCAGTCGTCCGAAGTTGGATCTATAATGTTGGACAATTGCTCCGCTGCAAATTCGTTCCCCGGTGCATGCGACGAAAGGGAATCCGCAGAGCCATTCGAGACGGCATGCAGCACAGCGTCAATGGGGCGAGAAAAGAGGGTGTTGCTAAGAAAGTCTTCGTGGATTTCGAGATCCTCGTCTTCGCTGTCTTCCTGAACAGGAACATATGATGGTGATGGTTCAGTGCCGTTGATAGTCACGATAGGCGTTCTCTCAGTCGGCGGCAAAATCACAAAGGTTGTCTCTGTCCGCGAAGCATATCCCTGGAGCACAGGTTCGGTCATCAAAATCTGATAATTTAGAAGAGACTCTCCAGAGTCCGATGGGGAAGAGAGCTGTAGTTCAGACGAACGCAGTGAGCGGAATGATCCTTGGCAAAGGATTTTATCTTCGGAGCAAAACCAGCCCTCGAGAGCATGAGGATGAGACTTCGCGAACTCATAAGCATCCCTGGAAAGCGCGCGTACGAACAGCTCTCTGAGAAGTACTAGCCGGACTGGAGAAATAGCATAGGTCCTGTGGTGATCGAGATGACCTAATGGGACGGGAGGGAAGATGCTCTCGTATTCTTCCAAAAATTCTGAGGGCACCGTTAGTCCTTCAGCCTAGCAAATATAAACTCAGGTGAAATGTATGTCGTTGGAAGGCTGTCAATACCTTCTCGTCCGGCATAGCCCAGCATATCAAAGAGGGCAGTGAGGGACCGCGGCCTGAGGTGAGAGAGGGAGGGTAACGATAAGGTGTGATGGATATAGCTGCCCTGCCTTGTGAGGATTCAGCAACGACTTTGTCCCAAATTGATTTAGCTAAGAAGATGGTATCGGGTCGAGGGAAACGTTGCGCAGGAGTGGATGCAACAGACGCATAGCACTTCGGCCTCGAGTCGAATGGCATCGTTCCAAGAGAGCTATGAGGCGCACAAAGTGGTCAAAGGAAAGTTGTTTAGCAGCTGAAATCAGCCGCCACTTGTAGGTCGATCGAGTGAGCCGGTGCGAGGATCGACGCGTCCGTCCAATGTCCGTCCTCGTGATTCGATTCCTTAGCTAAGCGCGCATATACAGGCCATCCCCAACCACAACACCGCACATACTGTGCTTCAAGCCCTCGCACCCTTCCACTCTCTAAATAAAAAATGTCTCGCGGAGGAAGGGGTGGTGGGTTTCGTGGTGGGGGTAAGAAGTCATGCGCACCTCTCGAACGCCCTCACAAATCTCTCTTCTCTAGGTCGAGGCGGTTTTGCAGGTCGAGGCGGACCTCGAGACATGGGTCCGCCCGACAGTGTCTTCGGCGAGTGCCTTTTGATTTTTCTTGCCACATCCACTTTTATTGATGCCTCTTCACAGAAATGGGATCCTTCATCCACGCAGTCGAAGATGAGATGCTTTGCTCGTCCCTCATTGCAGACAAGGTTCCATACTTTAACGCACCCATCTACTTGCAAAACAAATCTGTCATCGGAAAGGTGGACGAAATCCTTGGGCCGATCAATGAAGTGTATTTTTCTGTAAAGATGGGTGACGGCATGGTCGCGAGCAGTTTTAAGAAGGGAGACAAGGTGTACATCGCGGGGGACAAGCTCCTGCCGATAGAGCGATTCCTGCCAAAGCCAAAAATTGTCGGAGGTGCGTTTCCATCTGATTTTTAAAAAAAATCGGAGCGTCTAGTTTATGGGCATCGGGTCTTTGCGTTCAGGCATTAGTGCGTATCCCTACTTTGTTAAAAATCCCCGAGCGTTTTACTCAAGCGGGCTATGTAGAAAAATCACGTGGTGGACGTGGTGGAGCTGGGGGGCGAGGTCGAGGTGCCCCTGGCGGACGTGGCGCCCCACGAGGCGGAAGCCGCGGATTCGGTAGAGGTGGTGGAAGAGGTATGTCGGGTGATCGTGGACGAGGTGGTTCGAGGGGTGGCTTTGGAGGTGGGGGTTTTGGAGGAGGACGTGGAGGAGGACGCGGGGGATTCAGCCGAGGCGGCGGGAGAGGAGGCTTCAGAGGTTCATGAATGTTGCTCTCGTTTTTCCGTTATGGTCCTCTTCCCATGATGCTCGATCACAGTGAGATACGTGTTCAATTGACAGGTATATTAGCGAGATTTAACTCCGGAAGACTTGAGAACAGATACAGTATGAATACAGATAAGAAGCTTTGTCGGCGGATGCTCGAGTCTGTCAAGTCTTAAGAGCGCGAATCTCCTTGTCGGCAGAGCGAAGTCGTTTTGAGCGTTCGAGCTGCGTTTGGGCAGTCTAACATTGAATGGTGAGTACGGGTACACACTGAAAGGCACGAAACACACCTGCTGTAATCCTTCCGATAGGGAAGAGAGATCTTTAAAAGTGCTTTCAGCTTCTACGAGCCGTTCTTCAACCAGATATCAGTGATAGCCCCATCACAGCAAAGATATGTAGTGCGAACCGTTGACGTGAGGCTGATCAGTCTGATCGTCCTCTTCATCAGGCTCCTCGTTGGTATCATCTGCCTCGGCCTGTTGGCGTTGAAGTAGATCTTCTAGGAGCGTGACCACTTCCTGTGGCCTGGTTCGCCGCTTGATCGCAATCTCGCGTTCCGATATCAAGCGTTGGTCGGAGAGTGACCAGATGCGTCTATCAAGAGCTTCGTCGAAAATCTCGACCTCTACAAGAGCACATAGGCTGAGCGGTAGTAGGATGGATTGGGGGTCATCAGTCCTCTCACCTCTACCGTCCCCGTTTAAATCCTCCAGATTCCGGCCGTTGACGCGTACATTTGCCCGTGCGATGTCGAATGTCGCATCTATAAGCTACAGTGAGCGTCAGGAGTGCGTCGGGATAAGTCAGCTTGAAGTGGCAACACGAAAATAGTGAAAGGACCTGTTGGACGTGGTCAGCAAAGAGCGACCGTTGTCCGGTGAGGTTATTGAGCGCAAGCTGCTCGTCCAGCCGCGCATAAACCGCCTGCGTGAAGTTGGCCCTAATGCGCTGCCAGTCCTGTTGCGTATCAACGGACACTCGTGGAAATTCTTCTCGTGGAGAGTCCATAGCCAAGCTTGAGCACAGTATGTAACTGACGTCATGTTCTCATTACAACAATTTCATGACACGGCCCTCCGGGCCTGGTCCCAGCTGTGTTGCTTTGCACCCTTCACATTAGTCTGCAGTCCAGCCACACGGCTGCTCAATTGTGTCGGAATGCATGCATTGTATTTTCCTCCACGCGTAGTACAGAGCGCCTTTGACGCCTGTTGAACATGTGCAAGATGCCTACTCAGTACTCTGCTGCAGGCTGGTGTGGTTGCTGAGTGAAACAAACTGAATAATGTACTCCATTATGGTTGATTAAAACAGACAGAATACAACCCGGAGTGATAAGAGTCATGATCAGAACACGACGCCAGGAGTGCTCCGAGCGTCGTTTGATGTAGGGTCATGAGATCGCTTTCACCTTGGGTTTCTTGACCAGCTTTATTCCCAACGATTTGGGAGCGTTCGCTTTCTTCTTCTTTGGTGGCTCAATGGTCACCAACGATGAAGAAATCATGGCTCGTGTGGACTCGGGCAGGAGACTATGGAGTTCTGGTTCCAGGTCGTCCGCCTTCCGTTTGACGGTAACAGTCGATGAGGGTGGCAAAGCATCGACATCTGGGTCGGAGGGTGCATTTTCGGGAGAGCGAGAGGGGCCAGCAGTGGGGACAGCGACTTTCGAGAAAACTTGCCTGACCAGCGCTTCGTCCTCCTCTTGCTCCCGCTTCTTCTGTTCGTCCTCTTCATCCCAATCTTCTTGCACCCCAATCTTCTCCAATAAATCCGTCGAGTGTCCTACGCGCTCGTTTCGAGCGTTTCGAGCGCGGATGTCCTGCAGCGCATCAAGAATGTCCATCTCCCGCTTTGAGTCCGTCGTCCTGTTCTCTAACACCTTCATCGGGTTGTTCTCTTCCTCCTCTAGCTTCGCCAGTCGGTCCTCCTCTTCGACAGCCTTCTCTTCTCTCCAAGGTTCGAAATTACGAGAGGCGCCATGCTCAGCGGAGTAGTCTGTGTTCTTAGGATCTGTCTTGAACGTGATCTCAGCAGAACAGAGAGTGCTGTGGGTTGCAGTCAACGCCTCAGACTATGAGCGGACTGCAAGACGAAGTACCCACCATTTAATGTAGAACCGGAATATCTTGATACCATAATAATCCTCTCCTTCGACGGTCTCCTTTCTCGCGTTGAACTTTTTGCCCTTGTAGATATACTCTCCGCACGTGTTGCAACGCCTGTCGAGACTTAGACAAGGCTTTCGTTCCTAGATGTTATAGACTCACATTGAGAAGGGTGCCATGAGACGGACAACTTGTTGTGCATTCTTGGGTTGTTTGCGGCGGGGTATAAGAGCAGGATCGAAGTCGGGCGGGAAGTACTTGTTGAGGACTGGAGGAGGGATCAGTACCGCATCATGATGTAGCTAGACCGTGAAACAAGCTTACCTTTTCGCTCAGACATGATGCAAGGGTGAAGAAGTTAAATTCTTTTTGAAGGTTGACGAGACTGAACGAGGAAACTCGAAGGACGGAGGTCGACGTCGTTGGCAAGAGTGGTCCCCGTATTTCCGCATTGGGAGGTGCCCACTAACCTCCACTAACCTTGTCTCTTTCGTCATGGGTGCATCTCAGTCAAAAGCCGACGAGGAACCGAAAGTCTTCTACAACGAGACTCCCATACAGGTCCTTTCAGCTATATTCTGCTCGCACTGTTGCCATCTCATCCCTGCCGTTCTCTAGTTCTCTCAAGATCTCGTCAACCACCTTGCTGACACGGTCGATACACATCCAGAGCGTCAGTCTACCCTCGACGGTCACGTTCGAGCGCGTATACAATCAGAACTCGCCCGCTTGCGCGAAGAAGAAGAAGAAGTTCGACAGCAGATTGAGTTGGCACTGGAAAAGGAGAATTTGGACCGAGAGAGGGACATGGCAGGGGATGTAAGCGCGACTTCCGAGGCTGATTCTAGCGCTATCGGCGATGTGAAGAGCAGTGAAGTCCTACTGGGTGACTTGGAGGAGGTGCGCACCAAGGTTGAAAGGTTCCAGACGAGACAACAATTGGTTGAGTTGCCTGAGTTGAAGACGAAGGGCGAAGCCGTCGTGTCATGCTACAGGTATGAGCTTTCTTCCCATTTTACTCTCTGCTCCTGTCATTCACTCTGGAACTCGCTGTAGGTCGCACCCATCGACAAGTCTAGACTGCTGGCGCGAGGTTTCAGAGTTCCGGGCTGCCGTATCGCAGGTCGAGCAGGTTGCTTTCATATCTTCTGGACCTGTCCAACTCGCCATTAATCAACAACTTCTATAGCAATACATTGCCTCCCTTCGGTGACAAGCCTCGCCTCCTTCCAGCTCGTCCTCGATGTTTATAGAGCCTGTTCGAGCAAAATCTTTAATAGAACAAAACATACTTTGCATCTGCCTTTTTGCCGAATGTTCGACCATCAAGTTAGTAATTTCACTAAGTCCAAAGATGTACAGGTTCAATCAAGCCGGATCCAGATGACAAGACAGTCGTGTAAGTAAACGAATTATCATAACAGCTCAAAATGTTTTTGAATCCTCCCTAGCAGCTTGCCGTCTTCTCTACCGCTACTGTCATTGCTAGTCCTCCGGAGTGAAATCTTGGCTATCTATGGACTTTTTATCCTAATCGGTTGTCGAATACATGGAGCCCGAACTGCGAGTTAAAATGGACAGCCTGTTCATGGGATCCAACCAGTTTAACAGGCGGCGAGAAGGTGCAGGCCTATGCTCTTCTCCACTCTGCATAGAATACCACGAGTCGAAGCTCTGGGCCGAATACCATGAGTCAGAGCTGGTCATCGAGTCCTTGTGCAGAAGGGTGGGTTGTTCTAGGTTCGGACTGAACTCTGCGGCTTTTTTAGGCATCACTACCGTGCTAGGTATAGGTGTGGGATGTAGAGGTCTTCTCTGCGAAGCCTCTCCTGCAGATGTGATAGGAGCTGTGTGCGAGGGCCATGCGGCTGACACATGGCCGGCAGTCGGAGCGACAGCTCTCTGGACTATGGGTGACCTTGGGGACGGTACGTAGGGTGTTTTCTCCAAAACACGACGGTGCGGCTTCGAAAAAGATGGGCGAGTAGGATCAGCCGCATTCCCGTTTTGCCCATCCTGAACCCCTATCCTGCGTGACTTCTTCTGCGCGTGGGATGAAGGAGCAGCAAACTTGACCTTTCGACCACCCGCATCCATCGCCAGTGCCGGTTGATACTGCGTGTGAGTAGTCGAGAAGGCGGATGATGCATTGCGGCGCGTGTTCGCTCGGACCGCAAGGACAGCATGCTGCGAGCGATGTGAACCACCTGTCAGCGCTGCACGTCGATGCAGAGGCTGCGGTTGAGGATAGTACTCACTGCTTCCTTTTGTTTTTTCTCCTGGTCATGTTTGATACAGCTTCCCCACCACTTCCAGGCTATGACTGCGGTAATCGCCAAAAGCACCCCGCCAGCTGTACCTCCAGCAATGGCCGCTATAGGAATGTCACTGCCTCGTGGTTCCATATCTACAGTACCTGCGGTTGGAGAGCCTCCACCGGCCAACACTGTGGCTGTTGCGACCTGGATGAAATGATGGATTCCCATTGTCAAGGTGGGTCCCCTCGATCTTCCATCTGATAAGACCGAGGATGCAATGTCTATGGATCCAACTCCTGCTATAGGCATCCTTGGGTGTATGTTTTCAGACGATGCGCCGGTAAGCACGTTAGTATCTGTATGTGTGAAGGACAAGAGAAGGGGCCAACGCACACGTTCGACAAACAATGCAGGGTACGCTCGTGCCTCATGTTAGGCACTTCATCCTAATTCTGGCTGTTCATCGGACTGAATCCACGAAAACGATCGCGTGATCTGTCCGTCATCCATCTTCTTCGGTAACTTACACACATCCCAATATGAATGCAACCTGTCACTTTACACACACGAGGGAAGAACGTGTAATCTTAGCACAATGCGATCGACATGGCCTTCCAGGTGAAAGGAAAAAAGTCAGATCGGTGATACAAACATAAATATGACAGGAAGACTAAGTATATACATGGAAAAGTTACACAGCGACTCCATCCTCTGCAGCCAACATAGCCTCGTTCAACGCCTCGGCCTCCATCATAATCCTCTCTTCGAGCGCTGCCACCCGCTCTTCACTTTCCCTCTTCTCCCGTTCCAGCTCAGCATAGATAGTCTGTAGGATCCTCTCTCTACTCTCCAACTTCTCTACCTCCTCTTTCAGACGCGTCACCCGGGCTGGTCCGGCAGCAGACTCGTTTCCTCTCAACCGTGCGAAGCTCTCGAAGTCAATCTTAGTGCGCTGTAACTCATCGAACGCGTCGCCGAGCCGTTTCGAGAGATCGCGGGAGCGTGCAAGGTATCCGCCCAGGGTTATTCCGAGCTTTTTCTCCACCTTGGCAGCTCGACCAGCCTCCCTTGCCATGATATTTTTGCTCTCCTCCAGTAATGAAGTGTATCCGGCAACGCGTGCCTCCAGTGAAATCTTGTCTTCAGTGAGCCATCGACCGGTGGCAACGTCGAAGGCCAGTTGACCCTTGAGATACGCCCAATACGACAAATCCTCGACACCTTCATTTTTCGCAAGTGCGATGACACCTTCCTTGACCTTCTCCACAGGAGCATCAGGGAATCCAACAGCAGCGGCCAGTTCGATTTGAATCTCGTCCTTGGCCCCCACGACATAGTCGTCTGGAGGAATCTCATACGCAGATTGCGTACCTCCGGGCTGTGTCGTCCCCGGAATGGGATGCGCGATCGAATCATGCTGCAGAAGACGCGCAACCTCCAAATCCACCAAGCGCTGGGCCTTCTCCAATCCTGTCTCTCCAAGAGGCACGATCCTCAGGTCCTGCATCAACTGATCCAGATCGACATTTGGCGGTCGTGGAAGGCCTAGCTGTACGACCTGACTGCGTCTCGCCAAAATCCTCTTCTCTTCCTCCTCTCTCAGCCTCCTCAACTTCGCGTCCCGCTCCGCTGCATCCTCTTCCGACAATGCATATGCCTCTGTACCTTCATCGTCTTCGTCCTCGGGAACCAGGAGCTCGAAGTTGTTCTCTGGCTTGGGCAGGTTCATGAAGCCAGCTTTGAGAGAGCGCTTGGCAGAGGCCGCGCGGAGCCGCTGCTCGCGTGGTGTGTCACCGACGAATGAAGATCTTTCTTCCGGGTTGATGCTGAGGTTATCACGCATAGGTGTGCGGAGGGGAGTTGCACCGTTGTTGTCTGTTCGAGGAGTGGCTGATACATCGCCATTACGGTGCATGGGAGTCGCAAGAGGATTAGGCGTGAAAGCAGGTTGATGGTGCGGCGTCGCTCCTCCAAACCCGGTGTCGCCATCAGTAGTGACATGTAGAGGGGTGTTCTCATCTCCAAGTAGAGGTGTCTGGGCCATTGTCATGTTGCGTAGATTGCGGGCCTCAGACAAGATATGATCCTCTGGAATATAAGATCAGCACCATAGACATGTAATCTGGGGAAAATAAGTTCACGTTGCGGGGCCGTCCTCGGCGTTCTAGCCATCTTTGCTCTGTCCAACCCCTCATAATTACCCAGCAACTGCGCGCTTGGGTCATCCGTAGAGCCCATCAATGCCTTTGCGTTCTCGTCCGCCTGTCCGATTTTGACGATATCTTCCAACTCCTTCTCACCCACTTGCGCTGGAGGGAGCATCAATTTACTCCTCCGCCCGATGGACTCAGCTTCTTTCAGCTTCTGAATCTGCGCGTCCCTCGCTGCAATGAATTTGGTCTGGTGAGGTGCCCCGTTTTCGCCCTCCTTGTTGCGTTTCTGTCGCTTCTTGCGCTCTGCTTCCTCCTCCTCTGGTTTGCGCTTGTTCTCGAGTCGACGAAGCGTTTGTCCAACGGGAGCGGAGGTAACACGAGCTTGTTCCTCAGACGTGTCATAGAATCCGGGGGCAGCCTTCTTCTCGAATGGGATATCGGCATTGTACTGAGACGAACAAAGCGTGAGCAGTGTCGGGCGCTGCATAGAGAAAAGAAGCATACATCCATTCCCTTCTTCTTGGTCTTGTGGCGCATGATGATACCGGCTGCCTTTAACTCCCTCTTCTTCTGCAATACTGCCAGCCGTCGAGCTTCCTCGAGTTGGCGTTCACGAGCCTTACGCTTGGCCTTCTTGCCTTGGGTGTTCGCAAGGCGCGCGCGAGCCTCGGATAGCATTTCCTTCTCTAAACAAAATTCGATAACGGAAAAGAAAAAATAGTATTGACGAGCCTACCATCCTCGTCCATGTCAATGGGATCTGGCCTAGCAGGTTTCGTTTCTGGGTCAGGATCGATCTCTCCCGGCCGAAGCCTACGCACGTCGTCTGCACCCGGCCCAGAATCACCAGGGCCTGCCAAGCCCAGCTCTTCGTTCTCCTTCGCCTCAGCTTCATCCAGTAGCTTTTGATACCGCTCAAGACATTGCGTAGCAGTCCGTCCAACAACAGGTGAGATCGTACGCCATTGGGTTGGCATCAGCTTTGCAAGGTGAAGGAGTTTCTCATCCTCTTCCTGTGAGGAAAATGAGATTTGTGAGTCAAAGGTCGATGCTAGCAGAGGCGCACCTTGGCCCATTCCGTCTTCTTGATGGAGGGATCTAGCCACTCATACCATCGGGCTTTACATTGTTTTGGTGTCTTTCGAACGAGAAGAGACGATATTCGCGCCCTGTAATTGGGAGGGTGAGCACTGTAGGATAGGTGCGAACGAAACGAGACTAACCATTGGTTTTTGCCATACTTAGCAATGGCGGCTTTGAGAACCTCATCTTCCGTGTTCTGCAGAATATCAGTGCGAGACCCCGCCTCCAATAACGAGAGACAACATACCTTCCACACACCACCCTTGATTATGATACGGACCATGGGAGCAAGCAGGTAAGAAGTGGATGTTCCAGCGCCACTAGGAGCCACATATTGAAGCGGAGAAGAAGATACCGTCGGAGGCCGAACTATGCCGAACTGTTATGTACTGAGTGTAAGTAATCGCCTGTAATAACACGCCGGATCTAGGGGTGGAAGGCTGTGTTTGCGATAAAAATGTTTCGCGCGCGATCAGTGAACATAAACATGATGCTTACGATAGCGAGGACAAAATCAAAGAAGCAGCCACAGAATGTGAAGACACAGGCATGTATCATTTGTACATCATAACAAAAGCAGAAATATGCAAGGCATCTCGAGTTATGACGCATCCTCAAGCTATGAGACGCCGCATGACATTGCTCTGAGCGCTGTAGAGCAAGGGGCTCAAACAAATGCCGATGGGAGCAAGACTTTATTTTGGGCTGATATGGGAGTGATATGCTGTGATATGGGGGTGACCGGCGAGCAAGGAAAAGACCGCAACCGGAATGATGCCGGAGTGTTTGGAGGCCGCAAGACAGCCGGCCGGGCTGGCGGTTACTTGAAATGGAGACGTAATGCGAAAGAGCCGCCAGCTGGAACTCAGCTGGAATGCCGGAATCTGCCGGTGGCTGCACCACCCAACCTCCTTCGTCCTTTTAGACGCCGCCATCCTCCCTCTTGTCTCCCTTCCATCTCTTCCCTCCATCCGCTTCCCCCTCTCCTGCTCCTCCGTCGTCTTTTCGTCCTTGTTCTCTTTTACAAATCCCCTTTTTTTCTCGCTCTGCGTCTTCCTCCGTCCTCATCTTGTATTCGGCCATAGTATACTCGGTCGTCGAACGCACGCCCGGACCTCGTTGATCGCCGTGCTATTACCTCCTTTTTTCCTCCTATCATGGAGTCGGTCCCCCATATGTCGCCAGAGCCCACCACAGAACAATCAAAGTCCAAGTACGTCGTCCCCTTTCATCCTTCGTCTACGATCTGATTTTTCTTACGAGTGCCATTCGTGCTCTGTTAATCAGTGCCAAGCCGCCGGTCCAGAGAGGTGCCAGGGCTTGCACCGTGTGCCGCGCTGCTAAAGTACAATTCCTTCGCATTTTGAAAGATGTATTCTCACACTCATCTAGATGAAATGCGTTGGTGCAGAAGACGGTCAGCAGCCCTGCCAACGCTGCAGACGCTCTAATTCAGAGTGAGTCGGATATTACGTAGCATACATTTGCATTATTTTTATTGGTTTCTTAGATGTATTTTCGAGAAACACCGAAGAGGTCGTAAGCCAGGCTCCAAGTAAGACGCTTCCCTTTACTACTCTTCGCATGATTCACCTGGACAAAGGCTCTCCGAGGCTTCGAAGATGTTGAGGCGTCTAGAGAAGGGCCTTAATAGCGCGAAGTTGAAGCACAACCATGACTCCAACTCCACGCCTTACCCTACCTCGCCCGCTCGTTCTGGCCGCTCCGAGTCTGGTTATCGTCTTCGTCCAAGTGATCCCTATGGCACTCCTGGCTCGCAGTTCTCCACCGAGCTCCCGCCCCTTAACCTCCCCCCGGACTATGATGGGGAAAGTTACGCTTCAAGAAACGGTTCTCGGTCTACTAATCCAGAACACGAGGAAGATGATGGAGACCGTAACAGGGAAGGCATGTTCCCTGCCAAGCTGATTCGTAGAGAAAATCAGAGGCAGTCATTCTTCAAAACTATTCTCAACCCGGAACACGAACCCCCAACATCATCGATGCCTTCTGATCAAGGTAGCCTGAGCTCTACCTATACAGTTTCGCCCGTTCATCTACCTCCTGGATTCCACGATCCTGTAACAGCGGGCATCATCGATGACGCCTACGCCAAGGTCCTCTTTGACCTCGTCTTTTTGCGCCTCAATCCGTTCGTCAACTTGTTTGACCCTGCTCTCCACTCGCCCACATATGTTCGCACAAAATCTCCCTTCTTGTACACAACCCTCCTCATGGCGGGGTGCAAGTTCTTCAAGCCTGAAGCTTATAAGGCCTGTCAGAAGCTTGCCCATGAATTCGCTGTGCGTTCATTTGCGGAAGGATTGAAGAGCGTCGAGGTTGTTCAGGCTTTTGCTTGCCTTACCTACTGGAAGGAACCTGAGGACACCGTCCGTCATTTCGCATTTCGCCTCGAATGATCTATCCGTTGCTGACACCTTCGCAGCGTACATTTACGTACATTGGCTATGTGAGTACTTTCATCGAGGGTATGGGCTTCTGTCTTTTCATACCGTCTGCTAGGCCTGCCGCATGGCTGTGGATTTGGGACTCAATCGCTACTTCTCCCAACCCCCTCCCAACGAAACTGAGTTCCAACTGCGGGAGAGGCGCAACCGCGAGCGTACATATCTTGTTCTCTTCGTTCACGACAGGAGCTTGAATATGCAGACGGGCAAGCAGTGGATGCTGCCTGAAGTAAGTATTTATTTCGCTAGACGTCGATATGGCTCCGCTCATCTCGGACGAAGTGTGACCTCGTCAGACATTCCAATACTTGGCATGAAGAGGGTGGCTCCATTATCCGGCCAGAAGATGTCATTGTGGCTGCATTCGTCCAGCTACGTCGCATTGCAGTGAGTAACACCAATCTTTTGATCAAGGCAATTGCTCAATACTAGCGATATCAAGGCTGAGCTCACCGACGTCTTCTACATGCCCAACAAAGGAGTCACCGACACCACTCATGCCGACGTGAACCAGGAGGTCTTGCTTAGCAACTGTAATGGCAAGCTGACGCAGTGGATGGAGACATGGCAAAACGAGATGCGCCGCGCCAATGGCGAATTGTTCCACTTTGCCTTTCTGAGCTTCTTCCGACTGTATGTGCGACTGTTTTTGAACAGCTTCGGTGTCCAAGCCTCTATATCGCCGGTATGTCCATTCTTCGGTGTTCTGCCATGTACTGCGGTGTTGATTTTTGAGCAGCAAAGTCGAGTTCCTCCCAGCTCGCAGGCTTTGTCGGCGTGCTATACCAGCGCCATGGAGAACCTTCAAATTGTCACTAAGCAATTTGCGTCAATGAGCATGCTGGTATGAGAACTTTTTTTTCCCCATTTGGGGTGAATATTCTAACCTTCTTATCGATTTAGCGCTACGGCCAAGACTCGATCACAGTCATGACCGCCTATTGCGCTGTTTTCTTATTGAAGGTAATCTATTGAATTAAGATTGCAAATACCGGTTTGATTCATAGGTGATCCTATATTTGAACAGCTGCTCCGTAGCTCCAACACCCTTACTGAATTGCACGAGGGCGCCACCAACGAAATTCACACCGTGATCTCTAATGCGGCCGACGCGTACGAAGACGCGTCTTCTTTGTCCCCCACCTCTACTGGAGCAGCCTATCATTCCCGTTTCCTTCGCGGCCTGGTAGCTCAAGATATTTTCAAGGCCCGCCAGACGGAGACCGCCCGGTTTCAAGCTGCTCCATCGGATGTCCGGGTATTCAGTGAGTCCTGTTGGCCGCCGATCGCTTTCTCCGGCGACTCATCGTTCCCTGTTAGATCATTCGAGCAGTTCGCGTCATCCCGGTCCGTCGGCGTCTCAGGTACAGTCACCTTCGGCCATGTATCCACAAAACGTGGGACAGGAGCAACAGTCCTCCTTCCACTTCCCTGCATCGCCTAATGTCCCACCTCCGCCGTCGATGCAGGATCCTCTGATGCAGACCAGCGAGCCGAGCATGCGCACATCCAATGGATATGCTCCTTACAATCAACAGACGCAGATGATGCCCGACGACCAGCGGTATTGGAATCACATGTTCCGCGAGCTTGGGTATGGCGAAAACACGGTATCCGCGAACCAATATGCTGGGTATGCAAGCGGCAGCGGTCATGGCAATTGTAATGGAAGTGGGAGCGCTGGGGCTGGCGGCATGCTGGGGTACGGACGTACTCAACATGCCTATCCAGAACATCACCAGCAGTACCAATATAGCATCCATCAGCCCGTCGTAGGCTACAGCCCGCACTGAACTTCATTTGGTCTCGTCGCCCAATCCATTCTCGACGTTGTTCCTGTCTTGCATCACATTCTGCATCCCCGCGATGGCGATTCTTGTGACCAATTCCTGACCATTCACTACCATTTTTCCATTCTTTCATCTTGCTTCTGTCGCTATGCTATCGTCACTGCTTTGTGTTCATCGTCTTACCAGTCTTTTCTTGTCTGGTCTTTAAGGAACCAACCTTGGTCTTCTCTCTCCCACATATCGCGCCCTAGCGTGCTTCGATACTTATAGGAGCGTCAATGACTATTTCATGCGCTTGTTGATCCTGGCCGCTTCGTCTGAATCGCATTTCCCTTTCGTATGACTCATTTTTCGTAATATGTACAGTCGCGGACAAGCAAAATCGACAAATTTCGACACCCATTTCTAGGGCTTCCCGGCTACACCGGAATCGATAGCAATGTTTGAGTAGATGTCATGGAAATATTTTGAGTAAAATCTTATGAGCCGTTAGTCCAGAAAAAGTAATTTTTTGATCCGGAAACCTCCAAAAATTGGCTGACCCCACAAAAAAGGTCTATAAATCATGTAAAATACACCAATCGACTCCTTTCAATGAGTACTGTATGAATCCATCAAAGATTTACTATATATATATATATTATTGCCAAAAAAATTGTCAAGGTGATGTGCATATGGGCTAAGTGCTTGCTGGTGTGCTCAATTGAGAATGAGCATTGCTGCATGGCTTGTCTTCTCTCAAACCAGGCCGATGTCAAGAATCAAGTCTCCCTTCTTAAACAGGAGATTATCGCTCATGGTCACATCTGTATATTTCACCCAAAATTCCATTGTGAGCTCAACCTAATTGAGATGATGAGTAAACTGCTTATTCTGCCATTTTCAATTTTATTTCTCTCTGTTTATTGATTCCCTTTTTTTGGCAGTACTGGGGTTTTGTTAAGTACAGGTATTGTGAGGTCTGTAAGGAGAGGTTTGATGACACAAAGAAGCATGTGCTTAAATGCCTCGACAATTGTCCTGTCAAGGTCATTTGTCATTTCTTCAATTGCTCATGGAGTTTTATAAATGTGTATTGCAGAGGGTTGACTAGAAAGGTGGTGGAATGAGCTATTCGCAAGCAGAAAAGTCATTGCACTGTTTCTCAAAGTGCAATGATGAGCATTGAGGCAGTTCTTAACTAGTTTACTTCACATAGTGTCACATATATCTTTTTGAGGGCATCTAGCACTGATAAAAATTCACCAAAAAATTGGTGGGTCCCAATTTCTCATGGGAAAATCCTGAGAAGGGCGTTTTTAGACATCTTTTGACTTCCTGAGTCTGAATCTGCAGTCAGATTTCGTAAATTTTAGGCACATCAGCCGCTACAATTATTTTTCTTTTTTGTTGACTTTGCTTGTCTGCGACTGTACTTTTTACTTCTCATATTATCCTTATTGTTATTCTAAATCACCTATTGTACAGTGCAATCACAAAAATGCTACAGGGTCTTGTATAATTTTCTGGAGTATCATGCTAGAAAAAAACTGGGTTTCTAAGCACTTTGCTCCTGATATGGGAAAAAAGTGCCAGACCTCCCTATGTGACCCACCTAGCGATCACACTCCACTGTTGTCTTCAAGATTTGATTGTTTGTGATCTCTATCTAAGCAAAAGTCCTGGAGGTGGTAGGAGAGGGACAGATAGAGCCATAGTAAGATGAAGTACTACAAAGAGGTGAGCACACAATGTACTAAGAGCATTAGCCCTAGCAGGCCTGAGGAGGACCTCTGAAAATAGGTGGGGCACAGGCAAAATTTTGCAAAATGCCCAAAAAAGTTCAGACAAAATTTTCAAATTTTACCAAAAAAGTTCGGATTTGCCTAAGGTTTTGGGTCTATTTTCCCCAATGTGGCCAGATGTGAGAATCAGGCATTCTAAGGGCTCAAAATCAATTGGATGCCAAGATCAGGCCTTCAGAACCCAAATTTTCACTTGGATTGCTAGAATCAGGTCTTTCGAGGCCAGTATTTTGTTAGAATATACATGAAAAAAAACCTATTGAAGCTGTAACATGCAAGTACAATGTGAGATACTATTTACAAACCATCCTGTGAGCCTTTGTCATCAGCCACATCATCTTGATCTCATGCTAAGCACTTTCCTCTACATCTCAGCTTCTACAAATCCTGCACAGCAATACCAAGATTCTGAGAATGCTTGTTCAGATTGTTGTAAGTGGTGAGAGTGATATCATCAAGCTGGAGGTGGCAGTTGTCGGAGTCTGAGACTGAGCTGCATTAGCAAACTGGGAAGTGTCTGTACAGAGCTAGACAGATGCTCCAGAGCCCCTAGATGCTCAAGTCCCTGATTAGACAGACACTATGACTTCTGGCCAGTGTCTGGACATATCTGTCCAGATGCACCATATATGGAAGTGATTAGATAATTGATGTCAATAGATGACCGCAAAAATTAATCTATAGTAAGCAAGGATTGAACCCAGAACTATTCACTGGCTAAGAACAATGTGAGTACCAGAATTATCCACTCCACCATATGTCCATGATATCCTTCCTCAACAATTAGCTTATATTGCACTTTTTGGGACTTCACAGAATTTGAGATGCCTAAACCCTGTGAGGTGTCATCTATTTTGCAATTTTTAGCATCTATCCATGGAAGAATGATGGCATATGATACATCATTTGAATGCTATGATACAGGGAAGTATCCCAATACCACTCACAAGCTGAAATCTAACAGATAGCACCAATGTCAATTAAAATCTTTGAAGTCCAACAAATGTATTTCTTGATTTTCCGGTACTGTGGGAATCTTACATACTCTGCCTTCCGGAAATGTGCTCCTAGTCAGCTTATTGATAGAGCACCTTATCTGCCCAGATCTGGCCATACACAGATATCTAGCCAGATATCCCCAGATGACCTAAGCATCTAGGAGCATCTGGGGCTCTGGGACTGGCTGGGACTGGTTACAGGTTTGCTGATGCCTGTCTGGCATTAAACACAAAAATGAGTGCTGATATAAGATGTTCATATGTGAAGGCCTGGAGTAAAGCCAATTGTGTGTGAACTACCAGAAAGGTTGCTGAATAGGATTGCTCATAAAGCTACATGGATAGATATGAGATAACACCAATATTGGTGACAGTCTTTGCAGATCACTGCAGAGTATTATTGACAAGTTAACAGGAGCTGACAAATCATTGTGCTCATACTATACTACTGAGGACTACCAAGTAATCGAGGTCAAGGAGTCTGGCTAGTCAAGGATGGCAGGTTGCGAAGAGCTTGAAGGGAAAAGAAAATTAAACAAGAGGGATGCACTTGAGATGAATACCAAGAAGTACTTATTACATGTAAGAAGCCGTAAGAATGAGGTGCCGCGAAGTGATGCAATCAATGCATGTGCCTTCAAAGGCCTTCGAAGACCTCAAACAAAATTCTCATTACCGGAGTCGAACTCCGTATCCTAAGATCCTGTTACCCCACTGCCAGCAACTTCTACCACTAGGCTACGGACAAACTTTCCACTGAGGCTCAAAATCAGGCCTTGACCAATATTGACCCCCCAACGTCTGGACAGCCCCTCAGGCCTACTTCTGCGGATGGGCACTTTCATCCGGACTCGACTGAGGGCACAACCCCCATCCGAGCGAAAATTTGAGAAAAAAGGGCGAAAAAGCTCCCTACCTATTTTCAGGGGTCCTGCCTGAGGGCGTGACGGGACTTTGCCGATCATCCCGACCTGCGGTGCCCAGTTAGGCAGGTATTGGCTCAGGAACCCGGTTTTTTTCTGGCACGACACTCCAGAAAATTATGCAAGACCCTGTCGTCTTGGGACTCGTCTTTTGGCAAACCCTTTTATCCGCGTGTGGATTTTCCTACCATATTCCCGCTTCAAGTATCAATTCCGATGGGTCTCGACAGAAACACCCGTGTAGCGAAACGTGTCGGCGATAGAAGTTTCCAGCAGCCTGGGCCTCTTGCTATCACTCTATTTGTTAAAGTGCACAACAAAGATGACTCAAATGTATATGTTTCAGCATCGACAGAGCTTCTTAATCAACACCTATATAAAATACGATCAGCTGCCTCTCAACTACAGCAACTATCCTTGGAATGCCCTTCATCGCCAGAAAATCGAAATCTTGAACTCGTAGAGGTCGGGGGCCAATATTGAACACTGTTGGCTCTGCTTGAACATACGAATAGTTGTAGACATGAATGACGGCGCCCTTGGACGGCGAACGAGTCGAGATGGCGAAATAGTCTGGGAAGGTCTGACACCATCTGCGGAGGACGATCAAGACGGAGAGATGATATTCATCTGGAGAAACAAAGGCGGCAGGCAACGGCGCTCACCTGAAACGATGTCCTCCTTCGGGAAAACTCATGCCTGTAACCGTGGGTTTTCCGCCCTGCAGTTTGGCCAAGTCCCATATAGCGAAACGAGGGCCACACGTAGCGCCTACGCTATGGACAAAAAGAGACGTCAGATATGCCACCTCGCCCATCGAGATCAAAAAGTAACGGCAGCCCGACTCGGATCCCTTATGCAGCTGACACAGTGAGAATAAAAGGCTAGATGACGGCACCTACATATCAACGGAGTCGCGGCGCCACGAAACAGACCCTGACCAGTTAGAAAACGCGCCTGTGGCAATGTCAGCAAGCGCGCGGGGTTCGACGAGCTCAATGACACTCGGTTTGTTGGTTTCGCTGCGCCAATCAGTGAGAAAGATAGAGCCACGACTGTCGGACACGATCAGCTCTTTGCTGGCGGAGGGGTGAGCGTTGACACTGGTAAGGGGATGAGGGAAAGGGACAGCCCAAGCGAGCGGCTGTAGGAGAGGAGGATTAGGATCAGGAGAAGTGGCAGGAGTCGGTGTTTGTAAAGCAGGGGCGTCAACTTTCGGATGTAGATCCCACACCATGAGCATTTTGTCGTCTAAGAACAAGGATGTGTGAGAATGGTCAAGGTGTTTATAGGTGACTTAGCGCACCAGAAACGGTGGCAACATATTTCGCACTGTCATCGGTGCTGCCTCCGCAAAAGGTCATATCGTTCACCCGTCCATGGTGGCCGGAGAGACCCCCACCGAAAGGAAATATATCCTCACTGGCATTGATATGGTGGGACCTTGTTAGGAGATGTAGGCCAAAGTCTGCAGAGGCGGCTGCGAGTCTGTTTATGTGAGAAACGCGTGAGTGAAGAACAACACAACGCACTTCAGGCTTACTCAATAATCCACTGGTCAGAATGAGAGGGCGACACTGAGCGCGAAGACCATGCGAGAGCCGTTATCCGTGAACCGACATGAAATGACGCGACAAGAGTGGCTGAGGACTCGTACTGCCGGAATATGAATGGGTCAGCTATTGGAAAAAGAGCGACACTCAGGCGGAGGCGTACGATGAGATAGACATGGACCGAGTGGTCACCACCCAGGGCGACAAAATCCGGCGCGTCGTCGTTGTAGCACGCGCGGAGGACGTGTATGTGTTCGGGGAGAGGATGTCGGATGTCCATGATCGTTTGCAGCAAGTGTGACATGTGACTACTCTCACTTTGAGCACGTTCATGGTCGTTAAAGGACCCAACCCAGCTCTCTTTGCAGGTGTCGCCCTTCTCTCTTTCGGTGCTTTCTATTTCCTCGTAAATCATCGCGCAGTAACCGCACCAGCTTCTGCACGTCCTCGTCCCAACGACCACCCTCTTGTCCCTCCCATTCATAGCGAAGAGGCAGACAAGCCCAACCCTAGAACAATCTAGAAGAATAGACTTACCTCCTTCGACAAGATGGTGGCCGACGTCTTGCACCATCATGGAGATCATCTAAAGACCGTCTTTGATCATAACAAAGTAGCTGTTATCTTCGTCCTCGGTGGTCCAGGCGCCGGTGAGTGCCTAGTATCGATACTCCGTGCATCCACTTTATGTATTCATGCTCAGGCAAGGGCACCCAATGCGCCCGCCTCGTGCAAGATTTCAACTTCTGCCATCTGTCTGGTACATCTCAGTCCAACAGCATACACATCTGATTAGTTCTAATTCGTGCAAAGCTGGTGACCTCCTTCGCGCCGAGCAGGATCGCGAGGGATCTACTTATGGCGATCTCATCAAGACTTGTATCCGTGAAGGAACCATCGTGCCCATGGAAGTCACCATCAAGCTGCTCGAGGCCGCAATGCTTGATGCGTGTAAGATCAAGTCTGGGCTTGGCTGGGAGGACGGCAAGGGCCGTTTCCTCATCGATGGTTTCCCGCGCAAGATGGACCAGGCTCTCAAGTTTGAGGAGGATGTGCGCTTCTGCTTGTGATTCATTTCCTATGTCACGTCTGATCGATTAATGTCGCCAGGTTTGTCTATCTTCGTTAACCTTATTCTTCACCACGACGGAAGAAGTCATGCTCAAGCGCCTTCTTGTACGCGGACAAACCAGCGGTCGTGCAGATGATAATGTAGAGAGCATCAAGAAACGTTTTGGTACATCATTCTGGTTTCGCTTGGCGCACATACTGATACTCAGATGGGTAGGTACATACAAGGAACAGACCATGCCCGTCATCGAGCACTACGCCAAGTTAAATAAGATCGCGAAGGTGCGCCAAGTTATAATATATAGTTCGGCGTCTCCCTGATGTCATATTTCTTTCACAGATTGACAGTTCCCCGACCGTCGAAGAAGTTCACGCCGTAGCCAGCGAAGCAGTCAACAAGCTTTTTCACAGCGACCGCATCACCAGTTCTTCAGCATAACTCGGCATCTCGCGTAGCACCATCAACTTTTGAACCGATTGTCGCACATATGCCCTCCTTGACCATGATCTTAATTTACGCTGATATACCACGGTGGGCGTTCGCTGGTGGAGAATGTGACATATATGATTCATCCGGTTCAGATATACATCGCCAGGCATTGAAATCGGCCTCAAAGTATCATATGTATACAGCGAGGTCTAACTTGTGTGAGGTCTGCGACAAGATCATTGACAGGGCTTTCCCGCCAGGCGGGATCGTGAAGATCGTCCCGTCCGCACATAGAAGACGCGCTTCTTCGTCCGCTTTATCCTGTATCAAGATGATTAAAGATTCGGTTGGGACTGTGCTTGCACTTACTGGAATCCATTCCCATCCGCCGACTCGGAAATACTCCACGACAGGCAATCCAATACCTCCCTCGCCGACTTCTCCTTCTGCTCCATACCTCAGTTTCACGTGCGCGCCATCTGCATACGCACTACCAAGCACCTGCCACGCCTTCCCCGTAAACCGCGTTCTTGTTTCCTCCGTCTCGTCCTTTACAGAAGGATCTCTCTTTGGGCGGACGACAACTACATCGATTGCACCATCTTCATGGTTTGTAGATGCCGAAGGATGCGATCGTGCGAGAGGGGAAATGCGAAACGCAGGTTCAAGACGATCGACATTTATGGTGCTCAAGAAGTACGCAAACGGTCCATCGAGCTCTGTCTCCGCTTCCGATACTGGGACGAATGCGTCTGTCACAGGATCGTAACGTTGCACACTCGACGAGGGCGGGAACGGAAGGAGGCGCACACGCGAGTGATACCATCGGGTTGCGTTCTGCTGCGCGGCCACCTTGAACCTTTCGATTCCTGGCATGCCTTTCCTAAGAGCCTCCGAATCGTGCAATATAGATGCATGGAGGGATGTCGAAGTGACCACAACGGACACAACAGAAGTATGCGCCCTTGTCTCGCTGTCCTGAGAGGAAGCATGCGGAGGCGTGATGACGGTGTGCGAGAGCGTGAGCGTTTTCGCCGATGGCGTAGGTCCAAGGAAAGCGTCAAGTGATGCAAATTGGTGAGAAGAGGTCTCTGTGCCCGTGGATTGAGGGAAGAAGGAGGAGTGCAGTGCATTCGCGGTCCCGCCTGGGATAAGAGCGATACGAAATCGTGGAAACGGCTTCGAGTCGCCTCGCCGCGCACACTCCTCATCCAGAAGATTTACAATCTCGTGTAGCGTTCCATCACCCGATACAAGGACGATGTCGATTACGACTCTGTCCTTAGCTGGAAACTGATCGATGAAATTGACAACAAGTGAGCCGGCGTGTCCCGGACGCTCCGTGCTCACGACCCTATCTGTGACTTTTCCATGTTTTGAGAGGAGCGGAAGGATGTGTTCTTCGACGATCTGTTTGCCAGAACTGTTTCCGCTGACGGGATTATAGAGGACAAGAAGAGGCATGTTCCGGGACCAAGCCAGTTGGAAGACCAAGATGTAGAAATTTGTTCCCAGATATATATCTGGACACTGGTCGGCCTTTGAACCCTGTGGGTGGGTGGCTTGAGCGGGATCTGACTCACATTGTACAGAATGGTGCAGAAAGTGATGGTGTACTCAGCGGGCCAATAAAGATATACAGTTCACTTTTTAATAATGCATAAATCAGAAAAACCATAAAATATTTCTCGCTCTCCACAGACCCCCTCATGTGACAGGTGCAATTAAGATAATCGCATGTCCTAGTAGGGCCCCTCATACCTGTATACTCAAATCTTTGAGTTTGAGGGTGTCGTGAATATCTGTGAATATATCTGATTCATACATTATGAGATAGTGAACTATACCTCAATTGATTAGATTAGACCCCAGGAATTCACAGGGCTAGGCTTGCCAAAGCTCTTGACTGATGCTTCGCACCTGGCTCTCCACATACCGAGCGTCACTCCCCCGCTTCTCTAGATCACTGGCATCCATGTCATCTCCCGCGCCGGATTTCAAGGCCTTCAACTTAGCGTTGATTCAGCTAGGCCAGATTGGTGCCGACAAAGCTGCCAACTTGAAGCATGCAAAGGAAATGATACTGACCGCCGCTCGCGCAGGGGGTGCGAGCGATAAGAAGCCTTCCCTCGTTGTCCTCCCAGTACGTCTCTTGTTATCAATACATTGCTTATTACAACCAAGATGGATCCAGGAATGCTTTAACTCACCGTATGGACATGTTCATTTCCCCGTGTATGCCGAAACGATAGGATTCAAGCCTGGGAAGACCTACGATGTCCAGAAGAGCTCCAGCGAGAGTGTAAGGCTACTCTCAGAAGCAGCCAAGGAGGCTGGTATATGGTTGATTGGCGGTCCGTCCCAGCTCAAAAGTTGGTATAAAGGCTGACGGAGGCATTATCAGGTTCTATTCCTGAACGGGATGCCGAGGACGGGAAGGTATATAACACTGCGACAGTGTACAACCCACAGGGTGTGAATCCATGTCTCCACCATTCCTAGCTGACCTTACATGTCACCTTTGACTCAGGGGACCTTGTCGCGATCCACAGGAAAGTACACTTATTTGACATCGACATTCCGGGCAAGATCACATTCAAGGTGAGCAATATCTACAGATTTACCAAGTGCCGGATTCGATGTTATGTTTCTCAACGTAGGAAAGCGAGACATTGACGGGCGGCACAACCCTGAACTACTTTGATACAGGTATGTCACGGTGCAGTCTCGCGTTTCACTGTGAATACATAATGTACTTGTCTTCTAAAAGACTTTGCCCGGATCGGTCTTGGAATTTGCTACGATGTCAGATTCCCCGAGCTCGCGATGATCGCTGCTCGTAAAGGTTTGCTCTTTATAGTGTCCGGTCAGAGTTAGCATCTCACTCTGGCACCAGGTTGTCAAGTCCTGATATATCCAGGAGCCTTTAATATGACAACAGGCCCTCTTCACTGGGAACTTCTACAGCGATCTCGGTATGCTTATCTAAGTTCTGACGACATTCAAACAGATGCGCCTTGACTGCATCTTTTGGCAGGGCTGTTGACAATCAAGTTTATTTTTCAATGTGCAGTCCAGCACGAGACTTGACGGCAGGATATCATGCGGTGAATTCCCTGCAACCCATCTGCTTGACTGCTCTGATATTCCGTTCCAGTGGGGACACTCAATGGTGATCGACCCTTTGTAAGTAGAGAATCTGGTATCCTAAAATTTGGAATTAACGCAAAATACAGTGGGGCCAAGCTCGGTGAGGCAGAAGAGGGGGAGACAATCATATATGCAAAAATAGGTCAGCACCAAAGTATGCGCGATACTTGATCATAGTCATCTGATGTTTCACAGATCCTAAACAGTTCAACGAAGCTCGGGCGGGCATTCCTGTGACTACACAGCGGCGGTTTGACGTATATCCTGATGTGGCCAAGTAGTATGTACTTAGCCTCTTGTGAAGATTTTTGACGGATCAGCGCTATTGCTATGTTGTGTGTTGGTATTTCAGTAAGAGCAGTGTAGATAAAATTACTAGAGCGCCCAATGAAGAGGCTGTGAGTGTGTGTCAGCCACGTTTTGCCCAAAACGGAAGGATGGGTGATGGAACATGCCCGAAAATTCGAGCAGTTTCCATAAGCCCTGCCTTTATCTGCAAGACGCAGCCGCTCGTTCTTCTAACTCTTACTACAACGTCTTGCGTCCCATACCCTTTCGCTTCCCTTCCCATCCACCATCATGGTCAAAGAAACGTTTGTCGCTGTCCTAAGCGCTGAACTCGGCTGTGCTCACATCTCTTTGCTCGTAGGAAATTCTACGATCTCTTGGACGTGTCGCCCGACGCGTCCGAAGCCGACTTGAAAAAGGCATATCGCAAAAAGTATTGGCGCATCGGTGTATCAGTCTCTAGCACAGTGTCTGATTTTTTTCTCATCTACTAGAGCGCTACGCCTTCATCCGGACAAGGGTGGAGATCCTGATATGTTCAAGGAAGTTACTCATGCGTACGTCGGCAACGTGGCGGCATTCTAGTATCCCTTTGTTAAAAAATTCTTTTTTTACGATGTCTAGATACGAGATTCTGTCAGACTCACAGAAACGAAGCATATACGATGCGCGAGGAGAGGCTGGTTTGTCAGAATCAGGTGGCGCGGGCGGCATGGATCCGCAGGTATGAGATACCGCGCGTCTTTGGACACGACTGCGTGCTCACATGTCTTCCACCTATTCAGGATCTTTTCAGCCAGTTGTTCGGGGGTGGCGGGTTCTTCGGTGGCGGTGGCCCCTCCCGCAACTCAGGGCCTCGCCGGAGCAAGGACCTCATTCACCGAGTGCACGTCTCACTCGAAGACCTTTACAAAGGCAAGACGACTAAGCTTGCGCTCACGCGCAATATCATCTGTGCGAAGTGTGATGGCAAGGGTGGAAAGGAGGGTGCCGTGCGGTCGTGCAATACTTGCCAGGGTCGTGGTGTCAAAATCACTCTGCGGCAGATGGGCCCGATGATTCAACAGCTGCAGCAGCCGTGCGACGAATGCTCAGGTACAGGCGAAATCATCAACCACAAGGACAAGTGCAAAACATGCAATGCACGCAAGGTTATATCGGAGAAGAAGATGTTGGAGGTGCATATCGACAAGGGCATGAAGGGTGGACAGACCATCACGTTCCATGGAGAGAGCGACCAGGCGCCAGGGGTTTCACCGGGGGATGTCATCATTGTCATCGAGGAGAAGCCGCATGATCGTTTCAAGCGCCAGGATAACGATCTTATTTATGAAACGGAGGTGGACCTCCTCACTGCACTCGGCGGCGGAAAGTTTGCTGTCAAGCATTTGGATGACCGCGCTTTGATCGTCAATATCACGCCTGGAGAGGTCCTCAAACACGGTACAGTTTGCTGGTTGATTTCGCGAAAGCAGTGGCTAACTTCCTGATCATGTAGATGCTCTCAAGGTCATATATGGTCATGGCATGCCCTCCCAACGGCATCATGAACCCGGGGATCTCTACATCAAAGTCTCCGTTGCGTGGCCAGAGCACATTGATCCTGAGAAAATAACTTTCCTCGAGCGTGCTCTCCCACCACGCAAGCCTGTCGAGAAGTTCCCCAAGAATATCCATTTAGAAGAGGTTGAGCTGGTGGAAGTTGACCCGCGACAGCGGAGGGCGGTTGACGAGCCGATGGAAGAGGAGGATAGCGGAGAGCCGCGTGTGCAGTGCGCGAACCAGTGATCGTGGATTCTCGTGTACGTTTTTTTGGATCGTGTGTTTCATCATCTGTATTGTGTCATTCACATTCCTCATTTTTGCTGCATTCTGGCCCCGATGCTTTCGATCTCACTTCCAATAGTAATACATCTCGTATAGAGGACTCTTGCTTTGGACTGTAATGCACCTTGAACGACGGTGTGTCCCAAGCGTCTGCGAAATTGATTCGCTCAGGTCATGAAGTCCACAAAAATCCATCACTCCCAGCGAGTCTAGAAATGAGTGTCTATGAGGCTTGATGCATGATGATCAGTTGCAAGACGGGACACACCTCTGGGTTCAGTTTAAATTTTTCAAATAAACCCCGATCAAAGAAACTGACTTCCGTCTCATTCTCTGCGCAATAAATATTAATGTTTAGACGGGATACCCTCACACAATACTACGGGCGCACCAAATCCGTAGTCGGAGAGAGACTTTGAATCGTCATCTAAGACCCATTCATCGTGATCAAGATTAATGATGAGATTGGTCGTCTGTCCGCGATGTCAATACCGAGGTTTTACCAGGGTATACGGATCTACCTTCGCTCCATGGGCCTTAGTGTACAGCTTCAACGTATCTACTTGCGGGGTAATTGAGCGTCGATCAGAGCAGATTTAGTTGGTGGACTCACCGAAGTGGGCCGTTCGATAAGGCTTCCATGCAGGACTGGCCTTGATGGCTGCCGACGTTGATTTAGATCAATTATCACCCGGGAACGAAGGGGAACGAGAGAAATATAAGAAGCTTACTTTCCCGAACGATGTTTTTGAGCTCTCCGACTGTCACTTCTTTAAGATTTACATTATGAAGAACGAGACTGCGTTCCGTTCGGTACTCGAACGATTTGATGACACGAATGGTAAGGGTTGCGGATGTCTTGGGAAGCGCAAGATTAGTGAGTGTGTCAGAGACGTCTGTCAACATTCAATGTGCAGTCTAGAGTAGCCTGAGATATGGAACTCGGACGATGATGGTAGGAGGAGAACTTGAGACGGGCCGCCGCGGACTTTGATCTAAGACCTGATTATTTCCAATTTTGATATATCTTTCTCTTTCCCAGCGATCTCTTCCGGCGCCTATAACTGGCGTCGACATCCTATGTTATGCCGACGTTTTTCCATGGATGGTCGACTTACTTTAAAGATGGAGCCTCATGAGTCTTGGCCCTTCCAAATTACCCCTCCCTCCATTCCGCTTTTGAAATGTCTCGTCAATTCCTCGATGCTAAGATCAGCGACCTCGTCACGCAGCTCAAGCTGGATGAGAAGATCTCTCTGCTTTCTGGCCCTGACTGGTGGAATACAACAGCTATTGAACGCCTGCATATTCCTTCTGTGCGGATGAGCGATGGCCCTAACGTGAGCCTTTAGTTCTGGATGCCTTTAGTCTACTGAATTTTACTAGGGGGTCAGAGGTTCCTCACATTTCCTTCCGACTCCAGCACAGTGTCTTCCTGTGCGTGCCAGACTTGCGATCAAGTGATCTCACCACCCATAGACTGTCTAGTGTGCGACGCTGCTCGCAGCGACATTCGATCAGCGACTTATTCGCGAGGCCGGTCAATTCCTCGCAGAAGAGGCCAAGCTCAAGTCATCCGTCATCCTTCTTGCTCCTACCTGCAACATACAGCGCTCGCCTCTAGGTGGTCGGGCATTTGAGTCATTCTCCGAAGATCCTCATCTTTCTGGTATATTTGTTGCGCCGTTTCTGGACAGGTCTATCACTGACATTCATATGGACAGGTATTTTGTCTGCTGCGTATGTGACAGGTTTACAATCCAAGGGTGTCGCCGCCACGATCAAGCACTTCGTGGGAAACGATCAAGAGCATGAACGCACGGCAGCTGAATCGGTCATGTCTGATCGTGCTTTGCGAGAGATATATCTATACCCGTGCGTATACTGTTGACTGATGCTGGGGTTTCTTCATGAGTAAGGTGGATGCTAGGTTCATGCTTGCGCAGAAGATATCTCGGCCCTGGGCATACATGACTTCATATGGACGCATCGGTGGGGTTCACTGTTCCGAAAATCCAGGTCTCCTGCAGAAGATACTACGCGATGAATGGCAGTTTGACGGCATCGTGATCAGTGACTGGTAAGCACCAAAGGTGGTCAACCTTCATTGTCACCATCGGGAGATTGTGATACGTGAGCTCTTAATGATATTTTTATCATAATCTATCAGGCATGGAACGTATGGCACGTCTGAGGCTCTCAACGCTGGCCTCGATCTCGAAATGCCCGGTCCCCCACGCTGGCGCACACCGAACCTCATGTACCACTCGCTTTCTTCTCAAAAGCTGAGGACCCAGGTCATTGACGAGCGGGTAACCGCTCTGCTCACCTTCGTCCAAAAGCTTGCACGACAGAATTCTGACGTTGTTTACGGTGACAACGTCGAGCGATCGCGTGACTCTCCTGTATTGCGTGCCTTTGCCCGCCGCTTGGCATCGAGCGGCGTCGTCGTGCTCAAAAACGATAATACTGTGTTGCCACTGACACCCAAGGGTACTCGAAAGATCGCTGTCATCGGACCCAATGCCCGCGCACGGGTTATCTCTGGAGGCGGGTCGGCTGCTCTCAAACCCACCTATGTCATCACACCATTGGAAGGAATTATCAACAGTGCTGCCGAGGATATTGAGATACGGTATGAACTCGGATGTTATGGTCAGTCCATCAACGAGTCTTACCGTACTCTACTGGCTCACGTGCTTGCTATGCACCAAAGCACACAAATATCTTCCAACGCTCGAGAGCAGTCTCACCACTCCGACAGGCAGGCCCGGATGGCTCTGCTCTTTTTATAGTCATAGTAGGAATGGAGAGGTGGACGAACCTGTAGCAGAATATATAGTCGAAGATACGCGCATAAAATTAAACGACTTCTTGCCGCAGGGTCTCACACCCACATGGTCGATCAAACTCAGGGGAGCCCTTGCGGTGGACACGACTGGGCCGTTTGAATTCGGATTGACCGTGGCAGGTGCGTTATCCCTTTATGAGTACCGATCGCGTATGTTCGATCCTTATTGTGTCTAGGCCGTGCGAAGCTCTGGATCGATGGACATATGACAATCGATAATTGGACAAGGCAGACACCAGGCGATTTCTTCTATGGGTGCGTTTTTATCCAGACTAATTTTCTCGATACTGTTCTGACTAGCATGAAAAAAGACAAGGGACTATAGAGGAAAAAGCTGTAGTCAATGTCACTGCGGGAAAAACTCTGGAAATCCTGGTAGAGTACACAAATACTCCGCCACAGGTGGATGGCCCAGGTCCCGAGCGCAACTTTGGGCAGCCTGCTTTGATGCGGGGAGTCGTAAGTGACCGTGCGCGACATTGAAGTCGAATCTTGAACGTCTGGTCACAGCGATTGGGGGGTGCAGAGAAGATTGTCGAGGAGAGAGCCATTCAAGACGCGGTCGACCTAGCATCTGACTCCGATGTTGCCATCATCGTCAGTGGCCTTACACCTGAATGGGAGGGCGAGGGGTTCGACAGGCCATCACTTCGGCTGCCTGGCCTCCAAGACGAATTGATAGCCAGAGTTGCCGAAGCCAATAAAAATACAGTTGTTGTACTTCAAGCTGTGCGTTCGTACATATTTTTCATTTTTCCGTCCGACTCAGCCTCCTTTCTCTCTAGGGCTCTGCAGTATCGATGCCGTGGGCTGACCAAGTCGCGGGACTAGTGCAAGCATGGTATCAAGGTAACGAGGCCGGGAATGCACTGGCAGATGTACTATTTGGCAAAGTGAACCCTTCTGGACGGCTCCCACTCACGTTTCCTGCGCGCATTGAGGACGTACCGGCATTTCCGAACCTGTACAGCGAGAACGGGCAGATTCACTACCGCGAAGATCTGTTCGTGGGCTATAAACACTATCAAGCTAGAGGCATTCGCCCTCTCTTCCCGTTCGGGTGAGCACGCTACCCATAGAGATCTTATGTCGTTGTCTTATTTGATTCTCAGACATGGACTTTCGTACACGAATTTTGAGCTTTCAGACTTGAAGATATCTGAGCCATCGTCCCATGACACTGCCTTCAAAGTAGAGGTCAAAGTTTCCGTGAAAAACACAGGTGCCGTGGCTGGATCGGAGGTGGTGCAGCTGTACATCACCTACCCTGATGTGGGTGTGACCATTCCCAAGCTGCAGCTGCGTGGGTTCGCCAAGGCGTATGACCTAGCACCAGGGGAATCAAAGACGGTTATTATTCATCTCGATCGATATGCGATTTCCTTTTGGGATACTCAGAAGGGTCGGTGGATGGCAAAGGAAGGAGCATATGGGATTTTGGTGGGGCACAGCAGCTTGAATTTACCATTGCAGGGAGAGGTCGAGTTGAAGACGAGCTTCTGGTGGAAAGGTATTTAGAGAAATGAGGGCTCAGGAGTTTATGAAAAGTAAAACATACAGAAATATCACAGCCCTCCGGGCACTGCCTGGGCCCTCGTGCGCTCGAGTCGCTCCGAGTCGCTGGCGAAAAATAGACGAGCGAAGAGAAACGAGTGGGAGTGACACGGAGCATTGAAGATGTGACAAAGGTGTTGAGTCGCTCCAACCATACAGTATGTATATAGTATATATACAGTTTAAATGGTATTATTTGGGTGGTTAAATTTCTTGTAGACCAGACCACTGCCAGCACTTTGCTAACATTAATGGATGCATTTCCACAGGCTTTAGAGCAGTCCTAGATTAATAGATCAGAGTCGAACCTTGTTTTAGATTTGAAACTAGAAATCTTACAGAACCATAAGACCGTCTATAACTCAGTGAATGCACACACTTGATATAAGCGGAGCATCAACCACGACCTGCCCCCATGCAGCCAGCACAGATAAGTCCACCACAGATACACCACAAGCCCACCATCTATTGTTCAGCTTCGATAACATTAGATAATAGCATATACAGTGGATCTTGATGACCTGGTTTTGCTTGATATGATCTTAGCTGAAGAAGAAGTGATGCTGCAGGATGCTGAGAATGATGAGCATGCCTTGATCTCAGTCACGACAGCTATTGCAATTGCAGGAATTAAGCAAGTTTATCAGCAATGTAACAAGCACCAGAGTGCCCATTCCACATACCTCTCTTGCCCTCAGCTTCTTCAAAATCCTTGTATGAATACACTATGGACAGCCTTGTATAACAGTTGCAGTGATCGTGCATTCATCATAACTATGGGTTTGAATGTGGAAGCATTTGAACTTATTCTTTTGGGAGGCTTTTCAGATGGGTGGGATTCTTTACATATCCCTTGTAATGAGACACCACAGAATAGCATGCCATGTCCACATCACCGTTGATATGCTAGAGGTGGCTCTAAGTGCCGAGCACAACACTAAAACAACCTCTAAAGCAGGGGTGCTGGAGCTAGTATCTGATACACAAGGAATTGTAAGTGATGACTTTAGAAATTGAAGGCGTAGCGAATGAGGCCGAACGACGAGGATGACAAGTTTTCGGTAGTCGACGAAGACGATTTCGATGGTTGAGACGAGTGCGAATGAGCTCTGAACTGTGGGGTGCGAAAGCTGGTTTATTCCAGAGTTGTATGTAGGTTTTTATAGTAAACTGAGCCCCTAAGTAAAATATTAAACAAGAAATGAGAGTAGATGTCGAATGGGCACCAAGCCTTAGCGATCAGAGAAGATAAGGAGGTAGGTGAGATGTCCATATGGGTTCCGAAGGTGATAAGGTAAAAGGTAATCAGTGATGTCGAAATCCCGAACGTTCGGGATCCATCGCCCGAGTGTAGGTAGCAGGAACAGGCGTTGGAGAACCAATGAAAAATAAAGAAGAGGTATCGTACGACCAGGGTGGCCAAGCAATGGTGTAAGATTGCGTTTGACCGACCATGCGGAAGTCGGGACGATAAGTGATAAGGACCGACCGACTCACGGAGGACATCGGCCGATACGGAATACTGGCTCCGATCTCGTACACACCTATCGTAACCCTCCTGTGCGGTCATGGTAAGTACGTGAAGTGTGGGCGAACTGACCCAAGTGCTGCCGAATCGTCCTTCGGTGGCTTGTCGTCAGTCGGGTAGGGACCGACCGTGTTCGGTAAAAGTCGGCGTCTTCAGTACTTGTCTAGCACTGTTCGGTATCTCCCCAAAGCTTCCCGAATCCCTCCCTCGGACCCTAGCGCGGGTGCATGCTCATCATCTCCTCCCTACTGAAATCCTGACTGTCCCCAGTCAGTGGTCGGCGGCTATGAGTCGGAGCGGGAAAAAAAATGGCGTGGAAAATGTGGTGGCATGGCAAGTTACGTGGGAAAAGGATCGGCAATGAGCGATGGCGTGGAAAGAAGTGGGTGCGTGGGAGAGATGTGGCACAGGTGAGTAATCGGCAAGGAGATGTCGTAGAAAGGACCGGGTCGGCGCGCAAGAGAGACCGGGGCTGAGTTGGCAAAGTCCTGTGGCGTGGCAACCGATTAGGTGAGGCAGTGGCTGAGACCTAGAGTGCCCCAACTAGACGCTGGCGTGAGAGTCGTGTCGGCAAAGAGCGGTGGCGCGTATCGCGGCTTCTGCCGAACGCAGCGGCACGGGGCTTTGTCAGGTGACCACAATCACCTGATGATCGTTGATTCTCCAGCGACTAAGTCCCTCATCGCCTTCCTTCCTCCCTCTTCGTCTCTCATGTCGTCCCTTATTTCTGTCCTGAAGGCGAAACTCGCCGATTACATGCTCTCCCTCCCGGACGGCGCTGCCGAATATGAGGATTACGAGGTCTGGGGGCAAGGGTTCGCCAAACGGGTGGTGAGTCAGTCCTTCCTCTCGTCTTCTGCTGGCTGCTGACGCCCGACAGGCTGTTTTCGAACGTTCGGTGCGTGGGCAAGACGTGCCCGAACTCGCCGACTTTATCACCGAGGCCGAACGTGGTCTCGATCCGATGGCTACTGACGACTGGCTGGTATGGGGAGCGCGAATCCTGCCGCAGCGGGCGGCGCGCGTCGCTTTGCAGCAACAACAGGCGGCCGAGGAACAGGCACTAGTGGAGGAGAGGGAGCGTGTTGCCGTCGCCGAACAGGAGGCTGCCGAAGCTGAGGCGACGCGGGCTGCTGCGGCTCGGAAGTCGGCTGAAGTAGATCGTGAACGGCGCCGGGAGTTGCTGGTGGACGCGATGTTTGATGGCTCGCTTGATCCTGAAGAGGGTGAGCGTCAATTGGCTGAGCTCGAGGCCAAGTCCGTCTTCCCTCTCCCTCTCTTCCTTCTCTCTCCTTCTCCCTCCGCCGCCGCTTCCTCTTCTCATCCTGTCCCGTCCGCCGACTTATCCCATCCCGATCCGTCCGCCGACTCGTCCTATCCCGACCCGTCCGCCGACTCGTCCTATCCCGACCCGTCCGCCGCTGACTCTGCGCTTGCATCCGCAACCGATGCCCTGGACCGAATGAGCGTGGGTCGGGTCGCCGCCGCTGCCCCGACCGACGTGAAGGGCAAACAGTCGGCCGCGGCTGTTGTCGTCGAGTTTGCTCACCAACGGACGCCACCTCTTGGACGCGTTGTCCTTCCTCTCGGCCCTGGGACGGGCCGAATGTCGACCGTTAGGTCCCCTGTGGAGCGGAATGGTGCCGGTAAAATGCTCGAAGATCCGCCCGAGTTGTTACCTGGTGATGTACTGGTGAGTTCCCTCCCTCTTGCCGCCGTTTCCTCTTGCTAACCATCCTTCTTCTAGGCCAACTACGCTTGTCACCGCTGTGCGACCGCCTTTCTGACCAAGGCGTTCCATTGCTACCAGAGACCTGGGCTAGTGTCGTGCACTAAGTGTGCCAGGGAGTCGAAGGGGTGTAGCTTCCAGCCCAGGTGGATGCCGGTGGAGAAGGGGAAGGGGAAGTCGAAGGAGAAGGGGAAGGGGAAGTCGAAGGAGCAGTCGGCGCCCAAGGCGGAGGAGAGGGAACGCCCCTTAAAGCGTCGTAAGGTAGAGGTGGTTATCCCCGTGCGGTCAGTCGGGGATAGCATCGCCCAAACGAAAGGTAAGTCATTTTTCGGTTGGATTGGAGATGGGAGCTCATCGTTCGGTATTGTTCGGTGCAGCCGTTCGCACCCGAAAGCCGGTCCAGCGGCTTCCTACCACGGCTAGGGCCGTCCTCGCTCCTACCCGCCCTTCCCGCGCTCGTTCGGCTGCCTTCCCCGCTCCTTCCGACTCTTCTCTTCTCTCGCCCATCGTCGCCCAAGGCATCGCGTCTGAGCTTCGGTACCGCATCGCGGTGGCTGAGGGTACGCGTGCTTCGCTGGCGCGATCGGTCGCGATGTGGCAGGCTGAGCTCGAGTCGCTCGAGGTGCGGGCGGGTCCCTCCACGTCCCCTGACACTGTCTTGGTCGAGGACTCGTCGGAGGCAGACGATTCGGGAAGGTCGGTGTCGGACGACTTTCTTCCCGATGAGTAGAATAGCTTCGGGGGTTCTGTCGTATAGTAAAATGTATCATAAAAGTGAAGGGACTGTCCTGAGTTTAAACTGAGACGTTCGGTGAAGACTAGAGGCATTGTTTCGGAAAATCGGTCGGCGAAATGGCTGTGTGAATGTACTTGTAAGCGACGCGTTCGGCAGAAATGAAGAGAATAAATTGGAATATTAGGGGAAGCCTCAGTATGTCATCACAGGCATAAAACCCTATGGTTTTGCGCAAATCGGAAGAAGTCTTCAATGCGGCTTGGTACTTGAAGGAGTGATGGGGAAAATGAGTGCCGACTATTCGGTTGGCGATTGGTCGGCGGCAAAAGTACTAAGAAATGCGGAAATAATCGGGTGTCAGTCCATGTCTGTGACGAATGAATTGGAATAAGGAATGGGTATATCTGTGCATCCTCCTCCCTACTGAAATCGTGACTGTCCCCAGTCACCGACCGAAGAGAGCGAAGAGTGGGAGGGTGGGTCTAGTCGGAAGTCGCCGAAGCCACATCGTCGTCTTCTGCTGATCGGATGGAGCTGGTGTCGGTATCCTCTTCGTCGGCGTCGTCGTCTTCAGCGTCGTCGTCGTTCGATCTGGATTCTTCCATGGCCCGAAGGCGTGCTTGTGAGATGTCGAGGAGGGCTTCAAGGTCGGAGAGCTTCAGAGATCTGCGAGCAAAGTAAGGAATAATGCGGAATGCTGCCACTGGCCGATCAAAGACTGATCCGTCAAGTTCGGCCAGAATATACGCTCCTCCTCGGTTCCTAGAAATCACCAGCAAAGGTCCCAAATACCGTGGACGCATCTTCCAATTGAGCGCCTTTTCTATGGCTGTGTTGCGCATCAGGACAAGCGAGCCTCTGTGGAAATTGAAGTCGCGAAGGGTGGCCGAATGCTGTTGTTCGAATCGGATGGCGGCCTGGACACGGGCGCCGACAACTGAGCTGCGAAGGTGGGCGAGGTCCGATCGGCGTTTCTGCAAGGCTATGGCCCGTCGGGCGATGAGGTCGGTGGTGCTGAGGGTTGTGGTCGGCGGTGGCAGGAGGTA